CGTTTGGATGAACTTGACTTGTTTTGTGAGTTCAGCAGCTATGATGCCATGATATCATGATTCGATGTCGCGATATAAACCTGAGTGCTATGATTTGAATTTGAAACATTTATCTTCACTTCCAATTATATTCACCACAATCGTGGACTGAACGAACTACCGTAATACTTAAAGCTTAAAGTAGAAACTGGTAGGAGATGCGAAGACAAGTAGAGTGGATATATTCCTATAATATGGACAGATAGAAACAAAGAGTAGGAAAACAGGTAATATAGAGGACGCTAGAGTGCTCTAGAATGGGGGTATACGCAGGTGCTGTCGTGATAACATTACAAAAAGGAAGACAAAACAAAACAGCAAGCTATAGACGAGAAGAGAACAGATTGGTCGTAAGGCCAGACCCAAAGGGTCTCAAGAAGACACAGGAAAGAAAGAGACAGTGAAGGAGGAAGAAATTAAACCCTCTCCAATTTCTTCTTCCTCTCCGCAAAGATAGCCTCTAGCTTGCGAATCTGCAGACCAAGTCCTTTCTTCTCCGCATTAGCGACAAGCCAAGCCTCCATTCTCTCGCGAAGGTACTGCATGGAGTTCAGGACTGGGGTGTTGGAGCCAGTATTGTTCTCCATTTGGACCCACTGATCCGCACCAGGGTTGAGGAGGAGATCGAAAACGTCGGTCCAGATATCACGTTCCCAGTAGCGCTTGAGCGGCTCACGGATCCGATACGTCTTTTTAGCTGCATCGGTGGCCACAGATTCAATGTATTTACCAAAGAGCATAACGTGGACGGTACCGGCGAGACCGTAGAGATCAATTTGGTGAGTCCAAGGTCTCATCTCGCGAATTTCCGGACATTCGTGTTCCCCGGTTTTCCAGTCCGCGATGAATTGCACGTCGGGGTGGAAAGGACGCATGTCGATACCGCGGCCGAAATCGATGAGAGACAGGCCCTTGTTGCGCCAACCGAATGAACCCGTGGGGGAATAGTATACTTCCCGGGGGTCCGCGGAGTAGTCGTCGAGAGTGGGCTTTGCTTGTTTGTCGTCGAAGCGAATGAGGCAGTTGTCGGCCTTGATGTCGCCGTGCAGGATACCACAGGCGTGAAGAGCTTGGACAGTGCGGAAGAGTTCAATAGTGAAAAACATTGCGAGGGCTTCATCGAGCCCTCCCTCCCCAGTTGCGGGCCCTGAAATTCCTTCGTTACGGACGAGGTTCACTAGGTCGAGCAGTGTTCCCTGTGGGCGGTAGTCCTCAACCAGAATGCTCTCGCCCTTGAATATATGCAGCTCGTGTGCGCGGATGATACTATCGGCGGCGCGTGAAAGTTGCGGAAGCCGACTCAGTCGGTCTTGTGCGGTTTTGATCATGTAGAACTCCCAAGCATTTGGTGGGCCAACTTCCAACTTGATCGCTTCAAAATCATAACGAGGCTCTTTCTGCCGTGCCAGGCTGTTGCCAGCGGAACCCCCGCTATTGCTATCAGTCGACTCTAGGTCAGAGTCAGAAGCTAGACTGTCAATACTTTCCGCCAGATAAACTGCGGCATACGCTCCGGCACCAAGTTCTCGTCTGGTAATATAGTTCCTCGTCGCCCCTGGGATGTCGATGATAGGAACGTCGAAAGCTGCTTCGTCACCACTCCTGGAACGTTTGCTGCTGCTCTTCATGAATCTCTCGATTTCGGGGGCATAGTGGGTTTGTGCATCGGGATGGGCATGGTACCCGGGGTATCTTGCGAGTGTGGATTGCAGAGCGCGGAGGATGGTGTCTCGAATCGATCTGTCGATGGGATTGCAAATCATATCGTTGATAATCACCCCTTGGTCGCCCGTTGCCTTCAGAGGAGAAGGCGTCCTGCTACCTGAGTATGTCTTGTTCGCGGTAGGGCTTTCGATAATATCTTCTAGACCTTGAAGGGTTTGCCCATGGAACGGCGTCTCGGTTGGGAGTGGACTAGACAGAAGGTTTCCCATTTGTGGCATTCCAGGTGTTGTTGTCGGGTTTAGGACGTTCCGTGAAGGGGTCTTTGCGCTGTGTACATTACTTCGGCCTGCGGTCATCGATGGGAAGGAATGCTCGGTGCGCTCCACGATTGGTGTCATGAAGGGTAGACGATTCTGGGCGGCTACGATAGGGTCTCGATATGGACCAGAAGGCGCTGCATAGTCTTCAGGCATCTCCGGAATGAATCTCTGTCTTTGGGGCTTCTCATCGGCTGCAGCAGAGTCGGCGGGTCCTGTGTTGTCACTTTCGGCATCGTGTGTTGATGATTGTGTTGGGTCAATAGAGTGTGAATGGGATGATGTTGTTTCAGACCCAAGGTCGGCGGCGGAGAACCGCGTCCATTCCCCATCCACAACGCTCTCGGCCTGGGTGTTATCATAAAAATCATCTCCCTCGCCTTCGTCAAATGACTTGTGGAATGTATCATCACCGAAATCACTTGAAGCAGCAGAAATTCGCCCGGTTCCCGTACTTTCTCCAGCGCTGGTGTAGTCGTCATCATCGAAATCGCTACTTTCAGCTACATTGTCGGTCTCTGCCTTCAAAGGTTGGTTGAAAATACTATAAATCTCGTCTGTGGCAGCCCGTGTGTGAATTGTCATCGTTGGCTCTGCAGTGCTTTTGCGGCGGATCTTGCTTCCAGATGGCGAATCGAACTTCATTTTGACTGTTTACCTGTTAGTATCTCGGAGATATGCAAAGATAAGAGGTGGCCAGTTCTTACTTGTCTGCGTTTCGCCCTTCACTTCCCGGACTTTCAATTTCTTTCCTTTCCCACTCTTCACATCTTGCGACTTCTCCCCGTCAATCGGTTGGTCCAAAGCGTGGCCATCTGTATCCTGCAAGGTTAACTTCTGCTGGAGCTGCTCTGGGAGGGCCTTATCAACCCGAAGCCCGGTTGGCTTGGACGAATCTGGTTCTCCTTGTGCGGCGTTCCCTGAGATTTGCTTGAGGGGTTCCTTATTGGCACGCCAGTCCTTGTTCATCCAGCCACGCTTTATAGCCCTAAGCTCTTCAAAGCTAACCTCAATGTTTGGATTCTTGTAGTCCGGGTATACTGCAGCAAGGTCGACAAAGACTCTTTCCCTCCTCCCTGTACGCGGGTTGATCGCTTCCCTTACACGATGTTCTGGAACTGTTTTGGATTGCATTTCCTCTTTGACTGGTAAATCTGATTTTGACTGGATACATAAAAAGAAACCAATTTAGGTTCATGCCACCAATTAGTCCTATGATCGTAAATATACGGAAGTCGTAGAGATGGGGGTAAATGAATCACTGGACTTACCTCGTCCCTGAAAACCGCTAGCTTCTCTTTGGGCGCGGCCTTCTTTCCAGCTTTCAATTTTTCTCCGGCCCATGGTTTGGCTTCTACCGTATTCTCCTTTCGCCGCTCTTGCCTAGACCCAATACTATCCCAGCCATTAGTTTGTCCACCCAAGGCAGGCTGACTCGCTGCCGGATCTGTATCTGTAAATATCGCCATCTTCGCTTTGCCCGATTTCGTTTTCGGCGCACTTGCCGTTGCCGAGCTTGGGCGCTGGGCTTGGGGATCTGCGGTTTCGGCCACACTCGACGCAAAGGGGTCAACCTTGGCCGCTAATGCAGGGCGAACTGCGGGAAGGGCGGGGGAGGATGGTCCGTTGTCCTGTGATTGTTGTTCATATCGTCTCTGAAAATCATTATATTTCCGTGCCAATCGCTCCGTTGGACGTGATTCCCGGTCAATACCAAGTCTATAAACCTCATCGGCCTGTGTCCATCTCCCCACGCTTTCGAGCCAAGCAGCAAATTCTTCATAGAATAGAGCGAGCCCTTCCCCGACGTGATGGCGTGCCATGAATGCGAAAGTCTCTCGGGGAGAATCCGAAAACAGCCTGATGTAGTGAAGCCATAACTTCAAATAACGAGGGTCGTTCTTGTAGTGGGGCGACGATAGAAATGCTTTAACTGCGCGTTCTAATAATGGTAGGAGGCCGGATTCCGCTGTTGCTTGGGCTGAGGGGTATGCATTCAATGCCCACTTCACATAACGATCATATATGTCAAGAGGGTCATCCGATTCGCCGATTGCCTGCAGTTCAGTCTCGTATTCTTGTCGGATTGCATCGTTAAGAGTCCTTGTATCGTTCGGAGAAGGTGACGCAAGTTTATCGCTAGGGTCACGCGGGGAAAAAATGCGGGCCAAGTCTTTGGCAGAACGACCGCCCGGTAGAGATTGGATGTTTTCCTTCTGGTTCTCGATAATGTCGAAGTCGATCAGATCTCCGGAGGCCGCCATGGCGGCAGCGAGCGTGGTTGATGGTCGAGGTCAGGCAGCGTTATATGCGTCGCTAGCGGATTTCGCTGATATTAGTTAACTTCGAATTTCAAAAGTCGAGCAGGTGTCGAGATTCGCTGGCAGCGGGGGTAGTCGATGGTCGTTGAAGTGGTCAAATTCGTCCAGCATTTTCTGAGACGAACTTGTGGTTTATTTTCCCTCCCGCGTTTATCGATAAACACGTGAATCGTTGCTGTGGTGACGGGTCACATGACCCCAATTCCCGATAGGGAAATATTGAAGTTCTGGATTCTATCGCGACGCACTATCGATTATCGGACGTCGCTAGAAATATTGGCTTGGGCGCGTTTGGTTGCATCGAATCCACCTGGGGAATTTTGATTTTCTGTCTTGTTTTGCGCAACATTAAGTCTTTGATGAGACCCCGACGCGCTTAGTGACGCGACCATCAGAGCGTGTCCCTCTCCAAGTCACAAGCAACGAACTGTTGCCCTTTAATTCTTCCCCGTCCACTTGCATGCGCTCATACAGTCCGCCATAATTGGGGCTCTTTAGCTATTCTCCTCGTTGTATCTTATTGGTGTCCTCCCGCATACAATTCCGCACTTCCAAGCTGCGGCCCCGCTGCGGCGAATTCGAGCCCGAACGCCGACTCTTCCTCGCAACATATTTCATCAGAACATTAACAGTTCTCCTCTTTATATCATAAGTTGAAATGCCTCCTCGAGGTACCCGAAAGGCTGCAAAACCGCCTGCTGAGCTTCAATCGACAAGCAACAAACGAGACCTTGAAGAGGAGCCCGAACTACTGACTCCGCGACGGCAATCAAAACGTATCAAATCCACCGAACAGCTTCGAGATACCCCAGCTAGTCCCCAGCCGAAGCTTCCCAGAGCGCAACCCAAAAGTGAGAATCGACTTGTGCAAGAAGAAACGATAAAGGTTCAGAAACAGCCTGGAAATTATACTGCCACAACGAAGGGAAAGCTTGAGGAAGAGGTGGAACAGGACTCCATTAAAGTCAAGGATGAGGTAGACGATGAAGCTACGGTCACAACAAAAACCTCGAAGAAGAGAAAGACAAAGAAGGAACAACAAGCTGAGATCATGCCATTGAGGGCCCGAGCCCAAGGTCTGCGCATGTATGTCGGAGCTCATGTGAGCGCAGCAGGAGGTAAGATTCCCTGTCTTGTTTTATGCTCGAGATATGGCCCAGGCTTATCGCTTCTGATCTTGTAGGTGTATTCAATGCTGTGAACAATAGCAAGCACATTGGGTAAGCGCACATCCACGGTTTTAGCTCGTTAGGTGTATGTGTAACTGACCCCTCCCAGGGGCAATGCTTTCGCCCTTTTCTTGAAATCTCAGAGGAAATGGGACAATCCACCCCTTCAGGATGAACACAGAGACAACTTCCTTCAGCTTTGCAAGGACAACGATTACGACGCAGCAAAGTAAGTAAAGTAATATATTGGACTTAGCTAGACCCAGCACGCTGATCCATCACAGATATGTTCTACCCCACGGGTCCTACCTGGTAAATTTGGCGCAAGAAGACAAAGCAAAAGCAAAGCAGGCCTATGACTCGTTCTTAGACGACCTGCGCCGCTGCGAGGCCCTTGGTATCCAACTATACAACTTCCAGTAAGTTCAACATTTAACTTGCACTGCATATTATCTAACTCAGAGCAGTCCCGGGAGCGCAAACAAGACGCCATTTCCCAGTGCACTCGCGCGGCTTGCAAAATCTTTAACCAACGCGCTCTCGGCTACATCCACGGTCGTACCCGTACTAGAGACAATGTGTGGCCACGGCTCAACAATCGGAGGTTCCCTGTCAGAATTCCGCGATCTCCTCGCTTTGATACCAAAAGAGTTCCACTCCCGCGTCGGAATCTGCATAGATACATGCCACAGCTTCGCCGCAGGATACGACCTTGTCTCACCGGCCGGTTTCCAGGCATTTCTGAAAGAATTCGAAGATCTAATTGGCATCCAGCATCTCCGGGCCCTCCATCTCAACGACTCCAAAGCACCCGGCGGAAGCAAGCGTGACTTGCACGCCAACATTGGAACGGGCTTCCTAGGCCTAAGAGCTTTTCACAATGTCATGAATGAACCTCGCTTTGAGGGTATACCCATGATTTTAGAAACCCCAATAGACCGAGTACCGGTGACCAACGAAGTTAAAGAGGAGGGCGAAGAAGAAGGAGAAGGAGCCAGCGACGACGAAGTCAAACCAAAGAAAGCAACCAGCACCAAAAAGAAACCAGCCAAGAAACCAGCCGCATCTAAAAGCAAAACGCAGCCCGTCCCCGATTTCTCCGTTTGGGCTAAGGAGATTGAGCTCCTCGAATCCCTAATCGGCATGGACCCCGATAGTTCAGAATTCCGTGCACTTGAAGCTCGACTCTCCGAGGAAGGTCGAGAAACACGCGAAAAGCATATGGAGCAGTATCAACGCAAGCTCGAGACCGAGGAGAAGAAAAAGGCTAAGGGTGAGGGGAAGCAGAAAACCCTCATGGAGATGATGAATAATAGCAAGGGAAGGGGCAAAGCAAGCGCGAAGAAGGATGATATTGAGAGTGAGGATGAGGGATGTCAGAGCTGTTAAAATTAGACTATACAGATCAAGCGCAATGAGGCATAAATACGCATTTTTGCTCACTTCCTATCCCCGGGGGCTATAGCACGAAACTACCAAACTTGGATGGTATAACCAGGCAACCGTAACTCAACTATAGAATAATAAGAGAAATATTCATCAAATATGCCATTGCAAACATATTCATCGCAGCGCAATGCTGATTGATTTTCTCTAACTAGTAACTAGTAATGGAAGGGTATTTCGTATATATAACACCAGAAACCCACACAACCATTATTCCATAAAATGCAACGTGACAATTCTCTGCCGTGGGTAACCAATGTAAAACAACATGGTATCTCTCATATAAATCAGGTATCTATACCGGACCCGGTTTTGCCGATATGTGGCGGAATTTTCCATAGAATGTGTCCGTATTAGACCAACCACCCAGGATTAAGATAATAGCCGCCGTTATAACAATAAACAGACCGAGTGGGCGGGTGCGCAGATTGGAGCCCCGAATCCACAGGGCGAGGCAGGAAAAGTTTGACAACGCCTTGCAATGTAGACTGTAGTAGCCAGAGAAGAGATTCGTGGGTGCCATATCGGGAGCTTTGGGCTTCAATCCTCTCACTGGCTGTGAGCTGGAGAGCCCCTTCCCGAAGATGGAAGGTTTTCATCTCCACCTTGACCCAGATGTTCGTGCTTTAGTATCTCTCCTTCCATGGAAACTATAATTGGTGGAGCCGACTTCAAGGGTGATGGACCGGGGGCTAAAGGCGAATGAGTCGCGCTACGGCCATGGTCGCTTAGGTATCCAGTGTTTATCGTGAGCCCATGGGTGTTGTGACTAGGGCCTGTTGTCAAAGAAGGAAAGGCGCGCCCAGCGTTTGGGTCTTGAGGGGGATTGGGGTTGTTAGCCCCAATGTCATCGTTCATATGGAAATCCTCGGTATGGAGCTCGGATGTTTCTTGGTTCGCAACTCGCTGATAATCGCCGCGTCTGCCAGGAACAGAGCCGTACTCCGAATCCGAGTTCGGGTGAGAATCCCAATTGTTGTTTTGAGCTTCCGCCCGCATCTTTGATATCTTCATGTAGTTGTAGGTAGCAATACTGCCAATGGTGACGACGAGGCCCGTGACGTTGACGACAGTCAGCTTGTCGTGGAAAATAACGCCCGCCGCAGTGATCGTGACGACTTCCTTGAATATGCCGCAGATACTCAAGGTCACGACTGACGATCGCTGGAGTAGCGCAAACTCGGACGAGATCATGCAGAATGCTAGCACACCTGGGAAGATCAGAAGTGCTAGTCCTGGTCCCATCCCGTGGGCATCTGCCAGGGCCCGCAGGCCGGTGACGATTTCGGTAGGGCCTTCAACGGCCAAGGCGATAAAAATAAGAGAAACGAACATGACTGGGGTGAGGAAGAAAAGGGTTGAAAACGGATTGGCTGTAGCCGGGTGTCGTAAAAGGAGAATCTGTGTCAGTCCCCATCGGAAACCGGAAAAGAAAGCTGAGGCTATGATCAAGATGAAGCCTACAGCGTTGAAAGCTGTTTCTCCAGCTACCATCATGACCACTCCAATAGTCATCGTGGCGATGATGGCAATTAATTTGAGGGAAGGTGTCTCCAAACCGAAGACAAATGCGAATAGGAGGACGAATGCAAGCGCAGAGGATTTGCACATTGTCAAGAAAGTAAGGGTGATGAACTTTAGTGACATATTGCCCAGCCCGATATCTAGGGAAGTCGCTGTACCACATGGTACTAATCGTGTGAAATAGAAAAACTTGGTGATTATCGATTTTGGTTCAGACGAATCTGGCGATCGGGACGTTGAGGGTGCGGGTCGGGGCCGTAGTGAGGGGATGAAGAAAAGGATAAGACAAGAAAGCAAGAATTGGACGAGCATATGCAAGCTGGTGGTGAAGAGAGGAAATGGAAAGACTTCATTGTCGTTGTCATCTCGAGAAAACATCCATTTATTGTACTGTTTCGTGGTTAGAGGTGGTCAACGAATCAATGTAAAGGGTTCGGGAAACTTACAATGGATATGGCGAGCGAGAAGAAGTACCATAACAAGATCAGCCCAACATTAACAAGCAGCTTGCTCATAACAGTCCGATCTGCTGAGCTGATATTAAACGAGTCATCACGAGACGCCTTTACACCTGCAATGCGGGCATCCAACTGCCTCCGTTGCTTTCGTCGTCGGCGCCGTTGACGCCTCTGATTTGCGGTGAGCCCAGTTTCCTCATCGTCGGGGTAGTCATCGTCGGAGCTCTGATAATGGGCTTCCTCGCTCTCCGCAATGGAAGAGAGGTCGGAGACATCTGCATCCTCAGCTGGAGACGACTTTTGCTCCTCACGTTTATGACCATTATCCTCTCTTTGCTCGACGGGAGGTGGTTGGGCCGGACCAGCGCCCGTGAGGACGGAGCTGCGCCGTCGGTGATGATTGCCAGGGGATATGCTCATGCTGGGCGATGATTAGAAAGACGGGCGAATTCGTTATGGCGACGATAGCTCCATCAATGCGACCTTGCCAATTCGTGCACCGCGGGTCTAAGCAGAGGAATCAACGCGGATCGACGAGGGAGAAAGGATGGACGGTCGGAGAAAGCGGGCAGCTTGCGGATTAAAGAAAGGAGCGAAAAAAGATTCGGTGAGAGAAACACTATAGTTGACACGTTCGGCGGGCGAACTTGATTGAGAAAAGAGTTTATTTTGCTTGGTGCAGGTGGGCTCGCCGGAGAGGGAGAGGCAGGTAGGACGCAAGGGCGACCGGTGGAGTGCGGAGAAGGAGAGTGACTGAGGAGCGTGATGATAGAGGGAAAATGTTTAAAGGGACACGGAAAGAGAAGATAGAAGGACACAGACAAAAGGAAGGAAAAGCAAAGGACAGGGCTGGTTGGTATGGGAAGGATTGACGGGGAGAGGAAGAAGAAGGAGATCGAGGCAGTCGGTCACAAGATCAGGAGAGTCCAAGCATTCGTTAGGCCGTCACTATAATTTCAAACACAGCCATGGGGTCCGTTCCCGCCGAGGGTCAGAAGCAGCAGCCCAATAGCCACGGGAAGGCACGAAGAGAGCTGCCAAGGGTCGACTCCTGAACCTGAGCCTCGACTCCGTCCAGCTCCAGTTCCAGTTCCAGCACCGACCAGAAGTCACGTGTATTCCGGTCAACAAGACACCGTTGTTTATCATCCTATCTATCGTCAGGATTATCATCATGATTATCATCGCCATCAATTGCAGGGCTGCTGCAAATGCACATGGGTTCATTGAGGCTAAGAGAGTTACCCAGGGCCATTCAGTAAAGCCAGGCTCTGGGGCCCACGAGGTATAACATGCTCCAGTATCACTCCACCAAGATATTTCAGGAACTGGTAACAGAATAATTATGCTCTTTACTGCTCCTGAGACACGGGCTGCCGGCTGTTATCAATTATCAAGCAGCCCCAGACCGCCACCTGCAAGTTGCGATCTTCGATCCTCGATATGACACGAGGCTAACAATGGATATATCACTAATAGCGCACCCTAGATGGACATTTTCTGCCAGAGTATAGTATTAACAGAGGTCGGCATCACTCTTGTGCCGTTACCTAGACATCGTCGCATATTCTGCCCAGCTATAACGGACTGAGTAGCAGCTACCAAGGATTTATTTAGCTCCGACAGAGCTTCTCTCATGGCCAAAGAACACAAGATCTAGTTAGGGCTAAGGCAGTTAATCCTGCACCGCAGCCCAAAATGCTCTAGGAAGGCACATATCCGATCGCACCTGCCCTCTATCTAGGGTTAAGCTCAGGTTAAGTGGTATACTTGCCAAATCAGGAAGCTGCGATGGACACTGTAGACACCAGAATAGGAAGGGACCCTGATCTCTGTGCATCTGCATACAAAGCGCAGAGAAACACTCCCACTCATTGTCTCGTCGTTCAATTCTTCAGCACTCGCAAATCATAACACTGTCTGGTGACCAAGGCAAGCGACTAGCTAGGAGCTAAGAGTCTGTGCCACTGCCCTGATTCGCCAGCGAGTTTCCCGCGTGAAAGTTGTTTAATAATAATGCTGACGATCCGGGGTTGGAGTTTCGCCGAATTTATTGGCGGCTGCTGCTGTGCGGTGCGGGGAGCCTCGGCCGAATGTGAATGAACTCTCGACAACTGACAACATAATTGCAAAGCAGGGTCAAATTATTGGAGCAATTGAATTACAATTGGTGGCAGTATAAATATAATAAGTACATGGCTGGGATGCTAGCATGTTGGCACTGTGGTAGCAGTAACCGGAAATACACCCAGGCGAGCGCTTATAATAGTTCTGAGCACTTAGTACAATTTGAGCAGAAGAGGTCTTTGAGGATCTGAAGCAGTACGATGTATAGGGATAATTTCTAGTTTAAATATGTAGGATGTCAATGACATCTAATGTTTACTCCCTCCACATTACCAAGACTGCAGTATATTGCAGCAGCGGATGCTATTCCTGTTGCGTTTTAGCTGGGCGGCGTACTCGAGCTGTTATTCGACGCTTCCAAACTCCTTCTGAGCGGCGTGCAGAACTGGGAGTATACTGGAAAGGAACATATATCTACAGATATTTGAACACCTGGGGCACTGATCGTGGGGTATAGTAGCATTGCCTGCCAAAGAATACGTCGCGGTGCAATGTCAAAGCCGTATACGGACACCGGAATGCAAGGGCCAGCTTCGCAGGGGCAGGGCTAAGTGCGTAAGCTCTACTGCAGTGTTTGCTGTTCTCCGGGGTGCATTACCCCGTAACTGACTCGCAGCCCTAACTAGATGGACCCCCGCATGGCCCCGGATTCCGGATTAGTGCGCAATTCTCCAGACCTGTGCACTCTAAGATCATACAACCAACCGCACTCACGGCAAGGGCTTTAGTCCAGCCAAGGTCATCCCCAAGGATCTCGGGCGAAGCTGTCCCGACTGTTCTCTTATTAACTCTAGTCTCGTCAGCCGAAGTGGACAAGAGTGCGGATAACCCGAGGAGTGTATTCCGGAGGGTACAAAAGTGCGCGAGAAGCCACCTTTGCTGAGCCTATGAAGAATGGCATTCAGAGAAAAAGTCTCGTTATCTTTCATTGATCCCTGGCTATGCATCTCAACCATCTTTCGGCTTTGACGAGCGCTGCTGCTCTTCTGTCCTTGACTAGCCACGTCCAAGCGCAGCAGCCATTCCACGACTGGAAGAAAGCATACGATGCTGCCGAACAACAAATCATAACATGGTCCACCGAACAAAAGGCCAACATATCTGTCAGAGGTGGCACTGCTCCTGGATTCGTGCCCTTCGAGCCCAGCGATGGTTAGTGCTTCCAATCTCCCCACACTACTCTCTTGTCCGCAGTATCTAGCCCCATCCGCCACTGCTGACCTAAATAAACCGTCTAGGACCTACAGGTCTATCCGGCGGACAAGGCGTGTCCGGTTGGATTGGAGGCCAGACTATCAGCAGCTCCTGGAACCGGTCCCTGGTGGCAGACCAGTATGCGCGTATGGCTGTGGAATTTCGCGAGAAGGGGTATAATATGCTGCTGGGCCCGTCCACGGGCCCTCTTGGGAGGAGCCCGTATGGATCACGGCTTTGGGAAGGGCTTGTAAGTTAGGCTGTATCAGGTGGCATATTGCTTCAACCTGACGGGTTTTAACATCTAGGGCTCTGATCCGTATCTTAACGGGAAGATGTAAATCCCTGCCCGCTCTATTTCGGTGGCACGGCGCAAGATCCTGGCTAACGGGATGTTTGACTAGGTTTGGGGCAGGAGTGAAGGCTATCCAGGCGCAGAATGTGATTTCTTGCGGTAAACATTATATCGGTATGGCTGTCGTCGCCGGCTGGATATACCTTTCGAACTGACAAAGATATAGCCAATGAACAGGAGACCAATCGTACGTCCTATGATAGCGACGACCCTGTGATGCGGACCTCTAGCAATCTAGATGATAGGACTCTACACGAGCTTTACCTCTGGCCCTGGATTGACGGTGTTGCAAACGGCATGGGCTCCGTGATGTGTGTTATGAACCGAGTCAACGGCGTCATTGGCTGTGAGAATGACCATATAATGAACGGTGTATTGAAGAATGAGACAGGCTTCCAGGGTAAGAACTGTTCATCAATGGCGCCATATGAATTCTCATGTTTCCAGGCCTCATCGTCCCCGATGTCACTGCGCCCTTAAACAAAACCGCTGGTCTCCTCGGCGGCCTTGACTGGAACTCAGGATATAATATCACCGAGATACTGGCTGCCATCAGGAAAGGCGATATCCCTGAGAGTGTTATGGCCGAGCACGCCTTAAGAATCGTGGCGACGCAGCTTAACCTCCTCGAGGCCCCCGAGCAGTATCCATCGCCTTCGGACACAGAGACCCTCAACGTCCGAGACCCCGATAGCAAGCACTTCATCCGCAGAGCAGGAACAGAATCCATCGTCCTTCTAAAGAACAAAAACGAAACCCTACCGCTCCGCAACCCTATCTCCATCGGAATCTTCGGCAAAGACGCAGGAAACCTCGCAACCGGCCCAAGCCCTAAGTCGAACTTTGCTACCTTCGAGGGAGACACCTACGATGGACACCTCATCACCGGTGGCGGAAGCACCTCACCTGCGCCGTATGCTATTTCGCCCTTGGACGCCCTTACTGCAAGGGCTGCAGAGGGCAGCGGGTTTAACTATAGATATATCCTTTCGGATAACTGGACAGTCACGCCTCCGCCGTCCACAGGCGATGGCTTCTTCCAGAGCTTCGAGGTCTCTGTCTCTGAATATGCTTCGATGTCGGAATACTGTCTTGTTTTCATCAATGCTTTTGGCAAAGAGGGCGCAGACCGACGCACCCTTGCTGACCCGGTTGGCGACCAGCTCGTCAACGATGTTGCTGATTACTGCAGTAGGACGATTGTGGTGATGGATAACGCTGGGGTTAGACTTGTTGACGCCTGGATCGACCATCCGAATGTTACAGTACGTGATTCTGCAATCGCCTTAGACCTGTTTATTGACTTGTTTCTAGGCCGTTCTCAATGCAGGAGCCCTAGGCCAGGAAAGCGGAAATTCCATCGTGGACATCCTCTTCGGCGACGCAAATCCCTCAGGGAAACTCCCATACACTATCGCGAAGAACGCAAGCGACTACAACGGGCAGATCTGTGAGTGCTGCGAGTGCGACTACACAGAGGGTCTGTATATCGACTATCGCCATTTCGATCAGGCAGGCATCGAGCCGCGGTATGAGTTCGGGTTTGGGCTTTGTATGTCTTCCCTACGTCCCTAAAGTACTTTTCCGTGTGTTGTGGATGTGTCTGATATAGTGGACAGCTTATACAACATTCAACCACTCCAACCTGGATATTGTATTCACTTCAGGGTCTGATACAGATGCCCTGGGTCCATACGCCACCAGCTCGACAATACCAGGCGGTCCTTCAGATCTATTTGACCAAATCCTAACCATATCTGCCGATATCACGAACACAGGCAATGTAGCCGGAGCAGAGGTTGCACAGCTGTACCTTGCCTTCCCGGAGGCTGCAAAGGCACCAGTGCGCCAATTACGGGGGTTTCAAAAGGTATACCTGGAGCCCGGGGAGACGCAGACGGTTGCGTTTCCTATTCAGCGGCGGGATTTGAGTATTTGGGACTCGGAGAAACAGGGATGGGCGATTGAAGGAGGAAGTTTTACTGCATGGCTTGGGAGGAGTAGTCGGGACTTTACGGGGAAGGCCGATTTTAATGTTTTCACAGCTTAAGTGCTGCCTAAGTAGGGCTGGACGAGTGGTCTGGCCGGGGTAGCAAGTTTCTGAATAGGATTATGAGGCACTTCGGAGGGTTATTGTGTGGGGATTGCAAGCAAGAGGATTAAAGAAGTGAATTGGATACGTCTACCGGATATGAGTGATCCCAAAGGCCATTGTATAATGTAAAAAGGACGAACGAGCGGCATTTGATCGCATTGATCTCACAGCAATACCGCCCACTGCTCGTCGCAATCCTCTTCTGCCTATACAACTTGTGTGACCGTGGCCGTCTCGACAACTACTACAGTCTCTTGATTCGAGTTCGATTTCGGATTCCCTCCCTGGCCCTGAGTCTGCGTTGGTTCCTGCTCTTCCTCATCGCAGTCCTCTTCTGTCTCAGCGACCTGTGTTGTCGTGGCCGTCTCGACATTGGCTGCAGTCTCTTGATCCGAATTCGAAACTGAAATCCCTCCCTGGTCCTGAGTTTGTGTTTGTCCCTGCACTTGTGCATTGCCTTGCCCCTGGGTCTGTCCACCTCCGCTGCCATACTGGTTCCAAAGCCAGTCTATCAGATCCTGCAGGTTCCAGAGACCTTCGCCCGTTGTCGTCGTTACGGGTGCTGTAGTCGGCGTTGAGCTCGGCGCGACATTGTTGGTCGAGTCAGACCCTGACCCTGACCATGACCCTGAACCTGAGCCCCAGCCCCAGCCCCAGGTGCCCCAGTCGCCGGTGCCAGTTCCCGTTTCTGTCCCAGTGCCGGTGCCGGCGCCAGTATCACCGCCATCGTTGCCGCCATCGTTGCCGCCAGTGTCACCACCAGTATCACTGCCTGTTCCCGTTGTACCCGTAGGGGTGGGCTCTGGGGTATTGGTGGGTTCTACCGTTGTCGTTGTTTCTGTGGAGTCGCCCGAGTCGCCAGAGCCACCAATGTTGATGCCGAGATCAACGTCTAGTGCTTTCCCAATAGTAACGGAGTCGTCGGCGGCACATTGAAGGTAGACGGCTGCATATCTTGTTAGCAAAGGCCAAGTGTAAATACCATAGTAGGAAGAGTCATACCGGAAGCATAGTAAGCAAAGTTATCAGCGTTGTTCATTGAATCTTCCGTGTTCAAAGACAAGACACTGTCCCAGCCATAGCCGACATCTTCGGTTCCGGGGCTGTACAGTGCACTCGCGTGTGAGTACTCGTGAAGTGTAATAGCGGCTTGGTCGAGGTATCCACAGTAGTTGGATTCCCTCGTGCTGGTGTAGTAGGCGGGACAGTTGACGACCTTGTTGAGAGAGGGATAGGTCATGGCTGCGACGTTTGAGGAGCAGTAGTCGTCCGCAGTAGGCTCACAGTAGTATGTGAGTTGACCTGTCGTTGTTGCTTCCTTGGCAATAGCCTCGAATCGACCTGCGACTTTCTCGATATCGGATTGAGAGGTAGTTTTGAAGAACTTTTCAAAGAGACTGCTGCCTGTGCGAGCGTCTTTAGCTGCCGCGGTGGCCATTTTAGCGGCTCGAAGGATGGCTTCTTGTACTGCTGCCTTGTTCTCGTCTGAGCATTCAAGCACGGAGCGTTGCTCCATGCGACGGGTGAGGTCCGCTGGCGCGGTGAACGAAATGTTGTTGGATGTATATTTGGCGGTTCTGAATTTGCTCTTGTTGTCTAGCGTAGTGTATTCCAGAGCCCCCTTTGCCACGGCTGTGTATTCCTGCCCCGGGGTAAGATCGTAGATGTCAGCGATGTCGAAAGTGGACGCGACTGTCTTGTTAGGTGCAACTTCAACGAAGCCATCGGCAGTCAAGTGGGCGAGAATGTATTCGACATGAGCCCCGATGAATGTTGGATCCGAGTCTACTATCCCATTAGAATGCTTCTCTTTCAATTTAGTGGAAGGGGACACCAACCACCGCCCTGGACAATGACCTTCTTTGTTGGAACATGGTCAAGGATACCACCTCTTTGGGAGAGCCGAACGCCCTCCGAGCCCAGGTTTGTGATCTCCGCCCTGACAGTTGTGTTCCCAAGAGTCTCTATTGCAACGTCAAAAGAGGGTTGAGCAACATCCTGCGTTGCTTCCCCGGCCTGCCTGGGGATCAAAATAGGCTTTCCAGAAGCCAAGGTAAGAACTGCCAGCAGATAAAAGAAAAGAAAGAGTGCCATTTTAAGGAGTGGATGGCACGGTAGAAAGGAATAATTGAATGAGCGTCTGGCGATCCTCACCACATTGTAGCCTGTTCGTCGGCTTATATACTGCTGGAGCGAACCCCATGACTCCCGCCACGGACCATTGTTTTAAAACGCCTAGAGGACAAGGTGTTTCAACGGCTTTGTATTGTGCAGATTCAAACAATCACGCTAAACTTGTCAAAGACTCAAAATGGTGATTACCACAAAGGTGAGACACTGGTCTTTGTGTATTAGGAAAAGGGGCCAATTGGCAGTGCCGCCGTGCCCTCGGTATCTCAGGGTCTGGGTCTCGCGGCATGACCACTGGCTAGCCGACGTTGTCGATACCTCTTCAGTCATGAAACACGATAGGAAGACCACCAATCAGCTCGCGGCTGCACTGACAACGGCCAGATGTCGGCTGCAACGGGAGGTTGAAGATCTCCGATGTTGACAGGGTCGTGTGGAGATTAAAGAGTCCTGAAACACGGCTTGGCAGTCTCGCCAGCCGCCTGTAACAGACTAAATCCACCCATATCTCCGAATGTACTGCCTCGAAGGGAAGTAGCAAGGGAAGAGCTCTAATTCGTATTCAGGTTGGGTTCGAGGGGCAAATAATGAAGGTCCCCCCCGCGCCGGTTCCCCTAAAGACTATCCTGCAATTCGGGCAATTAATATACTCACTACACAAAAGCTTGGCCCTTTGGCAAGCATAATTAACCACCTTGTAGATCGTCGGTTATCGTAATATTCTTGAACCCGTTGCTGCCACCGAACTGTCAAGCTCGAACCTTTGCAAGGATCGTCGTAGATAGCTGCCATAGCTACTGAAACAGCTGAGGGCGGCAAACAAACTTTGCATGGGGCAAACGTTTGAACGTAGTGTCACTCGGGGTCTCCGAAAAGTCAAATACATAAGAGCAAGGACCATCCCAAGAAGGTCTCCAGCTCGTTATGCCCAGGGGCCGAAAAAGCCAAGTGCACGGCCGAATATTGCAGGGGCAACCGGAGCATGGCCAAGGCGGCGGCCCTTACCCTAAGTTTGGCCACCCTTCATCTGTCGGACATTCAGATTTACTCGTTTACTCGACATCCAGCCCTTCCAGGCCTTAAAACGGGACGCAGCCTCCTCATCGCCCGGGGTGCAAGGCCAGTCTGCTAGCCAAGGAGGACAGGTTTCAGGCACAATCTTGGGCACAGCATGCCAAGCGAAGCGTGAAGTCCCATCCATATACACCGCATCCCCAGAACGAAGCCGGATAATCTCACACCCCGTGCCGTCGTCGTGGCTGATGAGGAAAAGGCCATCACAGCCAAAACTAACACTAATAAGGCCGGCGTCGCATTCCTCGCTGACGTCGCGGTGAGGGCTTAGGGTATTTCCTGGAGAGTATAGATTCAAGATGGCGGCTTCGGGCTCTGTTTCTGGGAAGGCCGCTCGCAGAAGCCCCGCAATGTCTTCAGGGAAAGCCGGAGGGCGCTCCGCTGGGTAAACCTTGGCAGTCCAGTCGTACTGCCCACCGAGGGTGGCCCAGCGGAGTTTCTTGTTCAATACATTTTGTACGGTAAGGGGCTTGTGTACCTCTGGGTCCTTGGGTGAGAGTGTTCGTGTTCGGTCGTCCTCAAAGAAAGACATTGCTTGGTCGCTTAAAGTTCCTTTACCAGAGGTACTCGTATCGCGGTATTCAGTAATATTATCTGATTTTAAAGGGTAGGTGACATCGTAATGGAGATGGAGATTCGTCTTGTGCGCGCTGTTCGAGAGGTCCCGGTGGAATAACCGGTTGAGCAGATCTATTTGAACTGCTGGTGGGAACAGTGCTGGGACCATGAGAAGGCCTATAACGCATCAGCAGGTTCCAGCCATCGGATAGTGTAATATTTACCAGTAACGGAGTTGGTTTTGAAAACAGGAATGCTTCGCTGAAGTTGTTCTTCAGTCCGCCCGCCTGGAGTTGCGAATTTGTCAAAGGCTGGTTGAAGGTCTTCGGTGAATATCCTCCGCACAAGTGTCATGCTGCTGGGAAGATCGTCCGGATCCAAAGATTGCAAGTCAACAATGCTCGCATCGGTGTCAATTTCAGGCAGAGAAGTTTTCTGATATTGCTTGTAGCGCAATCGCACCGACTCCGGTGGTGCCTCGTGGGCATTGAGGCTGGTAATACGGGCCATATTGGGGGTGTATATTCATTAAAGATGACATTCAGTATGTATCAGACGTGCTATTCCATGGTACCGACGACTTCCCCTCGAACTGGCGGTGCCTCGTGGTCTAGAGCTGGTGGACAAATTTGGTTCTTTTTTTGGCGGGACATGTTTATTCACGGCAGAATACTAGACCGCTTCCTACTCCGCCTACCAAACAAATCCCCGCGATAACGAATACAGCTGGTAACACGAGTGTTGTTTTCTCTCTATACCTGCCTGGAAGAGTGTTAGAGCGCTATTGGAGTCATCTTTCACAATATACTCCTGCAACTCTGGTGATTATCAATCAACACGTGTCAAAGTGTCACTTCCTGGAGCTTGGGCCGCCGGATTGATCAGCCATGATAACGGGTTCCACCCCGTCCACCCCGCAACCAAGGCCTGGACACTCCAATATGCCGGCGCCACTCGCAGTCCCTCCGGTTCCTTCTCGGAGCACCTATGTCACGGGTGCTTGTAATGCTCCAAGGTTATTGACCTGCCCTTTTGAGAAATAGTCTGGCTTATCGGTGGATGTAGGATAATAGCCGGATACGAGGCGATATATATTGATAGCCGACCCCCCTGTGCCTATGTTCAGAAACAGAACTCAGCTTTAAGTCACAGTAACTATTAGACTACCAACATGACGGTCACACCCTGGAAACCCCTGGCAGACACTAAGCGCCAGTCGATTCTCGACGCAATTCCATCCAAATGGAGGATCCAGGAGCCTATTCCCGCTGATACAGAGCTCCGCAATGTGACAGGAGCGTATATCCAGAAATTCCTCACCCCGCGAGAAATCGAGATCACGGAGCTCGACGCGTATGGTATCGCCGACAGAACGACTACTGGGGAGTGGTCAGCTGTTGAAGTGACTGAGGCGTTCTGTCATCGGGCGGCCCTCGCTCACCAACTCGTATGGTTGTCTTTCTACCCTCTAGGACAATGACTGATGATGGTGAAGGTGAACTGTCTGCACGAAATATTCTTTGACGCCGCCATCGACAACGCAAAGCGACTCGATGCCTATTTCGCAGAGCATAAAAAGCCTGTTGGGCCTCTGCATGGCCTCCCGGTTAGTCTGAAGGACCAGTTCCACGTGAAGGATGTAGAAACCACAATGGGCTATGTCGGCTGGATTGGCACATTCCAGGGTCTGAAAGATGACCCTAGGAATCGAGTATTCGAAAGCGAACTTGTTCGTGAACTTCGTGGCCTTGGGGCAGTCTTGTACTGCAAGACCAGCGTCCCCGCGACACTGATGACCGGAGAAACAGTCAACAATATTATCACTTACACAACAAACCCAAAGAACAGACTTCTTTCTAGCGGAGGCAGTTCAGGCGGCGAAGGAGCACTAATCGCACTAAAAGGATCACCAGGCGGATTTGGCACTGACATTGGTGGGAGTATCCGCGCACCTGCTGCATTCAACGGGTTGTATGGAATCCGACCTTCCTCAGGGCGTATACCATACGAAGGCGCCGCCAATTCGATGGATGGCCAGAACTCCATTTTGTCGGTGATTGGGCCCCTTGCTGGTACAGCGCGCTCGCTGCAGCTCCTTTTCAAGGCCGTTCTTGGACAACAGCCGTGGCTCTATGACCCGCTTGTGCTAGAGCTACCCTGGAGGAGTGAGATTGAACTGGATACACGGCGATTAGTGGAACAATCTGCGAAAGATCCTTCCAAGCTTGCATTTGCGATAATGAAGGATACTGGAGTTGCTAAGCCTCACCCACCAATCACGAGAGCTTTACAGATTGTGGAACAGACATTGAAGCGACTCGGCCACACCGTAAGATGGATCAACCTATGTTTTTCAAAACAAGCTCTGACTCTGGACCATTTAGATTATCGAATGGACCCCTCCTCCGCACATAACCGCCGATGAGATTGCAGTATGTCACTCAAATCAACCCAAGTCGGCCATACCATGTTGCTAACAATCCCCAGGGCACCGTTTATGGTATGGACGGGGGTGCAGATGTTCAATATCACCTCGGCCTCGCTGGGGAGAAACCTGCACCGCAAGTCATACTGCCTGCTGGGCTTCCCCAAAAGACAGCGCAAGAGGTTGCCGGGATCAACGTCGCAAAGCGCGAGTACCAGAAACAGTATATGGATTACTGGAACTCTACCGCTCAACTCACTGGTACAGGCAGGCCAGTTGATGCCGTGGTTTGTCCCGTTGCGCCTCATGCTGCCGTGATACCGAATCGCTATGACTATGTTGGGTATACCTCGTTTCTCAACTTGCTGGACTACACCAGTGTAGCGATCCCGGTGACGCATGCGGACAAGAGCGTGGATGTAGCTCAGCCCCGGGACTTCTTGAGCGAGGTTGACGAGAAGTTGTACAATGGCTGTAAGTGCACCTGTCCATTTCTAATGCTGCGGCGCTGATAGGATTAGATGATGCGGATGTGTACGATGGGGCGCCGGCTGGGGTCCAACTGTTCGGGCGGCGACTGCAGGAGGAGAAGATGCTTGTATTGGCAGAGTATGTTGGAGCAGCTGTCAAGGCGTAGATTGAAGATAGATGTACCGAATAGAATGAATTAATGCGGACTGCGCAGTTGTTTGTAGAGATCGCGCTGGGGGACCGAAAAGCTTGGCGGCGATCGTCGTTCAAGATTCTCGTGTCGCCTTCAACTTCATCTTCAGCCTTCGTCTCCCTCCGCCTCGCTCTTCTCCTTTCCTCTCCCAACCGCCCCTTTGTCCGCTCCTTCACCCTCTACTCTTTCTTTGTCCCGGATTCTCCATTGTATTCTCCCTCCTTCCAGCTTTCCTTTCCTCGCGTCGTCCTCCTATTGGGCGGCCCTGGTCCGGCTCACTCAGTCCCACCCACGCCCTCATGCATCGTCGCCCACCTGCAGAATTGACCTAACGCTGTCTCTGTTGTTTCACGCCCACGCGTCTCCTTCAAAGTTCCACCGCGCCCGCCCATTTGTGACCACGAGAAGCCTCGCGCCCTTGTGCTACCATGGAAGACGGCGCGTCCTCTCGCCCAGCCGAGTCTCCTGAGGACTCTGGCCCCGGCGAAGAAAACCAAAGCCTCGCTAACTCGTCGAAAAACCAGCAGTCCCAGAAGGACCGAAAATGCCAATACTGTAACCAGGCGTTTACCTCATCCTCCCTTGGCCGACACCTCGATCAATTCCTCTTCAAGAAGAAGCCAGACGGCATTCACGATGTCGAGGAGATCCGGCGCATTCGCAGTGGGATCACCCGGCGACAGGCGCGGACTTCGACTGGCAAGCGGGATACTCCTGAGCGCGGTTTGGGGAAAGGACCGTTGGATTCGCACCAGGCTGGGGAATCCGGGGGCAAGGGTCCCATCCGGATGATGTTCAACACGCCAACGTGGCATGCGACCGGTGTGATCAACGACATCCCCAACCCAAGCCAGTCACAGGAATCCGCAGCGTCTCGCTATGCGGCTTCTCAATCCCGTGTCGGGCCTTTAGCTGCAACGGATCTCGGGACCCGGGGTTCTCACGCTAGTAGCCCGGATACTGTGAGGGCGCTGGAGCTGGCCCTGCGCGAGGTCCTGGATAACATCAAAGCCGCGACGTATGTTTCGTTTACTGCTTCAAGTTGAACTCGTCTAATCTGTTGTCTTCTAGTTCGAGAACGCGACCGCGTATTTCGCCGTTCGAATTCGATATTCAGGTCCAAACGTTCCCCTCCCTCTGCCTACAACTACTGCCCCCGCCTCCGACGCTGTTCTCAACTAACCCGTTTCCATCGGCGACCTCCTTGCCGATTGACCCACCGGGGCCAGATCATCACGCAATGGTAAGCAATGCGATCCGTTCGAAAATTGAGCAGTGGCAGCGCGACCAGCTGTCCGCCGAGTCGGCCAACAGCTCGCTGCCTGGAAAGTCCAGCCTCGGGATGGATTCGGGAACAATCCAAAGAAACGCGCAGCAGCACGAGGAAATGAGTCTGCGGCACCTTGAGCTCGCATTCAAGCATTGGGTGTCGCTTCCACATGAGGCGCGGAGAGAAGCCTGGCAGCTTGAGATTCTGCGCGCATTCGCACGTGAGTCTGATAAGCGCAAGTCCCTCGACGACCAGCTGGCTCGCGTCCAGCAAGAGGCCAACCAGTTGCGATCCCAGGTTGAGAAACTTGGTTCGTGTCAGTGGCCGCGAGAGTTCGCCCTCTTCCCTCCGGAAACACTGCCCTTGCCGCGCGACGCCGCCCGGGAGCTCGATGCCAAGGAGAGCCAGGTCAGCCCGAGCTCCGCGCGTTGGGACTACGAAAATGTGGTTGCAAAGTGGAAGCGGGTGGTCATGCACGACCGAACTATGGGCCGAGTGGGCGCTGCCGCCAGTCCTCTACCAGACGACTCTGTCAGCGCCAACAGCGCAGACGCCAGACCAAGAGCCATGCAGCCGCCCCCAGCATCTACGCACAGCCCAAGCGCCGGACCTTCGCCAGGCCAGCATCCCCCTTCGCCATATCCGTCTCACGAGAGCCCGAACTCGGGTCCGCAGGCCAAACGCCAGCGTCTCATGAACGGCCGCCATGCCAACGCCCCCAATGAGCCATCTGCAGGCCCAGCAACACAGGGTGGCCCTGTCTCATCTACCTGGAATCCGAACCCGCAGCCGCAACAGCATGGACCATCGACGCTTTCGAATCCTCCCCCGGAGTCTCCATCTTCAGCTGGTTGACATTGACAAGTCTGACACTACCTGACTGCTCTTTCATATCCATATCCACTTGGAAAGTAAATCCATTCCTTGTATATACTAAATGTACTCCGTACTAGTTAGCCAATTATCATAATCCATCATCAGTTCGTTAATCAATCCCAAGATATTTGTCCTGTGTTATCCTGTGTCATTAACCCTTCACACTCTTCCTCGTCCTCCGCGCACTAATCCACCTCTTCGCATCATTAACGCCATGCAAATAAAGCCACGAGAAGAAAAACACCGCCGCGAAATTAAACCCCACGAATGCCCAGAAAATCCCGTAGTTGCGCCACTTGTGACTGTAGTAGACGTTGAAGTTCGTTGCCTGCCAAACCATATCATATTAGCGTCTCCTTTATAGTACCATAGGGCAAGTAAGGTAGGGTAAGTATGAAGAAAGGAGAAAGGGAGACGTACAAACTGATCCCCATCGCTAAACTGACAATACGCACACATCCCACCCCCAGCATCCCTCACATACCCCGTCGCAGCATCCACAAACGCCCCCGCATACTCCTGACAAGTACTCAAGCCCGGCGGGAGGGAAAAGAAGCTCTCCTCGCGCTCCACGCACTCCATGGGGATATTATGGACGACAACACCCAGCAACCCCTCGAGCAGGTAGTGGAAGGGGGTGAGCCAGTACATCCACGAGCGCCAGAAGGTGGGCAGGGCCATGTAGGGCACGACGACGCCGCAGAAGGCGACGATGAATGTGAAGAAGCAGGGGACTAGCAGGGAGGCGAGGAGCTCGTTTGGCGACAGGGCGGCGATGAATTGCCCGAAGCTTACGTAGAAGAGCTCGAAGACCATTAGGAGCATCCAGACGTAGCCGGAGCTGAAGCTGTCGCGGGGGAACCAGATGCCCCAGTACCTGTATTGTTAGTTAAATAGGGGTTAAGGAGGGTTGGGGGCTTAGACGGACCAGCAGTTGAAGTATATGGAGCCGGCGATGATGGAATACGGCAGCTCAGGCAGGATAGCAGAGGTTACGAATGCGGTCCAGTGGTAGATCTTCGAGTTTGCCTCGCGGGACTCGTAGAGGCCGCGGAAGTGTAGATAGCGAGGCTGCAGCTGTTGGATGAGCGGCGGACAGATGGTGAGGGTCATGAAGACGGAGAAGAGGCGGGATTGCATGTCGATGTAGCTGTTACCCAGGTGCCAGAAGGTAAAGGTGTTGAAGAGGCCGGTGAAGATGTGCAGGGCGAATTTGCCCTATCATATCCTTAGTCTGCAATGTCATAGATGCATGTGGGATAGGGCTTACAATGTTGTATTCAGGCGTCCGCCAGTACGCAACAAACGACCGCTTGGTGACAGCCACTACCTGCGTCCATATGGGCATGGCATACTCGCGGTCATCATCCTTGTTTCGTTCTTTCTCGTTGCTGCGGCGAGACTCGATGGTATGGCTGATTTCGTCCGAGAGCTGCTTGCAGTTCTGCGAGTCGGCCCAGACGTCTCCCCAGTCCTGGCCTCTGTATTCTGGATTGCCGGCGCCGATAACCTCTAGCATGTACTTGGCAATGTCAGCTAGGTAGAGGAATGGGTAGATATGGAGCTACCTCTGCCGGATTGGCATCATCAGGACACTTCTTGCCCCCATTCTGCTCGAAATAGCGAATGAGCTTGGAAGAGTCGGTCCCCAGTTCACCGTTATAGACAGTCCTGCCGCCACTCTGCAGCAGAATCAAATCATCAAACATCTCGAACAGTACAGCAGACGGCTGATGAATGGTGCAGAGGATTGCCTGTCCAGCATCTGCCAGCCGACGAAGGAAACGAACAACTATCATCATTAACTGGAATTCTGAAACCATGATTGAAGTCCACTTACTGTTAAACGCCGCAAGAGAATCCAAACCCGAAGTAGGCTCATCCAGAAACAAAAGCAAAGACGGCTTACTCGCAAGCTCGACCGCAATAGTAAGCCTCTTGCGCTGCTCCTGGTTCAGCCCTACTCCGCCTGATCCTACCGTTGCGCCGGCGATAGGCCTCATTTCCAGTAAGTCGATGATCTTCTCGCAGTAGTCGTATTTCTCCTGGGTCGGGACTTCTTTGGGTTGCCGCAGGAGGGCCGAAAAGCGCAGCGATTCTCGGACTGTGGCAGTTGGCTCGTGGATGTCTTGCTGTTCAGCGAAGCCTGTTGCTCGTTGGAAACTCCGAGGGAGTGGTCTTGCTTGTAAGTACGTAGATATAAGAAGGCAAAGGGTTAGGGCTACTCACTTGCCGTCAACCAGGAAGTCGCCCGTGACAACACCAAAGTCCAGTCGCTGGGCCAGGGCATTGAGAAGAGTTGTTTTACTGTAATTATCAGTCTCACTTGAAATAAATTAATTAGAGAAAAATGACTTACCCAGCCCCGGATGCCCCCACCAGCGCCGTCAGTCGACCAGGACGAACATACCCCTGGACATCTCTCAAAAGCCTCTTCTTCCCACCACTAACAGGAATCGTATAGTTGACGTTCTGGAAAGTAAAGACAGACGTGCTGCGCGCAATACCCTCAACCTTGGTATTACCTTTGTCGTCTTCCATAGTCATATCCGCATTCCCGTTACTCGTCCCATTCACCCCAGACTCAACATCACCATTCGGAACCTCCTTATCTTTATGCTCAACAGCTCTCTCAACGGCCCTCGGTGCCTCGCCCCTCTTAAACACCGTCACCGAACTACCGCCCTTATTCGGCTTCTGCAGCTCCATCCCAACCATCGTCAAGACAACAAAGAACACAAACCACGCAATGATAATACCAAAGTTGCGCCACAGATGCGAGCGAGTATACGTATACGCCGTCTTGATATAGTCCGCCCCCTGCACTGTAAGTTGGTCGGGTGTACTTCCCTGGATAGCGCAGGTTTGGTGGCCGGACTGTGCGCCTGGCCCGTCGGGGACGATGCTAGGCGGTACGCATTGGATGTCGAGGTTGTAGAATTCGTTTGCCATTATGCCTTCGAAGGCGTATTGCACGGGGTTTATCCAGATCAGCCATTTGAGCCACGGGTGCATTTTCCAGGGTGGGATTAGGTAGCCTGTGTAGACGACTAGGGCTTGGATGGCGACGCCGGTTAAACGTGTTGCTATATTGTTAGCAGGTTAAGTAGGCTGAGGTTTAGATGGGAAGGACGTACCGACGTCTAGGGACGCGCTGAGGGATCCGATTGTTCTGAAGAAGGAGTACATGGTCATTGTGAGGATGAAGATGAATAAGAAGTTGATGAAGAACTGGGACGGCGTTCGCTGTAGGTTTGCCATGCTGGTGAAGTTAGCTGGTGTCAGATATAATACTAAGCAACGTACAAGTATACGATCAGCTCGAACAGCGTGACCTGGACGAAGATTATAGGGACATCGCACACCACTTGAGCCACGGCGTATGCGGACGGACGGTAGAACGAGCTGCCTCTATTAGCCTGGAATCGCCTCTATCGTGGAATACTTACAAGGTCTTATGTTTCAGCATGACTGGCCGATGGGTAAAGACGTCTGTGAGTTCAGCGAGAGCGAGCAGGGCGTTGAACAGAAGGACGAAGAACATGACGCCTCCTCGCGTGAAGACACCAGCACTGTATGCATTAGCCGTGCCCTGATATGATATTGACTTACTTACCTCGTTTGCTGCAGATTATAGAACAGACTCCCGATGATGAGGGCCTGGAAGGTGAGAATCCCCCACTTCCCAACAAGAGTCTGTCTGTCTCCGTACATGATCATAAACTGTCGCTCCGTGAGGATGAGGACCTGCTTGTAGAACGGAGCAGTGTAGTTCTTCTTGGGCGCCCTCCTTCTCGCTTCCTCCCGCTCTTCCTCTTGGGCCTTGACCTCATTCTCAAAGTCCTCTATATCACTCAGATTCTGCTTATAAGCCGGACTGCCACGGTACGCCTGCTGAAAGTCCTCCGCAGAGCGAGGGATGCGGTCTTCCCAGCCCTTCCTCACCCTGCGCGCATTCGGATCACTAACAGAGGTCAAGAAATCCGGTGTTGTCCATCGAGGCGGACACTCAAAGCCCAGTCCCTCAAAGTAAGCCCTTGCATGCTCTGTGCGGCCAAAATACGCACACCTCCCGTCCTCGATCAGCACGACTTTATCAAACTGCTTATACAGGTTTTCCGACGCCTGGTACAAGGCTACTAGGGTAGATGCATGCGCCATGTTCGTCAGACTCCGCAGACTCTGCACGTACTCGGAGGCTGTACTCGCATCGAGGCCCTTGGTTGAATTATCCCAGCACTGCGTGCTCGCCTTTGTGACGAGTGCTTCGCCGATGGACACGCGCTTCTTCTCGCCCCCCGAGACGCCGCGCACGATCTCGCCGCCGACTTTCGTCCCGAGACAGTGCTCGATCCAGAACAGTTTGGCGATGGTGGAGAGGAAGGTCTCTTGGTACTCTTTGGGGGATTCGCCGGGGAGACGCGAGGCTTTGTCGGGCGTGCGGGTTTTGAGCGCGAACATTAGGGTTTGCCGGACTGTGAGGGTTGCGTAGTGCAGGTCTTCTTCTGGGTTGTAGAGGACTGTTTCGTTAGTATAGAGTATTGGAATGGGGTATATAAGTGTATTTACCCTCGGAGCGGTATCTGTCTTCCATGGTGTTTGCGGATGTCCCGCCATACGAGATATCCCCTTGGACGCTTTTATATCCGGATCTCTGATTCCCAATCGTCTTTAGGAACGTCGAGCACCCTGAGCCTGGTCTGCCCAGGACCAGGAGCATCTCTCCTGGTCTCACGCACCCCTTATCCGTTAGCAGCAGCAACACTGCAACACTGCACAAGACATACCGTGAAATCATCCAAAATCGTCCTCAACGGTGCACCACCACCCCTCCCCTTCGTAAACACCCTCCTTATCAACCTCGGGAGTCCCAGAAAGATATCCGTATTCGTCGGCTGCAGCGCCGCCCCAAGCCCAACACCCTTGACGGTCAAGTTCCTCCACACAACACCAACATGGCGCGTCTGCTCCTCGTCGGAATTAGCCTTCCGGTCATGTCCGAACATGCGCGAGACCAGGCGCACGATCTGGTCCGCCTCGTCGGACGACTCTTTGTACGTGGAGCTCGTGGTCCGGTGCGCTAGGGCGGTTGAGATTTCATCTTGGGTGAGTGGTCGGCCTGCCGCTGTGCTCTGGCGGGTGAGGTTTGGTGTCGTCGAGTCATTGCGAGGACACTCGTTTGTCCGGATAGGTGCGAATGTTTCGGGTGAGTTGGTGTTGGTGTTGGTGTTGGTATTTGTGGATGGGATGGATGCGGTTTCCGATGTGCCGGCGGACTCCGCGGGGGAAGGAGGTTGGCCAGAGAGGGAGTTCCTGAATGGATCGTGATAGGCGCTCTGTTCCATGGCTGTTGGATAGGGTTATGTGGTGTGTAGAAGTCTACATGGGGTGTGGTTGTGGACGGGGCAGGCTTGATATATTGGATTGACTATGATATCAACGACACTTAACTCCGGACTGACTCGATCGTAATCATAAGTAACAAGCTGATTCCGATCGGACTCGGACAACTTGAGATCCGACATCGATGGACGGAGATGAGTTGCTTCCGGGTGCGTTCATCATGAAGTCATCGCCAGATCAGGAGATATAATAATATAATTACACAATACTCGATCGGGAATTGAATGGTATTATGGCATGATTCATGTTGCAACTGTGGTGATGCAATTATTTCATGTATAAGACAGCAGGATATTCTCTGTATACTCAAGTCGAGGCCGTCTATACGTTCATATATTTATGCATTTATGAACGCATTATGACAAGCCCTAGGTCAATCACCATGACCATTTAAATCCCAATGACGTATACAATTCGTCTGACAGTGCCTTGATGGATCCTATACTCTGGTCCATGAATAGTTCTGCCTGTTTATTAACAGAACTCCCATTAGCCTGGGGCCAAACAGCCCAACAAGGCACACCGAGGCTGCAACATTTTGGCTATCTTGGCTGCACATTGGCCATGAGTTGGCAGATTTCTTCAAGGACTACATTGAAGCCCTAGTCACTGCCATAACACTGCCTGAATCCAAAGCTCATCGACATCCCCGTCAGCTGCAGGTCCCGCCTGAGCGACCTGACGCCGATCGCCCAGAGCGTGAACTGATCTGACAGCCAAGCAGAACAATGTCGATCTGGTTGGATTTTACCTTTTTTGGGCACCAGATCGTTTGTGGCTCCACCGTCCAGTGGGGTCGGACCGCTTGCTGGAACGTACTTGTGGTGTGGAATATGTTAACAGTTGAGGGTATATTGAAATCTACCAAGGAATATCATCCACCGTCGCCATGCGTCTATCCTCGCCATGCGCCTCGACAAAGCTCACAATATCCCCCAACGCCTCCCTAGGCACATCGCCGTCCGCATAATCCTCCTCCTGGAACCCATAGATAATCCCATCCACCCCCGCCCACCCCAGCATCATGTCCACCCTCTCCGTATCCCCCGCCGTACTCGTCCACCCCATCACAAGCCCTAGCTGGCCCTGATTCCTCCCATCCCGCCCATGCCTCAACCCAGAGCAGGTGTAATACTCCAGCTCATGGCAGCTCCCAAACTCGTACTCCAGCTGCGGCCACCCGTAGTCCATAATCCGCTGCAACGGGTCGAGATCCGTGAACTCTTCGTAAAGCATCATAACTTCCCCGGCGTCCCCGCTTAAACACAGCGCCTCGTTCGCATTCACCGTCTCGCTCATCACTTCAAAGCCCCGACTGTCTTCTGTCTGGTAGAACCCATACAGCGCCCTAACGCCCACCGGCTCGAGTGTACTCCGTACAAGATCCCGTAATGCTTCAATCGAGCACTCGCTCTCCTCATCCTCGCAATAGTCCGGGTTCTTGATATCCAGCCACACGAAGATGATGTTCTGGCCGTGCGCGCGCTCGTTCGCGATGAAGCTGAAGAGTTCGTGCGCCGTTGCGCCGGCGCTGTCGGCTGTTCCGGTGTGGTCGGCCCACCACCCTGAGTCCCAGGCTGTGAGGTCGACTTCGAGGGCGTTGGCGCCGTGGGAGAGTGCGGCTGTTACGGCGGATGGGCGCAGGACGCGGTGGGCGATTGCGTAGGTGGGTTGTTGGGGGGTTTGGGGGGCTGGGGGGAGGGGAGGGGAGAGGAGGCCTGTTGTGTAGAGGAGGTGGTGGAGGAAGGTAGATAGGGAGGGCATGTCATCAGTTGAATGTAAACATCAGTGGATTGAATATGAATGGGGTAAATGTAAATCGAAGGCCGTGACTCGTTAGAATGTTAAGAATGTTAAGATATGCAGGCAGGATACTGAAGAAATCCAGGACAGCAGCAATATATAAGTTACCCTCAAGCGCTTACGAACTGCTCCCCAGATCTAGTAGTCTACGTACGCGGACCAGACTAAATATTAAATACAAGGCTTGCGAGTGCACTGCCGATATTTCCGACTACGCCTGGCTGTATTTCCGATTCTGCAACGGAGGCCCCGCTAAGAGTAGTGCACGCAGAACACCGTCTAATAATGCCTTAAGTCCGGACATCTGGCTTCCGAGGAGATACAGAGTAAAAAGTATGTGCTAAAATGCAACGAGTCAGGGCGCCAACAGCTCTGCGCTGGATGGCAGTGTCCAGTTATTTAGGGCTCTTTAGGCACCCAGTTATCGCAAGCCCACTGCGACGTCGCTTACAAAGTATCGAATGGGAGGCGCTAACAGGGTTCGTTGAGCATAAGCCTGTTGCATTTGGGCCTGATAAGACTGTGCACGGCCAGTATTCTGCTATTCTATTTGCCATTTGTTATTTGGCGCCTGGACTGATCTTGTACTGATAGTGGAGAGAATGGGTGGAGCTGTTGACGAACAGACCAAGAGACAAGACAAGGTTTCAGGAACTGGACCTGACAATCCATAATAGCGGTCAGTTAAATGAAGAGTTAAAAAAGTGAATATTAAGAACTGAAGAGTGAAAAAGATCTGCCTGGAGGTGGAATAAGAAATCTCACGGTCGGAGGGGCCAGCCACAGTGTTGTGGATGCACCGTGGTTCGCCCCCCGCAAGGTGGTCCCATCTTTAGGGCTCCTTCGTGGACTTGCGAGGCGAATAATGAACAGTTATATCGACTCGCAGCCCTTGGCACATGACGCCACCTCTGAGGCGTCAGATCAAACCAGGCCAGTGGGTTGGGAGATGCTGCTGTCGGTGGATGCAACCCTAACTGGGCAAGTTGCACGTGCTCTAACAAAAATCTATCAAATGATAGAGATATTTTCTGATCCTCTTAATTAAATGCTATTCTGATGTCAGTCCAGTCAATTCTTTCTGCCTGATATCAGGATCACGACACAGCCAGCCTCGCATTCGCACAGGAGAGATACCTCGTATTTGGCAGCAATGATGCCGTTGAGTAGTTCCGCAGGAGGGGCTGAAGGATGGGGCCGGAAGTCAGTCTGGTTGAGGTTGATTGCTGGTGCCTATATATGTACTTTATCCTGTCGGTTACAATATACACATTCATACTCTGTACAGACAAAGACCCGGCTGTGGGGTTGGGGGCCAAGGACCATGATACATGGTCAGTACTCTAGTTACAGGATACAGCGCAGTAATAAGATGGGGTTTTAATCTTGGCGGCCAGGGCTGAGGCGAGGCTATAGCAACGCCTTCATTTTGCACGATTGGACAGGAGTTCTGCAATAGGACCAAGCAATGCCATCGTGGCAAGATTGATGGCTTCTGTCATCGCCAGATCTTACAATCCTGGGTCGGGGCAAAATACTGGCGCCGTTTTGTTCATGTCTGCCATCCAAAGCAAGCCTAACTTGAAAACAATAATCAGGCCACTTGGGCTGGTCAAGGAAAGTCAGCCCCCATCCGGGGAGTCGCTTTTCCGGCCATTTCTTGCATACTTAGTGATAGTCCTGTCAGATCTCTTTCAAGGAGTACTGATGCGTTGAGACAAAGTTATAGAACTTTTGGTAACCCCCCCCCCAATTAGCCGGAACTCGCCCATCGTAACCATCTTGGTCTGACCCGTCAAGCGACCAGCCTGGATCGATCACCCAAAGTCACGGGTAGTAGCCTTCGGGGTATGAGTCTCGGCATTCGGGCGTTACAAAGAGGAAGACAGGTTGAAGGATGCCAGATTTAAGGCCTCCTTGATCCCGAATGGTCCGGAAGTCCCTTGGCAAGTCAGCCTTCTGATTATTGACATTGAATAGTTAGTACTTACTGGCGTAGACGCCCGATATCATCCTCACGGCCGTCAAATTTAATAAACTCTGTGTGCTTAGAATCCCGAATTTCCTCATTCCCGAATTCCACCAAGGGTAGGTCGTCGACTATTCGATGGAATTGTTGATGAAAATAGTTCCATTCCGGCGAACCATCCAGGAATGAACAGTAGATTCGAAATCCCCAGGTCTTGTCACCACCTTGGTCTATTATCCTCTGGACAAGCCAAGCACACTACTTCATTTTGGGAGCCAAGAGGGTGAGTCTATAGATGAACAGTAGGTAATGGAAATGAATTTATGCAACGGTGTAGGAAAGAGGACGAATTTGAGCGTTTCTTAGAAGCTGATTTCAAAGCTGTTTTTAGCGCCTTGCAGACTTGCTTTGTGGTGACCACTCCATGAATATTGACCTTCGTTATTGCTGGTTGAAAACGTTAGCATTGCTAGAATATAACAAACCAATAGCTACTACCTACCATCGGCCAGCCAAAGCCCGTCCCAGACGTTGAAAGCGGAAGGCCTTCGATGCCTTCCTGAGTAAGATTCCAGTTTGTGAGGACTGACGCATCAAAAACGGGAAATTGGACATGGAAATCGGCCATGTTTGCCAATATTTCTGGTGCAATTATATAATATCCCCGTCAGAACGTTGATAGCGGGAAACACGGGCTTTTCATGACTCACCTTCCTGGGAGTAATCAGTATGCTCATTTGGACGTGAAAGCTGTTCAAGTGACGACAGGTCTTCTGAATGCTTTGAACAAGAGGTATTGCGAGTCCCCAAAACTACGCTCAAAGCTTTCGCAGCCTTACGTGCCTCGTTGGAAGAGCTGCTAGAGCAATGCCAAATATCATATGTCTTTTCAAGACAGGTCCAGATGGTTTCCACCAGCGAAGGATCATCTGCTTCGTCTTGAGAACTGCGGGCCTGCTGCAAGTAAGAACAGAGAACGCTCGTGGCTAATAGAAAGTCGTGGTTGACCAGAGACGACACTCTCCACCGCTCCTGATACAGCCGGCAAAACGGCTGAGTCTCTTCTTGGAGCACATGCTGATGTTCAAGAAGCTTGAGCGCCGCATCTATACATTCCTGTTGCGAGTGACTAGGTCGACTTTTGATCTGGGAGTTGTGAAGATACCCCTGATGCAGCATAATTCTTGCACGGTGGAACATGATCTCTAGGAACACCTTTTGCATGATAATCTGGGGGGAGTCCATGATACAGTGGGCCATTGAACGCCACTGGAGACATAAAGGGATAGATCTATGCGTGTCATGAAGCATGCTATTCATCTTCATAATTTCCGCATAGGTATAGGGCCTGGAAGTGTCTGTTGAAAAGTCCCATATAATACCAATTACTGTCACCATCCGGGCCTTAACCAGACGGTATAGCATAGGCGTGATCTCGGTTTCCAGTCGTGCACAAGGCATTTTGGTGGTGGCCTGATTAAAGTCGTTGTCATAAAGATTGAGAGGTTCTCCAGTGTCAGTTTGCCAATGCTTAATTAGCCGAGGAAGACCCATCTGGGTAGAGATTCCTAGGTCCAGCTCAACTACAGTAGTCCATACGCGTTTGCGCATTTCAGCTGCGAAGGGGGAGATCTTGAAGTGTTTCGGATCTCTGTGATAGCCCATATGCATTGCCAGCTGGACAATAGTACCTGGGAAGAATCCACAGTCAATTTTAGTCTCACAGCAAATAGATAATAAGGGGGAAATACCTAAGAGAATCCAAATGCCAATTTCGGCATCACTGCGAAGGAATAGCTCAACAGCAATGTAGAGCATGAGTGTCTCCAGAACATACGGACCACCCTTGGCATAATCTCCGTGGATAAGGCATTGTACGATCTTTTCTCTAAACGTTTCAACCATCCGTTGGAGATCACGCTCTGCCGATGGGTCCATGGTCGAGGATTCAAAGGTGGGATCCAACCTGAATTTCTGGAACTGCGTTGCCAGACACATGATTGTATATAGGAGCCCAAGCCATATGACGGGTACTTTTGAGGGATCATTCCATAACTCTTCATACTGTTGAGCGTGTCAGTGGTAAAACAATGTACTGTTTGGGGAAGCCTAAAAATACCTCTTTCAGGAACTGGGCGCTATTCAATACGGCTGGGGTATGACAATAAGCAAAAAGTCCTTCCTACTCTCCAAGTAGGCCTACTTACCTGGGGACATGTCGAACGAGTTAAAGTAACGCGAAACTAGCCGATCAACCACTGTTCGGGCTGGAAGGGCCGCAAGAAGTTCTTCTTTAGAGGCCAATTTCGCACAGCCGTAGAGGAGCTGGGGACCGGTCCTTTGGGGTATAAATGTCTCATCATCTGGTAGATGGTAGCGAGCTTGCATTTCCTCCTGCTCAAAATGGTCTCTGAGGTCGGCAATCTTGTCGAGGATAGCGGCCCAGTGCGCGTTGTTGACATAGTTCGTGCCAGATCCTGTGAAATGCAAACTACCTCCATCAGATGCAGACAGAGAAGGAGTTTCAGGCATATCTATATTTGCGTCTGAAGAGACAGGAGTCGCATGGTCCGTATTAGGATGCAGAGAGAAAGACTCCAGAGTTCCTGGCGTGTCAGAATTCCAGCGTTCCTGGCAGCCACTGTTGTCTGCTGATGTCTTTTGCATCAGCTCAACGACTAGGCTCTCTAGTTGCTGAATCCGCTCCTGAACTGTTGGCTGACGCTGTACACCACCCGGGGGTCTTGAGACATAGGTACAGGAAGGGCCGAGCCCTCGATGAGAACAGCTCCCACAGGGTTGTTGTCGGTCACATCGAAGCCTTATTCCACTGAGCAAGAAAATTATTTTAGGTGTGAAACCAGACTTACTTCCTCTGCCTGCAGAGACTGCAAGACAGCTGTGGTCGGTCTCGACGCCTACTCTCAGGAAGGCGTGCTCTGCCACGCGCCGTTTTGCCCGGTCCCCATTCGAGAAATCGAGGTTGACTATAATCCGACATTATGAGAGATTGAACTGAATTTGGACTGGCAGCAGCTAATCTTTTATGACAAAGGAAAAGGAATTTGATGATATTCGCCGTTTCCAAATGGAACGATCGCGGACCAATTCAAGTGGGTGGGGAGTTCTCTTGGGCCAGGGTCATCATGATCAGGATCAGCCAACGTGTCCAACAGGGAGACCAAGTCCTGAGGTGTCTTTGGCAGCCTGTTCGCAACCCTGCTCGATCGTGGCTCATTGTATGACGTGAGACGGTGTTGATGTTGGTATCAGTGATCGATTAAATACCGACTAGTAACCACGGCTGTAATAAAACATGTCCGGTGCTCCGCCCCGATGCTCCGCTCCGATCTTCCGCTCCGCCTCGAGTATACCCACGAGTAAACACAGGTGTACATTGTAGTAAACTCCGCTCCGCCCCGTTATGACAAGAACAACACCATCTGTTCCGTTATAATTCTGCTTTACCAAGAATGCCTTCGCTCGCTTTCACTTTCCATACCGGCTTTTATGTTGGTTACAACTCTCGACCATCGACTGCACCTCACGATGCCCGCACCAGACCGGCCCCTTGAGCAACAGCATGATACCACTGGAGATTTCGACGCAAATGCTAATGATTTTATGCCTGTAGAGGAGATAATGCCCACCAACACTATGGGCTGGGACGGCCCCAATGACCCTTCAAACCCCCTGAATTGGTCTCCCTTCAACAGGAACTTGCATGTGGTCGTTGTGAGCCTTTTTACACTAGTAGCGTTAGTAGTATTCCCTGGCTCGTTATTATTTGTCTCTTCTTATTTCTTCTCCTTGGCACCGACTACTGTACTTCAGCTAACCTTTCTATAACAGCAATCTGGCCGCTACCATGTTCGCCCCCGGTGCAGAACAGCTTGCTGCAGAGTTTCACATCATGAACGAAACTGTCATAGCCATGACTGTGAGCCTTTATGTACTCGGTTTTGCATTGGGTCCTCTTCTTCTTGCACCTCTCTCAGAACTATATGGCCGCCTCCCACTGTATTGTATATCCAACATTGTGTATTTTGCGTTCACGGCAGGCTGTGCTTTTAGTACGAGCATCTCTATGTTTCTTGCCTTTCGATTTTTTGCTGGGTGTGCTGCCTCCGGCCCAATGAGTATTGGTGGCGGCACAGTGACAGACGTTACGCCACCGGCGCAACGAGGAAAAGCAATGGCATTGTTTACCATGGGCCCAATTCTAGGACCTGTATGTCAAACCTTCCTTCAGCATTATTTCCTTTTCTCTCTCTTACTGACGCTAAATTCAGGTTTTGGGCCCTATTGTCGGAGGATTCGTGTCTGAATACGCGGGCTGGCGCTGGACCCTTCGTATAATTTTAATAATGGTGGGGTTTCCTCTCTGTTATCATCTTGTGTGAAAGCGAAATATTCGTATTCTGATCGTCTATCTCAAGTCCGGGGTCATTGGGGCGGTGACTGTAGTCTTCATGAAGGAGACAAATGCAACTGTTCTGCTCAAACAGAAGGCTGAGGGTTTGCGAAAAGAGGCTGGAAATGCCAGTACTACTGCTCAAGTCCCGAGAAACGAATCGCCTGGCCAGATGCTTCTTCAAGCTCTAATTCGGCCCGTCAAGCTGCTGATACTTTCACCTATCGTCCTGCTGGTCTCATTATATACAGGACTAATGTTCGGCCTTATCTTTCTACTGTTCACAACGTTTCCGTCAGTCTTCCAGGGAGTCTATGGTTTCAGCCCTGGACCCGCCGGGCTGGCCTACCTCGGACTTGGCATCGGCATGTTACTAGGGCTTATCCTATTTTCGATCCTGAGTGACAAACTTCTAGGCCAGGGGCAGGGATGCGTCGTACGCAAGCCAGAACAGCGCCTTATTTTGATGAAATGGCTAGGTCCTGTCACACCGCTAGGCTGTTTTATATATGGCTGGACTGCATACTATCATGCTCACTGGATAGTGCCTATTCTGGGGACCTTCATCATTGGGTTCGGCGCGCTGTTTGTTGTCATTCCCGGTCAGGTATATCTGGTCGACGCCTACGGAGCCCAGGCAGCTGCTTCTGCTCTTGCGGCAAACTTACTCGTCCGCTCTCCCTTTGGTGCGTTTTTGGACCTCGCGGCTGATCCGCTTTACAGTAAGCTTGGTCTGGGTTGGGGAAACAGCGTACTGGGATTCATTACTTTGGCTTTCACCCCTGTGCCGTGGTTGTTCTACCGCTACGGCGAGACTTTGAGGACTCGTTTTGCGGTCGATTTGTAGACATTCTCATCTTGAACCGTGCCAGCTTGCATTATATATTGTGATGTTTGGTTTGGTTTCTTTGTATTTGCAGTTAAAGAGGATGTCAATTTATCATAGCATCGTGGGATATGGATAGTCAAATTGTCACAAGAATTATAATACAGGTGCTGCATTGCTCCAAACCCATTATTAAAACACCCACAAGGCCCAAGCTTAACCAAAGCTGATGTCCTTTATAGATCTGTATTTGTGTAATGTGTATGGTACGGTATTTTAATGCGAAGGCTGGGAACACGTGACAGGGACGGCCCCGCTCAACTAGCGCACAGCTTAAGCCGCGATCGGCCAATCAGCGGCCGAGACCTCGTCTACCAGCCACCCCGCCAGCACAAAATAACAAGAAGGCTGGGCTGCTGCCACGTCTGCTCCCCTTAACTTCGCATTCTTTCGCTGCTTCTTTTCTGTTTCTCCTCCCTTGTTGTATCTCTCCTGTCCATCCCTTGACACTCATATCGTTATCTGGGGTGTCCTCGACCGAGGACTACTCCTTTATAGTATCACTATCTTTTTAGCTATATCTTAGCTCCACCAGAGGTGACCCTCTCCAACCCATCCACCATGGAGCGGAACATGACCATCGCGGTCATTTTGATCGTGTTCTTCATTATCCTTATCATCGTCGCTATCCTCATTTGGGCCCACCAGCACCAGGTTTCGTTCTTTGCGAGGAGAAAGCCTGTTGATGAGGAGAGCACCGAGGGTTAAGCTCGAGGACTCGACTTGAATTCCATCGGGTATATATACTGCTATGATATGACTACGACTACGATACTTTCTTGCTACTTTTCGCTATCCCCTTCGACTCTTCATCCGCGGTACATACATACATACATACCGACGCATATCTTATCTTTATCGCTATGATGTTACGCCTATCATTCTACCTATACCATACCACACTTGCATCTACCACTACCAAGGCAGTAGTGGACGACGAAACAAAGCGATTGACCGATCGCTGGGCTTTTATGATGAGAGCCCTTTCCTCCCAATCCTCTTTATGATACCGATTCTACCTACGATCCAACACCTTCCTCCGCACCATACTTTCATCGCGAGTATGGTTCGACCGATCCGACCCATTCCCTTCCATTACCTTGGCCAATGTTTGACTGTGCACGCATATTATGGCCTGCTCTGCTCTTTCGGCTGGAACTGGAATTGGATGGAGACAATTAAGCATTTATTGCATTGTGCTGCATTGCATTGCATATAATTGAGAATATGCCGCTACCTTATCTATTCTTTTCACGGCGTTGTATATGGCGTATGACTGTTCTAACGAAATTTCCTGTGACTACTTTACTTACGAATGTCCGAAAAGATGTAAAATACGAATTGAGATGAATTTGCATTGCATTGGATTGTATTACTTAAATGGTTTATCGTATGACTGTCGTAGGATATGATACAACGGATTGGTCAGGAATATATATCAAATCTAAAACATCTGAGATTCACATCTACCCCAGAATCTTCAATCCGCCCTTTGTCTTGCCGGGCTTTTTCACTCCGTCGTTCCTCACTTTTGAGCCCTGGTTACCACCCGAGCCGCCTCCCTTCCCACCATGTTTCCTGTTATTGTTCTTGGTAGACACCGGTTTGACCTCGGTGGTCGCGCGGCGGAGAAGAATGGGGTGCGACCCGATATATTTGCCCTGCATTTCCCTCGCGGCCTTGAAATAGTCGTCGCCGTCGGCGAAACTCACGAATCCGTAGCCCTTGCTCTTCTGCGTGCGTTTGTCGCGGATCACACGCGCCTTCTGGACAGATGTATATTTCGCGAACGCTTTCAGCAGCGAGTCATCGGTAACCTCGCCTGCAAGGTTGCCGACAAACAGTCGGAAATGCGCGGGGTCCCATTCCAGAAGCGTTGAGTCACTCCAGGATTGGCCACCGCCGGACCGCGCAACAGTCTTTTGCGGCTCAGGTCCGACGACGGGGGCGGGTGTGTTGGAGGCTGGCGTGTTGCCAGAGGAGGTATAAACGGTTGGGGCTAAGCCGGGAGTGCCAGCTCCCTCCCGACGGATTGGGGCCTTGTTAGCCGCAGCCATTTCATCCTTGGGGTTGGCGTAGGCGCTTTGCCATTGCGCAATTTGTGCTTCTGTTTCGGGGTCGAGGCCGGAACCTCGGCCTCGGTTTGACTGGTCATTGCCGGACGGCGCAAAAGGGTTTTGGATATGAGGCACGGTCGGGCCGTAGGTAGGGGTGTTGTTGTACTGTGCTGAGCCATAATATGATGGCGCCGCTTGGTACGACGGTTCCGGCTGCGAGTAGTAGGTGCCGTAGCCGGGTGTGGCAGGGGTTGAATAGCCGCTTTGCGTCGTCGGCGGAGCCGAAACGACCGGACTGCTGGTGCGGTATGGTTGTTGGGACGCTACGGCACGAGGTGCAAATGCTGTCGCAGCGCTGAAGCTGGGTCGTGCGGTGTTCCCGCCATGCTGTGAATTTGTGTTTGCGGATTGAGGTGGTCGCGGAGGGAGCGACGAAGGCTGGTGACCTGGAGGCGGGGGGTAGGACATGATGAACGGATAGTTCGAAGAAGATGGGGGCGATGGATGATGAGTGTCGCGTGCAGACACGTACCTTCAGGGCTTGACTGACGCAACAGTCATACGCCAGACGTCACGCCTGAGAAAGGTTTAACAGCGATTAAGGCTGAGAATGAGTTGTTGAGGTTTTGGGTAAAGGTGATCAGGAGGCAATTCTGCGGTAGCCAAGGAGCAACAAGGTTTTGCTGGTGCTTTGGATGGAACAGTCCGCGGACTTGGAAACCGATCGGGCTGCAGGGTTGGCTGTTGAGTTGGAGAGGCCTGGACTGATCTCGATACGATGAAAAAGCGCAGCCGGCTTTGTCGGCCACCGTAAAGTTTTGCGCTGCCACGTGACCGCATTCAAGCCACGAGCCTGACTAATCCGGTTCAGTCCGGAACAGGAATAGTGCGGGATGCAATGTAACCCCCACTCTAAACCCCTTTGGGAAATCCAGTAGCCGGCCTTCAGACTGCGGTTAATGAGCGGACGTGGGATTTCTTCATCCAACTGCACCCCTACAGAGTCGGAAACCGCTAGGGTTTATCTCCGCTGCGGACGACAGTCCGACTCGCAGAAAGTTGCCTTTTCCGCTGGCTCAGTCGGCTCAACTGCTAGTCTCAGGTCCCGTACAGAGACTGAGTCTACGGAAGTTCGGATGTCGATGAGATCATAGCTACGAATATATAGATGCATCAAGTGGGAGATGAGGGAGGTCTGATGAAAGTCCGGAGTCGGGCAGTTCAAGTCCAGAAAAGCTGTCAAACATTCTGAGCTGCAGCCCGACGGTCCTTGGCCATTCATAATTTATCCGGCCGGCCCTTCACCGAACGCGTTCTGGGAATAAATTTCTTGGGTCATATCGCAGCCAGAGCCCCTCCATCTGCCCCGCCATCGCAGACATCATTTCTCCTGCACGCTTCCCTGCAGGCTCTGTTGCTGCCGCTGCGTCTGCCATTGCAACACAGACAGCTTCACGGGCGTTGTAATTGTAAAGTAGTCCGCCGTCCGGTCAATTGCGCTGCTATATTTGTAAATCTGGATAGTAAATGCCTCAAGCCCGCGTAGACAGCAAAGCCGGACTACTCTGCTCCTCGTTCTCATTGCAGCCCCGCCCCAACTCGTCCCACCATGACGGAAGAGTTGCTCCGTCAGCAGTCCATCCGGACACAGCAACATCCATTATCATCGTCGGCCTTCGCTCCTTTTCCTTCTTTTTCCCTCTTCACATCGAATTCCGTACTTTGACTCTTCCTCTTCAGGCAGCGCTTCTGCAGTGCTTATATACCTGACTCCCCGCTTTCGGTGTTCTCTCTCTTCTACTCCCAGTCAATTTTCTCCATCCACATCATTCATCATGACGTCGACCGCAGTGTAAGTTCCCATCGCCTGTCTATCTAGCCATCCCCAGCAACATCTTCCCGCCACTCGCGGACGGCTTCAGAAGCATTGCGTCGAAATGCGGCGCCCTTTGCAGTGCTCTCACTGAATTGGGCTCGCGGAACATTTTGTCGTAGAGCTCTGGAAGCTGTCAGGCATAATCTGCCCCGCGACAGCCATGCCCCCAACCGCCGTACTTTCGCACCACTTCTACGTTTTTTGTTCATCAATTTATCCATTGACATGAATTCATAACTGACATTTAGCGCCCGTCTGGCCGGCATCGCTGCTGGCTTCTCGGCGCGAACTACTGCTAGTGCTGATTTCGGTCTCATCGGTCTGGCCGTCATGGGCCAGAACCTGATCCTCAACGCTGCTGATCACGGTTTCACTGTCTGCGCCTACAACCGTACCACCTCCAAGGTCGACCGCTTCCTTGACAATGAGGCCAAGGGTGAGTTTTCATGAGTTCCACGAATCCCGGGGGTTCCGAAAAGTTTGCCAGAAGGGCGTTGGCTGATTGAACCACTCCAGGCAAGTCTATCGTCGGTGCTCACTCCGTCGAGGAGTTCTGCTCCAAGCTCAAGCGCCCTCGCCGCATCATGCTCCTCGTCATGGCTGGAAAGCCCGTTGACCAGTTCATCGAGTCTCTTCTGCCTTTCCTTGAGAAGGGTGATATCATCATTGACGGCGGTAACTCCCACTACCCCGACAGCAACCGCCGCACCAACTACCTGAAGGAGAAGGGCATCAGCTTCGTCGGCAGCGGTGTCTCTGGTGGTGAGGAGGGTGCCCGCTACGGTCCCTCTCTCATGCCCGGTGGTAACCCTGACGCCTGGCCTCACATTAAGGACATCTTCCAGAGCATTGCCGCCAAGAGCGATGGCGAGCCCTGCTGCGACTGGGTTGGTGATGAGGGTGCTGGTCACTACGTCAAGATGGTCCACAACGGTATCGAATATGGTGACATGCAGCTCATCTGCGAGGTAAGACTTGTTCTAATGTCAATATCTTAAAGTGCCATGGTTAACACGCGATTTCTACAGGCCTACGACATCCTGAAGCGCGGTCTCGGTCTATCCTCAAAGGAAATCGCCGATGTTTTCGCCAAGTGGAACAAGGGCGTTCTGGACTCTTTCCTCATTGAGATCACCCGTGACATCCTGTATTACAACGACGAGGACGGTGTCCCCATGGTCGAGAAGATCCTCGACAAGGCTGGCCAGAAGGGTACCGGCAAGTGGACCGCCATCAACGCTCTCGACCTCGGCATGCCCGTCACCCTGATCGGCGAGGCTGTCTTCTCTCGCTGCCTCTCTGCCCTGAAGAACGAGCGTGTCCGTGCCAGCAAGCTTCTCAGTGGCCCCACCCCCGAATTCTCTGGCAACAAGGAAGAGTTCATTGCCGACCTTGAGCAGGCTCTGTACGCCTCCAAGATCATCTCCTACGCTCAGGGATTCATGCTCATCCAGAACGTAAGACTAATCCTAACCCGATGCAAAATATATTGTGGTAGTTATTAACAATTTGAAATACAGGCCGCCAAGGAGTACGGCTGGGAGCTCAACAAGCCCGCCATTGCCCTCATGTGGCGCGGTGGTTGCATTATCCGCTCCGTCTTCCTGAAGGACATCACCGAGGCCTACCGCAACGACCCCGATCTCGAGAACCTCCTCTTCAACGACTTCTTCAACAAGGCCATCCACAACGCCCAGAAGGGCTGGAGAAGCGTTGTCAGCAAGGGTGCCCTCTGGGGTATCCCCACTCCCGCCTTCAGCACCGCCCTCAGCTTCTACGACGGCTACCGCGCCGAGACTCTGCCCGCCAACCTGCTGCAGGCCCAGCGTGACTACTTCGGTGCCCACACCTTCCGCATCAACCCCAAGTTCGCTAGCGAGAAGCACCCCGAGGACAAGGACATCCACGTCAACTGGACCGGACGTGGCGGTGACGTGTCTGCCTCGACCTACGTTGCTTAATTTGGGACTTTGAAACACTGCGCTGGACGTGAAGCTTTTCTGGACCGAAGATAGTCAATAGGACCAGACAAAATGGGAGTTTTGCAGCTCTCTAAAGACATAGAATGATAATGCCCGATTTCAAAGAAAAAAAATGTATGAGGCCCGCTGTATAGGTCGTTATGAATATATTATTTGAGACATCCATTTCCTGTAGAATACCCCGTATATTGTACTCCGTAAGGGTAGTTCCAGTTATCAATCAGTTCCCAGTACTGATAAAGCTGTTGTTAGCACTTAGGTGGTTAAGATATATATCTACAATAAGGTACTTGTATCGTTGGATTTGTCTATTTAATTACTATACAAGTTGTTTGTTTAATACTTTATCAGCATCTTACATTATTTAGTCGGTAGCCTAACTATGTCCTGCTCGTCTGTGTCCCCCAAGGAGGCTCCACCTTAAAAGACGATCTTGTGCGATGATTATTTACGAAAGTTTATTGGAACCATCGCGAGCGTAGAAGTCAGAATGACAAACTAATATCGATCCCCAGAGCACAGCTGGATGGTTTGGTAATATGTAGTAGTAAAACGTAACCCGATCCCATGCCGACTTTGCATAAATAGCGGGCCCTCTCTCGAGAGCAAGCCTGATCGCAAAGTTTCAGATTCAAAAAAAGCACCCAGTATTTGAAATATAATGGAAGCTTCGGGAGTTGGCACTCTGACCTGTCATTCTATAACTATCAGACTTGTTGAAACAGACCTGGGTGACCGCGCAGCCCAGTACTATGGGTTAGAAAAGGCCCCGGTGACGCTTGAGGCCAGCGTCCGCAGAATCATAGCGCAGGTAACAATAAAAAGTGTTGAACAATGCCCTTCAATAATACTTACCTCTTTACAGATTGATGCGGCGGAAAAATCAACCACATCTGGCCCATTTGTCGATATCACGGGCAGCAAGGTAGCTTGGTAGTCTTACTAGTCTTATAGATGTCGCCAATAAGAGATATAAACTCGCAAACCCCACGGTACAAGTGTATGTTACTTGTAGAGCGTCTTTACTGTCCTATAATATCTGTCTACTCGTTCTTCAACATCCTGCTGAGTGGCTAGATCATTGATTGATGCAAGATTGTCGGAGATAATAGTCCTGTATTGCTCACGCATGGGTCACTGGAGGCTGCCGTACAGCTGCAGTCGCGAGAGGCGGGGAGCTGGGAGACAAGCCATTCTCATTCAATCGCATGGGTCGACTCCGCATCTATGGTGGGTAGTTTGCTCAAGTAGTAACCTTCCGCATATAGTTAACGGATATACGGCTTCAGGTTTTGTGTCAAGCATATGGGCCTACAACTTGCACCACCAGTGAGTGTTTTACCACCCGCAGTTTTTACGATTGAGTCTGAATTCCGCAAAACTTGATACGTCCCGTTTCACCAACCCGAGAATACAACGAGCAAGGCCGTGGCCCGTTTTTATCCCGGCAAAGCTGACCGGGCCAAAGCCGGGGCTAGTGCTGTACAGAGCATTCTGGGCGGTGCTTGCGCGTAGATAGCGGCATTTTCGGGAATGCAGATCCGCAGGTGGGCTAGGAAGAGCAAGTAATAATAAGAGGCCTGTCGATGTAGGAAATGCACCGAATAAAGTATGTACTGTATGAGATGACGGAATGTTAGAGAGACGGATCGAAGCAACGGTGCAAAGACTGCTGATCAGAAGCAGCGCAGGGTAAACCGAGTTATCCGTACGGCATCACCGTAACTCCGTCCGTAGCTGCCCGGGATCGCTGTCCGCAAAGGCCCTATCTCAAGATCTACTTATATAAGAGGCCCGATGTCAATAGGGGGATCTTCATAGTGAATCCTCTGCATTTGACTCTACTTGCCGATATCCCTTATTAATTGACCCCGGTAGGAATGTCGTCTCAGCTTTCACTTCTTCCACCCGGCTCAAAGCTTTGGGTAAGTCTCCCCCGTAGTTTGAGGGATCGGTTCCACCGTGAGCTGATTTGAGCAAGCTGCTTGACCTGGGCGCTCTCGACATTGATGCCTCATATGTTCTTTCCGGGGCCAACGCGCCCCTACCCGGGCAAGCACCCCAGGTTCACGAGGTTCGCCAGTGCCTGATGATAGCAGCCCTACTCTACCACCCGTACGTGGGCCTCATCCTGTTTGACACAGGCTCGTGCGAGGATATTATCAACTCTTGGGACAAGGAATTCTTGGAATGTGCTCCTCGCTTATGGGTGAAGGATATCCACTCTCTTCCATCCGCAGTGAAAGCCACCGGTGCTGGAGACATTGAAGATATCAAAGCAGTGGTCATGAGCCATCTGCATTTGGATCATGCAGGCGGCTTGGAGCATTTCTTCGGAACAGGTTAGTCATTGCCAGCTTTTTTTTTTTTTATCTTTTCTTCTCCAACCAGGGCAGCTTGATCTGACTTTCAATTGGGCTATAGATGTGGAAATCTGGTGCCATGAAAAAGAACTCAAGAATGCATTCTGGGCATCTGCTACGGGGCATGACAGTGGGTTATTCCGGCCAGATTACTTGCGAGCTGAGCTGCTGAATTGGAAGACGGTGTCAGAGCAAGTGGTGGAGCTCTGGCAGGGAGTCACCATGCACATGTGTCCTGGGCATACCGAGGGATTTCTGGTGATGGAGCTGAGATTCCCTGTGTCTGGCACTGTGGTGTTGACCGGGGATCTGTTCCATGTGAAGGAGAACTATGAAGACGGACGACCTCAGGGCTTCCTGATGCGAGACTATAACACCTGGCATAGGAGCAGGGATTACGTGAAAAGACTGGTGCAACGGACGGATGCCAAGGTGTGCCTTGGCCATGAGAGAAGCTACTTTGACAAGTTTGAGAAGAGCCCTAAGTTTCTAGAGTAATTGGACCTGTCAGTAAGCTCGTCTCAAACAAGAGGATTATCAGTGTATCATCTGAGAAGATATAGTATCTAGTCCGGTTGTATTACTCGTAGGCTTCAATTGGACCATAATCAGGATACATATAATAAAAGGCCCAAGAAAAGCATATAAAGAAGCGAGAAAACGGACGCTTCCGCAGTACCTTTACGAAGGGCTATGCGAGACATTTGAGACCTCACTTTAGCCATACATCCACTTCCAGCTCCACACGATGCTCGGGAAATGGCAAACTCTCAATGCCAACCATGGTGAAGAGCGGCTGATGATCTGGACACCACTGTTTAATGGCACGTACCATAGTATCCCTGGCCTGATCGCGGATGGCCGACAGCCCAACGAAATATGCATGGAGTTTTACCACATGTCCCCAGCCTGACTTGCCACTTTGGTGAGCAGGATGGCCTGCATGCTCGATAGTGCGTATAATGAGGTTTTTGATGTTTTCGAATGCCTGCACAACTTGTTCTTCAATGCCGGGGGGTGTCTGGAGGGTGTCTGGGTCCATTCCGGCTGGTTGAGTAGGTAAGTAATATATTTAATATAAATAAAGGTCAGGGCAGCATTACTTTGACCAGTAACAATCATTCGGTCACCGATAATGCAGGCATCAGAGAAACCGAATTCCACACGACACTTCTCCCCAAAGCCGGGAAGAGAATAATAGGAAAAGGAGGACATTTCTTCTGAAAATCAGGACAGTATTTCAGCACCACCTAACCGCATGGGCCGCGTCGACCTTATATTTCTGGTCATGTAGACGACAGCTACAATATTTGTAAATTAACTTGATTATTTACTTAACTAGTTGAGACTCCCCGCTTTGTCAGCGGGGAAGATATTCGGATTTTGCCCTTACTGGTCGGGATATACTTGTCGTGGCGATTGACCCAAATCAAGCTCGTCCCGGAATTCCGGGTACCCCTAGCACTATGAAGGTGGAAAGAGTATGACTCATGGACAAATATAGAATAGGGCTGCTGGAGTCCGTTAACAAGGTCTTCTTTCGCTCCGCTCTTGCTACTTAGCACACGAAAATAAAACTTGCTGATATATGGTTCTTGCAATGGAACACATTAAGCAAGCATTCTCACGAGCAGCTCAGCAGCAGCGCGCGGCTCTAGTGGCCTACATCACTGCAGGATATCCTACCATTGAAGACACAGTCGATATTCTCCTTGGCCTAGAAAATGGTGGTGCTGGTAGGGAACATCCCGTTCTGTCTGTGTATTTCTGTTGCTGACACCACTGCACCGCGAGTGAGCAGACGTTATCGAGCTCGGTGTCCCATTCACTGACCCTATCGCGGATGGGGCAGTAATCCAGGCCGCAAATTCAAAAGCACTGGCCAACGGCGTCACAATCTCAACTGTGTTGGCACTGGTTCGAGAAGCACGAACGAGAGGCGTCACAGCGCCAATTTTGTTAATGGGATATTATAACCCTATTTTGCGCTACGGCGAGAAGAACATGGTTCGTGACTGCAAGAAGGCAGGGGTTAGTGGCTTTGTGATGACGGACCTTCCACCAGAGGAGGCTGGCTACTTTCGCGGTCTTTGCATTTCGAGTGGGTTAGTATAGAAGCGGATCCTCTTGCGTGATTATATGGCTACTGCACGGTACTATGAAGTAAATTTTCAATGTGCTGACTTGCCAAAAAAAAAAAAAAAAACCAGTCTTTCGTTCATTCCATTGATCTCTCCCGCGACGCCCGAACCACGCGTGAAGACTTTGTGTGAAATGGCTGATTCGTTCGTTTATGTGATTTCGAGGATGGGCGTTACTGGTGCTGCCGATCAACAGGTCAATGGTCTTTCAAGACTCATGGACCGAGTCAGGAGCTGGTCGGTGGATCTCCCAACAGCGGTCGGGTTTGGGGTAAGCACAAGAGAGCACTTCTTGGCTGTGCAGGATATTGCCCAGGGCTGCGTGATTGGCAGTCAGATAATCAGTGTGGTAGGCAGAGCGCCTCCTGGTATGGCTGCCGAACATGCTGAAGAGTACCTGGCGGGTATTACCGGGCGTAGACTCGGAAGGGATGGGCATGGGATGTCGCTGGACGCGGTTGGAGATGTTGATAAAGGCCTGGCCAAACCAAAGATACAATTCCAGGATGATGATGATGATCTTCCATCCCAAGCCTCTCCAGCCCCAAGAGTATCTGGGATCTCCCCCAATCCAGGGTCAAGGTTTGGCGAGTTTGGCGGCCAGTACGTCCCCGAATCTCTGCTAAAGTGTCTAGCGGAACTGGAGGCCGGTTTTAAGGACGCACGACAGGATCCTGTCTTCTGGGATGAGTACCATGCTCAGTACGCCTATATTGGCAGACCCAGCAACCTACACCTAGCCGAGCGCCTCACTGAGCATGTAGGGGGAGCGAATATTTGGCTAAAGCGGGAGGACCTGAACCATACAGGGAGCCACAAAGTTAACAATGCCCTAGGTCAGATCCTCCTGGCACGAAGACTAGGCAAAACTCGAATCATTGCCGAGACGGGTGCTGGGCAACATGGCGTCGCAACGGCAACTATCTGCGCCAAGTTTGGTCTCAAATGCACCATATATATGGGGGCGGAAGATACTCGCCGTCAGGCACTGAACGTGTTTCGGATGAAGCTTCTTGGTGCCGAAGTTGTGGCCGTGGAGACGGGGAGCTGCACTCTTCGCGATGCAGTCAGCGAGGCCCTTCGAGCTTGGGTTGCCAGTATAGACAGGACACATTATGTGCTGGGATCAGTGGCCGGACCTCATCCATTTCCAACCATAGTGCGAACTTTCCAGTCGGTGATTGGAGAAGAGACCAAACAACAGCTACATCAGGCTATAGGGGGGCTCCCTGACGCTGTTGTTGCCTGCGTTGGTTGTGGCAGCAATGCCTCGGGGATGTTCCACCCGTTCATCAAGGAGCCCGTGCAGCTCTTGGGTGTCGAAGCTGGCGGGGATGGACTTGATACATTGCGGCATTCAGCGACACTCAGCCAGGGAAGCAAGGGTGTTCTCCACGGGGTATACACCTATATCCTGCAGGATCAGGAGGGCCAGATTGCCCCAACTCATTCCATCTCTGCAGGAATGGATTACCCAGGAGTTGGCCCGGAACTGAGTTCCTGGAAAGACAGCCAGAGGGCGCGGTTCATAGCTGCCACAAATGCCGAAGCATTGATGGGATTCCGCGCTCTGGCACAATACGAAGGGATCTTGCCCGCTCTGGAATCCTCTCATGCCGTGTACGGGGCAATGAAACTGGCCGAGACAATGACCAAAGGCAAAAATATTGTCGTCAGCCTGAGTGGGCGAGGGGACAAGGACGTACAGAGCATTGCTGACAGTCTCCCCCGGCTGGGTCCAGAAATTGGGTGGGATCTGCGATTTTGAATGGAGGCGAAACGAGCTTTGTAGTAAGAAGGGAAATTCGTTATTATCATGGTAGATTAATAGAAGCACCGGTTTCCATTTGTTATAACCTGGGTCTTCTACTGTAGGTCTCTTGACAGTAGACAACACGACGCTGGGTTAAATGTTGAAAAAGCACGATAATATAGCCAATGCAGAGTAATACAGGGAAAAGTGATTTCACAACTCGCTCTTTTTAATATATATTATATTCTATTGCTACGGGCTTTATGTCGCCCTAGATCGGCAACGTACTGGCAGTGGGATGCAGCCATGGTAGTTGTAGGAACCCAAACATACTCCCCACACGTAACTAACTAACAAGGCAGACACAGCACTTGGTCGTTCTCCAAGGCGAGGAGTACACATATCAGGCTACGCTGCACTCCTTGCCGCTGAGTAATCGGCGAAATATCGAACGATGGATGTAATATGGAGTCTGTATTTCAGTATGTAATAACTATTACATTGGTTATCAAAACCTGCCACCCGGTGCTTGATTTGATTATTTTATTGAAGTATTGCTTCTTGCTTATCCTCATCATCTTCTTCCTCTTCATTCATGTACTTTATGTCCCATGCCTTCCCCTAAGGTTTTCATGTAAGTATCCATGTTGACAAAGGAAGAGATATCACTGATTTTATCTGTCAGCACCGGCGCTACTGGGTATATCGGTGGTGACTTTCTCTACGTAGTTGCCAATGCCCACCCTGACTGGCAACTATCAGCTCTTATCCGCAACAAGGATAAGGAGATACAGGTCAAGTCGCAGTATCCCAACGTCCGGGTAGTGAATGGAGACTTAGACTCTACCGACGTCATCGAAAATGAAGTCAAGGAAGTCGATATCGTCCTCCGTAAGTGCCACATGTCTTCATAGTGGCCAGCACTCACAAACACAATTTTTGTAGACTTTGCCAACTGTGATCACGTTGCTTCGGCCACCGCAATAGCGAAAGGCGCTCAGCAGCATCGCCCCGAGCGCCCAGTGTGGATCATTCACACCTCGGGCACCAGCGTCCTATCCATTGAAGATCAGCGCGCGTGTTCATACGGCATTGATCGGGCCCAAGAGTACAATGATTGGGACGGTGTAAGAGAGCTGGTCAATCTGCCTGCCGATGCCGTCCACCGCAACGTCGACGAAATCATCCTCGCGGCCAGCAAGTGCAACCAGGCCTCCGTAAAAACGGCCATTGTGTGCCCGCCCACCATCTATGGCCCCGGCCGTGGACCAGGCAACCAGAAGAGTATACAAGCGTACCTTCTTGCCGCCGCGGTGCTGAAGCGGGGAAGGGGGTTTCTCGTTGGCGCGGGCGAGAATATCTGGCACCAGGTGCACATCCAGGATTTGAGCAGCATATACATGGTGTTAGCCGAATCCGCCGCTGCCGGTGGTGGGAAGGCTACTTGGAACGAAGAAGGTTACTATCTAGCGGAGGATGGGCCTTTCGTTTGGGGTGATGTGCAACGCGCCGTTGCCAAGGAGGCGTTTGATATGAAGCTGATTCCTTCGCCTGAGGTTGAACAGTTGACGGATGCTGCCCACCTTACTAACATATTTCCAGCGGCCATTGGTGCGTGGGGATCAAACTCGCGTGGATATGCCATCCGGGCACGGAAGCTGTTTGATTGGGATCCCAAGCAGCCGAAGCTGATTGAGTTAATCCGGAGCATTGTTGAGATTGAAGCGAAGGACATGGGCTTACTCCCGCAATGAGCTATACAAAATCGTGTGAACCAATCCCTGAGATCTAGTACTTCATCTAGGCGGGATAGATCCTTGAAGAGTAGACGTAGAGGTCTAGGTCCATCACGCTGTCGAGACCTTCACTCCGAAGAAATCTAGATGGTAAGCCAAATACTGAAAAATACAGCTCGGACTTACGGCCTATCGTCCAGTCTCAACTTCACCGTGGATCCCCCCCCGGTTCGCATACCCGGATTTGCCCCGCGACCTGCAGCAGGAATAGCGCAACGTGTTAATCCACAAGGCCAAGGTCGCCACTTGCGCAGCAGTCTCGCTGGGTCCCGGGAATGCTGTCCGCCGATGACGGTCCTGGATTGAGCTGAGCCATCATGGTCACCAATCGTCTATAAAATAGTCAGCCGGGCTCTCACAACGGTATCTCATCACCCTCTAGCCCCTCAAAACTTGGTATACCACGTACGATGGGTGTCCCTTTTACCAGAAACATCCCCAAGGAGAGCTTGTCTTCGCTAGGGCATGCGCCGGTGCCCAAAGATGGAGTTCTTTTGCAAGTGCGGGTGGGGAAAGTCAGAAACGCTGCCTTGGGAGGAGAAATAACATCCGCCATCTACAAACAGGAACAGGACCAGCCAATCTTCTGCAGTTTGACTGGATTCATTGGGGATGAACATGCATCTCGTAGGCATGGCGGATCGGAGCGCGCAGTGCATCAGTAAAACCCGGACCACTACGCGGACTGGCAAGCAGAGAGCACCCCAGAACCGCAGCTGTACGAGGTTGGGGCGTATGGGGAAAACGTGGTCACGACCAACCTGAATGAAGACAACGTGTGCATTGGCGACGTGTTCCAGCTCGGAAACGACGTTCTGCTGGAGGTTAGCGAGCCTCGACATCCGTGCCACAAGCTCAACTCCCGCTTCCGATGGCACAGGGCGTTGAACCGCACAATACGGACGGGACGGTCGGGCTGGAATATGCGTGTGTTACGGACTGGAGTTGTCTGCAAAGGCGACTCGGTGTCGTTGGTAAAGCGACCATTCCCCCAGTGGTCTGTCCTGAACGTGCAGCGAGTTATCAGAGGAAGACATGTCCCTTTGCATCTGTTATCGGAATGCACCCAGCTGCCCCTGACAGATCTGTTCCTAGACCTGGCCAAGGACAGACTGAGGCAGACGCCAAAGACATATACCCTAGTTCACGCTCAACATATCACCCAGCGCGTCAGGAAGCTTACATTCGAGTTGAGGGATCCCTTGGCTCTCACAAATCCCGAATTCAATCGTTACGCTTTTGCTCAAATCACATTTTCAGGACCAGACTCTACGAGGCTCTCTCGATCGTACTCGGTCGTCGATGGCGACTTGTACAGATTCAGCCTGGGCGTGGCCCTCGATCGCCAATCGCGAGGCGGTTCAGCATACCTCCACAACGAGCTAAAAGTCGGCGGCGAGATTGAGATGTCCCCTGGGACGAACCCTGGCGCGCAGGAAAATGATGCAAAGTGCGACCAGGGCATGCCGCGCCTCGTGCTCGTCGGGGGCATCGGCATAACTGCATTTCTCCCATCGATCCGTGAGTGGGAGAGCAAAGGCTTTCCATATCATGTTCATTACGCCGTACCAAGTCCGGAAGAGGCCGCGTTTCTAGAACGACTCCCTTCAGAGAAGACCACACTATATGCTACTTCAAGGGGGGAACGGCTTGAGATTGGAAATATCATACCAAACCCTGGCCCGGGCAATTCTCCTAAAACCCGTATCTTCTCGTGCGGACCATCGAGCATGATGCAAGAATGTGTCCGGACCACCACTCAGCTCGGTTACCCAGAGCATATGGTTCATTTCGAAGATTTTGGGGGTGGCGAAGGTGGTAACCTGGGTGACGCTTTCGAGGTGGAAGTCGACGAACCAGACACGAACAGACACGAGAAGATGACAGTCCCTTCGAACAAGACTTTGCTCGACGTCCTGAACGACGCGGGGTTTGACATTGTATACTCATGCAAGTCTGGCGCCTGTGGTGCCTGCAAGGTCAAGGTTTGTCAAGGGGAGATCGACTACAAGAGCACAGCGCTCCTGGCGAAGGAGAAGGGGGTTGCGCTACAGAGTTGCGTAGATCGCGGTGTTGGAAAGCTCAAAATAGAGATTGATTGATTTATGAAATAGCCCGTGAGAAATAGAGGTAGACCAACTAACTAATATAGGAATTAGATGCAGTACAAAAGCTGACTGGGCGGTGAATTTGCAATCCTAGCGGTCACTAAATGGTCTAGATAATATCCAAACAGCGTACTGCCTTACGGATTGGAGCCAGAGTTGTCCCTGCAGTCAAAGACTTGTGCGATATCTCCGTTGGCAAACGCGTCTCTAATCGACATAGCAACGCTATAACTAGAGAACATAACCATTTGTTAGTTCTTGGTATGTGCCCCAAAAGTATGACAAGAGCGACACTTACGTCCCACCGACGATCATAAACAGCCCAATTGCCACGATTACCGCATGCAGTCCGTACTTTATTTTCTGTCCCGCGGATCCAGACCTGTAGCCTTTATAATCATACATCCAAAGAAGCGCCGGAAACACCAGACTGAAAGGCGCAAAGCACAATGCGCCAGCCAGACCAAGCAAGTAGTTCAAGATGGGCACAGCCTCTGCCACGATGAACGCTACTGCACCCAGGAGAAGGTTGATGCCGAGCCACATGGACCAGTGGACGAGGGTATTTGCCTGCAAATGCCTTGAGCCTCGGAGCAAGCGGACAAAGGCGTACTTCGCCGCTACATGCTGGTAGATGCCGACACCAACTACCAGCCCTGGCAGCGCGATGCCATAAGAGATCTTCTTGAATAGCGGACCAGCACTGGCGAAGGCCGGAACTGAGAGCCAGGCGCCGCACCAGCGGTATATAACCAGACTGAACGTCAAATACAAGGCGCCAATAATGAAACCGGCCAGGATGCAAGCCTTGCGATAGTCCTTGGGTCGGCGCATCTCGGAGATGACAGGCAGATACATCGACGAGCCACTCGTGCTGACGAAGATGTTTTCTGCATTGAGCATGCCCACAACAAAGGTCGGGTACGCAATGGGTGCCCAGCCCAGGTCAAAGTCACCAGTTGGAGGAGCTGCAGCAGGCCGGTCCTGCTGCGTTACCGCGACAGTGAAGATGAAGACTGCAAGAACGAAGGTCAAGAAGCCAAACCAGGTCAGCCAGCTCAGACGCGAGAAGGTGCGGATGGACGAGCAGACCGTAATCAGGATCACGGATATGAGTGCAAAGGTCACGGTGCATGTTCCATGATTCGACAACGCATTGAATCCTATTGCCGTTGTGGCGATTCCACCCGCGGAGATCAGGATCTGAGCGATGACGATCTGGATACCGACGAGTTCGCGTCCAGAGCGTCCCCAGAGGAACCCCATCATGTCTGCCAGCACTGCAGAAGACATTAGTCTTGATGGCTGTCTAGGCTGTACCGGGAGGGGGTAGCTTACTGTGGCACTCGGGATGTTTGTTACGGAAATCACCCAGGATAATGCCGGTATCTACATAACGAGTCAGCATGACACACGGTCGTAGCACCCTGGCTTTGGCTTTGTGGTGACTTCAACTTGCATGTGTTTAATGAGGTAAATCCGACGATTGACAAGGAACCTCCAACCGAACCAAGTGCCGCCAGAGCCCCCGGGATGGCGAGAATGCTCATTGCGAAATTGATTTTGAGGAACACAATAGTCGCTCGCTGCCAGCTGACAGTCCTGAACTCGACGCCGTCCACGCCCAGTTGGAAGATCTCATGCGACTCTCCGTTCTCTGTATCCTTTGCTGGTGCTTCACTCTGCTGACACGCCTCCAGAGCGACCTTGTCGGTCCTGACGTGTTGACTAGAAGGGATCGCCTGAATCGCCATGTTTGGGCTTATAAAAAACGCTAGAGGGACCGTTGAAGCCCCGTATCGTAAGGTGCCATAGATTCAGATGGCTATATAAATACCCCGGCCAAGCCTAGCCTATCGCCTGCCATAATGCGGGAATGTCGTGGGCGTACCCTTGGATCCCCAGTTGGGTACAAGCTTGTCACGGCCGATACGTCCAGGCTCCCGGGGTAATTAGGGATGTCCGGTAACGGTGCCTGGGGTGATAGCCTGAGAGGGCTTCTCAGGTAAGAACAATAGAAAGTAGTAGCACTGACGGTCATTAGTGAATGATTTTCAAACTCTAGCTTCGATACTTGGCTGCAGCACGAAGCTCATATGAACTGAGAGAATTCGGCTTATATGCTAATAAGGAGACTGTGCTCCTAAATCTGGTTTCCCACTCCTAACCTCCAGGTTATTCGGGTTCCATGTGGGCATAGACATGAAGCCAGGATCTATCTCGTACACCTAGGTGCAGCCCAAACCCTTACGGCCAGAGGGTTACCCATGTTATCGCTGATTGCGTACGCACTAATGCCAGATTACAGGGACATAGGCATCTTCGAGATAACGGGGAACATCCGGCATCTAGGCCCGCTGTTCGGGACAGAGGGTCTTGTTGGCCCCGTTTGGCACCAGCCGAGCCAGTCGGACGTCCCAGTATCTCTCCCCGATGTCTTCCGTTACACCCATCCGACCCCTGGTAACATGTAAACTGCAAAACGTGCATCCTGATATTTACTAAGCTCTACCGCTGTGGTCGCGTAACCGGGAAGCACCGGTTCGTGACCCTCGGGGATCCTTTATCAAGGGTGCAGACAGCGAAAAGTTTCATAATTTCCCACCTAAGACCTTGACCTTTCGCACATTGGTTAGCCAACTTGTCGACAATACGTGAGACAGCACCACGTCTCGTACAACCTACATTCCCCAGCAATAATGGTCAAGTCACTACGCTTCGCGGACGGCGTAGAGGTTCCCGTGCCCGGCTTCGGTGCTATGGGCATCAGCTTTGCGCTCGGTAATAGCCTTAGCTATGAGGAGGCCGAGCCTGTGCTGCTCAAAGCCCTAGAGCTGGGTTGTACATTCTGGGATACTGCCGTGAGTCTAATCTCAAATGCGCAGGAGGCAAACATCCTCGCTGATTTCACGTTTTAACAAGGTTTCATACGGCGCCGGCGTAAATGAGAAGATCCTAGGTGATTTTATCAGAAAACACAATTGCCGCGACAAGATCTTTCGTATGTGCCCTCTCTCTATCGGGTGATTTGTTACTGCTTACCCAAGGGATAGTTGCATCCAAATGTGGTATTGCTGCCTTTGAAGACGGCCAAGTCACCAACTCGGCCTCGCACATTCGAACATACATAGAGGGAACCATTGAGAGGCTTGGCTCTACACCGGATCTATACTATTTGCACCGCATCGATGCTAGTGAGTCTCTCAGCGTGATCCGTTCCCATGCAAGTATAAACTAACCGAAGTGCCCAGATACAACGCTCGAAGAATCCATACCTGCCCTCGATTCGCTCCGCAGGCAAGGCAAAACGAAGTATATTGGCCTGTCGGAGTGCTCTGCTGCAACACTGCGGAAGGCAAATTCAAGTGAGTGCGGCAGAGAACAAAAGAAGAATTTTGACCGTCTTATCAATTGCCGCAGTGGCCAGAATTGACGCCGTACAAGCAGAGTATTCTGCGTTCGAGACTCTTCACGAGTCTGACGGTCTTGTCTCCACCGCTCGCGAGCTCGATATTGCATACATAGCTTACGGCCCTCTTGGGCATGGATGGTTAGTGGACGACTTCCCCTACCAAACGCCGGACGACTTTGGACTCGATGACTATAGGCGACAAAGTATATGCAACTCTATCTTTTTTTTTTTTTTTTTTTTGCCAATGCCACTGCTAACCCTCTTTTTTTTTCCAGTGATGTCCTAATGGATTTTGCACTTCTACGCCAACAAGGGAATTGCTGATGGGTTCAAGGATCTTGCTAAAAGCAAGAAGTGCACGTTGCCACAGATTGCCCTTGCGTGGGTGGCAGCCCAGGGCATGATTTCGATTCCAGGAACGACGAAACCGGGGCGTCTCCAAGAGAACTGGGCTTCGAGGAATATAGAATTAACGGAGGGAGAGCTGGGATATATGCGCACCATCGTCGACTCCTTGAAGAGCTGGTCGCAAGAGCGAACGGGTCGCCTAGCAAATTGCTCATCCGTACCCCTGGCATTTTTGTATCGTTCCGAGTGCAGATATCGATATTTGGGCGACGGAAATCGAATATATATGGCAACGTAAATTTAAGCTGACGCTATCAGGTTATATAAGTCGGTTGATGTCAGACTCGGTGCGCGTAATCACGATGGGTCCGTTTTCTGGCTGATTTTAAAAGACGTCGCAATTGGATGACACGAGGGCGTTCGGTGCCCGATGAATTTCTTCCAAACTACTACTTTTTTTTCCTGAATCGAGTATGTTGGGCGCGGTAGAATGACGAGTCGGGTGGCTATGACCAGGGATCAGTTAGACTGAGCAATCGCATTCAGTAAACAATACGTAGCGAGGGTTGGTATATCAAGACGAAAACGGCGACAAAAGAGCGACCACGGAAAAACCAGCCGAGGTCACCAAACAATAAATGACGTGAATTTCAAGCAAAAAGGCGACTGATTGATAACCATACCTTAAACGGCAGTGCGGAAGGTAGATGTTTTTGTTTTTTGATAGTCGAGGTGGTTCAAGACGATAAAGATGACGGGTGTCGATGAAGAACTGCAAGCAAGATAATAATAAAACGGCAGTTGGGTTGAAACGCGGATCGACCTCGTTCGAGACAGATCGATCAGGTTAGACAAGAACGAGATCGTCAAGAGGCTGGAGGTCGTTTCGAGACAGTTCTACGCCCCTTGCAGAGACAGGAGAAGGAGAACAAAGAAGAAAAGAGCAGCGCCAGGCTGGATCGATGAAGACGGGTGAAACGTCGGGAAAGAAAGGAAGGAAGCGAAGAGGCGAAAGAGAGGGGGATAACGAGCGAAAGTCGACGGAGCGATGGGAGCGAGTGGATGGGAAAGGAGAGAGGAGGAAGAACGAGGGACGAGGCCGTCGAGACTAGACGAGGGCCGAAAAACAAAAGCGCGATACTCCGGAGGCACAGGAATTAATCCGCCGGGACGAAAAGGAGAGACTTGGGGAGGGGAAGGGTAAAAAGTCAAAGCAAGAATCAAAGCACAAAAGAACAGAACAGGAGCCAGCAGGAGAAAGCGTCAAATGCAACTGCGTCTGCTAATTAGCAACAATAATGGGCTGTTTCATTTCATTTCCCATCCCACGGTCTGCTTGTTGGCTGCCTGCGGCTGTTCCTGGGCTGTTCACCAGTTGGTCTGTTGGTTGGAGTGGGCCCTCTTAATCCTCTTAATTTGGGCCCTTTTCTTCTCCGCCCACTTCTCTACGCGCAATCTCTCGCTGTGCCCGGTCCAGGCCATCCACCCACCAACTGGGGCTGACGTGTGGCTCGAACAATGAGGGAAAGAAGCAACGATCTCCTGGTCTGGCCATCATCTCTTCCGCAATGGAAAAGCGACTCAAACAATTCGGAGAAATCGATTATATCAGTCTCTCCAAGCAAATCTCACTCCTCACACTGTCCTCAGGTCCAGTCCGGTCCAGCCTTGCAGCCCTGTTCGCAATTGGAGAGGCCCTCACGACGCACCATTACGCGTTGATCATCCAGTTTCGCCCTCGGGCGTAACAATGGCCCATCCTGCGTGACTGCCTACTCTTACTGTAAGGGCAAACCTGCAGCCAGCCCCAGGGGCCCTCAGGGCGAAATCCTACTCGGAACGAACCACGAACCAGGGACCAAATCAAAACAAAGAACAGCGAGCATCGCCTGCGCTTCATGATACACTCGCCCCTGACTCCCAAGCACACAAGCCGGCGCTTAAGTGGCAGAGTGGACACTTTGGCCCAAATTTCTTCAATCCCTCTCCCAGCTAGTCTACCTGTCTCGCCATTACCCTCGAACCACGTCGTTCGCTGGTGGGAACCTAGCGCCTAATACCGACTATATTTACGTCTTGAGTGTTTGAGTTTGATTATTGTTCGGCAACAGCCATTGCGAACCAGTTGTCACTTGTAGTAGTCGCTAACTTAGTCGTCGCTATATTTAGCTCCCCAGCAAGATCTTCTTTCTAAACCTGTAGAGTAGGTATCTTCAACGCCAGCAGGCGATCGTCTGCAAGGCCCGAGCAAGCCACTCGTGCTCGGGCTGCTGTGTTCGATCGCCGTTGAAACAACGGCCAACCGTTGATGTCGATATGATACCTCGTTCCTTGGTTCAAACTTCAAGGTAAGGCACGGCACGCACTTTAAGTCAAGGGTCCGTCTCCTTGCATGGCTTCACGTGCTCTGCCGAAAGCATCAACAATCCAACATGTGATGCGGAACCCTTTTCCTATGCCATAGAATAACTGGAGAGTATTTAGCCAAAGTACAGCAGTACAAATGGAAGTTAGTGGGGAGGTCTATTTCTGTACAACTAGAGTCAGATCTACCAGCTGGAGTCGGTGTGCAAATACCCAACCCATTAAGCGCGCACATATCTACAACGTGTAGTCTGCGTCCCATTATAGATGCCATTGTTGTGGGTGGGAATTTTATTCCTCAGGAATGGATGTGCGGACGGAGATATCTCCTGGTAAGTCCACGATGACGCAAGAAGAAGGGACGACCAGCTTCTCAATGTCCCAAAAGGGCAGGTACATACCTCATGATGGACCTGCAGTCGCCCCTTCCAAGTCCTCCAACCTGGTGTAACTACGGACATTCCCATCAGACATAAACAAAACAAGGGCCGATCGAATTAGGATATATTCAGTCCTAAGCGAATATTTGTACAAAGTATAGGAAGAAATACAGGAGTATAATAGTAGTAGTAGTACATGTGAATCACATAAAGCACCCGCAGCATGGCCAAGCTTCGGCTTAGACCACCACGCGTGTGGGGATCTTGACCTGGCCCTTCTTCCGCTCGTAGCTGGGCACACCGTACCTCCGGCCAGGAGCTTTATGGCCACGGCCATCGGTGCCAGTGGTCTCCCTGCTCACAGCGACATCCTTGATGCGGAACTCGAAGCGGGAGGATTCGGGCTTGACGTGGGATAGGTTGCGCTCACGATGCTCCTCGGCGATACGCTTGCGTTCCTTCTCGGCAGCCTCTTCCTTCTCAAGGCGCCTAGCATGAGCCTTGAAAACCTCATTGCGTTCCTCTGGCCGAGCTGCGCGGTCACGCTCGTAGGCGACGAGGTATGGGTGCGGAATACGCGCGTCCGCAGCCTGGAGGACGGGCTGCTCGTCGGCACCCTTGCCAACGGTTTCGATTTTCGATGGGTTTTGTGTGATGTGGCTCACGGTCTCCTCCGGGTTGGCTACCTCCTTAGCAACAACGCTGTGCAGACGAGCTGGGGCAGCAGAGAATACGCGGCCAGCATCAGAACGGGTGAAGTGGCGGGATTCAGATACGGGGTAGAATATCTGTGCATCGGTAAGGCGGTGGGCGGGGAGGTCGTTAATTGACTCGTGAGGTTTCTCGCGTCGGGAACGAGCATCTTCGTACAATGGAGTTGTTGGGATCATTTCATGGACTGAGCGCGCATATGGCAGTGCCAATGGTTTCCCCTGTTTGGAACACGGTTAGAAGACACGTATAAACCGATATTTGCGAGGTCAATCAAGCCATGGCTAATGGTATGCAAATCAGGATTATAGGCGTTGTACACATCCCCAGAAATCTGGGATCGTAAAGACTAATCGATAATTTTTTGTTGTCTCATCATTGCATGTAGAGAGGGCAGGGAAACACAGACGAAGCAGCAAAAGGAAAAGAAAAAAAAAAATCGCAACCATACCTGTTGACGCCACCGGCTCTCAAGTTCAACTAATCGACACACAGCCGCTACTCTCCTCATATCAACGCCCATTTCCGCACTGACAGCGCGAATGCTCTTCTTCTTCACCACCACCTGCTGGTAGATTTCATTTCGCAATTCTTCACTCAGGATGCTCTCGCTGACGAAAGCTTGGTTCAGGGGGAACGGCCGCCGGGAAACCACAGCTTGTGAGCCCCGCCCGCGCGAAACAATGGTGGAGAGGTAGTTGGGCTGGCCGGGGGTGTGGTTTTTAAGTGCGGCTCCTTCGCCTTGGAGCCACGAGATCATTTCTCTTCGCCGTTGCGTTTGTGTGTGCTGTGTTGAGGAGAATGAACGGGAAGAGGAAGGCGAAGGAGAGCATGATGGGGACGAGAGGGGGATTCTCGTGGTAGAGGAGGCTGAAGGAGAGGAAAGGTATGGGAGAAGGGAATTAGAGACACGCTGCGATTGTATCCGGGGTGGCATTGTGGGCAAGTGCAAGGTCGACGGGCGACCAGCTCACGATCAATACCAAAGAAAGAAAAACGTATTATTGGGGGCGAATGCCCGGGTATATGGGAAGAGCTCAATGGATGAGGTGGTGAGGTGGCAGAGTAGTTGTTGATTTACCGCAGGGGCCGAGCTGGAAGACGAAGAAACTTTTCGGGTGTCAGGTCTCACGTGACACCCCCAACATGATCACCTCTCCCAGGTATAGAGAGCAACAGTATACCGGGCATTATGCAATTTTTATTTCATAGAAGCAACACATTTTTACTAATCGAGCACATTCATGCAAAACAGGCCTTGACTCATAACTAACAAAATTAAAAAAAAAAAAATACATGCGCCTCTTCCTCAGCCTCTCAATCCAAGCCCACAGGCAAAACAGGAAAAAGATAAAAAGGGAATAAAGAAGAAAACAAGACACAAAATAGCCTCCATTCCGAAGTGCAGAAGAAATTAAATAATGGCGCAAGAAAAAGTGCGCGAAAATACATGCCATATCTCGCTCAGATAGTCAACCCCAGTAATATCTCGGTGTATACCTTTGTAAACGCCGCTCTTGAATGACGGTTGCCTTCCGGTGCAAAATTTATTGTATGAATTCATGAGAGGAGTGAAATTGTCGTGGCCATGTGAGGTAATGCGGGAGCTCTTCGTCTTTCGACCCTTATCTCATCTCTTCTTCCCCCTCTTCGAGTCTTTCCTCTGATTAAGAGAATTAGGTGGGAGAAACAACCAGGAGTAGGTAATGCAGATGCAAATAATGATGAGATTAGAGACCGAGAGCTAAGGAAAGAGAAAACACCGCTAGTGCAAGAAAGGGACGCCGGGTAATCAATAATGCAAAGCAATCAATATCATTAAACAAGGAATAGAGAGAATCTTATGCAAAGAATCCCCAAGAATATAATCTGAAGAATGGCAGAAAGCTGGATAAACAAAGGGTATGGGACACAGTGCTGGGAAAAAAAAACAAAACAAAAGCCAAGCAAAACAAAACAGCATAACCTGCTGACATAAAATCGTTCACGGCCCTCAGAGGTATCAAATGACATCAAAACACAGCAACAGACTACCTAGTAAGATGCAATAATCCCTAAACAAGCAAGCTGATAACGGCGCCCACAATTCCATGCTATCGAAGTGGTGTATCAAAAAGAAAAGAAAGAATGAAAAGAAGAAGGAGGATAAAAGAAAAAAGGAAAAAAGGTCGGGTGAGAAGGGAAAAAAAAATGCCACGATGTCCAAGCAGAAGTAACCTTAAGAAGCGAGCCGAAGAAGTTCATAGTCCGAATATCCTTACTCCTGAGGGGCAGGAGACCCTCCAAATGCTGTCTAGCCGGTAAAAACAAACAAAGTCCCCTAATGCGCCGGATATACCAGTATTCGTTCAAACATGTCGGACGTTGGTCCCGTACAAAACATCGTGTCGTTTTAGCGCCCCATCATGTAATCGGGATAGTTCGGGGTAGCGTTGCCTGAGCGTTGTCCAACATTACCGCCGTTCGCTGCACCGTTGTGTAAGGGTTGAGGTGGCATCATCACCGGGTTCAGGGGGTTCCCTCGAATTCCCAAACCTGGGTTGGGATTGAAGGAGCCGTTCATTCCGCTCATCCCGTTCATAGGTACATGTCCATGAGAATAGCCGGAGGGATGCATAACACCGTTGTTTCTAAGCCCCATTGGAGGCGCCAAGCCAGGTGGCGTAGACAAGCCAGGAGGTGGTCCGCTGACCGTCGAGAACATATGGCTCGATATCCCACTAACGCCAGTGTTTCCTTGCATAGCACCTTGCGCCGCAAGAGAACTAGACGAACTCATAGAGCCTTGTTGTCCAGACCGAACACCAAGCGGATTCTTCGAAAAGCTCAAACGTATTCCCGTTTTGATACTGTTGGAGAGTTTGTAGCCATAGAGTTCGTTGAGAGTCTTGCCAGCGGTGCGTACATCCTCAAACTCCACAAAGCACATGGGCCCGTTCTGCTTGTTCCGGAAACAGAGGCGCTTGTAACCGCGCTGTTTCGAGAATAGAGCTTTGAGTTCCTCCTCTTGGGTGTCTGGTGGGAGGTTGCCCACATACAGGGTGTTACAAGGCGGGTTCATGTCGTTCGGGTTGGCAGCCGGGAAGCTGTGGCGGGCTGTATGCTGGGAGCCATAGGGAAACGCAGGATTTGCCACGGTCCCATTCATAGCCTGAGGATAGGCCGAGGATGGGGTTGAAACGTTCAAGTGCGAGGAACCACCAGGGGTGTAGTTTTGCACTGGCGGGGACGTGATGTTTGTGGTCAGTGACAGGTTGGCGAAGTGGCTGGTGGGAATTTGGGGATTGGTAGATCGTCGCGGAACCGAGACGGACCCAGTGTGTCCATTTTCAGCGTAGCCGACCGGATCCTTCAGCAGCTCTCCGGTATCCTCATCAATATCTTGATCGATCATGGACTTGCCGCTTATGCGAGGAAACTCAGGGACTCCATTACCGAGCGGCGACTGAGGAGCGAAGATATTATGGAGGCGTGAGTTGGCTTCGGAGGACGGCGGAAGGGACTCATTGGCGGAAGAGCCGGCTGGATTAACTGATGATAACTTCTCCATTGTCTGGAAGGTACCATTGAAACGCGACTGTCGCGTCGATGGTCCGTTCCCTAGCAGGCGGCTAGCAGAATGGTCAATTGTATTGCGCCGGGGGATGAATGGGGCCGACGGGCCATTGTTGTAAAGGTCGACTACCATGGTGGCGTCGTTCTTCGAGTTCGGCTTGCCATCGAGCAACGCTCGCGCCTCTTCCGCTGCCGACAAGCTGCTGAAGCGCGCGATCGCACTTAGGAACCCCTTGTCCTCTGCAAGGTCGGAATGTACGAAATCAGCATCCAACAGTTCGTTAGAAAATAGAAACATGCTGCGCAAGGCCTCGCGACTCATATTCTTGGGAAGCTTTCGCATCAAGATCGCGCCACCGCCCACCACATCGGCTTGTCGGATGAAGCCGTTGAGGTTCTGTGCCGACCGATCCGACTCAGCGAGGCGCATGGCGGCAGATGACACAGTATCAAACGAGGAAGTATGTGGAGGGGCGTTATCGAAGGAAGAGGAGGGGCTGAGTGGCGAGAAGGAATAGGACGAGAAATCGGGGCCTAGAGGGTTCGCAACCTGCGACGCGGAGGGGTGATACACGTCGGTCGACATCGCATTCTGGGCCGTCGAGGGCGCCTGAGAAGAAGAAGAAAGCGGCTGGTGTGGAGGTGACGCGCCCGACGATGAAGCGGAGGGCGTGCGCTGAGAGGTGCTATAGGACCGCGGACTTGTACGGTTAGACTGGTTCGAAGTGCCAGTCATGCCTCGAGACTGAAAAGCTCAGGAGGGATCGAGTCGCTTGATAAGGACGGACGCGGCCGACGGTTGCAGCACGAAGTTGTTGTTGAGAGTCGAGTCGCTCGGCAAGATGGGCACAGGTAAGGGGCGCGGATCGGGGGGTCGAGAGAGAGTTGACAGGTGAATCAAAGTTCAGCAGGACGCAGGAGCGATAAAATTTGGCAGCCGAGGATAACAGGACAAAGTGTTACTCGATGTCGCGGAATGCCTCACAAGAAAGAATTCCAGGGGTTGCAAATGCGATAGGACAAGAGCCCAGACAATGAAGCAGAAAATCGAGGTTAATGCGACGGACCGAGGATGCGAGTGGGACACGGGCACGGGGGGGGAGAGTAAATGGATCGCCAGTCAGATAAAAAGAATATGAGGCAAAGGAGAGAAGCAGATGAATGGAATGTCCGAACGAGCAGAAATTAAAAAAATGGCGACAGGGAAACCAGGACAGGACGGAGAGAGAGAGAGGGAGCAGGGGGGAAGAGACGGAGAGGGAGAGAGTCTGGGACGGGGCAGAGAAGGTGGATGCCGGGCCAGAGTTAGCGCAGACTCAGTGACAGGGAACCGATAGAGTTACTGGAAGAGTTGGGGGGGAGGAGGAGGAGGGGTGGCAGTAACCGCGCAGTTTTATGTGACAGGAGGCCGCGAAACACAGGCAGTGGTGGTGCAGCGCCGCCTTGAGCGTGAATAAAAGACACTGGGGCTAGACAACAAGTCCGGAACGGTCCTTTGGGAGGACTTTGGATGATGCTCGAGGACTTTTGGGAGGGTGAGAAACCGGGCCCATCCATGGGTCGAGGCGAGATGGCGTTACCAAAATTACGTTACCGGCGAGCAGTTCAGCTGCAGTCGCACTCCCGTCGTTGCCGCTGGGCGCGTCCCGGCATCGAGATTCGAGATGACACGACTCGGACGCGCTATCCAGACCCGCGCCGGATGCGCATCAGGCCGCCCCAGACGCCGCTCTCCCATGTGAATGCCCCTGAGACAGGCCCGCCAAACAATGGCCTGGCAATGAAAGCATGGTAAATCCGTCAGCCATGACGCTGTGTCCTTGGATTGCACGAACATGCCGGATGCAGCGAGCATTCATTCAAGGTCAAAGCCGCGTCCGAAAGCAAACGTGGTGCGTGCGCCGAAGCGAGTGGGGGGTGGCCTGTTCGTTATCGGCGTACTGGTATTACGATCGACTCTACATCTTCAAGTCGGCGGAAGATAATCAGCATCATCATCATTCCACCCCAGAATGGCAGGAAACGGCCGGCATCTGGCAGCGCAAAATGCTTCCGAGTTATGCATCTCAATCTTATCCAACCCTTGCGTCCGCCCTGTGCTTGGACGACATATCGCATTCCAGAGGGCTCCGTTAAGGGTCAGAGGTCAAGTACTTCTGGACCACCCACGCGTAACTGAGCCGTAATAATTAAATCCATCACGCCCTCTTGTCCCTCATACTGGTCTTGAGGAAAGGAAGCAGTTCGCAAAAAGCCAAACACGTCACTGCTTCAGCCTCGACTATCCACCTGACAGGAGAGGGGTGCCTTTGTGCCACCATAGCCTGCGCTACCAAAACATCCCCATCCCCATTCCGTGGATTGCGGAGGGTTTTCGAGAGCTTCCTTCCATCCCATCGTCAGCGGATAACCCAAAACTCCGACTCTTTGGGCAAATGGCGCCGGCTTAAGAGCGACGTAATAAGGCCCAAATGGGCCTAAGCTCCAGCCTCCAGGAACTGGTCGACGTGGACTTTTCTAATCCCTTAGACCCTGGGTATTATTGCCATGTGATCGCATAAAACCACCACAGCGGCCAAAAACAAGCTACTACTACCCGTAGAAGGATGCCGTTGACGGATGTGAGATGGAAGTCTAGCCCTCTGGGCCGCATATTGATAAGCACATCGTGACATCAGTGACAAAGGGACATGCGTGTCACTGTCTTAAACTGCTGACTGATTCTCGCGCCGGAACAAAGCCAGGATCACCTTCCTCCAGGACAAAGCGGACCAACCAGATGGTTCCTGGATAGGCACCGCCGATGCCAAATGCATCGACGATTAGGCAGCCCACGAGATGATCCATGTCAGGCCGGGCTTCGACCAACTGCCACCAGGATTAATTCCACAGGAGTACTAAGGCGAGCCAGCAAGGCAGAACTCTTGCTGATCTTCGCTGCTGAAATTCCTCTCGCCCACCAATCATCTGCTACCCTGCGCCTTCTCAACTATCTTAACAGGCCCGGCACCCCAAGCGCGCAATGAGATTGGCTGATCGATGATTTCCTTCCAGAGGGGCAAGGGGGATGAATATTCAAGGTTGAGTTCATCCTCGAGGAGTGCACCATTCCAGACATGGTTGAAGGCAGACTACGAGCGATGTATCTGAAACCGATTCGATTCGATACTTGCTCCTTCCTGTCCTTTCCGTTTCTGTACATATTTGCATGGATATATACTTTCGGTCCGCTGTCTGGAAACGTGTCGCTGACTCCTGCCAAAGAATTGCCTGAGCACTGATGGCTTGCCACCTTGAGACATCCTTGACTACTTTATGAGTCATTCCCCAGAGTATCCCGAGTCTATGCGGAATTGAGGCTCCGAAGCCGAGTTAATCAAATGGAATAGTAATGTTAAACTTCAAGTCAGCTTATCATGATATCCTAATATACAAGCAATGTACAATACAGTTTTGGATCCCCATATGCCAAATGATCCAATCTCATAACGCCAAAGAAATGCCGGGGGTAGTGAGCATGAGCATAATAGTTTGGGGCCTTTCCCACAGCGAGCTGCCAGATACCCAGCCACATGAAACCATCAAACCGGATACAGCCCTATGAACTGACAGGCTCATCCTCCGCCGATCCGCGCGGCAACCAGAATATAATATTATCGCGTTTTCATGTTGACTTTGGAGCTTCCTGCTTCTGTTGAACAAGGCCAGCCTGCACGCACACGTTAGCATTTATCCCATATATCCACTCCATAGACAATCAATCCCCCATCTCCCAAAACTAAGAGTCCAATAACAGTCCAAAAGAAACACATACCAAGTTCAATAACCGCCAAACCGAATCACTCGGCTGCGCGCCCACACCCAGCCAGTACTTTGCTCTGGACCGATCAAGCGAGATCTCCTTGTATGCTCTCGCGCGCGCGGCCTCCTCGTCGGATAGATTTGTCGGGCGTTGCGGGATCGGGTTCAGCGTCCCGATCACCTCCAGGGGCTTTGAGTTGCGGGCGGATCTGTTAGAAGGCGAGTAGGTATTAGCTTATTTCTCGCATTCGAGATTATCTCCTTCTTTCCAGCACAAGTCTGGATAGTCCAGGTCCAGTCCAGTCCAGTCCAAAAGCACAGGAGGAGCGACGTACCTCGCTTGGGCGACGACAATGTTATAAAACGGCTGGTGTTTGTTCCCGAACCGGGCTAGGCGAATGCGGACGACCATTCTGGCGGGTGTGTCGATTAGAGGGGTGAGGTGAGCATGGATTGACTGGATGCGCCAGAGAGCTGTTGCGGCGTTGGCCAAAATCTCCGGGTCGATGCCAAAACTGATCGGATGTTTGTTGTTCCGGACCTTAATGGGTTAGTTTACCCGATGATTACGTAAGATATAGTTAACTATGTTAGTTATTCTGTAACCTCTATATATTGAAGCTATAAGAACAAATGTATTCACTAATTGAAGATGATGTACAGCTATTGAATATTAATGGTGTTATAAGCATATTATGATTACCGGTCGATGTTGTGGTTGTCACTCACCCAACTATATATTCTAACTTCCCTCTACTTGGCCATCAATCTAATACTTCATTTCTGTAGTAAAGAAATCTGACTGCCCATGAAATACTACATAAGAGTTTATCCATCTCAGCATTTAAATTGACTAGGAAGCTAAACTCGACTACAGCGCAAAACACCTCTCGACACTATCCGCATTATTCCCCCACCAATGCACCATCTTGGCCCCCGTCGTCCCCAAAAAGATAAAGATAAACAGCAGATTTGCATTAAACCCCGTATCCAGCGCCGCCCCACTGATATAAGCCCACTTATTCCAAAAAACCCTCCGATACCGATACAGGAAGAAATTCGTGAACGTGCCCACAAGAAACGTCGTAAAGGGCCCCGTGCTCAGATTCCCGTAGAAGACAGCCGCAGACGCAAAGAAGATCGTTGTATTCCACAGATCGAACCGCGCGCGCGGGAATTTCTTGTGTAGAATCCACATCAGGCAGGGGGCGAGTGCGCCGGCGAGAAACCCCCATAGGATGGGCTTGAAGAAGGCCGAGGCGAAGAGCTTTCGGGGCCCGACGAGGGCAAACTGGATCCCTGCTGTGTTGTAGGATTGGAATTCTTGCCCGGTCCATTGGCCTAGGGGGTCGGGCTTGCGGCCGCTGACGTAGTCGAATTTGCTGGCGATGACCCACCGCATCACGCCGTAGTTGATGGGGAGGGCGAGCACGTTGGCGATTATTTGGATGCCGATGACCTGACGAGGGGGGATGTGGAGGTAGTGGCCGATCTGGTGGTAGAATGATAAGTTTGGGATTCGGGGATAGTATCATAGGAGGGAATCAGACCTTTTGGTCCTCTAGCACGATCCTAGCGTCGTACCATACGTTGCCAGAGATAATTCGATACGCAAGTTGGCCCAAAGGATGTCGGGATGAGCCTTTGACGTCAATCATATCTGCGAGCGACGTAAGTTAGGGTTAAAGAATGAAACATAGACACCACTCACATCCATATATAAGCTCGTTGAAGAAGCCGACTTTGACGGAGAAGCCAGACAGGGCATACACGAAACTCATTGGCAACATTGCTGCAGCGCCGAAGCCCAGTGCTATAAAGTACGTCCAGATGGGCATGTAGATGGCCTTGGAGACGACTACCCCAAGAAGCATAAAAAACGGCACCAGAGTGAGCGCAACCCACTCCCTATCACTCGTTAGTTGACTGCACATAATACTATAGACGATAAAACATACCATTTTGTCATACCAGGATACTGTTGGATGATTCGGCTATCACCAGTCAGCGACGGTGGCTTATACTAGGCGAGGCTGGCTTACCTCAATCTGTCCTGATGAAAGGCACCAGACTGCTTTCTGGCCTTCCATTGCTTGTAGATTTTAGGACCCAGAAACAGAGCACACCAAACGTAGGAAGACATATACGAGGCCATCCACTGGACATGTCAGCAAAACAGGAGCGAGGGATACGGAGGATGGTTTTACCATGAAGATCTGCCATGTATATTGAGCCCCCGAGTAGGCAAGCCCTACTTCCTCGTACCTGGTCTCGTTGACGTGCTGCATGCCGTTAGAGTCAAGGTAGACTGAAGCCGTTTATCAGTACATAGTCCACTATTACTAGGGAAGAGACATACTCAGTTCATTCAACGGATACGTCGACCCGTTCTTCTGGAATACTTCATTAGACATGATATCGTAAGTCGGCGAGCCCCAAAGTTTTCCGAAATACGCAATAGGAATTAGAATCCAGCACTGGCGAAATTAGACAGGTTTCCGACAGGGAATTCGTGGATCAGCTCACCGTCAATACAAAGGCCAGAAAGATAATGACTTGCACACTGTACGGGTACGTGACAACAGTTGACGTGATGTTGGACCAATTGAGGGTTATGTTGAGCAGTCCCATGCCTCCACGACCAGCCCCGATGAAGTTGACTGTATGGTTGCGGCTTGCAAACCAGCACAGCGGAGCCAGAGATGCCACGAAGGGGAAGAGATATTCTGGTAGGAACTGCCAAACAAACGTAGCCAGGAGCAGAATCCAAAACGTCTTGGACGCCGAGTCAGCGGGTGAATGCAAATGCTTCTAGATGAGTGGCCTACCTTCATCTGATCCCTGGCCCTTTTCTGCTCGGATCTGTTTCTGGCATCCATACTTCGGTAGAGTGTCACTTGCTGCAGGGACAAGGGGAACATGAATTCGGGGTCGTCTATCAGGAGTGACCGGACTAAGGCGGTTAGTTAGGGCATGTATATGAAGTCATAAAGAACATACCCATTGCAGCAAATGCAAAGCCAAGCAGGGAAGCACCCTGGTCTTTGGTCAGCATGATGCTTAGTGCGTATAAATGCCTAACATACCCATCCAAAGAATAAAGCGACTGCTGGGTTCATGGTTATATCATAGTATAAGGCAGCGTTTGTGGGCAGAAACGCTTTTCTCATTAGTTTGATATAAACAATAACGAGTAAGTTCCTTACTAGCCCATTGACCTTGACTTCCAGCATTGGCGGCAATACCAACAATTGCGTGCTCCTTGGGCGACCATGGCCCCGGATTCAGAGAGAAGGAGAATCTCCCCAGCGGTACCTTGTAGGCTGGTAGAATGCGTGCGAGAAAGCGACCAAGGGGATCGGATGCTAGAATCACAAAGAAGACTGGGAATGGCGCATACGTCGTGCGGAAGCTGGTAGCACAGTCAACTATAACGCTTCAATGCCAATTTTATGGAACAAAACGTACTAGGACAGCTGAGACACAATACTACCAATTGTGCAGAATATCGCCGAGAGCAGTATCGAACGAAAAGTCAGGACTGGAAGCGAAGGGTCGTCCTCGAAGCTAACGACAGTCCGCACCAACTCGGGGATGTTTTTGAACTCGGCGGATTCAAAGTCATATTGAGACTCGTCAGAAGAGTCGACCTCTTTCTTATTAACTGAGCCTAGGTCCTTAACCTCTGGCGACTGCACTTTCTCAGTAGGGAGCTCTGGTTCTTGTCGTTGAGCCATGTTGGTGCAGACTCTGAGAATTGCTATAGGCAGGGATATATCCCGAGGCCAGTACTTATCTACTTATACTGTTATATGGGCAATCACCGCGATATCTCTCGCGGTAGGGCATGATTGTGCAATACTTGGTGCAAATGATACCGACAGGTAGTCTCAGATAAGGATGCCTTCCGCACGGGACATATGTCTTGCTACTGGGTATGTTAAACCCACTTTGCCAGAGAAAGTCTTTTGAATACGAAAGGTGTGCTACTGCAGATATCTCCAACCCATTCGCAATGTTAGAGGGCAATTCGCAAGGCCAGGGCCAATGCGCCACCTATCCCGCATCAATTCAGGGCATTTCGCCACGACAGGGGAGCAAGTGCATGCGCAAAGACGCTTTAATCCGAGCCTAAAATCCCCCAGGAAGGAAATAAACAGGTTAAGGGCTTCGCTTACTGGCATTGACCAATTATCTAGCCTCACATTGGGATAGTCGGCCGTGGTGCAAAAATGGGGTGAAAGGTGCAATGAGGGGCCGAATTAGGGCTCGCCGAGCTTTTTCAACGAAGACCTGCCAGGTTCCTAGTGGCGCCTTTACCGCTGATTATCTCGGTTTATATCTGACTATCCCGGTTTATATCTAAACTATACGGGAGTAGCCTTGTGAGTGGCTGTTTTCGAACTGTTAGCCATCTCCCCCGCGGAAGGAACCTTGTTTATTCATGGTTGCAGCCATGGTCTGGGCTCTAAGCTCGTATCGCTCTTTATTCCTCAATCGCGTGATATTGAATTGGAGTATGTCTCATTATAGACGCAAATCTCACCATCGGTCCTCTTGCACGGGTACTGGGACGGTGGCCGTGGTTCTGCAGACAAAGCTGTTTTCGAGATAGACAGCGATGGGATATTTGTGAAGAAATATATATACACTCGATCAATAATAGTAGGTTATCAGTGATAATGGGTGAATACACGGCCAGACTCTCAGGTCTGTGTATTGCGCCATGCTAGCAAGGAATGAGCTGTTAGGTACGACGCCTCCACTGGACACTCCAAGTGGTGATTGAGTGTTTCAACACCATTTCTAATATATCTCCGTAGTTAAATGGATTAGAAACTCGCTAAGTATACGTTGAGCTGGTCCATATGTCATCATCTCCTCTTAGTATATGACAGTCCAGTCTGAGCTCCACTATTTAATTGCCGAACTTCCATCGTCTCCAACTCTCCCCTCCCCAACAATCCCCTCTCCCTTGGGATTCTACTAAATACCGCTTCTCATATCCATCATATATTAATTGGTTATATTGTGACATGGTAATTGAGCTTTGACGCTCACGTATAAATATGGTACCTCCTCGGCTGCTGCTCCTGGCCAACATCGCCAGCACCTCGGCCTTCGTGCTGCCTTTTTTGGGCCAAACGCCGATGACAGTTGGGAATTCGGATTCTGATTTTAAATGTGATTTGCCGCCTGTTCTCGATCCTGCTGGCGATGGACTACCGTCGGCAGCGAGTCTGTTCTCGTCAGACGAGGCATTGCATAGACAGGTGAAACGCCACCAGGCAATTGTGCGGGTCCCGTCTGTCTCCTACGATGATCTGGGTGAAATTGGCGAGGATGAACGGTGGAATCCATTCTACGAGCTCTTCCCTGTTCTTCAAAAGACGTATCCTACACTGTAAGTCCGAGCCCCCCCCATTTGAATAGTCGTTGGTGCTGACCAGGGCAAGTCATAAGCGGGCCAAGCTCGAGAAGATCAATACCTTTGGACTGCTTTACACGTTGGAAGGTTCCGATCCCTCGCTAAAGCCTACTGTTCTCCTCGCTCACCAGGATGTGGTCCCTGTTGCCGATGAATCCACATGGACATATCCGCCTTTCGAAGCCCACTTTGACGGCGAGTACATCTGGGGCCGCGGTGCGTCCGACGACAAAAACAGCCTCACGGGCATTCTATCCGCTGTCGAGGGACTCCTATCCGAGTCTGACTGGGAGCCCAGACGAACTGTAATCCTAGCCTTCGGATTCGACGAGGAAGTTGGCCTCAACCACGGCGCTGGACAGATCAGCAAGGTGCTCTACGAGAGATACGGCGACGACAGTGCCGCTATCATCCTTGATGAAGGCGGTTTCGGCTCGCAACCGCTTGATGGGGATACCATATATGTGCATCCAGCGATTACGGAGAAGGGCAATATCAATCTCTTCTTCGAGCTCCATGCCAACGGTGGCCACAGTTCTGTTCCCTTGCCGCATACGGCCATTGGGATTATCTCTGAGATTGTTGTCGCCCTGGAGTCTAATCCCTATGAGCCTGTGATTACCAAGAACAGCCCTATCCACAAGCGTCTGGTGTGTCAAGCGCGCTACTCTCCCAACTCTCAGCCCAAGATCGAAGAGCTACTGAGGAATGGGGACTTTGAGAACCTTGCGGTGGAATTCGCCAACACTACACCGTTGAACCGTTTTGTAGTCCAGACTTCGCAGGCTGTTGACCTGATCGAGGGCGGAGTCAAAATCAACGCCATGCCGGAAGTTGTTACTCTGGCCGTTAACCATCGGGTTGCACATCATCAACGGCCTGTAGATGTTCAAGTTAAGGCTATCCAAGTGATTGGAGACGTTATTAAGAAGTACGGCCTTAGAGTCGACGCCTTTGATGGTGACAAGGAATATCACGACCATGTTGCCGGATTTCATCCAGATGATACTCCTTCCCGCAGCGATCTGAAACGCCGCGATGGAGGCGACGTCGACTACAACGGCAGCCTTGTCGTCCGGGCCAGAAAGGCCGAAGCAGCACCCATCTCCCCTGCCGATGATCCGGTGTGGGATGTGTTCTCAGGAACAATCCGACACACTTTTGGAGCAGAGGGCAAGACCGTCGTGCCGATTGGAGACATTATGACTGGAAACACAGACACGAGATACTACTTGAGTAAGTTTCTAAATTGAGAACAAGCCTTATATCATCCATACTGACATTCACATTAGATCTTACCCGCAATGTTTATAGGTGGACGCCAGCTATCGGCCGCGGACTCGATAACACCCACACCGTTGATGAGCGGGTGAGCATCTATGACCACTTGTACGTTGTTAAGTTCTATTATGACTTTATTCGTAACTTTGATGCGGCGGATGTATGAACTATGTATCAGGATAGCTATTAATGACATTGGTTATTGTTCATATGATATCAATTCTACCTTTCTGGTGCCCTAAGCAGTTTGTCTTTGTATTTTCTGCCCTGTTTCAACTACCTGATTAATTCTTAAATTTTCCCAAGAATAGTTAGTATCATATGCTTCATCCACTAGCTATTTCGTTACAAACATAGATGCCTTGGGTTGGGTTAGGGCATTGTGACGCCTCAGGCAGAAAACAGGACTAAGATGAATTCGGAAGCCGTCAACGTTTGAGTGACGTAGAGCTCGAGGACTGAGAGCTCATTCTCCAACTGTTTAATCACTCCTACATAACAACACCTTAGGCCTCGAATCGCTCCTTATCTCAAGCATCTCTCAAAACTTCTCCGAGAAAAGCTCAAGGGCCTCTAGAGACATTGTATGATCCGTCCCGCACTCTTCGTCCGCCGCTTTGCCTTCCCCGCATCTATAAGGTCTTACCATAGATCCGCAAGCATGGCCCTCAAGGTATGGAGCCTTCAATGTTGACCTTAAATATGGTCCTACAAAACTCCGCATCTAACGGACTCTAGGCAATTTCCTCCAAGGATGCGGCCTCCCTGGATGAAGACCTCATCGGGACCGGTGGGTTCTCTCTCGACCAATTGATGGAACTCGCCGGTCTCTCTGTATCGCAAGCAGGTGAGAGAGACAATACTTCTACCAACCATCCAATTTCCGAAAATTGAGCCTGAGTTTGACTCTATAACAACGCAGTCTATCGCGTCCACCCCCCAAGTGCAGGAAAGAATATCCTTGTCATCTGCGGCCCCGGAAACAACGGTACTCCCCAACCCCAGTGAACCCCTACTACACCGACAATCAGTAGCTAAACGCATCATAAATGAAAAAGGAGGCGATGGTCTCGTCGCAGCCCGCCATCTAGCCCAATACGGATACAGCCCATCAATCTACTACCCAAAAGAAGGCAAAAAAGAGCTCTACAGCCGTCTAAAAACCCAACTCTCGCACCTCTCCATCCCCTTCGTCGCGCCATCCGACTTCCAGTCCACCCTAGCAAAAACATCCTTAATTGTCGACGCAATCTTCGGCTTCTCGTTCGGCGGGCCCCTTCGCGACCCGTTTCCTGATATTATCTCCGCAATGGAGAATGCCGCCGCGCCGGTCCTGGCTGTTGATGCGCCGAGTAGTTGGGATATTGAACAGGGTCCGCCGAAGGATGGACCTGGGAGTCGGTTTATGCCGGAGTATTTGATTAGTCTGACGGCGCCGAAGCCCTGTGTGAAGTTTTACAAAGGGAGACATTTTGTAGGTGGGAGGTTCTTGACGAAGGATATTGCGGGGAAGTATGGTTTGGATTTACCGCAGTATCAGGGGCTCGATCAGGTGGTGGAGGTTGGGGTTGATGATGAGGGGAGGCTTTGAGGGTTACCTTATCTATGTGCAATGCCTAGGAGAATATATTAATTGAGTGGTTACTAGATGTCAATGTCGTTGACTTTTGGAAGAAAAAAAAAAAAAAAATCTATTGGATGGTCATATCGGCGTATAAGCTCGAAGCAAAAATGCACGCTACCAACGTAGTAGTCAATTAACAACCCATCTACGGCAAAGCCTCTTTGATCTCGGAAATGATGCCCTTGGTTCTTGGTTCCTTCCCAAGCCCAGAGCTTGAAATGGTTTGCAGAATCGCGTTGACATCATAAACCTCTTTAGCAGCAGCCTTGACCTCGCTCTCTAGTTCTTTGACCAAAGTCCCCAAACCAACAAGGCTGCGGTAGACTGCCTCCGAGTCTTTCTCTCCAGAAAGCACCCGTTGGATTTCTTCCAGGAGCACCAAGCCCCGCTCGCTGGACTCAGGGCTTGTATTTCGTCCTTCGGAGGTGGAATACACTGCTATGTTGATATAGAGAGTCGCCACCGCAATGGTAAGGTTGCGGTTTGGTGAAGCCCCGCTGTTTGCTAGGCATGTCTTGAGAGCGGTGATGACCTGGCCGAATTGACTTATAACAAGCTCACGGCCAGCTTGAGTTTCGAAGAGGTTGGCGAACAATCGGACCGACAGCATTGCGTTGTTGACATTTAGTGGTGCGTTGAATATTCCACTTTCGATAATACCGGTGACCAGGTCTTTGCCATGGTAGTCTGCCGTGGCCGTCACAGGAGTGGCCGCAGCAAATAGCCGCAGGATGTCAAGACCAGGTAGCCTATTCGCCGCCGGCCAAGCTGTTGCAACCTTAAAGAGAAGATTTACACCTGCTTCCACAGCTGGCGAGTCTTTTAAAGAGCTTGTAGTTTCCAGCTCATTGCATAAGGAGACCACTGTATCCACCTCTGAAGGACTCAAGGACAAATCCTTCGAACCCTCAGAGACAAGTTTGTCATTTAGCTCCTGTAGCTTTTTGCAGATGACTTTAAGATTGGCCGTCTTAATGGAGAGATAGGTCTTTTGTGGAAGGACTTTCGGACGTGATTCAGGGATATTTGCTGACTGAGCAGCAGCATCCCCAGGTCGATAGCGTCTATCTTGACCCCACGGATCGGAGCCAGTATCCTGAGTGGACTGGCCGATAGTTGCACCCTGCGTATTTTGAACGATAAACTGAGCAACTTGATCGAGATAGCTCATTGGCAACTCATTGTCACCGATAAACTTGGTTGCAGCTTCGTATGGATTCTGGGAGAGATTGTATGGGAGTTTGAGGGGAGGTTTGCCATCCTCCACATCAACATCAAACACATAATCGTAGTCTTGACCCAGGTATTCTGTTTTCCTTCCGCTACTGCCGGCAGAATCCACCACAGTACCTACCGATTCCCATCTCCCCAAGGCGGCTGACCACGTGTGAGCGGTGACACTTCCGTTTGCCTCAGAAATCATTTGCACTTGACCATCCTTGGTACCGGACTTTTGCTGTAGGAACTCGGGGCCGGGTAGCTTCTCCTTGTTGATTTTCCCAACCTGCTGTTCCGGGATTGCTGATTCCTTCACAGCCGTTTCAAATTGTTGGACCACCTCGGCACTCGCCCGTCTCTCTGATGACCTTGTGAAAACCCGAGTTACGCGATCGCTTGCTCCTGTTGCAATATCGCCGTTCTCTTGGCAAACCGCAACACTCCAAACTGAGATAGCAGGGTGGGTAATAGTCTGCACACACTGCGTGCCGTTCCAAACGCGTACTGTGCGATCCTCACCAGAGCTAACCAGCTCACCGGATGGCAAGGGGGCCAAGGAATAAATAAAGCTCTCGTGGCCGTTGAGCTCAGCAACAAGGTCGCCATTCAGTGTGAATAGACGGATTACCCCGTCGTTGCTTGCAGAGGCAAATTGCGCACCAGTGGGGTGGGAAGGCGGGAGTTTGCACAACGCTCGAACGACATCGCGCGAGTCTTTGATAGCCTTTAGCAGTTTTCCGGACGTATTGAATATCCGAATTATGTTGTCCGCACAGCCTTGGGTATAGTTTAGCATTTGAGTCTGGTTCATGTCAAAGGTTGTGTTTACCTGTGATTATAGTATTCTTGTCGTAGGCCAGCACTGCCCACACACTCCCCTGATGATCTTCCAGTACGACTTCGGATTCCCATTTGCCAACTCTCCAAAGTCGAGCAGTGGAATCCCAACTTCCACTAACGACCCAGCCCCCTTCCGGACACACGTCCAAGGCACAGACTGTATGTGCATGGCCGAGAAGCATAGCATCCGCATTGTCATTCCCAGTCTTGCCGGGTTGTCTGGCTTCGATAATTGTGTCTTGGCCTCCTGAGAAGACTAGTCCCTCAGGGAATTCGGGGGTTGGGGGGTAATATGCTAGGGCGTTGATGAATGCTGAACCATGAGAGACGATCGTATAGTCGTATGTCGGAGGAGGGCTGGATACAAGCTTCCAGAGTCGGACAGTGGCGTCACGAGAAGCAGAAAAAACAGCGTTTGAATTGGGAAAGGCCACAGCGCGAACCTGAAGGAAGACAGTAAGTTGTTAGTGAGAGTGCGTCGTGGGAGTTTGATTTCCCTGTGTTGTCAACACAGCGAGAGCGGGGAGCTTCCTTACATCATCGCCATGGCCCTCCAAGGCAGCGGAGATCTTGAATTCAGGCATACATAAACAGAGGGAGGGTTCGAACTCAGGAAGTGGTAGTCAGACGGGGTAGAGGAGGGCGGATCGAGAAGGGCCAGGAAGAAAGAGGTCTAGGGATGAAAGGGAAGTAGATGGTGAGTTGAGACCCCGACTCCGGGGAGGCTCGTGGCCACTACAGGCATCCCAGTTCCACTTGGCAGCTCCGGCCGATCTCCCAGTGAAGAGGGGCGTCAGGTGGGCGGTGAGGCCCAGAAGCTGCTAGAAGTATAGAATCATGAGTAATCAGGGCCACGCCGACCACTGCAGTTCATGCCGGGGCTGGTGATGTTCAGTGGGACTGCGAGATCAGCTCTTCCAGCGGTGGCCCCTTTTGTCTCAAAAACATGCTCTGTACTTGTAGATTTGCCATTTCAGGTGGTCAACACCGCTGTTAAAGTATACCCATCACGTGCTAGTCGGCTAGCCCCATCCGGACTAGCGCCCCCTCACTGTGCTCTCCGCCAGCGCCGATGACTTGAGCAAGCGTCAAAAGTTGCCTTCATGCTCACTTCTGGGCTGGAGTCTCCGTTCTCTTTCAAATCGCTTTTCAGACGGGTGTCGTTGCGGGTGGCCGGTACAGTCCTTGGTTGACTCGATATTAGGCCTGCTTTCGCTGCCTTCTTCACTGCTCACTCCCTCTCCGGGACTCGTCATTCTCTTCGTTTGCCGTCATTTCTATACAAAACCCCCGCGTTTCTAGCGCTGATGACCTGACGAGACCGACGAATTTCCTTCTGTATTTCTAGTAATTCCTCTCTCACGCGATATTCGGACTGCTTTGTGCAAATACACATTTCTTTCGTCGACAGGCCTTGGGCTTATCTCTGGGTTGCACATCTCATCTTCGCATTATTAACGGCCATTCTGGAATTGATATCCCCCGTTTCTGCTCGAACTTTGATCTCATTATGGCTTCAGGTATGTTATCATAATTTTCTGCGTTTTGTGCCCTGACCGCTGACAATTGAGCCTTAGATATCCCTAAAGTTGTGCCTTTAACTTGTCACGGACACTCCCGTCCTGTGCCGCATATTAGTTTTTCGTCCACCGTTGAGGACGACCAATATTATCTTGTTTCTGCTTGTAAAGGTTGGTAGCATTGCAGTCTACTTCTCCCGTCAGATAGACTAACTCTACCAGATAACAATCCTATGCTTCGGGATGGTATCACCGGCGATTGGTATGACTTGGCCCCTCCTGTGCAGCTCCGCGCCCGGTGACAATCAACTAAACGCTATTTCAGGATCGGCACTTTCCTCGGTCACAAAGGAGCGGTATGGCAAGCTCGCCTGTCGACCGACGCTAACATAGCTGCAACTGCTGCTGCGGATTTCTCGGCGTGAGTGTCATCCACCAATCTATAAGCGGATAGTCCCTACGGCCGGTTGACTAACGACTCTTTCACCCATGCAGCAAGGTCTGGGATACCCATACAGGCGAATCTCTGCACACTCTCCAACACAACCATATTGTCCGAGCGGTCGCGTTCCCTCTCCAACCATCTCCCCAAGTCCTCGCAACTGGCGGTTACGAGAAAAAGCTCCGAATCTTCGATCTAACGCGCAGCGGCGGCAGTAGCAACGGATCCTCCCCAACAGCCCCGTCACCAAGTGCAGCAGCAGATAATGGCGCCCCTGCGACAAGCTACGAAATCGGCCCTGGTGTTCACGGCGGCATCATCAAATCCATTATCTGGAATCGCGACTACAACATCCTCACAACAGCCGCCGACGACCGCAAAATCCGCTGGTGGGATCTACGCTCCCGTCACCCAGTTGTCGAACACACTGTCGATGGCAACATCGGTAGCTGTGAGCTGAACACCCTCGCTTCTCGCCCGAACGACCCGGGCATCCTTTCCGTCGCCGCCGGAAAGAGCGTTTACCTTTTCGACGGTCTTAACCCGGGCATCCTTTCCGTCGCCGCCGGAAAGAGCGTTTACCTTTTCGACGGTCTTAACCCGGGCAGACTCCTCAAGAAGATCGACTTCCGATATGAGGTTGCCAGCGCGGCTGTGAACAATGATACCGCACGTCTAGTTACGGGGAGTGCGGACGACACTTGGGCGCGCGTATACGACCTGCACACGGATGAGGAGCTGGGTATGACTCTTCCCCCCCTCTTATCTTACATTTTTCGTACGATTATCGAGAACTGGACTAACATATAACAGAAGTTCAGAAGGGTCATCACGGCCCTATCTGGTCTGTCGGTTTCTCACCCGACGGCAAATTGTACGGAACTGGAAGTGAAGACGGAACGATCAAGCTCTGGAAGGCTTGTAGAGAGCCGTATGGCTTGTGGCGCTGATATGCAAAGATTCTTTCAATACAATAAAGACAAGTGTATAGCCAATTTACTAGTATAATAAGAACATAATAGTGAATCGCACTTGTAGGCTTAATCTCCCTACCACTGTATATATCAGTCATACAACGGGCGTGTCATCAACTATACTAGTTATTTGTTTAACTGGAGATGAGAATAGATTGTAAATCGGATCCAACGACAACTAAAGGCGTATTCCAGTTTCACTTTTGATTATAAAAAATTGCAAGTGGGCCTTACATAGGAAGGTACAAGATAGAAATGAGATCAGCACCGCGATATCACACAAAGATTTGGCAAACTCCTCTATTCAATCATGTCGATATCGTCGTCACCAGCCGGTGCCGCCGCGGCGGGCTCAGCAGCGGCTGCAGGAGCAGGGGCCGTTTGTTCTGCCTGTTCAGTTGCACCAGAGGCCGCACCACTACCCCAGTAATCCTCCATCTCCTGGTCGAGCTGCTCTTGTGTCTTCTTGGGACGGGGGTTACCTCCACGGCGGGATTCTCTGTTCTCGCCTCCTTGTCGCCGGCCACCACCACCGCCGCGGCGGACTGGGGACCGTTGGCCGGGGATGTAACGATCAATGTGTTCGGGAGCAGGCTTGGATACATCGCTGCGGCGGTAGTTTGCACCTCCGCGACGGCCACGACGACGGCGTCCGCCATCCTCAGCGCTTTCGCTCCGGTTTCCAGTGGGGCTTAAACTGCGAGCGTCTCGGCCGCCCGGTCTCTCAACGCGGTCAAAGAGGCTGCCCTTTGGCTTTTCGACGTTGTCGAATGGATTCCGGCCCCGTCGTGGTGCGGAGGAAGTTATCGAAATACGAATGGGTTGACCTTTAGCGTTGGCGCCATCGAACTCCGCGATCGCTGTTCTCGCATCGCTGTGGCGGGCGTACGTAACATAGGCAACTCCCTCGGAGCGTCCGGCGCGGTCGTAGACAAGAGATACGTTCGAGATGGATCCGATCCGACAGAATAACTCCTAATGGGCGAATCTTATTAGAACTTGTGATCTCAAATATTCATAGTATCCCAACGTACTTCAAGATCGGTCTCTGTGATATCGTAGTGGAGATTCTCAATGCGAAGTCTGGTTCCCGAAGGCGCGCCCCTAGTACTAATTTAGCGCCACTCGCACCACAAGAGACATCCTAATAAATCATACCGTTCCGGAGACGGGGAGTATCGGTCACCACGAGGCCGTCGAGAGCCACGGGACGGGCGTGCTGAAAATATGCGTAAGAACCAAAGCCACCGAGCACCGAACGTCGTTGTTGCAAAGGTAGGTTTCAAAACGTACTGTCTCGGTCATCTTCATACTTGTCGTGGACCCAATCCCTATATTTCCACGAAAGAATGAATCAGTAAACCAAACTCGGAATCGCAAATGGTACAGGGGTCACCGTACAGATCCAAGTCAACATGTTCATCTCTATAAGGCTGTTGTGATCAGATCAAGAGAAACAAGGTCAGCCCGAAATCAAATCAGGTTATCTATCATGGAACTGCTGCATCATTTTTTCCCGTGGCGATTTTCGCAGCCTTCAGGATAGGTGTATCCGAAGGAAAAATAATCACAGGACCACCGAATTTTTGCTTATCACAGTGTTGAAGAAAGGCGCGAAAGGAGAGGAGGAGTAGGAGGAAGGACCTGGGGATTGGGCGAAGGGCACCCAGTTAGTGAATGCGGTCGTTTTGGGTTGCTTGGGTTGCTTGGGGTCTTGGGGTCTTCGGGGGTGGTACCTTTTTTACGCCATTTGAGCGGCGGCCTTGGTTCCGGCCACCTCTGTTCTGGCCACGATTTTGCCTCTGCTATACGGGCATGTCAGCGGAGCCCAATGGGCACGAAGCTTCTAGAGAGGGTTGGAAAGCCTTACAGGGCGCTCTGCGATGATCTCATCCAAGCTGCGGTCCATTTTTTGGGCGCGAATAAGAAATGTACGGAGGAATGGAAGGAGGGAAAAGGAGAGAGGAAGAAAATATTGGAATATGTAGCACACCCAATAAGTAGAAGAATGCCAATGGAGTTGAAGTCTAGTGTTGTGACAAGAAGGTCGGAAGGGAACAAGCTGTGAGGAAGAGCATGGCCACCACGTGACTCTATCTGGGGCCGGAGCTGTTCCGCCTCAAACACTGCTCCAGAGTTATGTAGGGCACATAAAAAGGGTCAGAAGCATTCAGAGCTTCATGATGGTTATTTTGGTATAACTTAATACATTTTCTATTTTTTTTTTTAATTCTAAAATTTCACCAAGCATTACTGCATCCAGCTGCATAAACAGAGGAAATAACAACCTTTCTCAGAGAATGGAGAAACCAGGCGCAAAACGGGGATGTAAATCAGAAACGCATAGGAATGCATAAAAGCCCTTACAATGCATCATGGAACCAATCGCCAACCCAGACAGAACCTCCATTGAGCACCAGTCAACACCTATCGCAACATCAAACAAAAGGTAGGCAGGGAAAGTAAGGACAGCAAGGTCGCAGGCATAAAATCACTCGCTACCATTGATAGCAGCACGGTTCTTATTCTCATCCATCATCTTCTCCATGAAGCTGATATAGTCGTATTTTGGAAGTTCTCTGTCCTCCAAGAGATCCGGGCCGTCATGCTGAGGCATAGTCTTCACGAGATGTTCGATGATCTCGTCTGGTATGAGCGAATGTCGAAGGTCAAGCTCTGTGACATAGGGCTGCAAAGAAGTTAGTTTCGGGTGTCGAGGGCCTAAATTTATTGAAGGAGAAACATACCTTGCCGTCCGCAACTTCGCGGAAACTTTGGAATACCTGCTCTGCAGTATTCTGGTCCTCTGTTACGCTGACCATGAAACGAATAAACTGTTCGAAACTGACACCGCCGTTCTGGGATAGTCTAGTAGGACCACAAGTATCCACGTAAACTTCATGCATCTCCTCTTCGTCATACACAAGGCCCAAACTAGCCAAGGCGGCTGAGAATTCCAGCTCTTGAAGCGTATTGGATGAGTCGCGGTCAAAATGCCGGAATACTGATTCAAACTCTTCTAATTGAATTGGTGTGAGATTCGTCATGTTTCGCGCAACAAGCTGGTTGTCCAGGAAAGCCATCTTCTTGGATATGCTTGATTTGACCAGGCTCAGCTCGTAAGCGAGTTCGTCCAGTGTATAAGTTGTATAGTCATTCTCTTCAACGTTTGCTTCCTGGCACTGCTCCTCCAAGTCTGCAATAGTCTCCAGGAAAGCATCGAGAGGCGGCAGGTTGTCATTAAGTCTCCTGACATGGGCGAGTTGATCTGCAACATCCCCATCGAGACCCGAGATCGCAAGAGACAAAGTCTTGAGTGTCAGGGCAAAGTCATTCGCCTTGTCAGCAAAGGAACGTCGCAAAGCATTCTTTATATCTCGAATGGTCTCGTTAATGAGCTGACTCCGTTCATGCTCATCACGGGTTAGGCATTCCCACTGCTGGTCGCAGGCTTCAGAAGATAACTCTGGCGGTGGATCGTAGGCCCGCAGGCGATATGTGCTAAGCTTCGTTTTTATGTTGCCCAGAAGAGCTGCGAGATCTGACTTTTCAGCCACCCACTGGCGCTTCTGATTCCGCTTATACATGGAAAACTGGGAGGCCTGCTCCTTAGCATCCTTGTACGTCCCTTCGAAAGACGAGTTCGTCCAGTCGTCGCGCTGGGTCTTAATCAGGCGCAAGAGTTCTCTCATTCTCTTCTCATACGAGTTTTGCATCTCCCATGCGCCATGCATGTTGTTAACAAACTTCTCAACTCGACGACCTGCATTCTCTACCCTCTCAAGCTGAGAAAAGGCATGGAACCAGTACGCAATGTAAGTCATCAACGAGCGTTCATCGGGTCTGGCAACATCGCAGACATCGTCAACATCAAGAAGATCGGGGATACCGACCTCATTCGCAGCGATATCGAAGGCGAGTTTCATATTTCCGCGGTGGTCATTCTTGTCCAGCGAATCATAGTCGATCAGGTCCGGACGGTGGATGTCTAAAAGAGCACAAAATGCAAGACCGTCGTTCCAACTGGACGAAAAGTCTCGAACCTCCACGTCCTCGTAGCAGGCGGTCTTTCTTTGACACCAAAGCAGGAGACCTGCCTTCGCTGTCATACCCTCTTCATTGATATCGCTGATGGTGAATCGGAGAATAAGCGTCCAAATCAGACCAAGGACAATCTTCTGGTTACCATCGACAATGTCCTCCGCTCCGATATTGGTCATCTGGATCCCCCGCCCTTTGATAAAGTCGAGACTTTTGTTGACATTTTCGAACTTTTGTACGCGAAGCTTCGGGTTGGCGGCGTATCGACCAAGCGAGTCTCCGCCGAGGATCTCGAGGAGATGGATAAGGGTAACCTAAGCAGACGATATTTATCAGTAACCGCAATCTCCAAACCACGGAGTGGGGGATAACTTACGCCATTGGAAAGTTCCTGTACCAAATTATTGAGGACAATGTCCCTCACTTTTAACTTATTGTTGAGCCTGCAGAAAACATGGGCATCAGCTGTTGTAAACTCTACAGAATGAAAAGGCGACACCAGAACCGATAAGCTCCAGAACACAAGGGGCTTCAAAAAATGCAGATAGGCACCGAGGGGGAGGAGGGGTCGCAACAAGAGTAGCCGAACCATTTTGTGAATGTCTTCTGCTGCACATTAACCCACGACTCATCAACCGTCAACATGTTGAACGATATTCAGGTTCGAGGACATTCAGGGTATGCGAGAAAGGTGTGTCGTGTGGGCAGTGGTTGTCTTCAGCGATCGAGGAGGACGTCTCAGCGAAGCTATCGGGTTACTATTGATAGATGGATCGCCTAGGTGGAAAAGGACAAGATCTTCATAAAGACCCGGCCAGAGGAGAGTGAAGTGCTCGGGACAAAGACAGGACAGTGGGCGGGAAGCCGGTTGAGAGTTGAAAGAAGTCCGCGATTCATGGAATTGGATCGAGTCAATCGGAGTCTAAGGGGTTCGTTTCGTCGAACATATCAACACAAAAAGCGTCCCCTCCGCCCCCACAGCAACCGCTGCCCGGCATTCCTTGGATCGCGGTTCTCCCCCCGACCCTTGGTTTCGGCGAGGACAAGGGGTCGGCAATATAATCTAATTCTTTTTTGGGGGGCTAACGATGCGATATCTACACTCTATCGTCGACCGATTTGGCTGGGCACTTCTTTTTGACAGCGTTTTTCTGCGCTTGCATGATGATTGTCTCCCCAGCCTCCACTTTTGTGCTACACGATATGATAGGTAAGGCGTCTATTTTTGGCATTGTCTTCAATTCCATATTTGGCTCTCTCCTCGTCTTAATAGCACCGAGATCCAACCAGGTTTCCTCGTCGCCTATATTGCATCTGATGTCACGCCGCCAGACGGGGTCAATATGAGTAAAAGGCCAGCCTCCTAGTATCGTACCATTGACCGAAATGAATCGATTATCGCATACTGAGCAAAGACCAGGCTAGATTCGGAAGTGCTCCATTCATCGTCCGCATTACATGGGGGCAAAAACAATATAGTGGGGTTTGCGCAGCGACAGCTTGACTGTTTGAGTGGCTGTACTCCGGAGTAGGCTCGTTTGGCCTCATCCTGAGATGGGAACGGTTGGCAGGAAAGCACAGCTCGCCGATCAGTTGGGCCGTGCGCTCTCGTGTCAAGCTTTCATTGATCAGGGAGAGATTTTGTTTAATCCATCGATTGTCGTGTTGGCCTTCAAGTCATACTAGCAATCATCAGCGTCAGCACGGCCGTCATGATAAGTATCCTAAATCTCGAAAGACAGTTGAACTGGCCGAGATTCGCCGGATGCGCATTTTCACGGCATAAGTTAGCGCTCGAAGGATGCGTAGGTAGAATCAATTCGAAAGACTGTAGAGAAGACAATCGAAAGAAAGACAAAACTGAACAACGAAGTTGTTCATTAATAATGGCCCAGGCGGCGCAGTCATCACAAAGAATTGCGCCATTGGAGCGGGCAGATGATATCATGGCCAGCGGCGGGGCAGCAGCCGAATTTCTGCCCGCCGGAGCCCATATCATTCCCTCAACACCCGCGAGACACCACGTTATAACCATAGCTCTCTTTTCCATTCAAAGTCACCCTATCGTGTCGCGAAATCATAGCCAATACATAGCGAAACCATGTCGAACAAACTCGCCTTTACGGACGTCCTACCTCTTCCGAATTCATCGGTCAAGATCCCGCGACTTGGGTTCGGTGTCTATCGCTCTCCGGCCGCGCAAGCCACACAGTCGAGTCTCAAGGCACTTGAGGCAGGATATCGACACATCGACACAGCGCAATTCTATGCGAACGAGAAAGAGGTTGGGGAGGCGATCCGAAGCTCTGGTCTTCCCCGCAGCGAAATCTTCGTGACCACCAAGATTCTCGCCCCCGCGGGCTCGCCTGAAGAAACCTACAAAAAGATTTCGGACAGCGTGGATAAGATCGGTGGCAAGGATGGATACGTGGACCTTTTCCTCATTCACAGCTCTAGCTCCGGGTCGGCTGGCCGCAAGGAGCTTTGGCAGGCGTTGGAAAGGCTGCTAGAAGAAGGCAGAACAAAGAGTATCGGAGTCAGCAACTTTGGCGTAAAGCATATCGAAGAGCTGAAGCCATTCGCCAAGGTCTGGCCGCCACATGTTAACCAGATTGAGGTATGTTTGCGGACATTGTTTTCCGGCATAAGAGACATACGTTAACTGACTTGAACTTTGCAGCTCCACCCATGGTGCCAGCAGCGGGTAATCGACGCGTACTGCAAGAAGCACGGAATAGTCGTCGAGGCTTATTCGCCAATTGTTCGAAATTACAAGGCCAACGACCCTACCCTAATCGAGCTTGCCAAGAAGTACAACAAGGCGACACAACAAGTTCTGATACGCTACGCATTGCAAAAGGGCTGGGTTCCGCTCCCAAAAACGGACGACCCGGAGCGCATTGTTTCCAACGCCGATGTATTCGACTTCGATATCTCCGATGAAGACATTGCCGTGTTGAATGCACTGGACCAGGGAAGTGCGGGGGCCATAGTAGAGGCTGTTGAGAACGAGTAGATCGTGTCGTCTAGATTCTATGGTAGTAGTAATGCAAGTCTGAAAATTTTAATAGTCCGGTGGTTGCATGAGAAATGCGTTGACCGATTGCAACGTACTGCGCGAGGGATTCACGTCGTTTTTTGAGGACACTATCCAAGCAAGACGTTGTCGGATGAATTGTTTGCCTATCGTTTCTGTTCGAGGCCCGACAAATTCACCTATCACGGTCAGTTTAAACATAATTTGAAAGGGTATTGGTAATGCAGCTTACCAGCATCACTATAGAATAAGCATATTATTGTGAGCAAGGCCCCAGCGGAGAGATCTTTTCCGGACTCGCACATAACGAGCAAGGACTGGGACGGGTTTGAGTTCAAATGAGAAGCCACAAAATCCCGAACCTTGTCCAAATGGTTTCGTAGGTCACGGCCACCTTGTTTCGAGGATATACAGCCTAGGTTAAGGCGTTTCGATTTGCTTTCTGCGGCTTCAATGGCCTCTGGGTTGCCATTGCAATCGATGACAAGATCATAAAGGCCATTCTCAGCCAAACCTGGGTCTGCTTGGCTAATATAAAGGTTCCGAGATGGCGTAACAAGCGTCGCTTGTTGGTCAGAAGTCTGCTTACGATGTTCCCGCATCAACTTCCCGATTACCTCGGGCAGGTCTTCTTCTGATTGTGCAAGGAGTGTAGATTTGTGAGGCCAAAATACGGGTGGTGTTAAGCCATGGGCCCAGGCCTCGCTGTCATCACCCGCACCCTGGATATATCCACCTTCGGATATCTCAGCACCATGAACCCGTTTTGAAGCCGAGCAAAGAACAAACAGATTAAAATCTTTGTCTTTGCGTAGGTCAGTTGGGTGGAAATACGTTCGATTTGCCCAGGCAACCCGAATCGGTTTCCCTAGCTGTTTTCTCAGATCATCCAGATCAAGTTTAAGACTCTGGGTTTTGTTAGTCCACATTGTGATTCTTGTATGCAGGCTCTAGAAGACATACCTTGAGTGTATGGACAAAGCCGTCGATCCTTTTTGCAATCTGTGACTCTTCGGATTGGCCTAGATAATTTGGCGGCAATTCCACGGAATGATATGCAGTCTCTGAAGGGAAGAGCGCTCTGTTGAAGACAGCACACCAGATGGGAATGGTTTTCGACAAGGCATCGGGCATCACTAGTGATAGTCCGTGAGATAAAGCGACTGGGGAAAGACTTGGAGCAGCATCAGCTAATCATATCACTTACATTTGCCACGGCGCGTGGAATCCACTATGATACAGCTGCAAGGATTGGATAGTTGTAGTTAGCTTGAGAAAACGAAAACCGCGGGCACATGTTTTGACAAGCGCAACAAATGCATGGCTCACTAACCCTCCATGCTCCCGGGCAAGTGGGAGAATCTGCAGGTTTAGTCTTCGAAAGCTAAAGTCCCACTGGCCAGTGTGACCGTCGGTGCTCTTAAAGTATGCACTCCCGGACTTGATCTCAGGCGGGATGTACCAACTGCCGCACCTTTCATTGGCAACCAGAGGAAGACCATAGTGATCAGCGACCTCGCGGACAAAGGCCGCGTCGGCGTCAATTGACCGCAGTCGGTTGTTCACGGAAAGGGCGGATCGTCGCAAGGAGGCTAGCGTCTGGGACACAGATGGCAGCTCGGTGGAGGGGAAATGAAGCGACGACACGGACACGGGGAAGTCTGGATTGGCAATATTACCCATGTCTATTCGCTCTTCGGCTGCGTTGCAGGAAGAGAAACCAAGGCGCAGTCGAGCCAAACAGGTATTTGAACAAGTTTGCAAGGGGTGCAGTCAGCCCTCAAGGTCCGTGGGCAGGCTGAAGGTATAGACAAATGGCTCGAATAGGAAAATATTCCATCCACGTCAAAGCGTCCATGGGAATCTTTGCTCTTTGTCCACCTGCACATTCAGGCGGCATATTAAGCCAATAAGAGGCACACCGGGTCAGCAAAAGTGTGCAGAAGTGGGCCTCGGGAGCATTCTTGGGATCTTGAGCCTTGGTATCTGCCCGATAATTGAGGCACCAACAAGTCCGGTATTGACTCTGCCGGACTTGTTCACGAGGCTGCCCCAACTCCTACCTTGGTGATTAGACTCCGGTTAATGCATGCACTGGGAAACTACAGGCAGCGGCAAGGAGCCATGGTAATATCCGGGGGAACAATATTTAGCGCTTTGGAAGGAAACGGTTGCATTGAGGTTGACTGCCTCACGATAATCCTCATGCACTAAAGACAACATGGCTGCGGAAACCAACGCTTAGTGCTCCAAACTCCGGCCGATTTAGAGTGCAGCTGATCAACCGCTGATTCGTGGCTTATCCCTGGAAAGACTGACTACGACGGTTGATTCCAAGACTTGAGGTCGAAAATTGATTCATTCCCTAGACGCTGGAACACAGTACTCCGCGTGATATCAACGGGCTGTCGAAACAGCTGCTTGTCTCGTAAACGCGCTGGGGTCCGAGTCATCATCGAGTCCATTATAGTCTCACCGAAGAGATTCTTTGCGTCGGTTCAAGACCCGGCTAGTTCGAATTGCAAATGGCTGCCCAAGACATGTTTCAAATTGCAAAAGCCCAGGGGCTGCATCCCCGCCGAAATGAAAAGAAAGGAGAACAAGGCCATGGAAGGAGTGGTGATAGACTGGCATGATTCTATCCGGTTCTCCAAAGGGCAAGGGCCGGGTTCTGCGCATTTCCATACGGGCAGCCCAGGTTGTTCGCCCAACCGCACTACCCCCAAAGCAGGCAAGGCCAAGGGGAGCCCACGCGTTTCCTGAACAGGCGAGGCCTCGGGTGCTTGCTCTGATAGGCCTAGCACTGGAGGGAAGCCTGGGCGGCCCCGAGACCCGCCGCCTCTCGGTGTGCTCACAGGCCTGTATTTTTGCGGTCGTTAACGTCAGGTATGACCTCAGCCCCGCCGTCTCGCCCCTGCCTGGAACAATAACCATGACATTATCGTCCGGCCCCTCTTGAGGAAACTGATATGATTTTCTGGGTCTCGGCTCTCTCCAAGTCTACTTAAGGGTCCGCAATACCCTCATTTCTGCTCTTTTCGTTCCACAGTTCCCTGCAAGTCCAATTCTCAGCCAAACACCCTCCCCTCACCCGAGTCCACCTTCCTCGATCTCTCCACATCAGACCAACTTAACTTACCTATCAAGCCTCTCGCACGTTATCCGCCATGGCTAAGGTAAAATACTCTTCAATGATACCAATCATCGCTTCCAATCGTTACTAACACTTCCGCGCTAGATCACCGAGATTTTCTTTGACTGCGATAACACTCTGGTCCTCTCGGAAGAGTTGGCCTTCGAGGCATGCGCTGATCTTGCCAATGAGATCTTAGAGAAGCAAGGTCTCTCTATACGCTACACCGGCGAGGAGCTCATCAAGGATTTCGTCGGTCAGAACTTCCGCGGCATGATGCAGTCTCTTCAGGCCAAGTTCAAGTTCGAGCTCAGCAAGGAAGAACTGGAAGCTTATGTTACAAAGGAGGAAGATAAGGTCATTGCTAAACTGCTCGAGAAGGCGAAGCCTTGTGTTGGTGCCTCCGAGCAGGTTGAGAAGCTGTTCGACGACGGGAAATACGGCCTTGCCGTCGTTTCCTCCTCTGCTCTCCGCCGTGTGCGTGCGTCCATCCAGAAGGTTGGACAGGACAAGTTCTTCGACTACGACAAGGTGTTCAGTGCCGCCACTTCCCTTCCCAAGCCTACCTCCAAGCCTGACCCCGCCATCTACCTGCACGCTCTCGAAAAATGCGGGAAGAAGGCTGAGGAGACCGTCGCTGTTGAAGACAGTGTCTCCGGTGCTTTGAGTGCGGTCCGTGCCAAGATCGCAGTTATTGGCTACGTCGGTAGCTACCACGGCGAGGAGAAGCAGAAAGAGATGACGGAGCGCCTCTCCGAGCTTGGTGCTCAGGTCGTCATGAAAGACTGGAGCGAATTCCCGCAGTGCCTAAAGGAAATTGAAGGCCGGGCTGTCACTCCTGCTCTATAATTCTTTTTTTAAATCCATTACACGATTTAACGAAAGCGGGCGCATTTCCTTTCTTCCGTCTAGGTTATTTCCTTACGCATCTTAATCCGAACCTAATTCCTCATCCAAGATACCTCTTCACTCTGGACCGCTGAAAGCGCAGGATGATGCTCTACTGCCGAGTGTTCGCATGGGACGTCGCTTGCATCTCTTTTCTTCTACGCCGTTCCATTTCTTCCAGGTTCGGACCCATGAATTAATATTAGCTTCAATATGTAGCATAGACAGGCTCTGATGGACAAGACTTCCATATCCTGAAAAAGAGAATAGAAAAATTTTCTCCCAAATTCTGTTTCCAAACCGCCTCCCTGTAGTAAATAAAGAATCTGCCAGACAGCACACAAAGGCGGGCCAACTACATCGTAGAAGTAGTGCATACGTAGAACTACAAAGCGGAGATCTAACATCCACCCCGAAGACCGTCGCAACGCTAAATACGCTTAATCAAGGGAAACTATGGAAGGATCCACATCGATGTCCCTATGGAAAGGTACGTATCTACAGAGTAGGTGCGCTGAACTTAGATCCAAAATTCAAGCAATAAAGAAATACGCAGTAGCATGGCACGGGCGGATGGAATACTTTATCTACCGACCGCACCATGTATCAACGTTTTATGTTTGGCTGTATTATTTATACTACGATGTGCTCGCAAGCAGAATATACCCATCTTTCCTTTACTGATGGGCTATATATACCTCAGGCCAATATAAGGGAGACTTGTGTTTCTGTTTCCTACTAGTAGGTACTTCACCTAATCAAGACACCCCTGTGCGGCGATGAGGTTTGCTTCCCGCCCACCCGCTTATTCACTTCTTATGCACCGTTGGTACTCATAGGGATAAATACCTTACCCATACGCGTTCCACCCTGATATATGGGCTACAATGTGGAGGGTGTAACGTGGCAGCGAATTCCCGTATATAAGGATGTAGTACTAGTTATACACATGGCCTTGGCCATACTGAGAGATTCGACAGGCCAGGGAAAGCGATTCGGTTTTAATATTTGCCCTCTTTGTCCGACAGCGGTACCACGACTGCGCTGTACTTATTATTCACAGTAGTCCTAGGAAATATATACCCCCGCTACTAGGTGGCAAGATGGTACTACAGTAGTCAGTACCTTTAGTCCAAGACATCATTATTATAAAGTGTCTAAGTCGTACTTTCTCGGATATGCGGATCGGAATAGAATATACTTTAAAACTTGAATTTCAATAATTACGATTTGTGGCTTCTTTATTTTTTTTATTTTCATACCCAATTGAAATGTCAAACACAGCTGGGCAAGCCGGGAGATACTACATAAATAGTGGATTAATGATCCGTCAGATGGATTTTTGCCTGTGCGAGTCGCAGCCACGGGCGTCCGGGCACACCGGGCCCTGCATGCAGCCGTTCTGGGATTTCACTTCAGTTCCCGGTCATGATGGATTCCACACCGGCGTTGATGGCACTTGAACTGCAAGGCCGTTAAAAGAGGTACGAGGTAGATAGGCGTCGCCAACTCTTTTGGAATGAAGTTAGAGAGATAGGCCCGGAAAATTCACCCGTACTAGGAAGCAATGCTCTCATTAATACCTCAAGGATGCCTAGAAGCAGAGCAGGGCGCTCGGGGGTATGCACATTGAAGCCGTCGTGTCTAGTTCAACGGGGCTCAGATCCGGCCACCGGGCAGATCCTCATCGTTTCGAGATCTCCCTTACTGTTACTTGGTACCAGGAAGAGGGCAGCGGGTGTAACCCTTAAAGGTCAACTGCGGTGGTACATGGATGTTCCAAAGTACTTACTTCGTGCTAGTATAAGGAAGCTCTCTCGAAGGGCTAAGACTGCGGATATTGCCGAGCTGGCCTCTGAGAGTGAGAGTTGCTGGTGTTACTCAGGCTTCCAATGGAGAGTCCCTGGAAATTAAAGCCGTTTCTCGGGCACCTTGGGCAGTTTCTGCGCTACCAGTCCACGCCCAATAATGTTTGTTGGTCCGAGGGACCCCTCAGACTATCTGGGTCAAGGCGAACCGGAGTTTTTGACGACCCTGTCCTCAAATAAGCGAGGTCCCTGGGCTAGGTATTCGAGGATAAAGAGTGAAGACCACGGCTCCATTAACGTATCATGAGGATGAGAAAAAAAAAAGTTTCGATACATTGGAGATATAGGTGGTTAATTGGAACCCCGCTCATAGAGGTGGGGAACACTTGTTGAGTGAGACAGCCACGCCCTCGCGAGATTCTCGTTATTCTCTATGGACGTAGATGTAATAAAGATGCCCTCCGTATGGAGAGTTACTGTGTTTCTCGATAGAACGAGTCAGACTCGTACCTTAGGCCAACACAAACTGATACTTCAGCCAGCCTCTTTTGGAAGTGGGCGGTCAACCAGCAAACACAAGAGGCGGTGGGGTTGAGTCCTCGTTTCTGGGGGTTCTTTGCTGCCCCCTCGTGATTCTTCAATTCCTCCTGTCGTTGCTCTCCAAGCGATTTAGGCCTCGTCGACTGTGGTTACACATCAATCCATTCGGGGACGAACTGGCACTTTGGCTGTAAACTTTGTTTATCTGTTTTTCGCTCGTCGGTTGGATTTGGAGCTTAAGATGGCGGAACCATTGTACGCCAAGTCGAAGTTTCTATCAAAAGGGCCCCTGGTACGTGCCATGACCAGTGTTGCGCACGGATTCAACAAGGTGATCGTTGACGGAGACCATAGAACCCTGAAGAAGCGAAGTGGGCAAAACTAGTTAAGACGACCTATTCCGATCCCAATGGCATTGAAAGGACATGGGAATCGGCGGAACGCCTGGTAGGTAAAGAGCCCATTGGGAATGAACGAAGTGAAGGATTGTTCCCGCGCCTAGCCGCTATGCAAGTGGTCTATTCCGGTGCTGATACTAAGAACAATCCCGGAAATTATGCCCGTGCTCAAGCAATCAAACAGTACTTTACGCAATCGTTTGCTCGGAACATCTACTAATCCCTTCCTTTGATGAAACAGACTCGGCCCGCAAATTGTGAGATCGATGGCGTCGGAATTGTGACCATCCTGAACAAGTCCAGCGGCCCGGAGCTCCTCCTTCAGAAGCAGTACAGACCTCCGATCGACAAGGTGGTCATTGAAGTGCCAGCCGGCCTCATCGATCCTAATGAAACAGTTGAGGAGTGTGCTGTGCGTGAACTCAAGGAAGAAACAGGCTACGTAGGCGTAGCTGACGAGACAAGCACTGTCATGTATAACGGTGCGTAAAATGTTTTTGCAATACTTCTTGCGCACCTCATGTTAATTGATTTGCCTTCAGACCCAGGGTTCTGTAACACAAACCTGAACATGGTCCATGTTCGAGTGGACATGTCTTTGCCTGAAAATCAGAACCCCAAGCCACAACTCGAGGACAACGAGTTCATCGAGTGCTTCACTCTCCCACTGACCTCCTTGTTCGACGAGTTGAAACGCCTGGAAGCCGAGGGTTTTGCTATTGATGCTCGAATCGGGACGATAGCGGAGGGTATTGAGCTGGCGAAGAAGCTGAAGCTTTGATGTAGATTTGATATGTGTTGCCATAGATCGATAGAGTCCATTCCAGCATCTATACTACCATTGATCTTTATTTTATTTTATTTTTTTTTCGCTTTTTTTGGTCAAGTCTCCTCAAAGTCTGTTCTCTCTCTTCAAACCCATGTATAGCGCCCAAGCCGCGAGAGTTTTGCCGTCTCGTACGCCCTCTTTCCACAGATCCTTCAATGGTACTAGTTTCAAGGTGATCTTCTCCGAGTGCTGTCGAAGGCCCGTCAATTTCCCTTGTAAGGCCTCAATTTCCTTACGCGGAAACCGCCTTTCGCATAAAAACAAGGGTATAAACTCATCACTACCTCCAGCCGACGGGTATACAGCATCCTGCAGTGTCTCGCCCTCCGCAGGTTTGTCTATCGATTGCAGTGCAGTTGATGTCATATCCACCAGATCGCTCTGAGGTATCGTCAAGCCTGTTTCTTCCTGGATCTCCTCCGCCGCCTTACCTGCAAACGTGCCGCTGTCATCAAGCATACCTGCTGGGATCTCGGAGAACGCGAGGGATCCGGCGGGAATACGGGGCTGTACTGTGAGGACTGCCCACTTATGATCTTCTGATGATGGAGGAACATCGTCCGGTTGAAGTAGAAGCTATGTGAAACAAGAGATCAAATTTAGCTATTATGGTAATTAGGTTTGAGACAGTGGGAGCGCTTACCAGCATCCCAACGCTTCCACCTCGCAAAAAGACACTTCCAGGAAGCTTTTCGCCGCCGGCATTGGTTACTTCAGCTTTTAACTTCACGAAACCTAGCTTACCAGCCCCGAAGAAATCCACAGCTTGCACATCAATCTTCCGCAGAACATATGGGTCATTATGGAATTCGTGCGAAGGGTGATTTTGGCGGGCTAGAGACCGTTGCAGTGTCGCAAACCAGACGCGAAAAGCTGGGAACTTAGACAATGCCTCTTTAGATAGCTCTGGTGGACAGCTGACAGGCAGGGATCCCAGGCCATTGTCGGAAGGGCTTGTGAAGGACGTCATGGAGTATTTCGCAGTTATTGGAAGTTGTGGTCGCGCCGATGTGAAAGCAAGCGGCCGGAGCAGTCTCAGCCTCTGAATCATGAGCCGATGGTCAACCCAAAGAAGCTCGAAGTTGGCGGTTAGCAAGGTGGTGAATGGAGAGTGTCTCGCATCAGGCCACCAGAGCGTGGATTGAGGATGTGCAGTGATGGATGGTACCAAAGAACGATGACGTCTGGGTCGGGAGGCGCGGGAACGAACCCACCAGAGCTCCCGATCGGCCAGACCTTGAGGTCTCCAGACTCCAGCATCATCGTTTGATCAATGATCATTGCCGCTTTGAGCGGCGCCATGTTCTCGCCTCTGCACAGGAATATTCCAGCGTTTCCAGTCGTCTAGTGCCAGCCGAAGTACCACACGCATCATGGCTTGCCTTCTCGGATGGCGGCTTGCTCGGCCGCGTATTATGTACTTACAATCTCTGACTGCCAGGTCACTCTGCGGGGTCGGACCAGTTCCAGTCCAACGCCTCGCTCCCCTCTGTGCTGACTTTCGTCTGGGCTGACTCGAGCATTCCCGCCTGTATTCACCTCGCCCTGCTCGCTCGGTCGGGGTTCCTTCCATTTTCCATTTTGCCCTCTGCCCCTGCACCTCGCAACCTCTCTGGCAAATGGGATCTCGTCCTTGCAGTGGCTCGTGTACATTGACTCTCAGTGCTAGCATCATTGGTGGTGCAGTCCCAGCCTAGAGACGAGGCCTTCGCACTCCAGGTCGACTGACTTCTCTGGACCTTTTTTTCCTTTTCCAGATTCCAAGCTGTCTCTGACCTGCAGCTGCCTTCGTGTTTTCTCTCCGACACACTGACGTCGAGCTGAAACGGAAGGTTGTCCAGAATTACGCTCCAAAGCCCGGCTGTCCACGGTTTTCCTGCCAGGTTGACCTCCGCTGTTACTCAGGTGGCCTTGTCTTCTCTTGCTTTCCCTCTCGTGGGTCTTGGATGTAATCGGTCCACCTCCACGGCTCCCTCCAACACAAAGGATAGCGGACCAGTGAATAGCGGGAGTGCTTAGGCTTGTCCTGATTTTGCCTGCCTGGTTGTGTCACAGGCCAAAGAGCCGCCCTTCGGTCCTCTGCGTATTTATTATGCGTCCACTGGTCTTAACTTGATTTATATATTGCCTCTCTTTTCCCAAGCATCCTCTCTTCGAACACTGCTTTGCCTCGATCTACCATGGCCGCAAGAGTCCATGTACTCTCGTAGCCTGCCTCTTTTGAAACCTTGAAACCACTATCAAATGTCACACTGTAGTAGATCCGAAATTACCAGCTCTACAGTGCCCCCTTCCCTCGACATATCTTATCAGCCTTGTGGTCAGCCCAGGTTCCTTGCTAGCAGTACTCCCCAGAGAACGAGAAGAAGGGTACCAGGATAATCTGCTCGCTGATCAAATGTCTTGCTGATATTGAGTTCCGAGAGATGTTCAAATCCGCCCTGTGTTCAAAAGCATGCCATCCACTGCCTTCCGCTGAGTTTGGCCCTACATTACTTGCACGACGAAACGTCACTTGATACCTTTGAAGGGATTTGCCTTCCATAACAGCTGCTCTGAAGCATACTGGTGCAGATAGTGGGGGAGCTCTTTGAGCATGCTAAGGTTTGTTTAATCCCGAAGTCACCTTATCAGTATTCACATATGCATCTCCAAGCTCTGTGTTTGACTTCTTTGTACTGCTGGTCGTTTCTTCGTTCCTGTGCAAATTCACTGGCCTCCCATCAAGTCCATCAGGATAATATATCTTGCTGACCCCGCTCGCAATCAGTCATTCCTCCACATTTCCTTCCCCTCAAGCGCCCAACATCCGCCATTCCCGCCAGCTACTTGCATTATACGGCGAGTTTCTAGCGGGAGCTCTTTTCTTAAGATTACCATAAGTGGTCTTAATTCGTCCTCCGACATCTGCTGTGCGCAGCTCCTATTTTTTTTATACCCCATCTCTCTCCAATCGCCTCAGTATTGCCATCAGTCAACAGTCGCACACGACCATACCTGAGGGCTTGTCGATATGGATACTGGTTTCTCCCAGCAATTTATTCCGGGGCCCGAGTTTCCGAGCCCTGCGGAGTCCAACGCACATATACCGTCTGATTACGCCGGCCTAGCGATTCCACTGGATCCGACCTCCTTCTTCCATATTGTCCCTACTGTGTCGAACGGGCAATTTATCGGCATTTCTCAGTCGCCCAATGCTTCCACTAATGCCAATCTTGCTCACGATGCAGGTTTATCTACACATTCATATGACGATTCTTTTACATCACACGGCACTCATCCGAATTTGAATGATAGGTCCTCTGACCAGGTATATTCTACCTTCCCTCCAATGGACAGTTCAAATTTTGCGAACATGAGTACGAATACGAATACCACGCTTGAGAGAGTTCCTACGATGCCTATCAATTCGGGGGCCTTTGAAGACTTTGCACGCCAATGGCCTAATTTCACACAAGCTCCAACTAGCCTCGCAACGACGGTCGATTCGGCGCCTCGATATTCTTACAATCCCAATACAGCTACACACTCTTCACCTCCTATTCAACCCCCAATGTCTGCACCACCAGTAAGATATCCAGAAGATTCCGAAGAAATACAGCATCATTCCCCTCAACATCCTTTTCTGCATGGACAGGTTATGATGAATGCAGGAGCCCATTCTGTCAACCCGGAAGCGGTACCCCGACAAGCCCGGAATTTACAGTCATTTTCTCATTCTGGTGCCCCGGCTGTTAATCATCATCAGAGGCGACATCACCGTACAAACCCCCTTGGTCCTGCTCCATCAGCAATATCCTCTCACCACAGGGCCAGGTCCAACACCCATTCTTCACGGGCACGGCAACGGCCTACAACCACGAGCTCTCCGGCAAATTATTCGCAAGTTTCATCCGCCCAGTCATCAGTAATTCACAATCAGAGAAACCACACCTCCAACAACGCCGCTCACCATTCCCCATCTACGACAATACCAGCAGGCCGGCCATCCACACAACATCATGAAGTATCCGCTCAAGTATCTGAAGGCGATCAAGTGCAAGATTGGGTACAGAATATGCGTCCCGGCGAACTCCGAGCTATATACGAAGCCACTCTGGCTCGTAGCCGGAGGGCAGAATCCGCCTACTTTATTTCCGCCGTCAGCAAAAAGATACTTGACTCCCCGCGGGAATGCCGTCCTGAGCCCAAAGAAACAGAAGAGTTAACCGTCAATATGGAATGCAAAGTCTGCATGACCCAGCTCGTAGACACCGTGTTGCTGCCATGCGGACACGCAATACTCTGCCAGTGGTGCGCAGACAAGCTCATCCCTTCCTCAAATGGCTATCCAAAGGGAAAGACAGCCTGTCCTATGTGCCGGGATCCTATAAAGCAAAAGGTACGCATATTCACTGGATAGCGTAACTCACCAACGACGATCCAGGAGATCACTAACCTGAACCCACTTAGCATCGGATTTACTTTCCGTGATTCATTTCCAATGATTAAAGTCGTGCTGCATTTTGCTTTTATTAGCGCTCTGTTTTTGTTTGCATAGACTGGTCTGGACGGCGTTCTAATCTCTCTCCCTCTGGTCTTCTCCTTATTTTCCTCCAAGTTATGTCATCTACGAGAAAGCACGAATGGCCTGTATCTACGTTTTCACCTTCCCTTTCTCTTCCCTTGATTTACTTATCTCTCAGTCACGCCGAGTCGGCTACGAAAGCTTACTGGGTACGGAGTTCAGATATATTTCAATCGTCATCTCATGTGTTTGGGTGCCTTCACGATTTTTCTTTTCTCTTTGAAATTTAACCAGGCGATGCCGTTTAGTTTCGTTGCCCAGTAAATGGAATAAACCGGCTATATCTTTTATTTGACCTTATTACACCCCCCAGTTCCAACAAACCTTAAATCTACACCTTTGTTTGTTCTGTAGAGTTCAACTGAACCCGTCTAAACATACTACCCTGGCATTCAGGCCGCCCTATTTTGAAAAAGAAAAGAAAAAGAGTCAAGGCAAGACAACCAGTCATTCTGGCTATATGTCCTCGGACCTCACACTAGTCTGATCATCTAATGATCGAATATTGGTACCCCTGGCACCTACCAATGCTTGAATAACTCGTTTTAAGTTCGACGAGAGCGCATCAAGGACATACAGTCTGAAGCTTCCTCTCTGTAAATAGCCTATACAGGGAAGAGAATAGCGTACGTGGTCTAGTGGTAGATGGCGACTTAGGTGGTGGGTTGCCAGTCCTAATCATGATAAGCCTTGACACAACCTAGTTGTAGTGCTTCGCTGATACCTAAGCATCCAAATGGTATGATGTACTTCTTATGGCGATAATCGGCTTTTTCGGCAGGTCAGCAGAACCTAGTAGATTAGTATGACTCATTCCAACGTCCGGGATATGTAACAATAATGTTTTTTTAGATGTCTCTGGCCGCAGTGTATCTGATGTGGATGCTGGAAATGTGTCAGAGAGAGCTTGACGATTACGTAGAGTGCAACGTAGACACCTGGAACTGGGGTTTTCACTTCAAGGGTTAGGCACATGCTGTCGCAGGATTTATTCTGGTAGGGGGGCGAATAACGACGGTTAGAGGCGAGCTCAGGCTTCTCTAAGAAGCCGCTGGTATTCCTCATGGATACTCAAACAATCACTTGTGTCCTCCGGTTGGTCATACCACTGGGAATATATTTCCCATGTATGCATAGGTAAACATGACCCCTTTGACGAGCCCGAGAGGGTCCAAACCTCGACATTATATGGGCTCACCTTCATACGCTTTGACTCATGAGTTCCATACCCGGAAATAATCACCATACACAAACGTTGGGGGTCAGGAATTAAAGTTGTCACACTCTCGGGTAACTATGCAGTTTCTTCCTGAGGTGCGATGAGCTGAGCTTGACGGGTGTCTGTCCATGCTACCGTGGAATCAATTTCGAGCTTCAAATCCCGCCAGCGGCCGGCACAATGGCATTGCGCTCGGCCCCCGGATCTGAGGTAAGGGAGCGGTATCCGCTGTCCACGTCAGGGAGGACCGATAATCTGGGATGCCAGAAGAATTCGCAGGGGTTCCCCCGTTTGGTTGGATGACCAGAGCAACAAACAAAGAAGGGGTGATTATAAAGGAGAGTCGGCGTCACGAGTTGCGCTCGGTGTCAGAAAGAGGTTGAGGCAACCAGTCATGGAGCCGTCAGCGTTGCATAACAATATCCAGGATGACGGGTCGGTGACTCGGTGGTGAATCACTGAGGATTCCAGAGACGGCTGATACCCCAGTCGGGTGATGTTTGCCTATTATCGCTAGATTGGATTCGAACTGACTTTTGGAAAGTGAGTTGGACTGCCAGGCAACCCTTGCTGTGAATGAACATGCTTTTATCAGCTGTACGGTTAGAAGCGGTAGCGGATGAGATTACAGGTTGCAACATTTTGGGGGAAGGTTTGGAAGATCGATGGGAGAGTCCCTGAGCAATGATCACCGCATCCAGAGTCGGTATGAGCTGCGAGGCTTGAACGGGAAAGGAAAAAGGAACGAGAAGAAGCGCGATGGCTGTGCTGGATGGAGTGTGCGCAAGGCAACCAGAGGACTAAGCAGTCGCTGCCCAGCCAGTGTCCACTTCGACGGCCCTTCACTGTTTTCTACTCTTTATCCCCCGAGCAATCAAGACCGCTGAGAAACGGAATACAGCCCGGACTGAGCCAGCCCTGCCCGCATCGTGCGACCCTGCCTTGCTTTTTGAAGAAGTGAAGTGTTTCTGGATCTATCGATTCTTCACGCCTGCTCCAGATCGATTCCACAGTTCCATGTGCTGCAGTGGACCCGACCACAACTGCGCGCCAGTCATCGTGGCTTCCAGGCAGAGACCTAACGAGAACAGTTCAGTTGCCTAGCACTCGTCTCCTCCAATCTTTAAATAGCGTCAGCATGTCCGGCCTATAATTGACTCCCGCACTCTATCAATCACCTCAAGTCGGTATGTGCATTGATGTCATCGCTTAGCCTCGTTGGCAACACCGAGCCTCGTTGTTTTGCCGTCTTCCTCTTCCCCGCCATCTTCATCTTCATCCAGAATCAATCATGCCCTCGTGCGTATTGTGTTCTTCTTCACTCTTCACTGCTTGACCAAACCCCACTCTCCCCCGCGTTTTCTCTCTCTCTCTCTCTTCGAATTCCGCCTCGCATTTGCCTTACTCGCAACACTCAGATCACTGACCAAATCAGATGACGTGTTCCATCCAGGATGAGCGACGGGAATCCGAACGGAGATAGGGAAGCGCTTCCGCTGCGGCGGCGCGGCAGCGGAAACCGCCGTAATCTCGCGATCAGGCAGATGGTACCCGGTTTCATTCACTCCCCAGGTGCAAGCCCAGAGGGGGGCGGCTCGCCTCGGTGAGTAACAACGAGCCTCCGCTCCGCGCGAGGAGTGGACTTTCATACCGATAGTAGTATTAGCCTTCTAACCTATCGGTTAGACGGTCGCGCATGGTAATTTCGTCAGACGAGGAGTCGGCACCCTCGAATCGCGCACAACAGTCCACCACTTTCTCTCTCTCCAAGGCGCGAGCTGGTTCTAGCGATTTTCCTGACGACCATGCCTCCGATGCGCCGAGTAATAAAGTTGCTGAAATTACACATCCGATCCACCTCCAGGAGCTTCGCCAACCACGACGGGATAATCAGGGATCCCGTCCAGGAACTGCGCGCAGTCGGCCCGTTAGCCAACACGCAGCGGACAACCGGACAGGGAAAACAAGCACCAGTGACAGCGAGTCGCGGCTATGGGATTCCCTCAACTCGACAGAGGGCCTAGGAAGCAACGATGAACACTCATCTTGGACGCAGTCCCACTTACTACCCTCGAGCCCTGGTTCGCACGACAAACAACGCCCAATCATCACAACCGCGAACCTAGATGAAATACGCACCCTATCGGCGGCATATGGCGAGTCGGGAGAAGGCCTGAGCTATGGTCAGGAAGCCGCCCAGCGTCTGAGCAAGGAGCAGTCGCATGAAGGAGGAGACTATGTGGCTGATGGAGGTACAGCATCTTGCATTCTACAGCCAGAGGTTAAACTAAGCCCCGCAACAGAAGATAATAAGTATAGATACATTCACAACATCTATGGCGGAGTACTCATAGCGGAATCTGCTTGTATACAACAATCCAAGGCATGGTCCCAATCGGAAAACGAAATGGGGCCTCAACAGCTTCACAAAATAACCTTCGTGCATCGACTCCTACTCCTTGAGGTTATCGACTTTCTCAAGGCTTCGCAAGCTCCGGAAGAACCTCCCCACATTAAGCGTCTTGCTGTGGAATATCGCATTCCGGTTCGGCTTTGGCGCAATGGGATTGGTTCTTTGTTTGAAGTGCTACGCCATCGGCTTCCCGGCTCCTTAGAACACATGCTCATGTTCATCCATCTGGCCTACTCGACGATGACTCTTTTGCTACAGATCGCCCCCGCATTTGAAGACAATTGGATCGAGTGTCTCGGCGACATCTCAAGGTACCGCCTATCCCTCGAAGAATCCAACTCTCCCGAACGTGTTGTCTGGGTCGGGATCGCTAGGTACTGGTATAACAAAGCCGCCGATAAGAACCCCGGTGTCGGCAGAATCCAGCATCATCTTGCGGTACTGGCTTGGCCGGATATTGTGCAGCAGCTATTCTACTATACAAAGTCACTTGTCTCTGTACGCGCATTTGCCGGCTCTAAGGAAAGTATCTTTTTGTTGTTCAATCCACTTTGGAAACCCCCGAGACCTGTTCGCCGTCTTACAGACCTGTTGGTGACCACATTCGTGGCAGCACATCGCCATCTCTACACCAATGAACTGAGCGAGCCTTTCACGGACACATGCGACGACTTCCTATCGTACCTGGATCATTCTATAGGTGAAATGGGTTCCAATTTCAAGCTACAAGGAGTTTACATTTCGTCCTGCAATTTCGCCGCTGTGCTCGAATATGCCTCTCCCGATGCGCTTTTGTTGGGTGAATTTTCCACCAACGCTGCGCAGTCAATATCCCTGGACAATATCTATTTTGCCTCCCGCAAATTCTGGACGCCTGTTAGCGATCTTAAGACCGTCGAAGATGACTTTCTTGCACTCCGCGATTCCAAGATTATCTCGCCGGGCGTTTTCTATAGTTCCTGTCTAACATTCCAGACATTGTCGATTATGCTGGACCAGATCGGCAATAAGAACATTTACCCTTCCTTCCACACTACTCTCGCCTTTCTCTGGTGCTTAGCCCGGACTCCCGGTAGCATGAAGCGCATTGAAGCTCTAGTGCCATGGAAAGAGATGGCCGCATTTCTCAACACCCTGACACGCCATTTTACCGACTTTACTCTTATTGAAGGAACGGAGTTTCCAAGTACGAACGAAGACAGATGGCTTCCCGAGGACTTCCTAATCCGCGGCCAAATTTGGAGCCAGAATCTATACCCGGCTGACTTCTTTGTCGGAGCCCCAACTGCGGAGAATGGTCGAAATATCGAACCACCGTCTCGGGACCTTTTGCGGATGCATAGATGTCTGTGGTTTGGAGTCAGGCTTGCTATGGTGAGTTCGCCCGATGGTCCGGGAAGATGTGTACTGACTGTAAGAAGTTCGACCGCTGGATGACATACGATACGACTTCCCGAAAATTTACCGCCACGGAATTTACCTCGAAACTGAACGAAATAGCCCAAAAACACAGCCCATTCTACGGAAAAGGTCTGCAAAAGCGACCCGGCACTGACACGAACACTCATGACACTTGATATTATTGATGCTTGTGCGTCATTCTATCTCGAGTGTCGAGAACTTACGTTCTCTGATTGCAATCAAGCCTCTGCAGGTGATTTTCAGGTGCACATACACGATTCAATGTGTCTGTCGAACAGCCGCAGTACTTGGGTAGAGATTGCGTGTACTCTATTAATATCAACTGAGTACATCCAGCCTACACCACAAACGGTGAGGGCTAGATGTAGGCAAGTAGGCCATAAGGGCCAGCGAAGGTGCAGGACAAGTGTGCATTTGTCCCTTCTGCTTGATTTGTTAGCATCTAACTATGGGCTTTGCATTCAGAATAAGGCCGCTCTATGTGCATTACCATTCTACAGTCGGACACATATCCCAGTATATATTAAATAATATATTACGCCCGTATATTAATTAATAATAGAGTCCTCCGTAATTAACTTACGTGCCACGCGGAGTATACGCCGGCGGCGTGCGTGGCGGTGTTTAGTGAGGCCTTAGCAGGTCAGCGGTGGGGAACGTTGCGGGCCCGCCGACCCCGAAAGGACAAGCTGGCGACAGACTCAGCTAACTGCTCACTTGCTCTCCAGCATCCACTCTCGCTCTCTGCGCGTCATCCTGTCTCCTCACATTCTCTCGTTCGTGGCCAAGTTCATGATGGTTATTGTACGCTTTGCCGGACTACCGCCTTGTTGATTACCCGCCGGCAAACTCCTGTCGCATGGCTGGCCAGGAGCGCTGTGATCATTCCATGAGAGCTATCGCTGCTCACTCTTGCATACTTCCATCGCTTTAGGATATCAATACCTTTTCAGTCAACCCAGACCTACAATTGATCCCGTATCCGCCTGGCATATATTGTTTCACCATGGCGGTAACAGCTTGGACCGATACCTGCGTCCACTGCGCTGAGCTCCTTGCCAGCGTCCCTGTCTCCATCGTCTTTGCCGCCGTCGGCGCTACTGCGGTTGGATTGCTTGTTTGTGTATGTGCTATTCGGGCAATTGGCCTTAGTCCACGCTGACTCTGTTTGATAGCTCTATGTTTTTCTATCCCTAGTTGCGCCGGTACCACGGAGTCCCCTCCCGGAAGAAGCGACCTACCGCACTATCTCGAAAGACGGATCGGTCACGGAGCCTGAGCCGCTACCCTCCTGGCAAGACTCAAACAACAAAAAGAATGGCCGGGGAATCGACAATTCCGAGTTGTTTGTGTCCCTGGTCGTCCCAGCCTATAACGAGAAGGACCGTCTCGGCGGCATGCTAGAAGAGGCTGTCAACTACCTGGAGCGCATGTACGGAACACTGGGCCACAGCCAACCCGACGAGAAGCCCGTTCGACAACGGAAGAACGCCGCCAACGGACGCGCAAATGGCAGTGCAAACGGCAACGCGGCGAACGGGATACCGCATGGAAAGGGCTGGGAGATTATCATCGTCTCGGATGGATCGACGGACAGCACGGAAGAAATGGCGTTCTCCTTCGCCCGAGATCATCAGCTCTCGCTGCATCCCAAGGGTCACGCCGGTCCCTGGACACCCGAGCCCGAAGAGGGAGTGCATATTCCGCCCGGAACAATCCGTGTAGTGACTCTGTCCAAGAACCGCGGAAAGGGCGGGGCCGTCACTCACGGGATGCGACATGTTCGTGGCCAGTATGTGGTTTTCGCTGACGCGGACGGCGCAACCAATTTTGCGGACTTGGGGAAGCTTATTACTGCTTGTCAGGATGTCGAGGATTCCACCGGCCGCGGTGTAGCCGTTGGATCTCGCGCTCACATGGTTGGAAGTGAAGCCGTTGTCAAGGTATGTGGCCCCCCAAAAAAAAGCTTACAGCAATCTTAGACTGCACGCACCCGTTGATACCAACTAACTACCGCAGCGTTCCAAACTCCGCAACTTCCTAATGCACTCATTCCACCTAATCCTGTGGCTCCTAACACCCTCAAAAACCGCCACGATCAAAGATACGCAGTGCGGGTTCAAGCTCTTCTCGCGCGCCTCTCTCCCCTTCATCATTCCCTACATGCATTCCGAGGGCTGGATCTTCGATGTCGAAATGTTGATGCTTGCGGAGTTTGCGCGCATCCCTGTTGCCGAAGTCCCCGTTCACTGGCGCGAGGTCGGCGGGAGCAAGTTGAATGTCCTGAGGGATAGCATTGGCATGGCGTGGGGCCTGGCAGTTCTGAGGGCTGCATGGTCGTTGGGGGTTTATAGACGGAAGTGATTTAGTACAGCACGATAGTTCTTGTTTGATATGATACGGAGTATAAGGTGCATTACATTACAGTAAGCTAAGCAATATATTCTCGGGCATTTCCCATTCTATCGTGTCTTCCTAAAGTGCTCAGCCTGGCGGGTCCATCGCGCCTGCCTAATCCTGGGTATATAGATATTCACCACCTAGCAGGTAGGTACCCAGGTACTCACTGGGAAGGTACAGCCCGTTGCAGACGGTGCCTAATTGTCTTACCTATAATAGGAAGGGCCCTCCAGTAAGGCACCACTCACTCTTTCCTTGCAGAGATACTAACGAAGCTGGAAGGTGCGATGGAGCCCTAAGTTGGAAAGTGCACCTACTTTGGTATACCTAACTAGTAATACGAGCCCTTTGAGAAGTGAGCAATATTGATTAAATATAGTTCCAAGAATAGACAATGGTAAAGTCGAAAGCATTCAATGACATTGCTCAATCATTGTTCAATAATTGAATAAAAATAATAACTAACCTCCCTCCAAGAACGTAAACAGGACTTGTCTTATTACAATACATAAAATGGATCCCACAAGCCTGACTAACTAACAGAAGACGGAACCTCAATCCAGGCTGTGGTATATAGTTTTACATGAGAACATAGTAAGTAGTAAGGAAAGTACTCCGTACCTAACCTGTAGAATCAAACGGGGAAATCCGAGGTCCAGTGGAAATTGGACGGATCCAATGGGGTTGACCTAAGCGCATGAACACCCCTGCACAGGCTTCGCCTCGGTCCTCGCCGGATACTCAGGTTCAGGGACGATCACCGGCTCAGGCTCGGGTTCATATTCAAGCTCCGGGACGGTGCAGGCTCCGACTTCCTCAGGCTCCTGGGGAACAACCGGGGGAGCGGGGATCTCGCTTGCAGGTGGGCTGGGGACCACCGGAATGGGAGTGTACTCGTTCACAGTGGGAGGGTTCGAAGTTGGTGGCGGGGGCAGCGGTTGAGAAGGTGTTGGGACCTCTTCTTGCTGCGGGGGAGGAGGAGGCGGGTTCGATGTAGCAGGAGGGGGCGGAGGAGGGGTATATGTCTCCGACTTCGAGTAGGTGTTATCGAAGTAGTTGCCCAGGTTCACGTAGGGACCGCCAGGGATGCCGACATTGGTGTTTGAGCCGGCCTCTGTGTGCCCGGATTGGGAGTTGGACGGGTTTCCAGAGTTAGGGTAGCCGTGGGACTTGGAGTATTCGTTTGAGAAAAAGTTGTTGTTTCCGTAGGATGGACCGCCGGGGATTCCGGCGTCGATGTTTGAGCCTGCGTGCGTGGCGCCACTTGCGTCCCAGTTGGATTGTCTCCGGTTGATGGTGTTGACTGGTGCGGAGAGAACCGTTGCTGGGGAGGCGAGGAGGAGGAGGGCCAGAACGGCTGGCAGGGTTTTGAGGGTTACGCTGGGCATTTTGACGCGGTAGTGTAGTATGGTATAAGTATACAGCAACGTATAGATAGACAGTATCAAAGAATGGCTGGATAGATGGGTTGTTGAATGAGTGGCTTGAGTTGGTAACTCTAGGAACTTAGTCAAAAGAGTGTAGAGAGAATGTGATTGACAGATGGGTAGGTAGCTACGGAGACATGATAGTCGCCTCCTTTTATATCTCAGATTCCCAAGCCCATTGTGTACTGTATTGATTTGAGGGGCTTGGAGGGCTTGGAGGGCTTGAAGGGCTAGAAGGGTGGCCCAAGGGCAGTGGGCCCTTTCCAAGGCCTTGGTAGTGTTCCCATAGGGACGGATACAGGGCCCAGACTCCTCGAGATGGATGGTGGTGATGAGCGAGTTCAAGGCGTTGCCCTTGTTCTGCATACAGGTCAGATAATAGTAATGGGGGCTGAGACAGATGCAAGGGGGGTGGCTGATGTCTAGGACTGCGAGCTGGAGGAGCAAGTGCAATCAAGAAGAGCGAACGAACCAGGAAGAGGAGACATATCAACAATGGCGTCGTTTATTTGCGCATGTACATACAATCGTTCCCAGTGATGGGGTCATCATTCGCTAGTTTATGGTATCCATGTCAAAACAGTCCAGTTTGGTGAAAGAAACACAAGTATAGAAAATAAACCCATTCAGCTGTACAGAGTATAGGGAAAAAAATCTTTTCTTAGATAGACCTTCCAAATGCAGTGCCAAAATTGGTCGAGTTCTTGAACTTAATTTCAGGGACCTCTTCGCCCTGACTAGAGGGCTTGTTCGTTTCATCCTCGTTCTCCTCATTCTTGTGGCCTAGGATTTGCTTTGCCTGGCCGAGGAGTTTCATGTCCACCTCTTGCAAAAAGTCATCGTCATGTCCCTTCTCATTGACTAGGGATAGTGGCCCCTTCAGGGCCGGGTCATCTGGAAGGTCTGTCACGCCGTCGAAATATGAATCAGAGCGCTCTGCAGGCTGCCGAACTCGGCTTATGGGGGGAGTAAGGGGTTGTTCTTCTTCCCCCAAGGGTGCTTCTGCTTCGCCTGGCGATCCCTGCGCAGTGTCCACGTCCCGATCGATGACAACCATAGGGGTGTGTCCTGCATCCCTCACGAGGTTCGTTTCCGGGGGACCCAAGTGGGCCAGGTCAGACAGTTTCATCTTTACGCTGTTTCGGCGTTCTGACGGCAACTTCTCTTGCGAGAGGGATGTAGGCGATGGTTCTCGGGATGATGGCGAAGGCGGTGTCATAACGCGAGCGACGACATCTGGGTGGAGGGCGGATGATTTGAGTGTGATGCCGTCGAGCTTGCTGTCAAGCTTCTCTATCGGCACCGGAACACTCGCCGACGATTCGGTTGCATGAGACTTGGGCGAGAGCGCTGCATCGAGGGACGGTGCGGGCAGTGCAGAGTTTCCCCCTTGCTCTGGCAAAGGCAGGTGCAGGTGGCCGTTTGGTTTCTCCTCGTCGGGGAAGACCCTTGTGGGCCGGCTGAGGGGGCTCGACCCCTCCCACACCTGCGAAGGAGAGATTGAAGGAAGGCCAGCGAAAGGTAGTCCACCGGTCGCAGATGTGGTTGCGACACCCCTACTCCCCAGCAACGACTCAAGCTCAGTTATCCTTAATTTCAGCAACGCCCGCTCTTTCTCCCACAGTTGTCTTTCTTCAGCGAAGAGAATCCGCTCGCGATCGAAGTTTATCCTTTGGCGATCGAGAAGTGACCGCGATTGTTCTAGATAGCCGATGGCCAAGGAGACACTTCCTTCCTTGGCCATCTGGAAGGAGTGCGTGGGATCGGAATTCAATGTGGAGTGGTTGTTGTTTGGCACCGAATGCGAGCGTTTGATCGGGGTGCTCGTGGGGGAGAAGCGCACCTCCTTGTAAAGGCTGCCATGGCCATTAGGCGTCTTGGTGGAGGTCGCTGACTTCATGACTGTTTGCGCTCAAGCAAGACAGGGTCGGGTACTAGGTGGAGATAGAGTCAAGAGGCTCGTAGACTGAAACAGGCCAAGGGGTTCTGTCTGCCCCTCATAAAGGGATGGGGGGGGATTTGGCTGAACGTGGGTTTTCAGGTGCTGCTGCAACGGGAGTCAGTTCACGTCGATAAGAACAGCAACGATTGACTGTGGAGACGCTGGGTATTCCCCAGCTCGAGGAATCTATGGAACCGTGGATCAATCACCAGGAACCAACGTGCCGCCGAGGGGACAAAAAGTGGTCAAGGTGAAGTGTCTTGCGCAAGCCAGCCACACAGTGATGGACAAGTGGGCGGCGAATGCGCTTCACTGCAGAGACTTGGATCACGACATGATAGGGGAGTATTCAAGCAACAATCAGGCAGAAAACACGCAACCCACTTTAGACACAACTTGTCGCCTCTCAAGACTTGTTAGTAAGTCAGGACTGATGCCAAACCCAAATCCAATGTGGAAATTTGCTGTTGTGGAGATGGAGAGCAGATGGAGATTGGATGCAGCGTAATCGGTGTTGAGGCCGAGGTTGCACTCTAGCACTGAATCAGCGACCAAGAGCGATCAATGACGGGGTTGCAATGAGGGACCTGGAGACGTTATATACCATCGTCTCGAAGTCATACAGAAGACTAAAAATGGTCAGGAATCAGTATTCGCGTCTTGGAGCGCGATTTCTCTCCGGAGTCGGCCGATCACAGCCCACCCATGACGTTATGTGAGATACTGCCCACAACAAGCATATGTGCTCGATGGAGTCGATGCAAAGCATCCCGTAGATCTTCGCAGGAACTGAGCTATCTAGGCACCTCAACGGACATATCCGTGGATCCTGGATTAGATTTACTTCTTAACAGGCTGCCCCGCGACGATTTCTAAGCACAGCCTGGTCTACAAGTCAGAGGTGAACTGTAGATTCTCAAATATTGCACAAATGCCCACCGTTTCCTGTCGCCTGCTATATAATACCCCGTGAGCAAGAGATGGCTCACGCCGGTCCCTCCACTATATCATTCTTCTGTCATCCCATCGCGTGATAATCGTCCACTGCAGCACCCCCACATCCGGTTAAAGACGCTCCTCGCTTCCTCCGCAAACCACTTTGAGGAGACGCTTCCGGTGCAAAGGATCCATAAGAGTGGCATACAAATGGAGCTGTGGGGTATTGTGTCGGCATCGAGTTTTCCATAGTCGGCGACGTACATATCAGCGGCTTCCCAAAGCCAATCTCGAGACGTCATTCTGCAGCTTGTGCGTCTCAGCTCTAGCCACTGAAACCGATCCGTCGATTATCGTGCTTCGCTCTTTCTCTCGCTCCGGGAAAAAAGCTCCAATAGGGAACGGGTTTTTTTTTTTTTCTTTTTTTTTCATTTTGAGTTGGCCAAGTTGTGCAGTGGCAGATAATATTGTTCTCCTAGAGCGGTTAGAAAGAGCATCTATACATATCGCCAACAGGGACTCACCACAGTCCATCCCCATCACCTGACTCCAACCAAGCTCTTTGGGCCAGTATCATATGCATGAGCACCCTTCTCAAGCCCAGGTAACCTCATCGTCGCCGGCAAGAAGTCCAGGTCCATCTCCACCTCCAAATCCCCCTTCACCTTAACCCCCCCAAAAGCCCGGACCAGAAACCCCACCCCCCGCGCCAAAACGCTCCGCTCATCACACCAAGGCCCAAAAACTGCATTGTCACAACAGGCTGAAAACCAGGGATCCATATAAAACACCACGCCCTTGAGATTCGGCAGCCTCTCCCTCATCACCTTCGCGGCGCTCTCGTACTGCTGGAAACTCCGTTTCGGGATGCTCCCGGAGGTGTTGCTATTATGGACGAATAGATACACCTCGAACCCGATCGACCGCGTGCACCGACGAGCGGTGGGACTGAGTGTGTCGAGGAAGTCGCCTAGGTTGTCGAGGTCGAATCCGTTGAGGAAGAATAGGGTGTGAGAAGTGTAGAGAAAGTTTTCGACCTCCGCGTGGATTTGGCGGTTGACGGAGAGGAGGGAGAGGTCATCATTGCGAATCCCAACCCATTTGGGGGAGAATTGAAGAGAGCGGTAGATTGAGCGGCTGGTGAATTTGTTCCCGGTGTCGTTAATCACTATCAGGGGTTTCTTGTGCTCGGTTAGGCTTGTGTAGGGAGTTGGGATGTCGAGGATGTACTCGTAGATCTGGAGGCGGAGTTCTGGTGGCAAGCGGAGGAAAGGCGATGGCTTTGTTGTCATTTGCGAGAAGTAATTGAAGGGTGAGATAAAATGTAGGAGTTGATATTCTGGTGACGAAACATAACAAGGTTGGTGCTGGTCGAGATCTCATATTTAAAGACGGGTGTATGGGATGATATAAACATTTACCATCATACAACCAAACGAAAGCCCTGAAAAAAGATATGGACCTGAGTAGATGGCTCCACTTATTCCCTGACACTTTGGTCTCGGCAAGAGGCAACAATGAGTCGGTTTGCCGATCAGGCCACCACTGACCACTATATTGTATGACACGGAGAGCTCGAAACAAACAGGACCCAGAGCACGGAGACGGCTACCTAAATAGAAAGGATGGTATGTTCGCAATACGAGTCCATATACTCCGGTTACTCCGTACTTATCTTACGGCAACAATTCATTTTATTAAAGTACTATTCCATTCATCTTCGTTGGTCATATCAATCATATCATATCATCCTGAAACTAACGCCCAGATCGAGTGAAATGAGAATATAAAGTCATGAACTCCAGAAAGTGAGTAGGCCTCGACCGTTGAGTATCCCATTCTATAAAGAAAAGCAGGGTTTAGACTAGACTCCCATGGTGAAATCATGCTCGATACCCGGCGTCACACTGGCAATGAACTTCAAGAACACGACCAGATACTGATCAACGCGAATCGCAATCTGGTCATCGTCATCATGCTGCAGAACTTCCCATTCCTCTCCACCTGTCTGTGCGGTCTTGTCGCCCTGTTTCTGAGCGTCGGCCAACGAGAGTCCTTTGATGTCGTCAACAAGACCTTCCAGCCCGCTCTCTGGCTGAGCGAGCTTGGCCTTCTCTTGTGGTGAAGAGGACCCGGCCGCTTGCTTGAGCTTCTCGAGACGAAGCTTCAGAGCTGCATCGGCACGGTCTAATAGTGTCTTCATAACTGAGGCGTGGCGGCAGGGGTGCACGCTTGCCATCTTCATATTTCCGTCGAACCAAGGGAAGTCCTCAAGGGTCACGGTTTTGTCCTTGTAGTCACCGACTATGTCCTCCATCATGAGGTGTGGAGGGAGCGGTTCAGATGCAGAAAGGTATCCTGAAAGGTAGAGACGAGGAGTCCGGTAGAAGTTGGCGTACGTGATGTAGAGGTTGTATGTCCGAGTTGGCCTTTATATATCTTGTTAGACACCACGCTTAAGCAGAAAGGAGGAAAATGAAACAACATACTGCGTCGTACTTGACTTTCCTACAGGCTCACGGATAATAGCCTCCTCGTCATCATCATCTTCCATATCGGGGATCTCCTCCTCCTCTTCCTCCGCTTCTTCCTTCCCCGATTCATCCACCGTCCTCACATCCCGGATTGTACTCTCATGACGCTCTCCGCCACCACCTGTCCGCAGCCAGCCATCATCATCACCGCCTTCTGCATCCCCTGCTCCACCAGATAGATAATCCCGGACGACCTCATCATCAAAATTCGCATCGCCCGCAAAGTTATCGTTCAACCGCCGGTGACAAGGCACCCCGCGCGTCACCAAGAACTGTTTTCCGGCGGGGAGATACGAGACTCGCTTTGACGGTGATGAGGCATCTGCCCATGACCAAGATGGGAACTTGTAGACGAGGTAGTCGCCGGCGAGGACGAACTCTTCGGGCGTGATCTGCCCGGAGGTACGAAAGGTGGAGGTTCGAGAGACCGGGGCGAGGCGGTCTCGCCAAGTCGATATGGTTGACTGGAGGATATTCATCTTTTGGGCTTTGAGTTTGCCTTCTAGGACTTGGTAAATAGAAACTGTATAAGTGCTATGGTGTATGTTCAGAGATGGATGTTGTAGTAGCAGGGAGTTACAGAAGAGGGACGCTTATCAGTAATGTGGCGGTCGGAGTCGATTGACTGCCTGGGCCACGCGGGGTACATCATCATTCATTCAGGATCATGTGCCTGAGGCTAAACTTCACAACAACCAGCACATGTGCTCTTTTTGAGTCAGATATCAGTCCATTATATGTTATGTGAGTCACAGCTGACTTGATTTGTTTCTGCCCGTCTGTCTTGAACCGAGGCGGTTTGTCTAGATGTCACATTGCTAGTATATACATATAGAGTGTTATCGACTCGGTTTCAAACCCCGGCGCGGTTTCGTCGTCCAGAGCCTATCTCATAGCCATGCAGGTGCATAGACTCTTTCCGGATATCTGTCCGAGCTTGTGTTGGTTCCTGCCGCCGTCCGCTCTTGAAGATGCGATTGGTTGCCTAAGGCAGAGGCTATCGCAGGCCTTGGGCTAGATGAAGATTTAATTATGCAGTAGGCCCGTCCACTTCACTCTCCAGCTTCCAGCATTTGTCTCCGCTCAATCTCCGCATCAACCTGTTCGATATCCAAGGGAAGAAGGCGACCCTTCCACTTCTCGATTTCCGCCCGTGCAAACCCCTCCATACTTTGCATTGCGACTACCAAAAACCCAAGGTCCTCCCGGTCCACATCGAACACCTCCCACCAGTCTCCATCGACGAGTTTGACTCCTGTCTCTCGAGCCGCTAGGTAGATGGAGGCTACCGCAAGAGCATTCGGTTGATGTGTAACATAGAGAAGCTGCGGAGAGATAAGGCCTGAGTTGAGATGCTCAAAAGCTCTTTTTGCAACCGCAGCCGACGAGACGCCTAGTGTTTGGAGGTATGTCAGGGTGATTGTGTGTGGTAAAGCCACATGAGTATTGAATCCCAATGTGCGTAGAATGACCGACTCGATGCGTAGGAGGATTAGGCGCTGGGCCTGGTAGCCACCCTCTGTGAGGTGGTAATATTCGGGCACTGCTTTATCGGGCGTTCCTTTTGGATTTACGAACCAAAGCGGCGATGCCTCTCGAGATAAGAGAAATGTGTAGACGTTCAGAACGGATCGCGGGGAGGTTGGTTGAAATGACAGCTTAGCGGTCATGTAGAGAGCGGCGGCAGAGACATCCTACTTGGACAATGACAGTTAGCAGCGATCCCTTATCGATTCACGGAACTTAGACCGGAATATGGGAATATAGACCTTTGCGGAGTATATCCGGAGACTTCCTCCATCTTGTCCTAACCAAAAGCGCGTAAAGGTCACGATAGCCTGGGCTATGATATCTTGGGATAGTCGCAGCAAAACACCAGCCGCCTGGGTAAGCTGAGTGCCAGCAAAACGAATGGACGTCTCCAGATCACTTGGAACTCCATCGATGGCCGAGGAGGAGTTGGTCAATTGTTCTGCAGTCGCAAGCGCATTGGATAAATACTTCAACCCAGCGATATCTCGAGGCATTTTCGACAGTATTAGAGTGCAGGGAGCTCACGCGGGGCCACTTCAGTCCGACATTCCTGTTTCGAGGTTGAGAGTCATCCAACTCGACGGGGTCGTTGCTCGTTGTGAATATCGACTTTCCTTGGCCATCCCGATCGCCGGTTGTGCTGCACACCGCCTTTGGAATCATGTCCAGAGCTTCCAGATGACGAAAATCATTTGGAATGGAGCATTCCTGCCTGCATTGATGACAGACGGGAGTCATATGGAGATGCAATAAGCTGCAGAGCCAATCATTCCCACCGATGACAGGATCCTACAGAACCTTATTGTTGGTGACCAGTGTCTGCAGTGATGATGTCCCATCCGGCAATATATATTTGTGTAGAGCAATCATGGATAACTTCAGACAAACTCAGCAGTGGTTATTATAGTTGAAAGGGCTGGTATTCTCATATAAATTGGGGTCTACATGACCGAATATGTCTGAGTATGTTGGTATGCTGAAGCTTGAATAAGTCAGTTCTATACTCCGAACCTGGGGTGCGTATCGGATGGCCCGTTCGTTCCCCAGAGCCACAATTATACGTCGTTTCAAATATACAGTCCGCAATTATGACGAGCCGGTTTGGATTCGAAACAGTAACGAAATCAGCGACGTCCTGACTCTTTCCCATCCCCCAATAATAAGCTGCCGTTGCAGAGGCTACTCTGTGGCGTGTTGCCCCAGCACTCAGTGGAGCAACGGGTTGGTTCAGCCACCGCATTTTCAAAGATATATCCCAACCTCGCCATATTAAACCACCTAAAACTTGAAAGCTGTCTCAACTACTCTTTGAACTAACCTCAGTTTGGTCGCCTTCTGTCTTACATCTAACAACCAGTCGAATAGCTTCAACACCGACGATTTCGTGATCGTGCATCTCGCGGGAGCACGTGTGGATCAACAACGCCCGTTATTTGATTGCTTGGCGTGGTTTCATTATTGCCTGCGATCGCAGCTCCTTTTCTCCCTAGAGGGCCTGGACGGGGGACACTTGAAACTGAAATCTCTCTTCGAGCTTAGCCGTGTTTCGAAGGGTCCCGTCATATCGCCTGCGACCCTTATCAGCCTGCGTCGCAGCAAGACAGCCGACTGCTAACTCCAGGACTTGTCTTGGAGCTGCTGAACTGTCGTTGCCCCTTTCCATCGACTCGCCTTCCCGAGTGCGTGACTCGGCATTGGGTTGGAACTTGGACATCCCATCCCTACCGACGTGGCATTCCAGCTCTCGCTCAGGTGTGGTGACTGAGAACATTCCTTATCCATTCCAGACCTGTCTCCTTGCCCCGCGCGCCAGCCAAGGTCAAGCCTAACTATGCTCGCGGAACCCACGCGCCCTTCAGTGACCACCACGTCGACAATCAAGAGTTCGATCTCTCCTTCAACCCTGGCTTCTCCGTCTTTAAAAGACGACGGTCATCAGCCTTACGGTGATCACCGTTTGTCCCAAATAGAGACACCTGCAGCTGCCCTAACATCAAGATCCCATACGCCCTCACGACCTTCCGATACCCAACACATCCCGTACATGTCTCCCCATCGTCGAGCAAATACTGAAATCATTCGACCACGCAACCCTCGGCCGACTTCCGCCCAGTTGTTTGGAAGCCAAGCCCAGAGTTTCGAGGACCTCGATTATACTCGGACGCGCCCTATTCCATCGAACGACAACTCCGCCAGGAAGAAGCTAGAAGTGGGGGCCAAGCTCTTAACAGATTTATTTCAGGGGAAATCTGAACAGGTTAACCTGGGGCTCCTGCACCGTCAAGAGGACCAGAAATCCCTTGAGACGGGACCAACCAGCATGGAGGACTCAAGCATCCCGGAGCCATACTCCCCCTCATATACGTCACGAACCTTCACGAGCCGACCACAAAAGCGCATGACCGCACCATCGCCGCTGAAGCAAGTTACTTCGTCGAATCCTCTCTCTTTTTTTGGCTTGAAGCGCCAAGGAGAAAACAGGCAGGCCCTCCCCGAGCCTGCAGAAGACGAGCTTCTGAACCTCGATATCCACGCAGCATTGTTCCCTCCCAGCTCCAATAGTCTGAATGGCCAGGAGGCTTTTGATGATCTGCGAACCAATGCGGAGAACGTTATTCAGCGGTTGCAGGCAGCCTACAAACAACGAACTTTCGCGTTACACGAGGTCATCAACGAGAAGACCGAGAAACAGGAAGAGCTCGAAGAAACAAAGACACGTATCGGACACCTCAAGATCCAGCTAGACGGGATGGCAGAAAGGGTCCTCCGCCAGGATATGGCCATGAAGGCCATGGCTGAAGAACTTGAGCAGGAGAGGCAGATGCGCCGCAAAGAAGAGGAAGCGCGCCAAGGAAGCGTGATTCTTGTCAAGCCCAGCGCGGACGATGAAAGTGTCTCCGACATGTCGGTCGAACTTCAGACCCCTAAATGGAACACGAAGCGCCAGAGTAATGGGACTCTTCCCAGCGACTCGGGCTTTGAGTCAGGCGATGAGAGCGTGGCTGAAAGTGTCTTCTCACGCCGGGATGGCGCTGAGACGCCTACCTCTATTGTTCCCGCCTCGTCGAGTGCCTCACAAGTCAATATCCCTGCGCCGCAATCCACCACTTTCCAAGTCAATCAGAAAGAGCCTAAACCTACCTCCGCAACTCCGGCTCGCTCCTCGGCATATGACAGAGTCATGAAAGGACTTGCTTCTAGTGGCATTACCAGCGCTTGGGCGGGCAATCCCTCGAAGTGTAAAATCTGTTACGGTGTGCCTTCCACTGAGGCGTGGAGTGTCATGGGCGTTCTGAAGGAAGAGAATAAGGGTCTTAAAATACGACTGGGCGAGCTTGAAATGGTAATAGACGACTGTCTGAGTATTGTCGGGCCATAAGAGTTGGCGAATTGGCTAGTATACTTGGCTGGTTCTTGACCTTGTTGGTTATTGTACAACGATGCCTTATGCTCTGTTATCACATACTATACCAGATATTGCATCAAAGGCTGTATCTAGACGAATATAACGAAAGATATCCATGATAGAATTAGTGTATAGAGAGATCCATTCACAAATAACGTGCTCTATTTCTTTATTCTTGAGTAACCCTAGTGAACGTAGAACGTAGAACTGTTTGGTTCTGAGGGTCCAGCTCGATCGGGGAAAGCGACCAAGTGTCTCCAAGCGGTTTAGCGCGGCCGGGGGAAACTCGAAAGTGGCCAGCGAGGCACTACGGAGATTCACAACCTCAACTCCTCTCCTCCCTTCTCTTCTTCCACGTCGCTTCTTCTTAATTCCTTCCCCTTCCCCCCTTTAAAATACCTTCTTCCACTCCTTAAGCTGGTTGTCTTACCAGCTTCTTTCTTTCCCCATCTCCTTTAATCCCCGATTTTTGACCCAGCTGGGAGGTGATCACAATGAGCGGACGTGAGTACTTGGACACGCGATCGCAAGCAATTCTGCGACGCTGCTCGTCCCAATCGCCTCAATTGGCCACTAGATACTGACTTTCGCGAATAGTCCGATTTCTCGATCTCATCAAACCCTTTACGCCCCTCCTCCCGGAGGTGGCAGCTCCTGAAACCAAGGTGCCCTTCAACCAGAAGTTGATGTGGACTGGGGTAGGTTCTTAGGTGGCCACAGTGCAAACTCAATATACTGACTGTTGCGCGCAGTTGACTCTTTTGATCTTCCTGGTTATGAGCCAAATGCCTCTATATGGTATTGTCTCCTCTGACACCTCGGATCCCCTTTACTGGCTTCGTATGATGCTGGCCAGTAACCGGGGAACCCTCATGGAATTGGGTATCACCCCCATTATCTCCTCCGGCATGGTTTTCCAGGTAAGTGGTTCTAGCTGAATAACTAAAGATCCCCTCAATATCGAAACTGTACTGACTCATTTGCTCTTCCCGTAGCTCCTCGCTGGTACCCATCTCATTGACGTCAACCTTGACCTCAAGACCGACCGAGAGCTCTACCAGACCGCTCAGAAGCTCTTCGCTATCATCCTCTCTTTCGGACAGGCCTGTGTGTACGTCTTGACTGGCCTCTACGGCCAGCCAAGTGACCTTGGTGCTGGTATCTGTGTTCTGTTGATTGTCCAGCTGGTTGTTGCTGGCCTGGTCGTCATTCTCCTCGACGAGCTGCTCCAGAAGGGCTACGGTCTTGGCAGCGGTATCTCTCTCTTCATCGCGACAAACATCTGCGAGTCCATTGTGTGGAAGGCCTTCTCCCCCACCACCATCAACACTGGTCGTGGTCCGGAATTCGAGGGTGCCATCATTGCTCTGTTCCACCTCCTCTTCACCTGGTCCGACAAGCAGCGTGCTCTGCGCGAGGCTTTCTACCGCCAGAACCTGCCCAACGTCATGAACCTGCTCGCCACCCTTGTGGTCTTCGCCGCTGTTATCTACCTCCAGGGCTTCCGCGTTGAGATCCCTGTCAAGTCCTCTCGCCAGCGTGGAATGCGTGGCTCGTACCCCGTCCGTCTGTTCTACACTTCCAACATGCCCATTATGCTCCAGTCTGCTCTGTGCTCCAACATTTTCCTTATCAGCCAGATGCTGTACTCCCGCTTCTCTGACAACATCCTTGTCAAGCTTCTCGGTGTTTGGGAACCTCGTGAGGGTTCTGCCCAGCTCCACGCCGCTTCTGGTGTCGCCTACTACATGTCCCCTCCTCTGAACTTCAAGGAGGCGCTCCTTGACCCCATCCACACAGCTGTTTACATCACCTTCATGCTCGTTGCCTGCGCCCTCTTCTCCAAGACTTGGATTGAGGTTTCTGGCTCTGCTCCTCGTGATGTCGCGAAGCAGCTCAAGGACCAAGGTCTCGTCATGGCTGGTCACCGTGAGCAGAGCATGTACAGGGAACTCAAGCGTATCATTCCCACTGCCGCCGCTTTCGGTGGTGCCTGTATTGGTGCTCTCTCTGTCGCTTCCGACCTTCTCGGTGCCCTTGGTAGCGGTACCGGTATCCTTCTTGCCGTCACGTAAGTACTCCATTGCCACGCCTATTAATGCCTTTCAACTGACAAAATTCTTTAGTATTATCTACGGTTACTTTGAAATCGCCGCTCGCGAAGGCGACATCGGCGGTGGCCTCAAGGGCCTTGTTCCCGGTAACTAAACTGGGACTACTGGCCAATTTTTTCTTCTTTTCTTCGCTTTGATGAGTTGCATAAGCAAGGGAAGTCGCGGATTCTTATATTTCCCTATCCCTTGATCTTTCCGCGCGCTACCAGGCGGTGCACTGTTGTGGCTCCGACAGTAATTTGGATGTATTTTCTCAATCGTGAAAATGTATGGGAAGGTTGTTAGCACTTGAATTAGGGCCGAATTCTCTCTGCTTTGGAAAAGCAAGCCACAACTGTATATAGCGCCGACCTGGTTTGTAACCATATTCTATAGAAAACATTCAAAAGCGTTTCTAGCTTGTATTACTATAAAACGCGCAAAATGCCATATGTCAAGCCATTTTTTTTCTCCATCTTGAGAATTTAATCTTGCTTCTGTACTCATTCAATCAAGTTCTATAATCACCATTAATAGTGACATACTCGTGGCTGAAGTCGCAGAACCAGTACACGCCTTCTTCGCCGCCGAGTTCACCCTTCTCGCCACCACCTAGGTCAACAACAATCTCCAGATCTTCCTCCTGGAGAATGGTAGCGGCACGCTGCTCATCCACCTGCTCCGGCTCTCCATTCACAAGGAGCTTCAGCACAGGACTTCCATCAACAGGCTTGAAGCTGACGCTGGTTCGCTCCGGCACAACAGTTCCCGGCGCAACGCCCTGGGTGTATCCAATAGCGCACAGAATCCGACCCCAGTTCGCATCACGGCCGTACAACGCTGTTTTGACAAGTGGGGAGCGGGCAATCGTGGACGCGATAAGCTGCGCGGACTCGAAATCCGGAGAGTTCTGGATGCGGACTGTAACGAACTTGGTTGCGCCCTCGCCGTCGCGCACGACGAGTTGTGAGAGTGATTGCGTGAATGAGGTGAGGATCTCTTGCATGACAGCGTAGTCGTTCGATTGGGTGGAGTTAATTGGCGCGCCGCCTGCGGCTCCGTTCGCGAGGATTGCCACAGTGTCGTTTGTGCTAGTGTCGCCGTCGATGGAGATAGCGTTGAATGAGCGCGAAATAGCAGATTTGAGCAGCGATTGCAGGGCTGAGGGAACGATGGGGGCGTCTGTAGCAATCACGCCAAGGAGGGTAGCCATGTTGGGGTGAATCATGCCGGCGCCTTTGGTCATTCCAGCAAGACTGTACGTGCGGCCGGGGGAGGAGGGGAGCGTAAAGGTGCGGGAAAGAAGCTTGGGGAATGTATCCGTTGTGCAGATGGCGCGGGCAGTGGTGAGCCAGGCGTCGTGGGTTGAGGATAGGCTTTGCGTGGCATCGGGGATCTTGGAGAGGATCTTGGAGATGGGAAGGCTAGGTAGGCGGGGAGCAATTGAGTCAGCGACGTGTACCAAGATACCGTTGAGAATATAAATACCGTTGGCCGATGACACCAGTGCTCATGACGAGGGTACCAGACTCGGAAACGCCAGTGTGTTCGTCCACTTTCGTAGCCATGCTCGTCGCATCTTCAAGGCCACCTTTGCCGGTCACGGCATTGGCACATCCTGAGTTGATGACAACAGAGCGGATCCCCTGGCCTTGAGTCGAATCAAGAATCCTCTTGCTAACCTGGACTGGAGCCGCCTGGAACTTGTTGGTTGTGAACACAGCAGCGGCAGAACATGGTGTCTCGGAGGAGATGAGGGCAAGGTCCGGAAATTTGGTGTTCGTCGCTTTGACGCCGACATGTGTACCGGAAACAGTGAACCCCTTCGGGTATGTGCCAGAAGTCGGGATGTACTTGCGCTTGCTAGCTGGGAAGGCAGCATCCACAGGTGCGGAGTAGCATCGCACCTGGCCTTTCGCCATCCGAGCCAGAGTGGCCATGGCTGCTGTGGGTTGCGCGGGAGAAGCCATGAGGCTGTTTAGAGACGCACGGAGGTTAGTATATAACCAAGCAACAGAAGAGAAAGAATAGCCCTGGCAGTCTCGAAACCCCAGAGAATTTGAAAGGGACTATATACCTTTTGTTCCAAGTGGAAATGACTCAGAGTTGGAGTTCAATAAGTGACTCGATTTCGTGCGCTCTCAAGGCAATGTGGACGATAAGACCACAGCCAGACCAGAAAGAGCTCTTCCCACAAGTATACAACCCCAATTCCTGTTATTTGGCCGCGATGATGCCGTTGGAGAGGTTTACCTCTAGGATAGCTGCGGTCAATAAATGCCGCTCCGATATCGCGGAGACCGGAGAAACTGTCGGTCCTAACAAATCGCGTTCCACGCGCAGATCGAGACCCAAGCACTGAAGGAAGATCAACATTCCAAGAAGGAGCTCCCAGTCCTCCCTTGCGTTCGTGCTTTGCAAGCTGTTTTATTCGAGCTGGCTAGAAAGCACTGGCCGTATCTTAATGGTATTTTGTCCTCTGATCATTCCTCTTAACACCAACTAAAATGAAACGAAAGCAACCAGAAGTTGATGATGAGCTCCCTGTCTCGACCCCTAAGAGACAGCGGACTTCAAACACCAATGGTACTGGTAATGATAATGTCAATGGCGACGGATCGCCTGAGCCCCCGGTCTCGAAACGTATAAAGAGTACACCCCAGAAACCAACCGCCGAAACACCTGCAGCATTAAAAGAATCCGGACTGAGAACCCCGTCGAATCGATCGAAAGCAAAGGCCCTATTCTCAACAACTACCAAGGAAAACGGCGCTTCTACTCCGACAAGGGCGCGTGCGGACCGTTCGGCCAAGAAAAAGAGTGCTCGATTACTTCTTGAGCAGGATGATGAGGATATCTGGGACGGAGGTGATCGTCTCGCGGAGGAGATATTAGCAGGCGAAGAGACACAGGGTGATACCAACGGGCAAGAGAATGAGGTGATTGAAACGGTTGAGGCCGATACCACCGAGTCGAAGACAGACAAGAAGGATAAGACCGCCGCAACGCCGAAGCGTCGTGCTGGAAGACCCAAGGGAGCAAAGAACAAGCGCTCTCCTACGCCCGAAGGCGAATTGCCGCCGCATGAACGGTATTTTTTCCAGAATCGTGCTGGTCCACCACGGACATCAAACAACAACTTGAACAAAGTGAACCTATTGACCCATGAGGATTATTTCGAGAAGCATGCGCAATACCAGGACCCATGCAAGCGGGAAACCGTATTTCTCAACGATCTCCATCGCAGGTCGTTCCCTCAATGGAACTTCGAATTCCACCAGGGATTTAATATTTGCTTATACGGGTACGGCTCAAAGCGCCGGCTCACTCACAGTTTTGCGGATTGGCTGTATCGCAAGCACAGCGCAAGTCCTTCACCTGTCGTCATTGTCAACGGACATACCCCGAACATATCCATCCGTTCCATTTTTGCTACAGTAGTCACAGCCATTCTTGGCGCTGATGTCCCCTCAAAGATGGGAGCTCAGCCGATAGAAGTATTGGAATTATTGCAGTCAGTTCTCAGGTCGAGACCTCAGCAGAATCCAATAACCGTCTTTATCAACTCTATCGATGCCCCGACCCTTCGGCGCGCAGCAAACCAAGCTTTGCTTGCTCGGCTGGCAGCTACACCGAAGATACACATTCTTGCAACCGCCGACACACCGAATTTCCTGTTGATGTGGGACCTCAGTCTCCGGGATCAGTTCAACTTTGTATTCCATGATTGTACGACATTTATACCATTTGATGCAGAATTCGATGTGGTTGAGGAAGTTCATAATCTCCTTGGTCGGAAAGGACGACGTGTTGGAGGCAAAGAAGGTGTTGAGTTCGTGTTGAAAAGTCTTCCGGAAAACGCCCAGAACCTGTACCGACTGCTCATAATTGAATTACTCTCAATGGTGGATGACTATCAAAATGCAGAAGATGATGTGGAGGGTGTCGACGGGGCAGCAGATGGTCCCAAGGACGAGACGGGGATTGAATTCCGGGCGTTATACCAGAAGGCCTCTGAAGAGTTCATCGCATCTTCTGAGATGATGTTCCGGACACTGTTGAAGGAATTCCATGATCACCAAATGATCACTTCGAGAATGGATACGAGCGGAGGGGAAATACTGGGTGTCCCACTGTCCCGGGATGAAATGGAAGGAGTCCTGGAAGACCTTGTCATGGGTTGATATGGTATTCGCATGCGAGTGCATTGGCAAAATTTCATGATACCCTATATAATTTTTGTTTGTCTAACCTAAGTTCATCATTCGGCATATATGAACTGTCCTATATATTCCAACACAACCCTTAACGACACAGACTCGTGAACCATCCGGGCTTAGAATTGGGCAAAAGCTGCCAGAGCCATGGTGGCACCAAAGCTGAGCTTGAACGGCACATGTCTGGAGACCATCTTCTCAAGGTTGACGGATTTTACATATCTCTGCAGTCGGTGTACAGGAAGAACATTATACCCTCTGGAAGCAGCCCACTACAAACAACATCAGCAACGCCGTGAACTTACTTTCGTACTCGAAGAAGCAGGAATCTCACCTCAATTGCTACAATTCCCATGCCCAAAAGTACGACTAGAACCCGAGAGAATGCTCTCAACCCGACACCGACCACTAGACCCAGCACACTCCCCATGCTCACTTGTCGCATGTTCGAGGCCGTTAAAATCCCGGTTTGGCGCACAGTCGTTCCCTGCTTCTTTACCAGTGGATCCTGGGGGTGAACAGCCCATGCAGGCTCTGTAGAGTCGGGTCTGCTGTAGGGAGCTGTATAATCGCATTTCATAGGGAGGGCGCGAAAGGGGGAGGAAGGGAGCATGGAGAAGGACAAGCCGAGGCCGATTCCGACGGCTGCGGAGGTCCGGGAGAGCGTGAGAAGACCGGATGCCATTTTAGGGGATGGTCTTGTATCAATTGACAATATGGGCAGTTATCCTAATGTAGCCTGGAAATATAACAATGAAAATGAAAGCTTCAGTGCCTGCGAATGTCAACAAGGAGCGCCTGTGTAACTAATGCCCGGGTGCGCTTTACGTCATGCTTGAGTATCATTGGGCGGTGGGAGACGGCAGTATATACTTCGGGGTTACTTTGTTCCGTGCAGGGTACCCGGCGGGCGAAGTCGCAGCGAGTTGACAGCGATGTGCGCAATGGAGGTTGATCTCCGCGTCAAATTCACCCCACTAGCACACCTGCATTCACCGGGTTCCTCAACCCCTATCATAAACGACATGGTTTTCGCTTCAAATCCACTCTTCTCAGCACCCGGGAAGGCAAATTCGGGATTCCCCTCGGAACCGCTGCGGATCGATACCGATCGATTCCCTTGATCTCTTTGGGCCATCTGTGTCCCTCGGGCAGTCCCTACGAAGCTGACCCCGTGGGACAGTTGAGTAATCATGGAGTCTCGAAGCCCTGTAGGCAACCAAAAATGCCTTCGGAATGGTTCCTGAAGCCTGGCTATCCCGCGGAAAACTAAGGATCTTCCGAATTTGCAGTGCGCACCAAACTTTGGAGGGGTCGCGGTGCTGTGATTGGCGAGCGCCAGATTTCGGCGGGGAAGTCAAATCAGAGTGAGGGGGACGTTTTTTCTGGACCCGAGTGCAACTGAGGCGAACTGAAGATAATTGAGAGCTTTGAGGTATATATTTCGGTGACTCACGCGCCCTTTCGACAACCCCCCACACTTCCCTCGCTCTCTTTTGTCGTGCTCTTTGCCGCCTCTTCGCTCTCTTTGCTTTGGACTTAGACTTCATTCCTTCTCTCAACCCGATCATCCCATACAATGGCTTCCCAGGCCCCCGCTACCAATGGAGCTGCCTCCAACGATTTCACTGTCAAGGCCGGTCTGGCCCAGATGCTGAAGGGCGGTGTTATCATGGACGTTGTCAATGCGGAACAGGTATATACCCATATTTCCGTCAATTGACCAAGGTACTCACTCTTTTAGGCTCGCATTGCGGAAGAGGCCGGTGCCGCCGCTGTCATGGCCCTTGAGCGTGTCCCTGCCGACATCCGCGCTGAAGGAGGTGTCTCCCGCATGTCCGACCCCTCGATGATCAAGGAAATTATGGAGACCGTTACGATCCCAGTAATGGCCAAGGCCCGTATTGGACACTTTGTTGAATGCCAGGTTTGTTATCCATTGTGTCCATGCAAAGTTTCGGTGCTAACCGGAGACTGCCTGTAGATCCTCGAAGCCATTGGTATTGACTACATTGACGAGTCCGAAGTCCTCACTCCCGCCGATAACCTATACCACGTCACCAAGCACAACTTCAAGGCTCCCTTCGTTTGCGGCTGCCGCAACCTCGGGGAGGCTCTCCGTCGCATTTCGGAGGGTGCTGCCATGATCCGTACCAAGGGTGAGGCCGGCACCGGAGACGTCGTTGAGGCCGTCAAGCACATGCGTACTGTCAACGCTGATATCGCCCGTGCCCGTGCCATTCTCCAATCTTCCGCCGACCCCGAGCCTGAGCTCCGTGCTTATGCCCGTGAGCTAGAAGCCCCCTACGAGCTTGTCCGCGAGTGTGCTGAGAAAGGCCGCCTTCCCGTTGTCAACTTTGCTGCCGGTGGTGTGGCCACTCCCGCTGACGCTGCTCTCATGATGCAGCTGGGCTGTGACGGTGTCTTCGTCGGCTCTGGTATTTTCAAGTCTGGTGATGCGAAGAAGCGCGCCAAGGCCATCGTACAGGCTGTAACCCACTACAAGGACCCGAAGGTTCTCGCTGAGGTGAGCCAGGGCCTTGGTGAGGCCATGGTTGGCATCAACGTTGCGCAGATGCAGGATACAGACAAGTTGGCCAAGCGGGGCTGGTAAATGTGCTTGCTTTGACTTGATTTGCTTTTATGATTTCTTAATGAGCGTTGGAAAAGTTGTGTACCACGGTATACTTGTGGGTGATGTCAAGACATTTAACTTCTTGCATTAGATTCTGCGGTCTCAGGGAGGCTAGCATTTATACTTGATTGTGAACTACGATGTATGAACACATGAAGTATTTTAGACCATTGTAGAGTATTAAACCTGTTCTCCCATCTATACTTGGGCCACGCACCTTCCCTGCAGATCTCTAATACTAAGGTACGTACTTACTCTGCGTCACAGTTTCCTCTTGCGGCTATTGGAGTTTCCACACATATCACAGCTCGAAAATGGAAGCTGCGACGGAAACTGGAGACGACTCCGGAGGAAGGAACAGGTAGCTTCAGGTTAGGTATGCCCAGCTTGGCCCTTAGTTCAATGGTCCGCGCTTTGCTGCACCGACCCGCGATATCCAAGAGCCGTTCGTTTCTATTTACATATCAATATCTACCTATACCGTCCTTCGCGTTTTGAATACGAAAACCCCAAGTATCGGAATATCCCTCCACTAATATCTACTTCATTTTCGCGACGATGGGGCCTATCATTAATTCCATCCCCGAAACCCCTGCTCAGTTAATATTGCGTAGCCTACTTGAATACCCGAATGGACCGGAGGATAGAAACAGAGAATCACCCAAGCGCAAAGCCACAAAGGACGACAAGGGACCGGAGGGCATAGTGGACGTTCCTGGCCTAAGCTCTGCACTACTACAATTAGATGTTACACCCCAGTCGCCTGTCGAGTCTGAAGAGGATAACCAGCCTGAGCAAGATCCGCCACCTAGCCGAGACACCCAGGGCGAACAAGATCCTATGGGGGCAGAGAAATCACAGCATACAAAAGTTTTCCATATTACCATACCCTTGATTTAATCTCGTTTGGATGAAAACGGCTATCGAGACCAGAGGTCAGCTGTCTTGTCGGATTACTCAAACGATGCGGACGACGAAAGTGGACGACCAGAGGAAGGAATATCGTTAGAAGGCTCAGGGAAACCAAGGCAAGGCTGGAATGACACTATTTCGGTAAAGAGAAGCAAGCGAATGAGAAGGAATGGTTTCAGCGATCAATCTTCAACCAAGCGTAAGTTAAACCCTTGACAAGAGGATTTTTGGACGGATTATGACGGGAGTAACCCCATGTAGGAAAAAGTCTACGGTCTCACAGAGAATGGCTCCGAAGTCGATAATAATGGGCACTTTTGTCTTCTCCGAGTTACGTTTATTCTGGTGATGGGTTTAATGACCTTGGTCGAAGGCCACCCTTCACTTGAAGAATGAGTTTGGGATATGGATGGCATATAGTCTAGTCTAGAGTAGTTATTAAATACCATCACCGTCGCTGAGTGTGTGCCCAGCGCACCCATCGTCGAATACATTCATCAACCCTCTTTAGAGAATCCCGCTCAGCAGCGACTTCAAACCACTCCCTATGCTCCTTTCCGCATTCTGGACACTGCCCTAGATCCCGCGCTCGGATATCCGCCAACTCAATATGAATGAGTCTCTCCACTCGGTGAACATGAGGTACCTTTCTCCCTGGCTCCAAGCCCTTGCCAACACCTTGTCCTTTGCCCCGTCTTGATGACGAAGTATACGGATAGTAACGAATAAGTGTGAGATGATTAGAACACTGCCTCGTCCACTCATTCAACCTTCGGGTTATATTATTCGTCCGACCAATCTTCAACTTCACTGTTCCTGGACTATTGGGCGTTGGATTCGACGATAGCTTATTCAAGTCTCTTGCCCGGATAATGGCGGTGTTGCTGCGTCGGATTTGCTCCGGTGTTTCGTCGCTGTCATCGTCGTAATCGGGATCGTCGTCTTCATCGTTGATATCTATTCCCCTATTTGCTGACGGGACGAGAAACGAGGCGATGTCGGACGGGGGTGGAGCAGATCTTGATGATGTTTCAGGCGTCACCCAGAACATGTAGATGTAGCCTGGTTCGTCGGCTGTGGAGATTGGTTTTGCGAGTTCAGCCGCGAGGAGTGAGACTGTTTGCGGGGAGAGAGTAGATGGGATCCATCTGCTTGTTGATTTCCGAGGAGGTGGCCTTGCTGTGGATGGTAGGAGAGGTGAGACTTGGTTCATTTGTTGTTGAGGAGGGTGTCCTGGGACAGGTGGAGGGCGCGGCGCGCTTGGTCTTGGAGCCGGCTCATCGTCTTCTTCTATGATATCAAAACAGCAGAATGAGCGCTTGGTTTGTTTCTTCTTTGGCGGGTACGGTGGTTTTTGCGATTGCGCATCGTTTATATCTAGGACGCCGAGGCGGCCCATCAATGTGTCGATGCTTGATCGTCGCTGGTTTTGCGTGGGATCTGGTTTCCATGTTGGTTGATTCGGGATTGGCTGGACTTGATCTTTATGCTGCCAGCAGTAAAGGGTAGCTATGTCTGCATTTTGGGTGTTGTTGGCTCTGCCAGCTGTCTTTGGTGGTGGTGATTTAGGCGAGGCTAATGATCGGCGGCATGGATGGCCGCTAGAAGTGATTCCACGGCATGTTGTAGCTGGATTTTTCGAATCCGAACGGGATACTTTGGATTCCGGGGTGTTGTTAAAGTACGGCATGGGTGTTGTTATAACGTGTGCACTGAAAGGTGCAAAACTGAGTGGGTAGGGCTGAATATAAAGGGGGGAGAAATACCATATTCAGCCTTGTCTGCAATTTGTGAGTCGCACCGCCACAGGGTAGGTGAGACTCGCACAGGGCGTGAATTGTCAGGCATTCACCGATCTTTAAAATGATTTAGGTCCGTGCAGGGCTGTTTTATTCGACGACAGATGTTGTTGATGCCTGGCACATGCACCGCCTCAGTGGCTGATGTTTGTACATATTGACCCACTTGAGCTATTATTATCCCAACGTTGGGCTTCGGTGTCGTGTGATTAATTAAGCAAAATGAAACCGCAAGGAGTTGAGCCTGATAGTACCACGTCAGCGTTGACATAAATAAGCGTAGTTATTATACCTACTTGGTAATCCCCTTGTCGAAGGATGTAATTCAGGTCTACTTGCAGCCGTGGCCAAATGAAAGCTCTCATGTTTCATGATCGTCGTGAATTGTGTCAAGTTACTGATATCTACCCAATATAATCGAAGCCAGCTCCCTTGCATTTGACCCAGAAAGTACGTACTAATTGGAGTGTTCGCTGCCTGGCGCCTCGCGCAGCGAGCAGAGACGAAAGGAAGCGTTGCCTCTCTTCTGGCGAAGGGACATTGGTGTGTCCTTGATCGGTATGATCATTTCCTATATCTGCAAGTGCTGCTGTGAGATGTGGGCGCGCATGGCCTAGTTGTTTGAATACAACTCGTCTGAGAACATCCGTGAGATGCTCAATGTCCGATCGGGCACACCGACCCGCCAATTGTGTAACGAGTATGCGGCAAAGCGCCGGCAGATAATTGTGAATTGTTTTCGGTACAGCCTCGGCGTCGTTGGGGAGGTTCAAGACGCTTACCCAGAATAAAGAGGCAGATCGAAGTGGGATGGGTTCTGGGCCTTGCAGTGAGAAGAGCGTGAAATGTGAGATTGTTTCGATAACTGGCGGCCTTTCTCCAACTCCTGGAGGAGTGTATGTAAGCGCGAACAAGTATGGATAATATTTCGGGAGCAGGCGAGTAAGGAAGTCAATCCCGCTGTTTGCAAGTTCGGGGTCATAGAGCTCTGGCTTTTCTTGCACCAAGGAAAATGTGTTGTATACATGAAGGATTAATGCGACAACCTCCTCGCTTATTTTTTGTGGGTGTGAGGCGTGGGAGGCCAGAAATGCAGAGGCTGTGCCCATCACCATATCAGCGCCGGAAGTGCCGAGGGGTATGCTTTTGACAAAATCGACTGTCAATGCGGGTGGGAAAACAAATGGCCCCGTGCTTTCAGTAAACCCGGCCTTCAGAATATCACATGTCGCTTCAATTATGGCCGCATCGAACGGGAAGTCCGTCATAAGAAGCCGCATGCATTGCATTATCAGGTTTTGCGACACAGCGCCATTCCCCGAGTTCCAGTACGTAGGTGGATAAGGGACGTCGTCCTTTTCACTGCTGAGATCCAACACCACTTCATTATCCGCCCTTAGGCCTTTTCCTATACTCGCAAGGCATCGAAGAGCCATGTGACCGCGCATGCAAGCCTGCTCTATAGACCCCTGCGAAGCTTCATTTCGAGCAAGTTCTGCTTGTTCGACAAAAAACCCTAGGATTCTCTCGAGGAATTGGGATTTATCTTCATCAGCAGGTAAAGTTTGTATTATGGCAGCGATGCCTTCTAGCACTTTCTCCATCGTCTGAGCAGTAGCAGTTGGTTTGACTCGGAATATCTCGAATTGGCTGATGAATGCTGGAAGCTCAACTTTGAGAGCATCGCGGCACGAATTGCAGAGATAGGATATGGATTTAGAGGCCGCTGGAGCGCATGATGCAACATTCAGACATGCAAACAGAAACGTGAGAACCCGAGGAAGCAGAGCATGGGTGCGTTCGAAATATGATCGGTACCTCCCAAGCATATCCACCAAAGTTTGGCGAGCTTTGTCGGGGATCATAACCTCACTATCGTCGCACAGGCGGGCGAACTCATCAGAGAAAAATATTGCGTTTAAACAACCGTCAGCGTGCTGGTTCTCATCAACGGCCTCCGAGAGTTGGGCAACACAAAAAATAGCCGATTCAAACGTTCTCCAATCCCGGCTTGCAAGCGAGGACCTTGCACGTTGTTGAAAAACATGTATCAAATCTACCCCAAGTATGGGATAGGCGGCAAGGAGGAAATCACAAACGTCTCGCCGAAAAGACCCAAATTCGGCACGTTCGTCGTCGCCCCATTCTCGCAGTTCTTCTCCAGTGGGATACTTGAGCTTTTCGAAGCAGTCCAAAGTGGCGCGAGCAAGATTTTGCTTTGCAGATTCGGGACCTTTTCCGTCAGGGTCCAGGAATTCTTCCTGGAGGTCGTCGGCAGCTTCTGTCCACCACTCAAGGGCAAGAGGAGACACAGAGTCGTCTACCGCCGCGTACCCCGGAGTCTTGAACAAAGTATGAAGGAGTGTGATGATTTTTTCATGGCTCTCATCTAAAGCTTGTGTAAAAAGTCGGGAACGCTTTACTGTTGAAAGTGACAGGAGTAATTCTATGAAGGTCATATTTTCGTCTTCATAATCACCCTCCAAGAGAGAGGCGATATGGGCGGTTCCGGAATCACTGATAACGTATTCATGAATAGCTGCAACGTGGTCCTGTGATAATATGGGTTCAAGCCAGCTCATGAGCTCAACCAGAATATGCCCGGCGGCTTTTGATAAAGTCGGCAAATTTAAGCTTCGGATTACACAATTCGTGGCCGGTGCCAATTGAGACACAGAGATGGCATGGTGTAGTTGAAATGAGCTTCGAACAGAGATCCAAGCCTGGCAGCCTAAAATTAGATACTGTCATAGGAACGAAATAAAGGAGTGAGCCAAAACTGACATGGTAACAATTGATAGCTTCTGTTCCAAGAACCTCGTTTGCAACGGAGCCGCTGGAGGTACCATGTCGCAATATTTGGGAAAGGACAAATTCCACGAGTGTGAATGCATCTCGGATATTCTCAGAAATGCGCCGGGTATCTCCAGCCTTCCGTGATTCCGTGCCCAGGCGACCCGTCTCCTCTGCTAGAATATTTGAGAAATACAGCAAGGAGATAATATGGCTCTCGGACAGTACCGGGAGGATATTATTTTGCAAATTAAGTGACCCACAGTCCTCCTCACGGACGTTCTTCCCATTTGCTAAAGATGCACCTAGGCTTAAAATTGCACGCGTCCAGGGCGCATCTGTCTTCAAGAAGATGGTTGCCAGGGTAGAGGCCAATTTTCGTATAACGACGCGCTCTCCCCCATTGACCAAGACTACATAGTGGTCAATAAGCCGGCCGATAAGCTCACGCGAATCATCCTCAGCTAGATTATACCTGTAAAGAAGTGAGCAAGATTCCCAATACAATTGCAGTAAAGGCAAAACAGACCAGTCATGATTGACCTTAACGGTAAAGGTTAGTGCGCCAAAGAATCTTAGGTCTGTATTCTCATCCGTGAGGAGAGTATTTGCGATAATCCAAGCTTGTGGTCCCTTTTGAAGATTTTGGAGATGCTCCTGAATAATCTTGATCTTGGTGGGGTTACCCGTGTTTGCTGGATCATAAAGTTGAGAAACAAGCTGAGAAATTGCCAGTCAGCTCATATTCCGAATAGTGACAACTCGTTTGGACCTACCGTCCTTGCCTCATCAATGAGGAGCTGGACATCTACAGCCTGGCCTGGGGGGTCCATGGAGACGGCCGAAGCACCTGGGGAAGTGGACAAGAGGCTGGAGACTTGACGATGCCGCAGTGGTACCGTATAGATGGGCCGATAAGAAAAAGGGTCAGTCACGTGCTGATAACGAGGAGGGGGAAACAAATTCCTGCGGGGAGAAAAACCATGAAATCTCACTTTCGGGGAATTTGACTGTACTTCATATAACTGCTTATACTTACGAGGTGTACATATCGTTTACCAAGCAAGCTTTTGGCTCCCACCAGTATCAGTCCAGAGATTTTCTCAAGGAGGCCATCGAGGCCTTTTTTAGTTTGGTAATTTATGTAAAGTTTCGGTAACATTTTGCTCTAAATTACGCTGACTCCACACCAAATTGCTGTCAACTCCGATCCCGTCTTATCAGGTCCGGCTGCTTGCTGCTTCAACCTACCCTCGAGCTCCAGTCTTCCGAGGCCAACCTTTTTTTGTATAACACGCGGATAACCTTACAATTCCGTCCTTCTCCCTTCTGCTCTTGTTGCCAGCGCATTCATCAATCCTGTAGGAGTGCTCGCTCTCGTTTTGCCATCGAGGTATTCTCCCTAGGACACGTGCGCGATCCGTTTTCTAATTGCGTCAGTCCATGCTCTTTTCCCGTCCTCCAGCTCGGCTTTCCTGGATTCTAGCTTTCCGGCCTACTCAAAGTCTGCCGCGCTTTGGACCGAGATTCTTCTCTATATCTTCGCCGAGATACACCGTCGACATGGAAGCCGTGGATACCTCCAAACGCCTGTCCAGCTTGCGGCAACTGATGCAAGAGCACAAAGTCGATGTATATAGTATGGCATCCCATAGCCCTTGTACCAGTCTGAATCCAAACCTGACTCTAACTCTTATTGCAGTCGTTCCTTCAGAAGATAGCCACCAGTCGGAATACATTGCGCCTTGTGACGGTCGTCGAGGTAACCCTGCGCCCATTCCTACCTTCGAAATACGCGACAACGCCTGCTACCACTATCGAGCGCCATAGGCTTACTTCTTTATATATAGAGTTTATTTCCGGGTTTTCTGGTTCTGCTGGAACCGCAATTATTTCCCTGAGCGAGGCAGCTCTATCTACCGATGGTCGGTACTTCAACCAAGCGGCGAAGCAGCTGGATAACAACTGGACCCTTCTCAAGCGAGGCGTTGAGGGAGTCCCGACTTCACAAGAATGGTATGGATTACGTGGTATCTGTTTCTCAGTGCGTCAGGGACTGAATGCCTTTGTAGGATAGCGCAGCAAGCCGAGGGTGGTAAAATAGTCGGTGTTGACCCGGCGTTGATAACAGCTTGTGAGGACTCAGAAATCCAATTACATCTAATCAAACTTGCTGACTAGCTGCAGCGGCTGCTCGCAGCCTCTCCGAGGCGCTCCAGAAAAGTGGCGCTTCCTTGGTGGGCGTGTCGCAAAATCTTGTTGATTCGGTCTGGGGTAGCGATCGGCCCGCACCACCACGAGAAAAGGTTAGGGTTCATCCTGAAAAGTATGCAGGAAAGACCTTCCAGGAGAAGGTGAGCGATCTACGAAAGGAACTGGAGAGCAAAAAAGCAGCTGGCTTTGTTATCTGTATGTTGAACCCAATCTGTAAAAGGAGTGCGTTCTAACAACACTTGTAGCCATGCTTGATGAGGTCGCCTGGCTTCTTAACCTGCGAGGAAACGAGTAAGTTCGCGCCTATATTGTGATGATACTCTAAACCTGACACTTGATGATTCCAAGCATCCCCTACAACCCAGTCTTTTTCTCGTACTGCACCGTCACTCCGACAACCGTTGAACTTTACATCGAGGATGAGAAGTTGACACCTGAGGTGAAGGCACACCTTGGAGACCACGTTATTGTAAAGCCGTACGATTCTATCTTTGCAGACGCGAAGGCGCTTAGCGAAGCGAAGAAGCAGGATCCTGAGGCCCCCTCTTCCAAATTTCTTCTTTCCAACAAAACCTCGTGGGCATTAAATCTGAGCTTGGGAGGTGAAGAACATGTCGATGAGACTCGTAGCCCCATCGGCGACGCAAAGGCCGTGAAGAACGATGTCGAATTGGAAGGCATGAGGGCTTGCCATGTTCGTGATGGGGCTGCCCTAGTCGAATACTTCGCTTGGCTAGAGAACGAGCTGACCAACAAAAAAACGACCTTAGACGAGGTTGATGCAGCTGATAAACTGGAGCAGATCCGATCCAAACACGAGCTGTTTGCGGGTCTCTCTTTTGACACCATATCCTCAACCGGCCCTAACGGAGCTGTCATCCACTACAAGCCTGAAAAGGGAAGCTGCTCAGTTATTGATCCCAACGCTATCTACCTGTGCGATTCCGGGGCCCAGTATCTGGATGGAACTACGGACGTAACTAGGACATACCATTTCGGACAACCCACTGAGCTCGAAAAGAAAGCCTTCACTTTAGTTCTCAAAGGTTGTATTGGACTCGATTCCGCTGTATTTCCGAAGGGCACCAGCGGGTTTGCGCTTGACGTTTTAGCTCGGCAATACCTGTGGAAGGAGGGACTTGACTTCTTACATGGAACAGGACACGGCATTGGCTCCTACCTGGTAATTCCAGAATCTCTGTGAAACTTATATTGTGCCACGCTGACCTTTTTAGAATGTACACGAAGGCCCCGTAGGCATCGGCACCCGTGTCCAATACACAGAGGTCCCTCTTGCACCCGGAAATGTTATCTCTGACGGTACGCAATCTACGTCTGGACCATTAGGCCATTTGACTAACTACTGCAGAACCCGGCTTCTACGAGGATGGCAAGTTCGGAATCCGCATTGAGAGTGAGTTTTTTGCTGCCGTGGATCCCCGAGATTGATATACTGATGCTTAGATAGATGTTATTATGGTACGTGAGGTTCAAACTACTCACAAATTTGGTGAACGACCGTGGTTGGGTTTCGAGCATGTCACAATGTGCCCTATCGGTCTTAACCTGATTGAGCCCTCGCTTTTGAGTGACTCCGAGATCAAATGGTTGAATGATTACCATGCAGAAGTATGGGACAAGACCCATAAGTTTTTTGAGAACGATGAAATCACTCGTAACTGGCTTCAGCGTGAGACTCAGCCAATCTCTAAATAAGAAGTTTTTGAAGGGATACCAGGTACCCTAGATAGATACTGGAGGAAATAACCATACTTGAATAGAAGAGCCGGCTATTTGCCCAGTCCTTAATTTGAGTTTATTCACTATCTCAATTTACGCGAGTACCTAGATACATTGTCGAGTAGTTCAAGGCTGCCTGCTTGCATTCCCCCATTGTGGGACGTGGCTGGCGGCCGGGCAATGTGGAGATCGCTTGACCACTTGGAAGTTGGGATCTGGGCAGCTCAATCGCTGTCCTTCCGATGCAACGGCCCTTTACCAGCATTTACGGCTCCCTCAACCCTCTACACCCTGACAGATTGCTGCGCCTGTTTATTTGCGATTGGGCGCTCTCACGGATTTTGCCCTGAATTCCAGGTCGTCTTCCACCCTTTGGCGACGATGCCCGCATCCCCTACTTTCTGACCACACCGACCCCTTGACACCGAGAAGCCGGCACTTCTTTATCCTTCCGCCGACCCGCCCCGCACACGCGGACTTGGTAATAGTCAATACCGACTCTCGACACTGCTAAGAAGTTGGTATGAGTGGCAGGAGTGGCTACGCGAACGGCTACGGGTACTCCGACACCAGCCGCTACGATCGCGGCGACGGCGGATATGGCAACAATAGCAATCTGGGTGTGAATGGATATGGCGCCGGCGGGGCGAGAGAACGGCGCCCTGGAGGTTATGGTGGATTTTACCCAGAAGCATCGCAGCAACCTGCTTTGTCACCCGCAGCTTCGCCGGAGCGGCGCCGCGACAGATACGATCGAGATGACCGCTCCTACTCCTCGTCGCGATCACGGACACGCGGACCAGACCCGGAGAGAGAAAGAAGGGCTCAGAACACAGGTGACGGCAGTGGAAGGTCTCGACGAGAGCCCAGTAGGCCGGGCAATACCAACAACCAGGACGGGGAGCGGAGAGCTCCCACTGGCGGGAGAGCTCAAGCTGTTGAAGGTATGTGTTAAACGAGCCTCTCTTCCCTTTTCCTTTGCTTCCGCCCCAAGATTCCTGACGTATTCTAATACCTAAACCTTATCTGTTCAGATGTTCTGCACTCCATCCAGCGTGAGTGGGATTTCGTGGCGACAGACAACTGTGTACCGGTGCAGGTTGCTCTACAATTGATGGACACCAGCACTCTCGGAAAGGCAGACCGCGAACCCGATTTCCTTAGTGTAAATCAGACAATTCAGCAAACCCTCAAAACCATCGTCAATGAGCACCACCAGGGCTTCAATAGTTCCATCGGTACATACCACAAAATTCAGGCCAGCATACAAAGCTCCCAAGGGCGAGTCCGGAGTTTGAAACATGCGCTAGAAGATGCGAAAGGGGGATTGATGTCTACAAAGCCTGAGTTGAAAGATTTGGCGACGTCTTCTCAGAAATATGACGATATAATTCAGTTATTCAGCCAGATCCAGGAAATTCAGTCTCTTCCTGAAAAGCTTGAATCTAGGCTATCTGACAAGCGGTTCTTAGGTGCCGTGGAGGTGCTTCATGACGCCCTCCGGCTTCTACGGCGCTCAGAGCTTGAGAACATTGGATCTCTCGGCGACATCCGTGCATATTTCGAAAACCAGGAATCTTCTATAACTGATATCCTTGTCGAGGAATTGCATGATCATCTTTACCTCAAATCCCCTTACTGTTCTGATAGATGGAAGCCCCCAACCCAAGAAGCGGACAGCACAGGTATTAATGGGAACGGGGCAGGCTCCTGGGAGCGGCCTGTCTATGGATTTCTCGCGAGGCTTGATGCGTCCACACCTATGGTGGAAGACGCCTCTCGAAATCCCGAAGCCGACACATTCTCTTACCTTCAACTTCTTATCGAAGCTCTGAACAAAATGGGCCATTTGGATATTGCAGTTCATCGTATCGAGCAGCGACTGCCGGTCGAGCTCTTCACGGTAGTCGATAAAACGAACGCGGAGATCGATTTACGCTATCCAACTCCACGGGGCTCTATGGCACAAGATGGAAAGACGGACTCGCCGACGGAAGTGATTGAGAAGCGAGGCCATGTTCTCTCCGAGTTCCTGTGGACGCTCTACGCGAAGTTTGAATCAATTGCAGAGGGGCACCGTGTCATTCATGACGTGATCGCAGCCATTGTAGAACGTGAGGGCATACCAAAAAGCAGCTCCTTGGCTGGTGGATTTAAGGAGCTGTGGAAACTTTACCAAAGCGAGGTACGCAAAACAGCCAATTGTTTTGAAAATAACGCTTTACTGACTGTATGCGCCCCCAGATTCGGTCGTTGATGCATGATTACTTGGCTACTGATGGCCATTCCATTGGGCCAGTAGATGAAGAGGCTGATGCGCGGCGTCAACTCTATTCAGGCTATAGAGACAAAAACAAAGTATGCTTAACCGCAACATTTTCATGTTTTATTATGCTGACAACCTCAGAAACTATTCAAATTGTCCGAGGCTAGCCGTACAACGGAGATGAAGGCCGAACAAAACGAATTGGATGAAATCCTGAGGTCTTCTGTCCCAGGACTTGTATCCAAATCGGAGGTAAAGTCAGATGAGAATCGGCCCTCGGACGCTCGGCAAGGTACCGGCCACAAGATTCTTATTGAACCTAGTGTGTTCAATATGAGCCTCCTCTTACCGCCGTCACTCTCATTTATCCAACGACTCAAGGATGTTGTTCCCGTGGATTCCGATATGGGAACTGGCTCTCTTACCTCATTTCTTGACGATTTCCTTGTCAACGTCTTCTTACCGCAACTCGACGAGACCGTCACGGAGCTTTGCACCCTCAGCTTCATTGCCACGGATGCTTTTACGGAAGACCCTCAATGGTCAACAGTCTCACCAAAACCAGTGTTCAAGGTCAGTAATGGTGATTCTTCATACCAATGAAACTTTCGCTGATTCACATTTAGGGGACTGTAAAATTCATGTCGATTGTGAGAGAGTTCAGTAGAATGCTATCCAGTATCCCTCATGATCAAGCATTTACGCAGCTCCTTCTCAGTCAAATAGTGACCTACTACGACAAATGTTGTGGGTGGTACAAAAGTAAGTATTCACAAAAACTCTTCGCTTCGTTCTTCTTGTTAACTTTTCCAAAGCCATTGTCACAAAGGTCTCACCCCGAGGAAGAGGTGGGGTGCAGCTCAAAGCAGCAGCCGGTTTTGCTGAATCTGGACCAATTCATGATCTCGTCGTCGAACTATGGCAGGGATCGGATCCCAACAAGCAGGAAGTTGTTGACAAGGTACTTGATTTCGATATATGTGATGCTAAAATATATGGTTAACACGAACAGGAAACTGCCCTTCTGATAAAACACACAGATACCACGCCATTGGAGCCCCTCGACATTATATCTGACGCAAAGTCGGTAGTGTCGCTGTCCCTCCTTCATAATAGCATGGTTAGTACTTGCAAAGCCATTGCTTCTGGTGATGTAACTAATAGGGATATAGCAATGGCTTGCTAGCAGCCTTGCGAAACTACGACAGCCGGTGGTGGACTCGCGACCATCGCAGTCGGAGTCCGGAACGACAAACCGCCGCTGGACGCTGATCAGCGCCATGAAGCCTAAACGCGATAGTATAAATCAACCTATATACCTTCCATTGAATCACGAAACCGCAACCGCATTTGACACCACTCTTCAATCATTACGCGACCTCGCAGTCTTCGCCGTATTTGCTTTACATATTGATATTAGATGTGGAGTTATCCATATGTTGACGCGGACTATGGCCGGGCCAAACCCTCAACCTATTCGCACCTCGGAACCCGCTACTCCCGCCCCGCCACCCAGTGGTGGTTGCTGGCATCTCCTAACGAGCCAGCCAACCGCAGCATCACCAGCGATCCTTGAATTAAACAAAGATCTGATCGCTTTTGATACGAACATTTCAACGTATCTGGGAGCTGCCCAGCGTCAATTTATCACCTCTGGCCTAGCCCAGTTCATAGATCGAGTCTTCGTATCTAGCACCCGTTACGTCTGGGCTATGAATGAGAACGGCGCATTACGACTCCAGCTCGATGTCCTTGTCTTGCAGCAAAACCTCAAGAACGTTATAATTGACGCTGCGGAAGCGGAAGAGGACCGTGAGGTTGTTGCTCTACCGCGAAGCGCGAAATTCCTCGATTGGTTCCTAGAGGGAGCCGAAAAGGCACTCGATTACGCAAAAGAAGAAAAGGAATATCTGGCCGCGAATCCCGATAAGCGGCTTACTGTGAATCTTGAACCGTTCAGCTACGAAGAGCTCAAGGTTCTTGTTGACCTGTGTTTCTCGGAGATACTGAGGGGCCCGAGAGGCGAAGACAACCGGGAAGATTTCATGGCTGCGAAGAAGGCCAGTGCAGACGCGCTACTGAGGTTGAACGAGATAATGTGGGATTCTAAATAACCTGCCGAGTCTGTTTTAGCGAGCGAAAACGAATCGTTTTGTACGTCAGTGATATCCAAGTAGAGGCTGTTATAGGAGCGCTGGCTTCCCTGGCAGCGGAATCAATATATACATCTTGATAGAGACGCTTGCTAGGATCGAGGAGATATATAATTGAATATTCCCACTGCACCGATTCGCATTTCTTCCGGGTTGAACTATGATGATAAATATTCTGGGAGTTCGTTAGTAGTCCATGCGAGAACCTATGGTACATTGGAAGGTCCGGCTTTGAATTGTTTGTGCTCAGAACTTTGAAGTATATAATTAGACCAGTCAAAGCATCGAAGCTTGAAGCACGAGGCAGGGGGGCTGAGTGGATCGATCGATCCATTACATCATTGCTCAGCCAAAGCTACACGAGCTTTTTGAAAGCTGTGTTTTTCCGAATGCACACCCCATGATATTTAGAATTCCAAGGGCGAATTAGAACTGCAGCTGTTAAAAAGACCCAAGGTGACCTTGACTTGTGGAGCAGCCGTTCTGCTTTCCGATAAGCTGCAGTCTGCAGAGCACTGACGGCTGTTGTCGTATAGTATGCATGCCAAGGATCTCGCGGGATTTCTCTCCACAGCGGTGAGCGTGGGAGTGGGACAAATTCACTCGTGACTCATGCCAGACGCTTGAGAGGACGGACTCCGCATGCTTCGTTCAATCAGCAAACAGAAACTTGGAGAGGAGGAGCCTGGAGCAATTTCGAGTCGAGAATGCGATGGTTTCTCTGCATGAAAACGGGTAGATCGGCCGGTGCGCGTAAGTCCGACAACCCCGGTTACCAATCCGTAAGCGTTCAAGCTTCGCCATCGTTCGCCTGGCTTTTAGTAAGCAGTCTCAGAGAGGTTGTCTTCTTGGGTTCATTCTCCAACTCTCGCATCCATCTTTCTCTGTGATCGCGACTCTTGTCTCTGCTCGGCCGCTTCCTCATCTCCCTCTTCTGTGTGCTCCGGAGGAGGAAATCGAGGTGTGGGTTACACATTCCGGGGAAAAATGCTGGACGACAGCTCTCAGTCGGTCCTCGGGGAGATCGCCCCAGGATCCCTGCCGCCGACCTCATTCCAATCCGCGAAGCTCCAGCCTTTCTGCGGCGATGTCGAAGGTTGGGGCCCTTTGAGCCGGTTCAGATTCGATCTGACGCCATGCTTCCTGGACTTGGGCGTCTCGTTGGTTGCCGTGTTCGGGTTGGTTTTGGGAAGCGGTGCTATCTGGTTCCTCTTTAAGAAGCGCATACCACAACCTGTGTCAAAGAATTGGCATTTCTATGCTAAGCTGGTTCGTCTTCCTGTCCGCGCCGAATCCCGTTTAGTTATATTCATTAGCTGACTTACCCTATTTGCAAATCGTCTAGGTTGTTTTATCCGCCTTGTTATTTACTACCGCTCTACAAGCCGCAATTCAAGCCGAAACCTACACCAACTGGCTTGCTGACTTCCGATTCTGGAGTTCCGTCCTTGTCTTCGCCTCGCTAGGTGTTATCTTCGCCGTACAGTACTATGAACATTGGCGCAGCAGACACGCAAACGGCGTTGTCCTCTTTTACTGGCTATTCTTTGTTATCGCATACGCTGTCAAACTGCGGTCGCACGTAGCTCAGAAGTCCTACATTGACTCTCTGCCATACTTTGTCTGCGTTAACGTCAGTCTGGGCCTTGCGATTCTGGAGTTCGCACTGGAGTATTTGGTTCCGAAGAAGCAGAGTGCTTATGATGCCTTGGGTGACGAAGATGAATGTCCGTACGAGTATGCGGACGTGTTTTCGGTTCTGACCTTCAGCTGGATGACGCCTATGATGAAATTCGGGTACAAGAACTTCTTGACGCAGGATGACCTATGGAATCTTCGCCGACGGGATACCACCCGTACCACTGGTAATGCCTTGGAGGAGAATTGGGAATACGAACTGGAGAGAGAAAAGCCATCTCTCTGGATGGCACTATTCAAATCCTATAGTGGTCCTTATCTTCGTGGAGCAGTTATCAAGTGCGGAAGTGATATTCTTGCCTTCGTCCAACCGCAACTCCTACGAATACTGATTGATTTCATCAACTCGTATCGGACCCCTGAGCCGCAGCCGGTCATTAGAGGGGTTGCTATATCTCTTGCCATGTTTGTGGTCTCCGTGACCCAAACATCATGTCTTCATCAGTATTTCCAACGGGCATTTGATACCGGTATGCGTGTCAAATCCGGCCTTACTGCTATGATTTACGCCAAATCTCTTAAGCTCTCAAGTGAGGGGCGCGCATCGAAGACCACCGGCGACATCGTTAACCACATGGCTGTGGATCAGCAGCGTCTATCTGATCTGACCCAGTTTGGTACGCAGCTTTGGTCTGCACCTTTTCAAATCACTCTTTGTATGATCTCACTTTACCAATTGGTTGGAGTGAGCATGTTTGCTGGTATCGCTGTCATGATCCTCATGATCCCGCTTAATGGTGTCATTGCGCGAATGATGAAGAGACTCCAACTTATTCAGATGAAGAACAAGGACGCAAGATCCAGGCTAATGACCGAAATTCTAAACAACATCAAGAGCATCAAGCTTTACGCCTGGAACAATGCGTTTATGAACAAGCTGAGCCATATCCGTAATGACTTGGAGTTGAATACTCTTCGCAAAATTGGAGCAACCCAGTCTGTTGCAAACTTCACCTGGCAGTCGACGCCATTCCTCGTCTCATGCTCCACGTTCACAGTCTTTGTTCTGATTGAAGATCGACCTCTGACAACGTCGATTGTATTCCCGGCTCTGACACTTTTCAACCTCCTCACATTCCCACTTTCGATCCTTCCCATGGTTATCACCGCAGTGATTGAAGCATCCGTAGCTGTTAAACGTTTGACAGATTACTTGACTGCTGAAGAGCTCCAACGCGATGCCGTGAAATACGAAGACTCTGTCACCCATATTGGGGACGAGTCTGTCCGTATTCGCGAGGCGGATTTCTGTTGGAACAGGTACAAGGATGAGACGGCACTGGAGCACATCGATCTGAGCTGCCGTAAGGGAGAGCTTAACTGCATTGTTGGCCGTGTCGGCTCTGGGAAGTCATCTCTTCTTCAGGCCCTCCTCGGTGACTTGTGGAAGAAAGAGGGAGAAGTCATAGTTCGTGGACGCATCGCATACGTCGCCCAAGCCGCTTGGGTTATGAATGCTAGTGTTCGAGAGAACATCGTGTTTGGTCATCGCTGGGATCCCCAATTTTATGACCTAACTGTAGAGGCATGCGCTCTGGTCGACGACTTCAAGAACTTGCCCGATGGCGACCAGACAGAGGTTGGAGAAAGGGGAATTTCTCTTTCTGGAGGACAAAAAGCCAGATTGACGCTCGCCAGAGCCGTATACGCTCGTGCTGATATATACCTTTTGGATGATGTTCTATCCGCAGTAGACCAACATGTTGGTCGCCATCTGATCAACCGTGTTCTTGGACGTAATGGTATTCTTAGCAGCAAGACGAGAATTCTTGCCACAAATGCTATTCCTGTTTTGAAGGAGGCGGACTTCATCGGTCTGCTCCGCGACAAAACATTGATCGAAAAGGGTACATACGAGCAGCTGATGGCCATGAAGGGAGAGGTCGCCAACCTCGTTCGCACGACCATGAACGATTCGGACGACGAAGGCTCTGGTGCCGAAAGTCGTGGACTTGCTAGCCCTGAAAGCTCAGAATCTGCGACTATGATCGAAGACCCTGACTCTGAATACTCTGACATGGACGAGGCTGAACAGCAGATTGGCTCTCTTGCCCCAATCAAGTCCGCTGCTGGTCGCAGAACGAGCACTGTCACACTGCGTCGCGCAAGCACCGTAAGCTGGCAAGGCCCTCGACGCAAGCTTGGGGACGAAGAAAATATTTTGAAGAGCAAACAGACCCAGGAGACCTCGCAACAAGGCAAAGTTAAATGGAGCGTGTACGGTGAATATGCTAAGAACAGCAACTTAGTTGCTGTCGGTATCTACCTCTTAACCCTGGTGGGTGCACAGACAGCACAGGTGGGAGGAAGTTACTGGCTTAAGCACTGGACCGAGATGAGTGAAACGCAGGCAGGTTCGTCGGGTGCTGGCAAGTTCATCGGTATCTATTTGGCTTTGGGTATTGGGTCATCTTTGTTGGTCATTCTCCAAAATCTGATTTTGTGGATCTTTTGTTCTATCGAGGTATGTTGAAAACTAAAGAACTCCGAAGAAACCCACTGACTGGAATAGGCATCCCGGAAACTTCACGAGAGGATGGCGTTCTCCATCTTCCGTTCGCCGATGCGCTTTTTCGAGACGACACCCTCTGGACGGGTCCTTAATCGATTTTCCAGGTAAGGGAAAGCAAGAAACATATTGAGCGTGCAGTCTCTAACAGGTGTTTATAGTGACATTTATCGTATCGACGAGGTCCTTGCCCGGACATTCAATATGGTTGGTCTTTCTGCATACATCACAATTTATATCTGCTAACAGTGAACTAGCTTTTTGGAAATTCAGCTAAAGCAATCTTTACGTTGATTGTTATTGCCACCTCAACGCCCCTATTCTTGATTCTTGTCCTTCCCCTGGGATATATATATTTCAGCTACCAGAAATACTACCTCCGCACCTCCCGTGAATTAAAACGTCTTGATAGCGTTACGCGGAGTCCCATCTTCGCACACTTCCAGGAGTCACTTGGAGGCGTATCTACGATCAGGGCCTATCGACAAGAGGAAAGATTCAGCATGGAGAATGAGTGGCGTATGGATGCAAACCTCCGTGCCTACTTCCCCTCCATCAGTGCCAACAGATGGCTTGCGGTTCGCCTTGAGTTTATCGGATCCATTATTATTCTGGCGTCTGCGCTGCTTTCGATTGTCTCTGTATCGACCGGTAGTAAGCTATCTGCAGGAATGGTCGGTTTGGCCATGTCCTATGCTCTCCAGATCACTCAATCTCTTAACTGGATCGTGCGACAGACTGTCGAGGTTGAGACTAATATCGTGTCTGTCGAGCGTGTGCTCGAGTACGCTGCCCTGCCGAGCGAAGGGCCTGAGGTCGTCTTTAAGAACCGCCCAGCTATCGGGTGGCCAGCGCAAGGCGCGGTGTCGTTCAAGAACTATAGCACGCGCTACCGCGAAGGGCTTGATTTGGTTCTCAAGGATGTCGACCTAGATATCAAGCCTCATGAGAAAATTGGTGTTGTTGGGCGTACAGGAGCTGGAAAGAGCTCATTGACACTGGCACTCTTCCGCATCATTGAGCCTACCAACGGTGGAATTAGGTAAGAACTCCTCTGTCTGGTCGCACTCTACTGGACTTAACTAACTCTTCTTTAGCATTGATAACCTCGATATTTCGAAAATTGGTTTGTTCGACCTTCGGGGGCGTCTTGCCATTATTCCCCAGGATCCTGCCATGTTTGAAGGGACAGTGCGCGACAACCTGGACCCTCGCCATGTGCATGATGATACTGAACTGTGGAGCGTTCTTGGTACGTTGGCGAGGCGAATAAATGCAAACTAATTACTGACTGTATGCAGAGCACGCACGGCTAAAGGACCATGTTTCTCAAATGGAGGGTCAGCTGGATGCGCACATTCAAGAAGGAGGTATGTAGCTAACTATAGTCTTTGCATCGCGCTTATATTAATTAACCCGACCACACAGGCTCCAACCTCAGCCAAGGCCAGCGCCAGCTTGTTTCTCTCGCCCGAGCGCTCCTAACACCCAGTAACATTCTCGTGCTTGACGAAGCAACGGTGAGTAACATCTTCACCGATATTTCTCTTCCTTTTTTTTTTTTTTTCACCCCCGGCTGTTTCTAACGCTACAATCATAGGCCGCCGTTGACGTTGAAACGGATGCACTTCTTCAACGCACGTTGCGCTCGAGCATCTTCCAAGACCGCACAATCATCACGATCGCACACCGAATCAACACGATCATCGACTCCAACAGGATCGTGGTTCTCGATAAGGGCCGCGTCGCCGAATTTGACACGCCAGCGGCGCTGATCAAGCAACGTGGAAAATTCTACGACCTCGTCAAGGAAGCAGGTTTGCTTGATAGTGACGGCAACGCCATTAATGTACAGTGACTGGGTTAAATTTACATTCCCTGCTGCTCTATGGTTTCAGCCCAAGGCAGGAAGGAATCGAAGGAACAACCAAAAGTGAAAAGAAACGGAAAATTATAATATAAAAGTTGATGCTTCTGATTTGTTAAACTAATGTTTGGGTAGTGGGCGTTTTTTTTTTTTTTTTTTTTTTTGTTGTTGGTTTTTTCAACCTGTGTCTATGGTCCCGTAGTCGAGTTAGTATACTACACTACTATAAACTGCACATAAACAACGTCAGAATGAACAAAGATCGATCTCATAAAACTCAGACGCAGACTCCATCCTCCCCATTTCCCCTCGTTTCAGAGAACGAGCGCGGGGTGGCCTCTGCAGCTCGTCAACGACATTGTCATCATCATCGTCCCGCAATAGCGGTGTAGGGGGCAAAGTCTTTGACAGTGCTGCATTCTGCATGCTTGCCCTGCACGAGTTGCATCTGCATCCAGCACGACGAGAGCCACTGTCAGGATTCAGCGCCACGCTGAGCCGGTCAAAGCTCAGCTGGGGGCGAAATAATGCGATGCAATCAAATTATCATCGGCGGGAGCGGCGTCGCTGGCAGCTAATCGACACCCCGGAGGACCCTGTCGCAGCCGCAGCTTGCTTAGCCGCCAGGCTCTCGTATACTGTGCGTATTTATATTTATTGATAAAATTATACATAAGTAGAAGGAGACTCTTGCCGCCGGCATGTCCGTACATACCAAGTGGAACTCGCACTGGCATGGCATGGGAGCCTGGCCTTGTCTTGCATGTCCAGTGGCTGGTGCTGATATTAAAGAAGTCGGGCTGTCCTTGTCAGTACCGCCCCCAGCCACCAACCACCGACAGTGAGCGAGTCTACCCGCATTTCTACTCGTTGACTTGGATTGAAATGGAGTGGGCTGGATCAGTGATTACATGTACAAACCGGACTGCGGGGCCCTTCATCCTCCCCCATTTCCACAGCTGTTCTTCCGGGTTCTTCCTTAACTCTGCCTGTGGTGGTTGGTGCTGGTTTGAACTTCGCTGAACTCAAACCCTAAGCGAGAACATGCACAGGCCACAACACAGGCACAGTTCGGTGTATAGGGCAGCACAGGCCTCTGCAGCGCACGGACAAATGCCCCAGGGTCCAGCTGGGACCTTCAGCTTCAACTTCAACATCGACCTCGAGATCGATCTCGAGTCCCAACTCTAATCATAACTCTGTAGCTTTACAATGGTGAAAGTTGAGTTCTTCCCCTTGCAGACTGGGCTTGTTCCCCGTTCCTCAACAACGAACCACTCACTGTATGGCGCAATCCTTCAGCGATCTATGATCCCCATGCTCTCTCACGTAAAGCAGTGATTGTATGTTTGGATAGCCAGTATCCGGCCCGGGGAGAGTCGAACCGACAATCTCCGTAGATAGATGAGAAAGAGAGAAAAACGGAAAAGAGCGTACGTAGTATAGAGTATTTCGAGCCGACATACTGGGGTCATGGACTGCCTCGATCGAGATAGATCAACAGCCCTCGAACCTGTTGACTTCTCCATGGAGCCCGAAATCCCGAAATCCCGAAACCCCCCCTCCTCCCCTCCATCTCTACTTTTCTGTATCCCGGTCTTTGGGTCTCGTCTTCTCCCAATATTCACTTTGCCATCACGGTCACGGACCCATATGTGATTGCCACACTACAAATGTACCCAAACGCCTGGGAGTGATTTACGAGTGAACCTCGGGGATCGAACCTCTTTCAATGCACACTCCAATCACGGCGCGTCGTTTCGCAAACCCACGGTCGGACTCTGTATATCGTGGACCCCGAAGGAGAGCTTGGGCTGGAGATCGCGATGGAGTTGCGGCGATACGATGCGACGGCGACGGCGACGCGAGTCCGGACGCATGAAACCAGATCCTGCAACGCATTCCTGAAACTCAACTCCCTGGATCTTCACCGGGGAAATATTTCTTTTCTGAGCAGCGTGCAGACAGTGGAAGGAGGGTTTTGTTAGTCAGTGTAGACGGTTGGCGCCGCGTACGTCCAAGCTGAAACTATATTTACAATGCCAGGATATCCCTCGCATGAATTTAGAAGCTCCTTCCTACTAGAGTTTTAGTACCGATCTCCACAGTTCTGCAGTAAAAGTACGAACCTCTTTGGGGGAAAAGTCAAGCCGTCGAGGTATCATCATATCATGGCCTCAGTTAATCGTCCTGTATGTCTGTGCTCAATAGTATTTATCCATGTGCGCTTCCGTATGGATCTTGATCGACCGGGGCGCCCCGATTGAACGGGGTGGTAGATGGGTCAAGGCCCCAGTGGTCGGGATCATTTGAAACGAGATTTGGAATAAGAATAATAGATAGATCGAGACCAAAAGGCCCCTCTACAGCAAACGGCGTCTCGGAAAACGGCAATACAGGGTGAAGAAGGAGTGAAGGCGTATATCAACGTTCGTCATCAACTGGGAAGCGATTCCACTTGATGGCCGCGTCAATGCAAGCGACACGGAAACCATACCAGGTTGAGATATATCTCCGACCTGTTTAACTTCAGGGTCGAGAACTATATACTCCATACATTTTATTCTGCCATATGGGGTATGGAGAATCGCCGCTGGTGGTCTGACCACGGTTCCCTCGTCGCAGCTTATCGAGCATGATCCCTGCAAGAGCGCCGTGTGGGTTCCTGGAATCCAGGAAGCCAGCTCAGCCACCAGTGGGCTCTTCCTCCAAAACGCCGCTGAGAGTCAACGGGGGAACGGGGAACTGGGGCGATGGGGCTAACCTAACGCAACATGTATGCTAATCTGAAACGGAGGCGAGATGGAAGGCAAGAAGGAGCAGCCTCTTGCAGAAGCGTGATTGAGCATAAGCGCCACCCGATCAGTTTCTGATAATGGTACATTGTATGTCTCGATAAATGTCACTGAGAAATGGGCTTTCCGCGGTTTTCATTGATGCTGACAAGGATATTGCCTGCAGCTACCATTCTCTTCCTTTTTAGTTTCGGCAAAGCCGTTTGGACTTCGGAGATTATTGAATATGACAGGCTACCGCAGACAGGTCAACGCATTACCACTTCCAGGTGTCCGTACCAGCTCGAATTCCTTTCCATTTGGCCTGCCTCAGACCGATCGGTTCGTAGCCAAGATAATCCAATCATAGTGATCTTAAGAAGCTTCCGTGAGAAAGCCGATCGATTGGAAATAAATGAGAAGGGGTATGTGCAGAATGTGAGCAGATTGCGCGGTGATTGTTCGGCGTGGAAAGTACACACTGCTCCAATAGGAAGAGGTACTTCGCTGGTGGGCGTCCGCTTCAGGGATCGTTTATCTGTTTCCCGGATCGTCTGATATCATAGAGGATCAACAATAGCGTTGAACTTACGAACTGCAACATTGGCCATCCCTGCAAGTTAATTGAGATTGTTCTGAGACGAATAATGGATAAGAATGAGAAAAGCACTAGCCACGTTGTCGTCCTCAGACGCCCCGATGGAGAGCCTTCCGCAGCGGGAAGTGTAACCCTCTGCGAAAATAGGATATTACCCATCGGATGGATCTCAACTTTGCTCGGACAGTTCATTGCCAATCATTCGTGGCAGGCAGGGATATGGCGGGTAAGAGATAGGTTTAGGGCTGGGGCGCGGGCGCGGGAACTCCATCCACGCGAAAGGTGCGATCGAACTCAATGGAACTGGTGTCTGCGGTTGCATCTATATGGGGCTCCAAGCCCGCAACGTCTGTGTGTCTGCAGATTTTGGGCGGGGAGATCGCCGCTTTTCTTGCGCATTGAAGGTGAAGAGGATTGTACTGATCATAATCGCTAGTGGGGATTAAACATTGCCGACAAGAAAACCATGGCGCACCCACGCTGGGTCAGCACATGGACAGAAACGGCGACTTGCAGTTGAAGCGATGATGATGGCAATGAACTTTGAAGTTACCAAACGAGCAGTCGAGACAAAGTTAATCGGCGGTTATAGTCCAATTGAACCGGTTTGTTTGCTTGAAACAAGATCTGCAAATCTCGGGTGGGGTGGCGAGTTGCACAAGGATAATTGCGCTTAAGCCCCAGGGCAAAGTAGTCGCGCGGGTGGTATCGGCGGCGTGGTTGACTGCTGCGTCCGTGAAGCTCTCTGAGGTACGTGACTTGCGTGGTGTTTCTCGTTAGGCGAGGCCCTCCTCAACTCTCCACTCTGGTCTTGCCGGATCCCGCCCGTCCGTGGCGGCCTAGATGGGTCATAAACGTATCTCAAGCAGGGAAGTTGCTCATGCACCCGCTGGGCCTGTATGGCCTGTATAACGCCGCCCATATAGTTCGAGACGACATGTGGGTGGTTCCATGGTTTGTCTTGAGACCCCCGCGTTACCCGCAGCCTAGTCGGATGAGTTGGCAGTTTGCGATCCATGGACACGTAGCTGGAGTTCTTGCCATTATTGGGGATTTTCGACATATTATCAGCTATCGAAAGTCAAGATGCTCCCGCTGCGAGAGCGATCATCACACTGGCGCAAGAGAGATACAAAAACTCTATCCCAATTGAGAATCCAGTGCCGTTAAAGCTGTGGTTTTTGAGCTAGAATGTGTGTCACAAACTCACAATCCACTTCCAAGTTTCAGTCGGACCCTCTGCGGTAGCACATGCACACTAAGAATAGTGCCCCTACATGCATGATCCTGGAGAGGCCCGGGCCGGGGTGCACAGCACCGTAGCGGACGTAATTGTGAGGTATTGAGCATGGCGGAAGATCGAAATGTGCTGGCCCCAGAGCAGGGAGATTGAGGCATGATAGATTCAGTATACCTAAGTCTACTTTTTTTTTTTTGTTGTCGGAAGAAAGTACGGCGATATCGCAATTGACGTGATGGTTCCATGGTAGTTCGTAGAGATCGAGAAACTTAGTACGCAGTCAGTGCTTGGTTCAGGCGGGGTAAAAATCTACTACGAGAAGCCGGTTGTAGGCAACGCACAGAGCATAGACGCTCCCCTCGGACAAAGGCATAATGGCTTCGAATCACAACAGTGTTGTCGAATAATGAATGTTGAGGCTCCCCAAATCACCACTGACGCATTGCGACCGTGCGTGAATACTGGCCGCAAAACCTCTAGCCGTGTGCGTTCCACGCGATCAAACCTTCGTTTGAGCTTGAGCGCTTATTCACCATTCTGCTGGGACCTTGAGTAATGACGGAACCCATCGCTTCGGTCCCGGAGCCCACGGTGTTGACAGGGTTCCCATCCCATGTGTCTGGGTCTGGGTTCGTCCGACCGTCGTCCAGGATGGCCTTGAGCTTCCCCCGAAAGGCCAGTGCGACCACGAGTGTGAGTGGGTGGAAGGAAACCTTGGGGCAAAGGGACTTTGGGAAAGGTCGCATTGAGACTCTCTGGCCGAGACTAGGACAGTAGTAGAAACTCTACTTTTTGTCGGATTGAGCACTGAGCAGTGAAGTTGTAGTAGTACCTGCTGTAAAGGGTAAGTACCTTTGGTAGGCGCGCCTGAGCGCAAGCATTTCCATGCTATCAGATCGCACATTCGACGCTCAAGCGCGTCATCCAGCGCGATCGGCCAATAGGGCGGTTGCATCTGCGAGGAACAATCTGGGGTGACGACTTCGATGACAGTGCCGTGGGGCTGTGGCAGTCCAGACCAGCGACTTTGGGTCTTTTGGCAGGCGGGCGTCAAGCCACGGGGTCACTCAAGAATCAAGAATTGAGAGTGAGACGCTGGCGCTTGACAGGCCTGGAGATCGTATCCGGGATGGCGACGGGCGGACCGAACTCCCCGAGAAGCTGTCCCCACCGATCAGAGCAGGACTTTGGCAGGGTGCTGCTGCCAGTAAAATTGATGCCTGGGAGAGTGATGCTCCTGCTTTTGCCAGTTCAGGACTGGCTGGCTTCGTTTATTTCTCGCCCGGGAAATGGCCAAGAAAAGCTGAGAGCATGCCAAAGTACCCGGCCTTTTGCCATCGCGGGGTTGATTCTGCGACTCCCAACCTTGTCGGCGCGCGGTCGCAATTGGTCGATTCCAACTCCCTCAGGGAGCTCGGGCACTTCCACGACAGTTCTTTTGTCCCATCCCGTTCTTTCATGGCGTTTTGTCAGAGTCCAAGCTCCTGTCATCTCTCATCTGACAGCCTGGCAATTTAGGTCGTGTTTGAGGTGCTCAGATCTTACCCTCATCGCTCATCGCGAGGTGGGAACCTGTTCCTGAAATCGTGCCTCGAATCTTCCTCTTCTTTCTCTTGATCGGAGGAGCGGGAGTCCGGCCATGCAACGATGACGCAAACTCGTTCGCGATGGTTCCCCAATTTGTAGAAGCGCAGTTGCGCATAGATTATGCAAACCTGGAGCGATGGACTACCCTAGCATGTTTGAAGGTGAAGCAAAACAGTCCATCTTACTCAATCCTGTCAACATCTCGGTCCATACATTACTCATGTCAAGAACCCCTGATCACTATGAACTTGTTAATCAGGGTCAGAGTGTCCTGTTTCAGCCTTCAACACTCCTCTGATCGACATCTGAGTGGGGGGAGCCTAACCGTTGTTGAAAATCCCCGTCTCCAGTCTCGCTACTTTCCGGTGTGCCAGTGGAGTTTCCAAGCTTAGATTTCAAAATTCAAACTGGATATCGTCAGCCACACGAGAACAGTGCTGCGAAGGAGCTTGGATTCTTGAGGGATATTATCTTTTGTTGCCACCCCCTTGACATTAAGATCCTGCCCCTTGGGCACCAATCTAGTGGTCGTCCGGTGTGTCCGTTGCCTAACATTGAAGACACTAGGATTTTAGACAGGCAGTCTAGGAGCAGGTCAGACCGTCAGACAGACCCAATGAGGGCCACGAACTCCCCGATTCGGACAAAGCGGTGCGAATAAAGGCCGATAGCGCCAGGACTAGACGGGCGCTAACTGGGCAATGACAAAAATAGGGTAAAAGTCAGCCAGAGATTAAGTTGGCAGCTTGTTGATCATCGAGACCATCAGCCTGTCAGGCTGTCAGGGCTTGCTTTTCTGTCCAATGATGACTGCCAGCTTAAATGGCTAATAGTGTCGTTTCCCCTTCCAAGCTCCGAGACAGGCGCCCCTGGCTCATCTTCTTGCTCCAGTTATTGCACTTCCCTTAATTTCAATTCTTTCTTTGCATCCCCGCTCAGTCTCGGCTCCGAACCAAGCGGATATCAGGGGTGCGAGATTTCGCGTTGCGTATCCTCGTATACTACGAAAAGTTCGGACTGGACTTTCAGAATGGCCTCGTCTGACAAAGAAACGGTTCGCCTGAGACGGTGTTGATGGCACGGCGGCGGCAAACGCGGGCTTCAAACCGGCTGTCTCCAACTAAAGTTGATAAGTCGTTGTTGGGCTCCAAGAAAGGAAGAAATCGCGAACAGCGATAAAATATTGGAAATTAAATGGAATAATCGCAACAAAAGTCCAGGTTGAAAGGTCCTCACAAAACATGAAATCCTTGACATTCACATTATTCGTCTGCTGCCATCTACCAAAGCATCATGTATATTTCATGTACGGCGACGTAAGCCGGCATATGGTCAAAATGTTTGATGCTGGAGCGGTGAGATACTGTGCAGCTCCTCCAGAACAAGTGAAGCCCGTGAAGCAAACAGCTCTGTCAACTGCAAGAAGCATGGATTTCGTGTATGTACGGTTAATTCCTCATGCCACGTTGGAGGACTGGAACAATGTAAACATAGCAATAGCGGGTAACATCCACGAGGCTGTCCCGCAGCGAGGATACGAGGTCATTGGGTCGAGACAGCAAATCACAGTGCACGTCATCAGGACGGCCGTGGAATTATTCATGTCAATCATCCACCAAGGGGGAAGCTGTCAAAAAACGGCGTTGCTCGAGATATGCAAGTCCATTTCCACCACCGAGGGTCTCCGAGATCTTACTTTTGCGTTTTTGGAAGGAGCCTGGAACTACAAGATTGATGAGACATTCGAGTTTTGTAAGGGGTTGCCAATGTGTGATCACTTGGCTTTGAATGCGCGGTTTCGAGATTAGTGATTGGGAATGCAGGCATCACACATCACGTACCCTCCATTAGTCTAGTCCAGGATGACATTGCGGTGATGAGAGAGGGTGAGGCGGTGATCTCCTGGAACATCAGTCTTAGAACGGTCAAGCTACTGTGAGGATAATTCTCGGCAGCCTTTGCTATTTTTCTGATCATTCGGCGCTTAATGACAAATTTGAGATGGAGCTACTAATCCAAATGCGGACAAAACGTATCGTGTCACGTTTATCAGGATTGTAAGACGATCATACTCATCGTATGAGAGCTTGCCACTTCAGCTCCTGCCATGGGGATTGGAGTGTTTCAGGGAGATTTATCCGCTTCCTTCCAACGGAGCTTATCTCGATAACCAGATATTAAGACAGTTGAGTCAGGGGAAGAATGAAAGGCAACGGATGCCTCCTGTTTGTGGATCCTATAGTGTTCAGATAAGCTGAAGAAATAGTTTGCATTGGTGTGTACTTGAAATCCTTCAGTCCAAAACTCCAAAATGGGGCCGATCCGTGCTAAGGTCTTCCCTAAAACGGGAGGAGGGGTTAATCTTGTAAGGCAACTACTATAGTCCAAGACTTCCCCAAGACTTGGACGGAGTCGGAATGTCGAGGAAGGACGTTGGGGAGACTCGAACCGCCTCATATCGCATACGTGTTGGCTGTTGGATGTTTGTTGTGGGCTGGGATTGTTCGACCGTGTGTGCGGGGCAGCCGTTGTCCTCTCAGGAGTCAGCAGGAACACGACTGAGCTCCCACTTGGGCTGCGATTTCCACAGCAATGTTCCACATTATGAGATTGCGGGCGGTTGAATCTCGGGCTGCGTAGAAGAACTTCGAGAAGCAAGATTGAGTGACGGCAATATCTGACTTTTGAGGGCGTTTCCCAAGGGGCAGGTAACTATATGTAGATGAGCAGTTAGCGTATCAACAAAGTTTCGCTTCGGCGGATATCAGTGATTTGGGCTTCAGATCTGTGTAACTTAAAGCTCCATAATTCTGGACAAGGAGTCAAATTCGTTGTGTTGAACCCGGCCCGCTGGAACGATCGCCAGCTGGCGTTTGGTGAGGAGGAATCTTCACTTGGCGGGGCAGGAAGCAGAATGAAGCACTGATACCACCCGCTCTCACGTTGTTCTCACGAATCATGTCTCGTCTTCTCCCATTGAGCACGAATGCCTAAAAGCTCTCGTCTCCTCCAGTCTAGTTATTCGTTGACATCTTGTTCCGAAGAGCGACACTACTTCGTCCAAAACTGGAAACAGCCCTTGTTGAACTCACCGGAGAACGGCTCGTAAACTGCTTAGCGAGATGATACCCAGGAACTGTCACTGTTCCTTATCTGGGTCTACTCCGAGGCTGTCCCAGGTGGCTCCCGTATGACGGAATGTCAAAAGGCTTGATCCAATCCCCCAATCCCCCCTCCCTTGCACTCGTTTAACACTATGATATAATGATTTTCATCTAGCTCATCCTTCCCTCGCACTCCTGACCGGATTCGCATAATGCTCTTCGTCCCTTCGTGCTGGGTCCTCGCCCTCAAAACAGGCTATCCTTCTTAGTGAGGCGCTCTCGGGGATCGCCTGCCACAGCGCACGGATTGTTCCCAGACTGCTGGTAACTTTTCCAAGTGCCAAACTTTCCCCAGCAGAAAGTATATTAAACCCCGATAAGCCGAGCAGGTGTCTTCATCTGGTCAGTCTATAATAATACCCTCTCAGGATTCCGGCAAGATCTACGGTTATATCGGCCTTCGCTGTCTATGTCCGCGGTGGGAATCAGGTGATGGTGGTGGCAGTGACTCGCCATTAATACGGAGAGACCACTCTCAAGCTACGAAAGGTCATGCAGCACTTGGCGTGTCTCATGGACGCACTAATCTCCTTCTATTCATATTCAAATTTGAAGCCGATCGCACATCGGGGTCCGCGAGGACCTTTTCGGTCCTAAGTTTCTCACTACGTAGTTGGACACGAATCATGGCCCCAAAACACCATTAAGTTCTGAGGGGACAATTTTTTGTACTACTACGTTTGAGCTTTGGTCTCGATCGGACCCTCGAGACTCGAGACCTCGAGACTCGAGAAGGTTCAGTGGGAAACTGTGGGACAGCCCTGAAGATATGCGGGCCTGTGCGTGATCGAGTCGCTCTTCTCTCCTACAGGTCGTACGAAATGCAAGCCATCCGAGACTCCGATTTGGGGTCGGACCCTCCTGGCCACTCATGCTGAGGGCAGAAGTACGACTGTTGGTCCATCCTCCCTCCTCCCGAGCCCCGACAGGTCCAGTGCGAGAAAGGAGGGAAAAAAAGAAAAAAAGAAAAAACGAAAAAGAGGGAAAAAGGATACGATGCGGCCATTTCACCATCTGCACCCACAGAAACGGCAATGAGACGAAACTCGGGAGAAGTGCAACCTGCTGCAACAGAAAATCGCCGGCCAGGAACCATCTACGATTGTCCCCAAGACCAGGGTACACTAGATCCTCCCGGATGTCGCAAGTTGTCGCCGCGGAGATTCTGTTCGTAAAATTAATTAAAACGATCAAAGAATAGAACAAAGAGAGATTCGCCAGTGCCCAGGGCTGACTCGCAGACCGGCACTGACTGTTACGATGGGAGGCCACAGCGCCAGCGGACCAAGTGGAGGGAGTTCTGGGTTGGGCCGGCACAGCAAAAGAGCTAACGAAAGAAGAATAATAATGATCCTCCCGAGTGCAAATCAAGAGCGTTTGACAGGCAAAACACGCCCATGCCGCGATGTCAAATGATCAAGCCATGCCAATCGCGGTAAGAGCAAAAGTCCCGAACGCGATGGAATTGGTCCCGGGAAGGCCATCCCTGGAGGTTGCTGGAGCTGCTCGAATATCCTGAAGCGAGAGGCTGTTAGATCGTCTTCCGTAGCTCCAGTGCAGTGCCCCAGCGCTCCACTGCCAACTAGTGACCCGACTAACCCTCACTATACTAGCTCCCCAGCGAGTGCTTTTGTCAGGCCGAAAAGACTGCCGAAAATGTATTTGAAATCTATCACTTTGCGACGCAGCCAACATTGATTAGGGATTATCCTCCTGTTGCACGCCTCAGCCGCTAAGCAGGAGACACCCACTTTCCAGGCTGCGGGCGTGGCGGACCGCCGCCCCAACCTTGGAACTGTCCACGGTGCCTCTGGACGGGCCCGTTCCGAACAGCTTGAGATATCCGGCTGGGGTGTGCGGCCAGTGCCACTGAAGACCGGAAACTGGAGAGCCTGGGGAGATCAGACAGGCTCGATCGCAGGCGATTGGGTGTGGAGGAGATGATGGTGTGGTCAGCGAGGGCGTCGATCTACAAATCGCAGTCCGAGTTGGCGATGGAGGCCAGACTACAAAAAGCAAAAACTAGTGCGAGCAAAAGACCTGCTCGATTTTCCAGAAATCTTTTTTTTTTTTAAATGATTTTTATTTTTATTATTTTATTTTCTGGCCCCAAAACCATAATTTATTTTATTTTTCAAGCCCGAAAAGGTAATTCCAAATTTCCACCCGGCTGCATGGCTTTACTGCAGACATGCATTGTACCGGTGCCTTCTAGCTGTGTTTCGGCCTTGACCATGAAGTGCGCCCAGGGATCATCCATGTTGCTGGGACCCCCGATTGGGGATGGGTTCGATTATTTTGAGAGAGAGAGAGAGCAATCGTCGTGAGAGAGGGGGGAAGAAGTGCAGAGTGGGTTCTTTTGGCGGTTCTTTTGCAAAATCTCGATGGATTGCATACCTACATGTACTGGGCCATATCTCGCAGAGTGAAAAGCCATCTCTCCCCCCAGTCAACGGCCCAGTCCAGTCCTTTTGCTTTCCAACACTGCTTCACTTCGATCTTTATAAGGTCCTCAGTCTCCCTCATTGGTTTCTTCTTTCCAGTCATCTTCACTCTCCTCCGCCACGACGCAGTAAGGAGTCCAGGACATCAGCACAAAGAGTGTACTGTATACTGTACGCTGCCGAGTGCATCGCTCGTGTCACCCTTGCCGTTTACCTACAGTCGTTCCCCGTGAACAAAGAGAAAAAAAAATCCCTTCACTTCCAACCCCATTGTATCCTCAACGCAAACCAGTTTGTGATACACGGGAAGACACTGTGTTTCCTGCAGCTCTCTTCACTATCACCCCGCAGCTCGACCCTGGGTTCCTCTGCCATCCCGGGCAAACCCTTCACCATCTGGTAAGCAGCCGGCCCTTCGTTATGTTTTATAAATTTCGATACTGGATGATCTTCCCCTCCGTTTGGCTGAGTGCTGGCGGAAAACGTTTGTTGTTTACACTCGCGGGAGACTGCACTGTCCGTTGGGAGTTGCCAGCCTAGAATGGCGTTCGACTGTTGATACCCGTCGTGTTCTCGCTTCCCGCTTACCCCCTCGCCAACCGCTTACCTTTGACGATGCACTTGACACGCTCCTCCGAAGGCTAAAGCGGTTGCTAACTTGGAGTTCCGTTGCCAGTTTGGTGTCGTTGCAGCACACAGTCAAACAACCTCTCCCGCAGTTAGGTTGATTGACGACGAACTACTGGGGCCTCACGACCTGAATTCGCCCCAAAGTACGCTCTGCACCTCTTGGAAAGAACTACAAATTCATCGGCTTGCCCACCACACTCGCTACCTTATCGACTCCATCACTATCCACATGCTTGACTCTTTGCATCATCGCTCTCCTTGATCTGTGACACTTTCAATCACGGACTACACATCATTCTCCTGTCTTAAATCCTCTGAGTAACCAGCTATCTTCCCAAGGACTTGTATTTATTGACGACACAATGGTTGTCAATATACCCGTTTCCTCAGGGCCGGGACTCAAAAGGTCTTTGTCGTCTATGCAAGATGGCTGTGCTGGTTGGGAGAGTGCTTCGGTGAGTAACAGTTACAGGAACCCACTAATAACGGGACTAACGTGGCTTGATACAGCCCATGGGGCCCCCCTTACATCCCTCCTTCAGCCTTCCTTTCGCTCATTATGCCTTGATTTACTACGATAACATGGGCAAGATCAAGGTCTCCGAGTCCCCATCCATCCAAGAGCAGCACTGCTCCGTCTTTACGCCCGATGTCCGTGAAAAGTTCCTTGAGATAATCGGCCCCAAGATAGGATACAACAAGCCACTGATACGTCGTATGTGCTGTGAAGACACCAGTCTCTCATACCTAGTCACTTTGACTTATGATGAACCCTAGGTCCCTCGGTGGCTCAATACCATCATCCCCATGATACAGCGGCATACCACCGTCACGGCAAACGCCGTAAGGCCTCCGCCCAGGACCCTAATCTTGGAATGTCCTTTAGCGAACAGTTCCCCGAGCCTATCCCACAGATCCCTTCACCCACCACCAACAACATGGTAGCTCTGGCAATCGGTCACACCGCAAAGGTCCTAGAGTACTACGAAACGGCCCTTAAACACTTCCAGCAAATAAACTGTCGTCTCATTGCAAAAGCATTCATAAAATTTATCGAGCCACGCAAGCAAGTGAAGCACCCATACAACGGTGGCAGGCCGAGAGCAGGCGCTCCGCCCGGCGAGAAGGGGGACCCAGAAAAGACGAAACCTGAGTGGTGGCCCGCTGGAGTTCAGCACAAGGAGCCCGATCACCTAAAGAAAGACCGTAAGTGCCATCCTGCACTTTTTCTGGCTGTGTCAAGATTCTTATTCTATATCATCACAGAACGACTTCGTCTCTTGATCCACATCCTGCGTAAGCTGGGCAGGTTCAACATCACCTCAGAAAAGCTGCAGGAAGTCGCACAAGACTCGAAAAGACAGCTTCGCCCTGAAGAAAGTATGGAGGATAAGATGGAGATCCTCAACGAGATTTTCAAGGTCAGGCGACTAGAAGAGCGATTCGAACGGGGAGAAGTTGGTATGCTATTTTGATTTCCCATGGCCATTGATGCGGAACTAATCAAAGCATATAGNCGCGGATACCATGGTATACATTCGCAACCGTGATGCACCGACCAAGGACATTAAGGACAATGAGTCCGTGGTGAGCGACACGGAGCAGAAGATTGAGCCTGAAGACTTCGAAGATGAGGAGGACCCATTAAGCTCAGCACCATACTCAGAGCATTTGCCCTCATTTCCTGCCGTCGACCCTCTAGCCTTGCAGACACGCTCTTTCAGTATGAGCAACGACCGGAGCCAAACATTCCCCATGAATGATAGCCTAAACTCCGGCGATCCATCAAGACAACCCCGCCCATACTTTACGACGTCGGCCGAGTACGCAGATGACTATCAATCACATTCTATGCTGAGAACTGCAGCACCTGACCTGGTCAGCCCGAACGAGCCTCCTAGCACATTCGATTATCTATCCCAGACACCGTTCACTGCTCCCGCTCCGATAGAAAGCTCTCGCCCTCTGACGATGCCAATGCAGCAAGCCAGTCACTTCGATGCTTGGAACTCACCATTCCGGCCTAATCTCTACAATCCGATGGAATATGCGCCTGCTCAGACGCTTACCCAGAACCCAATACACTACCCGCTGCCGATGAACTCGCCTCCCACTCACGGCCTGCCTCAAGACTTGGGCCGTGAAAGGCACATGGACATTTTAGGAGGAAGGTCATCACTTACCAAATCTTTCTAAGGGCTGGCTTCTACCCTCGCTCAACTCACCTTATCGCCGCTTCGTTATGATGATTGTATCTGCTCGAACAAATTAGCCCATCTGAGCGCTTTCTTTTTTGAACGACTTCATGAATCATATGAACGAATACCATATTTCTGATTCTTGCTGCTTTGGATCCTATTTTTTTTGACATTGGGGCCCTACCACTAGGAATTTCCCATACTTTTTACGAACCGATAGATGCATATATGCACCTTCCACTGTCTGCAGTCGGACATTTATGACCTTTTTTTTCTGGGTACATGCGTTTGGTTATTGTTTATTTATATATATTGCTTTGGATCTGTTGGTTTGCATCCAAATATTTGCCTTATTCACATACGAAACAAAAGTCGCTGGGGTTGGCGGCGCTTTGGGATGGAATGTTATGCGGGACGTTGTTGCCGCTGTCGCTGGCATTGGGAATTAATTTTGCGATTTGGTCGATATACATTTTGAAGCGAGGGCGCATGTGGCGAAGTTGAATAACACTGATCTCCTTGTCGAGAGCGGGAACGAGAAACACCCTTTTGAGGGCTTCGAACAGGTGGTGTATATACTGTAGTGTCAGTACATAGTTAACCTCGAGATGATTTGAATAAAACATAAGTCCAGTTGCCTAAAAAAAACCACGTATTATGAACTAGCTGAGTTTTCATATCACCGAAACAAACTCTCGGTCACTTTATTTTTCCTTTGCGAATTCACACTGTTGCTTTGGAAGACGTTGATTCGAGCGGCTAATATCTACCGTAGACGCGCGCCAAGGGCGCTTGAGCTACCACCTTTGACGCAGTCACGTTCCCCAGAGATTCGCGGGAACTCCTCACGACAAAGAGAATCAAGATCTCTTTCAACTCCGCTCAGCTGTTGAAATCGCCCCGAGATCTTCTCCCATCATCTCGCCTTCCTTTAGATCCTTCGAGGTCGCCAATCGCACCTGTCAATCGAGCCCTGTCGAGTTTTCGTGTTTAAGCCGGCGACCTGTTGCGGCCTGTCGACGATCAAGGTCGAACAACACAGCTCGCGACGGCCATTCCCGACGCATGAACGCGATTAACAACGCTAGAACGCCGATAGATCGAATAACTCGCTGGCGGTGGCGTTCCGGCAGTCAACAAATTTGCGAAAGGTACAGCGACATCTCCGATTTTCTGCGCTCCTTCAACATCCGTCCCACCGCTTCCTACATACCTACCTTCCCTCCGCCCTTCGCATCTTAATTGGAATCGCGCCATCATGATATTCTCATACATTAGACGGACATGGGCTGACTCTCATTATGCGCCTGCCAACGATCACGGTGGATAGCAATTATAGGATTATTCTTTTAGCGAGCCTATACCCAGTGTTTTGCGACGAGTTGAACGACATAAGGAACGAAGCAACATACAGAGTTTCAGCACACGAAGTTTCAAACAACCCAAATTACTCGAAGAATTGGAGCAACAAAATACAACTGAACCACTTCGTAGGGGGATCCCGGCTTCATACGCCGCTCCTCCGCCCCTCGCGGTAGTATGGCCAGTCCGGCAAACCCTTTCGCCGCGCTTCACCAGACGGACGGAGCAGCGAGCTCAACGGCACGCGGACGTGGAGGACCATTTCGAGGAGCGACGTCCTTCCAGCCTAGGGGGGCGTCCGCTTTCCAGCCTAGAGGCGGTAGCTCCAATGTTCCACGGGACCCCAACATCCGGGGTAGAGGCCGAGGTCGCGGAGCTCCTGCAACAAGAGCTGGTCGAGGAAGTGCAAGAGGTGCCGGCGCGGCAAGTAAGACATGGCGCGCTAATAAGCCAGAACAACAAACAGCGTCTGCACAATCTACATTTTCGCCTTTCGCGCAGCTGAAGCAGACCCAACCTTCTGCATCTCCTGCTACACCGCCGACCCCACAACAGCAACAGAAACCGACTTTTTCGGGCTTTGGACGCGGATCGCCGTCACCGTTTGGGGCACCGTCAACTAATGGCGGCACTTCTGTTAATGCTACGAGGGACCCCCGAAAGCGACCTACCACCCAGCCGACAAATGGAGCCGCTGAAAACTCCGTCCCTGTAGAGGACACCTCCGCTACGGGTAGCTACGGCGACCGATATGAGCAGGTAAGTCTTGTTATGATGTTTTCGATTGTGCTCAATGCTTATGCTTCAAAAATAGCTCAAAATCGACCGTGCTAGGCAACGGGAGAAGGCCATCAAGGCCGGGCAGATGGCCGATCCAAACCAGCCGATGTCGCTAAATAAGGCCATTACACCCGTTGGTACCTGTACAAGCATGTGCCCTGAGTTTGAACGCGTCGAGCGCATAGTTCAGAAGATGGTTGATAAGAGTGAAAAGGTACGTAACTCTAACACGGTCCTATTGCTTGCTCGCGCTTACCGTTGGCTATAGTACCTCCATCCTTCGACCAATACGCTGCAGAATATGGAGGCGAAGATGCTCAAGCGATTCAGACGGTCCGCTGCAGGATACGATGAGCAGCTCCCTTCTGACATTCGAACACCTGGGACCCTTCTTCAATCAATGAACTACTTAACACGGCACGTTATCGGCGGGCCGGAACCATTGGGGATAATTCACAAATTCGTTTGGGACCGAACGCGATCAATACGAAATGATTTCTCAGTACAACAAGTAACTCAAGAAGAAGACGTCAAAGTCGCTGTCACATGCCTTGAGAGAATTGCTAGATTCCATATCATGTCTCTTCATTTGCTTTCGAGCCCCGCGAATGAAGAGCCGTTTGATCGACACCAGGAACGCGAACAGCTGAATAACACGATGCTCTCGTTGATGTATTACTATGATGACAACAGAGGTCGGATCTCGTTTCCTAACGAGGACGAGTTCCGCGCTTACTATATCCTCTTTTCGATCCACGATCAGCGACCCGACTTGGAAGCTCGTGTCCAGAAATGGCCGGCCGAGTTGAGAAACGCGCCGCGTGTTCGAGTAGCGCTGGAGCTCTTCGCTGCAGCTCAAAACACCTGGGAGTATCAGGGTACTCTTGACGCCAAACGGCCCAATGCGATTGCCCAGGGTTTTTATTCACGCTTCTTCAGCCTAGTCAACTCCCCCGCCGTGTCATATCTTATGGCCTGCGTGGCGGAGATTTACTTCAACCACATGCGTCAGACAGCCATCCGTTCCATCTGGAAGGCATACTGCCGCTACCCATCTTCCCAACAGCATAAGAATGAAGAGTGGACTGTTGACGAGTTGACGAATATTCTGTGCTTTGACGACGACGATCAGACGATACAATTTTGTGAAGAGCAGGGCCTAGAGTTGGCTGAAAATGCCAATGGCGAGCTGTACCTCAATTGGGGGAGCCGCCCTGTTGACGCTGTCGGTACGTGTTATCTCATATGATCCGCTCTACCGTTCTTTGTTCTCTTTGTTCCTTTGTTGTGTTTATTGCGAAACCGTGCCTTGTGTACCTCCCGTTCGAAGATGTAAGTGATGTCAACTGACTCTATCTACTCAACAGCCTTCCAGCCGTCCTCTGATCACTCCTTCTCCGAGGAATACGTCGAGTCAAAACGTGTAGGCAGAAACTTGGTCGCTATTGTTCTTGGAGTAAACGTCCAAGAAGCTGCGACTTTAGGAATGGTAGACAGATCTCTCCTCCTCGAGCGCGATTCTGGTCTTACCCCCACTGGGCAGATGGCCATCGATAACAATGACTCTCTTTTTGTGAGCGAAGACGACAACGAAGTTTCTCCTACCGGTATCTTCCAGCCCAATGAGGGACCCGCGAGTACGATAAATGAGCAGCCGCCCACCTCTGGCTCTCCGTCTGCATTTGGGGGCATATCGGAACCTACTGCTGCGGGCGTGCAAAGCCCTACCACGGGAGTCTCCTTTCCCAATCCCAGCGCATCTCAGCCACCTGCCGCGCCCAATCCATTTGGGTCCCTCTTTGGGGTTAATAAGTCAGAAGAAACTACGCCACCCCCGTCTCTCAATCCTTTCGCGAAGCCGTTCTCCCCGTTCTCTACATCTCAAGACGCTGAACCTAGTCAGCCGACGGCTACTCCTCCGAAACCGGCAAGCCCTGCTCAGCCGTCAGGTCTCTTTGCGAATACAGGAACCCTTGCGCAAACAAATCAGAGCGAAAAGGCACCTGCTACGTCGGCTGCCTCGCCTTTCTCATTTCCGAGCGCGACCCAACCCCCGACATCTCAAGCACCCTCATCTAATCCCTTCCAAAATTTCCAAAAACCTACAATCTCTGATACCTCCCCATTCAGCGCGCCGTCGCTATTTAATGCCAGGCCCGATCAGCATAGTGCCTCGACTGCTGGACAGTCCTCTACAAGTCTTTTCGATACTGCCAAACCGAACCCCCCTCCTGAGGCTCCTAAACCTTTATTCAGTTTCAGCAAGCCGGTACAACCGGCCCCCCAGGAACCTGAGACAAGTACGCCGCAAACCTCGCCGCCGCAACCCCCGGCGCAGCCAGATCAGCCGACTCTCCCATTTTCATTATCGTCTGACTCCGAGGAAGAGAAGAAAGGTATGTAATTCCGATCATTCAAATGTCCACATTGGCTGACGATTTCGTAGATGTTAGCTCTATATTCTCAACTGTCAAAACGCCTCCGTTTGGCGTTTTCAAGCCTCCTTCTGCGAAAATGAGCGTAGATACGCCTCAGAGCCAGCCGGCCACTTCCACAAACGGAGAAACCTCAAGCTCGACATTGTTCCCCCAACCGGCTGCCCCGTTATCGAGCAATGAAGTTCCAGCACAGCCGATGTTCTCTAAACCATCAGTTCCAGGTAGAGCAGAAGCGACAGCACCTTCCAAGCCTTTAATTGAGGGCCAACACGATAGTACCGAAATAGAAACTCCAGATGTTGAGATTATCAATGAAGAACCAGGTAGGCGCTTCCCAATCTGGCGAGCCACCTTGATGACGGCACACTAATCATTTGCAGCGTCTAATGAAAACGAAGCAGAAGAAACTAGCAGGTCGGATGATTGGATCGCTCATTTGATGGAAGCCGCTGATAAACGACGGAACACTGTCTCGACACCAGCAAGTCGAAAACGGGTTTTGGAACAAGAAACCCCACCAACAGAAAATGTCTTCAAGGCGCCGAAGGTGCCGAAATCTGAACAGCCACCTCGGAAATCCATGGCCCTTTCTTCCCTAAAGCCTCTGCCGAAGCTCCCCATCCTTGAACAAATCGAGTCAATGACTACCCGAAAACCCGCGGAACAAAAGGCAGAGCCCCCGAAGCCGAATCGAGTTGACGAAGACGACCTTCTTCTTTCAGCCGCTCGTATAGCTGCAGAGTCACTGAGAACCGGGCCGCGGCTTTTGGGTGGCGGCTCAGCACCATATGAATCATGGCGCTCCTCCTACAGCCCCCGCAGCAGTGTCGGATCTTCAGGCGTATTTTCCCGCAGCGTATCTCCCCAACAATCCGTTATGAGCGGATACGACGTTTCTCTTGCCCCTGATGGCGATCTTGGACTTGGGCGCAGCATGTCCCGGACAGAGCAAAGAATTAGAATGACCGGGGGTAAAGGTCTAGCTTACAAACCCCTCAACTTCACACCGAGGAAACCATCCTGGCACTCACCGCCGAGGAAGTAAATTGCGTTGGGCGTGTGTGTTTCGTGTCATACACTGGGAAATCTTCATTTTGTATCTACTATCGTGGTCTTTTGTACTTCTCCCGCGTCCCCCACCTACCTACCTACCTACCCACCCACCCACGTCACATATTTATGATGGATGTCTGGTATTTTGGCATTGATTGGTGTGTGTATTAATTGCATTGCGCTTGGTGTTCGGCGGATACCTTAATGTCTTGTTTTTATTTTACCTACATAGCATGTTGAGCATAGTTTTGGGACGTTGAATTCATGGCACTAAACAGTTGTGCGTGTGACGCGCAGCTTCGCCGGGTTTTTATTTCTTTCCACAATTATAAGGAGCATCATAGTAAAAGTACATAAACTAGAGGATCGATTGCCTCTACAAATACCCGAGATTGCCTCTACACGAGCGAGACGAACACACAGCACCAGCTGTATCAAGTCACATGACCCGCCCACCATCATCTCTCCACATCCACCAAAGTCACCTGCACTCTTCCAACACATAAGTATACAACACGACAAGCAGCTCCGTTGCCGCTAGAATACTTCTAGGCAGAACACCTACCACTTGACAAAATTGGTCCCTTAATCCCCGCCCGTGTTGGACTTTTCCAACATCGGCCCCCTTCAATCATACTTTCGAGCGGACTCCGCCACTGCTTCTCAGGGAAGTACTTCCAGCAGCGGTACCAGAGCCAGCGCCGTGGTAAAATCACGTTAAGCCGGCCTGGGGGATTGAGAGTCTGGGGAACTGGAGGAATTCCTGGCCCAGGTAACGCGCGGTTATTGTCTACGTTTGCTCCACGTGGTCTTTTGTTCCGGCCTACATCAGTCCCTGTAGCAGCTGTGTCTGTATCTAGGGCACAGCGCAGGGAGATGAGGATAGCTACGCTGCAGATTGCCTCTAAGCTGGGCGATGTCGAGGGGAATGTCAAGAGGGCTGATGAGTTGCTGAGGGATGCCGGGATTAGGGTTCCCGGTGATGAAGCGGGAGTTCCAGTTGGTGTTGAGCAGGCGAAGTTAGACATCTTGGTTTTGCCGGAGCTGGCTCTGACGGGTTAGTTTCTCAATATTATATACTTGTTTAAGATTTGGATACTGATGAAGGTTAGGTTATAACTTCCCTTCGCTGGAAGCTATAAAGCCATACCTTGAGCAGTCTGGCCAAGGACCCTCGGCGGCCTGGGCGCGCGAAACTGCCAAACGCTTAAAGTGTAAAGTCTGTGTTGGCTATCCAGAGGTCGAGGTCGAAAATAGTCACAGTGGGCGGCCTGAAGAGAAGTACTACAATTCGCTTCTAGTCGTCGACGAACAAGGTAACGTCCTCGTCAACTACCGCAAAACGTTTCTTTACTACACCGACGAAACGTGGGCGAGTGAAGGTAGCGCCGAACTTGGATTCCATCAGCTCACGTTCCCAGAGGCGAATTATGCCTCATCAAGAGCCAGAGCCGAGGGAGAGGCCGCCATCCTCCCTCCATCTGAAGGTAGCAATGGCAAAGTGGGAAATGAGATCGCCACCTCTTTTGGTATATGCATGGACATCAACCCCTACCGTTTTGAAGCCCCATATACGGCTTATGAATTCGCACACCGCGTCCTTGATTCGAAATCCCAGCTAGTCATCCTCTCCATGGCGTGGCTAACCCTATTAAGTCGTGAAGAACTTGACGCTCTCGCTGGGCGACCGGAGCTGGATACATTCAATTACTGGGTTCAGAGATTCATGCCCCTGGTCCGGAAACAGATGGCTCATGCAACCAATGCCGATGGTGGTACGGACGATGAGACCGCAGAAAAGAATATCATCATTGTATTCGCGAATCGGGCAGGCGAGGAAGCCGGCATTCCTTCCGTGGCTCGGTACGCTGGAACCAGCACCATCGTTGCTATTTCCCAGCGGGCCCCATCCGGGGCCAGTGATCCGTCGTCTGATGAAGAGGAGCGGCAGACCCCATTTGACGTGAAGATTCTATGCTGGGACATGCTTGGTGCAACGGAAGAGGGGGTTTGTTTTGCAGACACTAAAGGCGATCCAAGGATGGTTTTCCAGTTGGTTAAGGCGGCTAAATAGACAGGTGGTATTTGTGTATGTATCCATGTATACTTGATGTGCCAAATTATAATCAACAGACATAAATCTCAGGTGCTCCTTCCTCTTGAATATCCTTAGTGGCACCTGCCTTGGCCAGGTAGTTGCACCTTCCTACGCAGCCATAACGATTATCTCGCTCTACAAGGAAGGTGCGCGTCGCCGGGGTTGCGCCTTCTTACCCTGAACAAGGTTGTGGTTTATCGCGCCTTCCCAGAAGTAAACAGAGTGCCGCCGAATAAGGCAAGTACCGTGGGTGGCACCTGCACTTTTATGATGTACACTGGCATCGTAGGTATTTACTTCTGGGAAGACACAGTAGACGGCGAACACATCTGTTCAAGGCAGGGAGGAGCAGCATAGAGCCTATGGGCCTATGGACTACGCTGGATCCTTCTTTCCTGGGAATACACATCTCAATGTCCTGCTTTACGGAGCAACGAAGAACAATTATTGCAGCCTAGGAAAATACAACTAGGATGTAGCCAGTGGCACTAGGAGGAGGTCAGCCCCAGCCCGATGCTTCGAGGACTGCGGACTTGGATACCGAAACTGTTGCCGGGTCTGTGTAGACGCGAGACATCTATTCCTACACTGAAAATAATGAACCTGACATCCATCTTCGAGTTCGATAATAGATAATTACGAATTGGTGGGCTTTGTCTCGGTCGAGGAATGCTCAGCCCCCTCGGCGCATTCTAGGCCTTTATATGACGTATGGAGTGAGCTCTCACTCAAACATCAGGATTCAGTACACCACCTTCGCCGTGAGAGATATTCACCAAGGTTTAATGATGCGGTAGTTGGCTCCCACACCCCCCTAACACTGAACGATCATGTGAGACATGACTCGCATGCATCCGTGTGACAAGGCTGGGGTTCATGGATGCCTGGGCTCGTAGCCTCGTTCCCATATCAAGATCTCAATCCAAACGAGGCGAACGTTGCTCAGCCTGATACGGCCGTATAATACAGGATGTCCACCCACCTAGCGACTACTCAATTATTAGCTCTTCTCTTCTCTGGAAAAGACATGGTCCAAATGACTAGATGAGATTTGGCTCGTCCCATGACAAAATTTAGATCTCCTGATCGACGGCGCTTATCAAATGTTTTTCTTCAAGAGGTCTCATCTTGTCAATTAGATTTCGGGATGCAACTCTTCAGAACTCCACGCCGACTGATCGGATTTCACTATCATCGGGTGCGTGGGGGAAAGAAGGTCTGAGACGGGTGTGGGTTGGGTTACAGAGCAAATCAAGACTAGTGTCACCCCTAAGTTTCTTCTTTTATCTCCGAAACCCGAAGGCGAAGATCCGCTAGTACAGATCAAGGATACCCTCGGAATAAAAATAATCTCTTTGTAAACACGTATCTCTAATACTGTAATAAAAACTATGTCATATGTTATTTTGGTATGGCACAAAACGCTAGTTCTATATAGACTCGACTGTCTGGAAGCTTCAATGCAAACTAGTGCAAACAGTAGTAACCAGATCCCCAAGATAGTAGATCTGTTAACTTCCTGCCTGTTCCTATCTTGCCCCTGGGTTCAGGCATGCAGTAATACTGAGCAGGAACTGACTAATATAGCTTTAATAATACTGTTTATTATTATATCCTGCTTGTCAGGAACAAGTATTACTCTATTTTAAACAAGCTCCTGTGTTGAAAGCTAACACTATATATTATTAATATTTAGGATCCTCGGCGGCGTCTTCTACCTTGAGAAGATGAGCTTCGTGCCTTTAAGTAACGACTTTGCCACTTAAATAAGTAGGTGGGAATGCATCCTCTTATATTACCTGACTCCTGGTGATTTCAGCCGCGAATAGATATTATTAGTAGCTTACCCCTTACCTATCTATACACACGGTGACCGAACTTCCCTGTTATATTAACTTATACTAGACTGCCTTGGCTTCCTTAAGGATATCCAAGTCAACCAGGGAGTATCAGATAATGGAGACACTCCTGGGTCCATAAGCTGTTCCTCGAGTGGAAAGTGACCCTTAATAATCGGGTTTTGGCTAAGGACACTGAATAAGACCTGGTGTTCAAGCCTAGTTTATATTAGTAAAATATAAAAGACAAGGCCGAACGTATTATATAATAAAAGAAGGCTTATAACTAACAAATACATTTGGATGATACTAACATTATTATTGCCGTGAATGAACGTTCACAACATGATCTTACTAAGCAGTTTGAAGTTATAGATATCGATTAGACTCCTACTAAGACCCAGCTACTGCAGTAGAAGAATTTATTTTATCCGGCAGGAAGCTCAGACTTGTAATATCTATTAACTATATAGAGGACGACGCCTCAAGCTCTTCAAGAGCTGATAAAAGAGGGAATACCTCAACAACTAATAGGATGCTGCGTGAGCTTCATAACCAGGTAAGTGCCGAGGAGTCATCGGGACAACCCTTAATCAGCAGGATATATATAAGAAGATACACTGCCCTGGCCTACCTTGTTATTATAAAGGACAGTACTACTGGATAGATCCCGTGGGGAAAAAGTACTATAAATTAAGAATACATTACATGAAGACCTTGGTCAAGTATATAGAGTAAGGTGGTACCCTGGAAACTCATAATAATATTCCTGATATAATCCGGGACTAATTATACACGGAAGAGTGGCAGCAAATTAAGAAATAGTAAAAGGCTCCGAATCCTTCACCAAGTAGATTGATATTGTCATTAATTAATATAAATGTCGGCCCAGCCCAGCTATATTAGGTGTCCAATAGTTCCTATAATTATGCTGAGATAACGGTTCCTGTTTAGCCTGTTGATCTGGATATGTTTAAGTTAATTAAAGTGACAGTAGAAGAATATACTAATTAGCACCTGGAAAAAGTAAGCACTGAAAATATTAAGAAGAATATTAGAATGGTATATGATGTAGTGCTGGAGAATTATCTTAACCTTACACAGCTCTATAATCTAAAACTTGGGACCGAATTCCTTTTTAAAGAGGGCGTGAAATTTGGGGTCGCCGACTGATTTGTCAATGATACTAAGAAATGGCTCAAGCAGCGCAAGTGGAAGAGGCTAGCTGGGGAGGATGAGGGCTATGGAGCCGTCTATGAAGCTTAACTGCTGGCTTCCCCGGGTACATACAGTCGGTGGCGGAATCAGTTTGACAATTAAGAAACTCTCAGACTTTCTGAATTGATGCCAATATAGGCTAGTACAAATCCGATTAGTTTCGGGAAAACTTCTGCTGCGTCATGCTCTGGAGCGGTATTCTGAGTAGCTCACATTGGGCAGAGGTCATATGTTCTCCCGGACCTCAATATCTTCCTTCGCCTGGGAGAAAGAAGCACCGAAAGTGATCTTAAACCCCACTTTAATTCTCCTAGAACCTCTCTAACCACTTACCAGTCCCGCGGAGCTGAACCCGGGGTTCTCCAAGAAGCATGACCACTACATAGATAGATTAAGTATACATATTCATAGACTATCTAGAAGGCAAAGTAATATAAACCAACCAATAGAGAAGCCAACTAAATATAACCTAATAATAATAGAAATTAACTATATATCTACCTGCAAATCATATATCCGGCGCAATATCTAATACTAACCTATTATTACTTGCCCTTCTTCGAGGTTGACTGATTAAATCCAGGCTTTGAATCAGACCTTCCAGTCACAATATCCTTCAGCAGGATGACCGGTGTCCCAGGCATCGGGGGAAGTTTTACAGGCTTGAATGTCGCCTTCTTAGAGAACTTGACATACCTGTTAAGATAGGCATGCGCGGATATAACCCGTTCACCGTCCTTATCCAGAAGAATAACGGATCTATAATACAGGTTATCACAGTTAGGCATGGGATAAGGGTTTCCGCTACCTATATTAACTGAGCTTGTACTTCAATCTAGGGAGAATATGCGAGTGACTTACTTTACCTGCATACTATAAACGCAAGACTTCAGCCCCGGGGTTTCATCAACGGACTGCTTAATTTATTAGATTAACTAACTAATATTAATAGTTATGCCCTGGAATAACCAGTTCAGCTGCTTTAACTGCCTGGCGCTGTTTGAGAATGCTCATGAGGCTATTATTATTGATTTCCCTAGATGTAGATATATAAAATATAGGAAGAGAGTGATTTGATTATGATATTCCTTGGGGCATGAAAGTAATAAATACTGATAAGCTGTGGTATACATCTCTCTTATATACCTTCATCAGGAACTAGTGTATAATTTACCCTGGTTGTCTTTTGTCAAGGATTTATATAGAGCGCTTCTGAAACTATTAGTAAAGAAGCTGCGAGAGGGCATAGGATGTATCGCTCCTATGCAACATATTGGGAACCAAATATAGGTGCTTCTAATCACGGCTGTTCTTGCGTAACTACCAACACCTTAACCTACTACATCGGTTGCATTGCCGCCTTCCCCACCCATCTATCTCCGTTATTTTTAGGTTTCGGGCGTCCGGTAGTAGCGTTACTAGAAAACCATATAATATAATCTGCGCACTAGACCACTATTGGCGAGGCTCAGATGGAGGCTGAAACAGTCCGTGTTGCAAGCGGGCGCTTAATCTCCCTTATGCTGGATGAGTTTCCACCATGGCGCAAAATTCCGGGCAGTGCCTGATTGATCATTGGTATCTACTATCGGCAATGCAAGAAATCGTTGGTCGCCTACGCGCTGTTGGACCGCACAGAAGCAGAGAAACTTTACACATCCCCAATATTGTCTCTTGACCAGCTAGTTTGGCGTGAAGTTCGTGTGAGGTTTGTTGTGGTCGTGGCACTGGCGAGTTTCACACTAATCTGTTCTCGGGTGCCGAGCCACGTGATCAAGTTTGCCAGCCGGGCCTTTCCTTGATCTCCTCCTTCAACAACTATCAATATCCTATTCTCGGGTCGGATTACGGGGAGTAACTCTGGAATGAATATCATAAGGCTGTTAGTCTCTTGTTTGTGTGCCTTGCTTCGTAAGAAACTATTTCCTATGCCTTCCCCTGGGACCTCTTTATTATCTACTATACTTGTTGATAAAGAGATCTCGCCAGTATATAATTCCAGATACTTCTACCCAGTAAAACCTGGAGAGATACTCGCTGGTCACTACTAAATATTATCTAAGGTTAGATAGGGCATATCTTCAACAGTATAGCTCGCGCGTGATTTGCAAGGGTAGCCTTTAATTATTTCTATTTAATTTAGAACGCTCTGTCTCTAACTAATATACAGGTATATCAAAGAGCCAGAGAGAATTATAACATTAAAAATCACTAATAGTAATGCGAGTTTTACTGGTCATGAGCGTGCTGTCAAAGAGTATATTTCCACGGCAGACCCATTATATCGCGGTCGCTTACTTATCCAAATATTATTAGACTCTTTTGAAGTTGAAGGCCTGAAAGATTCTCATTTATGTCTTATATATCCGCCTATAAGGGAGCTATTATCGATATATCAGCAGTACTTTGATGATAGAAAGTTACTACTGCCCCTAATTAAAATATATATTTATGCTCTTCTTACAGGGCTGGAATATCTTTATAAAGAGTATAGGGTAGTTTATACAGGTAAGTCTATCTTTGGCCTTACCTATATTCATGATACTAAGCCCAGGCGGCTATCTAGATCTAAAGCTTGAAAATATTATGGTCTTATTCAAGGATCTAACCGTACTTACTAATTTCATGGATTCTTAACTTAAAAAGCCGATGGCTTTCAAGATTAATTTAACAGGATAACTAGTATATCAGTCTTAGAATAACTTCAGGCTACTTAAAAGCCTAAGAAGTATACTATAGCTTATTAACTTTAGGTTGGCAACCAGACTCAAGGAAGATAATGATTAGGGTGTCTGGCCTATTTAGCTAGACTACTATCAAGCGCCAGAGGTAATACTCGGTAATAGATAGCAGATGCCTGTGGATATTTAGAATCTTGGTATTCTGGTGTGTCCTGTTACTCTCTAAACCTGTTACAGTATTAATGCCAGGTTAGTTATAGGATATAATAGAAGGTAAAGAACTATTTCAGTATATCCATGATTAACAAGGTCACTATAATGCTAAACTATATATTACCAAAATAATAGCCTTACTCGGTCCACCCCCTCTAGAGGTTATATAAAGGTACTAATACATGCAAGAATACACGTGGCCGGAACCCGTTAGATGAGAAGATAATAGAGTATATAAAACTGCAGAGGAGTACTTCTGTAGGCTATTCTTTGATAATACTGGTATTACTGGGTTTTCTATCTCAAGTGAATTATTCACAGACTTATAAAATATCTCAGGTTGCTTTCTCTATGAAGACCTGATCCCCGACCGGGAACTCGGGGACACGGTTTCGTTCCTTATAGGAGAGGAGAGGGAAGTATTTCTAGATCTTGCTAAGCGAATGCTTCTCTAGCATCCAGGTGCAAGAAATACAGCAGGTGAACTGGCGAGGCATTCTTTTCTCCAACCAAAGCAAACACGCGCCTGAACTTTGCGAGCGTTTACTAGCAGAATGACTCGAAATTATGGTTAATCCCAGTTCAGCGATACTATTAGATGACGGGTCGAAGTGTTAACATAGTTGTTTTTTGAATGACATCTAATAGAGCCAGTTGATCTGTCTTGACAGGTCTAATCGTCTCTTCATCCATGCTGAGCTCCGCACCGACTTCCATGTAGACCGTGTTGGAAAAGCAGGGCTTAAGTATTTGTAGGTGTAGGTCAACGGATTGCAAATCTCATGCCCTTGCTGATCATTCTCGCTCCACCTCCCCTCCCATGGTTGATTCCAGGATCAGCACTGACATATGTACGAGATCACGAAACCTAGGTTGATGGTCCGTCCATGACGACCGGCTGCTTCTGCCATTTGGGAGGCATTAAGGTCACTGCTTACTATCATATTATAAGTTATTTGCCTGGTGGAGGCGGCGAGCGGCGGTGCCATCTTGATGATCGACGTGATCTTCCGGGAGGATCAATTCTTGTGGGTTGAGAGAGCACGCAACGTGACATTATTAACTCAGCTTGTCCTGTATCAGATGTACGTCTAATACAAATAATATACGGCCTCGAGAAACCATGTGATTACGTTTACCAAACCATACATTGGGTAAAATAAAGTTTCCTGGGGATATACGAAATAAGACTAGTGTATTCTTGGCATAGGGTTTGGGAAACAAATCAGCCGTCCCAAAGAGTGACATTAGTTTTGACTTCTTCTGTATTACATGTGACACTGGATGAAATGGTGTCGCACTGGGGAGGATGGCGGAGAAAGCATATCTTGGGAAAAGGTGGTAGAGGGAACGCGGGAGAAGGGAAAAATAGAGGAAATGGGTCATCGGGTAGAGGCCTGGCCCTTTTTAACTCAACATAGTTGAGACAGAGTTGGCGACTAGGTGAGTGTCGAGAAGAGGACTGGGCCTATCAGGACCGTGTATAGAGAGTGCTTCTCTGAAGCCCCATCAGCGAGGTCATCTGGCCACAGCTGGATGGGTACTTTTGATGGACTGGAGCAGGGTTGGAAGAGAATCGAGATAATAGGACACGAAGAGAGTGTATATGATCGGCGGCTAGAAAACGATAAGGGAGATGGACCGTGCAACCTCATGCCTTCACCGTCCATGTTACCAGTGTACTAGAGGAGGGCCGGCCCGCGAGGAGGCAAAGCAGGTACTCTAGTGTGAGGCGGCAGGTAGTCTCCAATAACAGGATAGGCGGATGAGTGCATCGCAAAGCCTAAGGCCGGGCACTTGATCCGTGAGGTGGGAGCATTGCAGGGAATACTCACTAAGATCTTCAACTGCATGATGCTTGCGGGGGCTGCTGATGACCACGGGCCCTTCATCATTGCACATATTTGAGGTCCTCCTCAGGGAGGGTTGCAGAGCGCCACGTGATCCCGGGTGAACCCCTCCTCCGCCAACCGGACTAGGCTGTGCCGTCAGCCAATCAGTATCAGGGACGAGGCGCGTGAGAGAGGGAGGGGCACGGGATTTTGGCACATGACATCGACGACGAGAAGAAGGAGGGAACCAAACCGGTGGGATTAGACATTAATTTCTGTTGTTTGGGGATGCTCATGCAAGGAATGCGCTTTTATGGGCGATTGCATCTCAAGGCTATGACTGGTCATATCATAAATAAAGAGTATTCCTCGGCCTTGTGAATTGAACCTGAGGTGGAAAGCGAAGGACCAGCGACGGAACCGGAAACCTCGGCGTCAGGTGACTACCTAATTGCACACTCGGCTTGTTGCGCCCGCCGCACCTCAGCGCTTCTCCTCTTTTGAGTCTCTCTCGCCCACGTGAGCTCTACTTCGACCTCTCTCTACTCCTCCAGGTATCCCTTTTTTCGAGGGTAAAAGCTGCTTCTTCGTTTTGACCGAGCTCAAATTCGGCGATTCTGATACTCTCAAATCGACCGTTTCGAACACATATTTTTCGTCCGTTCTAAAAACTCGAGTTCTCGCGTCTGCGATACGATTCGCGATACTCTTGTTGTTGTCCGTGGCAGGTGACTTGCTGTCAGGTGATAGATAGACCATCCCAAGGTACAGCTCCTCTCCTACTTTCCTTCTGCTTGCTTTTCAATCACGGCCCACTTCAAAGCCTGCTGCTGTATAGCGTTATTGGGTCTTCTGCGACCGGCGCCATGCCGTCCCTGCTTCCTGCCGCGAGCCGGTTTGGTGGTGGCTGAAGTCCTTTCTCACCGTTCCGCCGGTCGCTGAGACGTCATGACGCGCTGCCCATGCGCCTCTTGAGTCTGGGTTGCTATGTATTTCTCTGCACCGCACATTTACTATTTGTCTGCGCTTTCAGTAAAACCGAGATCTATGAATTGCTTTTACTGGCTGTGTTGGCTTGTCGCAGAGTACTATTGATCTGGTGGTGTGAACTGAGCGCGTCAGTCGGCCAACACAACAGAACGCGTCCATCGCAAATCATTGTGCTTGTTAACAACAGCCCAACATTCCCATAATGGAATACAGACATAACCTAGACTGACTTATATCCCTGTTCTAACCTATGATTTCTTTCTTTCTTTCTTTCTTTTTTTTTTTGTCTTTTCTTTATTTCTGACTTGACACTGCATAATTATTTAAGCATATTCTGTACATTCTGCTAACAATATTTGCAGACCAGTGGCATATTATATCTGCCACAGAACTTCATCTGAAGAATACCACTTATAGTTAGTATGGGCTGTGAATCAACATTGTTGACCATGACTAACATGTATCCCTTCTAGACTACACACCATGGCTGATACACAGCAACTCGGTGCCTCAGAAGGCAACATGGTGAAGCGCAAGCGTGAGAGCAGTGATAGTGGCGGCCCAGACTCGCAGCGCCTGAATCGTTCTTCTCATGGAAGTAATGGCAGTATCCCCGGCGCGGATGCCCAAAACTTCACACACAGCGCGCTTGGTTCTTATGATCATGGCCTGCCGAACGCAGCGTCGGAGCTTAATATTGATCAACAAATCCTTCAACATGTCGGAACCCAAAATGGGATTACGGATGAGAATGCTCTTACTACTGCCAAAGCGGCGCTTGCTGCTCATAACCCTCAGAACAAATATCCCCCACCCCCAGATAACACATTCGACAACAACTTGGCGCATGGCCTGACATTTGGAGACGATATCGGCCAGGGGATCGGGACTCCTCACAACCACAACTCTACTGCCGCCGCAGTGTATGCCGCCCGTGAAGCACAGAGCATGAGCCAAAAGCCATCTGTTGGCTCACCTGAATGGCATCAAATCCGCAAGAATAACCACAAAGAAGGTACGCGCCCATTCGCCCTTTACTCACTTTTTCTCCCGCTAATGTTGACTACAGTGGAACGCCGGCGCCGTGAAGCAATCAACGAAGGTATCAACCAAATTGCTCGCCTGGTACCAAACTGCGACAAGAACAAGGGCGCGATACTACAACGCGCAATTGAATACATTAACCAATTACATGAAGATAAGCGGCAAATGGGCGAACGATGGGAGCAAAGCAATATGACAACGAGTCACGCTATCAACGAAATCAGTTCTCAAAACTCGAAGCTCAAAGTAGAGGTCAACCGCCGCGGTGATATCGCACAGAAGTGGCTGCAACGATGTCGCGATGCAGGGCTCGAATTCGACGACTACGAAGAGGCCAAAGAGCTTGAAGCTCTCGACATTGACCAAAACCAGGTGTAAACCTGGTTAAGCTTTTATTTGCTAGATGTCCTTTTCATCTTACACATTTGCGGTTTTTCGCTCCAAGGCCATACATATTGTTCCATGACATGTTTCGAAAGATAAGGGCTTTTTCTCATGATTTCCCTTCTTGTCTGTTTTAGGGGATACGCGTGCTTGATTCTGATTTCCCATGATTCCACTCCAATTCGGTCATTGCGGTCTGGTTTCGTTATACAGTGGTGACAGTGGTGGCGGTCTGGACGATCGCGTCTGTCTTTAATCCTTACCTATACTGGGGTTCGACTGGCTTTATTTGCTGTTATTTCCCTCGCTCCGCTTCTTTCTGTACGTTATTCAAGGATGGGTTTGGCGAAACAAGGTCTGGGAGTTGTTAATTTGCACTGAGGCTATGGATTTGTAGTTTGCAGCGCGTTGACAGAATGCAGTTATTTTATGTTACTTTTCTTACATTTCCCTTATGAACCTCTACCGTAGAGCACTCATATGGTAAACTATTCACCTAATAGGCAAAATACCTAGTATTCTGAGAGAGAAGCGAATACATCAGAAATCATAACGATAACATCAACGAGTCAAGTGAATACAGAAAGGGCCGTGGCCCGCTCTATGGCAAAACCTAGAAAAGAAGAATAATCTCTACCTCATTCTCACTCAAAGAATTTCAAATCAGAATCAGAGATTCTCATCCGCAGTGACGCTCTTCCCAGAACTAACCCCCACGTTCTTCACAACAACACTACTCCCACTAGCACCCGTAACCCTAACATCCACGTTCTCCGAACCAAACCCCGAATCATTCTCGAAGAAGTTATACTCGCTCCGCGTAGTCTTTTGCCAGGTGGATCCGTTATCCGTGCTAACCTCAAGCGAAGCCACAGCTTCATTCGCGTTGACCACCTGCATCGAGAACCAGTAGGCCGACGTGCCCTCTTTGTTTTTGAGGATCAGCGGTGAAGTAATAGAGCAGGGCGTGAAGTTCCATGAGATGGGGAGAATCCCTTTGGATGCGGAGCCGAGTTCGGTGAAGGCGGACTCGAAGAGATCGAGGTCGCTGGAGGCGCATTCGGGGCATTCGTCGACGATCTAGAGGGGATATTTGTTAGTATATAGGGTTGTTTCTTTGAGGGGTTGGGCGAAGTGGACGGTGCTCATACCATAGCCTTGATAGAGTTACCACTGGGGCCGGTGACGGAAACGCAAGCACCGCATTCTGCGGCGTTGTCCCAGGCCTCGCCAGAGAAGGCAGTGCCGAATAAATGCGAGGGAATGGTGTAATCACTGAACGAGCAGGCTCCGCCAGAGAGATTACCGCCGTAGAAGGTGGCTTTGCCGGAAGTGGTGGTGGCTGCGCTCTCAGTGGACGAAGCGGATGCGTCCGATGCGGTGCCTGCTGCTGTCTTGGAGGCAGACTGGGTGGTTGTGGTTGTAGACTGGACGACGGCAACTTGAGTCGGTGCTGATTCTACGATGGACAGGGTTGAGGGAGGGGAACCAGTTGATTCGGTGCTAGAAGACTCTTCGAGAAAGGCAGCCGGTATGGTCTCAATGGCGCCTACGGTAGCAACTGCTTCTTCCGTGGTTGAAGAAGTTTCAGTACTCGACGTAGTTGAGGTGGTTGAGACGGTCGAGGAGGGCTCTGAAGTGACAGAGGAAGTTGGCTCAACAACATGAGTGGGCTCCACAGTGACAGTGATATAGGATACGCTCGGCGAATATCCTGCTGGGCAGTAGCCATCTCCATCAGGCTTAAGAGGGATCGCAGAAACGGTGCTGACGCTCAGGGCCGCGAGGGCAATAGATGCCACACTCTGATACCTCATGGTGCCGAGTTCTTGGAATAGAGATAGAAAAATGAACGTAGTCTCAGACCGCGCGGGAAAAGCAGGAATGAACGAAATGTGCAGCCTGAAGGGAAGATATATTAATGAATGGACGCCTGGATCTCAGATCAAGGCAATTGGATGGGATATCCCAAGCAAGAAGGCGAGGAAGATAGTTTGTTTAAGTAGAAGACCGCGGTCTCATGTCAATTCCAGGCCACAGCCTTGTCGCAATATAATAAAATGAACTCATTTCTGCAGCACAAACTGACTGGGCCCACGCCTCGAACCAAGGCAAACCACGGCTGTCCGTGCCTGTTGATTGGGGCAGTTCCTGGCAGTTTGGCCCTAATCAAATGAGGCCTCAATCTGAAACGCCGGGTGGAATGACAAGACCAGCGATCCGGAAGAGACCGAACTGATAAAAATTTGCTGAGTATTGGTGAGATTTCTTACTCAACAATAAATATGTACAGTTTGGAAGCACAACGGCGAGAGTTGCAGGTTGCCTTGGAGCTGGGGGTAAAATAGATATCCTGGGCATGTTCCAAACACCAACTGCGGAGGAGCGACTGGGCTATAAACAAGAGGTAAGCATGCATCCATTGCTCTCAAAGCCTGATCCACTTCTAAATACGGATGTAACAAGCGGTGCCATGTGGGCTATCTGGCAATGTCGGTTTTGAGGCTCCAAGCAGTGCCTGTTGAGACCAATCCTTGCGATATAATGGAAGCTTGCCACAAGGAAGAGTCCACCGCATAGTATAACAAATTCCAACCTTTAAGCTATCCAGGATCAAAAATAAAACTAGCCAAAGTTCGTACTTGTGGCTCGTCCTTGCGGCATCAGCGTTGTGGGCCAAGAATTCAAGAACTACCTAGGCTGGACCCGGTGGACGAGGAGTTTTCAAAGGATATCCTTGAGTTATAAGGCTTTACTTATTGCTGAGTCCCACCAACGAAGTGTGCAACGATGTTTTAGTCCTGGCGTTAGGGCTAGTACCTGTAGCTGTCGCGAAGCATCAATCTCCGTGGAGACACAGAGGCTGTCTCTGAGCTTGGGCAACAGGGGTATATTCATTTCAAACACCCGGGCAGTTCTCCAGACTCTATGGAGCCTCGAGAACATCATGACTCTTAGTAGTGAGCAATGTTAGTCATTTATCTTCGTTTAGGCGTTTGTGGGTGGCGCAGTTGAAACACAGCCTGGTAGACTGTGGATGAGTCAGAGTGAGAGATCTGAGTCAACGGCAGTTCACACTTGACACAATAAAATAAATCTGATATAAATTGGACAAGAGGTCAGTTGTAGAAGACCGTCAGAGTGACCCCACGTCTTCTTGATCGGGCGGTGACTTTCTGAGGGGCAATTCTCCAATTCCGTCATCGTCATCGCTGCTTTTCTTCCTCGCATTCAACTCAGCCGGTCGCGATGGCTGCCGACAACCGAGTGGAGGAGCTTCTCAGGAGACCGCTATATGGTTAGTTTCATTTACTCTTCGAGTTTTCAAAATTCACTAACCCCACCTCAAGCCTACAATCTCCCGCAGGAACTCCTCGCATCGATCGCGCTCAAAGGCGAAGACCAGCCCATAACCGTCAAGGAAAACGCCGAGCCCACCGAGCCCGCGCCGAAAGACCCTTCGAATGAGGCGCAAGAATATGCGATCGCCAGCTCGACAGGTTGTGCTGTTTGCAAGGTGTCCTTCGCAACCCCGCCGGAACATCGCGAACATGTGAGATCAGACCACCATAAATACAACGTTAGAGCGCAGCTCAGAGGACATGCTGTTTTGGATGAGGCTCAGTTTACCAAGGCAATCGGAGAGCTTGATGAGTCGATCTCGGGCTCCGAGTCGTCAGAGGAGGAAGAAGAGGAGGGGGATCAACTCATGGCCTTGCTGAAACGGCAGGCGAAAATATCCCAGGCGGCTGAAGAAGGAGGTGAAAACTCAACACCGAGGAGCACTGGCAAGAACCCGCTGTTATGGTTTTCGAATCCCGCAATTCCATCGAATACGTCCCTTGGGGTGTACCGCGCTCTTTTCACGAATGCCGAACAGGAGGAACCTAGATATATTGCCGAATCCCTAACGAAGAAGCAACTTGACCCAATCGATCCCCAGAAGAGCAAGGGAAACCCACAATCATCGAGCCCCCATATCTTCATGTGTATGATTGGAGGTGGGCACTTTGCAGCAATGCTGGTTTCTTTAGCTCCTGAGATCCATCGAAAGCAAGGTGGTATTGAAGAAAGGCAGGCTCGCGTAATTGCGCACAAGACATTCCACCGATATACAACCAGACGCAAGCAAGGTGGATCTCAGTCCGCTAACGATGCATCAAAGGGTGCTGCACACTCAGCCGGTTCTAGCTTGCGACGATACAACGAGGCTGAGTTGGAGAAAGAAGTCAGAGAGCTGCTGCAGGATTGGAGGCAGATGATCAATGAGGCAGAATTTCTATTTGTTCGCGCTGCTGGCTCTACCAACCGCAGGATTTTGTTTGGCCAACATGAGGGAAGAGTGCTGGTGCAGAACGATCCGAGGTTGAGAGGCTTCCCGTTCAGTACCCGACGAGCAACGCAGAGCGAGCTCATGAGATGTTTCAAAGAACTCACTCGTGTGAAGGTCAGTCAGGTTGATGAAGCTGCCCTCGCTGCGGCTGCGGCAAAACAACGAGAGCAAGCATCGAAGCCCTCGACGCCACGTCCCCAGCAACCACAGAAGCCAAAGTTGTCGAAAGAGGAAGAAGAGGCAATCATGCACACTACACAAATACAAGCGCTCATCCGTCGCTCAAAAATTCCCGCCTTGATTTCATACCTATCCAAGAACTCCCTACCCCCATCCTTTACATTCCAACCGTCCGACATCCAGCAAAATTTCCGATGTCCCACACCTCTTCATCTCGCCTCCAACCTCGATTCTGCTGCTATGGTGCTGGCATTGCTTACCAAGATCGATGCAGACCCTACCGCTGCTAATGGAGAAGGAAAAACGCCGTTTGAACTTGCGGGGGACCGGGCCACTCGTGACGCCTTCCGCGTGGCGCGCCACGAACTAGGCGAATCCAAGTGGGATTGGGAAGCTGCAAAGGTTCCATCAGCGGTGTCAAAGGCCGAAGCGGACAGCCGATCACAGAGAGAGCGACAAACCGCTGAAGAGGAAGAATCGAACAGGCGAAAGGCCGAAATAGATCGCTTGCGAAAAGAGGAGGAGACATCCTCAGCGTCACGGGTGACGAAGAAAGGCGGGCGGACTGTGGGAAGTGTAGAAAAGACAGCGCAGGAAAAGAGAGAAGAAGAAATGCGCGGGATGACACCGGAAATGAGGATGCGATTGGAAAGGGAGCGTCGTGCAAGAGCGGCTGAAGAGCGCATTCGAAGAATGCAGCAGGGCCAGAATCGATAAAGCGACGATTTCTTAGCATGTCTCTCGGCTTTGTAACGATATCTTACTCTTATGTTACGATTAATAGACTTGAGAAGAAATGAGTCTTTTAAAGCTCAAAACTTCAGTTCACACTTTCCATGGATCTGGTGGTGGACTGAGTCAAGTGCCATCGCCTTTTTCTGTATTTACTCTCTTCTCCAGGCAAACTTTCACTTCCCCTCTTCAACTACACCCCCAGCACATCATTAGGTGCCAGTCAATTCAATTATACTCATTGGTTCCAGCATTGGGGTTCAATCCGGCTTGCCTCTCATTCTTCATACCAATTCACTGTTACTTGATGAGCTCACATGGCCGGTGCCTCGCAGACGAGAACACAGCTCTCATCCCTTCTAGGCTCACTAGTTGGCACGATATGCAAATGGGATCCAGTTACGGAGGAATCATCAGACCCCATGAAAATATATAGTCGACAGGAAATCTATGTGGGCCGGGACGCAGCGACATGGTATTGACATCTACCAAACAGCCGGTGCTCATGCTAACCTAACTCAAGCCAGTATGTCATAGATGATCCCGTCGTGTCAAATAAACACTTGCGGATATACACCATTATATTCGATCAGGACAACCCAGGGGAAGTGGCGCCGTTGGTATATGCCCAGGATATGTCCATGAATGGCAGCCTCTGGAACCAACACCGGATGGGAAATGGGCAGAGAAACTTGCTACTCAGTGATGGCGATATAATTCAGCTCTCGGGGAGAGTTTCTCTGAGATATGACTCTGTGGATCATCCACAAACCAGCAGCTTTACCCCTACGCAGGAATCGGAGATGGCGGTAAGCATTCAAGCAGGTGAATACTTTGAATGACCATTCAGTAATTTGATTTCGTTACAGATGTTCGATTGCGAATATGTTGTCACAAACCGCAAGCTAGGCTCTGGTGCCTATGGGGTGGTCCATATGGCTTGCAAAAAAGGCACTGACCAGCAGTTCGCTTGCAAAATTGTCGACCTTGGAGCTGTCAAGAAGCGTGTGGCAAAGGAGCTGGAAGCGCAACATGGGAAGGGGTACGATAAAAATATCAGTGTAAGTTATGTCGGGATGAAAGTGCAAGAAAAGCTCGAGCAGTACCACCGGGAGGCCGGGATACTCGAAAACCTGCAACATGTGAGTCTCAGTCTGTTTGGTGGGATTCCAAGCTAACCAGCGGTAGCCGAATATCATCGGTCTCGAGAAGGTTATCCAGAGTGAGAATACCATGTGAGTCTGGGCTTGTCAAGAAATTGTTCTTCTGTCTTACTGGAGGGAGATATATGATTCAGGACCTTCTCACCGGCGGGGATCTTTTCTCTTATATACAGCACAAGGGCGGGAGACTACCTGACATAGAAGCCGCAGTTATTGTGCGCCAGATTGTTATTGCTCTCGATTACCTGCATGACCGGAATATTGTACACAGAGATCTGAAGCCTGACAATATACTCATGACCTCTCGTGCCGACGGATGTAGGGTCGTGCTTACGGATTTCGGATGCGCCACCTTAGTCAACCCGGTTTCGAATCGAATGTCGACTATGGTTGGGACATTTGAATTCAGCGCTCCGTTAGTATGCCTATTCCCCAAAATATCCGCAGATGATCTAATACAGCTGCAGAGAGGTGGTCATGCAAAGCGACAGGGGCTATACTAAAGCCGCAGATCTTTGGTCTTTGGGTTGCCTGACAGCAGTTGTTCTCACCGGGGAGCCTCTCTTCGATAATGCGCCAAAGGGCTGCAAGATGAACTCTCACCGCACCAGGGCTATTGAAAAACTGAAGTGGAAAATGAACCGACGTCAGGTAGGTCAGCGTGCCCAGGACTTTGTCTTCCAACTTTTGCAGCACGATGCATCGAAGCGTATGGATGTAAAACAGGCACTCCAGCATGAGTGGTTCACCAATCCTGCGCATAAGTCGGAGTTCGACGCGCTTTACGAACGATCTATCCGTGATTGGAAGCCCCGCAGCACAACAGAGCCCCGAATTGTCGGGCTTGAATCTTATGTCAAGGCCTGTCCCAGCCAATCGAACCAGAATCCATCCGCTTCGGATCTCGAGTCTAATAGTCTTAGCCAATATTCGTATATCAAGCCGGAATCATGTTCTCAGTGGGTGGGCTTTTCTCTTTTATCAACTGCCGAAACGGATGACCGGCAGGGCAGTGGACTCACCCATATCCCGGAAAGCCCAGATGTAGATCTTCTCCCATGCAAGGATATCACATCAACTGACAGCCATTTAAATGTATCGTCAAATAATGCAGACGCCTATTCCGTGACTTCTTCCCAAGTCAGTGTCACCCATTACGCGACCTTACCAACTCTAACCGCACCGAGTTCACCAGGCTCATAGAGGATGCAAGAGATCCTTTATATGCAAAGCATGATACGCAATATCACAACATCAATATGTGACGGACAAGCGCTCTCACAGGGACGAGCCGGATGCGGAGGCTTTCGAAACGCAGCCTATGATGGGAAACGGCAACGGGTCTTCGATTAACAAAGAGCGGTTCTCGTTCTACTGCATCATTTACTGGGCGATGGAGTTGTCTGAGTATTTAATTTTGTTCTTATTTTCTTTCTTAATGATGACACGAAATACTTCAAACGCGAGAGTCAGTTCATGCATATACTTCCCTGTTATCTGGATAATCTATTCGGGACAACTAAATAGTTAACCGCATCTGCTGTTATTACATCCTACACTGTTGAGCCCCTCCATTCATTACTCCTTCAGCTACCCACTGGACGAGAACTTAGCGGAACATGATGAACGTAAAAGGGGATCGACATCCTTGAAGGTTTAGGATCCATCTACTTCAATAGCAGCAAGGGAGCTGTATATAGACTGGACGAGCACTGCTTGACGCAACCAACATTGGGTAATAATTTTACCCGCATTAATTGAAGAAACGTCAGGGAAATTACTTATTTCATAAAGGCGCCAGGCTGGTAATGAGGTATACTATAGCTGTATAACATTTTAATAACTATATAATACTTCGAGTTCTTTCAGTAGAGAACTAGTAATGTTACGCACCACTATACAGGCACCGAGATCATATACCTAAGCCCCTGAATTACATCACAGCTTCGTCTCCCGACTAAATCGATAAACCACATCCCCAAAGCCCGCCGTAGGAAAGACATAAAACCATTCCAAGGACTCTTCTCCCTCATTCCTAACCCCATGCTCTGCATCCCCGGGGATAAACACAACTGCTCCCTTCGAAACCACATGTTCAGTCCCGTCGATAACAACCACTCCGGACCCGGCCGTGATGTAGTAGATCTCGGCTTGTGTGTGACGGTGGCATGCCAGGTAGCCGGTGCGGGGCGGGCAGGCTGCGAGGCCGGCGCACATGTCGCTGCTTGGGGTTTGGGGGGCTGAGAGGAGGGTGCGCCATGTTATGTGGCCGTTTGAGGGCGTAGGGAAGGATTCGGAGGGTTGGTTGGTGATTTTTTGCCTGGGGAGGATGATGGGGTTGGGTTTGGGCTGGCTCATGATGGATGTATGCCTGTTTCTGCAGGGTTTGGGAAGCGATAGAATAGTGTAAAGGGTTGTGGAAATGCTGTTGAGTATAGATATATAAACTTACGATGCTGGTTAACTAAGTGGGGTATTTTTGATTATTCTATAGTTCGGGTGGATTCTATAACCATCCCGGGTGCGAACTTCCCATCACAATCTTGTGCAATGGTTTGGTGATCATATTTATTCATTAATCCAGGAAGCATTTGGAAATCCATCGAATTCAATTAGGTTGCCTTTCATATAATCAACTTGAGAGCTAAACATCAATGGAACACGCCACTACGAACTCACCCTGCATGAAAAGGTCATTTTCCCTTGCATGTTGGGAGAATCCTCTACTTACAGGATAGAGTACGTGAATTCGACGTGTATGTATGCCATTCCCCATAGTCTAAAGCAGCATCGCCCGCTTACGTATAACATGATGAAATGCTGGATGTCACAGAAACTTGGCTAGGCAGTCTGCTAAGCCAGTACAAACGCGGGGTATTTATGATTAATTCATCGACAGAGCAAGGAGGAGAATAGAAAGCCTTTGCTGACGTCAGGAAGCAAATGCTTCTTGGCTGTCATATAAGGTTATCTTCGATTAAGCCTGGTTGGTACAGTGAAGAAGATTGCTAGGCTGGGCATGTTTAACTAGAGGTTTAACGTGCTTAAGGTCGTGAATATTTCTGACATATGTGCATTTGGGGCATTTAAAAAGTCTCACTATTTTTGGAGAAACGCCAGAATAATCTCACCTGCATCGAGGTTATTCAAGAACCAACCAACAGATTCGCAGGATAGGTGGTGAACATGTCGTGGCAGGTCAATACTCTACCCCCGTTGTAATCGATACTGGACACGATTCGGGCTATTTAAGCTGTGTCTTCAGCTCCAACAATCCCCATTTCCGACTACTACAGACCATCTCAGTTATGGATATCTCCGGCTACGCCTTCATTATCGGTGGTGGTAAGTAGCCAACGTGATGGTCCCCAGATGCCTAGCTCACTTTATCAAGGAAGCGGCATCGGACGAGCGTGCAGCATTGGACTTGCAAAGGACGGTGCAGCCGGTATTCTCGTCGCCGACCTGAGTCTCTCTGCAGCAACCCAGGTTGCAGTCGAATGTAAAGCAGCGGCCACTGCAGCGGACTTCAAAGTCGAAGCACTGCAGATTGACGTGACCAGCGAGAGTTCCGTACAGGATGCGACGGAGCACATGCTGGCCGCCTTTGGGGGGATTGATTACTGCGTTAATTGTGCAGGGGTAGGAAACCCTCAACCTTGTCCAAATAAGCTGAATCTGACTGACTGACCACTTTCCAATACAGATCGGCGTTGAAACCCCCGGCGCCATCGCCGAGGCCGATATTGCGGAATTCCGGCGCTTCCTGAAGGTCCACGTCGATGGGACGTTTCTGGTAACCCGCGCCGTTTCAGCGGTGATGAAACACCAGGAGCCTAAGCAGAATGGCAGCGCGGGGTCCGGACGAGGCTCATCGCGCGGGTCAATTGTCATCTTGGGCTCTGGTGCTTCGCTCGTGGCGACGCCCGGCGTGGTCCAGTATACAACGGCCAAGCATGCCGTGCTAGGGTTGGCGAAGAATGCGGGTGAGTGGACTCCGCCAATTAATTGTGCTGGGCGATTTGTTGATTGGATCTGCAGCTCTGGATAATGCACCGCATGGGATCAGAGTAAACTGCGTCTGTCCGGCGTGGACGGATACTCCGATGGTCGACAGGGCCAAGGAGGGTGGTGTTCCTGTAGATGCGCACGTCCAGAAATTGGTCCCGCTGAGTCGAATGGCTACAGCAGAGGAGGTTGCTGATGCGGTTATTTTCTTCTGCAGTCCGCGGTCCAGCTATGTGACGGGCTGTGGGTTTGTTATCGACGGGGGTGCGACTCTGAGTTGTGCTCGCTAGGGCTCTAAGCTGATTTTATTCCAATTCATATCCCTGTAGTCTGACTGTCTGCAGTCAGCAGGAATGAAATGGCTTAGGGCACAGTCAGCCTTCTAACCCATAAGCGGACTGAAAATTTCACTAGATTATATCTTTGAAGTGTTAAATAACGTGTAGTTCAACTCATCTCATATGGTGAGCGCCTCAGGCACATATCCGCAGGCAACAGCAGGCTGCAGCCCCACAGTGGCCCTAACCATCTTCACTATTTCCGGATATAAAATGGAAACCCAAGCCCCTTTTCAATGATATAAAATCACGGAATGCAGCTTTGTATAACCACGAGCGTCTACTTAGCCTTCCCTCCTCGCGTTCTTCTTCCTCTCCATCCGGACGAAGAGAACGAATCCCATTCCCTCTCTCGGAAAACGCCACAAGGAAGATCCTAACCCGGTGCAAACGCATTGGAACAGGGGTCAGCGTTACGCATGTCTTCATGGCAGCGCTGGCCCTCGTTATAGCCCAGGTCCAATCACCTAGAGATTCGAAAGAAGACGCACGCGAGTTCCGCTATGTCAACCACAGCATGATCAACCTTCGTCCGTACTGCTAACCGCCATCGTGAATATCATAGATAGTTGAATAGTCTAGAAATAAACAGTAAAGTTTTCAAGGGGGTATTTTAAGTAGTCACATTCAATTGAGCCTGTGTGTCTTTGGCGTAGCGCTAAAAAGGCTGTAAACTACTGCTAAAGTATATGTAGTTGGCCAACCAACATCTCTACCTAACACCGATGCTGCATCCGGTGATACCCATTCTGCTCAAGAATCTGGGTATGTCTATTGATCGTTATGGATAGCTATTGTCCGGTTGGCAAACCCGCCAAACGCCTCTTCACCAGTCACCGGGGTAATCGAGTTCGGCAGATCCTCACCATCACTATTCCGATCGTCAACAGTCTTGGCCTTGGTCTTCTCGATCCAAGTCTGCGCCGTCTTGAACTCGCTGTCCGCTGTGCTCTTGTCGCCAGCATCAAGCGCATCTAGCATGGCAATCAAGTGCTGGCACGCAGTCGCCCATTGCATCGCAAGGATCGACCAGGGCGCCACGTCCTCGGCGAACTCCTTCATGGCCATGCGGGGAAGAACATCAGGGAGCGTTGTGAGAAGTTCAAGGCGGCTGCGTAGCGCTTCAGTTCCGTCGTTTTTGCGATACTTGTAGTGGGCTTTAGTAGAAGCGTTACGGGCAGCCCAGAAAGCCTCAATGTCCTTGTTAAGCTGGGGTGAATGGACTGCAGGCTCGCGGTATGGCCAGTATTGGTTAAGGTCAGTGAATGCGAGGACTGCCTCGTGGACGCTTCTATCGGTGCCTGTGAGCTCCAACAGAACGGCATCCATTGACTTGTTGGCGTTGTACGCCGGGCCGTTCCACGTGTAGTCGGCGTAGTTGGCAAGAGACAGCATCGAGGCGTATGCCTGAGACATCGGATTCGAGGTGAAGCCTATAAGATGCTCGTAGAGGTCGGAGTCACGGTCAGTGAGCGGGTTGAGGAAGAGGCGGTTGCGATCGCCGTCGTTGACGGGGAAGTTATCCCAGATGTACAGGTTGTCGGTAACGTAGGTCGAGGCGGCGCGTGATACACTCTCAACAGTCACATTGGGACTGAAGACTCCTTCCCCGGTCCACTGGACGCGAATTTTCTTATTCAGCTTGGTGCCAAATTCTTCCTTATAAGGGTCTGGTGCGCTGCCGGCGTAGTTCGTTGGAACGGTCTGGAGATCTTTGAGGTTGTTTGGCTCGATGTACTCCTTCTGGACACGGTTCAGATAGTAAGCTTGGGCGTCAGCGATCCAGCGATAGTCGTCCGTTTCTTCCCATTTCTCGCTGTCCGAGTCGCAGTGGAACTCTAGAGGGATATCGTCGAGAGCAATATAGAAGCTGTGGACACCGAGATCGCGGATCTGGTTGAACTTGGTTGCAGTAGCGTTGAAGTCGTCATCAGATGAGTAACAGAGGTCCAGGCCAGGTGAAAGAGCGTAAGTGAAGTCGACGTGGTGTTCGTTTGCGCCGTCGACAAGCTCCTTGAGCTGGGAAACTTCGTCGTCGCCATAAAGAGTACGCCACTCGTTGCGGAGGAGCACATCATCTTTCGGCGTATAGATATAGGTGTTCATCTTGTGCTTCCCGTAGAAAGCAAGCTGGTCGAGACGTGCCTGATGAGACCAGGGGACGCCGTAAAACCCCTCGATCGAGCCTCGAATCTCCATGAGCGGCCAATCGCGCACCTTCACACCTGGAACATTGTCATCGCTGACAAGTTGGCGAAGGGTCTGTGATGCGTAGAAAGTACCACGCGTGTCCATCCCATTGAGCACAATGCTCGGCTGGTCCTTATAGCTGCCCGATGCGAGGACATAGCCTTCAGCAGCGAGGCCTTCTGCAGATTTACCCGTGAGTGCCTCAGCGACGTCGGAAGCAACCTTGTCAGTGCCAACGACAATCTGCGTGCCACTATCTGTAGGCTCGGACGAGAGAACAGCATTGCCGCCAGCAGAGTCCACAATTGCCTTTACAGCATCGATTGTGGCAGAGTCCGTGAAATTGCCAGTTACAATGGTGACATTATCGTTGAGCGAGATGTCTGCGCCGGACGAGGAGATTTCCTGAGGTGGCGGCCACACTGCGGGGAGTTGGCCCTGGTCCCTGGTGTCAATGCCATTGACAAGAGCTGCCCAGAGATACGTCCAGTAGTAGGGATAAAACATGGTGGTTGAGGATGAAACCCTTGAAGGTTGTCGAAGCTTTTATGGGCGCGTTTGTTTGTTGGGGGAGGCGGCGCCCCTTGCCTGTTGTTGACAAAATATCCAGGCAGCCACAGCACGTTACAGCGCCACGGTGTAGAAGAGTAGCAATACTAATGCTCTGGAGTGCTACTGAGCGTTGCAACAAGCGCAGAGGGTCGTATTGAACCCCGCAGTTCGATCGCTTAAATTGCATGAATCGCCTCAGATCTGCATCGCCAGGCACGCTAATCAGAACCCCCTCACGCTGCTACAACCAAGATAGCTAAGCGAGAACAACTATAATAGTTGGAGCAGTTGGTCTTCGGAGCTAATTCTGTTCCATGTAACAGCAACGACATCTATTCAATGTGTCATGGCTCTGCCAAAGGCACCGACAGCAACTAACGCATGGAAGGCAATCCAAGACTGAGATTGGCAGTTGCAGGGGATATACAAAAGTGAACATCAACAACAGGTGAAGAATTATCAAAGTGAGCTTTTTATGTATGGATTCTATAATCTCCTCGCAGCAAGAACAGGCCGAATCTCGAATCTCCCGTTCTTCTTTTTAGCAGCAATCCCAGTGAGATATTTCGCTGCCTCTTCTATCCGTTCATACAATGCCTCATCACCGACGACTTCACCTCCACCACACAGATCAAATCGTTTCCGCTTATGACTATACAGAAACGTCATCCCCGTCCTCTTCTCTTTACCCTCAACCTCCCATCGCTCCCCCTGGACCTGCTGCATACCAGAATCAGAACTTGCATCTGCATCTGCATCCTCCCAGCAAGGCTGCGGATCCACGACCACAAACAGCACGTCCAAAACAGTATACCACTTCAGCAGCTCCGATATTGTCGATACATCTCCGTATAGAAATAGGTCGGCGGAAAAAGCAATCCGCGCAGTATCAGGGGCGACACAGGCTTTCTGCCCTATCAGATCGGGCTCGGTGAGTCGGTGGATGGGGTCGTTGTAGAAATCTGCCATCTTGTCCACGGGGATGTACAGTGCGTCTGTTAGGGAGTTGAAAGGGCGGGTGAAGATGTAGCCATTGTCATTGTCATTGCCATTGCCATCTCTTTGCTTGTGATTGAAATATCTCTGGCCTTGGATATGGCTACGGGTATGGATATGAATACCCTGCTTCTGTATCCAAGCCAACGCAAGCTCGCGCGCCTCCTGGCTCACGAAAAACAACGGAATATCAACCTGGACATGGTCGAATAGGTCATGCCGGAACTCGAGAAACAGATGCACGTCCTCGTGCTGCCCCCACGCTTCGTCTGATTTCTGGAGTGGGCGTGGCTGCCAGTATCCCGTTTTCCACGGGTATAGCGCTGGTGTGTCGTGTTTTGGGAGGGCTTCTTTCCATATCATGGTGCGGAGCTCGGGAGGGAGGTAGGGGAATTGGTGGAATTGGGTGGTTTCGGTCATGGTGTATAGGTGGGAAGTTGACTTGCTGCAGTGGATTAACTGATAGAATGGCTGTCTGGGTCTTGATGGTAATATTTTAATTTGATAATGATTCAGGCAGACAGCAGCTGAGCAGTTCACGAAGAAATTTTAGGTATATTTATAAAGGCGTAGATCTACTTCACTACTTAATCTCAAAACAAATTTAGGTCAATTTCTACTATATATACTGCCAATCAGCTTGTAGTAGATTCGCCCCGTTGTGACTGGAACGATACTTACTATCTCTATCTACATATGTATTCACCCATCTTACTACGCCACCTCCAATCCCCGACTCTCCAAATACTGCGCCGCAGTATCCGCAACCGCACTCTCAAACGACCGGAATTTCATCCCAAGCACCCTCTCCGTCTCGCTCGAATCGTACGAGATGGGCAGTTTAGGCAGCGCGCCCCGCGAGAACGTCCCATTAGCAACTGCCTTGGGGAACGCCTTCTCCACAATATCAAAGGTATTGAACGCCTCAAGGGTCGTGCATGCACCAAACGAATGCGGGGTTCCACACGCAGAATCAGCAGCGGGATCCAGCTCGAGAACACGGAGATGCACGTCGGCGACGTCGTCGATATGCACGTACCCCCCGTGAATCGGCATGCCGATTTCTGTACCCAGAATGCTGCCGAGAAGGTACCCGTTCGAGCTGTTTTGGAAGAGAAGCTCAGTTCCCTCGCCGTCGAGGAGGTCGTTGCGGCCGAAGACGTACCCCGGGAAGATATGCGCGATGCTGAAATGGGGCTTTTCTTTGGCGATGAATTCGTCTGTCGCATTGAGCGAGATTATCTTGCCCAAGACGTAGGCCTCGAAGGGGCTTGATATCGTCTCTGGCGGGGCGGTGATGGGGATGCGCGTCGCGCCGGTGGATGTCACGGCTGGGTCAGGATTTGGCGCAAGGTTGGCGACGATGGAAGAGGTGATTACCAGTCGTTTCAGAGTTGGTGTTTTGAGGGCTGAGCCTAGTAGATTTGGGATACTCTGGACGGTGGGATTGTAAATTTGCGTGAGGGGGTCGTACCCCGGGACTGGGACCGGAGTACCGACGTGTAGTACATAGGACACGCCCTTTAGGGCTTCATCGTAGGCATTCTCAGCGCTGATGTCGGGGATAAGGACATAGCTGAGCCGGTCTCCTGCGTTGAGTCCTTGGATGGCGGGGCGAGATAGGACCTTTTGGGCTTTCTCCTCTGAGCGTGCTGCGAAGCGCACCGTATACCCTTTGCGGAGGGTTTCGAGGAGCACTCGGAAGCCGATTAGACCTGTGACGCCGGTAACAAGGACAAGGGATGTCATGGTGCAGTAGATGTCAGTTAGAGTGTTGAAATGGATAAGTTGAGGATTTTGAAGCAACTTCCAAGTCGTCACGCCATACTCCAACTTTCAGCTGAGCTGAGGCCGTCAGCCGTCAGCCGTCAGCCATCAGCACTAACCCCATAAGCCACTACGCCTATCCTACCTCTGATCATATTTCCGGTTTGGTCAATAATCCCTGACCTCGACGATCTAAGCCAACGTCGCTTGACACACCCAGCTCGTCATGGGCAGTCCCAGGATAAAAGGGTTACATCCGAGCCGAAGGGATTGAAGGACATACGTAAAGGTGAGATCCTTTCTTCTCCCCTCCCCCACCACTACCACTCTAAGGCCAGAATCTCAGCACGCAACGCAAGGGATCAGAAATCGCCGAATCTGCAGGTCAAATCACAAGACGTGCATCTGTCAATGCACGTCGGAAAATACGCCCTTCCTCGTTCTTTGCGTCGATCTTTGTCTATCTAGGAGTGGGGAAGGGTGGCTGGGTGACCCTCTTCCCAGGAAACTGAAGGCTTCGAGGGTACGCCTAACCCTGCCCTAGCCCTGCGGTACCTGGATAGGTCGTTGGCAGTCCCTAGATGACGTTCAGATCGGACGACAGGTCCTCAAGGGCAGGTGGCAAGGTTTACAAGAGAGAGAGAGAGAGATGTTCCAAGGTTGTGACTAGGTTTGGGCAGATTATCCCAGCGTAGCGTTGCGCTTATATCCTTGTTGGATATAGGCAGTGTGGGAAGATGAATCTGGGTGATCAGCCAGCAATTCGGAGGAATTTTGCATGGTGCTGATATTCCGTGCTATCTGCAAGATAATGCAAGCACCACCACGAGATCGAAATCGCCGAGAACCCTCCGCAAGTGCACCTGCATCGATATAAGCAAGGGTGGTCGACCATCGGAATGCTCGCTAACTCAGTCTCAGACACCCCGGTGGCTGGGTTGCACAAAGACTTGTCTGGGCACTGGGCGCAAAAGGGATTCGACGCCACCTGCAAAAACGTTATCGATTGCCTCAAGAAAGAATGCGGAGGCTCTCAGCCCCTCGATGGACAAAGCAAGGAGGGGCTGGGACGCCGGCGTATCGATAAGATAGGAGCCTGGTTGGCTTCGGTGGGCTATCCGGATCGACAACATTAGCAGGGATGTCTTTCACTTGCTTGTGACAAACGCTCCGACTCAACGTGGATGACCAAAATTTGGATAATCAAAGAAACCTCCACTTCAAGGATGAAGGTCAACACTCAGGTGGGAATAAGATGTCTCAGCCTCAGGCAGTTGCTCAGGAACACGGCGTTGATTGGTGGACGCGCACCTGTGACGCGTGTAGACGCGTTACGCGACGCGTTCGTGTTCTAATATTGCCTCTTTCGGAAGCGACCCATGGGACCGTTGGATTTGCGGAAAGAGCGCCGTTGAGGACAATCAGTAGAACCGTGACCGTTGAATATAGCTACGGGATAAGATGTGTCTTATAGGCGTCGGGGTGCCGTGTTTGCAGGAGAGGTATACCTTGGAAAGGAGGATGGGAGATGGGATCCAGGTACTGAGTCCGGAGTAGAGGGAGTGAGACCTCAGACCAACCACCCGGACACCTTGGTGGACTAAGCTGACACCCTAATTTAGAACCATTGTTTAGATTTCCAGTCTTTGAGCCACAACACTGTTTGCATTGGGGAAGTATCATAATATTGTAGTATGTTGGTAGTGTCGAGTTACAACCTGCTATCAAGCCATCCGCAAAGACATCTGCAGGCAATTGGGGGTGCATGCAGTCTGCAGTCTGCATGATGTGGTGCAGCGTCCCACAGCGGAACGGCCCTTGAGACTGTCTGGTTACTGCGCTGTGCAGCCGATCAGCAGGATGGCCGGTGTCTAGGAGATTTACAAGTCCTTGCGTCGCGCACCCTCGAGGGCGCCTCCTTTTCTCCTTGTCTCAGAGCACGAGGGGCGACACAGATGATGTACTCAGGCCCTCGAGGCCTTCATAACCAGCCCATGCCCCTGTTGTAATGGAGTAGAAATCGAGGGCGAAGGAGCTGAGGGAGAATGAAGGAAGAGTCCATCCCATCGTTCTTTCACAATCCTTGAGAAGAGCGACCATTGAGCAGTACTCCATACTCCATACTACTCAGCCTGATCTATTCTTACATCCAGTTGAATACACGTGTGCAGCGAGTCTTTATTGTGTGAGCCCATTGTGCTGGTGGCGCTGTGCTGCATGCGGCAATAAGCCCAACGGTGGCTCCACTCTCCTTTTTCACATTAACTTATCGCTCCCGCCTCTCTGCCCGTTTCCTCCCAACAACCATCTCTCGTTTCATCGCTCCTCCATCACCAACTGTCGTCCACGCTTCGTCGCGTCCTCGGAGCCAGTCCATTTTGAAGCGCTGGCCTGGGTTTGCTATTTACACGTGTTTTTATCCCGTCCGCTCGCTCCCTGCTCCTCGAGAGCCCTTCCGGCGCAAAAAACCACCCGCTTGCGCAGCGCACAAACAAACACCCCTCCACCATCGCTCGTTTCACCCCAACAAGACTCTTCCATCACCATAATCCTCTCCCAGCGCAATATGTTGCTCCCATCAGCGCTCCCCTGCGATCTTCGTCGCGCATCGCGCTTTACTCCCATTCGCATGTTTTCAACACCACCGCCATCCGATGACGACAGCAGCCTCCCAGGCAACGGCCTGCTGGGGACCTGTCGCGCTCTCCAGTCGCTCCTGAACGGCTCACCAGCGCCGTCTTCGCGTAGTGCGAAATCAGCACGTCTCCAAAGCCCGCTTACATTCCAACCTACTCCCCCTTCTCCCGCTTCGTCGCGCAAACAAAAGCGCACCCCTAAGCCTTCATCCTCCAAGCTTCCGTCGCCCAGGCCATCTCGAGGGCCTAACAAGCGACGACGGAATAGCTACGAAGAAGATCTCAACACAGATACCGTCTGCGACTTTCATTCGCAATCCAACCCCTCCACACCCAAACGCCGCCGACACCTCCCTTACGAGCTTCCTCTCGGTCTCTCTCAAACAGACTTTTACTCACTTCATTCACCACCTGTCACACAATCTCCTCCATCACCGGCAAAACCAAGCCAGCAAGATGAATCTTTAGGGTTACCACCGTTTGACCCCGACGCGGCTCTCCCCTCCATCGAGGAATCAGATGAGCCGGCAGCCGCCACAGATAGTCAATCATGGTCAACAGACGACGACCAGCACCTGGTAGAGCTGGTCCTAGAGAAATTCCAACTCTCCAAGCGAGACTGGGACGATTGCGCTCGACGCATGGGCAAGGACCACGCTAGCGTCGGCCAGCGATGGCACGCTCTCGTTGGAGAGGGAAATGTCGGCCTACGACGAGGCCGGCGAATGGTACGCAGTCGCATCCACAAAGATTGGATGTAATTGTCTTTATTACCGGTGTTTTCTCAAGATTTTGTCGCTTCATGATACCTCTCTGTTTATGTATACTCTTTCCGATGCACATTTATCATGGCTGTATTTTTTATATCGTGCTTCGATAGAGATATTTTTTTTCTTTGTCTTTTCCTATCTGTTCATTTTTCTCCCGAGTGGATTACCCTACTTTCTTAATCTCCCACCCTTCTGAGACTGTATTATCTACCTATTTGCCTGCGGGTTTGACGCCTTCTCTTCTTTCCACACTGGATTGTGACTGTGTTATTTATTCACTTTTTTTAACCGAGACTGGACATTATTGTATCATTTACCCTGCATCTACCAATCATACTTCATTCTGGATCTGGACTTGTTGGTTTTCCCGTTGTACAATGGTATATACAACTTTGTTTCCACTGTTATATTTATTGTCGATCTTGCATGTGATGCTATCTACCTACGAGTTTAGTTTAGTTTGCTAATCCATGCTTTGTATATTTATATATTTCTGGGTCTTGCTTCATTTTCCCTAGTAGATACTACATATATATATATCGTAGTATGGCTCAAATCAACCACCAAGATAATACTAGAAGACAAATTTACAAGCTGAGGGGTCTACGTAAATATACGGTGACACCAGGTAGCAGGTACGCTCATTACTATGCGATGGACAGTAATCGTGAATAAGAAGTACGTTGCACTTTACGGGGTGGAAGTACACTACAAGTATCAAGTATCAACGCCGGACACCGAGCTCAACCAGCAAGCAAGGAACGAGCAGATAATGAATGTCAATATCGCCTCATGCAACCAACCATCTATCCACCAACCTTTGGATTGGTGCAGTAGACTAGAATCTGTTCTCATAGTTAGCACCTTGCGGGTAATGCTTAAATAGCGGGAAAGAATGACATACCGAATCTCATAACTGCCTGCCCGAGTCATGTACCGCACCCACTTGACAGAACTGTAATTACTCTTCTCAAACACCTTCAAGTACCGCACCAGTAGCCCCGAGGATGTAAACATGAGCAAACTGAAATTCAGACTCAGCGGGGGCCGCGACCAGGCCTTTTGATTCGTCATGCTCGTTAACGTCGCTTCGGCTGTAAGCACGAACTCGCTGCCTCCTGAGAACCGAGCAATCTTCCACACGATGTTGTTGTGCTCGGGCTCGTACTTGGCACGGCCCTGCGAAGTGCGCTCGGTTGTCTTTGCTGTGTTGAGCGGCGTGGGGATACGGATGACGACGTTCGTCGCGAAGAGCTTCGAGCTGTAGTTCGCCTTGATGGCGACGCTGTACTCGACCTTCGTGGTGCCGATCTCGCGCACAATCGGGTGCACCTTGAACGGCAGATTGACGTTCTCTGTTGCGCGGTACCGCATTAATTCGAATTCCCCGTCCGGCGGCACAAACGAGATGATACGGTCTGCGTCGAACCGGCCCAGCTTCACACACTGATGGAACTGGCAGTCTTCTAACGTGACGCTCCCTGCCGCAGCCTTTGTCTTCGACGACGACCCTCCTATCTTCGAGCCCATATTTGCTCCGCCCGTTGAACTAGACCCCGGCCCCGCGGCGTCATTATCAAGCAGGAGCCGGTCGTTCAGCCCGAACTTGCATTCTGGTGTTCCGGATAGGTATGCCCGCATGACAATCTGCCCGTTTACGTCGGCGCGCAGGACCGTCCCTGTTGCGGACATGAGCAGGTTCACGTCCTCGATTACGTCGACAAAGGCTTCGTTCTTGCGGTATTTGACGTCGGCGCGACGCCAGGATAGTGCACCCGTCGCTTGCTGAGTTATCCGTGCTGAGTCGGTGGGGTTATTGGCAATTGCGGACTTTACCCCCTCCGTCGTAATGTACATTTTTAGGGTGTCCGTTTCGGTGTTCTGGGGGTACCCGAAGTCGAGGATTTCTGTATACCGGGTCCATTAGCAATGCTATTCAATATACAAGAGGATGCGTCTCGACTGCAAAAAGAGAGAAGGACTAAAATGGAGAGGGACGCACCATCAAGCAACTCATAAATCAGAACAAAATTATTCTTCACGGCCTCCTCGTCGAATTTCCCAAAATAACTCTTCCCCAACAGCACAAGCCGGTACAGGAACTCGAAGACCAGCGCAGCGTTCGCATTGCTCTTCGTCACACCGACAATGTAGATGTTCTCATGCTTCACATGGCTGAACGTCGTCGAGCCCAGGGTTAATATCGGCGACCGCACTTGGGGGTTGGAGATGACCTGAATGCGGAAGATGTCTGCGAGGCGCGGGCGGCAGTCATTGCGAAAGGAGCGGAAGATGAGATTCTCGCCCTTTTGATTGAAGATTAAGATTCCGGAGAGCATCGTGTGGGTGTTGGGCCAGAAGGAGAGGGGGGAGGTTAGGAGGTGGAATTGTAGACTCGTCGGGGGTTTGGTTTAGGGAGAAGTTCCCGCGATCGGCGACGGCGGAGCTGGAGCTCTACGGACGGAACCAGCACCACCACTCCAGTTTTATATCAGACGCTAGATCTATTAAATACCGGTCTTTATATCAGATGTTGTATTGAATTACAATTGGTATAGATAGATACAGGACTTGTACATGAGATTATTCTTTTGTGCATGGTTGACGCAATCTAGCCAGTCACGTAGCTCGCATAGATACTGGGCCAACACCGATGACCCCGGGCAGCTCTAGTAGGCATTCCCCGGGGGCTCTCGAAATAAAACAAAAATGGTATCAAGATAAGACATGATCTCATACGCCGAGAATCAGGAAGGTAAGCAGCAGAAGTTCAAGAGTCGCTAATACAGAGTCGGGATTAAAGTAAGGGTATAGGACGAAGTAAGTGGAAGAGGTCGAGAGGCAGGAAGGTATTGATGCTCATACACCACTGCTCTCCGGCCGTGTGCCAGGGCGGGATGGGTTACCCTCGCTCGGCACGATACCGACCTTGGGATCGGGAATTTGAATATCCAGCGACATGTAACCTGTCCGCCGCAGACTCCAAATACGAACCCCGTCCTTTGCCCCGACCTCCCGGTTCCACTTCTCCAGCCAATCTTCCAACCGTCTCAGGTGGCTCTTAACTCCTGGCGCTCCCAGATCCTCCCATATCCAGCCGGTGATCAGACCGATCGCGCCGTCAATCCAATTGCGGAAGCTGTACGGGTTAAATGCGCTGATAAGCTCATCGTTTACCATCGCAATGATCTTCCGGAACTCGTGCTCAGGCAGTAACGGGTCCAGGATCTCCGGGTACAGATTGGAATACGTTGGGGCAAGGTCCCCCTTGACCATCCAGTCTCGCCGAACTCGAATGATGCGCGTCGTCATGTACTCGTCTGATCCAGGCGGCACATGCGGGTTGATATGCGGGAAACAAGGATGGGCCGGGCCCCAGGCCAGCTCCTCTGCGACATCAGGCTCGTTGGGCGCCCCGGAATTCGACGGAATCGACGCTATTTGCGTCTGAGACCGGAGAGAATGCTGAGACTGGACATGTCGTGGAACCTCTGTCCCCAGAGAGTGAGTGGGTCGATCGACTGGAGCCTCCATATCCAGGGGGATATCGTCGAATGTGCCGCTTTGCCTCTGCCCTCGCGGCACCGCAATGCTAGAGCGACCGCTCTCGGACTCTTGCTGGCTGCGCTCTACCACGAGGCTGTTAGGCGACGGGGTCAGTCGGCTGCGACGCCGCTCTGGGATCGTTAAGAGAGGGAACGCGTCTCGGTGCGATTCGAGAGGAAGACTCTCGCTCGATGCCTGTAGCGGATTGGGTGCTGCTACCGGTGTATTGCGTGGGACGTAATTGACCGGGTTGGCGAGTCGGACGGCCGGGGGGCGCAAGATGTTTGGCGCAGCCCAGCGTTTCTGCAGGCGTGAGGACCGAGTTCGGGAGGGAGGTGCTTCTGTTTCAACCTCCAGACGTTCGAATGAGGGTGCGGACGTGCGCGTGCAACTGAATTGAGCCTGGGGAGACTGGAGAGTAACGCGCGGGGGCGGATGCGATGGAGCAGGCTCCTGAATCTGGGGCGATGATATGATAGGGAGGTCACGGAATTGCCTGGACTGGGCCGTTTTCGCTGGCGAGGGCGGCCGGATGGCAGAGGAGGGTAGAGAAGGGGAGGGAGGGGACGCCGTGGTGACGGAGAGTGGGCTGGACTGGCAAGAATGAGGACGACGAGCGAGAAGACTCGGAGCAAATAGTGAGGGTCGCGGGCGGCGCTGATTGGCGGGCGGCGGGCGAAAAGGGGCGCGCGGACAAAGGACAAGAAATGATCTGAGCTCGACATCCACGCAATCTTACAGATTTAGCCAAACACCAAGCGAGCGAATTTCCATCGGAGTATCGAATTCAACGATTGTGAAGAAAAGAGGGCAATGAACGACTGGGGGTGTGGAGGAGGAGTGTCAATAGAGGGGATCGAATTGATGCATCAACTCGGCCCTACACATTGGGAGAAAAGAAAAGAGAGACGGGGCAGGTTGGGCAGTTGGGCAGTGGGTAGGGAGCAGGGAGCAGAGATTTTATGAATATATTCGATCTCTTTAAATAACAATAATCTCTCAAGACGAAACATCCCCAGGTCCAGCCTCTCCCGGCCGTGACCGGGCTTGCCTCACCAGCATTAAATAGTAAATATTAGCCCCAAGTAAGGATCCAACTTTACTTAAATCGGGGAACTAGTCTTAGCGCCCCAAAGCTCCGGGCACAGGCTTCTCCGATGACTTCACGGCGGTTCGAAGGGATGGCTAGATCGGCAGCAGGCGGGCCGTATCCCGAAATTGCGACTGGCTTCGAGGACTTGATCACATCTTTGGAGCTGGTCTGTGTTGGAAGTAGCCCCGAAGGCTGAAAGCCGCATTACTACGTATTACTATGTGGTCGTAGTCATATTATGTAGGTACTGGTCCGTAGTTCCGTACTCGATCGTGAAGATCGACTGTGCGGGTATAAGATTAAGTAAATAAGGGGGTTGAGTCCGTGTCTCATCGCTAAAACATTACAAAACAAACAGGAGGCCGACAACCCTGAAGAACGTAAGACATTGTGCCAATCGTCTGTCATACGAGCCGATTGACGCTTTTATTGGCCTTGGCTTGCATCCGCCGCATGGCCTCCCGATGCAGCTCGCTCATGTCGCCTCGTTGCATTCCTTCAGCGATCTTGTCCCCAATCATGCCCGGCGACGACACATTGCGCTGTCCTAGTTGGTAGAATGGTGTCGAGCTGCGCTCGCCAGGTCCCATCGGTGTGGGTGACGCTAACTGGCCGCCGGTGGTCAGCTTGAGCGGGTTGCGCTTCTCCTTGAGATCTTCCCGGACAGACTCCCGCCAAGCTGCCAGAACTGCTGGAGAGTTTGCTCTCGACGGCACCCCACTGCTACTCCACCTCTTTGGCGTCGAGGCTACGTCTATTGGTGAGATCGGGCTACCCTGTTGGTGGAGCATTGTCCGGCGCTGAGACAGGGGGATATCATCGTCATCCTCTTCAGCTATTGGGAAGGTGGAGGGGTACCGCGCTGAATAGTCAAGGGTTGACTGAGCGGTGCTATGTCTTGCGTAGGGATCGGTTGGGAGGGACACCGACGACAGTCGATTTCGCATCATGTCCTCGCGTACTGCAATCAGAGGTGCCGGTCCTTTCCATTGAGGTTTTGTTTTCTCACTTTCCTCGTAACCCTGCTCGGCAGGAGCAGCATTGGGGAGCAGCGTTTCCGAAGAGGTAGTGACAAGGTTACCCAATTGTGGTTGCACAGCGGGAGGCAAATTCTGAGCCAGGCTATGCGATGAACCAACAGACAAGCCGGAGAGGCGCCTCGGTGATTTTGATCTCCTCTTTGTTTGTGAACCCGTTCGAGAGTCATACGGGAAGTTTTCTTCGCTTGTTTCCTGTCCGGGTGCGACGCGGGGTTCCACGGCTGGAGGAGGCTGCGCGTTCAGTGGCGTTTGTAGTAATTCCGTCACTTTGACTGGTGCTGCAGACTCTTCTTGCTCAGCTGGGCTTGATCGGTGCTCTTCAAACGGCTCAATTGGTTCCAGTTCAGGGATCTCGGCATCCGTCAGGTGCTTCGCCCACTCATTCATGCGGTGGGCTTGGATAACTCTTGATGTATGCTTTGGGATTTGCTCAATGGTCTCTGCGTTTAATCGCTTCGGTTCCTCTTTTTTCTTTTCGGGCTTTTCACTCGAAGGGGGTTCTTCTGGCTTCTTAGCGGCCTCATGGCCCTTTTCTGCGGACTCCCCCTCACCTGGTTCTGTCGTCGATTCCTTGTCCGGTTGTAGAGCCTCTTGAGCGTTACCCTTGTTCTTGGACTCGCTAGCTTGGTCCATTTCTGTAGGCTTTTCCGTTGCTTGGCCGCGCTCGTTGCATTCACTTGTAGTTGCTTCGCCTTGTTGCGTTTGTGGATTGTCCTTGACAGTGTCTGAATGCTGCTCGACCTTTTGTGTATCCTCTTCTGTCATCGCAGGCGCTTTCATGGAGTCTCCCAGATGTTGAGCTTCAGCATCAACTTGTGCTTTCTTTCCACTCTCAACTTCTCCGTTGCCGCTTTCTTTCACCGCAGGTCGCTCGGTGTGGCGTGTTTCCACATTTGACGTGCATTCCTTGGAAGCAACCTCCTTGTCCTGCGGTTCCTCCGGCTTAGGGCTTTCCAGTACCTGTGGTGCTTCTTCTTTTACCAGATTTGCTGCGCTTTCACCATTTTCAGGTTCACACTTCTTGTTGCCTTCTTGACTGGAAGTGCATTTCTCCGTTGGAGCTGCTGGTTGCTCCTCATCCAACATGGCTTGGTAGTGGCTGTCCCCGGCAATGGTATGGCAATTAGAGTCTACGTCGTTGACGTCATCTGCAACACCTATCGTAGACATAGAATCGTCACGCGCTATCAGTTCTTCTTGAGATTCTGAGAGATACTTCGTGTTGCTCTTTACGGACGCTTTTCTGGATAGCATCGAGAGTCGTTTTGAGTAGACGGACATCGTTTCCGAGCCCACGATCGCGGTCACGCCAGAGCTCCTGTCGTCTGCCACTGCCATGTTGTGCAAACATTTGGGAAGGCCTCCACCTGGCGCCTCAGTATCGGGGCTAGGATCTGCATTTCTGTCTGTCTCATCGACATTGTCTTGGTTCTGGGGTTTGGTGTCTCCGGTGGCGTCTGTAGATGTATCGCAATCCCCTTGTGCCCTGCACTCAGAGCAACGATAAGAAACCACAGAGTCCGAGATACTTTTCTTTTCACCCACATCGTCCTTTAAGTTTCCGTCATCGGTACGGCCCGTTTGTGAACCAGCTGCTAGTTCGGGGATAGCTGTCGAGGTTTCAGATGAGGCTACATTGTCGCCATACTTTGCTTCCCATTCCATTCGCTCTTTCATATTATGCTCCTCGAGTCGTTTCGCGGCTTCGGTTTCGGCTTCGTCTTTCTTCCTCTGCTCTTCTTGGCGCTTCTCCTCGTCTTTCAATCTTCGCTGGCGGACAACTTTCCATAACCTTAATTGCGAGATGACGCCCATGACAGCCACAATCACGACGACAGCGAGTTCAACCTTCATGTAACGAGTGACGGGGTAGGTGTTCGTCCCCAAAGGGAAGATATCATCATTCAACGCTGCTTCTAATTAACTTGGGCTCTTGCCAATTTAGAGCGACTACTCACCCCAAAGGTAAAGCCAAAACTCTTTTAAACCAGCTTTGCTATAACAGTCGATTCCCAAGGCGATAGCCGTACCACCAGCTATTGATGTTGCGCCGATGAGCCCATAATCACGGGTGTAGTGACTGAAAGAAACAGCATAAAACCCGACGGAAATTGCGCCAATGAATCCTGCTTTTGCATCGGTTGCCGTTATAAGTCCACCTGATTTTGTGGAAAGCAACCACATGCTCACGCAGAAACCTCCTAGTAGACATCCGAGTCCTTCGGCTAATTCCTTGAAAACAATGGCAAGTGCTCCGAATGTGATTCCTGTGAAGAATATCGCTACCAGATATGCACCTTGGATTGCATCACGGACCGGGGGGCTCATCACATAAACGATGAGTACCTAAAAGAATAAATCATTAGATTCGTTATTCTATTTAGGTAGTGTGGTCCTTACTGTTACTCCTAGGCTGGTTAGGAAGGCGGAAGAGAGGAAAACTTGCACCCTAGAATAGTATAAGTAAAGTGACTTCGAGAAAGCAGGATGCGATTTGTTACCAGAGATTCCTGACTCCAATCAGCGCCAGAATGGCGCCAGTAGCCAGGAGGATAAAGCCACCGACACCAAGAGCAGGTGTGACAGCTGGTTTGACAGGTAGCTGTCCGGGTGCAGTTGCGTTGGTTTCATTATCTATAAGCTGTCAGCAAAGGCAATATTATCAACACCGAGAAGAGCGCAGGGCGCTCACTTACCTTCGTCTACATTTGAGCTTTCCAGAGTCGGTACTGGTGTTGCAGTCGCGGTTGTTTTACTGGTCGAATTCCCTTTGTCTGTTGCATTGTTCGTCGCATTCGTGCTCGTTGCATTGTGAGAATCCCCGGTATCATCCGTGTCCCTCGCACGCAGGGCGCCATATTCAGGACGGTCAAGGTAAGGAACCCGTGCCACGAAGGCAAGCAGGGTTGGAGATAGACAGGCGACCAGTAGGATAACGAAATAGACCTTCATACTGACAGCAGGCACGGAGAGGGTTGGGGAAATAGTCGCGAAACCGATGCGAAGATACAATGCCGGCCTTGGAGTTTTGCAAGATTCTCCTCAGATCCCACTCCACATACTTCTTTGCCCAAGCATGAGCCAAACCAAATAACTCAAGGAGTTGATTGATTAGTGGTTCGGATGACAGCCAAAAGTACAAAAACGTGGCGTGCTTGGATACTCGAGAAGGATACCTGCAGCTTTGTACCCACTATGCGCTTGTAGACATGAACTAACAAAAGGGGGCAAACGAGAGGAAAGAAGAAGAAAACGAGGATTGAGATTTGGCGTAGAGTAAATACATATTTGACGCCTAGCCCGGAGGTAATCTCCAGAATTTGAATTCTTGGAATAATCGGTTTAACCCAGATTAGAGCTCACCGTCTGGGCACAGGTTTTGGGGCGAGAGAATCGGATTCAGATTAGGAAGATAGACTCGGTGCATGGAAGATGTGGGCTTACCCACCCGGGGCTTGTCAAGGAATGAAAAAAAAAAAAAAAAAAAAAAAAAAAGGAAGGAAAAAGGAAAAACAAAGTAAAATCAAGCGACTGGAAAAGGGAAAGTGTCATACGCTGCCCATCGCAGGTGACGACGATTGGATAGCGCGTTCTTCTCTGAGCGTGTCTCAAGTATCGATCACACCGGTTGGTTAGTCTCGACTCTCGTAATGCATCCGTGGAAAGGATGAGTCCTCTTGCTTCCTTGATGACACCCAATCAAGGGAATTGATGGGCAGAGGTCCGATGCGTTGGACCCTGCGAACGCCGGAGACTTTGGTGTCCTCAGAAGACAGAATCAAACATGGGACATCGTTGTTTGCTCGAACAAATCCCGGTCACCTCGCCGCGCAAGCCCGCCACTTGAGCTGAAGACACGCATGAGATGGTTTTCGATAGGCCGTTCCAGGAATCGCAAAGGCAGCCGATAGGATTACCTCAATAATATTGCCGGCTCAACCAGACGCTGCACTGACTGCACTGAATGCACTCAAGCTGACTTAACTTGGTAGTTGGTACGTATAAACTGGCGATCCTGATCTTGGCCGACTGCATTGACCAACGATCATCAAAGTGCGATTGCGCTAGCAGCACTAGGCCGTGTGCGTCAGAGCGCTTCGTGTGAGCAGCTGCCGCAGGCGACACGTCTCATTGACTCCCATTGATGGCTTGTCCTGAACGGGGATGATTTGGCTCGAGCGATGGAGAACAATGCCCATTGGGTTCGCTCCCTGTTTGCTAAATATTGCGTTCTCACTGGTCCAGAGCAACTGCCAAGTTGTTTTTTGTTTTTAATCAGGGGTCTTCCTTGTGTCACCAGCCAGTCAAAATCACCCAACTCCTTGGACCTGCATTGGAGGGTTTTGGGGGGGATTTGGGGGGTTCAGGGCCACGGTTCCTGTGAAGCCACGAAGATGAACAGTGGCTCCTTCACGGGCTTCTGATTCTGAGGTGTCAACATGACGTGCTGGGCGCTGTCAGCGAGTCCATCGTGTGGACAATAGAGGCAAGGCGAGAGCAAGTCATTTCGCGAGCCAATAGTCCAATGCACGAAATAGTGCGGTGAGGAAAGTATAAATGTTTTAGAGATAGATAGACAATAATACGCAGTGTCATGACGAGGATATTATTATTAATTCTGCGAGGGGGCCCGCGAGCTACGATAAGTGTGACACTCGTCCCCAAACCGGGAATTGTGACAACTCATATTAAGCTTTTCTGGCATTTGGAGTCGCAAGCCCAGTAAACCGAAGGCTCACCTGATAAGTGCATGCGTATCGAGGCCGACTTTGAGATGAGACACTGCGAATTCATTCCGAGTCGCACAGGGAGTCCAATGCAGCATATCGCAAAGTGTGGACAGCTGAAACCAAGGCACGGCGAAATCCCATACCCGCTGCACGCTGGTGAATGGCGTGCGTTCGCGAGCAGGCCTGGATTCCTTGGATCTGATTCTGTGTTGCAGAAGCACCGAGATGGAGGTTCGAGAACCGTGGAGAGGATGGAGCTGCCAGGTGGTCTTGCGGCCTTATGGATGACCTGATTGGCTCCGGGACTCTGGGTCACGTGAACATTGCTGCAATCTGGCCGTCGTCATTCATGATTCGAGCGGTCCGACAGCTCCAAACAAACCCCCTAAACCTGCCAAAACCATAACAACCGCGCGTCTTTCTCTCGACCCAAGTGCATCATGTCTGCCTTCTCCTCGTCATCGCTGCGATCTTTTCAGCGCGCTGCTCCTCGCGCTGCTACACCCGCGCGCACATTCACCACTTCGCCCGCGCGGTCTATCGCCCGCATGAACATCACCGGTCGTCTCGGTGCCAATCCAGAGTTAAGCACTTCGCAAAATGGCCAGGAATATGTGAAATACTCAGTGGGAACAACGAACCCCACTCGAGATGGCCAGACAAGCTGGTTTCGCGTTGCGGCCTTCGTGACGGATGCCCAAAGGGAGTTCCTTTTGCAGGTGCCAAAGGGGTAAGTGCCTATATTGCGGTGGTGATATTGTACAATGTGCGCTTGCTAATTTCCTGTGTGTAGCTCCCTCGTATCTGTCGATGCCACGGCAGCCAACAGCAAGTATACCGATGATAATGGGAAAGACCACTACGCCCTCAGACTCGTACAACGTAAGCTATTTCTTCTTTTCGCTCCTCCCCTTGTGCGAAATCTTGAATCGGTGTATATCTATCTTTTCGGGTATGGCTAACCCATCTTTTCTTCCTAGGCCACTTCGAAATGCTTTCGCGCTCCCAGGGTGCCAAAGCCGACGCGGGTCAATCGGAGTAAGCTCTTCTCAACATAAGCGTGTCTAGATACGACCCCAGTCAACACTTCCATGCGGCGGCTTGGCTTGGTTAATACCCTATTCCCTGATCCAAGTGTGGCTCGAGTCGTAGCGGAATTGAAGATTCTGTGATATCCGACTATTTTCATATGTCATTATGGCGTTCATTCAGAACCCTTGTATTCTTTACCAGTGTTTGGCACTCCCATATCCACAATATATTACATCCTATCGAATACTATTTCATTAAAAAAATTTCCCATACTCGCGTCCGAAGTTTCTGACCATAACATCAAACTCTCCGATTGGACATGCATCACCAACCGGCTGATCCTTCCAGAGAGGACAAGGATCCCCGGGAGATTTCCTACCCGGAGTAACCTTTTAAGAACCCGGTTTGACCTGTAGGGTATCTAGATTTATTAACACGGCTGAACACTTACGTCTTAGACTCTCGGAGAGTTGGCGAGCGGCTAGTAAGTACTTCAGTAGCTCACGAGCCACCCCAGTCAGAAGCTTACCGACGCCAATTGGGTCGCGATTCCAGACACAAACGTTCGGGCATTCATTCTCCGGTCTGGGGGCCAGCTCAGTTTGTATGTAGGGTTGGGTGTTTTAAGAGATACGGCGTGGAGTTGGTACGGTGTAAGTTCGGGAATACTTAAATTAAACTAGGTTCAGCCATTATGGGGTAAAGGTAAAGAGGAAGAAGGTTTGTATTAAATTACACGCATGTATATATCCATGAGAGGATGGGAATTCGAAAACACAACTAGAAAGAACTGAAGTACATAGTGTACCGGGGTATAATGACTATTGCATATAGAGAAGAAGACGACGAAGAGGAAGTGAAAATGAAAACAGAAAAGTATAAGATATAGGCGAAGTAGGGAAGGTAGAAAGAGAACCTAACCTAGGTACTAGGGCCATTTCTTCTTCCCCCCGCTGGATTATTGGTTCATATCTGCATTTCCCTCTCTTGTCTGATGACTTGCTTGACCCTAATCAAGTCTGCCCGCGGCGGCATAAGCTCGATATCCATACTGTCGCGGCTCATGGTAGTACTAGTTCCAGCCCAAGCGTTGGTTGAGATTGTGTTCGAGGGGATGAGCAGGTGCAGAGCTGGGCGCATCGCCTCTCGACGGGCAGGGAATGAACGGCTGAACCAGGAGAGATGGGTCTTCAGCCATCCCTTCTTAGGGGATTGACCAGAAGATGCAGAAGCGGAGGGTGAGGCTCCCTTCTCGAGATCGTTGTAGTCCTGGTCGGATATTCTTGATGCGTGGTATAAGTCTTGTCTTTGGGTTGGTTAGCATATGGGTACATTGCATTGGTATGAGATGGACGCCACTCACCGAGCCTTTTTATTCTTGTTCCCGGAAATTAGCTGGGCTCGGCTGCCGGTAGATCCTGAAGCCTCTCGCGGAAAGCTTCCGGTCGAAGAAGTCTGTATAGGGTTGAAGCAGCGATCCAGGCCGAAGGGTCGGAGGACCGCGCGGTAAAGCCGGGATGCATCCTTTCCACATCCGAAGAAGATAAATGTCATGAACCCCGCCGCAATTGGAGTCCAACGGTCGTAGAACACCTTGCCCTGGGTTGGAACCTTAGTTATCTGACTCCACAGGTGACCATCGCCGTGGAGGTTGGAGAACGAGAAAGCATGCCACGGCAATGATGCCTCTATTTGCACGTAAACCACGTAAGCCTGGACCGGGGTGATGGCTAAAACCATGATGAAGGAGAGGAAGAATAGTCGTAAGAACCTCGACTTGCTCAGCCCGGAATGCGCTGCGCGGATTATTTCATTGAACTGGTTTCGATACCGCCTGAGACGCAATAGCACAAGACCTGGGCAAAGTTAGGAAATAACCCTGGCATTAAGAGTCGGGGCCATACTCACCACAGTAATAACTTGCAATAAGGCAAATGAGAAACGGCCAGATGTAACCCAGTGCGAGGCTGACCCAGCTTTCGTCGAGGCCACTGACACAGCCAGATATCGCAAAGATAAAGTATCGGTTGCCTTGGTATACTAGATGCAGGAGCGCAGCAACGATAGGAATGATCACGCAGAACATGGTTTCCATGGCACGGTTTCTCCAGCGCTGGTGTTTGTTCGGGACAAGAGTCGTTCTGCTGGTGTCCAGCACAGAGGCGAGACTCCGGAAGATGCAAACCAGACACCCAGGAACAGCAACGTATGAAGCCACCAGGAGCTTCACTTGAATATCACAAAGGCCAACACCATCCCACCAGTTGTCAACATCATCCGTGGGCCAAATGAAAGCATTTATGATGTTGAAAAGGTTGAGGAGAATATACCATCCCACGAGGGAGGCAGCCGGGAAGTTCCTGTTCTTCCAATGCAAAGCTAGGGGTGGTACACTGGCCAGAATAGAGAGGGCAGAGAGGGTCTGCATAACCACGGCCTCAGTAGAGCGATGCATGGAGGTTGAGCCCGTTGAGCTCATGTTGGAGGCCGAGTATAGACTTGGAAAGATGAAGCCAGAGGATAATGTGAAAACCAAGTTCTGGCGCGATGTTTGCTTCCCAGATAGAATCCAGCTTCAGGAGGAAGATGGAGGCAGGTTAAGAACGAGACACGATGAGCCAGCAACATCCTGTTAGGAGGAGATGGGAGACATAGCTAGGGGAAGTCGAATAGAATAGCAAATGACTCCGAGACAGAGTTGTCGAGAATAACTGTGTTTTCTCAATAAGTTGAGTCAATCACCTATGGCCTGACACTTTCAAGTCCAGAAATAATGGCAACGGGGGAGGCGGGTAGTGTTATACGCGCTCGAAAACGACCTGGGGCTGCAGACAGTGGGTTTGTCTCAGTCGATCAGACCCTGTAGCTCTCGCACATCATCGACAAGAGCTCTTTGATGAATAAAGAAGTCGCAGTGTTGCAGGGGGGCGTGGTAGTGCCGGCGAGCGAGTAGACCCATATACTTCCTAATTTGGGTGTCAATAGATCCAGATGCTCAATTGAAAGGTTTGGAACAGTGTCACCACTCTTGAACCCTCGACTCGCCCGGGCTGCCGTTTATCTTCACTGAATTCATGCTCATCTGATGCCCCTCCCCCTAGACGGGATTGGAACATCCGGCGGTCGGATTACATTCCACAAGCAAGAGCCCGATGCCTGTAGGCTGCAGGCTGGTTTCACGAGGCGACATCACGTTGCGTCTGGTATTCCGTGTTACTGGCCCGGATCCGCTTGCCATGACCCTTCAACGAGACACGCCTTGCTTTCGGACCATCTTCATCCATTCTGTCTATTGGGGCGCGACGCTACAGTGTAGAGTAGGAGACAGTGTGTTCAGCGGGTGACCGATCCGGCGCGTTGCAGGCGGTTTGCATGCGAGCTGCAAGGACTGGGACGGGTGGAAATTTGGAAGCCTCCCCAGTTGTTCCAGCAACCGAGTCGGGTCAAACAATGAAGCTGACATCCAGGTGCTTTGGGTCAAGGACGAGGGAGAGTGACAGCCAAGCAGCGCTGCAGATCGTCATCGTGACTCAAACCGGTTAGTCCACGCTGTCTCTGGCTCTCCCCACGAACTGTGGAGCTGAGCTGCCACGATCTGGTCCTCGGCCCTCAAGTTCCAGATTACTTCATAATCTCGTCCCTCTGCTCCCCGCCTTGATCTCGGGACTAAAACCATGGGTGCCTCTCTCTCTTTGTTCGCCTCCTAACACTCGCCTATGTCGACCTCCCCAAGCCCCATGAGCCTCCGCCATCGCGGCCTGGCCCGCGCTGCAACCATCGCCGAGGCACCCGAGCCCCAGCGCCGCAACTCGACTCTATCAGATTCTGTGTCCGAGGCCCGGAATACCATCCGCTCATCGACTGACGATCTATTCTTTCCCCGCGCTGCCAGATACCACGATGACGAATCTCCCGATGAAGAATCGCACTGGCAGTCCGCGCCGCTGGGCCTCGCGCTCCTTCCCGCCATCGCCGGCATCTTCTTTCAGAACGGGAGTGCGGTGGTCACTGACGTTACATTGTTAATTTTGGCGGCTGTTTTTCTGAACTGGTCCGTCAGGCTACCATGGTAAGTAGTTACAACCTTATATAATCCCAACTCTGTATCTAATGCGACATAGGGAGTGGTATCACTCGGCGCGAACACAAGTCCGTCAGCATGAGAGCCTATATGACCTCGAACCTCCATCGGGCCTAGACGCGACCGTGCCAGAGCCTACACAAGATACCCTTGAAGATGGATCAGACGCCGGTGAAGGCCCCAGAAGAGAACAGCGAACAACCAGCGTCAGCACCACAGCTATCAAAGAGCTTCATATCCACGAACTCGCCGCCCTCGCGTCTTGCTTCATCTTCCCTCTAATAGGTACATGGGTGCTTCACACAATCCGCGCCAAACTTTCCCGTCCCTCCGAAGGCCTCGTCTCAAACTACAACCTAACCATCTTCCTCCTGGCCGCCGAGATCCGACCATTTAAACACCTTCTAAGAATGGTCCAAACCCGAACTCTGCACCTCCAACGTGTCATCGCCTCATCGGAGGACGACGACAGAGACAGAATAGATGCAAGCGAGGTCCACGACCTCTCTAAGCGCCTCGAAGAACTAGAAGCCCACGTCGCCGAAACAGCAGCCTCCCGTCTTGCATCAAACAACAACAACCACAACAACAACAACGGTAACAACGGTAACAGCAACACCGATGAACCCCGCGAACTCACGCCGCAGGAACAAGAGTACACCCTCTCCCTCGTATCCCAGGCTACCGCCGAATACCGCAAGGGCTTCCAAACAGATATCGACGCCCTCAACCGCGCCGTGCGCCGCCACGAGAAACGCACCGCAGTCTCAGCCTACCAAACTGAGTCCCGACTACAACTCCTCGAGGCGAAAGCTCGCGACGCGCTTTCCATTGCGGCGGCCGCACAGCGCTCATCTGCGCAACAGCCTAAGAGTATAATTGCTGTAATCCTAGATTGGATCTCCACGGCCGTTCTATTCCCGGTTCATATTGGCATTTCGTTGGCGAGTTTACCGCTTCTTCTAGCCAAGCGTGGCGCTCTCGTTTGTAAGGATATGGTTCTGGGTAAAACACCCACGAAGAAGTCACCTGGTAATGCTGGAGGTGGCCGTGGTAGTGGCAGGACAAGCAAGGGCAAAGCCCCTCAGTCGCGCAAATCAGTATTATCGCAGCAGAGGCGGGCGAAACGGGAGTCTATCATAGAAGAGTGATTTTCGATTTGGGTTGTATTATTTGAGCGCGTTTATATCCCGGGCTTTATGAGCGTCGAGCTCTTTTTTTTTTAGTTTCCGACGTTACATTGTATATGGTCATTTGGAATATGTATGTACTACGAGATATCTGGGACTATGTTCCAATGTAGCTATCAAGTCATGGTATACCAGCATCATTCATCTATCATTGTATTAACGTAATTGTTGGTCAATATGTATGACTATATATATAGCTTTCAAAAGGTGCAAAACAGCCCGTTCGAACACCAAAAGGAAGTCGCCACTATCATTAGCTGGCCCAGTTGAAGTGGCCCCAAAGAGGGCAACAGTCGGTGTATAATATATGGATCTCCTCTCATCTATTAAAGAGTACAAAACAGAGAGCCTCCCAAGATATCATGATGTAAAAAGAAATTAAAGATAAAACTCACAATGCCCCACCTGAAGGACCATGGTAGTCCACTCCGATGGGCTTCAGAAATGGTTCAATAATGCTGCGTTTCCTTTCTTCCTGGACTCGCTTCTCTTTATCCTTCGAGGGGGCAGGAACATCAGAAGATATGAGCACAGTGGAGAAGAAGCCAGCCAGAGCGCTCTCGACGGTCAGTCGTCGCTGAGCCATTGCGGTCATTGCCGTGTCTTGTGGAATAGGTGGTGTAGAAAACGTTGGTTTTCGCCGGAAGCTACCAGTTGAAATGAATGACGCTCGGGATACCGGGGAGCGGGTTGATGGTTGATCATCTTTTGTTTGGTCCGTATTAGATTCCGCGTTCTCTTTAGGTGCCGGTTCTTTAAGACCACGAAGAGGCTTGGTAGGCACAGGTGCAATTTCGTTGGCAATCCGCGCGAGCATAAAGGTCACAAAGGTGAAGGAGACACTGTGGGCTGGGGACCAGGCAAGGCTCTCAAGTACCCAAGCCTGTGAGTCCTCCCAGGAAAGGGGAGGCTGCTTCGCCTTCTCCCGCGCCTGGATTTGTTGATCCAAATTTTGTAAGACAGGAGCTGGAATTATCCCGTCTTTCAACGAGCGCAGGAACGCAACAAGAATCTCGCCTAGGATTTCGAGACGAATCAACGAAGACACCTCAGGGGCGAAAATCTGGCTAAAAGCTTGGTTGGTGTCCAAGGCTTCTCGAGCTAGGGCTAAGAGATGCGCGCGCCCTTCCTTGTCTTTGAGCGTCCACGTTTCAGGTTTAAAGGGCCAGGTAGAACCATGTGGTTCCCTCTCCCACGGCGCCTTGTCGTTGGATTCCCCTTTCACCATGCCCCATTCCGCAACTGCCCGTTCTGCAAGCTCTGAGATTGCCTCTGTTAGCTTGAAAAGCTCTCTGGGAGCTGATATCGGAACTGCTGATTGGTCTTCGCTGCTCTTTATTGATGAAGAGGAAGTCAGACTCCGTGCACCAGCCTCGGGCATCCGAGTAAGCTCCTCCAGGCTACGGCCAAAAGCCGTGGGCATCCACCTCCCATATGCAGAGATAAAATGGTCTCTACCATCCTTCACCCTAAGAACCAGAACTTCTTCAAGCTTCACTTGGGCATCATTAAGCAGGCGGACAAATGGGATGTCTCGCACGCAGATCGTGATTTCAATAACAGCGAGCTCCCCGGGCAAAAGTGTACATTCGTTTGCAGACGTTTGTTGGCCTTCATCGCCAGGTGGCTCATGGTGTTGCTTCGCAACTTTGTATTCCAAACACGGTGTCCCGGAATCCTCGGCACGCTCTGGTTTTTGAAAAGAAAAGGTTGCAGATACACCACTGGTGTTGGCAACAGTCAAAGATCGGCTGACGGGGTCTTCGAAAGATATATCTCCAAAATCTACAGAATTCGGATCCATGTCTGAGCGGGACGGCTCATGAGTGGGATTGTCCACTACGATTGTCAGGCCGGGTCGTGACTCATTTTCGGCTTTGTCTAGCTCCCGTACAACTTCTTGGTGCACTTGGGCTTTGAGCCTTGGTTCCACACAGTTCAATTCCAATATAAACCCAGCGACAAGAGGTTTGTGATCTGAGGAGAGGACACCTTGATGCGACCTATAATACTCTAGTCGTATAGAGTCGTCCGCCTCTGGTGATGAATTAGGTGAAGCATTTTCATTGGCCTGGTCTTCGTTTGGATCATATTCATCGCCGCTATCCGCACCATCGGCGTCGGGGTCGTAGTCGAACAAAACGTTGTCATCGGCCGCAGCGCTTTCGAGCCCTCTCGCTTTCATCTCTTCGTCTCTTTTTCTAGCCTCAGTGGCTTCCTTAACCAGGCGCTCATACCTTAATCTGTCCCTGCGCGATCTGTAAAGAATGCGGTCACACCAACTAGGCCCTCTATGCTTCTCACTCGAGTCAAATCTCGCCATGCTGCCAATATCATATTTGTAGGTAGGTAAGAACGAAATTTGGCCCTCGCGCCAGCCCTCATGGAAGGCTTTCTCTTTGTTTTGTTGTATGCGCAACTGGTCATGGGGGAACAATGATGATATTGTTGTTTGAAGAGAGGCTGGATCTTGGTGAGGGTCCAAGTCTTCATCAGAGTCGACCGACTGTGTCTCGCTTGGGGTGATATCTGAAACGGGTGACTGCCGCCCTGCGTCCCCGCCAACGACTACACGCGGTGAAGACGGCGTACCATTTACCTCCAGTAAAACTCCATGCCTTTTATCGTACTCGTTTTCCGTATGCCGAGCAAGGACTTGTCGGACATCATCACCAGGAATATCCTCAAGACGATAATTTAGATCCCCAAACCAGAATGCGTAATCCTCGTCTCCAATACTTTCGGAAGGCGTATTTCGAAGCGTATATTCAGGATCGATCGAATCGAACTTTGTACGCCCAACAATCTGCGAGGCATCCCAATTTCGTCGATCTAAGCTGGTTTTGTCCGACCCCGCCGCCAGATGGCAGTTGACGAATACTATGGAGGTAGTCTCACCGAGAAGCAGACGGGTCACCACGGCACCTTTATTACCTACGTACCCAAGCAGGCCCGTACCTACACTGGAACAGCTGACGGCAGACACGCTATCGGCAATGGACGGAGCGGCATAAATCAGTTGCAGCAATCCAATCAGCTGAATTTCTGCCACCAGTTTATAGCCTGCAGGAAGAGAATCCTCAAGAGCCGCCTTCCAGCGGTTTGCCGGAGCGGGATCCACATATGGTCTCAAGGCTTCTGCGGGCGATGAGACATCAACGATTTCTTGTAGTCCTAGGACATACAGGCCAACCTCGTCTGGTGGGATCTCAGAAAGCGAACGAGTACCTCCGGAGCCCGTGTCTTTAGACGTCGATTCTGCCTGGGATCCCGGCCCACACACACCCTTTTGTTGAACAAACCACTTCCCAATGTCTTTTTCCGTGCCAGAAACGGCAGCCACATTCCAGGTGCCAACCTTCACATGGAGGGTTCGATGGCGGGTATACTCATCCCTTCGTGCTTTGACGGCGTTGAGAAGGGAGGATGGGTCGGAAGCGGTATCTGCGGATTCCCCGAGGTTATCGTTATCAGAGGGGTATTCCTTAGCCCCAGGGTCGGAATACTGCTCGTCGTGGGCTGCCATATTCACAAAGCACTCTTTATTGTGGTGTGAGAGAGGTGCTCATCCCTCGCGGAACCGCTCACGTTGTGTGTATATAAGGTCTCGTCTTTCGCGCTTTACCCGGGCAGGCTCAAGAGCTCGTATAGAATGTGGGGGCAGTGCTGGCACGCGGAACGGAGGCAAGACGTAAACAGGAGCGGAGCGAGGCGTGACTGTCAGGCATCACGAGCTAACTTGGGGTGAATCTGAGGATCAATTAAGAGCCAATGAATTGGCCAGGCATCACGCGCAGTATACTAGCGGAAGGTCTAACGAGAGATATGTATAGCAAATCAGCCGAGGAGCTTCGGGAACAAGTGGTGATGAAGGAGGCGCAATTGGGTGTCGATAACCAGAAGTCTAGATGCTGCCATCCACAAGCAACTGGATACGGGGATGACAAGGAAACCTGAGAGGCGCAAATCAAGCCGGAAGGAGTCGAGGAACCGGAGGAACAGTGATGACCGCAAGAGGGGAACTACACTTGCGCCGTCGGGGCTGGCTGACCGCCTTCCGCAAAGGGAGACAGTCGGAGCTTCACTCGATGCGTTGTTGCTTGACTCTCGCATACTGCTTTCTCCCCCGCCCCTGCCATTTATCCCAGCTTGCTCGGTCTCGACTTTAATTTACATGCTACGATAACATAAAACTGCGATCTTCACCATGGCGTCACGCAGGGCTCGTCGACCAAACAACAACAACAACAACAACCAGAACCAGAACCAGAACAGCGGTCATCACAATCACCAGAGCACCCAGGGGTACTTTCAAGGTCCGGGCTACGATTCAGACTGTCAGGCTTACCTCTCCGACCCGCAGCAACTGCTCGAACAGCAGAATCAAAGCATGGCCTTGGCTCCTCCGCGCACAAATGAGGAGCTGAACCTTTCCGTCTTACAGAGCCACAACCCCGCAGTGAAGTCGATTCAATCCATTGCGCCGTTTGCGGTCGTTTACACATTCAGTCCATCTACACGACAATGGGAGAAGACCGGGGTTGAGGGCACTCTCTTTGTTTGCCAGCTAGTTGCGGGAAATCTCGGGGAAGAGCGATACAGTGTGTTCGTGCTAAACCGACGTGGGCTGAACAACTTTGATCTTCCGTTGACGGACAGCGAGAACGTGGAGATCACAGAAGAATACATCATTCTCAAGTCTGATACCAACCCTGAACCAGATACCTCCAGAGCGAGTAGCCACCTTCGCATCTATGGCCTTTGGGTCTTTTCCGAACCCCCTCCAAGCTCCACGTCAGAAACACGGAACATCAACGCCCAAGTCATTCGGGAATGTGCTTCTATTGCTGGTCAAAGTCTGAAGTTAGCACGCGATCGACTTGAAGCTGCGCGCCAGAACGGCCTACATGCCGCTGTAACAGCTGCTTCGAGCACCGCGGATCCATTGGATGAGATGCAAGCCAGTGTTCCGATGGGCCGCCAAATTTCCCTCCGGGATTTGTTTGGCCAGGAAAGGGCACAAGACGATGCATGGAGTGTGAGGGCGCATAGCCAACCCGCACAGGGGCAGGCCCCTGGGTTAGACGGGGCCCCTATTGAACCAAACCTCCAACAACCGGATGTCTTGGGGGATCTCTTTCGGAGAAGCGGACTAGCGTATCGGACCGGGCCAAACTCGTGATTAGCCAGCTTCCCCGAAGCATCACGATTATAGACGACCATGAACATGCTTTGATCCCGAAAGGCAGCACTCGACTATAAGCAATTAGTCGTGGGTGTCACTATTTCGCGCAACCGGTGACCTACGTCTATAATCCATCTATTTCCTTGATAATGGGGTTATGTGCAGTCCCCGCGTCCCATATCACTGGTTATTGGGCATATATAGAAGGGCCAGGCGTGGTCAGTAATTCACCAGCTAAAGATCCCAAATCAGGATGATGCCCACTATAAAAGCAGCTGTTCATGACGAGAAATCCAACCTCGGGCCTCTCCGCCTCATTGCCGCTATCAATGGGAGCGTCTACCATCTCTGAACGCATTAATGAAGATTCCCTCTATTATCAACGCCATCTAATCTGTATTGTCGTCTATCAGCGCTTCCCCGTCTAAAAATTATCCGATTAGCATCCATCATACTCTAGTATTTCTTGAACCATATCAGCAACTTTATTGGCCATAGTCTCATTGTGTCCTATAACCATAGCAAGTCAGTAACAAACATATCAAAGAGCCATCAGGAATAATCATCGGAAACCATACTCAAACAAAACGCATGCGGCAGGGACTCCTCGCAAACAATCATCCTAGGCCCATTCTGCATTGTTCCCCGCGCCGCAATGATTTCCTCCCTCGTCTGCTCCGCAACCCAGTGGTCGTTTCGGCCAAAGTAGAAGAATAACCGCGTTAGTAATTGCTCCTGCGGCCGAGAGCCTTCTTTAGCTTTAGATACTCCCCAGACATCATCACTCCATTTATCTGTGGTGATGGTGCGCATCTCGTCCGCACCCATATGTCTTCCCCACCATGTACATTAGCAACAATGTATATATACATAATGCAGTGGGGGTTGGGTAAGGCACGAGTAGGATAGGGGGAAAGATGGAGTGTGAAGCACTTACAAAGCTTGCCGCACGCCTCGTTTACTCTTGAGAAACGCTGTAGTTGCATCTATAGCTGTCTCAGGCGGAGACCGCATCACGGACCGAACTGCAGCCCGGATAATAGAGTTGGGGAGGATAGACGTTAGTAGTCGAGAGAACAGCGACACGAGTAGTGCCAGTTGCGGGATAAAGCGGAGGAGGAACTAAATATTGGTTAGCACGCCCGTCATGTATGGTATTGATATATATAGAATATTCAATCGTATCAGAACTAGGAGTGTTATGAAACAAGAACAAGGAGGTATCTACAAATACATACCGTTAACTTCTGCCCGGCCGGCGAACCCGCAATGTCTATTACAGTGGGGAAGAGCATGATTCCGCCCACGATGTCGAAACCGGCAGCAGTTGCTTGGTTCTCGCGATGTCGTCGTAGAACTTCCATCGCGATATAAGTCCCCACCGAGTGGCCCATGAGAATCACTCTCGGTCTTTGGCTCGGCACATCTGTATCACTAGCACTAGGACTAGAATTGGCGGACTCTGTGCGCAGAGCAGCCATGTGCGCCTCTAGACGTGCCTGCACAAACCGAATCTGGTCTTCGACATTGTAGTAATAGCCGTTGCTCGTTCCTGGTGGTTGTTTGGTCTTTGCTTTTTCGGTTCTGCTGTTGGTTTTGAATGATGATGGTGCGGGCTCCAGCTCGAACCCAGCAAGGCTGTGCCCAAAGACGTGAAAGGAGTCCTGGCCTGGGGATGATGCTGATGTTAAGTTCTTGCTTAGCAGGGAAAGGAATGGGTGGTAATAGGAGATCAGTCCTGGGTTGCCGGATATGAAGTAGATGGTTGTGGGACATGAGGGGGAGGAGGGTGCACAGGTCGGTGGGGATGTTTTGTGGAAGAAACTATCTGGGCCTATATGCGGTTTGGGGAGTGACATTTTTGATAGGAAAAAGGGATGGATTGAAGCATGTAAATGTATGTGTAAAAGTCGAGATGGAAGCATGTCTGCGTGGATGATGAGACCGGCCGGTGAAGAGAGCCAAGAGATCTGGACCTGAGCACATGCGCAGATTCACTGCTGCCGAAGTCCCAGTAACCTACTAGCCCTACAAGTATCAACAGAGAGCAGATATTTATGGAATAAATAAGTCTAATTGCATTTTGTTTTTGTTTTTGTTTTTTTTTTTTTTCTCTTTTCAAGATCTTCGTCTGCCTGTATGTAAATCCCAAGTTCTACATCTGAATCATTGCCCAATCCTGGTCCCGCATGAATCTTAGCAAGGCGCAAATTGTATCAGTGCCAACATGATAAAGCACAGCTGTAAACAAGAAAAAGAAAATAAAAAGCATGACAAGAACAATGTATAAGTTGAACCCACTCGCCTGGCTCCCTGCTATGATGGTATATTGACAATGATAATGATGACAACAATCATGCCGGTTAGAAACTGATAAAATCCACAGCCAGCAATACAAGAACATGTCCAGTTGGTACAGAGCAAAAATCAAGAGAAAAAGTAGCATGCGCAGGTGATGTCATAGCAGGCTCGCAGACAGTTCTTTTTTTGTTTTCTTGGGAGACGTCGACGGGATCGATTATCCCACTGTTTCGTCCAGATGCGATTGCACCTGATGGCGAACGAGCAGGATTCATCCAACGAAAACCAGGCATTTTGTGACGGGTTTTCGGTGACCCCAGTGCCACAAGCCGCAGGACGTTGACCGCGTTAACCATAACATCAAGGGCACAAATAACAATGCAATTGCGCGATCCACGCGAGTAGCCCACGAACCGATTTGCAAACCAAATATGCCCATTGTTGAAGCCCACCCATTCTGACCTTGCAACGCCGATAATGAGCATCAAATAACCGAGCACAATTGGATGACGAAATTTTGGCATGCAGCAAAAGGAAAGGTGACATATATTTCCATAATGAAAAAAATAGAAAAAGAAAAAGAAAAGGTCGGGCAAAAAATCAATTCACCGCAATGTATGGTTTTGGTTTAGGAGGTTGGTTCCTCAATTATACAATGTCCATGACTTCCCCGAGTCGACGAGGTATCGTCGAGTCTCAACTCTGTTGTTAAGTCAAGGTAGCGCAAACTTTGAGCATAGGCTGTACAGGTGCTTTCTGGTTCGCATGTTTTTCGTCGCTATAATAATGGGCCAAGTCAACGGTCCAAAAGCTGTAGAAATTTGGCCGAAGATCAAACGGTGAATTTCAAGCTTGGTTGCCAAAAAGAAAAAAGGCGAAAGCTCATATTGACCGCAAAAGGCTTTGAATATGAATTTTCCGGGTTTGAGAGAGGGTGCCAGAATGCGCAACGTCATTTAACCGCCCTTCCTCATAGACTCATCCACCGGAAGAGGCTCCACACCGTTGTGTATCCCATGTCGGTTATCCGAGTTAAATTTGTTGTTCTTTTTGTTCTTTCTTTTAGTTGTCTGCCAGGCAGTATTGGGGTGGGCGAAACTGGGGTCCTGGGCAGCTGAGACAACACCATTCGATTTTCGTGAGGCACCGCCAGTCCGTTCCTTTTGATCGCCTGCGCCAGTGTTTTGTGATTGCGGCATATCTGAGCGGTTTTTAGGTTTACCCTTATGAGTGAACCCGTTTGTCTTCTCTGGCAGATCAGAGCCATGGTGTCGACGCTTACCATTAGGCGACGCCGTGTGAGACTCTGTAGCCATCGCAAAGCTTGAAAATGATTGGCCTTTATCAGCCGTATTGGCACTCTTCTGGCGTGGAGCTTCTCTTTCGGCAAAATCACGGTGTGATTGGGACTCTTTCGATTTTTCCTGCGCGGGCTTTGATGGTGATTCAGCAAACTTCTCGCCATTTGAAACGTGGAGACCCTGGAGTCGGCTTGAGAGTAAGCCAGGCTTGCCACTTTGCCCATTATGGAAAACGTCCGGGGAGGTACTCATTGTATTTGAGTCCACCGCCTGGCGGCTGAAGAATGGATTCGAGTCAATTTCTACCGAGCTACTGTCCTGGAAATCCTGAGAGAACGAGTCCGACACACTAGCAGGGGTATCGGTATTCTGGTCATCAGAATTTGATTGACAGTGGGACATCAGGCCATAGGGGTCATAGTTTTCAGCCGGAATCGAAATTCGTTGCTCACTTGGCGGCACCGACCCATCCACAATTAATGGGCCACCACGATCGCTCGAGGCAGCCGTTCGCGCGCCCGTCCTTTGCTGCCCTTGGCCAGATTTGGGAGATGAAAGAGACCCATTGTCAAACGACTGGCCATAGGCTTCACCTCCGGTAGCAGCCGACATGTACTCTTGTGGGTTTCCATAGAAGGGTATAATGCTACCGTTAGGCAATGCTAGCCCGAGGGAAGATGGCAAGGGCGAGAGCATAGCGTTTTGGTGGTAGGCATGGAGTTGTGGCGAGCTGCCTAGGTAGTATCCCATATGATCATTCGACCGACCGTCTTCCATGAATAACGTGCGGTTTGGCAGACTATTGGACATAGATGCACCATCTTCACTTTGCGAGTCATCGGGGGAACCGGGAGTGTTTCGCTGCTTCGAAGATTGAGAATTGTTTGTTGATTGGGAGATCGAATATAAGGGAGCGAAGCTTGGAAGGGAATTGACAGGACGGGCGGGCTGGGATTGAGCTCTCGTAGAACCTCCGGGAGAGCCGTTGGCAACCGAGGATCGACGTGGGCTACGGCGAAGGTCAGGTATTGTGGCAGTAGCGGAAGGCGATGGCGGGTTTGTACTGCTTCCTGGTCCTCCAGGAACTGTAACTGGTAGATAGGCGGAGTTATAATACACGTTTTGTCGGCCCGGTACGCTGATAGGCTGCTGCTGGTTTACTGTACTGGACCGTGAACCGGATCTTGACCGCGAGCCGTCATCGCCAGAAGTCTCCTGGGCGGGGACTGGAAATTGGATGAAGGGCTGACGAATAAGCACAGGCGGTGGCCGTCCCGTAAGCAACGCCTGATTTTGCAACTGCAATCGCAGCTCTTGCTCTTGCGCTTGAAGAATCTGTATCTGCTGATACAGGTGGTCGTGGAGCAGATACTGGGCATGCTGTGCTTGAAGAGAGAGTTCCGACGCACTGATTCCACCGTTGGGCTGGCGAAAATGATTCTTGTTGCCAGTGTTAGAACTTCGACGGCCACCACTATGTCCACCACGATTGTATTGATTCTGGTGTCGCCCGCCGCGACCACCGCCGCGACCACCCCGAGAGGAACTCGGTGGTGGAGCAGTCACAACTGGCCGTGGCTGGGGGGGTGGCCTCTCCCATGAGCGCTCGGTCTCAGGGGGGTACTCGTATTTCTGACAGCAATCCTCAAAGCTACCATCTGAAAGGCACTTGAATGCCCTGCGCAGCTCCATGTGAACACCTCTGAATGATGTATCATCAGCGGTGTTTCCCAAATTTCGTATCGTGTTGAAAGGCTCCTCGACACAAAGGCGATTATTTTGCAAAAGGTGCCAGCCCTTGCCCTCCTTGGATATTAATCTTCCCTCCCGCACCGAGATGACGTATTTCTCGTAATCTAGTTCGTGGCCATAGTAGCGGAAAAATTGGAAGAAAAGTTCCCCTAGCGACTGTTTATTTTGGTTTCCGTATCCCACCAAGGCATCCAAATCATCGTCAAACGAACAGACCAATCCGTCGGCAGTCAGTCTCTTCTTATGTGGTCGAGTCTGGAGGCTAGGTAGAATCGGAGGATCTCGAGTTTGGAGGAAATTGATGATCAAACAAATCCACGTGTAGGAACTCAACGTGCCACCGAGACCTTCAAGTGAATGAATGGTCAGTACTATGAACTGCGACCAATCCAGCGCATAGAGGGAATAAACATACCAGCGTCGTTAAGTATCCTGCGCTTTGTCCAATGCTTGACAATCATCGCCAAGGGTCGTACTCGTTCATCAATCTCCACATAAGTTCGGACCATCCGTGTGTTCTCCAACGCCAATGTATTGTTAACATTCATATCGCAAGCCAGGCGTAGCTCGGGATCCCATATTTTCACGATCGGAACCTTTGCATGGGAGATACAAACGACTCGCTCCATCCCATCTATAGTAAAAAAAAAATTCTGTCAGTATCAATTCCCAGCGAAGGCCAAGGGAAAGGATGCCTTACTTTTGGCAAGAACATCTGCTAGCAGGCACACATGTTCTAGTTCCTTGCAAGTAGTGGTGATGCAGATGTCAACTGTCCCAGGTTAGCCAAACGATCGCTCCAATAATGTCCAGAAAAAATGCATACCATCCGAGTCGCTCGAGCATAATTTATTCCCGGATGATCCAAAAACGCGAACCTTGATCTCACATCCAGGCCACTGTTGGTTGAAGAGATCCTCCAGCTTGCGGACAAGTCTCCGTCTCCGGCTGTCGCTCTCCTCCGAGGGAAGCAAATTCTTGTATACTTCCAGCATATCCGTAGTGAGTTTATTTTCCTCCTCCGGTCGAAGACGTAGTTTAAGCCCCTCTTTTTCTTCCGGCAGCAAGTCGGCACCCAACGAGTATGGCATCCTCCTCCGAAAAAACGACATGGCGGTCTCATATTTGCATCCCGTAAATGGTTTTCGAGAGGACGGGGGTATGTGCGTCGACTCCGAATGCGTTGACCGGGGCGATGTGCTTCCATGATGAGGTGACGGCGATCTGGAGTGGAAAGAGATTTTCCGGGCATGTTGGTAGGGTGTGGATGGGAGGGAGTTAGACTGTTGAGAGGTTAACGGGGGTCGATTGGACGTCTCTGAAGACTCTTCGTTGCTTATATTCCACGGCATAATCGAAGGATTTTCCGACGCTATCGGTGACTGTTCACCCGGTCTAGACGATAGACTGTCATTCCCATCGGTAGCTGTGACCATATAGCAGCACCCAACGTTGCTCGACAACGTTGGCCTCCTAAAGAAGGGTTCACAGAATAATGCTTTATCAAGTCAGACTCGAGTCCAATTCCGCCAAAAACGTCGTCGGTTCGGCCAAACGTTCGGTTTTCACAAGAGGCTCGCCACAGGCAGTACAAGCAGAGACAGCCAAGTCCTGTGTTCTGATATAGTATATACCGTTCCCAAAAGGGCTAAAAAACAAAACAGCAATGATTCGTGAATAGAGCGGCGTAAAAGAGGAAGTGCGAAGTAGAGGTATCGGCCGGCGATGTTTCAGCAAAATTGTCTTTGTGCTGCGTTACCACCTCTTGCAAAAGAGTGAGAGGCGACAAAGCAGGGCTGCAAGAAATAAATTAGCGATTGCCAAAAAAGACACTCAACAAAGGTATATAATTGCGTTTCAGCGCGAAGAAAGCCGGGCCGGGGGAGTTGGGAAGCTGACTGGGCTGCTTGTCACAACAGAGGTTGGTTTAAGGGGAGTGAGTGCGACAGACTCTGGCGGAACGGCAAATCTCAGAACCACACAACTCCAAACAGAGGGTCAAGAGGGAAGACAGGAGAACGAGGCAAGTCCCCAGATCAAAGGACCAGCCTAATAATTTGAGGAATTGCGGTGGACGTACAGAGATTCTCAGGAACAGGGTATTGGAGTTGTAGTAGGGCAAGTTGTGCAGGTTAGTGAACGGGGAGGGGGCACAGCGCGGAGGGGGGATCAATCAGGGCGATCGGCTGAGAGAGCCAGGGGCCGTCAATCACCCACGCACGGCACTCACGCTCAACTCCACGAGTCAAGTATAAGCTCTGTCGGCCGCAATTGCAGCTGCAAACGCGCGAAAATTAGTGTATGGAGAGGCACGGGAGAAAATAATTATTGGAAAAGGGGATCGGGAGAAAATAACGGCCACAGCTGATGGGTCGGAGCGCTTTGTAAAGAAAGAGGAGGCCAGTCGGTCAACTGTCAGTGGCTATTACTCTGGATCCAGCCCTCAATAATGACGGCCTTAATTATCAGCCCTTGGGTGTCTATTGGTATCTCGAGGGTTATTATTGTTCTCCCGTGGGGGCTAGGTGAGATAATATACTACTACTACTAAAAGGCCCACCGCACTGTGAGGAATAAACAGGTCCTCAAGCTCCTCCAGCATCCTGTTCATTCAGCTGTTTAAGGTAGCATGGTATGTGATGGTGTCTAAACGCTTTGTCTGAGACACATTCACCCGAATATAGACAGAGCCCTATTCGTGGCGGCCTGAGGGTTTTATTGTTTTTTGATGTCTCAGGTTTCATCACCCTGTACGTATAATGAATCCCGGTCGAAGTCGGACCTCGATGGCTTTGGATACAACGCCTCCCAATCCACAAAACATAAATATTCAGCTGGAAATAATACGAAGAAATGTCACCAGCAGCGCAACAAGACCGAAGAGCGAAAGGGGGCGTCAGCGAGACGGCCACACGTGTCCGCTGGGCTGCATTAGGACAGGACACTGGGGCCTTGGAGCTTAACTTGACTCGGGAACGAATAAACGCGGGGGCAAAAGGGGAAGGAAACCCCGTCAATCGTCACTGCGTCTGGCTGTCGGGGCCGTCACTCACAAGGATAGGACGGTGGTAAGCCGTTAAGCCTACTCGTTGGGAAAAGGAAGGAGCGATGGAGCTGAAGCTCAGGGTCAGGGACCGAGCCGTGCTTAAGGGCCTCGAACGCTACCAGGCGCTAGACAGCAACTTCAGGCAGGAGCAACCAGACTTCTCTATGTCAAATTAGAAGGCACGACCGGACGACTCGGGATGAGTTGGTGACTGGACAAGACAATGAGGAAAAGGAGCCCCTGGCTCGGAAGCCCCGTCTCAGTTCCAGTTACGAGGGAACCGTTCGAAACGGATCAGGGATCGCGACGGTTGTTTGAGGACTTGAACCCAATCTGGAAAGCCCCAGGCCAGCATGTATGATTGGGCAATCCTCAGATTATCCGAGATTCCTTCTTCACTTCGCTCGGCGCTTCGCATCTTTTTGTGGTTATGGTTGGCATTGACAGGTCGACGACCAAGACGATGGCCGCAACCTTAAGGCAAATAATATTTAGCGGAGGCCCCTCGTGAGGATCCGACGTAGATCCAGCACGGCGCACTTTTCTTTAACTTGAACTGCCAAACATGGTCACCCACATCCAGCTTCAACACAGCGGCAGTGGCAGTAACTAACCATGGCTCCGGGGGTGTCTCCGTCCTTTCAAAAGATAATGCGGAGAAGATATTATTCCAACCCTCATTCCCAGGCTCGCTTCCTGGTCAACCTCATTTGTTCTCAACCGCAGAAATTGCCCATGTGGTTTCCCTCGTGTTCTGTGCCATGGGCTTCGAGCTTGAGCTAGGTTCTGTTTCCTGTTGAGTTACTTTGACAAGGTGCAATTAGATTTGCGCTCCAACAAAGGCGATGCAAGCGAACATCAACGCAGCCATGGGTCGGAGCAGCCAGCCCCTCTCAAGTCTTTATCTGTATATTCCACCTATCCTGTGATGTGCATCCTTCTGCTTGGCTTTTTGCCCCGCTGGCTGCTCAGGGACCTTGGGCTCAAAGAAACCCGCCTTCATACGTTGCAGGTATGGTGGGTTACCGAGAAGCCTGGAACTCTTGTATGAAGACAGCCTCACCCCACTGACGTCAAGCGGCTTGGGTTCCATATGCTCTTCAAGTCGACACTCGACACCGTTTTCTCTCGCCCGCTAAGCACAGAGGTCCTCACAATCTCCTCGGTCCTCATAGCCGCGCAATGGGCTCGACGTAATTCATCAGTACAAGATAATCAACTCAATACTTTTCTCGTCCCTCGGTTCCGATTTCAGCCTCCAGTGTGGTCCAGCACGCAGAAGACCAGTTCCTCGAGACGAATCAATATTAATCCGAACACTGCAGCTCCCAACCACAACCGGCATATGATCCAAGCCGCTAACAGTGCAATGACGCTGGAAACACCCTTGTGATCCAATGGGACACACTTTTCTTCCTGCAGGGATCCGAGTGCCATCCATCCAGGCTCAACTTGTGATACCCCACCTTGCCTCTTTGAGCCTAAAGGTCCAGAGTCCATCGTAAGCAACGATGCGCATTGAGCTGAAGGAAATGGATACTGCGTCTGCAGTCAGATTGGACAGTTACGGGTGCGGCGGGAAAGGTGAACAACCACTCGAGGCCCCTCGGTCTCAAAGTGCGGAATTTATAAGCGCTGCTACCAAGTAAGTTAGTTAACTGGGTTTTGGTGCTCTGTTTTTGCTTTCTCCTTGTCCAAGCCAGTGAGAGACGCCCTGCGGCTGACAAATTCCTCCCCCGCCATTTTTTTCACCCCCGTCCAACTATCTACAGGTTGCACTTGCAAAATGCTTCTTAACAGAGGTGTTTTCATGCTCATCACCTGTGGTTGCCACTTAACAGTGCTCGCTATTACCCCCACCTCCGGAGACTCCGCAAGGCCTTGCTTCTATAGTGGGTTCCTAACTTGATATACTCGAACCTATTGTCAATTGTCACCAGGCCAGGACGCGGTAGAATTCCGTCTCCCATCTCTGTACGTAATACGAAAGAATCACTGAGTTATCTGTAAGCAGTGATTGGAAATTTGGGGAAGCCGTAGCTGCCCTAGCTCTGGAGCTATGACGGCATGCGGCATGAGGCCCAGAACCTAGGCAAACTATCCAAGTAAGGGAGGGTGAGTACAGGAAGTAGTGACGAATAATGTTAACAGGTGCCCCAGAGTTCGAAACCATATTTCAGCAAGCGTTGCAATGTTAGATTGCTACCCTGTTCGTTTTATGGAAAAGCCTCTACAAGATCAATATAGAAAGAGTACATAGTTTCATATAGAAACCATTGCTTTGATTCCTTTGATGTTCATCGCGAAAAACCGTTGGGTCACGACCCTCCTGCGCAAGCGCCAGGGCGGATCCAATGCACTTTCCAGCTATATACAGGTAGGCGCCAACCCCGGAGCACGTACGAGTACAGTATGACTCGAAATAGTAGTAGACTGGGCGGCAATTTATCAGTCTCCTGTAGGTAACCGGATGTCCATTTCAATTATTTTCATTTTCTTTCCTATCTTTACAGTAGGTGTCCTAGCCTGTATCAATGTCGGCAACCCTGACATCTCTGTCTCCCGAGCTTCTGGTGCACATCCTAGGCTTACTTTCCTCCCCAAAGGACCTCTATTCCGCCATCGCAGCATCCTCACGGCTTTATCGAATATTTATTGCGGAACCAAGGGTACGTCTTTTGGGACAGAGAACGACTGCTTAAATACAAGCAGTTCCAGACTCCTCGGAGTCCAGTAAAGGACTGGTATGAATTTCCTCTCGGTCATCAGAGGTATACAGACACCCCCGGCGTTGAGACTAAGCTCAAAGGTGTTCGTGTGCACGAGAAGGTTATTAGGGATATATCTGATGATATTAATGGCAGAGTGTGCAAATATGGTGAGAACGACAATGAAATATTTTATACTGAAGGAGGGGAAGAGGGTGGGGAGGAAGAATATGTAATATCCTGGCGAGAGTAGATCTACTCATCCACATTACAACATTAAAGTCGTATCAGTGTGATTCAACAAAAATTCACGTATTCAGGTCATCTTCCCAAGCTATACCATTCATATAAACAGTTGGGGCCATTGGGGCTAGGCTGCTTTGAGACTGTATAGATGCCGTTATATTTTGTAGGGTGGGAGGGCTTGTGGTATCTCTGAGCACCGAATAGTTAAATGCGGATGGAGGACTTGCGTTCCTATATAGATTAAGCTAAGCTATTACATCATCGGCATCAGAGTAACTAGAGGATGCTGTCTTGGAAAACTGGAAGTGCTTAACTTATATGCATGTCTCTATATATATTGAAACCGGGGGAACTGCTGCGTATCACTGAGTCCATAATTAATCAGGCGCAAGCCAAGAAATGGAGATATTAGCAGCAATAACGGCAGAGTGCAGCGCTATGGATAAAATACAAGGGTGCCCTTCAAGAACGGAGGGTGGTGGGACAATGTGGAAAAAAGGTTGTCGGCCGGCACTAAGAAGGATCGAGAGTAGCAACATCGACGGCTAGAAGGATTAATATTCCTGCCCAGTGCACTGTCGCCCGCATACGCCATTGTGCATCTGATGATCCAGAGTCAGTCAGCGGCAAATTTCGATGGGCTTCCCTGATTCTGTCGCAGTCAAACCAGAGGGGCTTCGTATTCCGAGGTCCCCGATGTGCTCTTCTCTTCTGCCCATCATTATTCATTTGTAAGTGTGGTTGTATGTTGTGCTTGTGGCTCCCAAGGTACCAAGTTAGTTTCGAGGGTAATTATATAATTTCCCTCAAGGTCAATTAAATAACGAGTATTTCTCGTCCCGTCAACCACGCATCCACCATACCATTTGTGTACCACTCACGGAGGGAAAGGGACCTTTCAGGTGGGACCCCCCTAAGAAATTGCAGTGTCTCCATTCCAAGGATGACGGAGAACTCGGCAAACACCATGTCTGTGAATGCAGAGAAGTAGCAAACGGAGTGAAGTGTAGTTCTATTGGTTCTTACGGGATTTATATTCGTTAAACTCGGACCGTTCCCGCTGCTTTACTCTTTATAGCGCTCGGGGGTCAATTGCATTGTAAGAGAGGGTCGTGGTCGGAAGCGTCGAAAAAGAACGGGCCAAGCGAGTCTGTCCCATAACGCCGAGTCAAGCCCATTCCTGCCTTTTATCAAATAGAGCGTTCACTGGTTGATTAAGTGCCGGCACTCTGTAGACCAGAGGCACGTATAAAATGTCTGTAAAGTTTGGTAACAATATCGCTCGCCCCCGTCCGAAGCCCGGCTGTCAAACGTGGTGATTTAAATTAATATTTGTTCTGCGACTCCTGATTAGTTTTTGCTTTGACGCTCGACTCCGATGAACCGAAATCTCTGAGTGAACCTCTCCTTTTGCCCATCTCTGGGGAGGATTATTATTACCATTTGTTATTCCCGGTCAGAAATAATAATAATAATAATAATATCCACATCCACACTTCTCGCTTCTCCGGCCCCCCTCTTCGCTCCCTGCTCTCGCTCTCCTCTCAGGCTCCCCTCCCCTCACTCCTGATCATTTTCTCCCTCGACCTCGATCTCTTTTCTTCTCTCCTCCCCACCCCCCAGTCTTATTTCCTCTCCCCCCACCCCTTCTCTCCCTTTTCCGTTCTTCCACGTCAGGCTGATTTGTCTGTCGTGCCTTGGGATCGAGAAGCTGTTTCTTTCTCGCTCCTTCTGCCTCGTTCACTCGTGGTAGAGCTACCTGGACCTTCCTTGGGCGACAATCACTCCTTTTCTTGTAAGCCGCTCTCTACCTACTAAAGCATCATCTCTTGCCTCCCTCGTCAAAGACCTTTGATCTTGTTATCAGGCGAAATAAAGCCATCTATTTTTTTAATATTTTTTTGTACACCTGCATCTGTTATTCTGTACCGGGGCTTTAAACAGTGTATGGGGCCTTCTTGTTCTTGATTGATTCGGTTGGCATCCAAACGTGGTTGAAAAAAAAAAAGTTTCGACGACACCTCAACCAATACACAATCCCAGAAACTTTGCGACTCTCCCCTGACCGACGTTATCGGTCGCTACTACGGCGGCTGCTTTATTCGTGTTTTATATTTAATGAGCATCCGTCAGATTTTGGCCACGTTCACTTTGTCCTTCTCGGATTGAGGGCTAACAGTTTGGTTCCCAGCCTAGAATTGGGTTCGACATCCTCTCAAGCGATTTAGCTGCCCTCGCCGTCTCTCTTCGTCCACACCCCGAAGTTCCTTATCGGTCAACATGGCGTATTACGAACCTCAGGGCTGGCAGGCCCCTTCTACTTCTCGCCAGGCGTCCTGGGAGCAACCCGTTCCTCCGTCGCGATCAGGTACGGATTGAATACTATAGCCCGCAATTGTGTTTTGCTGCAGGGTTGGACCAGAAACTTACACGGCTGTTATTAGGTTCAAGCTCTGTCTCCCAGCGTGACGACATCCCTGCGTTCTCCTCTCAATTTGACGGTATGCACTCGACGATTTTCCTTTTTGTTTTGCTCGACACCCAATATGCCTACCCGCACGTGGAACACCAGATATTTGGCGGAAACTGCGGTGTAGCCGGATCGTGATGGAAATATATTGTTGAAGAACTGGATCATCATGGCTAACCTTTCTTTATGTTAGAGGTCGATCGCGCCATAGATAACCTCGTTAAGAGCGGCAAACTATGGGCCGCCCCCCGAAGAGATTCAATGCCGCTGATGATGGGCCGCCCCCATCCTGAATATGGTACGCCGCCACGGACGCCTTCTTCAACAAGGACATACCCTGAACAACCCTATGCAGCAGACCCGCGCATGCCCACCCCAGCACAGCGCCATCACTCGATTAGCGACTTTGACGGTGCGCGGATGCACCCAACCCCTCCGAATGCGCAAGGTTTCTACGCCTCGCAGCGGTTTCAAGGACGTCCGAATGAAGTGGATCAGATGATGCAAGCAAAGCGTCGGATGGCGGCACAGCGTGAGAGGGAACTCCGCAACTATCATCAGGAGCAGCAGTACAACCGAAGTACGTGGTAGCATTTTGGAACTCTTTTCTTTCCTATACATCCAATATTCCCCATGCACATTTTTACCCACATATGTATCCATTGCATTGTATAATACATTGGGGTATTACCCCCATACTTCTTTTGGAGAACATTGTTTAATAATTTTTTTTCTTGAAAGGCCTTCTCGCCGAAATGTCTGCTGGCAAGTCCGACCGCTCGATCAGCCCCGCCGCCGTGAACGAGGAAAGTCGCCGGGAACTTCTTGCCCGCCAACACAGAGCCCTGTACGGCAACGACAGCCCCGCCTTCTTCCCTCCCAACACTTTCGCAGAGGATGGCTCTCGGCCCGAGAGTCAGGCTGGTATGCGTGGCGCTTCTCCCAGAAGCGTCGACCCATTCAGCCAGGCCTCAATTCCAGGCGGCCCCGATAGTATCTCTCAGGCCAGTGCCGGCCCGGCTGGCATCCAATCCCCTTCGCGTGCGAACAGTACCTCCTCTCCGAGCTCTGGTATCAACCCAGTGTTTGGTGAACAGCCTGTGACCTCCGCCTCATCGCCCGGTGCGGATTCTCCATCCTCTCGACAGGCAAACTCGAAAGCGAACGCAGGTCCCATCGGCTCTGTTGGCCCCATCGGATCTCGCCCGGCCCAGCAGACTGGCCCTTCCCAAGCGCCGAACCCAGCTTTGAACAAGCGATCAACGACTCCCCTGCCCTCGCCCTTGGGGTTCGGTTTTACACCAGGTGAGAGCATCAACGACCGCTCTGTGTCGGCTGCGTCCAACCCTGCTACCTCCACTGCTGGCCCTTCTGGTGTGAAGGATGCCTCCGGTGGCGTTGGGCTTGGTTGGAGCAACACCAGCGGTGTATGGGGCTCTAAAACTGGATTGGGTGTTCAAGCTTCAGTCTGGGGCTAAGAAGGATTTCCCAAATCCTTTTATCTTTTCTCTCTTTTTCTTGGTTGATATTTTGTGCAGTGGCGTTTTGTGAAGAGGCTTTGCGTCTAGGGGTTGGCAATGGTACATATATGGCAGAGTGCAAGTTGGTGCAACGATAATTTTTTGTCTGGACTCCGTTTATGCGATGTCGGTTTGGTACATGGTTTGCTGGCTTGGTTGGAGCTTGGTTGGCCTGTTGGTTTCCGGAGTCGGTATTCCCCCTTGGTGCTTGCTGTCTGCATTCATTCCCTCTTTTCACCATTTATCGGTTTGTTCTGGTTGTCATCAGTTTCTGGGCTGCATTTGGATCATCTCTATGTTATTGTCGTTGCAGTTTTGCCGGGTTGGGATTGTCTTTACATGCTTGCGAGTGAATGCGTCGGCTCTCATTTCCAGCTCATCCGGGGGGTTCAGGTGTTCAACATGACTGTGGGTTGTCTACAAATATGGCTGAAGCTACGTGTGTTTTCTTTTTCTTTCGTCTCTTTCAGTTTTCTTTTTGGCACTGGGTTTTTGGGAAGCAAAATGGTTACTCTTCTCTCATTATCTCTGCTTGGAATTGGGTTATGGGCAAAAGGAATTTGGGGAGCAAGCAAACATCAAAAGAGTTATTGGAGTCTGATCTGAGCCGCATTTCTACCGTGTTAATGTTTGGTTTGGTCTGCTTATGATTTTTCTGTATTTATTGGTTTATTTTTTTTTAATAAATATCCCCATGCCAGTTTAGTGACTCGATCCTATACTGAGGGTATGCGCGTAAGAGTAATTTTTCAGCAGCAGGCTCCCGAGCCCCAACCTTGCATGTTGCCGCGAACACAGGGCTGCAGGGACGAGGGAGCACCACTAGTCCAGCGATAGATCACAGCCCACAGGGCCAAAGCCTAGCAGAATCGTAGATCAATGCAGGGGAGCGATTCTGGAAAGTCTGGTACGCTTTGTTTCTGGGCGGGAATAAGCGCGGCGGGGAGCTGGATGCCTGGGGAAGCTTGTGCGTGGACATTCTGTACATTAGCGTTCTCGGGTGTAACTCGCAGTGAATAAAGCATTAACGAGCTAGCAGTCTTCAGGAAAAGAGCCGATGGATAAGAGGCAGTTGGTATACAGTTCCAGCAGTTCCATGGATACGTGGGGAAGGCTGGGTCAGAAATAGAATCATCAGCTGGAGCATTAAGATTGAGCGCACGTCATCCCGAGTAAGCTTCTTCTTTTTTCGTTCTTCACCCCTGACACGGTCTCCTTTTTCGGATGCGCTGGAAATGAGACTGATTCTGGACTCATGAATCTGGCCCAGGCCTTGATCATCCAAGCCTAATCAAATCAAACCAACCCAGCCCAACGATCCCCAATCCCGCCTAGACTGCCACCCGGCCGCGTCTCTGCGCTGCTGTCAGCCTTCTGTCGCTTGTCCTCCGGTCGCGTGTGTCGCTGCAGTGGCGGATTTATTTCATCACTCTCCGCATCTCCTGCGTCAAAGGAACAAGGTCTGTCCGATTCGGGACCCTGAACGTCCTGAAATCCAATTCTCGCGCCGACCGCTGCCGAGGCCGCCAGCTGGTCCCGACTCCGTCACCACCACCACCATCTTTCATCATCGTCAGCCACACCAGCTTTCGCCATCCTCCCCCCATCATCGCCGCCGTCCTTCTATCCCCCTTCTCTCTCCGCCCGTCGACCCCACAACGGCCGTATCCTCCGCCTCTCTCGCTTTCCTCGCTCTCCTGGCTCCCGCCCGCCCGCCCGCCGACTCGCGCTCTCTGAGTCCGCTTCGCTCGCCGTCTACCTTGGCGCTCCCCTCGCGCCGGTGCACTCGTCGTTCCTGAGGTGTTCTGGAGTGACGAGCGCCCCTCTTCTTGCCCGACCAGACCATGGCGTTGGATTTACAGCCGCCCGGCGATCGCAAGCGGGTTAAGGTTTACGAACTGAAGGAGAATGACTGGTTTGATCGGGGAACAGGGTTTTGCACTGGCCAGATCCTGGATGTAAGCGAAACGCTCTCCCCGACTGCTTTTTCTCGTGGCTATCGCGTGGAATATTATGGCATGGCATGAATGGACTCATAGCCATCGCCACCGCAAACCTTCTCATGTCTACGCGAGCCCATAGCCGGTGGCTATCGGTCGGGCGCAAAGGCATATGGGAAGGGCGCGATTGTCTGTATATGTTTTGATTTTTTTTTTTCGCTAACATCGGATTTTTTTTTCTACCCTGTAGGATGAACCGCGGATATTTGTTGAGTCGGAGGATAAACCAGTTCGCGTGCTCTTGGAGACGAGAATCTCTAAGGATGGAGGATATCAAAAACAGCAAGGTTTGTTTCTTTGCTCGTACTATACAACGGGTGCGCCCGGTATTCGCTAACAACGCTTTTCCTATGTTTAGATACATTGATCGTATGGACCGAGCCGAACCAAACGGATATGGCATTGAGTTTTCAGGAAGCGGAGGGATGTGCTGTGATATGGTAATTTGCTATTCGGCCCGGCGCAATTGTTGGGATGCTTTTTGCTTACCCGTGTTCAAGGAATTTTGTCAATTCTGTTCAACAACACCTTCTCACGCTCGCCGCAAGTGGTAAGAGGTTTTCCCTGTTATTTGCACCCCGGCGCATGTCGCTCGTGTTTTGGTCGCTGTTGCTGATAACGACGCGCGCTTTCTTGCAGATGAGCTCTCCGACGACCTCGACAATATCCAGACCGTTGTATTACCCGCGCCTGAACTTGTGAACCTCCCCGATATCGATCATTTGATGAGAGCCGCCAGCATAGCCCAGGCCGGCCGAGATGCGCTGTCCAAGTGTGTCATCAGAGATGAATACATACATAAACTTCTTCCTCTAGTTACAGTCGCGGAAGACCTCGAGAGTATCGACGACTTGCACCGGCTTTGCAACATCATGAAATCCCTTATCCTTCTCAATGACACCACGATAATTGAAACCGTTGTCACCGATCCCGTCATACTTGGGGTTGTTGGAGCATTGGAATGTATGTGTTTTGGGACACTTTGTGCGCATAGTGAGGTGTACACCGCTAACTTTATGTAGATGACCCTGAGTTCCCTACACATAAAGCAAACCATCGTCAGTACTTGTCAGACAAGTCACGCTACAAGGAAGTGGTTCCGATCAGAGACCCCTCCATTCGGCGCAAAATTCGCTACACCTGGCGATTGCAATATTTGAAAGATGTCGTTCTCGCGCGTATTCTCGACGATCCAACGTTTTCGGTCCTTAATTCTATGATCTTCTACAACCAAGTTGATATTGTGAACCACATCCAGTCAGACGGCCTGTTCCTCAAAGAGCTATTTTCGGTTTTCGACCCGCGAAACGCAGATGCAAAGCGCAAGGAGGATGCAGTCCAATTCCTGCACCAATGCGCATCGATTGCGAAAAACTTGCAGGTACCGGAACGAGCCACGCTTTATGGGAACCTTATAAGCCATGGTCTTTTCGCCGTGATTGCGTTCGCCATTAAGCACCCGAAACCGGCAATTCGGACGACGGGGATCGATATTCTAGTCTCACTTCTTGATCACGATCCGGTTATGATGCGCAGCTATATGCTTAAAGCTGTTAACGAGAAGAAAACTCCGTTGACTGATACCCTAATCGATCTGCTTCATACCGAGGCCGACCTCGGCGTAAAAAATCAGCTCGCCGATGCGATCAAGGTCTTGCTAGACCCGCAGGTTCCCTTGCAGGCCGCGATGGCTCGGGCTGGTCCCGAACATGCTGCCAAAGTGCGGCCGAATATTCTCTCGGATGCATTCGTTCAAAACCACTTTGACGAATCTTCAAAGAGGCTATTCGCACCTTTGAAAAGACTCGAGGACCTGTCTAACCGTAAGTTTCTGAACCACCTTGTCAGTTCTACGCTCGACTACTAACCATTTCTCTCCAGCCCATGCTTTGACCTTCCAAGCCGTAGCCCTGTACTCTCACCTAGTGGACATTCTCACCTTCTTCGTCCGACAGCACCTTTACCGATGCCGCAACGTCATTCAGAACGAGCGGCTTGCGGCGCACATCACCCAATTGCTTAGGGCGCCGCAAAAACACCTTAAATTAAGTATGTCTCTTCGACTGCCTCTGTTAGAACAGTTCTAATGGTTCTCTAGCTGCTTTGAAATTCTTCAGGACCTTGCTTAGCCTTCAAGATACCTTTTATCAAGCTTTGATGACGCATAACGACACGTTTGGACTCATTCTTGACATTGTTTATGAGACCATGCCTCGCGATAACCTGCTCAATTCTGCCTGCCTTGAACTTTTCGAATTTATTAAGCGGGAACATATCAAGCCGATTACTTTGCATGTGGTTGGAAAATATGCCGACAAACTGAGAAATATCACTTATGTCGACACTTTCCAGGGCCTGATAGTTCATTACGAACAGCTCCAGGGATACAGTGAAGAAGCGGATTCCACGCTTTACTCTCAGGAGGAGGTAACACCTGTCATGAAGATGCCACCCAGTGGACGTTGGCAAGGCGTGAAAGAAATGGATCCTGCCGAAGAGGAGTATTTCAACACGTCGGATGATGATGAAGAGGTAATACTCTGCCCGGCTATGGATGTCGATCGAAATACTGATTCCGAGTTCCAGTGGCAGCAAGATAATCAGGCTACGGGCACTCTCATCTCGCAGGTTCCAAATGGCGCTGCTTCCCCCTCAGTGAAGTCCCTGGTAGACTATCCAGATGATGACGACGAAGAAAACGATGCTATGGACACGACAGAAGTGGGCCAAAAACAACAGCCTCAACCAGAGGAAACTTCCAACGACGATGCTCCAGCAGATCCGGCCAGCGACCAGCCATCGACTCCAGTCTCACAGGTCGTGCAGGTGCCTCCTGAGAGGTTATCAGAGAAACGTCGCCGTGAGGAAGAGGATGATGACGAGCTCGTCAAGCTTACGTCTGGGCCTAAACGAAGAAGCTCCACGAGTAGTTCTACCGGGAGTGCAGGGTTCCTACGGAAAAAGCGAAGCAGCTCTATCGGTTCCGTAATAATTGCTGAAAAGGGATCCGCACAAGCAGGACAGGGTGCTGGGAATGCAGCACCGAAACGGATAGCCATCAACCTCAGTTCCTCGGTCAAGCAGTCTGCAGGCACGACTGACATACCTGAACCTGCATCCAATTCGCCTGGTAATGAGAACGAGAAAGAAAATCATAATGACGGCGGCAGCGACGGGGGTTGAATTCAAACCCACCCTTAATGCTCGCGCCCATATGAAGTCTTCATTCAACTTTTCTGCATCTGCACTGCAAGCATAGCCTTCGAAAATCTCCTCGCGATTGTTTTTACGACTGCATCCTAGATACCAGATGAAGTGCCATGGGTTTTTGTTTGTCTTTCCGTTCCTTTTCCGTTTCTACTTGTTGTTATCTTCTTGCTGCCGGGTCTTCGAACATATCTGAGCGAAAAATTTCCGTCCTTGCTATCCTGCCATGTCTTGCAGCTCCATTTTGGCATCTATCAAACTATGGAAATAGAGAGTGGACCCACGCAGCTCTCTATCCTTTTCCTCCCTCTCTCGATCTCCTCAAACCCACTCATATTACATACCGTGCTGCATATGTACGCATAACTGAACCGAACCTAGCCTAACTCAACCGCTTCTGCTATACCATACCATACCATACCATACGATCCATCCCTCCATCCATCATCTATCGGTGTTCCTGGCGTCAAGTTCTCCAGGCGTGGTGTGCTTCTCCTTTTTCTTCTTTTCAGTCTCATTCTTACATACATTTATCCTTTCATCAACCTATATTTATGTTTGCCTTTTTTTTTTTTTTTTGCACTTTTCTCACTGGATCCATTGTTTGTTCGTTTGGGACTTTGGGTTTAATGGGGTTAAAGCGACCTAAAACAATTCAGTACCGAAGGGAGGGGGTTGTTCCAATAAGTTGAGTAATGAATGGGAAAATGCGCATGCAAATGCAGCAGCATCCGCAACGCGGTCATGGTCTAGCATATAGCACGCAAACAGCACTGCTAGGAGTTTGACTTTACTTTCTGAACCAAGTTTCTGGTGCATTTCGTCTCGATCGAATTGAATTGAATTGTGGAATAAGGATTTCTATTATTTTCCTGGTCTGGCTATTGGGTGAATAAGTAAACTGCTGCCGTAGTCGTGTATTGATGGTGATGCTAGGCAGTATGAAGCTAGGATCTCTCTGTCTATATGTCTCTCTATCGAATTGATTAACGCGAGAAATATGGGAGAATGGTATAATTGTTTTGGTAGTAAAAGTAGCTCAGAAATCAGATCCACTGGGTCCAGTCGAGTCTGGGTCTATATAACACACGATAACGGGACAAGACGGGACAGAAGGGAGAAAAGAATATGAACAGAGAGATATTAAAATGGAAATACTCTTAGGAATCTTTTGAGGGGAATTAAAATGACAGAATATAGACAAGCAGGTGGGTAGTTATACACATACTGAGCATGTATCGTCGTGACAAATAAAGGGACATTATGTATATGATACGTAGAACGAAATGGTGCCGCCGCTTGCTTTATACAGAACCAAGGTGGTCGCGTTGAGGGGAGCCAAGTAAGCAAGTAAAGTAACAGGCTAGCAGAAGGCTTCTATTAACATGTAAGGGAAGATGACGACGCATGCTGTCCAGAAGACGGTCACGCATCGGATCAATGCCAAGGGCAGCTTGTATAGCGGGGAGTCGCGGAGGATTAACCAGAGGGAGACGAAAGCGACGGCGAAGAAGTGGGCGAAGAGGACTTGTGGTTTCTTGAGAATCCCCCCAAGGAGGCTGGCGGGCTGGTTGTACATTCCCATGTCGAAATATTGGAAGCATCCGCGCTGTAGGGCTTTTAGGTTGTCGTCTAAAGGAGGAACCGAGTTAGTACCACAGCTTATAGCAGTGAATGAGTAGAAGCCACTTACCATCCGCAGCGAAAAGAGAGTATAGAGCTTGAGCTAGGATGTTGATGACTGATGCGCCCATCTTGCGTCTCCAGTGGAAAGCAGAAAGTTGTTTGAGGACAAGTGCGGTGTCGCTTAGCTTGGGGACGTTCATCGGGCTCAGCAGTTCACGGAGTATGACGACGTCGTTTAGCGCTACTGTCATACCACCTCCTGTAAGCGGATGTCGCATGTTGAGAGCATCTCCTAGTACTATTAATCCTGGCGTTTTGTTTGTGGCACTCGGCAAGAATGAATTTGGCATGGACCGCAGTTGACCCTTGTCTAACGCAGCGGCGAACGAAGGCTGGATGCATTTAGGGAGAGACGGCAGGACAACGTTTCGGAGATGACCCTTGACACCTCCATTCTTGACAGAGGCCGAGGGTAGGCTTTCGGGGATGTCGCAAAGTATTCTGGTCTCGCGTGTTCCGATCTGGTAGACGAGGACGGGCGGGCTATCAGTATTTAGAAGGACATGACCATAGTGTGGTTGAGGCAGTTCCGCATCAATGAGCTCCAGTCCCCAGAACTTCGACCGGACCTTGGGAGTATAAGGATGGTGTTGTTTCCGAAACTTGGAGGCGTAGCCGTCCGCAACGACGGTTACTTGACCGAAGTAGCAATCCTTGGTCTCCTTGGTCACGCACTCTACCCCAAGAACCTGCTTGGTATGCGAGCTAGTGACCAGGTCCGTAACCTTGGTCTCGACAATCGTGACATTGGGGCAAGCCCTGGCGGCCTCGCGTAGCTTCATGACGAACCGTCCATGGTGGAATGATTTGCCTTCTGGTCGCGGAGTCCCAGGACTTTGAATGGGGTACGGAATTTTGACAGGTTTTCCCCCGTAGGTAACATAGTATCCTTCAGTCGGAATCCCCTCAATTCCCTCCAGGCATTCCCGCAGACCCAGTTGCTCCAGGGCCGTGACACCTCCGGGTTGTAAGAGTTCGCCGACAATGCGGTCGGGCTCCTTGAGCGACTGCTCAAGCAAGAGGACACTCCGGCCTTGGCCCCCCAAAGCCACAGCCAATGCACATCCCAAAATTCCAGCTCCTATTATAACGACGTCGGCGTCATGGTGAACTCGTCTGCGGTGCTCGGCAGCGTCCGAGGACTTGAGGTCCTGACCGGTGACATGGCCGTGGGCGAGGGTTGTGGCCATCGTGGTGGCGGGAGAGAAATTCAGAGACTCGGCGCAGAAGGGATGATCGACAAGAGCAACGGAGGCGCGCTGCGCATATTCGGGTCGCAGAGCCTTGAAGAGCGAGTATAGCGACGAGGACGGGGAGAAATTGCGGCGGAGGGAGGAGGCAGCAGAAATCTTTAATAGGTGAGGTGTAAAGGGGGATGCGGAGTTTCCAAGTGGTTGTGCTCTGCGGCAGAAGTGGCCTGACTGCCTCCACCAGCTGCTAAGATCAACGGTGAACGTATGATGCGAATGGGACCTTGTTTATTGGCCCAAAAATACTGGAATTATTATTTTGTAGCCGAGAGTGCATTGTACAGGAAAGATCAAAGTCGCTGAACTCCCGCCAAGAATAATCACATGCAAAATGCTCACTGATAGTAATATACAGAGGTACAAGTCTAGATTACATCGGTTTCTGTCTATACTACAGAATTCAAGGTCCATTAACGCTCTCCAGTTCAACGCAAGCAGCCTCGTCCCATTGAGAGAGAATGGAGGACTCGTCGTTGTCGATGCGGCGCAGCACCTTCTCGAGCTCGTACTCTTCGTCCCACTCCTCGATCGCCTGCTTGAACAACTTCGCCTGGCCACGCCACATGTCGTATTTGTTTCCATATCCCTTCAGCCTTCGCCGGAATGATTTCTTTAATTCAGCATTGCCCCTTAGCTCTGAGTATTTGGGGTCGCCATTGCACTTTCCATGAAGGACGGAGGCTGCGAAATCCAGATAACGCAATTGGATCTGCTTCTCTGACATCGTATCCTCGCGGCGGACGATTCCCAAAACTCTGTCAACCTCGACGGCAAGATCTCGGCTGAGAGCGCTACCTCGGGAAATAGCGGTTAGAATGCACCACCGCATCCCCGCATAATTGTTGATCGCAGTAAACGCACGGAGGAACATCTTAATGCAAACAGCATCAAACTCCTTCAAACGTCCATATTTTGACGTATACACTGCCACAAGTAGATCAACTGCCAGCTCAGGTTTATTTGATGCAATCAAACGTCGGCTTGTGGAGGCGGTAATATTATGTTTTATTACCATTCTTCTGGTGAGCCAGCAGATCTTGTAGAAGCGGAACACAGCCAACTTAACGACTTCGTCCTCTGCTGAGGGGTTCAAATCTTTTATCTGTCGGTAGAAGATGGGCAGCGACTTTGTCCATGGGCCTTCCAACAAAGTTTGCGCGGCGCTCGGTCCGTGCTCAAGTAGCGTAGCAATCACCGCAAGTTCAACCTCGAGCGGCTTGAAGTGGAATCCGGCATATCTCGCGCCCTGGAAACACTGCAAGGCTTCAGCCATTTTCCCCATGTGCATGTAATAAATCATTTGATGGTGTAATTTCTGGAACTGATCGACGGGTCTCGAAGGTTTTGTTACTTCGTCCACCGTGCGCTTATACCATGCGTCAGGAAATTGTGCGTTCAAATTGTTGGTCACCGGTAAAAATGATCGACGGTCCTGGCCCAGAAGCTGCTGCGAGGCAGTGGCCCGCATATTTTCTTCTCGAGCAACACGCAGCATCTGCCAGAAGCCAACGGGTGAATCTTCGAGCGCTGATCGACGGTTGCGTAACAGCTCGATGAATGCCTTCTCGTCAACCTTGACTTTCCACCCACGTTGGCGCGCCATGCTTGTAAATTCAGAAACCATGGCTTCATCGCCCTTTTCGACGATTGCCTCCATTATGTGTTGGAAGAAAACCCGATCAGCATTGATGTCAAACTTATCAATGTATCGGTAAAGGAAGTCCTGAATCTCAACGCATGTATGTGATGGCCAATACTCCAGGAATATGCGGTCAAAGATATAGACGAAATCTCGCTTCTTGTTCGTCAGACCGAGATTTTGCATTTCCTGGAGACCATCATCCACGGCTGCCCAATCACATTGTAAAGCTTTGCCGTAAACCAGAAGACCTTTCATCCGACAAGTTAGTGGTACACGGTAAGTGGTTGTCATCTGGTGTACAAGAGCTTCAGCATCCGAGAATCGACCAAATTCCACATAGGCCTTGAGCAACGGGTTGACGAGCTTTTCGGTAGGCGCTTTATCCAAACGCCGCAGCACCATCAACAATTTTGTGAATTGGCCGTTCAGTAGCTCAATGCTTCGTGTCTTTTTCCACAGGCCGCTGAGATATGCGCCGCATAGTCCACAATCTCTGTCCTTGGATAGGTTTCGCAGCAGAACCCATTTGGCGCTTGTCAGTCTACGTGATTCAACCAAGCAGCGAAGAACAACGTCTAACAAGACCCCAGGGATAGAGAACTTTTCCCTATACCGCATGTAGATAGTCGCGGCTGATTCTATGCAGCCCTTCTTTGCCAGCGTAACAATCAAGATTCTCCACATCGTCGGTGATATTCGGTCCACTTCTTCCAAACGCTCAAAGACGCTTCTCGCGATAAAAACGTTATCCTGTCGGCAGTTTAAGAAGAAGGCTTGGGTAGCAAGCTCCCTCCGCTCAGATGATATGCCTTTGAGCGAGGCCGGATGCGCATCCAAGAATATTTGAGCGGCGTTGATGTAATCACCACGCTCAAAAAGCTCCTCCATGTTTTCAGTAAGCGTCTTTTGCTCCTTAGCGGAATTTCCAAGATCGCCCTCCACCGTCTCAACATATGGCTTTAATTCTGGTTCTTGGCTGATGTTTATAGATTTTAGGGGCGGCTCAGGCGGCCGGGAAGGAGGAAAGTTGGCTTTGTTTCCCGGGTTTAATGAGCTTTGATTCGGTTCGAGGTCCGCTCTGGAAGTTCCAGCTGCATTCGACATCGTAGTAGTAGTATTGTCGTCAAATGAGTTTGCTGACTTGATACTGTCAACTGAGAAATCGGGCGACTTTTCCTCGCGAGCACAACCCGACCCGAGAATTTGCGATTTTCTGAACTTTCTCTCCTCCTCCTTCCAGGCCTCAAGACCCATAAATTCGCCTGCTTCTGCTGCTTCCATCATACGAGAGAGCCTCCTAGCTGCCGATGTCGCATCATATCTGGGGGCTGAGGATTGGAGGGCCCTCTTATTCTCGACAATGCGTTCCGCAACACCAACCCGCCGATGGACATCATACGTGATAGCAGCAACCGTACAGCAGCTTCCCACAGTTGAGCCGGCGAGGGCCAGCCTCCGAAGCGTTCGAAGGGCGTTTCGCGAGGGAACGGCCGGAGGGCCGTGGGTAGGCATCTTGTCGAGTGACCACCGCAACCAGCGGGCAGCGGATCGGAATCTCAACTAATAACCATAAAGTGAAGAGAGAAGTAGGCTCAAGTCCAGGAATTCGTAATAAAGTCCAGATATCGAGTGTGGACTCATCAATGGGTTGAATTGTCGGGGTTGGTCCAAAATATTTGCTGGGGACGGACGTTCTTCGGAAAGTTTGCAGCTGACGGCGCGGTTGGCTTGTCTCGGTCCCCGTAGCAGCTTTCCGTTCCGGTCAACCCATGGTTATCGGCATCTCCTTCGCGGCTCCTGGGTGATCATGCCATGCGATGATGCGATGGCCTACACGCCTTGCTGCCGCGACAGTGGAGGAATTCGGCCGCCAGCTCAATCTCATTTTTAAATTACTCTGCCAAAATCATGATAGTGTTACATTGTCCCACAAGCTTGTGGGAATCTCAAATTATATAGCCCGAAAACCGTATGCTTTATCTATTGTACAAGAGAAGCGAATTTTTGGCCGGCAAAAAATTTCTTCTGTTCAAGACACCTCTCACTCTTGCAGCCTTGACAGCGAAGAGTCATTTGGCGGGAACATAAGTCCCCCGCTTGCAAGTGGTCACGAGCCAAATCTGCGAGAGCTTGGATGAATACCGGGTTGCCGTTCAAACTCTCAGCGCGCTTTACTCCCGGAGAATTGGCCTCTTCCATCACTTCTAGATCCAATTCGTACAGGGTCTCAATATGGTCACTGGTGAAAGCAATTGGGACAAGAACGATGTCGGAGTGGCCCTTCTTCACATATTCCTGAACAGTATCGCTAGTTTGAGCGCCGAGCCAAGCGGATGGTCCAACTTGAGACTGCCAGCACAGTCGGTAGGGATTGCTGAAATTTAGCCTTTGCATTACAGCATGAACGGTTGCAGCAACCTCTGCTGGGTAGGGGTCACCTAAAAAAAGGCATCAGTAACATGACCATTAGGCGGAGAGGCAAAAACGCCTTACCTCTGTTGACCACGCTCATAGGCAAACTGTGAGCCGAGAACAATAACACCACATTGCCTCTCTTTTCTTCGGGGTAGGTCTTGAGCTGATCTTCGATATTCTGTGCAAATGCTTCAACCAAACCGGGGTGTGTTGGCCAGCGATCAATAACACTCCATTGGATAGCGCCCGTCGAATCCACGTCGCCATTTCCACGCTTTCCCTCCAGTCGGTTCCTCCATTTCCACAGCTCATTGAGTGAGCTGCCCGTTGTAGAGCATGAGTACTGCGGATATTGCGTGAATGCGACAGCACGACCCCCCTTTCCGTTACCAAATCCGTCCTCTAGTAACTGGGTATACATTTCTTCCGTTAGGGGTGCGGCATATCGGAATGCGACGTAAGGCTTGTGAGGCGCGGATTCGGGGTTGAGTTTGTCTAATAGTTTGCACATTTCTGTACATTGATACTCAGACCATTTCCTGATTGGTGAACCTCCTCCAATATCCGAGTATTGTTTCTGGATCTTTGGTGTTCTCCTCTTCGCGATCAGTGGGCCGAGGTAGTTTTGGAGACGGCCTAGGGGGATTAGGTCGCCATCGGCCTGTATGACAAACGGAATGGTTAGACGATATTTTCAGAGGATGGGAGAGTATGGGCAGTAACGCACGAATAGTCTGCTCAGGAAATCTTCCACTTCGCCAGTTGTTGAAGGACCGCCCATATTTAAGAAGACCATTGCAGTCGGCCCTTTAGAACCCGTGGCATCTTGAGTAACCGGCGGTACAACTGTTGCAAGGCCACGTCTCTGTTCTCCGTTAATCCCTAGAGATATGCGAGATATTGGGCGCAGCAGTTGCTGCTGAAGCGTGAAGGTGCGTCGCAGAGCCATGACCGCAACGTCAGTTAGGTCAATTTGAGACACGAGCGTATCTCTGGGGATTGTGATATAAACTAAACGATATATCGAAAGGTATCAATAATTCTGCTGCATCCAGACTTAATGTAAAGAAAGGAACTGAATATTGTATAGTAGGTAAACGTCAGAAGCCAGTTCGATTTATGTTGGGCTGACAACTTCCACCTCAGTCGCCGCCGGCATCATGACGGAGAAGATTCGGTCCGCCCATCGGCCAATCACAAGGAAGCCGGGGTAATCAAGCTTGGCGTAATCACATGATGTTCGTGTCTTCCCCGCGTCGGTGCAGTCGGAGAAACGCGTTTGCCGGGCCTGGTGTGCCTCAGATAGGCAGAACACCGTAGTCGCCTTGATAACCACGAAGAGCTGGGGGCGGCCCCAATTTTCCTTTTACACAAGCTTCCCAATTTACTGTGATTTATTATTCACGGCATGGCCGAAGATAATCAATACCGCGAAGAGGACATCGCTGGTGAGGAGGAGGAGGAGCTGGACGAGACGGTATGGAGCATCGTTGTGCTTGCTTATCGGACTACCGCTTTGCTGACATGTGAGAGTAGAGCTACAAGTCATTTAGAGATGCCATTCTCTTTGCCATTGAAGTTAGTGACTCGATGCTCGAAATCCGTCCGTCCGCAGACCCCAAGAAACCCAGCCATGAGTCGCCAGCTACCGCCGCGTTGAAGTGTGCATACCATCTTATGCAGCAACGCATCATCTCCAATCCCCATGACATGATTGGTGTCCTATTGTATGGAACCAAACAATCTAAGTTCTACAACGAGGACGAAAACAGCCGTGGTGACTTATCATACCCCAACTGCTACCTCTTCACCGACCTTGATATCCCCTCTGCGCACGAGGTTCTCGAATTGCGGTCGCTAGTCGAGGACGAAGACAAAGCTAAGGATGTGCTTGTACCGTCGGAAGAGCATGTTTCCATGGCCAACTTATTGTTTTGCGCAAACCAAATATTCACATCAAAGGCTCCAAATTTCTTATCGCGCCGGCTGTTCATAGTCACTGATAACGATAACCCCCATGGAGATAACAAATCACTCCGCTCTGCGGCGACTGTTCGTGCGAAAGACTTATACGACCTTGGCGTTATTATTGAATTGTTTCCAATCTCTCAAGCTAAACATGAATTCGACACCTCGAAGTTCTATGACGTAAGTACATTCCGGCCAAACTCCGCAGAACAAGAACACTTACGATGGGTAGGATATCATATACAAAGCGTCTCCTATGGACCCAGAGGCTCCTGCCTATTTAAAGCCTGATTCGAAAACAACAGATGCCCAGGATGGTATCTCATTACTCAATGGTCTTTTGTCAAGCATCAATTCCAAATCTGTACCGCGCCGTGCGCAATTTTCAAACCTTTCTTTAGAGCTGGGCCCGGACCTGAAGATATCTGTGTCTGGCTATATTCTTTTCAAACGCCAGGAGCCGGCGAGGAGTTGCTTCGTGTGGCTAGGAGGGGAAAAACCACAAATCGCGAAGGGAGTGACTACACAGATCGCAGACGATTCAGCTCGAACTATCGAGAAATGGGAGATCAAGAAAGCGTACAAATTCGGAGGGGACCAAGTCTCGTTCACCCCAGAGGAACAAAAAGATTTACGGGATTTTGGTGAGCCGGTGATTCGAATTATTGGATTCAAGCCGCTTTCCGCCCTTCCTTTCTGGGCCAATATCAAGCATCCTCTATTTATCTACCCTTCCGAGGAGGATTATGTGGGGTCTACGCGAGTATTCTCCGCCTTGTATCAGAAACTCTTGAGAGACCAAAAGGTCGCGCTTGTCTGGTACATTACACGCAAGGCTATGGCCCCAACCCTTGGTGCAATGATGGCCGGTGAGGAGAAAGTTGATGAGAATGGCGTTCAAAAGTTTCCACCGGGAATGTGGATCGTGCCAATTCCCTTCGCGGACGATGTTCGGCAGAACCCAGAGGCTACCATTGAAGTTGCTCCAGAGCCACTCATCGATCAGATGCGAACGGTCATCCAGCAATTACAACTCCCAAAGGGCGTTTATGAGCCCCATAAATATCCCAATCCATGTAAGTACTTTTTGGTGTCTAATTCCCGGGAAATTAATACTAACAAACCAACTAGCGCTTCAGTGGCATTATCGGATACTGCAAGCGCTTGCCCTCGACGAAGACGTCCCAGTGCAACCAGAAGACAAGACGCTTCCTAAATATCGACAAATAGATAAGGTAAGCTGCGGTTGCCAACGATTTCGGGGTCTCTCAAACTGACTGTCTTTTTCCAGCGTGCTGGCGACTACGTTCTTTCCTGGTCCGATGAACTGGACAAACAATACAACATAATAGCCGCCAACGGACCAAAAAGCACACTCCCAAAAAGGCCCGCAAAAGGAGACGCGGCGGACAAAGCCGGGCCTCCAGCGAAGAAAATAAAGGCTGAAGGTGGTGGCTCCGCGGATCACCAGGAGGAAGTCCAGAAACACTACCAGAAGGGAACGCTGTCCAAAATGACGGTCGCTTCTCTCAAGGAGTATCTCACATCTCAGGGCCGGTCCGCTGCCGGTAAGAAGGCAGAGCTTGTTGAGCGGGTGGAGGAACTCATTGAGACGAAATAGTTCGGCGAACGATGGAGGGCATAAGATCAACTTGCACCATGTAATTTAGTAATGATAGACACGATACGACTTGAAGCCATGGTTTTTTTTTTTTTTTTTTTTTTTTTTTTTCGATACGAATTGTACAATCAAATTGAGGCATCGAACCTCGTGTTAAGGTCGTGTTTGATCCCAAGAAACCCGTCCTATTTAGCCCTTACTCCATGCTACTCGTATCTGGTGCTTTCTTCTCCAAGTATCCACCAACAACTCAAACAGATCGTTGCCATGAACAATAAATTAATATAGACCAAAAGCTGCGAGATGTATTAATTTATAACTTAGCCTCTAATCGTGTGTGAGAATCTAGGTAATATTGGCTCGCGGACGAAGGACGGGACAGACAGGTATACCCACGGCAGATATATATCTATTCCTGTTTCGGTCAAAAGAAGGCAGCACAACGAACGCATCAATTTACATCAATTCCACATTAGCACTCGACGACCGGGAAATCAATTTAGAGACTAATGTAATGATAAAATACAATTCCATTACTTGCTATTATTGTTTTGCGATTATTTGAAATTGTGCTTCCCCCACCTCTCATAGTGGAACGAAATTCCCAATGCGTTTATCCTTTACCAGAAACCCGAAATGAACATTTAAACTTGGAGAATGAGTATATAGGTCTATAAAAAGGACTTGTATTTGTATATTGACCTAAGTCTAAGACTTCTAGGGTTCATCTCTTGAACTTCTAAACCCAGGGGTATAGTATAGGCATAAGCAAATAATAACGAACGCTATAACGCTTTGCAGACAACATAAACGACCCAGCGGTAGATAGCAAGTAAGGAGCGATGGCGCTGGCGATAATGGAAAATGAGATAAATATCAGCGATAGGAGTCCAAGAGTTCATTAGATGCTCGATGTGGTGCTTTGCGTGATTGCGTGTGTTTGTGTGCGCGCGGGGGCGTATATGTATCAGCATTGCCCGTATACCTGGCAATAGCAAAGTTCCTGGTCAGGACAGCTAGAATAGGCATGTTAGCGAAATAGACAAGAAAACATGGGCGCGGAATCTGGCACATACTATACAGAGTCTTTGCCGAAGATAACGTGCCAGATATACTCCATAACCCGACCACTCGCGGCGTCGTTTTTATCGGTATCAATCACCCACTGTCTGATCTTGATGTAATCTTCCTTTGGTCGCTGGAGGACCTGGTCTCGTGATACGGCGAACTGCGCGCAACATGCTGCTGCGACTGAAGTGGGCATTTGGAGGTACTTCGATTTCTTTTCGTGATGACCGCGGCTGTATTCGTCTTCTTCGTCGAGTGAACTTGGACTTGTAGTTGAGTTCAGAGGCGGCGTGCTAGTTCCTTCGAATATCTCTGTCCAAACATCCTCGGTGACGTGTCCGTTTGGCTTATCGGGCGCGCCGCAACCTGGGTTTTGGTTGCATCGGAGATTGACGTAGCCGTTGCGCTGGACGAAATCGAGCTGCAATGAGCGTAAAGCGGCGACGTTGTCGTGCATTGGGGCATCAACGTGCCAGGCCATGAGGAATCCCGAGCGGTGGGAGTGGACGAAGGCGATTGTGGATGGGAGATTGTCGTAATGGTCTATTAGGTAGGTAAGGTATGCCATTGACTCGTGACCTTTGTTGCGTGGTGTCTTGAGGCGGTTGCTATCGGCGACTGTGTCCGCGGACGGATTTACTGTATAGATAGCTCGTTGCCAGCTGGACAGATTAGCTACCCAGACAAGAAATAGGGGCCTTTATCGCGATTCAGGCACGGAATGGGCGCATACTCTGGAAGTTCGTCATGGACCCAGTGTACAGGCTCTTCTTCGAGCCTTGCCATGACCACCACCTTGTCCCTGATAGTTCCATTGTAGGCAGCCCACTTGTCTAGGTGGGAATCTTTGCTGCTTAGCCAGTCGATCAGGTAGACGCCAGCGTGATACTGATCGGAGAGGTCTGCGAAATGAGCGAGTAGAAGGTATGCGGGGAGGCAAACGATCAAGGAGAGACAGAGGGCAATGCGATAGCCGCTCTTCATTATGAGTAACAATGGACGATTCGAGGCCCGGCGAGTTGTACTAGGCTAGAATGGGTTGATACATCTGCGGAACTGACGCTTGTTCGGGCCCAAAGAAGGAGTGACGAGTTTTCGAATGAAAGGAGTAGGACAGGACGTATCCAGCAGTCCAAGACGGGCAAATTGTGAGGTTGGAAGGGACAGACAGAAAGGCTAACCTTTCTTCAAGATCTCGGGGAAAAGCAAAAGAGAAAAGGGTCCAGAGATGGGCGAATTGGCGACATTTAGCATAGAACCAAGCATGGACTATCAGAGGGTCAAACCCAATCTTTCCTTCTCCCTCACCGCGGAGTGAAACCGGGGGAGGCAAATTCCCGTCCCATGGCTATCACAACGACGATTGAGTGCGGGTGAGCGGGTTGGGGAATTGGATAGACTCAATTGGCCAGTCCTCCATGGTTGATTGCGTGGGCCAGAGGCTGAGTGATTTGGAACCAGGACTTTACGAAGAAAAGGAGTGAAGAGCCCGTCGAGATGCCACGCGTTGGACCCGCAAGTAGCCCCTAAACCTGAGCCAAACGGCCGCGCCAGTCGCGACGTCTGTCATGGGCCATGGGCGTGCGTGGCGGCTCACCCAAAGTTGTGGTGGTGGAACTTGGAGCTGATTGCTGAAACCATACTGGACCGTCTCCCGTGGCTGTGAGTCCAGTGGAGAAGCTTAGCACTCTGGCTTGGATTATAGCAGATCCAGACGTTCCAACGCGTCTCAGCAGTCTCAAGGTAAAGCAGATCACCGCAGGCCGGCACACTACAGACTCAAGAAAGAAACCGAACTGCCTGCAACTGTCTGCTGAGCCCCGATCGCAGTCTTTGGCCGGGGCAGCTGGACGGGGTGGGGGCCAGGAACATGTAAGAACCTTAACTCTGAGGGGGCAAGGGTCCAACAGAATCCGCAGGATCAACACGTGGAGCCAGGACTAGCGGATTGGCGAATGACGTATGACGCAAGGGCAACGAGACATTCATGATCGCCCGCTCTGGTATGAGGTCTCAACCCGCCCGCATGCCAATTGGAAATTGCTCAGGGGTAAATCACAATAATGTCACAGCCTCACAGGCCTGCTGCGACGCTGGCACTTTTGAATTTTGAATTATGCTTCTATATATACAATCACGAGCTGTCTGCCCCCTCGTCTTCCTCGCTGCTAACTTCCTCGCCATCAGCAATGGCCTGTTCTCGTCGCTGCCGCGCGCGCTCTCTCTTCTTCTCGAGCAAGCTGTTGAGTTTCTTCGCAACGTTGAAAACCCCGCCAGTGCCAGCCCCGCAGGCAGCGCAGGATGGACTCTTTCGATAACGCTGTAGAGCGCATGCCTCGCAGAAGTAGTGACCACATTTTGTAATGATGGGATTCTGGTACGGCCTTTTGCAGATGATGCATGCGAAGGGGATATTTTCCAGCTCCTCCTCGTCGTCATCTTCATTATCGCCCGTTTTGTCACCCCGTTGTGATACCACCTTGCCGGCCACGTTTTTGCCTTTTGTGTTGACGTCCCAGTCCCGATCTAACTCCCAGCCCTGCTTATAATCTTCGCGCATATGACTGAACTTGCAGGAATCTCCGAAACCACAGTATCCGGTGAGTTTGTAGTCCTTACAAACGTCGGGCGCATAATCCATGTATGTCACTGTCCGCACATTGGTTGGCGCTTTGATGGGGCCAAACTGCTTCGTTGGGGCGTTGGGGTTTTTCTGAATGAACGACTGGTAGTTGGCTGCGCCCTTATAGGTACCGTCAGGCGCATCCGCGGTGGAGGACTCTGGGCGAGCTCGTGTGGACCCTAAGAGGTTCTTTGTGTTCAATTCATCATCGTACCAGTTGGAGTGTTTGGTGGCGTCGTTGGACGGGGCTAAAGGAGCAGCCGCGGCGGCAACAGGCTCATCGGAGTTGTTTGATCGTCGCGCATTTGATGCCGATGATGCAGACACTACTGCGTTCTTCCGACGTCTCTTGATTCTGTGGCCTTCTTCGTCGTCGGAGGATATGAAGCTCGAGTCGGAATCCGCGTCGGGAGGTGGCGATTCAGGCTTCTTGCGGAAGTTTCCCTTTTTGACCGAGCGCTTTTTGAAAGAGACTGGGGGTGCTGCATCCGCCATTTTGAGATTGTACACCGGTTGAGCGAGAGGACTGCTTGAGTGAGAAAAAAAGTGCTTGCTGATAACCTGCAGCACTTCTTTGCGGAGTGGCAAAAACACGTGACATCGATTAGTAACAACTGAACATCACGTGTTTATTTAGCCAACTAAGCAAAATAAGCAAACTAGGCAAACAAGACAAACCAAAACGAGAGTTGTTTTGGGTTTCGCGAACCTTTTTGGACATCTGTTTCGGCACTAGCAGATTGAGTCATCTTTGTTGTTGTGGATTCTTGTTTCGTGCCTGAGCCTGTGACTTTCCCACGCGCTGGTCGGATTAACGTCCAGTAACCTTATTTGTGTCCCATTGTTTGGCTGTTCTGTACTCGCTGTCTTTATCAAATCCGTAGTGGACTTGTAGAATTTACAGTACCGTAGACTGCTGCTCTTTTTTTTCAAGAATTGCTCCTTCAATTTCTTGCTACGTATCAGATCGATTAACCCCCGTAGACTAGTCATCGTTAGTTATTAGCAGACGCTTTTGCCCACTTCTGGCCCTCTCGCGAGGCATGCCTCAGGCCCCGGGACTCATCTTCTGATTCTCGTCTCCCGCGTTCTCTCCCTTCTTTCTTCTTCGTCCCCCCGCCCAACGAGTCGTTCTCGTCTCGTTGTCCAACTGGCATCACGTCCTATACTCGTTCTCTTATTGTTTCACCCTCTCGTTTCTATTCTTTCCCTTTCTTACAATCACTTGTGCTGTTCTTGCCTTACACGTCTTTATCTAATTCCTTCTTTTATTCTATTTCGCGACTTTCTTTTGTCTTTGCACTTTTCAAATTCAAGCCCTTTTGAATAACCTTAATTGAAGCTGCCTGCTGTACGGTGTAGCTGACTATTGCCTCCGCATTAACCTCTTTTCTGTTGTTGTTGTCTTTGTTTTGCGACAAGACGTAATCGCCACGACCACAGCTCAGCTTGTTTCCGAATCGTCCCCTCGCGTGGTTGGCCCGCAATCCCCGGTCGCACGCACTCCCAAGGTTACCCTACGACCACCTCCACAACGCGTTTGTTGTCGTCCTTGGGTCGCTCCCGAGCGGGTTTTCAATTCATCCTCCTATTTTGATTGCCTGACTACAGAAAAACAAAGTCGGCCTTCGCTTTCGTGACTGCGATTTTAGATTCTATTAGTTTTTTATTTTTTGCGCTGCGCTTCCTCCAAGTCGACGACCGATACGGCCACCTTAGCGGATTACTCACCGACCTACGGCGGTACTAATTCAGATCCGTTCCACTACCGCCATCCCCCTCGTCCAAGCACCAATACCACCGTGAATCCCCAGTCGCTGGTCGGCGCAAGTTCGGACAGCATTAGGTGGGATTTGGAAAATCTCGAACGCGAAGGATTGGACGTGAAGTCGAATGATGACTCTCGTTTGAGGCGGGACTAAAAACGACCGAGGCGACGACCTTACGAACCCCCTAACTGCAAATAAATCGTGGTTACAAGGAGCCGCGATCATTTGCAGCCTCAAACCCTTAAAAATGGCCGCTCCTGGAAGTGGAAGCGCCTCGATGATGTCCGTGATAGATGATCCCTTCGTAACTAATCCAGAAGGGGCGCGCAACCCCTTGGAGACAAACCAGTATTCATCCTTTGATGCGCAACTGTTCAGTTTAGACGCCTCTTCGCCCGCACAAGCCAAACGTGCTCTAGAGGCCCATCTAGCGGAAACTGAGCGCCGCCTTGAAGAAGCGTCTAAACTGGGCACCGCTCTCGTTGATCAGCGAAAGGAACTGGAGGATAAGCTGAAAGAAGTCGAGCAACAGCAGGAGGAGGGCCAGATTGGACAAGATCTCCGTCGGAAATTGTCTGAGCTCGAGCGGGAGTACAATGAAATCGGCCGGGAGACTGCACGAGCGTTTCTTGCGCCAAAGCGTCTTGCTGGTGGAGATGATGCGCATTTGGGCACACCCTCTCTCGACCAGAAGGTTTGTTCTCCATGTGCCTAAATAATACACATTGTTGGGGCCAGCTGCTAACCCCTCAATTTCTAGTCACCCCTAAGTCCAGCATTCTTTGCCGGACAAGCTACCAACTCTCCCAGTAAGGTGAGCGTACCGTCACGAAAACAGCGCAACCAACCTTCAAACCGCGTCCATGATATCGAGTTTGCTACCGAAATTTCCACGTCCTTACTTGCCCAAGTGCGTCAACTGCAAACATTGCTAGCCGAACGGGAGGATAGCTTGAAAACTGTGAACCTGGAAAAGTCGCGACTTGAATTGGAGGCCGAAGGATATGCCCAACGGATACGCGCCCTGGACGAGAGCGAGGAACGGTATAAGGACGAGAACTGGGCGTTGGAAACAAAGACCCACGAGCTTATGGCCGCTGTGAAAGAAGCCACAGACCGGGAGGGAAAACTTAATGGCAATCTAGGGGCAGTTGCTGCGGAAAAAAGTGCCATGGAGCGGGAGCTCGAAGATCTAAAACAAGCCAACGCCAAACTTGTTGAAGACCACACGGCTGTCCAGAAGGCCAATGATGCTGAAATCCATCTTTTGCGTAGGAATCTCACCGCAGGAGATACCGAAAAGGCCACGCTTCAGCGGAAACTCGAGGATATGAACAACCAGAACCAAGAGCTCGCGAAAGCAGTCGCCATGCGGCTGCGCCATCATGAAACCGAGTCTACCCGTGAAATCGTGCACCCCCGTGACTCTGATGATGACGACCAAGCCACGCCAGAGAACTCGCCGCCGCCGTCACCGAACAAGTTCACCCCTCGCCATAACCACCTGGAGACTGAGACTCTGCGGAGCTCGCTCGGTCATGCTCACCGTATGATCCAGAACCTGCGGAGTACGGTCCATCGAGAAAAGACAGAGAAGATCGAACTTAAGCGCATGCTTCAGGATGCACGAGATGAGGTTGAGCAGCGCCGCCGCGATTCAACTGCCGCGAATGGCACCAACAAGAAACAAAAGACAAAGGCTGACGCATCGCGCAAATCAGCACGGCCGGACTTGTTGGGAGCTGGAAGGAAGAAGCCCGAAATTGAAATTCATGATTCCGACTGGGAAGACAATGCTGGCGAAATAAGCCCAACCCACAAAGCGTCGATGAAATTTCGCGATCGCCGCGGGGACCAGTCGACTGATGAGCGTAGTGATGCTTATCATACTGCAACAGAGAATGATGATGCTTTCGAAACTGCCAATGAAAGAGAAACCGCGACTGAAAGTGAAGCCTTCCAGACCGGTGTCGAGAGCATGGCTGGCGAGAGCACTGATAGCGATGAGCTTACGGAGACTGAAGATCGTGTCAATAACAGCACTCCACGGGAACGGGTCTCATCCCTGACATTGGCCAAGGCTCGTGACCGCACCTCTTACTACAGCACAGCATCTACCTCTGCCGATGAGGATGATAGTGAAGACCCCGGTACGCCGTCAGCTAGCCAATTCTCAACCCCTCGACACCGCCTCCGGAAGAAGAGGAGTGTTGTGCGTAAGATTCGTCCCTCTGGAGAGGCCCCAATGGCGTTTGGCAGCCGACCCTCAAGTGCGCGAGACTCCCCAGCAACCACCTTCACGCGGGAGTCTTCCGCAGCTCCAGAAGGCCAAAGTCTCTTCGCGGAACTTGCTGAACTTGATGGCGATGAAGACGAAGACGGAAGCTTTGGACCGCCAATGCAATTCAATCCGGAGTCGCCAAGTACGCCACGCATGGCCCTGGGAGCTGATTCAAGGAGGCCGTCTGAGGCCAACCTGGAAGCTCCGCCGAAGCCTACTATGGTCGACTCCGGTGTCATGACCGATCCTTGGGAACCGACAGCCTCAATGGCATCCCAGACCTCGGAGGACGAAACTGTTACTGGTGTTCCTCTCACTCCTAAGAAGGCGGCGATGTCAGATGCCGGTACTGATATGGAAGGCGTGGAGTCACCCAAGTTGGTCAATTCAGGAACTCAGTGGACTCCGCTGAAACCTGACGTAGACCTCAATGGCGACCAAGCCTTGAATGTGCCTACTCCACCGAAGATGGCATGGGATGGGCAAAACGCGGGCGATCAACGAGAGGTCGAGATGTCCGATACCCCGAAGACGCAGATCGAGTTGGATGTTTCATCCATCTCTCATCAAGGAACCGAACCTGTGGCACCAAGTTTCCCAGAACTGAGCACAGCACTGTTCGTGGGCGGGACAACAGAACCAATTTCTCTCCCTGCTCCCGTATCGCCCGAGGTGGCTTTCTCAACGATCTCATCGCAATCCAGCGAACCCAAATCGCCCGTCATCCCTGTCATTCCCGAGCCAGAACCAGCCTACGTACCGGACATGACCTTCTCTCAAATATCAGTGATAGATACACTGCCGGTTGCTGCCAGTCTACCAGTACCAGCGGCTAAACCAGTAGTGTCCCGTTCCGAGCAAGGAACCAGTACAGATGTTGTGGAGTTCTCGATTTCAGCAATTTCTGCAGAACAAACCGATCCTGTCGAGCCTGTTCCTGAAGCCAAGGAAGAATCTGTGGTTCCTGTCCCCATGGTTGTAGATGAGGCTGTCCCTGAGCCGACCCTTCCCGAGTTGAGCATCTCCTTCATACCTCCGGCGTATACCGAGCCAATCTCGCCCGAGATTCAAGAGGTTGCTGTCCCGTCAGTGCCACAATTGTCATTGTCCACGCTCAACTCGGTTGAGACGCCTCCCGTCGAACATGCTCCAGCTGTAGTATATCTACCTTCCCCACCTGTGGTTGATGAGAACACTCCACCCAGTGCAATGGCAAGCTCCAAAGCAATCAAGCATACCCCACCTCAAGTTGTTGTGGATGACAGCGCAGACAGAAATACTACCGATGAAACGGTTACTCAAGAGTTTGGTGAAACATTGCCCCTGGGCGCCATTTCTGGGAACGCAGCCCCTCGCCGCGCAAGAGCGGACTCGTCTCACCACGCTGACCAGGGCGCTCAAACCATTTTATCATCCAAGCAGATTGACCAACTTCTTCTTGACCGCGTTTCTTCAAGACCACTTTCTCCTCCTGAGAGCGACAGGACCAAGGAAATGAACAGCTCACCTTTCAATACGCCCAAGGTGCGATCACGCCCTGTTCCTGCTCCCCAGACCTCAGCCACCTCCCCTCACAAGAGGCCCGGAAGTGCCGCCAGCCAAGCGTCAAGTGTTCAAACCCACCCCCCATTGCCGGTTGACCACAGAGAAGCTATCTTGGCCGCGGAGAAGAAATCAATGGAGCAACGTCCGACGTCTGCTGGTTTGATGGGACCACCACTTGCTCCAGCTTCCGCTTATAGAACGAATGCCGCGCAGCGTCCTCGAACACCGAATGAGTCCGCTGCCCAAGCTGGATCTGCAAAGACAACTACATCGCGAGCCAGCATGAGACGTGATAGCCATATGTCACGACGGTCCTCGGTGTCTTCGTTCGCGTCTGAGCTGGAAGAGCGCTTCAATATGCAGCCCCACCCGCCGTTTGCACCACCCCAGGGATATTCCATGGGAACTGATCCTCGGATGATTCAAGCAATCACGCAAACTATGATCGGGGAATTCCTGTGGAAGTATACTCGCCGCGCCGTGTCTGGAGATATTTCCAACACCAGACACCGCCGATACTTCTGGGTCCACCCATATACAAGGACACTGTACTGGAGCGAGCACGATCCGCAAACTTCTGGTAAGAGCGAGGGTCGGACCAAGAGCGTTCCAATTGAGGCTGTCAGAGTGGTGGCGGACGACAATCCATACCCACCTGGACTTCACTGCAAGAGCTTAGAAGTTGTTAGTCCTGGCCGTAGAATAAGGTTCACCGCAACTACAAGCCAAAGACATGAGACATGGTTCAATGCGCTCTCGTACTTGCTTGTACGAAACGGCCCGGAGGACGAAGATGCAGATAATAATGTTACTCTGGAAGATATTGACGAGTTTAACCCTGGATTCCGCTCTCGATCGCGCCAGACTGCACGCATGTCGGTTTCCTCGGGGCAGAGCCGTGGCACGCGGAATCTACCCAAGCAACGCTCAGGTTCAGCAATGTCTTTGCGCCCGAGTTTGACGCCCGGTCGTGCATCCCCGGCGTATCCCCCGTCGCATTACTCCGATCAGGCTCGCCAGAGCTCCGCGTCTCGCCTTAGCACCATCTTTAACTCGACAATCAAGGGGTCCTTTGGACGTAAGGGCCCTGGATATGCAGCATCTAGTGTGAATGAAGGCAGTCTCCACAACCATGATAGTGTGGAGGATCTTCAACATGTGCACGACCATGCTGAGGATCGGCTGGAAAACGTTCGTGCTTGCTGCGATGGCAAGCATGATGTCAGTTCGCTCTCGAGAACAAGCCGCTATAGCCCTCGTGCCAACCGGATTCACTCCCACCACTAAGCCATCTTCGAAGCGTTTTTAAAAGTCTTGCGTGTTGAAACCTCCACCTTATAGTCACAATTTCGGCGTCATGCGCGAAACAGGTCCTCATCTTTTCGGCTCAACCGCTATTATATCTTTGTTGGCCGGCCATCCCAGCAAGTGAGCGTCATTTTCCACTTATTGCGACCTAAGCCTGCATATCGATTTAGTCATTGGGACTTGATTCTACAATCTGCATTTGCTGAACATTGATGTTTACTTCGAATTTCTGTTATTAGTTCCATCATTACCCCGCATGAACCGTTGGTTTATTTCTTTTGTTGTGACATACTCAAAGGCTGGGCCACTCATTCATTTATAGCCCGGCCGAATCTCCTCTTAACATGCTGCGCCGATATGAGCGCCTGCGCTTCTTGTGCTTTTGGTCTTCCACTCCGACCTTGACCTTGATTTCGGTCTCTGATGACAGCGTTGAGTGCCTATGGTGGTTGTAATACAGGCTGTGTTGTTGGCTGTCTGGATTTTACCGTTTGACTTTGCGTTCTGTGCCAGAAATTGATATATCTAGGCATTTTTATGGACTAGAAAATCACCTTTGGAAGACAAAATATCTAAACTCGTAAGCAGCACCAGTAATCGGCCAAGTACCTAGTAGGACCCGACTCTGTAGACTCGTTTCGGCGTTCGCAGGGCTAGAGTAGAGCTTTCGGCCTTTGCGGGATGTTAAGTATTAGTCATCCCCGCATGAGAACTAAATATAAATCCCCAAATCCCTCGCAGTTTACGCAGTGCTTTGCTTTCTTCCCCTCACGCACCTTCAAACCTGGACAGTCTTGAGATGGCGAGCAACGATCCCACAACGTTGCAATGGCTCCTGAGCCTCACGGAACCGGGGCAAATCCTGGCCATGTCCATGTCTTGTAGGTTACTCCACTGCGTCTGTGTCTGGGTACAGTCTACACCAGTAGCTACCTCACCTCTACATGATAATTAGGCCGGTATTGAAAAAAGGAAAAAGCCTGCTAACAAGGCCAGACTACATCGACGCCAACATAAAAGCCATTCTGCGAGGACAGATCCTAGCACCTATTCTGAATGCCCAGCAGCTTCGCGACGAGGCGTTTGGGAAATTCTGGGTTGCCTTTAGCTGTATTTCTCTCCTTTTACCCTCCGTCCTTACCTTTTCAAATGCAGGAAAATAGAGAAATAGAGAATGTCAAAATCAATTGGGACTGACCAATACCCCTAGCAAACCGGGAGGAAGCACAAGAGGCCCAAGAAACAACAGAAACACCTACAGCCTCAAACCAACCTCTAATAACAACCAAGCCTACAGAAATCCAAGGCTCCGCAGACCTAATCCCACCAATCCTTGCACAGGCAACTGGGCTCGTCTTAGATGTCGGCCCAGGAACAGGAACCCAAATGCCTCTTCTCAAAGCACCGGGCATAAAAGCGATTTACGGCGCGGAGCCGTGCGTAGGTCTCCATGCGGAGCTACGAAAACGCGCTTTCGATGAGGGCTTAGGTGATAAGTATACCATCTTACCATGCAGTGTTGTGAAGAAGGAGCTGGACAAGGAGTTGGAGAAAGTTGGGCTTTTGGAGGATTCTTCTGCGGTGGAGAGGAAAGGGGTTTTCGATACGATAATCACAGTCAGGGTTCTGTGTTCCGTGCCGGAGTTTGAGAAGACCGTTGAGGAATTGTATACGCTGCTCAAGCCTGGTGGGAAGATGTTAGTTGTTGAGCATGTTGTTAATCCGTGGAGGACGCCGAAGGGGTCGATTTTGGCGAGGGTGATGCAGGGTGTTTATCACTTTCTGGGGTGGAGGTGGGTCATGGGAGATTGCTGTTTGAATCGGGATACGGAAGGGGTTGTGAAAGGGGTTGCGGATAGGGATGGCGGTTGGGAGAGTGCGGATGTGGATAGGTGGTTTGAGACGACGTGTATGGCGTATATTGCTGGTGTTTTTGTGAAGAAGGGAGGTTGATGTCTTTCTAGATTTGAGGAGTTTGATTTTATATTAAGTACACTCATTGAGCAGGGTCATTTAGTCATGATATCTATGGGAATAAAAAATATGGAACATAGTAGGTCCTGCCAGCAGAACTAAACCAGGAGAAATAAATATTAAGTTGGTTTTGGCCTTCCTGGCGGCCAGAAGTCGAATAAGTCTAGCGCTTCTGATGTCCACGGTCCCTGCTCATCGTCTTTATCCACAGAAGGGTTGAGCGGACTCGTTGTGGGCAAAGGTCGAGTATGGAGACTGTTGATGGTTGTAGGGTCTGAATATGATTTGCGGAGGCCAGTTGAGCGGGGCCCTGCGATTTTTTCTAGGATTTTGGTGTTATGTTGGCCGGTAGGTAGATCGGAGCGTGATAGCGGAATAGTATTATTTGAATTGTTAAGTTCTGGCGGGAGTTCAGTTGCAGCAGGGTTCGGAGCACATGTTTTGGGATTCACGCTGCCTTCCACATTATTATTGGGTGAATGAATTCTAGATAAAGAAGAATCCGAATCGACTTGAGTGGGGTTTTCTTGGTGGGGTACGGTAGTTTGAAGGTCTGAAAAGACGTTGTCATCGTCTAAAATGGAGTCGTCTGCGATAGGATCATCATCTAATTTAGGACTCTCGTCGTCCAGTGCGGGATTTCCTTGGTGGGGTACGGTAGTTTGAAGGTCTGAAAATAGGTCGTCATCGTCTAAAACGGAGCCGTCGTCTGCAATAGGATCATTATCTAATTCAGGGCTGTCGCCGTCCAGAACTATGACATGACTAGATGCTGCTTGTTTAATCGTTTGGCGTCTAGGACAGTCAGCGGCGATAATTGATTTGTGATGTAGTACATACTGACTGTGACTCTGCTCGAGGTAAGGGGTCTTGTGACCCGGTTTTCTTAACAGGCGCCAGCGATGCCTCTTGATACATCAACTTCCTGCGTGGTTTGCTACCGGACAATCGAAGGGTGCTGACGGATGGTCCGGCAGCAGAGCTGGAAGCTTTAAGGTTTTGCGAAACTGGCTGCGCGGTAGGACGGCCGGAAGAGGGCGGGACCTGTGTCTCGGAGGTACTGTGAGGGCCAGTTGACAATTGCGGCGCCGGTAAGACTGCTGTGCGTCGATTCTGTGATATTGAATGGGGATTTTGACGTGATTGTGTATTTGTGTTCTGTCGTCGCGGTGGAGGGGAGTCCGACAGGTTGACAACGTCTTGCTGACCGCTTGTGATAGGCTCTGGTGAGATACGTTGACGCTTTGCTGGTCGTTCATGGAGCCGGTGCATGCTGATCGGTTTTTGTCTGTGGCGTTGTTCGTAGGGAGAAGGCAGCTGGGGAACAGGTGTTTTCTTGATTCCGAGGAGGTCATTTAATGAACGCGAAGCCTGTTGGGAGGAGACCGATAACCGGGGAGCTGCCGAATGCACGGAGGAGGGTGGTGCGTCTCCACGACGCGACGGCGACGCCTGGTTTTTGTTCTTGTATAGAGAGGAAAGATCGGTCTCCGTCCTTTCTAGCGGCTCACATACTTGAATCAACACGCCTTTATCGAGCTCCAATTCATCACCGTCGTTGATTCCTTCAGGTGCCCGCCAATGCAAATCTCCGATGAAATAGCCGGTATTATCATAGACCATCACGCGCTTATTGAAGGTGTGGTACCGGAGGAATCCATCCTGCCAGCGCTTGGCCTTGCGTCGAATGTCATGGGTGAAGAGGCAGCGGAACTTGACAACGGGAGCTGTGTTTTGGGTTGAGGGGACGGCCAAGCTGGAGGAGCGCGGAGCTACTGAAGAGAGGGGTGTCGACATGACGGAGCGAACCGGGGCCCAAAGCTGGTGCCTTGACGAGAGAATGGCATCTGGTCGGAGGGTAGGCAAACCCGTCGGGGTCGAGATGGAGAAGTGAAGGACAGAAAATGAAGAGTTGAAGATTTAAGACCAGAAAAGAAAGATGCGGAGAACATGTGGCGCCTCAGGCAACAAGGCCGTAAGGCTGAAAGCGAATGAACGGCCAGAACACTTTCTTCGAGCATTTCCAGCAAATAATCCGACGAATTATTGCCTGACGCCCGGACGACCTGAACTATACCAGTTCAGAGCCAGAAGGCGATGATCCCAGAATCCTGGAGGCTCCCCCGCCCACACCCCTGCTCTGGTCGAGGCTGTGGAGGGTCGTTTCTGGATGCTTGCATGGATATTAATGACTGATCTACAGAGGGACAGCGGACTGGGCGGTGGTCCAGAATCCACTACAGTTCGGAGTCGCAATGGGCTAAGACAGCCAACCCTGCGGGCTGCGTCATCAAACGGGGTGTGCAATCTGTCGCCATGAGGCTCCTTAACACCCTCGTCTTTTCTCTCTCTGACTCTCTTGCTACCCCCCGCATACCCTGCCCTTATTTTCCTGGCCTCGCCACCCCACGTTCAGTACCATGCAGTCCGTCCAACGCCAGTTCGGCCGGTTTATGAAGCGATCGGCCGACGAGAGCCAAGTGGCCCTTTTGCTGAGCGACTTTGACCAGATTGATAAATTGCTGGATAAGGTTGGTCGCGAACCATGGATTCTCTCAATTGATGGCACAATGCTAATTGTTGCAACCTCTCAATCAGATTGTTGACTCAACGAGAGCCTGGCGCGATGCCTGGTCCTCACTTCTGACCCATCAAGACCGATTGTTCACCGAGTTTGAAGGACTGTATGCTCCCATAATTGGCAGTTCAGAGGCCACCTCGCACACACCTGTGCCGACTCCAGAGGCCACGCTGGCGAGGTCGTCGAAGATCCGAGTGGAATATGAGGATTTGAAGAAAGACCTTTTCGAGCAACTAAATGGAATCGACGAGCGCATGATTGACCCCGCGTCGCAAGCTAAAGAGCTTCTGACTCCATTAAAGAAGACTATCAAAAAGAGACAGGATAAAAAGGTGCTACCACCTTTGAGCTTCAACCGCTACAATTACCCCACCCTCTATAGCCAGAGAAGCTGACCGCAAAATAGTTGGATTATGAGCGACACACTGGCCGCGTCGACAGTTACTCGAAAAAAACAAAGCGCACTGACCGTGAAAATGCCTCGTTGGCCAAGGCAGAGGATGATCTGACTAGATCGACGGAGGTATGCGCGCCTCGCGGCCCCCATTGGTTAAGTTTCTGACAATCCCAGGAATATCATGCAGCAGATGAGCACCTCCGAAAGTGCCTGCCACCATTGATTGCCGCCGTGTTTTCCCTACTACCACGTTTGCTGGCCGCGCAGATCGAGATCCAGAATAACCTTCTCGCAAACTACTATACTGTGATATACGGCTACTGTGATGAGGAGCAATTCCCCGCAAACCCGCCACAGGAACTAAACGAGACTGTCACGGAATGGGAACAAGCCTGCAATCCTGTGAAAGAACAGATTGAGAGCTTTGGATGTATCGTCAACGGTAAAACCGCACGGTCAAACTCGCAGCCATCGAACGAACGTCGACCTAGCAATACCCTCACTTCGCTCAATAATCGATTCCGCAGTAACCAAAATGTCCCAACCCAACAGTCTCAATCCGATGCGGGACTGGGCGCGATGAATGACAGCAAGCCCTCACTAGGTATACGATCGAAGTCGACACCATACGCGTCATCTGTCCACAGCGCGCAATCTTTGTATAAAGATACAGCCTCAGGTTTATCATCTTCCTCGGTTTCTGAAACCCCTACCCCCTCACAGCAAGGATCGCAATCTGATAGCCTCACTCCCTCTATACCACTCTCAACCAAACCATCATTATCTGCAATAGCCGGTCAAAAGAAGCCCCCACCTCCACCCCCGAAACCACGCAGTGTATCCTCAAACGCGATATTCGTGACAGCGCTCTATGATTTTGGCGGACAGAGCGCAGGTGACCTAGCGTTCCAGGAAGGAGATCGGATTCGGGTCGTGAAGAGGACGGATAGTACGGACGATTGGTGGGATGGCGAGCTTCATGGTGTTAGGGGGAGTTTCCCGGCGAATTATGTGGAGTGAGCGGAGTGATTGATATGGTTTCTTCCAGTGTAGGGAAGGAGTTTCCACTATTCTTATCAAGATAACCCTATAGTCAAGCAATGACATGGAAACACGAAAGCTCTAGTCCAGTATTTGCCGGGCTGACGACCTGTTCTAGTTGTGGTGCAAATAACGGCCTTTGCTAACTCGGCCTTCGAGATGGATATATCCTTGGTTCGATACAGGCTTAACAGTACTGGATAAAGCTACAATAACATTTTTAGCTCTAAAAGCATGAACGCCGGAAAACAGAAATAGGAATGCGTTTCCAATAAAGTTAAACAAGCGAGACTGGCCCCATGCTCTTTACAGAAAGGCTGGCTCTGGAGCGCCATCGTCGGAGCCTGCACCCATCTGACGGCGTCTGCTATTCAAGAATATTTCAACCATGCGCTTACTTGACATCGGTGACTGAAGGCACTGGCCCTGTTCGTACAGACCTTGCTCCATTCTCATATTTTCGTTTGTAACCCTCCGGTTCTCCCGCAGGAAGCGAGCGGAGCGTCTATGAAGCGTCCTCGCATCTTGGTTTGTGGGTGATCTCTTGATTGAGTACTGTCCATACTTCTCGCCGCTCATTATCGGGGAGATGTCGGCGGCCAGCCTCTTTGGAGTTGGTGACTCGGGCATTCGCGGCTGATTGCTCGATCTTGACAACATAGGTGACACTCCAATATTGCCTTGTCCTGCATGCATGGATCGAACAAAAGTCTCCTGCGCTCCAGAATCTCGAAAGACATCGTCGGACCGCAAAGCTGGTATGGAAGGTGTAGGTGTTTGAGTTGAAGGCTCGTGGGCTTGTACCACTGTGTGCAAGCTTGACGACCGACTGAAAGGGCGAGAAAAGTTGCTGTTTGTCGATACCTTGCGGTTCAGTCCGCCATGGTCACTGTTGGCTTCGGCCATGCCTCTGCTTTCCACTCTGATTCTGCGAGTCGGAACAGAGGACGAGAAAGTAGGCGCGTAGCCATCATGAATCTCCGCATTTTCTCGATAATGTCGCGTGGGTGCGGAGTTCTCAATTATCGCCATTTGTGAGTCCATCCAGTTTTGCCAGTCGGCACCTTGCTGGGTGGACACATCGGCGTCTGCGGACTGATCACGTTTGTTTGGAGAACTGTACGCTGTCCTTTCGGAGGCGTATATGGTAGCTACACCAGGCTCCTCTCTCGAATCAGGTGAGTCAGGCCTGGCTTGTCCATTCGTCGACCGAGAATAAACGCTAGGCGAAACAGATTCGGCTCGTGAGCTTTCCCTCCGTATGGCTTCGTTGCCATCCTCGTTGACTTCGGTGCGGTGGGATGCACTATAGAAACCTTTGGTGCGATAGTCTTGCGATTGTCCATAAGGTGTTATTGGATGAACATTGGCAGTTGTGAATGATTTCGGAGAGTTAATTGAGGCATCACTGGGAACCTGGCGGATAGTATGTCGGCTGCGGCGAAAATGTTGCGACCCGCGGGTCGGAATTGCCCGATGCTCTTTGACCTGACCAAGGACAATATCTTCTTCAGAAGATTGGGCGTTCGCTCCACCAATCCGTTTCACCAATGCTGAGAATAAACGGTGGCTATCAACAACATTACTTGGTGTATGTCGAACCGAGCCTTGTGGTAGTGCAGGTAAAACAGGCTGGTCGATGTTTCCCTGCTCCGAGATGATAGAAAGGCGTTGCGCACCCAGTGTCTTGGGGGTTGAAATCGTATTCGCTGCACTCGAGTCCGCCCAACTTGTCACTCGAGAACGACTAGTGGCCAAACTCGCAGAACTCTGCATTCTTCGTATGGTTGACGGCTGATTGGCACCTGATAGGCGCTGTAATTGATCGGTTTCAAAACCTCCGTCATCATCAGGGTAAGTGGGTTCGTGACCGACCACGGTTGAGGGAGACTGCCTCCAATTATGAGAAGATGATGGAGACGCGTGCGCTTCGTCCTGTCCTGAGGCGTTCCTGGAAAACCCAAAAACCCGTTTGATACCTTTCTTGATGGTGGTTGAAAATGCTCTAGCTTTCCCATGGGATTGGGAAGCCTTAAAATGATGATGATCAATAGATGTATCTGTCGAGGATGGGCCCTCAGAAGTACTAGTCGAGCGAAAAGATTTCTTGAACGGCCTATGCTCTCGTCTTAGCTTTGGCATGGATAGCGGTGCCCAATTTGCGGAATTAGGGCTGCTGAGCATATTTTGCTGATACTGCGCGCGTGCCAACTGAATGGCTGCGTCTTGACTTTGTGCATGTCGCAGTGTGTTCTGGGGCCGACCTTCACCTCTCAAGAAAGACATAGACCGTCTCAAGGTGCGATACAGTCTCGGGGGTTCAGAGGATTGCCCGCGACTAGAGATACTAGGGGAGTATGACTCGGTGGATCCCAATCCGGAAGACGTATGAGAAGAACGCTGTTTTGTTGAGAACATCGACCGGGACTTTCGGAGACGGCGATAGGAGGAGGGAAGTGACGCGATTCGATCTTCAAGGCCGCCAAATTCACTGATAGATGGCAGGCCTGCTGCCCATGGCTGATCGGCCTCTGCGCTTTCGATAGATGAAGATGCCGAGTGACGAATAGGAATATCATCCGGAGCAGCCGAACATCCTGGCGAGCAGGTAGACTGCTTATACCTCCTGGGAGGGACCGCCATGCTGCGAGGACCACCTAGACGGCCGTACGAACCGTCGGATAGCGCTGAAGATCTTTCCACAGAGCGCGACATGGCCATGGCCCTGGACGCTGCGGCTGTTGCAAATGCCCGAGCAAGCTCTGGATCCAAGGGCTTTGACTTTAGGGAAGTATCGTGACTGAGACGAGTAAATCGAGTAGAATTGGGTTTTCGCAGGGTGTCTTTTGCGCTCATGCTGCGAGGAAAAAGATCCTATTATACTGGCTTAGATCTATTCCGGAAAATAGATGCGTGATAGACAAATGACATGCAATATAGAGATGGAGCAGAGATGAGCTGCCTTCGCATTGACAGATGCTGATACGGATGGTAAGAGGGGATTTGGGACCTCCAAGGAAAGCACGAAGGAACGCACTTTCCTGCATATTGGAGAAACCAAGGCTACTTGCAAAGGTAAACATGCTGCCATTGTCGCAGTTTCCCGAAATGGAAATATCATGAACTTGCAGTGGACCCGACCTCATGGATGAGAGACGTTCATACATTGGGACTGTAGAAATGGCCCGAGCCCTGGAAGACCCTAAAGGGCCAGAGTCTTGGATACTACCAACATCAGGAACATTTTCAACTGTAATTGGCTGGTTCTTTGATGTTGTTGTAAGTGACTCAACTCTCGCAGATCTGCAGGCTGTGCTTGAGGCTGTGCTTCTATGTGACTCAGCAGTAATGAATGCCAAAGAGACAAGAACAAAAAGAGTCATACTAGTGAAAGCGACAATAGTAATAAATACTAGGGCCATAAAGGTAACGTGAGCCTTTGGGATAAAATCGCTAGTAAGAAGACCTCGACACCCACCAAAATATGGATTTCGCAGAACCGGTACGACTTGACGGAAGTACGCTGGAAGGCGGAGGCCAACTGGTCCGCATAGCAGTCGCATTGTCTGCTTTAACAGGACAGGCCCTTGTAATTGACAACATCAGAGGCAATCGTTCAGGCAAGACGGGCCTCAAAGCTTCCCATCTAGCTGCGATCACAACTCTCGCAGAGCTAAGCGGGAGTCAACTCGTAAAGGCGCAGGTAGGCTCATGCTCTGTCGGGTTCTATCCTCCGCCACGCGAGCATGGTCAAGAAGCTCGCCAGATCAATTCAAAAATCGATATCCGCCTACCGACCCCAGGCTCTGTTTTCCTGGTGTTCCAAGCGCTCTATCCATACCTTCTGCACTCCACATCCGCAGACCAAATCCGCTTGAGCATCATTGGTGGTACCAACGTCTCGTCTTCGCCATCATTCGACTATGTCTCCCAGGTGCTTATTCCTAATTTCGCGCGGGTTGGGCTGCCGCCACTTTCTGTGCGCCTGGAGCAGCGTGGGTGGGGGATGGGTCACGGACAGATGGGAAAGGTGATCTTTACGGTTGACAGTTTGAATGTGCGGAGGGGAAACGGCGGGTCTGACGGCCACACCCCGACCCACGAGATTGATCTGCAGCGCTGCCGGCGCGGTACAATTTCCAAGATCGACATCACGGTGCTCGCCCCTGATGATCATCTCGATCAATCTGAGACGGGCTCGCAGTACGCCAAGGGAAACGCAAAGCCCGGGCGCTCAAAAAAGGCTGCTCGACAACATGTTAATACCGTGGAAATTGATAAAGCGGAAACTGTACGCGAATTCATGGAGCGTTACACCCATAAATCCCTTCGCAAACGGCTCAAGGAGTTACCCGGAGCCGTTTTTACCCACCGCTCATCTGAAGAAAATGATCTGGGAGTCGTCCCCATCCAGACCCATACCACTGAGATCACGCATCGTCGATCATGCATGTACGTGTTGATCGTAGCACATACATCAACTGGGTTTAGGATAGGGCGCGATGGGTTATATGGGTCATTGAAGGGTGAACCAAAACCCAAGAAGCGCCAAAATAAGCCGCGAGAGGATATGGTGACGAGGGTAAAAGGATTGGTTGATGAATGTGTGGATTACTTCGCTCGAGAGCTTTATGACCCTTTGCTGCAGACGAGCCCAGACGGTCCAGAGAACGCTGGCCACCAACCCTGCGTTGATGAATACATGAGGGACCAGCTGGTGGTGTTTGAAGCGCTGGCAAGGAAACTGCGAAATACAAATCAACAAGATCTTGAGAGTCGGGAAGATGAGAGATATTGGAGTCTGCACACGCAGACAGCTCAATGGGTCTGTCAAGAAATGCTGGGGCAGAAGTAACAGCTACAATAGAAAAAGAAAGACGAGGGTGAATAGTAATCAAATCCATAGTTTTCATGATGTTTCCGAAAGCATCACAACATCTTCCATCACTTGCATTCTATTTTCCGCCGATTAAAACAAGAGCGAGGGGAGAATAGCGGGACTGCCAAAGGCTCCGTCTCAAGTCAAATATGTACTTCATACAGGAAAGGATATCAGGAACATTAGAAAAAGGGAAAGAAACAATCAGTGCTAGCCGCCTGGACCTAGGTATTTGTGGAAATCGAGATAGCCTCCCTCCGTATGGTATATGTAAACTCCCGGCAATGCATCAAGTCAGAGCATCAATGTAGACGATAATAAGGAAATTGAAGGAGAGAAGTGAAGAGAAGGACAGGGAAAGGACACAGCGAGGTCTCCTTGACACCGGTCCCAGCCTGCAGGACCCTTGCAATCCGGTTGAAGGTCTTTGGGTCCCTCTGCGCCCATTTCGCGTCAATCCGACTCGGTAGTTGTTTGCAGCAACGACCTATGCCATCTCTCGGGTTATCATCGCCTTATAGGGAGAGTTCTGGAGGATTTCGGATGGGAGTGCACGACGGTAGTCCCTTGGCTGAGCAAAGGGGGAAGCCGAGGCCGGACGACGCAGGTTCAATTGCTGAGGGTTCTCTGGTTAGCTTGAAGACAAAACAAAGACGAGCTGCAAAGAAGGAACGTACAACACAGTCGGGGCATTTGCCTCCCGAGATATTAACACGGCCACGGCACCCGCGGGGATAGTTGGCGCAAGAGAACATTATGAAGGTCGTTGATAGGTAGGTAGGTAGGTAGGTAGGTTGGTTTTCTTGTTTGTGTTCAAGTTGGAGCGATTAGAGTAATAGGTAGATGCTTATTCCCGTCAAGGGAGACTCGGCTGGCGCTGGGAGGAGAGAAGTCTTGTCCGGATCAAGCTGGAAGGAGCGACAGAAAGGAACGGAACGGACAGGCGAAAGAGAGCGGAGGGAGGATTATAATGAATGAACGACAATACAATGTCAGGTTGGAACCTGGAAAAAGCAAAGAGAGGTACGGATGGAAAGGGAAAAAGAAAAGAAGATTCGAAGAAGGACTGGAAAGCAAGAGCCCAATAAAACCGACGACCTGAGCAAGAGCCACACGACAATTACGTCAGGATCGAGCGCCGTTTTGTCTTGCAGCGACACTAAGCAGGGAAATTGAAGAATTCGGAAAAGGATCGCAGCCCAAAAAACGCTGTCTTGGAGTGCTGGGGCCCGCTAAATGTCTTAGTGCTGAACTTCTGCCGGTTGGACTGCGCCACTGTGAATAGGGGCGGTGCGGTGCGGTGCTTTACAGATTCACACAGTGAGCAGTTCACACAGAACCAAGGAATGAAGGAGCAAAGGGCAAGAATGACCGGCAATAAGCACTGAAATGGGCTGAGCCTTGTGTCTGTCTTTGTTTCGTTGCGGGAAGCGAGGAGTGCCAGGGCAACCTGAGGTCTTGCTGCTGGCCGGGGATTTATATCCTCAATGTTTCACTAACACGAAGAAACAGGAGTGGGATCATATAGTAGACAGCGAATAATATCGCAGACACAGGCGGGGTCCTGCCAGAGAAAATAAACAATTAATGTGCCGTATTATTTTCTCGGGGGCACGAATTTATTGAATAAATCGATCGAAAATTTACTGATCGCAAGGCAGCCATCATCCAGGCTCTGGTTACTCTGGGCATCACCGACTGGCGGACAAGGTCAAGCCCTGAGAGGCTGAGCGTCAATGGATCAGCCAACAAACTTTGTCTGGCGTTGTTTATTATTGGTCTTGCCCTGGTGCCTTGGTTCAGAATCTCACGCTCCAGTGAAGTCGGTCAGTAATAATAATAATCTACTCCAACCTCGGTCGAAGAGTCTAAGAGTCTAAGACTCGAGTTTGCGCCCTGGTCCAGATTTCCGGGTCCCCCCGGACCACCTGGGCAGCAGTTTTATCCATTTTTACTTTAGGCCTCAAGAAGCAACGCGGTCGATCAGTTCCCGAGATAGATCCAGGGGGAACAAAAAGGCCTGATCGTTTGAGGATGACTCGCATACTTTTGGCTGATGCTCGAGGAGTGATTACAGGGAGGCATGGGCCGTCTCAGAGAATCATCCCACAGCCGCAAGTCTGTACAGACATTGGACAGCACGTGCGCTGCTGGCCGTCTTCCTGGGAATCCTGACAGTTCCATAGCCACCGAAGTTTCGGGTAGATGGGGCAGGACTCCCGTCAGCAGGAAGCCGCATCGTCGCGTCTCGATCTTGGGTCTCGTCTCGTCCAGCTCGGCCCCATCCACTCGATGTTTCTGGAACGTCGCCTAGCAAGACAGCCCCATTCCTGGCTCCGTGGATTTGACCATTCTTTCATGATTGTAGGCCCATAAAGCGAGCAGAAATTTCGCTTACCGGCAGAAGCGGAAGCCGCGACCAATGGAATCCAGGGGACTTGCTTTCCTTTGTGTTCCCCTTGTTCGGGCCCACGGCGGTTCACGGTGTTGTCAAAACGAAGCTGGCAGGGCTGCTGCCTTTTCCTTCTGGTTTGCATCCGGAAGGCCGTTTTCTTGGTCCGGGTGACACTTGTCGATCTCTCCATCTCGGTCAACAGTCTTTACAGTTGATTCCATTGGAAGTTGTCTCGCCATTATGTACATCCTTTGTACAGCTCGCATCTCGGATCCTCGACCCTTTCGTTTTCGGGCTGCATCGGTGCCGAAACAACCAGTAGAAGTAAGTCGAGCGCGGTCTCCAGGCAATCTCGGAATTACCTAAGTAAATCCGTTGTCCTGTCAATTAATGGAGTTGGACCGACGGCCCAAACGCTCCAGTAAGCAAGGATTATAAGACTGTGTATACCTTCCGAGGTTGTATGTAGTAGAGAGGCAGGAGAGTACTAGAGGTGGGTGCGAGCCGTGGCTTTTCCAGGTTGCCCAAGCTTCAAGCGCCGGGACCGCCGTGCATATTCATCCCTGCTGACAGGCCGCGTCTTGACCTGCAATCCCTGAAATTGGAAGGTGACCGGAAAACCCGGGAGATGGTTGGGATCACTTGACAAGATCAGGTGCTGGACATGGATGCTTGCTTGGTTGCTGCTCTGCAACGTTGCCGTCATCCCGCCTCCTACACCTTCCCAGACACAGACATCACTCTTGTTACAGTTCCCTGATTGCTCCTCTCACAACCCAATCATCGTCGCCCGTCCTGGTTTCGAAAGGTGGATTAACTGCCTATGAACGCTCCGGAAACTCCAGCACAAGACCGGAGATATGCATATACGTGGCTAGACCACGAGTTAATTTGATGTCCAACGAAGGCGCTGTCTTTCTCAAACAACCTTGGAACTCCATTAAAAACAGTGCCGCATTCGTCATCTTACATATCATTTCCTCCTGGCCGCTGGGTGGTGGGGGATATCAAGTTTTCTTCCACACAGCACGTACCCCGGCATCGTATGATTCGTGGTTGGCGTGGGCAAGCGGGGATGTATACCATTGTTAACATTTAGAAGCAACCCCGGAAATCAGATGCTAGAATGAAATAGAGTCTATACGAGCGCTCAGCCTCCTTCCTCGTTTCAGGATGCGAAATCGGTGGAGACACTGGCGGCCAGAGAGCTCCCTGATTCTGTCGTCGCTTCGAGGTCGAATTCTATCATGCAGATGGTGTGGGCACACTCAGACACACGGCCCTGATCCTCTTCATCAGAATGTCAATTGATCAGCAACATTGCGTGCATGCATTGCGGTGGACAGGACCCAGCTGGCACAGGTTCACCGTTTCCGATTAACCGGCTTCCTCCAGTTGAGTGTGGGAGCTGCGACACGCGACCTATGAGAGGAGCGAAGCAGGTTCGTTTATATGATTGCAGGAGGAATGCACGGCAATCAGAGCAAAAGCCCACCCCCCCACTGCATCGCGCGTTTACGATCCCTATGTGGAGATAGATCTACGGCATCTGACATTTGCAGATGCCTTCAAACTTCGATGGTTTGATGCATATATGAGCATTGATTGAATACTGCTTCCTATCCCTATAATACGGGCCTAGAACATTCTAGAGCAGGCGTGTTGTTCCAATGGCGCGCAGTTTAATATTCCAAGCTGTGCCAACAGCCCGCCATTCCAAGTTCGAATTCAGTAATTCGACGACCCGAGGATCTTCCGACGTCGAAACCAGGCCACGGTCACAAATGCGTTGGTGCTCCATGGGGAGAGTATGTCGAGCCGCTTCTCAATGGCCATTGATCATCTTATCGCAGAGAGAGTTTGCATTTTGCGCTCTTGAACGCTCCCCCCCTGTGCTGGACTGTATAAACTGCTGAAGTCAATGGTTGAAATAATGCCACATGCCCAGCACCTCCGCAGACGTTGCGTTGTGCAGCGAGTAATGTCTTTGGGGGCTAGAAATGACCGTGGAATTTCACTCATCTGAGCGAATACTCAGGATCGAGGCGGTGCTCGTTCGCTGGGATCCTAAAGGATTTCCGCCCTCCCCCTCTGTATGGGACAAGTCTTTTCATTACCTGTCAAGGAGGCGAATCCTCGTCAATCAGAGAGGTTTTACCGGGAATACCCTCACCGGTACAGCTGAATGACCAGAGATATGATATTTGGAATTCTGCTCTGGCCTTTAAATTTCTGGCCCACCAACATCACAAGTCAGACTCTGTTCGTGTGACTCGCCGGTTTTCTTTATTTCTGAACGAGTGCGCTCGACCTCGTCCCTCGACGCAACCAATCCTAATCGTGATGTCTCCATAACAAAGAACTGAATATTTTCGTACTTTCCCCCATCGTGGGACTTTTGCCCCCCGGTGGCCCGTATTGAATGTATAATAGACAAAGGAGGAGGAATCAATTGCCGCGCATCAGATTTTCTGCTCGCATCGCCTTTCACGGTTTACTTTACGTGTAGCCCAGTTTATGGCAGGTGATTCTCACCCACTACTAGTTCAAAATCCACCGCTAGACGCCGAAAAAGCGTCGGGTATTAAATAGCGAGCGGGGCGATGTTTTCTCAAGGTCATTCGGGGTCCACATTGGCTAGGGACGCCCGGCCTTCTTTGTTTTTGCTTCATCAAGGAGGACTGGCGGTTGTTTCTACAAGTGCACTCGCTCGCCTCGCGCAAAGACTCAGAGAGCCAAGAACAGAAAGATGATATATGTATCTCGAGGCTTTTGAGGACAAAAGCGCATGTCGCCTGCTCTGTTCGTCCACCTGATGCCTAAAAGTGACTCAGCTCTTTGTCCCTGGAATCGAAGCCGAGGAATTGGGCCCTTCAACGAGCCAGACGCAATATCGCTGCGCCGAGACTTGCGTTGCTTACATGTGGTCCCTATCCACTTCTAAACTTCTAAAATCATGCCTTATTATATTTATTTTATTCAAATATCCAAAGGGGGAAAGTATACTTCCTAGCAATGGGTACAACGTAGTGGGGCTAGGCTGACCAGCATCCATCAGATAGGAAAGAATGTTCCACAATCATGTATTGCCATTAACCAATTTGATACATTAGTGTGCTGTCACCTAACTGACCGGCTTATTCTCGGGTGGTATATCTTCCTTCGCTAGGAAAATTTAGCTGGAAAAGTGTTTGCCGGCGGCTGGCATTTGATGTTGGGATATGATAGGTTTTCAGAAGTCGTTTATCCATGTCAGCTCCCGGCTGAAAGCCGCGCTATGGAAGTAACTGGATTCTGCCTGACCAGAATAGCTCGGATTGTCCAAAAACGGTGAATGTAGTTTTTGCGCTGCCATACTGTTGCTGCATGCATGCATGTGTGTGTGAGACTCATTTTCATACCATATTTGTGTTGTATTAGGGATAGCAAAATCATGAACTGAGTAGTGACCGTATGATAAACCATGCGCCGAGAATTCCGATGGTGGAAGCAAACACCATTGCGTTGCCCTCACGGGTCAATCCTAGGTATGCTAGGCATCCAACGAAGTATTCCTTCTTCCGCGCCACGTCTCGCCGGTGCTCCCAGTCTGGATCGATCGAGAATGGTGCTACTGTTTCGGGCTCATTTACGGCTCGCCTGTCAGACACGGGAATAGAGACTGCAAGAGCAACGGGGCGATGATCTGAGGTAGGTGACACCGGGAGAGCGTCATATTTCAGGACTTTGACTTTCGATTCATCGCCCAGCCCCGGTGGGGTGTCTAGGAATAGTATCCGATCACACCAGCTGGGCCACCGATGGCTCGTCCACTTCCATTCCGGAGCCTTGTCGGCCTGGGCTGGATCCCGCGCAGCTAGCTGCGCGTCACGGTGATATTTGTAAGTTGGCGGGAACGCAATGGCGGCTTCAGATAATCCTTGAAAGCAGCGAGACTGCTGCATTTCACGTTTCAGTTGGTCGTTTTTCAAAAGCTGGCTGTAGTGGAATGGGTCGCTCGGTTCCGCATCTGCTTTTGGATACTTAAACGAATCCTCCTTCGTAGGGAACCTGTCTGCAGTACGGTAATTCAGATCGCCTCCGACAAATAGGTAATTCGATGGCGTAAATATCCCTGGATACTTGCTGCCCGATTCAGAGGAACCTGGTAGCAAAGCTGCACTCTCCCCCTCGTCCTCATTTTGTTCATTATTGGGGGTGCTAGTGCGCCCTGAACCACTAAACACCAGTCTCTCAACCATGCTACGCCAATCTGAATTTCTGCGAGCAACAGCATCCTCCATAGGCGCGAGATGTGCAGCAATAAGAGTGAGGTCAACACCTGCCTGTGGGCCTCTGTGGCTCTGGTAAGATAGTCGCGACGCAACGGCTGCTTTATTACCTATATCCTGGAAACCAAAGCCTACCCGTGCAATATCAGGGTGTGATAAGGAGTTGACCACGTCTGATCGAGCAAAGACCATCAGACCGGTCATACCGCTGTTCTCGGTGACGACATTGACATATTGGGTATCGAACCGCTGGAGCGTAGCGCGATCCACCGCCTGGGTAAAGGATGCAAAATATGGCACTAGGAATGATCCGCCTAGGAATGCGTAAGCCAGAGGAGCGATTTCTTGAAGGCTGAGCACCAGGAGATCGGGGAGCGGGGAGCTGGAATTGTCGGTGACTGGGAGGGCGTCGAAGAAGTGGTTGGAAAAGTGTTCCACGTCGATTGGAGTGAGGGCACAATTGTACGTAAGGAAATAGATTCGGAGGGATTCCATTATGAACGATATCCTCACAGCAAATGTTGAGTAACTTGAGGAGGATGAATACGGGCAGTTGAATGCTTTGTGGGTGATGACGATGACGATATGTCCATGTGATAAGAGTCTATCTTATCGCTTATCGATAAGAATGGACTTCTTTTCCGTACAAGTTGTTTATCAGCTTTATAGGCATCGCCCAGTAGGTGATGGTTGCTATATAGCTGTATAACGCCTTCTATAAGTGAATGTTTACTCTACAGCTTTCCTCGCAGTTCCTCTTCTAGCTCAACTAGGAGGATCCCTTCAGCCACGTCCTCCTCTTCCTCCTCCATCTCGAATACCCACTGTGCGCGTCCAGTCCGTGGGCTCCTGACCTCGAGTTCCATTTTCATCTGTTTAATGAAAGCGACAACCTGATTTTCTTCCACAATATCACCAGGTGCCACGAGAATTTCAATCAGCCTACCTGACAATGGAAGCACAATATGTCGTGCGTTGCGGGGGTCTCCACGGCGATGGGACGAGACCAAGGCCGAGGCTGAAGTATTTGTTGTTGCCATCTTCATCCGATATGCTGTGGCGGCTGAAGCTGTGGTATATTCGACCTCTGCTGAGATTGACGAGGGGAAATCATTTTGCAGTACTCGTGTGAGCTGAAGATGGTGTTTCTGCTCTTGCGTCTCTTTTTGCTGAGCACCCAGAGGCTCAAGAGTGATCGCCCACGAATCGCCTGGTCGAAACAGTAGACTGGACTGGGGGATATTTTGACCACCAGAAGGCCGAGATATCTGGACGGAGGCCTGCAGTGAACGTGAAATGCTATCTCCCAGCTGCATCGCCTGGTCGAGGTGCTTCTCTAACCACTGCGTGTCTATATTGCCGCTGAGGAAGTCTTCCTGGCCGATGATCCCTCGCAGCAATTCCAGATTTGATCTGACACCAGCAATCCTTGTATCCGCTAGCACTCTTCGTGCTTTCAGGACTGTTGCTTGCCAACTCAGTGAACCGGTAACAATGATCTTGGCTAGTACGTTGTCGAATTGTGCGCCGACCACAACGGGGCTGAGACCTGCCATGTCGACATGGGTATCGAGGCGGACTCCGTTGCCAGTGGGGACGCTGAACTCTGTCACCTTACCCACGCTCAACGAGAAATTAGCGCGTGGATCCTCTGAACATAATCGAAGTTGGATTGAGTGGCCCCGGGGCTCCGGACAACGACCTAGACCAAGCTGAGTGAGAGAGTATCCCTGAGCAATCAGGAGTTGGGACTGGACGAGGTCAACTCCAGTGATAGACTCAGTGATAGTATGCTCCACTTGGATGCGTGGGTTGATTTCTAGGAAATAGAACTCGCCAAGCTGCTCGTTGACTAGGAATTCCACGGTCCCCAGAGATTGGTATCGAATTGCCTTCATTATTCGCACGGCTGCGTCTGCTACCTTTTCCACCAAATCGCGGTTTTGGTCACGAATTACTGATGGTGCAATCTCAACAATCTTTTGGAACCGTCTTTGCACGCTGCAATCTCGCTCCCATAGGTGTTGCACGTCGTTGCCGTCCCCGATTATTTGGATCTCAATGTGGTGAAACCCGTCCACGGCTGCTTTCTCCACGAAAATTGTCTGTGAAGGTGACTCGGCTGTAGATGCTCGAACTGCGTTCTCTAGTTCATCGTCTCCACGTACGAGCCGGATTCCCCGTCCTCCGCCACCATCAACGGCCTTAATCATGACGGGATATCCGACATTATGTGCAAATGCCTTGATCTGCTCCGGGCTTGTTGAAGCGCGTGATGAGCCTGGTGAAGCGGCCGGATTGTATTCCAATGTTGGTAAGACGGGAACATTATTCTCCATTGCCAATTGCTTCGCTCGAAGCTTGTCTCCCGTGCGATCTAGGATCTCCCAGCCAGGCCCGATGACCATAACCCCAGCATCCTGCATGCGTTTCGAAAACTCTGCATTCTCACTAAGAAAGCCGTATCCTGGATGGATAGCATCTATTTCATGTTGCTTGATTAATCGGGTGAGAAGCTCGATGTCCAAGTACCCGTCAGGGCCAATTTGTAGGGTGTGCTGGGGGCGCCCAATATCGCAATGGGAGCGATCATCCTCCGTATACAAGGCGAATGTCTCAATACCTGGACATGCCTCTCTTGTGGCCTGGAGAATGCGAACGGCAATTTCCCCTCTGGCTCATTAGCAATGATGATCGGCGTCAGCAGTCTTGGAAGAGAGCCACACCTATTTGCGACTAGCAATCGCTGGATCTGACGTGCGGCTGACATGCTTATACTGAATATGTGAAGATACTATGGAGATTGACGTTTTCCGGGGTATTCGAGTTGGTAATGTATGGTGTATGTTGTCTCTCCGACAACGTAACCCTCGGTCCTCGGTCTTCGTGCTTACCCCTCATGAGGAGGAAATTGATAGGCGAGCTGTTACATGACAGCACCATCTACTTGATCTACTTTATTGTATTGAGACATCATAATATTTGAAGATGCCAGACGATAAAAATCCCGGCACGTCAGCGACGAAGCGGCTGCGCCAAGTGTCATCGCATCTAAATCTCCCTGCAGATTATGCTGACGTGCGTGAGCAAATCAAGACGCTCCAATCGATCGCTGCAACACCAGATCCGTCCCGTCGGGGCTACGTCCGACAAAAACAAGCTGGTAAATTATGGGTACGCGAACGACTTGAACAGGTTCTAGATGCGGGCAGTTTCGAGGAAATCGGATCGTTGTCTGGAACGGTAGAATGGAAGAAAACCGGACCCATGAGGGAGAAACCAGTTTCTTTTGTCCCGAGCAATAATGTCCAGGGGATGGGGAAACTTCGCGGTAGACGTGTGCTATTGACAGCGGACGATTTCTCTCTACGCAGTGGCCATGCAGACGGCGCATCGGCAGGGAAGACGATCTACCTAGAGAAACTAGCGGTAGCGCTCAAAATACCTGTGGTTAAACTGGTCGATGGCAGTTCTGGTGGGGGTAGTGTCACGACGATTCGAACAGAAGGCTGGAGCTATCTTCCCTACGTGCCGATGTTTCACCATGTCATCCAGCAATTGAACGATGGCATTCCGAACGTCGGTGCGATCCTGGGTCCTGCGGTATGCGTATCCTTACACTCCGTGACTATATATGGATCACAGCTAACACGAGCAGATCGGACTTGGAGCTGCCCGTGTCACTTCGTGCCATTTCTCGGTGATGGCCGCTGATGTAGGTGCCCTATTTAACGCCGGTCCAGAGGTAGTAAAGGGTGCTACCTTCGAAGACGGTCTAGGCTTTCAAGACCTGGGTGGACCTGCGATTCACTGCACCAACGGGACCATTGACAACATGGCCGCCAATGAAGCCGAATGTTTCGAGCAGCTTCGAACAGTGCTGAGCTACCTCCCTAACTGTGGTCGATACAATGCACCGCCAGTAGTTCCCTGCAATGACCCAGTGGATCGGGAAGACGAATCGCTACGTCGAATTATTCCCCGCAAGCAAACCCGGATGTACAATCCCTGGACAATCATCAAAAGCGTTGTCGACCATGACTCGTTCTTCGAAATTGGGTCTCTCTGGGGCCGCACTGCTATATCAGGATTGGCTCGTCTCGGCGGACGTCCCGTGGGAATCATATCGCTAAACTGTGAAGTAAACAGTGGTGCCCTAGACGCAGCAGGGAGTCAGAAGCTTGCTCGCTTATTGAAGTTGTGCGACGTAATGAACCTTCCGGTCTTGCAATTCGTTGACGTCCGTATGTACTTTCCCGTCCTCTAATAAGCCTCCAGCTGACTTGGATACAGCGGGCTATGCCATCGGAACAGTAGCCGAGCGAACCGCAACAATGCGATGGGGTATCGAACTAGCAAAGGCCTATTTCGGTACTACAATACCTATATTCAGTGTGATAACCAGGCGCGCATACGGTGTTGCTGGAGGCGTCATGCTAGGGGCACGAGATCCCCATATCCAAGTCGCGTGGCCGTCCGGACAATGGGGGTCACTACCTCTAGAGGGTGGTATTGAGGTCGGACACCGGCATGAACTGCGTGAGGCAGAAAAGCAGGGTAGGAAGGAAGAGCGGTATCAGGAGTTAGAAGAGGAGTACCGCCGGTTGATGAACCCTGTTCGAACGGCGAATGCGTTTGGTGTTGAGGAAATTATTGACCCGAAGGACACCCGGAGCGTAGTTTGTGGGTGGGCGAAGCATGTTTATAAGACGCTGATGCCGATTAGACTTACGGATCGGGCGTCTGGGAGGATTCATCCTTCATTTAGCTGATTGAGGATGGTTTGAACGTCGGGAGAAGCGCATTCTATACCATGGAAAGCATATAGCAGGTAGCAAATTAGTATTCTTGAACTATATACCTACTCAGACAAGGCATTTCTCTCCGTTAATATAAATATCAAAACCTATATTACTCCGCGCCAATCACACAGAGTCCATCTTGTCAATTATTTTAGATATATTAAAGAGTGGAGCGCCGTCAGCCCTGAATCTGGGTGTCGTTCATTTAACCGAAATGATGGCTTGGCAGCGTTTTGGCTATTGATAAACTGGATGTACCCAGTCTCAGGATCAAGATTATTATTCCTGCAGAGATGACGGCATTCACGGTCGTCAATGGCCAGATCTATACCCCAGGCTTGGCTATTGTTGATGCACCGCAACCATCAACCCCACTAGGAGGAGGCAAGTCCCACTATCTAATTATTTAGTATAGAGCCCCAACCTGACAGGGACTTCTTCAAGGCACTCTCCACGTCGCCCTCGATGTGTCAGGAAATGGCCAGCTTTCACTCTCTCCATCTGACGATGCGCCGACGCGTTTCCACGAAATAACCCTCTTCCTCACCTCCTCTGAGAAGGAAAAGAACCTGACAATATCAAACGGCACATCCATCGACTCGGACGATAAAAAGTCGCCATATGTCGGGCCCATCCTTGACCTTGAACCTTCATCAACAGTGAAACACGTCAATTGGATTTGGCCCGATTGCTTTGTGGGCGAAGGGGATGGAGATGGAGACTCCGACTCAGCGAGGGGAAACTATAATATCTCGATGCACCAGGGGTTTCGCTGGAATGGGACAGACTATTACACAGTTTTTGATTTGCCGATTTCAGTGTCGAATGGGATTGAGGAAAGCGATGACAGGGTTGATTGTGCGTTGTTGGAGAATCAGTATGAGCCCGGGGTCATGGCCGCAAGTAATCAGTCGATTCCAGAGCAGCCGTGGGTTGGGGAAGGGGCCGAAACTGTTGTAATTGACGATGAAAGTGGTGCGCAGAGAGTGAAGAGTGTGAAGGGGCTGTGGTGGGTTGTAGCTGGGTTGGTGCTCTGTACATATCTATAATTCACTTATTGGTTCCGCTTATCCGCTTCTCCCCGCACTTTTCCCCATCACTCCTTCACACCAGCCAGCTATATCTCATTTGGGTGACGGAAATGAAATTTATGGTCATCGCTCAACCAAAAATTCCGTCTTAAATATGTCGCAGGGCCAATGGCAGTGTGGGCTGTGTTCAACGCAATTCACTCGTGCAGAGCATCTCCGACGGCATCTCAGATCTCGTATGTCGTTTTGACCAGCAGCAACATCCCTTCTAACTAATGAGATAGACGAGAACAAAAGACCATATGAATGTAGTCTCTGCCAGCGATCTTTCACACGACGGTATGCGTTGGTCCTTGTCCAGCAGAACGACTCTGACTATCAACAGAGACGCGAAGACTCGTCATGAGAAGACATGTAAAGTGCGGCACAGCGAGCAAGATAGTTGCCTTGGAGATGCAACGCAAATACCTACAAGTTCCATGCAGATTCCGACTAATGGGTTCGATCACATGTTTCATGAGTTTGAGGACGAGTTCCTAATGAATATGCCCTCTCCGTCTGACTTCTCTGCTCTGGACCGGCTATATGGGACACATATAAACCCCGATGATATAATAACTGCAGAAAGACTGGACTTTCTAGCCCGCTTCACTAGCGAGAATGGCATGGGGACATTTCTTGACCAAGAGACCCTGGACGAGCGGCAAAAAATCGTTCTAGAACACGAGAATACCAGCGGCCATATAGCAACCTGTGTCGGGTCCAATAGCCCTCGGTCCTTCTCGTCTCAGACAATCAAGCCTTCAATGCTCTATATGGACTCGGGTGAAGTTGACCCCCTAACTACAAGGGCATTTGAGATCCTCCATCATTTCCACTCCATAACCACCCAGAAGACAGACAACAGCGTCGTGAGATTAGATTGGACAGGGGAGGTTGAATATCTATGTCGCTCGTTTTTCTCGCCGGGTAATATCACCCGCTTCTTAGGATATTTCTGGTCGCTGTGGTATCCTAGCTGCCCATTCATACATCGTGCATCGTTTGATCCCCAGACTGCGCCGCCTGCTCTGCTCTGTGTCATGCTTGTAATCGGTGCATGTCTCTCTCCACATCCCGATGATGCAGACACGGCAAGAATGTGGCTTGATTGTGTGGAGGAGCTAGCCTTTAGCGATAGGTCCTTTCGCGAGGAGTTTAGCTCTGTCCCCACTCCTGCTATCCTGGATCAATACCTTGAGCGGAGGAAGAAACGATTGGAGTGTATTCAAACGGCGTACCTTGTCTGCTCGTTGCAGAAGAGGGAGGGGTCGACTGAGGCGCGGAATAGAGTGCGGAGATACAGGCATGCTACTTTAGTTATGGTGAGTCTTTCTGTTGCTTTCGAACGTGCGTCGGTGCGCCTAACCATAAACACAGCTTGCCAGAGACGTCGGACTTGTGACCGCATCGCATAGGGGTCTTAGTTTAGATAGTCCCTCGGAAACATGGTGGCAGCAGTTTGCTATTGAGGAAGGATTAATCCGGTGTGAACCTTTTCTCTCATTATAAACTACCAATGAACTGCATGGAGACATACTAATCATGGAACCAGGACCATAACATACGTATTTCTCTTCGACGCAGCCTTTACTATATTCCACAACTCACCACCCCGAATGGTCATCTCCGAACTAAAAATGGAGATGGCATGTCCGGAGGCATCTTTTCAAGCCGAATCGGCAGAAGAATGCTTTGTTGTCTTGGAAAACTGGAAACAAACAGTCTTCTGGACCCGCCATTTATCCATCGTCGCTGTTGTGAAGAGTCTCTGCCAGAAAGAGCTGACGGCTGAAACCATAGAGGCATACTCCAAAATGGGAACTCTGAATCTATTTACCGCCGTGCAGTGTATGTTTGACTGATCAAATCGAATATCCCAATATTTATCATGAGGGACAGCTGTTCACTGACTAATTGGCAACCAGGCATCCACTCTCTAACATTCCATCTTAAGAATTCTATCATATTCGAGTCGACTCTGTTACCGATCAAAACAGGATTAGAAAATTGGCGCCGCCTATGGAGCAGACGCGAACCCGAGGATAGGAACATCCTAAACAGCCCCGACACGCTATGGAAGAAATTTGGACACGCCAGCTACTCTGCAGAGTTATGGCACCTGGCGCGTATTATCGTTGAGAAGATTGGGGACGACATTGCGGATGTTGGAGAGGACTCAGATCCTGTGCTTGAGCAGCCGAAGAAGAGATATGACAATACCGATATGAAAGATGTGAATGGGTTGATTATGGAGTATAGGCGGTTGAGTTTGGGTGGGGCTATTTGATGCTTTAGAGTGGTTGTATATTCGGTTGTCATGGTGGTCGAAGGATTCGCCACGAAAGGCCGTGGGGCAATGGGAACATGATATCCTGGATGGCATCCTCAGATGCTGTGGCTGGGTCTTTGTCAAGTGATTGTTCCGACGAGTTGGTCTGCAACGCGCTGCGTTTTATCTTGTGGTATTCCCCGAATGCACGAAGACGTGGTGTCATCTCGGCGAGGGCCTCCGGAAAGTGATATTCTGGTTGTCCATCGTGCTGGGCCATCGATCCCTTCTCCATCCCCGTGATTAATGTGCCAATTGTCGCGTCAATGTCTACAATACTGCGCGCATGTTCCAAATCCCAGCCTTCGCCAGTAAAGAGGAGGAGTCTGGACAAGGTTCCGAGTGCGTGAGAGTATGTCGCGTACACTGGGTATGGAAGGTTTGGGTATTGTTGAGGTGGGATGGACGAAAACGCGTCGAAGAATGTCCTCGTTGCGGCTAAACATGAGAAGAGGATACTGGCACGCTTCGAGGTACTTGCAACATTGGTCAAAAAGTCGTCTTCCAGAGCGACATCATACAGGCTGATTTCGAGATTGTGGTATTGCAGAAGCAAAATAGCTGATGAGTCTTAGCGGGTTCAACCAAAAACAGCGCGGTACATACAGTCATGTAGGGTATTGGATGGACATGGCTTGAAATGTCGCAATTCTGTCTCGACGGCCTTGATGGCCTCTGGTATAGGGGCCGAGGGTATCCCCGGAGGGTCGATTTGGCTACAATGTATACGTCCGATACTGTCTGAGAGGCGATGTAGCCGCACCAAGTGCACTAAATAGAGATCATTTGGATGTTCCACAGCCTGCGCAATTGCATGGCAGCATTCCTCAGTATAATCTGTGTATCTTATCGGATCTATGGCACCGTGGCATATTGAAACCCTAAATTATTAGCCCTCCATAAATTTTGGGGGTTGAGAGGTGAAACATACATGGCACTCATATAGAAGCACCCAAGGTAGGCCCGCCGCTCATCCAGCGTGCGATGCATAACCTGCCTCTCATAGTCCGCTGGAAAGCTCTCCAACGGTAAAATTCTCTTCACCGAGCTCGGCCTGCAATTTAGACCTAGATCACTCAGCATCGCCAAAGACAAGTGAAGAATACTGCGTATTTGAGATCCAAGCTCAAGCTGGAAATGATACCACCCCAAACAGACCAGGAGTCCTTGTAGGAGGTTCAAACCTTTCTCTCCCCAGGCCACTATAGCAGATCCGGCATACTCTCGGATACTACGTGCCATGCCCAGTTGTCGTTCTATATTATCGCGGCATGACACCATAGCCACCGCGCAAAAAACAAAGGGCCTGCTTTGTCGTAGTTCCGAGGCTGTTGTATCTGGCGGGACGGCCACAAACGGGAAATAGGAAGCCATTTCTGTTTGGAATCTATGGAGCATCCTTTGAGCTTCTTCATTGCTGATATCAGCGAAGATGCTCTGTCGGGTTATACAAGTTGCACCGCCTCCTGGTCCATCTGCGCTTGCGCTCAATAGTGGTCGAGGTGAAGCAGTAACAGCAGCCGCCATATCGTTTATTTTCTTCTCTAACCGTGCGATATCTCTGCAAGCAAATCATTCAGCAAACAAGTACAATATCTAATAGCTGCAGATACTACTGCAACTAAACCAAGACAAATAGAGTATACATACGGCCGAGGACCCACCCGTTTATGCACCCCAGGCAGCTGCGTCGTGCAGTCTTTCTTTAAGCGGAGACACCTAGACCGGGGATGGTTAGTTGCATATAGCCTAAGCCTAGTTTCTTTATGGAACTGTGTATCTGGGGGAATACTAACCTCTTACACGCGCTCCCATCCTGCGCTGTGCTCTCGCATCTGACCTTTGCATGCGCACAGGCCCGACAGGCCTTTGGGTCTCGGGGGCGCGGGGGTCGGTGTTTTCGGGGCATGGTGACGTGGTTTAATATCGTCAATCCAACACAATTAAACCAAACCACGAGAGAATTGCGATGGCTTACGTGCCGACGGGGTCGCGGAGGGCGATAGAGGGGGCACGGAATTCCGTGTCCCCTTTCGACCAATCAGATACGGGCGCTGGACAACTCCAACATTGGGGGCGACGGAGAGACGGCGAGCAGCCTACGATGGCAGCGAATATATAAGTAGACGAGATCCCCTGCTGGACTGGGGCTGGGATTGTTATTAAGCTGGCAGCTACTCAATATCCTATCTCTCTTTCTCCGTTTCTTATCACAACCATCTGGGTTCAGTTCTTTTATCTCACCTTCTGGAAAATATATACTTCTTGAATTTACTCTTTATACACCATTCCAAAAATGGCCATCGTCTCGACAAGCATCGAAATTGCTGCACCTCCAACTACCGTGCGCGAAAAGGTACTTCACGTCCATATCCACATCCACATCCATACGTGTAACCCTAACTAACTCCACTACAGTTCCTCGACTTCCCCTCCATCCCAACATACAGCCCAGCCGGTTTCATCCGCTCAATCGAGCCCAACGATGCCTCAATCACAGGAAAAAACCTAAAAGCAGGCGACAAACTCGAGGTTACCGCAGGTTACGGCAAGTGGAAATTCTCCCCCGTTGTTGAACAGAACACCGAAGAGCTGTTTTGCTGGCGGGGTTCGGTGCCTGGAATTTTTACGGGGGCGCATATATTTCGATTTGAGAGTGTTTCTGGCTCGGATACCGCTGGGTCTGGAGTTCGGACGAGGCTTGTACATGAGGAGAGGTTTAGTGGGTTGTTGGCAGGAGTCATGGGTGAAGGGTACTTGGGGAGTTGGCTTGGGATGAGGGAGGATACGAGGAAGGGGTTTGAGAGTTTTAATGTGGATTTTAAGAAATGGGTTGAATCTTCTACGTAGGTAGGCTGTTTGTTGTTGGATTCTTTCTGCGCCGCTTGTTTGATATCCACTCTGATCAGTTATACATGTTCTTTCCTATTTAAACAGAATGTTTTGTTGCTTGCACCTTCCGAACATTGCAATATATATATGATGTTTCATGAGGAAGGTGCTATGGGCCGTCTCGGTCGTTCTTTCTTATTTTGCATGAACTGACGAGTCCATGGTGCGGGTTGCAGTTGCCTTGTCAGGTAAGGTACCTTTACACCCCAGCAGCCTTCTCCCGCCGACGAACCCGTACCTCGAAGTCAGTCGGCTTGACAAACCAGTAGTTCTCAGTATTCCATTTTCGGTTCTCTGCAGTAAAGTCGAATTCACGGATGATTCGGGGAATGAGCTTTGACATTTCTAAGATGGAAATGTGCTTCCCAAGACAGGTTCGAGAACCTAAGCCAAACTGCGGGAACCTGTTAGTGAGGGTATTGAGTATGAGAAGAGTGTGTACACATACCGGCATATACATCTCATTCATAACCTTCAGCCTCTCAGGCTCATCCTCGGCCTCGATCCACCTCTCTGGTCGGAATGTCTTTGCGTCTTCAAATATTGTCTCGTCGTAGTGTGGTACCCATGCGTTGACACCGACTACAGTCCCCTCGGGGAAGAAATGGCCGCTTATTTGTGCACCGCCGGGGGGTACGACGCGCCAGAACGGGAGCCCTGTTGCACTGTGCATACGGAGGGCTTCTTTCATGACAGCTTGGAAGTAGGGCATTTCTTGGCTCTCTTTGAAAGTGACTCGTTCGCTGCAGAGGCCTCGAGCGGTGTAATCGTTGATTTCCTCGCGTAGTTTGCTGAGCACGGCGGGATAATGTAGGAGGTGATACATGATTGAGGAGAGGCTGATGGCTGTTGTATCTGACCCGGCGATAACATTTGAGAGACCCATCATGAAGACGTGGTAGTCTGTGACCTTTTCGGGATCTTTGTCTCTGGCGAGATTCATCTTCTCGAGGAATGTTTGGGTTTTCAAGGGACCGTGTTCAACGTCGCTTTTCTTTTGTGTGCTGTGACGGGCAATCTTCTCCTGGACGTAGCGCATGATGTATGCTCGGCCGCCTGCGCCGGACCAAGTAAAGCGACTCAAGGTCCCAAAAAGCCGGGGATGCCATTCATGATATACGCCAATCAGCGAGCTATAAGCCATCAGGTTCTGGAGTGCGCCAATAGTCCCGTCAATATCGTGGCCCTTGTCGAGGAAGCCTATCAAGTTAGTACATAAAGACTGCAGCTTTGTATGGCCAAGCTCACCAAAGCGTTGCCCATAGGTAATCTCCCCGATAACATCAAAAGCATAGAACTGGAGCCACTCCCCGAGATTGAACTTCGCATCTCCCTCGGCAAATTCACTCAATCTCTGGAAGAAGACATCCGCGCATTGATCCACAAATTCTTCATAGTGCACCAGAGAACTCATCGAGTATAAACTCGAGAACCTCTTTCGAGTCTCGCCTGTTACAAACGTGATTAGATTAGCACTCACCCTCACTAACCACCAAAAGAAAGAGGGCAGCAACCGACCATGTCTCTTAATATCCCTATCAGGAAATAAAGTCCACCGCTGAGGATCCGGATGCTTCCAACCCTCATACCACGCGGCCTTCGCGAACTTGGTGCCCGTCCCGTAGATCGTTTTCAACGCAGCCCGGTCATTGATGCTGTAGTGGTCAGGGGCGATGCGCACGATGGGCCCGTATTGGTCGTGCAGACGGATGTTGTCATCTTCGAAGTGCCCGTTCCATAGACGGCGGAAGTACCAGAAGCGTGTGAAGCGCGCCCAGAATGGGCCTGGGATGGACTGGAGGGTGCGTGTGGTGTAGGTGAGATAGAGGAAAGATAAGACGTAGCGGGTTATGAGGATGATGGGAGCAAAAGCAAGGAGGATGAGTATATGCATTTTGAAGAAGATGGTACTTGATTCTGTGTCTATGTTTAATGAGAGTTGGGTTCTTTATAAGTATGGGACTGGAATAAGCCTGCAGATCGTGGGTTGCTGACCCCACCCCCACCGCCACTGCGGAGATCACGGCCCTACAAACGTTCCGCACCATGGGGTAGTATGTTGGGGTAGTATGTTAGAGGTAAGCAGTGTTGGGGAGATAAGAACTAACCAGCTTGAGTCTGTATTAGTTACTAAGTGAAGTTGGACCGAGGCTAATTATTAGAAGTTGAGGTTTGACCATTCGAACGCCGTATAGATATATTTCCTAAATTAAAGTACAGATAGAACATGTTCATAAGCGTAATATGCTGAGAAGAGTGACAAATTATCCCGGAACAGTCAAAAGCGACAAAGAGTGGGAATCGTCCTGAATCTACTCCAACCTCATCAAGGCATACGCGGAGCTTTCACGTTTGAGTTAAGTATAACCGTAGTTGGGGTCCCCCAGATTACGGACGGCGGTCACCCCAGAGACCAACAATGCCCATTGAAAGAGCCAGGCCGGAGAAGAGCGCCCTCACGCACTGCAAGCGGCGTTCGGTTTCCATTTCCTTCCGCACAATCTCGCCGTTGACATTCTCCTCCGACTCAACGACCACAATGTCGTCTTCCTTCTTTTGCGCCTTCCCCGAGCACAGAGATGCGTATCCAGTATCTTGTACAACGCTGCAGAGCCAGGCCTTGATGCCGTTCTCGCGGTGGAACCAGAAGTCGACGCCGTAGGCGCCGATGGTCGACATGACCACCATCCAGACCAGGTATGGGTGTTTCCGGTGCCGCGGTGAGATGCCGTATGCGAAGAGGAGGCATATGTTGGAGATGTTGGCGAGGCGAAGACCGTGTTTACGGTTTAGGCGCTTCACTTCATTGAGACTCTTGGAGGCGTTTGCGGAAGTGGAGAGGAGGCTGAGAGAAGGTACGGTGATGGTCGAGGCGGAGTATGATAGACCCTGCACAGTAATTAGTAACGGATTTTAGGATGGAATCAGTAGCACGTACCGTTAAGAGGCCGAGAGAGACAGTCCCTACGAACTTGGTGACGGTGATCGGGCACGCCATGGCGGAAAACAACGCGGCAGCACTGCGACCGAGCGCGACAAGATGTAAGGGTTGCGGATGGCTCTGTTCCGTGGATTGCGGGTTTTTCCCTACAAACCGTGATGAAAGTCGCCTGTCGTGGGCTGGAGTGGATGGATACAGAGAGATGGACAAGCCGCGGCTGCAAGTTTGTCTGATGCGGCGGAAAATTGTTGGTGACGTCGCTGTTGGCCTAAGGCACTGACAGCACCGCGAATCAGAGCAGTGGATTTGGCAATCAATTGTGCGCCCAACCGTGCATCGGAGAAATAGCTAACTGGTCGATTTGGATAATTAAATGGAATATCTAGTAGTGTTAGTGATACGAAGGCTTATTTTGGAAGTATCTGGTGCGAAGATCACCTATATACGGCACTGTTTATTGCGCGGGCCGAATGTGTATAAGGGTTTTACATTTTATGTCGTGCATTGATAACAGATCACTAAACTGATTAGCAGACACCTCGGCAACCGATAACCGCGGCTCCCGACTGAGGAGCTGTCAGCTTCGACCATCATTTAACTAATGCTTGACGTCCGTCAATTCACCCTGATTCAACTTCAAACAACTGTCTAAAGTCGCTGTACTCTGATAAATCAAAATGTCACTCCCTAAGTCCGACTATCTGAGCGATACATGGAAGGACGGCCTGTTCAGTGAGTTACTTCATGCCAATGCGCATGAACTTGAGCTAATGCTATGCAGCGAACAAGGTCGTCTTCTGCACCGGTGGAGCAGGCACAATCTGCAGCGCGCAGGTCCGCGCTCTCGTCAACCTAGGCGCCAACGCATGCATTGTCGGCAGAAACGTTGAGAAGACTGAGAAAGTTGCCCAGGATATTGCCACAGCTCGTCCGGGGGCTAAGGTAATAGGAATTGGTGCCGTGGATGTGCGATCGTTCGATAGCCTCAAGGCCTCGGTGGACCGCTGCGTTAAGGAACTCGGAGCTATCGATTATGTTATGTATGTTGGAAACTGCACGGCCGGTGTCTGTCTTGCTTGCTTACTGACTTTGTCCACCGTCTAGTGCTGGCGCCGCGGGCAACTTCCTCGCCTCGATCAACCAGATCTCCGTAAATGCCTTCAAGTCTGTAATGGAAATTGATGTGCTTGGTTCATACAACACACTCAAGGCGACAATCCCACATCTCGTTGAATCTGCAAAGAAGCATAGAGTGGACTCGGAGTCATGTATGTTTTCAAAACGAATTCTTTGCGCTGCTTTGCCTTACATTTTTCATAGTGAAACCATCCCCGGCAGGAACTGGAGGCCGAATCATCTTTGTTAGCGCCACGCTGCACTACACGGGCGTCCCATTCCAAGGTCACGTCGCAGTTGCAAAAGCTGGCATCGACGCTTTGTCTAATAATATCGCACTTGAATACGGTCCGCTAGGTGTTACATCGAATGTCATTGCTCCTGGCCCTATCGCATCAACGGAGGTTAGTTACACAACGCGTACATTTTTTGAGGATTATTACTAAATACTCCCAGGGCCTGGATCGCCTTCTCCCATCTGATAAGATGGAGAAGATGGTCAAGTCGCAGCCACTCGGCCGATTTGGCTCCGTTCGAGATATCGCCGATGCGACCGTTTACCTATTTGCAGACACTGGCAGCTACGTGAGCGGCCAGATCTTAGTCGGTAAGTCATCATTGCTCCTTTTTGAATTCCATTATTGACTGTGTGTATAGTGGACGGTGCTAGCTGGCGTATTTCTTCTGGCGTTGGTTCGGCTGACTACCCCGACTTCCTGCTCTCAGGCGATACGTTCGATAACGTGAAAGGAAAGAAGAAGTCAAAGCTTTGAACCAGATTATAGATTGCTTTTGGGGCGTTAGAGTATATTCCGTCTTTTCCTTTGACCACTTGGAAGATATTTACAAACAATACAAGGTGGAGCTTTATTGATAGTTGGTGGTATAAAGCCATGTTTCATCTTGGTTAGAGGATACGTACCCATGAATGAATAGAAAGACGGCAAAACAAAGCGTCTACATAGGTGTTAAAGAACCATAACCCTGTCATTGACTTCCTGCATTGTTGATTAGAAGTATAAGTAGAGATGTCCTCCCATACACGCCGCATTAGACAAAATTTCGATCCTGCTCGAGAAAATATTCCTACATAATATCTTCAGCTCTAATACTCGCACAGTATTATAAGTCGGATTATTATGGTCCCTTCGTGACATGGGTTGACAGTCCTGATCAGCTGAATATGGACGACATTTCTTAGGAATCGGCTCCCATAAATTTGGGAGCTGACACCCCTTACTAAGGGTACGGTCACCGGCAGTTCCTGGTGTGAAACCCGAGGAGCGCACCGGGGTGCTCTCAATGTATGCCGCTTCCCAGAACTTATCAGGACGTATGGGAGGAAAATTGGACGAGCTTGGACACGAGGGTGGAAGTAGCCAGTCGTGGCAATGAGTATGTATGTGAGAACATATCGGTACTTACTTCAGATCTGGGTGTAGCCTCAGGTGGCCTTTTGGAGAATGGTTGATATGATGGAGGGATTTTTATGGGAGGAACAGACTGTGGACTGGCGTGGAGGACTATTACTTAGTTACTTAGACTTAGTCTCGTCTAACACTAAATTGATCTTCCCTTTTCTCCATAAGCTTAACCTTCCATTCATACTTTCTTCTAGACCTTGGTGTTTATGTCGTGCCGATTACGCTGGGCTTTTTCCATGGAGGCAAATTTACTCATACAAGGAGAATAACTATGCAAAGTTTTATAGAGCCAGTTTTGGGAAGACAAATAGTCATCGAACTCCGGCGTGCTTGGTTTGATATACAGCAGGATACGGATTGGTATTCGATAAGGTGGCGGCATACTATACAGCCTAAAGCATCTGCTACTCCGATAAAGGGCCTGGAAATGCCCCTCTGGTATTTGTCCTGGTGGTCGAGAAGGTGGGCAGTGCATCGAAACAACAACATTTGACATCATGACAGAGCTGAAACCACCTCAGATTCACCTCAGCTTGAAAAGTCAGCTCTCTGCAAGTTACGGGATATAATAGAGCAAGCTTGAACGAAACCACGCAAGTGAATACAAAGAGAGCAGTAAAGAAGTAGTTCCAAGAAGCTGTAACAGTAAAAGGCTGCATTGTGCACCACACAAAGAACGAGGCACGACTGGTTTCGCAGCCGATTCGACAAGAGAGTTGTTCAGACAAAGAACAACAAAGACATATTAGTGTCCTTGTCCTCGAGATTATATAAACGGAGATTCCCTTTTTTGGTTTGGCCCCTTTCCATAATTCGAGAATCCAGTTTATCTGAACATCTTAGTATCGACAACCCTTCCCACCCCACCCCCAACCGCGATATATATATATATCAACGATTCGCAGAATAGTGTACAATACTTTATATATATACATACTTACAATACACATCAGAACTCGCAAAAGGCACTTTTACGACCGAATATGGTTTACGGTCGCGAGAGTACAACCAGGGACAGGGCTGTGCCCTACCCAGAGATGTCAGCGCGTGAGACTGACCATGGTCAAGGAAATAACGACGACGACCCAAAACTGATGATGGAGAAGAATCAGTTCCGGAAGAATGTACAACACGTCCTTTCGGACGAGAACATGACACCGAGTCAGAAAGTCGAAACCATGACCGGCTATTTGACAGACCAGCAGAAGGCCAAGATGAAGGCCGAGGCGCAACTTGATGACGCGCAATTGCAGAACGATCGACTGAAAAGGGAATCAGAAAGTCTGGCGGAATCCTTTGACGCGGTATGCACCGAATTACAGAACGGCGAAGAGAAAATAAAGCAACTAGAGGAGAAGATAGAAGCCACAAAGCGAAGCCGGCAGCCTGTGGTTACAGGCACAGTTATGACTAATGACGATGAGTCCCAAAGACGCGAAGAACTGGAGCGAATGCTGAATGACAGACTTGAAGAACGGAATGTTAAGATTGCTCAACTTGAGCAATCATTAACCGAAACTAATAACAGGCTTAAGGAATATCATACCTACCTCCAAAAGGTCACCGCTGACGCGAACCGCTTTGCTGCAGCATATGATAGCCGGGCTAGTGGCCTCGCAATGGATAACATGAAGCTTCGAGAGCAACTGGAAAGAATGGTGAATCTGGTGACAACTCTTCGGGCTGCTGATATTGGCAGGTGGAATCAAATGCAGCACCCCGCGAATATTGGACCAGACGCTCTCTTACAGCAGCAACAAGAATGGCAACGGCAACAGCAGCAGCAGAGGCAACAGCCCCCTGTTTCCAGATTGACATATGGAACTGTGGATAGCAGTATGAACGACGCATCCGACCCCGACACGAAAATGACTACTATCCCTGAGAGGTATAATCCCCCGGTCTTGACTCGGATGCGACGGCGACTGGCCCGCGTCAAACCAAGAGCTAGACGAGCTGGATCCCCAGTGCCGCGGGCGGCACGACCAGCAGAATGCAGAAAAGGATACGCAGAACGTCGAGCCGCGAGCACATACCTCCAGTACCGAGACGGACCAGGTAAGGACGATACTGATGTTCTGAAGCCCCTGGGGCGGAACAATGTAGGCTCAAAACAGCTCCCACGCAAACGCACGCGTCTGGAGAAGGGCGGGGAAATGGTCAGAAGAATGGAGGCGGTTTCACAGGTGCGCAAGCTGCCTCGTATACCAAGGAGCCTTAAGCCCCCTCGCATGGTACCCAATGCTTACACAAAGAGAGACGATGCGGAAATGTCAAATCTCATGGGTCAATTCTCAATGACAGACCCGGCGATAGAGTCGACCGCGGTCCAAACAGATTCTGACGCTTCGTCAGCAAAGCTGCAGCTCACTGTGCAATATGCGGATCCTTTTCTTCTCCGCTCACATCCTATCCCACGCAGACATCACAGTTCGACTCCTTACTATCTCAACCACAAATCCAAGTCACTCTCCGGAAACGAGAGGGGCAAGAGAGTAACTCGCGCCTCAGACTGGAATCTGGGGCCCGACCCAAAGGAGAGATGCCGGAAAGAGGACAAGACGGGGAAGCCCCAGCAGGTAGTAAGGTACATAGCGGAACCGACTGTCATCCCAGATCGAGACAAGCCGATAGGCTACGACTGGCCCCTTGAAAGCGGCGACAAAGCGCCGGAGGGGTCGTTCAACTGGAGTCAAGTGATAATTGCCATCCTTCTCTTGTTATTATTCTTCAGCAACATGGCGAGGCCAGAGGACCCAATAGTCACATGGAAGGATGTGAATAAGAACCCCCAAAGCATGGTCGCCAAGCTCCGCACTCCAGTGCGAAGCGATGCTGGAATAGCACCAACCATAGTCGATTTTGAAGTTGCGAGATGGAGTGATATCGACCCGAGCATATTAGGATAACACAGGTGGGGTCTGGGGACATATGGGTGAAAACCATAAAAACCGTTAAAATTAGCACAATTCAAAAAAAGTTCCAAAGCTTCAAGATGTCCAAGTAATCGCCCAATGACCAATTACGGACTAGCGGCCAATCTCCCGAGTCCCGAGATCGGGATAAAAATAACACAATTTTGCCCCATCGAACGTGGACTGCGCAAGCCCAGCGCATCATCTGGAGGGGTAAACCTATCATTTACCTGGAGACGAGACCCTCCTGCAAAGCGCAGACATTAACATTGCAGTTTTCGGTCTCTGACACCACTGAAACTTGATGTTGCTTGGAAGAGCCAGCCTGTTTGACACGGGCTTTTGTTGTCGTCAGCTCTCCACCCCGGCGTCTGAAGGCAAAGCGGGCTAGTCCCAGATAGGAATAGTGGTTGCGTCAGCCTTGGCCGTTTGTGCACGGGAACAGCCCCCCCGAGACTCCGTATCTCGACTCCATCTGATACATGACTGCGTCTCACCCACCTTTCCATCTCTTTTGCTATCTTCTTCATCCCACCCACGCCTTTTCTATCGCCAGTGAGGGTTTTGAACAACTTTTCGGAACACTGCCTGCTCACCTTTGCCTATTTTCCCTTCTCATGCGCCCTTTTTAAACCGTTATCGCCATGACGCTCCGTTCGTTCCTTCTTGGGGGCGCCCTCGCGCTTACCAGCGCAAACGCCATGCTGGTTGTCCCAGATGTCGACGCTGATGCCGTTGCCATCCCTGACGATGTCGCTCGTCTTCACCCCATTCAAGCCCAGGCGGCACAGCAGCAGAAAGTTGATCTTGGCTGCGCCGAGTGCCCATTTGCCATCAAGAGTGGTGACGAAACCGCACTGGTAAGTTGTATATAAGATCCAAATTCAATCGAATTCTGCAGACTAATGGTACCAGTCGCTGAAATTCACCATCGATGATGGTCTTCTTTTGGCCAATGACCACCAAATCTTCCCCCCTGCCCCTCCATCGCCGATCGCGGCTGTTCAGCGTCACGTACAGGATGGCGAAGAATCGGAGCCCATCCCGTTGGGCTACGCCGTCGAAATGATGCCGCTCCCGTCTCCTCCAGAAGAGCCGTTTGACATGGTGGAGGTTCGCTTCACTGTTCTCGACCTCGATGGCTACCCCGTCCCATTGGACACAGTCGCCATCACCCTTATCCACGATGCCGAAGGCACCTTATACATGGCTGGAACCGAAATCGAGGAGACTGCCGACCATGAATCTTGGAGGAAGTGCAGTGGAAAGCCCAAGTGCCTGAGACGGTTCCTGGTTCACCGCATCCACTCGATGTTCGCGGCGGCCAAGGAGCGCCTTACTGGAATGTTCAAGGGCCAGGGTTGTTCCGACGCTGGTGCCCTCCCTCCTCCTCCCTTCCCTCCGCACCACCATGGCGACTTTGACCGCCTCTCTCCCGCCGAGGGACACCGTGGTCACCACGGCCCTCACGGCCCTCACCCTCCTCCCCACTTCAACCACAACTTCCACAAGACCTGGGAACGTACTCTGCACCGCGTTATGCGCTTCATCGTGGTCCCTGCCATTCTTGGTGTTCTGGCCGGTCTCGCCGCTAGCGTTTTGGGTATGCTGGTCGGCCAGCTCGCCGTCTTCATGTGGCAACGCTACCGCCGTAACGACCGCAAGGAATCGGCTGAAGAGGGATCCGTTACCGAAAAGCAAGGTCTGATGAGCGAGTCTACCAATGACCTTCCACCAGCGTACACCGATGATGAAGTTGCTGCCGAGCAAACTGCGGGCAAGGCATAATTGATTGGTTGATGATGATGGGAGTAGGCGTCGCCCGAAATGGCATGGAAAAGATGTGAACGCCTAAATGGAGGCCGGGGCTCTGGCTGCTGGACGGGAAGAGCTTTGGACGTGTGAACTTTGTTTCGCAAAGAGTAACCCTGACATGGTTTCGTGAACTCGAATTTGATTCGTTCTCATTCTCTTGACTGCCTCTTGTTATAACATTTTTCTTAGCCGTTCCCTATTCATTCCCTAGTGTAACAACGAACCAATCTTACTTATCATGTAACTTAATTTCTTCTATGGTATATTTTTTTTATGAAAATGAATTTGACAGGAATTACCATGCCTCTTCACTGATCTGTAAGATGTTTCCATTGGAGGCGTTTCAGCATCCTTACATCACGTGAGGGAACTCGGATGCCTGCCAGGGACGATCGCGGCTTGAACGACCCATTCCCCTCTTCCCGTTGAGACAACCACCACTTGAGGTGCTATACCCAGTCGCAGACCGGGTATAAGATGCGAACGATGCTGCGCTAACTTTATACAATGACCTTGAATTATCTGCTGACCATCTGTCGGCCCGCATCCCATCCTAGCATTGCCCCGAGTGCACTCTAAGCTCCGCCGAGCTGAGCCTCAGCTTACCGTCGAGTACACTCGCTTTTCCCCCCGACCCCTTTGCAGTACCTGCGCAGGCTGGTCAACCTTCCGCCAAGATGATGCAGTGGACATCACTTGTCCAGAAAGCGCAGTCCTTCATCGACCCGGCCAATTTCAATATCTCGAACCTCACCTCGTCCTCCGACCGAAACCCGTCAAAAGCATCCCTATTCCGCCAGCAATTCCGCCTTCCCGACTCCCAGAACCCTCTACAAGAAATCACAGCAGAACTTATACTCCCCGTATCGTCTTCAGCGCCGGCCACCCAATCCCGGAATGTTGACCGTGGCGGAAACAGATATGCCGGTAGGCTGCATTTGAGTGAGCGGTTCATCTGCTTCTCGACCCAACCTACTAGCTTTGTCCCATCGTCAAGTCTCAGCGCCTCGACCCATTGGGCCGGCCAGACCAATGGCACTGGACCATCGGGCAATGGGTTCACAATCCCTCTGTGTTCTATCCGCCGGGTGGAACGATTGAATAGTCTTAGCCATATCTTCTCTCTCGCATTAACGACCTGGAACGGAGCACTGAGCAAACAGCAGGCACCCGGGTTTGCTCCGCAGAGATTCACCATCGAACTGGTCGGAAGCAGGCAGGCCTGCGAGCGGTTTTGCGATAGCTTGAAGAAGAATCTCCGCGACTCCATGAAAGAGATTGAGAATCTGCGGTCGGTGGTGAATGGTTGCTATTCAGAATATTTGCTCTCCGGCGCCAAAGCGAAGAGTCAGACAGCCGATGGCGTTGAAACAAGACCGCCTCCCGACGCTGGGTTAGGAATGCTCTTCCGCTACCCGGGAGACGCCCGTAAACTCAGGGATCGGAGTAAGATGAGACTTTGGGGAGAGTATTTTAGAGGTATGGTACATGCGTACATCCCCCATGGCCGTCAACTAAACATTTGCAGAAAACGGACGGAATGCTATGTTGATACGGCAGCCCACCTTCCACAAACTCATTCGTGTTGGTCTTCCCAACCGGCTTCGTGGTGAGATATGGGAGGTGGCGTCTGGCTCCCTAAACCTGCGCCTGAGGTCGCCCAAGCTATACGAGCAGACCCTCGCCAAGTTCGAAGGTCAAGATTCCTTGGCGATTGATGAGATTGAGAAGGACTTGAATCGCAGTTTACCTGAGTATGCCGGCTTCCAGAGCGAAGAGGGCATAGGTCGCCTTCGGAGAGTCCTTACTGCGTACAGTTGGACGAATGCTGAAATCGGCTACTGCCAAGCGATGAACATTGTTGTTGCAGCTCTATTGATGTAGGTTGCTGAGTCTCATTGATAGGTTTGGTGCTAACCCTACTAGATATATGTCGGAGGCACAAGCCTTTTTCCTGCTATCTGTTCTATGTGACCGCCTAGTTCCAGGATATTATTCGACCACTATGTACGGGACGTTACTTGACCAGAAGGTGTTTGAGTCTCTTGTAGAGAAGACCATGCCGATTCTCTGGGAGCATCTCGGCAAATCTGATGTTCAGCTGTCTGTTGTTTCCCTTCCCTGGTTCCTTTCTCTATACATCAACTCCATGCCTCTGGTCTTTGCCTTTCGAGTGCTCGATGTGTTCTTCTTAGAGGGACCAAAGGTTCTCTTCCAGGTTGGGTTAGCTATCCTTCGAATTAACGGAGAGGAGCTTCTGGATGTCCAGGATGACGGCTCCTTTATTTCCGTTCTCAAGTCGTACTTCTCTCGTCTCGATGAGTCGGCCCATCCGCGATCGGAGAATCCCAAGCTTCGGGCTATCACTCGATTTCAAGAGTTGATGGTAGTGGCTTTCAAAGAATTCGCCCAGATTACCCATCAAGAAGTTACCGAGCAGCGCGAGAAGCACAAAGACGCCGTTTTGGACAATATCGAAAACTTCGCCAAGCGCACATCTATCCGTAACCTTGGCCCCGATAGCAAGAAGTTGAACCTAGACGACCTAGGTGCGATTTATGACCGCTATTATGAGGTCTTATACGACTACCAGCAGAGGCAAAAGATGATTGAAGAGGAGCAGAAGCGACAGGAGAGAAAGAAATCCGAACGCGTCTCCGTAATCGGTCCCTCGCTGGACCGTGAGGTTGGCCGTGTCGGCCTTGGCCCTAGCCCAACTCACATGGACTACGATGCATTCCGAGAATTCCTTGCTGCTACCGCTAAGTGGGCTATAGCTGATTCCCCCGGACCCTCTCGGAAAGAGTCGAACGCAGATTCATACACGGGCAGCTTCAGAGGATTTGGGCGATCACCAGCCGGGAACAGCAGGCCAGCGCCGGCAGATCATGAGTTCATCCAACGCCTCTTCCGGAAATGGGCGTCTGATCCAGCCGATGGGTTGAGCTTGCAGGATGTTGTCAACGGCATTGCACGCCTCAAAGGGCCACGCGACATTATGAACAACATCAGTTACTTTTTTGACCTGTATGACGATAGCGGCGATGGCAAGGTTGATAGAGAGGGTATTCTTCGCATGTCGGAAGCATTACTCTTCCTCTCCCGTCGGGGATTTGACGGGGCTATTACTCCGAGCCAGAGTGTGGAAGAATTAGTCCCTGGCAGAGACGGCGTGGAACAAGAGAAGCTCAGCACCGGTGAACGGTTCTTGGGCAGCGTCAGCTCTTTCATACGCCGCTGTTTTGAATATGCCGATCCTACCAAGACTGGCGCGGAGGACAAGAAGACAGCAGAGGCCACCGAGAAACTTGACTCCTTTAGTATTGGGGATGATGATGATGATGACGAAGATCTGATTGATGTTGGTGAAGACGTGAAATCCAAGTCGTCTACCCCAACTCCAGAGACCAAATCGCCGGAGACAAGCAGTGACCAACCGGCGGACAATACGAAGCATACCCGAAGTGCGTCCGAGTCTGCCAACCCTGCCCTAGACCCGAACAACCCGCTGCACATTACGCTTCCTACGTTCCGAATGGTTGTTTTAGCCGACGAGCTACTGGAGCAGTTCTTCGACTCCTACTTCCCCCAGTCGTTCCGTCTTTCCCAGCAAGCAACAACGGCCGCGCAACTCCCATCGCTTTCCTCCAACCTTACAACCTTCTCTAACCTTGGTGCTGCTAAGCCCCAGCTTGCCGCTTCAGGTGCTACAGTCGCCGGGGCCTCGGGCGGTATCGTGCCACCTAATAGAGGTCTGCGCGGAGTCCTCGATAACATCGTGACGGATGGCATCCGCATGGCGGCCGAGGTGAAGAAGCGAATGGACGAAGCTCAGCGCGACCTAGAACGCAACGCGCTTAACCGAGATGAGGAGGACGAGGAAGACGACGATGACGATGTCATGCCGCCCGGCGCGACCGCCCCGCCGATGGTTGGCGGTATCTCCTCCTGGGGCGCAGGGGCATATGGAGCCGATCCGGAGCGCCGTAGCGTGCGGGAAGCGGATCGTGATCTCTTGGAGGGTGCGGAGGTGGTCAACATCCGCGGCCGTGAAGACGCATCTTCGTCGCTGCTGGACGATAAAGAACCGCACCACGAGAGCGCTCAGCGTGCCGACTCGGGGCGAGATGATAAAGTTGTCAGCAAGGTTGTCGAGTTTGAGTCATGATCGCTCATCCTGTCTTTACCCTACTCCACGAACCGATTGTTCTGTTTACTACAAGATTCCAGAATAGCGCTTGTTATTTACTTAGATAGTTCCCTGGAAGATAATGTACCATTCATCTATGCTTGTGAATCGAATCTGTAGAGCACGAAGTACATCGAACGCCGTAGACTGCCCCTCAACACTCAACAAGCACGACATCGCCCTCCACAGAACTCCGACGTCTTGACAAGTGGAGGATCTCGCATTCTTACTCCGTTTCCAGCAGCCCAGCCCGTCCTCCGTCCGTCCCCACAGTCGCTCGCCCAATGAAACATCCAGCACATCCTCGCCGGGGCCCAGACTCGGGAGGCATCCCGGTCACTGGAGCGGAGAGTCATCTCCAGCCCTCTCCTCACTGGACAACGGACGCCCAGCTCCGTGTTGTGAAGCCATCAGCTCGCCTTTTCCGCTTTCCCGCCCTCCTTCCCTTTCTTCCCCTCATGAGGGGGTGGTGGTTTCTGTGCGTGGTTTCTGGTGAGGGGTCTATCTGTCGTTCGCGTGGAGAATTATTCACTGTCTCGTCGAGGGGAGGAAGGAGGGGAGAGGAGAGGAGAGACCTGGACCAGGAGATATAGATCGAGTACTTTATAATATATAACACCCCCCCGAGAACCTTGGTAGCAATCAATTCCCCCAAGTTCCTCTCCCAAAGCTATCCTTCCACCAATCACATACCTAAATCGTTCTATCAAAATGGCCGCTCCCTCCCTCCACCCGCTCGTCGACAACGGCGTCTCGCAAGGAAAAGCCAACTTCCCAGGCGGGAACCTCTACTGCCACTGCCCCTCCAACAAAGTCACCGTCAAGCTCACCTCGGACGTCCTCCACAACCACGCCTGCGGGTGCTCCAAGTGCTGGAAGCCCGCGGGCTCGCTCTTCTCCGTCGTCGGCGTGGTGCCTACCTCTGCGCTGTCTGTTACTGCGAACAACGACAAGCTGTCTATTGTTGACAAGAGTGCGCCGATCCAGCGCTATGCTTGCACTGGGTGTGGCGTGCACCTGTTTGGTCGGATTGAGGTCGACCACCCGTTCAAGGGATTGGACTTTGTGCATGTTGAGCTGAGTGAGGGGAAGGGTAAGGAGGGGTGGCAGGGCGTGCAATTCGCGGGCTTTGTGTCCAGTCTTATTGGGCAGGGGTTGGATCCGGAGGTTGTTCCCGGTGTGCGTGAGAGATTGGGCAAGTTGGGTCTGCAGAGTTATGATGCCCTTAGCCCGCCGCTGATGGATGCTATTGCGACGTATACTGCGAAGAAGGAGGGGGTTGTGTTTAAGCCCTCCCTTTAGATTATGATGTGATGATGATGATGACGGCGATGTTGGTTGTTTATTACTGGTGAGGGGTAAAATGTTATAACAAGGGTTTATGTTATGTCTCCAAGAGACGGGGAGTATCCTGTATTATAGCAAATGAAAGCATTCTACAGGGAATTTTATTTCTGTTGCTCTGTGCATTGGCTTGTATAAGCTTCGTATAGCCACAACTTCGCTCAGCTCTTGGAGATAACGGAGGGATATTTAGCACGAGGGCTGTCCAAGAAAGATGTCCTTGCAGCTACGAGATAAAATAGACAAGGTAGAGCTAGTCATTGAGCGAAGCATAGTATGTACAATGCGAGCATGTCGCAACTCAGAGTCATTCGTGAAACATAACACGCCAAAAGCGTAAACAAGATGGGTATAGGTAAGGTGTCCAAAATGGAAGCAAATGCATGTAGACCGCAGGCATGTGCCTGCTTATTGTCCGTTGTAATGTCGTGTAAATAGATGAGTAGTCGTGATCAGAGCAGAAACCAAAAGCGAAATACAAGTCTAAGTAATTTTGGAACGCGGGAAGGTTCAAAGATTATAAAGAAGTAGACAAAAGTTCGTTAATCCTTTGATCCTTCGTTTTCGATTAGTTCGAGCACAAGCAGGTTCCGCGGGTGGTCAGGGTGCTGCATGCAGATCTTGACTGTGCGGCCGTGGTTGGCCAAGGTGGCTCCGTTGGATGAGCCGCTGGAGAGGTTGACAGTGTCACCAGAATTCGTGGGGATGCTATTTGCCCCAGAACCAGGGAAACGGCTGCCATCGTCAAGACAGACAACGTTGTGGCCGGGGATAACCTGCCGTAGACGTCCGTTCATGGCATTGCGGACTTCGACAAAGTCCTCGTTGAAGAGAATGAGGAACTTGCCGTACAGACAGGCGGAGTGTGCGCGCCCGACAAACTCCAACACCACACTGCGCGATACGTCACCGTGCTGGTTGACGTAGACGGCACACTCGGTGTATGTGACAAGGAACTCTGCGTCACTGAGACGGAACATGCCCAGCGGCCGCAGACCAGTGATTCGGCGGGAAATCTCGTTGAGCTGTGTTTGAGCTTCCTGCGCCTCGGTGCGGAATTCCGGGACAGACCAGGTCTGCTTCTTGTCCAGGGTGAGAATTTCGATTCCCTTTTGGGTCGAGATTGCGAGCGATGAATGGAACAGATTCATCCCGTAACTCTCCGCAGGGATATAGAACTCGTCGAACTCGCGGAAAAATTCAGTCTGCGAGCGTCGGGAGCTGAAGAATCGACTGCGGCTCGTTGCTGACTTTTGCAAGACCGGCTCGAGAATCTACTCCGTGTTAACAAATGGCAGCCAACGTCGCCAGGGGGCTAAACAAACCTTGAAGGTCGACGACAGACCGTCCCGTTTCTTGTACATAACTAGGGTACGGTCTTTCATGTGCCCTGCCGCGAAGAAGCCCACTTCACGATTTCCGGAGAGCTTCTGCGGTGCTCGCCGGGCGGAGTCACTTGTTGTCTGGTTATTCACGCCGCTCGCTGGGCAGACAACATCAAGGTGGTATGCGATCAGCGACCTGTCCGCAATTAAGAGGAAGACGTTAAACTCTTCAATAACGGCGATTTGAGTCACCCGTGGCATGGCAATAGCCTATATTCGTTAGTAACATGTTCAAGTGGATATTTTTGTCGTCAACTTACCCGAGACCAGCCTCGGGGGTCATTGTACTCCGAGATGTAGACCCCATAATCAGTCCCGATCGCGCACATTTTGCGGCCGGCGGGCTGTTCAAATACAGTGGCACAATGGACCGCAGCGCGACAGATAGGAGACGGTCTAGAAGACAAGGGGTGGTTCTTTTCAACCTCCCTAACTGCGCGATCGAGCGGCGTGCCCTTGATAACCGCACCGCTGGGTGGTAGAGAGCTATCGGAGCTGGCAAAGGCCGTGTCAGATAGAACGCGGAGACGGAAAGGCTCTGCATTCTGGGCGTACAAAGACGCGGCATGCTTTGTTTTGGCTTCGGTGATCTTATCGCACCAGTCCCTTCGGTTTTGAGGGGACGGCGCGTATAAGATGTACGTTTCATTGAGCCCAAGATGCTTGACCTTGAATGGGTATAGAACCTTGTCGTCTTTGGAATTTTCAAGCACCGTGGTGGGGACGAATGACTTGCCTGATGTGTCTGTGTTGGTGTGTGCAAGAGCGCCAGGCTGAGCTCCTGGAGCTGCCGCGACCACACCTCTGACAGCTGATTTCACGACAGGTTCTTCATGGGTGCTCTCCAGTACCAAGAGATCCATCGGAATGGGCAACTTGGATACATCATAACTCTCATATTTGACCGCCCGGGTGGTGTCCTTCGTAATGGACAACTTGGCCAGTACAAGGAAATGGTCGAAGAGAATTGCATGGGTATCAACCAAAAACCGCGTCCGGTAGCCTGGTCGCTGCAAGTCGCCACGGTAGACGACCTCTCGGCCCAGGAAGTCCAGGTTTAGCTCGACGCGCTTTCTCATATCGGGTCGTAGTTGGAGCTTCGTGGCTAATTCCCGCAGGTCAACCTTCTTGCCCATCTCGCCGACCTTGTTGTCGCACTCCAATGCGACGATTTTGATTTCCTCAATGGCTTGGGCTAGATTGGTCTTTTCTTCGGAGTCCTTGAGCATATTGCGGTGGACAGTGGACAGGAGTAGGGTGTATCGCTGAATTCGAGTAATAGGAGCCTTCAGGAAAGTATCCCAGCTAAGACGGTTAGAGAGTTTGTGATCGCGAGCTGTGCTGAGGAACTGACGGAAAACAACGTTCCTCTCGGCTTCTTTGCGAATCAAGTAGTTTGCGTGAGGGAATGTTTCGGCATAACTGATATACACGGCCTTGGCTTTGCGGATCCATTCTCGGAAGATATCACTGAACCCAGCAATAAACGGACCCTGTTCTTTCTGACGATACTTCAGCTGCGCCAGGAGATAATCCTCATTAACCCTTTTCACAGCGTCTACCTTTCCAAAGACGTCGTGGAGGAACTTGCTTGCGCGCTTCGGCGGGATGATCGACGGCTCCGAGTGGGCAAGGCGATCACGGTAGAGCTCTCGCAGGACATCAAGTTGGCCTATGAAGGAATCCTCGGTGGTGACAATCTCGTGCAGATTGTTCTGCCGGTCAATCTCCTTCTTCGGGTGTCCCTCCAGGATTTCTTTTGAAACCTTGTAAAACGTGACCCAGTCCTCCACCTTCTTCTCCGGCTCCATAAGCTGTGCTCTCAGATTCACCTTTCTGAGAGTTCGCATGCAGTGATGCGAGTAACAGCGCCCAACAACCTCGCCCTCGGTCTCCTGCTCATGCAGCACAGGAGAGTAGCACCCGGTGCCGGTGACCTGGAATAGCACGCCGGACATTGTTCCATGGCCGAACTTGACCCATTCTTCGTCCTTGACGAGTGCTCCCTGGTCGAGCATGTTCTGGACAACGCGCGCAGCGAGGGTCTCGGCATCCGCGATGTTCATCGTCGGGACCTTGTGTGTAAACAAGGCTACTATCGCATCAACGACGGCATGTTCTTTGAGGTCCGTCTCATCCTCCGCCAAATCTCTAATCCAAGCAAGGACAGTACTAAGAGCCCAGGGTTCCTCGCAGCGACGGAAGTCCTCCGAAGACAGCTTGGCCGGATGGAACTTCTTGCGGCGGCCGGCGGGGATTATAGGGAGGTCAAGGGGAATCGCAGCAGCCGCAGTGTCCATAGACGGGTCTAACTTCAACAAGCCCTGCCGCAGCATTTCCTGCTGCTGTCTGTATTTCGCCTTGTCCGCATCGGTCTTGGACCTGATTGGCGGGTCAGCACGAGGTCCAATGGGATGAGTCGTCAAAGATGTAGATCGGGAGAACTGGGTGGGGCTGGGCGCAGTCGCTGAATATGCGTCCGGGGAAGGTGCAGGGATGTAGGAGGGTGAATACTGTGGCATGTCTCCTGAGTCCTGGTATCGGTATGTGCCGGCTGGAAGGAGGTGGGGTATCAATGTTGCGTTATCGACGGGTTCCTGGGGAGGCGGGGGGAGTGGCCGCATTCCTGGGTGGAAGAACAGATCCCCAGGTTCGTTCTCACCGAAAGAGCCTTCACTCTCGGAGTGGTGCGACTGCCTGCGGTGCGACAATGAGCCATCTGTTTCGTCTCCGTAATCGAAACTCATCCGACGGTTATGCGCGCTGGGTTCTGATAGGCCGCCAGTGCCTCCCGCATCGACTCGTGCGCTAGACGGCAGCTGAGGAAATGGGAACGCGTAGCCATCTTCCATAGGGGGGTAGTCATATTCGTCAGAGTACTCCGCGCGCTCTTCGCCCGAGGCATTGGAGCTGTGCCGGGAGCCAGAGGTTGTGACCGGATGATTGCCAGCGTAATCGGAGTTTTCGCCATAAGGACTAATTCGCGGCGCGGTGTCGTCGTGCGAAGGATGTCTCGAGTAGCTCTCGCCGCCATGTGGAGGATACCACTCTGCACGAGTAGTTTGCGCCGGCGAGGAGGCCGAAACGGAGGACCGCTTGGGGAGGTTGGCGGTCGTCGGCGCGGTTGATTCCCGTCGTGTCCGCTCTTGCAGCCGCTCGGCTTGAGCGCGCTCCTCCTCGTCAGCCATCCGCAACCAAGCCACTCCGGCCTCTGCCTCGGCGTCACTATCGTCGCTGTACGCATCGTAGTTTACATACTGCCCGGTGGCCATCGCTACACTTCCATTCGTATGGGTGTGCCTTTCATCCGGAGAGAGATGGACAAGATCTGAGCCAGAGGGATGACCCGAGTCCGTTGAACCTGATCGGTCACCCTGGGTATGTATGTCGATATGAGATGGCCTTTGAGTAGGCTGATAATCGTTGCTCCACTGATTCTCCGGGATGGCAGCCTGGACTTGATTAACGAGATCAGCGTAGCCTTGATTGCCAGCTGCACCGTTCGTATATCCACTGGATTGGTTGCCTTCGTCAGTTTCAACTGGGGGGCCCGGAAGAGGACGTGCCTGGGGGTGTCGCGTCAACGTGTCCGTTCTCCGGGGCGGTTGACCTTGGTGAAGCGGTGGCGTAGGAAGCGACCGCCCTGACAGACGGAGTGGGCTATACGGCTTGTCGTAGTTGTCGCCGGATTGATGGGCTGGCGGCGCGGGAGGCTCTTCTTCCACTGGCGGTGTCCAGCCGGCATCTGACAGGCGAGACGGATGGGAGATGTGCGAGGGAATTGGGACTCCTCCGGCGTAGGTACGTGAATTATACGAGGTCATACTGGACAGCGACCCACCAGACGTATATGCGGTGCTTGGTGTGGTTGGAGAGGCGAGACTATAGGACGAAGTACCAGTGGAGGACTGGCTGGAATGCTGTGCTTGAAATCCAAACTGCGTGGCCGGCGAAGCGCTGGAGTATGGCGGGATGGGACGGCTTCCGTAGGGGTGATCGGGTCCGCGAGGCGGAGGTGGAGGGGGCAACGAAGGGTGTGACGAGCCGTACGGGTTAGGCGAAAGAGGTGTTTGCGCGAAACTCATGCTCGGCTGGCGCTGTATTGTGGGAGATCCAAGAGTGCCGATGTTCGTCGCCTGGTAAGCGGCGGGGTTATACGGTTGATGGGTCGGAGATGTACTGCTGTTGTTGCGGTAGGAGGTAGAAGAGGAGTATGAGAGTGGGGAATATCCGGTATTTTGCTGCGAAGCGGAGGCAGGCAAGGCATACTGTTGCGGATTGTATGAGGTTTGCGTCGGTGACATCGGGTTCACAGACGAAGTATACTGGTATTGAGGGTAGCCGGACTGTGTCTGGGCGCGGGCTCGGGGCGGCGAGCTGGCCGAGGGGATTTGGGAGTATCGGGGGTCAGCGTAGTCGTCGCGCACAGCAGCAGCTAGGCTGTGAGTTCCTGGATGCTCGCCGGAACCTGCATGTCCGTATCGGTGGGTTGTCTCCACGGGCCTCAGGTTGTGGGCGGACGGAGGAGCAAAAAGACTCGCGTCATCCCCCGCGTCGTAACTTGGCATTCTCCGGAGCGGCGGGTTGGTGGAGGGAGGGGAGTAGGCCTCATAGGACTGCTGGTCCCCGGGCTGGCCGTAGTAGTGGTTGCCATTGTGATAATTCGCCATACTGCAAAGGGACCATCGGCGTGGTGGGAGAAGTGAGATGTCAGAAGGGGACGAGTCGGTCGCAGGAGCACTGGCTCATGTCTCACTCCAGGGCGAGGTCGGAGGCGGAAAGGAAACAAACGGAGGAGGATTCCGACTAAGCGAGAGACAATGAAGGCAGAATAAAGAATAAAGAAGAAGCCACGAACAAACAATAACAGAAGCAGAACAGACCAAGGCACACGAGGGCGATGGGGAAGTCAGAGAGCGGAAGACGCAGACGAAGATGAGGTGGAGGTGGTCTGTGTCCCAAAGGGCCGATTCAGCCTCATCGCATCGCACGTGGTCAGGACGGTGGGATGGATCATGGATCACTGGGGAATATGGCACAGAATGATGCCAGGAGATGGCAAGACTGATAAAGACAGCTCGGAGAGAACTGCTGAGTGCTTACGAGGTTGAATCTCCTGGAGACGGTGTGGCTGTGAAACTGTCGCTTATGCCATTGCCCATCGCCCATCGCCCAAGATGGCAGTGCTCCAAATGCTCTTATTCAGCACCACCATCGCTGTTCGATCCTGGTTTTACTGATGATGCAATTGTTTCGACCCCTATAGTGTATACTAATATAGTAACGCAAAAAGAGTACCTGTACAGTGCCTGGCTGACTTCCATGGTTCATTGCGGCCCCATAAGGCAGCAAAAATTCGGTGTAGTCGTTAAATAAACCAGTGCATCCTCGGCAGCCATTCAGATCAGCAGGCAGAGTCGTAAAATATATTGTTGAAGATCCTGCTATACGCAGTACTTGATAAACTTGCGTGTTTGGCGATTGTACTCTGCATAATATCATAATATATACTGACAGCTTAGTGACATCATCGGCACTTCTGCAGAAAGTGAATAAGTACAGCTTCTGCTGGTCATTAGTGTGTAGTTTATTTAAGTCTATCGCCATGGCAAAACGCACCATTGACTTTTTTTACAAACGAGTCTCTCCTCCCCAGAGCAAGAAGCCGAAAACAGAAGAGACGCTGTCCTTCACCCACCACCCCAGCTATCCGCATCCCATCGCAGCTCTACCCCCGTCCATCGCCAACCCCCTCGCCAGTATCAGGGACGTACAGCCCGGGAAAATAACTAACCAGCCCCATCTCGACCTCCTCTATTTCCACCCACTTATTCCATCTCCAACTGCCCGCGACCTGTTCCAGTTCCTGCGCCGCGAGCTCCCGTTCTACAGAGTCCAATACACAATCCGTCGCGGGGGCCAACCCACCCAGATCAACACTCCCCGCTTCACCACCGTCTTTGGGATCGACGCAACATCGCAGTTCATTCCCCCAAATATAAATACAAGTACAGATACAGATGCAACTGCACCCTCAATCCCAGTCGACTCAAAAACCCACCACCCCATCTCCCCTGCAAAATACCAATATACCCCTCGCCCAATTCCTCAATGCCTCGACACCCTCCGCCACCATGTCGAAGCCGCCGTCGGTGACGGTTCAACTTATAATTTCTGTCTAGTGAACTATTACGCCTCAGGCGATGACAGCATCGCCTATCACTCGGACGACGAGCGCTTCCTAGGCGCGAACCCGTCCATCGCATCCATCTCGCTTGGCGCGCAGCGTGACTTTCTCATGAGACATAAACCGGCACAAACGGCTGGAGCTGGAGCTGGAGCTGGTAGTCAGCAGCCCGTGAAGTTTGGGCTGGGGTCAGGAGATATGGTTGTGATGCGTGGGGAGACGCAGGCGAATTGGCTGCATAGTATTCCGAAGCGGAAGGGGAGCGAGGCGCGGATGGGGAGGATTAATATTACATTCCGCAAGGCGGTTGTATCTGGGGGGACGGATAATTATTATACTTATAATGTTGGGAGGGGGCCTGTTTATCGCTGGGATGAACGGGAGGGGAAGATGTGTCAAGCTGGTGGTACATAGTGATGTATCACCGAGTACGAACAGCACCAAGCCGAGATGTTTGAAGAGCAAACAACAACGAACAATCCAGTCCCAAATTAAGCCAAGCTGGGCCAAATTAACCGCCATATCCCTCGGCAGAATACATTCCCTTGTACTTATTCACCCGACCAGTCTGCTTTCTCCATCAAATGCGGGGAGAGCCCTAACAATTCGACTATTCCGGTCAATCACCGGCGGTTCTGCCGATCACCCAGGCTCTGAGATCGCTCGGAGAAAACGTCATTAATATTGTCCTCGTTACTGGACTCGCCTGGCTTGCCGAGCTTCATCCCGCAGGAGAAGATGCAGTCTAGCTAATACCCGGCTGGGCTTCGCGTGGTATGATAAAGGCAGTGAGGGGGAATGTATAAATAGTGTAGAAACTACCGAACCGATGCTTTCATTTTCAGTCCCAGGACCCAAAACCTCTCTAGACAGAAGAAATCAATAAAAAAACAGCACAATGAAACTCACCTCCATCACCGGGCTCCTAGCCCTCCCAATGTCTACCCTCGCCCTTGCCCTCCCCTCTTTTCCATCAACCCACCTCTCCAAAAAGGCAGACGAGACAAAGGCCGGCTACCTGGCCGTCTACTGGACAACCGAAGATGAGAGTGTGTATTTCGCACTGAGCTCCAACGACGATGCATTGGGGTTTGAGGCTCTCAACGGTGGGAAAGCAGTTGTCTCCCCGACACTCGGCACCAAGGCGATCCGGGATACCACGATTGTGCGTGGTGAGGGCGATGACGAGGGCAAGTATTATATCATTGGGACGGACTTGGATATTGACACTGTAAGTATTCTATTATCTTGCCTACTGTGGTTTATGTGGGCTATGGCTAACTGTGTTAGACGAACTGGGATGCCGCGACACGGAATGGATCCAGGGCACTATTCGTCTGGGAGAGCACGGACTTGATTAACTGGACCGATGAGCGGCTGGTTACAGTTGAGGGTGAGACAGCAGGGATGGCATGGGCACCCGACGCGATCTGGGATGCGGACAAGGGACAGTATTTCGTCCACTGGGCGGCGCAATTGGTACGTCTAATCGTTCCCTATATGATATTTCCATGGCGTGTCTAATTTGATATAGTACGCCGAAGACGACCCCAGCCACAGCGGCGACCCAGTCCTAACCAACAGCCTGCGCTACGCATACACGAGCGACTTCCGCACCTTCACGGAACCCCAGACATACATTTCGCTTGGAAACGAGTCTGCTATTGATCTGAGTTTCCTGAAGGTCGACGAGACCACGCTGACTCGCTACTACGTCGACGGCGCGACAACGAGTCCCATACAGGATATCAGCAAGGACGGGATCCTGGGCGATTGGACTCCGCTTGATGGCACGATCGAGGATAGTGCTAGCTTCGAGGCACCCTACCCGATCTGGGATAATGTGGAAGAGGGCAAGGCTTATCTGTTCTGTGACCGCGTGGGCGATAACCCTGGGGTTGTGGCTTGGGAATCGAGTGATGTCACGTCTGGGAACTGGGCGAGGAATGACCAGCATGATTTGACTTTCATGCGCCATTTGTCTGTCCTGGCTGTGACGCAGGAGCAGTATGATGCGTTGGCGGCTTTGTAAATGGATACCTACACAATGGACTGACTGGTTGGAACTAAATCCCATTTGATTCTGGTGCGGTCATAGAAGATTTCCATACCCTCTCCCTTTTAATCCAGACAACTTGACAAGAATGCATCAACAGACATAATAGTAGAAACAGGCTTGGGAAGGCTATAACAAAATATCTAGCAGTCTGCCCCCTGGATAATAGCACCCCAACCATCAGAGCTATACAGACGCCCTCTATACCCACACTCTTGCTTAATCTTTTCGGCAACATCTGCCACAGTTCCCCAGCTCTTGAGTGGGTGGTCCTTGCCATCCTGCACGCATACTAGTTAGTGAACTAAACAATAACCCACGCAATAAGACTTCGCACGGCACTGGGTTCTTACATCGGAACAGACATATATACCCCCGCCATAGGAGCAACTGACACGGTTGCACTTCTCTGCTCTTGCGACAGGCTGACCATCGAGACCTCGAAGGTACTCGATCCCGTTAATAATGCTGTAGCCAGCGTAGGGTTCATCGATATCGCAGTCAATGGAATCAGTGCCCGCAATCACCTGGAAGAAGGAACTTAGCCGCTATTCCCATATGATATGATATCCTTGGCTAAACAGTCTTACCTGACTGGCAAAAGTACCGGAAAGAAACAAAGCTGACTGCCACTTCATCTTGATTTCGACTGGACTGAATTGAATTGAATGGCTGTGAGACTGATGAAGAGAAAAGCGATAACTGTGGTCTCAAATGTCTCTTTATATTGATAGCGGTCTCTTTTGCGGTCATAGATTTTCCATATCCACTTCCTTTAACTCAGGCAACCCAGGATCTCCAAGTCAAGCTATTTTCGGCAGCACATAACAAGCGTACTCGGGGTATATAACCCCTGCACTGACCAGTAGCTAGTTTGAAAATGTAACTCATGTTACCCGTCAAGTTGATCTCACTGGTTGATTCAATGAGCTCCAATATAGTATGTGGTACAGAGTACATCCTGCGCAAATAGCCTGCGAAAAATAAGTCGGCGGCCTCTTCATCGCCCTGGGAAGTCGTGTGAGGCCCCCTAAAGACATAGCTCAAGTTGCCGATCACGCAGCGGGTAGCGTTTCTGGAATAAGGAAACCGTGAGCTTAAAACAGTGATCGACTTTACGTCTAAATGTATAAAAAATAGCTGGGATTTGTACGTCTGACTGGCCCGTTGCTCAAAGACGACCGGCTCACAGTCGGCGTATCTGTACGTAGTAGATGCCCCAGGCAGCAGACGGATATGGACGGATACCCGCCTTACATCCGAACTAAATTATCCGTCCTACTTTCCGCGCCGCGATCTCGAGGAATTCCTTCCAGTGGATATGTCTTCTTAAGGAATGTGCAGTCTGTCTCGTTTGCGTTGAACTCGAGCACGGCCCAATTCTGCCCCATCTTCGACAATCTATCCACGATCAGCTATCAAGTACTAACCGTGCTGTGAAACCATCACCATGGGGAAGATCGCAGCGATGGAGTACTTCCGTGTTCCACCACGGTGGCTGTTCGTCAAAATCACGGACGAACTGGGCGTCGCGGGGTGGGGAGAGGCGTCTCTCGAGGGCCATACTGAGGCTGTCGAGGGCTGTCTTGACTCGTGGTTTGAGAGGTATAAAGGGCTGGAAGCTGAGTATGTCATGTCCTTACTGCGTCCATCCAAGATCTGGCTTATCATGCATATTCTAAACCTAGATGATGTAGAGATATCGAAAAAATCTGGCAGCTCTCTTGGCGTGGGGGCTTCTACCGTGGAGGGCCGGTATTCATGAGTGCTATGTCTGGCATTGACATTGCGCTATGGGATTTAAAAGGTTTGTAGTAGTGGTTCAATTCCAGTTGATTTTTCCCTAGCGGGATAGGATTTCTCAGAGTATAACTAGTTATGTACACTGACACACGACTAGCCAGGAAGCTTGGAGTGCCGATCTATCACTTGCTTGGTGGCAGAGTCCGAGACAAAATCCGCGTCTACGCTTGGATTGGCGGTGACAAGCCCAGTGATGTCGAAGCTCAGGCGTATGTTTTCTCAGTCGCTCATTTTAGAGAATCACCACTGATATCGCTGCAGCCAGGCGCGCAAAGACCAGGGGTTCCACGCGGTGAAGATGAACGGCACGGGAGACACGGCATGGCTCGATTCGCCATCAATGCTACAAGAAGTCGTTAGCCGGCTGAAATCTGTGAAGGCGTTAGGACTAGACGCCGGGGTTGACTTCCACGGACGAGTGCATAAGCCCATGGCCAAACGCCTTGCGAGAGTGCTCGAACCACATGAACCGCTCTTCATCGAGGAGCCCCTCCTCTCGGAACACATTGGGGCTATCGAACAGATTTCCAAACTGGTCACCATCCCGATTGCTCTCGGTGAGCGACTGCATAGCCGCTGGGATGTCAGGCCCTTCCTGGAAAGTGGTTGTGTGGATATCTTGCAACCTGACATCTGCCATATTGGTGGCATATCCGAGATGAGGCGCATCGCCGCCATGTGCGAGGTCTATGATGTTGGTGTGGCACCGCATTGCCCGCTGGGTCCCATCGCTCTCGCAGCCAATGTGCAAGTGAATGCGACGCTGGCGAATTTCGCCATCCAGGAGATGGGTATCGGTATGCACTATAACAACACGGGACAGGATATCACTAGCTATATCACCAATCCGGAAGTTTGGAAAGTGCGGGATGGGCATGTCGATGTGCTATCTGGCCCGGGCTTAGGGATCGAGATTAACGAGGCAGAAGTCAGACAATTGTCTGTTGGTACGAAGGCGTGGCAAACCCCTGAATTACGAGGGCCCTGCGGAGAACTGCGGGAGTGGTAGAAATAAAGACAACAATTAAGACAAAGCTTTCAAGCACCTAAGTTGGGTGCTGACCAAGTGTATACAGAAGCCAGTGCAATTCTGCTGCTTCTTCCATATTGACTGTTCATATGATTTCATCGGACTGTCATCTTCTTTTAGCTGTAGATTTCCGAGGTAGGCCTTATGTTTCCCGCGAATTTATACGACGCCATGCCGGTTGTATTCGTACTCTAAACCCAGAAAGTCCCTGTCATTAAAACCAAGCAAAGCCCGCCAACATTCAGTGTGGTCATTCGTGGCCCTCAAATCCAAGCACCATCAACCGAGTAGCAACTCCCACTAACGAAAGAGCTCTCAGGCCCCAGTAAGAATCCAATCACATTTGCCACCTCTTCAGCAGTACCCTGACGCCGGAATGCAATGGGGTCATCGAAAGGCGTATCTGCTGGTCGTCCAGTCTGGTCATAAAAGCCCTGCATCATGGGAGTATAAATTGGGCCCGGCGCAACGGCATTGACTCGAACCTCTCGGTAGCCATTTTCCTTCGCAGCGACTCGAGTGAGGCCCAAAACGCCGTGTTTGCTCGCAGCATATGCACCATGATTGGCAACGCCTGGGAGCCGTTAGAGAAAGAGGGTGTTTTTGGAGTATTACTGGAAGGGGGAAAGCTGACCAGTTGTGGCATGAATGGAGGCCATGTTTACAATCGACCCGCCATCACTGATGTTGTTGAGCTCTCCCCGGAGACAGTACATCAAGCCTGTCAGGTTGACACCGATGATTTTGTGCCATTCATCGTCGTCCAGTTCTGCTACCGAGTTCATGCCGTGGCCTTTTCCGATGACGCCTGCAATATTGGCCGCTCCATCAAGACGGCCGTGTCTGTCCCGAATCTCAGCAATCCAGCTTTCTATTTCTTGTCTATTGACAATATCAACTTTTGTGATCATGTAGGGAACAGATGGTGTGATGGAGGTGAAGTACGATTCAACTTCACCAAGGGCGTCTGAGTTGACATCGGCGATGCAGACCGTTCCCCCGCGCTGTGAGATGAGCTTGGCGGTCGCGAGGCCGATTCCGCTGCCGCCACCTGTCACGGCAATGACCTTGCCTTGGAGAGACATGTTTGGGCAGTTGCAGGTAAGTTGTCAAGGTACTACTGCTTGGGGTCGCATGATAAACATCAAGCATAGTGTCGGAAAAGTAGGCCGAGTGGGGCGGAGTGGGTTTCCGTCGGAAAGCAAATGGGGCTTTTATTGGTCCGAGTTATCCGATCCGTTAAACTAAACTTAGTACCCTCGGGCTTAGTTGAAATGGTACACGCTATTGAAGCCAGATACAACCTAGAAACGAGCCTCGTTAGTTGTCCGACATCCGGAATTCCTTGTGCACTGAGTCCCTACCATCGAATCAAACTGGCCCCATCCCGTTAGGTCGCCCAGAGAGTCACCAGGACTGACATGTAAATCATCCAGCTGACCCATCGCTGCAAGGCCTGGGGATGTTATAGAGAATCCTGCTGGCAGACCTCCCATATTCGAAGAGAATGGCTCAACCTCCTCAGCCCTTGCATCCATTGTGGAATAAGGCTGCTGCGCTGGTCGCTCTTCAGGGGCGGCCGCAGCTGGAGCAATTTGTCGGACGGCCTCGGCACGAAGCTCTTCCAGGACAACACAATATCGGGAGGTCAAGGATCCTTCTCCGGCCACTTTCATGATCTGCTGCTGACAGCGCTCTGCGGCGGCGAGATATGGCCGATAGACTTCCTCCGGCTCCTTGCTGTGTTGTATAGTGTAGACATACAGGATGACAGACGCAGAGAAAGCAAAATAGGGAGTAAACTGTAGGTTTACATCAGTAACGTTCTTGGACGCACGTCTCTGTGGGGGAAACCGCATACCCAGAAGGCACGAAGGAGTTGCTTTGCTTTGGTCATCATGTCCACTATGCCGACAATTTCCAGTGCAGCATGCAGACACTCGGAGACACTCTCATTAATACGATCCCTGCGCTCGCCTTCTCCTGGTTGTCCTGAGCGGGTGCTGTTTGTCAATCGGGAAAAGTTACTCAATAGTAATGGGCGATTCGTCAGAATTACTGTATGCCAGTATGCTAGATTTAGCACATTCTTCTGTCGCTGGAAAATCAAGACCAATGGGGCGGTGTTGGAGTTTCCTTGATCGAGAAAACTGGCCATTTCCATGCGCCATGTTTTCAGTTGTTTCATATATTTTGTTGTATGATCGATCCGTTCAGTCATGGTCATGGGTTGGATCGAGTAGACATCGCTCAGAACACCACTCAATATCCGACATAGCCTGTAGCAAACTGATGTCAGGTTTCGATGTGACAAACATCGGGGATCAATTACCTTGCATAGCTTATTGGTCCAAACATGGTAGATAATCCGTGTCCACAAGGCGAGACGGACCTGCTTATGTTGCCATCGATCTCGTGGTCGTCCACGCATGAAGGGAGCTCCTGATCAATATCTTTATCGTTAAAAGTGTGCGGCCTCCCAAGGGCCATGCTAAGATAGTTGTCGAGACTATAGGCGCTCCAAAATGTGCTGCGCCGGCACTGAATTTCGACCTGGGTCATAGAGCTTGAGTACGCGTGTCTGTTTCTATGTAGCCCAAGAGCAAATATTAACCGGGCGATCGTCCCGAAAAGGCTCCAGCAGTCATTGATCCGGGACTGTGATAGAAACCAGAGACATTGGCAGAGACGAACTTGGATGCTTGCAAGCCTCACCGTTCCCTGCTCCTTGGACAATTGGTGATTCGCTGCTTCAAAATATCGAACACTGTAGGATTCTTAGCATTCCCCCGGGATCGGTAAGATGGACGAACGGTCTAGGAGAGGTACAAACCTCGTCTCGGCCTCTGTCGCAGACGAGCTGTGGGTCGAATGTTCCTGTGCGATAGCAAAAATCATGAATAGTACAGCTGTCTGAGTGGGTGCCGCATTCCTATCGTGCATGAGACCTTTGGTCTCATAAAACTCCTCGTACCATTGCTCGATAGTTGTTCGATGTAGAAAACGGTCGACGGGTACTGCGAAATCAAAGTACCTCCGAAGAAGGCTAGCTGTGTCTTCTCGGTTTAGCAACAGAGCAAATGTCGGATCGCTATACGTCGACATGATACCTCCAGCGTTCAGGCGAGTATCCTGGTGAAGCAATGGGGCGTCACCGAAGTTGAAGACGGATAAGCCGCGTGGAAACGATACCGACTGCCCAAACCGGCTCTGGACTCGGGAGAGGAACGAGATACCCGATGAGGGGCCTACATAGTGGCCCTGGAGATCTATCTGGGTGGGCTGAGGCGATGCACGAGAGACGGGGTCGGTGAGCGGCATAGATTCATCCTGCCGGGAAGCAAGGCTCAGTGGTTCATCCACGGCGACTGGATCGTTGATGTCATTACTGTTGGTGTTGTTGTTGAGCACACTCGCCGGTGGCTGGCTGTCAACATGAGTAGGTGGATTCGCAGCGAGCTTGGGCGACGGCCCAACTCGGGTAACGCGAATCGCTGGTCGTCTGCCTCTTGTGTACGAGGTATTGTAGGAGCAAGTCGCCGCCGCCAGAAGACACACGTCACACGGTTGCTGGCCATTGCAGCGAACCTTTCTCCTGCAATTCGTCTCAGTCACTACTGCAGGACAGGAAGGGGTGTTGAAATGGCGCCTCCGCTGGCGGTGGTCTCGCCGGACTTACTTCTTGCAACGGTCGCAGGCACGCGTGACCCGCATCCGACTCGATCTCCGGGGCCATCCATCCCCTGAATTGGGCGTGCTGGGCAAGGTAAAGCCGTGCTGGGCTCCAGGAGACTGCATGTTGCACGCGGGACCGTCTCAGCGTGGGGATATGTCGTGGAGATGAGGTTGGGGTGATGGGACTCGTGGCCGAGGTGCGGGGACTTCTCCGGCCCGTGAGCAGCTAAAAGTTTTAGGGTTAAAGGGGTGGCTAAGCTGGCGCTACAAGATATATATACTGGATATTGTTCTAGCTTCTCTTTCTCACATTAGCTGAAATATACGTATTCATCTGAACCTCATACTACAGAACAGCAACCCCTTCAATCATGGCCCAACAACAGCACATCCTTCTGAGCAATCTATACTTGGCGGTCAGTGTGATCCTCGACGTGAACCACTTCAGTCTGGTCAGCATGGCGCTTCTCCTGCGTGAATGTCGTCGTAGGCGCCCATTTTGCACTGCTTCTGGGACTCGTCTCCTCCAACATACGGTCCACCTGCTCCAGCGACAGGCCCTTCATCTCAGGAACCAGGAAATACGCAAAGGTTGCACCCAACAAGCAAAGTGCACCCCAGAAAAAGAACACCTTGGGTCCCAAGTTGACGGCGCCCTCTTCGTCACCAGTCATGTACGGTGCAATCACGGCAAGGACACAGTTCCAGAACCAGCAGGAAGCCGTTGAGATGGCCACTCCGCGCGACCGGATGGGCAGTGAAAAGGTCTCTCCAACAACCACCCAAGCCGCTGGACCCCATGTCGTCGAATAGAAGAAGATCTGGAAACAGATGACGGCAATCATACCTTTGACTGCCGTTTCATTGTCTGGCTGTGCTGTTCCGACGGCACCAATGATGTACTGCATGAGAAACATGCAGAGGCCCCCATACACCAGCAACGGCCGGCGGCCAAATCGCTCGATGGTCCAGAACGCGAGAGGAGTGCACACGACGTTCACTAGAGTCGTAATCAGAGACATGAGAAACGGGTCGGAGATTGTTCCAAGCTGCTGGAAGAATGTAGTCCCGTAGTAGAAGATAAAATTCATGCCGGATAGCTGCTGCATTCCTTGAATTCCTGCACCGACAATGGTTCTTCGAATGTTGGAACTGGGGTTGGTGATGGGACCTTTGAAGCAAACCAGCCACGAGCTGATATATCCGTTCTCAGGACTGACATGACACTCGTACTCGTGGTTCGCCACGATTTCGGCGAGCTCGTTGCGAATATACTCGGAAGTGACTGGCTGCTGTCGAATGAAAAAGAGTGAATTAGCTGCTGCGTCAAGCTTTCCCTTCTTGACAAAGTATCGGGGCGATTCAGCTAGAGGTGGGCGTAAGTACTACATTTGCACCTAAGGAGGGGGAAGAATATACGTAGGAGAAACAGAGCCGTCGCAAGCGCAAGAGCCCAGATGAACTGGACGCCAATGGGGATACGGTAAGAACCCGTGTCGTTTCTGCCCTGGCTTGCATAAACAACACAGTTTGCAATCAACAATCCAATCGTGCTGCGGACTATGGGTCAGCCATACTCAGACAAAACACTGACTCGCGGCAGACGTACATAGAGAATTGATAGCCAGACACAACAGCGCCACGAATCTTCTTCGGTGAAACTTCAGACATGTAGAGGATGATGACTGCAGATTCGAAACCAACACCGAGACCCGCAACCAAACGGCCGATAGTCATGGCTGCCAATTGACCACTGCTGGCAATTTGGATAATGACGCCGCAGCTAAAGATAGCACAGCCCATGAGGATGGTGATACGACGACCCCAGAAATCCGCCAGGTCACCTGCGATAATCGCACCCAGGAACGTTCCCAGCGACAGTATTGAAGTCATGAGTGACTTGTCAGAAGACGGAATCACGAACGGACGAGAAGAATCGACCGGGGCGCCAGCGGCAAAGTCATACTCCATGCCGGTATATTGCTGGATCACAAAGGGTGTACCCAGCACCCCTGACATCCACCCGATATCATAGCCAAAGAACACCCCGCCAAAGGCAGCTGAAGCGCAGATCACATATGCCTTCCAGGAGATAGGAGCTTCGATCCTTGATACGTCAACCGTTCCACTGGTAGTCTCAGTATCGACGGCCATTTTTGCTTCGGCCTCCTGCAAGAGAGCTATGGACAACTCAAATGGAAGAAGTTATTCGTAAAAATAACTGATCAATGGCACCAGAGCGACAGCGTAGGGACCCAAGGCTTTTAAACGGGTCTCTATGCATGATTACCTTGTCCGATAGGCACATTCTCCGAGCAGGTCTGGTGTAAAACGCGGAGGCTGTTCAATTTGCGAGTAGACCGTATGCCAATCGGATGTCGGAAAAGACTCGAAAGGAGCGCGAAGAATCCTCCTCGACTGATCACTCTTTTCCTGTCCGCTTGGGTACCAGCGGAACCTATGCACCAGTGAAATGGGAGCAGTTTTATCCGTCCGCGGCCGGCTAGCTAAACTCCAGAACTGCTTGAGACAGGGAGACATGCCCCCTTTATGATGTCAACCAGTCAAACAGCTCGTCGTGGACATTACTGGAGATTACGGAAGTAACCACCGGGTGATGTATTCACCCATGAGCTAAAAATCTAAACGGAAAAGGTTTTCTTTGGAGCTAAACATATTGAACATATTGGTAGACGCTATCTTCCTCCATCGTTCCTTGATCCTGCTGAGAAGTCACGAAGCTATGTAAAGAGAAACCAACCACAACAAACTAATAAAGTGTACCAAAAACGGACAGGCTGTCGTATGCCTGGCCATTTGGACCGAACATCACATTGCTCTCACAAGAAGATCCAAGAACAGCATTGTTGATCCATGCAGCCTCCCAGTAATTCAGGCCAGTTGCGCCCGGAATCGCCTTGAGGGTCGTAGCCAGTCGCTGGAGATATTCAGTCTGGCCGGCTGGGCTCAGGGGGATATCTAATTGATCCGGAGGAAACGGGTACTCCGGGCTGGAGCACTGTGTCGGCCAATTTGTCTCGACTACCTGGACCTCCTTATTGTACTGTGTCGACAAACTAGTGAGACTCGCGGTCAACGCCTCCATGGTAGCACCTTGGCCCCAGAACGGGTAGAAGGAGACGGCGATGACATCCCAGTCATCGATGGACAAAAGGCCGGTGCCCAGGACCAGGTCGTAGAACCAATGCTGTAGCTCGCTGTCATCTCCATGAGCGAGGTGTGTCACGATCTTGGTGCTACTGCCCAGCGAAGAATCACGAATGGCCATTGCGGCAGTATGTAGGAGGCGAGCAAGGTTCTCTGGGTTCTCAAAATGCCCTGTTGGCCAGAGCAACCCCGAGGGGATCTCGTTGCCGATGGTGATTGTCTCGGGATGCAGGCCCTCTGCTGCAAAGGTTTCGCACACTTCGCTGGTATAGGTATATACTTGCGTTTCGAGCGAATCGATATCCTGTGGCCAGCCGGTGGGAATGTCTTGGAGGTTCGGATTGGTCCATGTATCGCTGTAGTGAAGGTTCAGACCAAACATCAAGCCTGCATTGGTCGCCCGGCGTGCCAACTCCAGATTGTACTGTATTCCGTAGTCCCCGTCAACAGTCCAAACACGCTGACGAACCATGTTGACGCCAGCTTCCGCAAGGATATTCTCTAGGGGCATCTCGGTGCCCAGGGAATTCTTGTAGACGACACCATTGTCCCGTTCTTCGACTATGACAGAGGACCAGTCCACACCGATATATTGCAAAGGATCTTGTCTGGGCTGCATTTCGTATGCTGAGACTGAGGCAGCTGGCCATGTCATCGACATTAAAAGTGGCAAGATGATAACGAGCATGATTATAGTGGGCTGGGGAGAAAATTCAAGACTGCTTCTGCTGGCACAGTCTCAATTGCTGGAACTTTCGTCACCATGATATATACGGACGACGTGGTTTCACATGGGGTGAAGCGAGATTCGTCACAACAGGCTCTGCCCAGGCGGACAATCTTCGGCCGCGCAAGAAGCTGTACAGCAGACGTGGGTCCATTCATTGGCAGTCTTGGAAATATCGGATGTTCTACTCTGGAACAAGGGGTTCAGTAGCTCTCCATCCCCCTTTTCCAGTTTTCTGCACCATCGGATATCTGTAGTGTCCAAGAAAGTAAAGCCCGAAAAACAATGTCTTTGCACACGGCAGAATGAGCAATAATGAACACCAGCAGGACCAAGACGGCAAACTCAAGAGATATCCGGGGGTATCTGTGGAGTTCTGACACAACAGCTAGTATGACAGGCTGATACTGACAGTGCCTCATGCAGGCTTCCAGGGATGGATGTGCCCCTGAGAGCTTCGGCCAATTGACAGCCATCGGATATGCAGAGTGGTGGAGTCCCGAATATTTACATTGGCTGAAGAAAAGGAATACCCAAGACGGATATGGGTCCATCACTGACCACTTCCTGATATGGCCAAGAGAATGCGGAGGAACACTTCCTGGGAGAATCGTGCGGGGAAATGTAGAAACGGAAAAGTCGGGGAAAGGAAGTATAAAAGACGGTCTGAAAGGCAGTGAATAGCTCACCAGGGCGCTCTCTAACTGTACCTCACAGTTTTATCCCGGTTGCATTCCAGTCGACCTTTCGTTCCCTTTTGCGACAATGAAGCTGCGGCACGCGCTGAGTGCTGCCATAGCCAGCACAGGCTTCGTCGCTCATTCGATAGCGCAAGACTGGCCGTTGCATGACAATGGCCTCAACAAGGTTGTCCAATGGTAAGTCTCTCGGACATCAATGCAAAAGTGAGCATCGACGTGCTTATACGTCCCTCAGGGATCACCATAGTATCCAGGTGAATGGAGAACGATTGTTTCTTTGGTCAGGAGAAGTAAGTAGAAATTCAGTTCCACCCAAAGCACCAAAACCTCATGATTCTGCCAGTTGCACCTATGGCGAATCCCTGTGCCCGAGCTATGGCGCGATATCCTCCAGAAAGTCAAAGCCGCTGGGTAAGCGATGTCCATTGTACCTAACTGGACGGTGCTCATGGAATCAGTTTCAACGGAATAGGCCTGTATGAACACTGGGGATGGCACGCCCCAAACAACGAGACCTTGGACTTCGAGACCGGCGCTCATAATTTTGCTCAGGCATTTGAGCTCGCAAAGGAAATCGGCCTTTACGTTGTCTACCGACCTGGACCGTACAGCAACGCCGAAGCGAACGGCGGAGGGTTCCCTGGCTGGCTGACAACTGGAGAATACGGCCCTCTTCGCGATGATAGCGAAGAATATACAAGGGCCTGGACTCGATACGCCGAAGCGGTTGCGGAATATGTCCGGCCACATCTCATCACCAATGGTGGTTCTATCATCATCTGGCAGATTGAGAATGAGTATGGCAACCAGTGGCTGGACAGGGAGTTGAAGACACCCAATGAGACGGCCATCAACTATATGCAGCTCCTGCAAGACAAGCACAGGGAGTGGGAAATCGATGTACCTCTGTCGCACAACAACCCCAATATGTGGACGCGATCGTGGTCGAAGGACTACAGCAACGCCGGTGGTGAGGTTGACATGTATGGCCTCGATCACTACCCAGCATGTTGGACTTGCAACCTGGCTCAATGTCTCCCAACCAACGGCGATGTGGAGCCGTACACTGTGTTTGATTACTATGACCACTTCCAGGAGGTCTCGCAAACGCAGCCCTCGTTTCTCATGGAGTTCCAGGGGGGCTCGTTCAACCCTTGGGATGGACCTGAAGGCGGTTGTAAGGAGAACATGGGACCTGAATGGGTAAATCTCTTCTTCCGCCACAACCTGGCCCAGAAGGTATCTGCAGTCAACATTTACATGCTTTACGGAGGCACAAACTGGGGGAACATTGGCTTTCCCGAGGTCGGCACAAGCTACGACTACTCAGCCCCTATCCACGAAAACCGTTTGATCGGTGACAAGTACAACGAAGGGAAGCTTTTTGGTCTGTTCATGCGATCTGCGCGCGACTTCACCAAGGTGGACCGAGTAGGAAACGGCACGGGCTACGCTACAGATGCTGATATATTCACAACGGAGCTTCGCAACCCTGATACGGGCGCTGCCTATTATGTGACCCGCCATGACTACTCGCCGTCTACAGACCTGACCAGATTCCGTCTTCATGTTACCACTCAGGTTGGAAACCTCACGATCCCGAGCAAGGGATCGATTACTCTCAATGGAACAGAGTCCAAGGTTCTGGTCACCGACTTCAGTATCGGGTCATCTGGCAAGAAAATCACTTATTCTACCCTGGAGGTTCTCGCGGTGAGCGACCTAGGTGACCGCCAGATAGTCGTATTCTGGGCCCCTGAAGATGAGCAGGGGGAGTTCTTACTTCAAAACGCAACGCTGGGCAAGGTGATGAGAGGAAGCGGCAATCATAATAATAATAATACGATCACTAGGACTCGCAACGGAATTGTAACGAACGTCGTCACAGGGCCAGAAAATACCGTCATTGACTACAGCAACAATGTCCAAGCTGTGGTGGTTGATCGCCAGTCCGCTTACAAGTTCTGGGCTCCTACTTTGGATAATGACCCTCTCGCATGGGAGAATTCTACAGGTAGGCATCCAGTAGGGGTTACACTTTGGTTAATACGCATGGACTAACCAGGCCTCGACAGTGCTCGTCCATGGGCCGTATCTCGTCCGCACCGCGCAAATCACAGGCAATACGATTCACGTCACAGGTGACTGGGACGAGGAGACCGACATTGAGATCTGGGCCCCGAAGAAGGTGACAGATGCCACTTTCAACGGCGCTAATCTCAACGTCTCCAAGTCAAAGTACGGAAGCCTGATCGGCACTCTTCCTGCAGCGGAAGTTACCATCGAAAGCCTGGCTGCCAGTCTACCCAGCCTTGGTGATTGGAAGGTAGCAGATAATCTCCCAGAGACAGCAGCGGAATATGATGACTCCAATTGGACTGGTGATTAATAGACCTTCTGGACGTTTCAAATCCTCATAAACTGACTGACATGGCACTTTACAGACGCCGACCATATGCAAACCCCCCATTTCGTTCCCCCTGACACCTACCCTGTTCTGTTCGCCGATGAGTATGGCTATCAAGCCGGCAACATCCTGTGGCGCGGTCACTTCAATGCCTCAGAAGACGAGCTGCCCTCGGGTGCCTACCTTCGTGTCATCGGCGGCCTTGCAAGCGGCTTTTCAGTCTATGTCAACGGTGAATTCCTTGGGTCATGGCTCGGGTCGATGGCCAACAAAACTGGAGAGCTTGCGGTATCGTTCCAGAATGCGACCCTCAAGACGAACGACGCGAATGTGCTATTCGTCATTCAAGACACTATGGGCAAAGAGCAGCGTGAGGCCGCACCGGATCCACGAGGCATTCTCAATGCTACTTTGTACGCTGCAGACGGCTCGGCTGCCAGTTTCTCCTCGTGGAAGGTTGCCGGGAATGCTGGTGGGAACCATCTCCTCGAGCCGGTGCGCGGTACATACAACGAAGGTGGACTACATGCCGAGCGCCTTGGCTGGCATCTTCCTGGCTTCGATGACAGTGATTGGGAGTCTGGAGTCCCCGCTGACGGATTCACTGGAGCGGGAGCACGCTTCTACCGGACTGTGGTGCCATTGGACATTCCGAGGGGCTATGATGCCTCCATAGCATTCCAGCTACATACTGACAAGAAGGCAAAACTTCGGGCTCAGCTCTATGTCAATGGGTATCAGTTTGCAAAGACCTTGCCCTTCATCTCAAACGAAACAACATTCCCTGGTACGTACTTGTCAGTGGACGCTCACATGGGAAAGTCGAAGACTAATGTGCTTCACAGTGTTCCCCGGAATTCTCAACTACAATGGCTACAATACCATTGGTCTGAGCGTCTGGAATATGGACGAGGCGGGCGTATCGGTAGGGGTACAATGGAAGGTCATGGGTGTGCATCGATCAGCATTTGATCCTCTATTTCCTAGCGAATACTTGAGACCCGGGTGGACGGATCGCTCCCAGTATGCGTGACATACGTGTCATGTCTTTTATTCCTTGGGCTTGATTTAACTTAGGTGACGCATAGTCTGTTTTGTGCATTCTTTCTAAGTACAGATACATCTTGCATTCACTTGCAGTCCAGCCTAAGAACATCCGGCTTCAATGCAAATTAACAGCGTACACGCATGATGGCTTTACATCCAGCACACGGGAAGTGCAACAGTAAGAACAGAAGCACTAGAAAGCGACAACATCCTCCACATACTACTATAGTTTGCCACCCAATTCCAGATATACCCCAGCTCATACAAAGTTGGAAGCTCCATCATCAGGGCCTGAGTTGTCGCCACTTAGCCCGTTTAGTATACTGCGCCCATCTTCAGCAGGCAATACTCCCATAACTGTCCTTCGTAGCCCGCCACCAAGCAGACTCAACGTCACCTTCATTGCAGCCAATGCCAGTAGTGAATTTCCACACCAGAGTACCGCTGTCGTCTCTGCAGCTAGTGCGGCTGGGCGCCGGGCACCTCAGCTCATCCCAAAGCCTCCCGCAGACAGCCGGGATCTCGGGGACGTCGGGAGCCGTGATCTCCCAGTCGTAGTAGAGGTTAGGGGGCGTCCAGGTGTTTTCGCAGGTGGCGGCGGAGGACTGACTAGCTAGTGCAGCCAGTGCCAGCAGAGTGGTTGATTTGATAAAATGCATTATTGCGTTGGATTGGCGTTTGGTGTGGAGGAGAAAATTGAGATATTCAGTGATTGTGCAGGACACAGTCAATTTAGGCTTTGTGGTACTATATATACCTTTGTCTCCGGATTGTCAGGCCTCCCCCCGCTATGATTCAGAGGGTCCAACCCCGGGGGGCCATGGGGGCTATCATGGTTAGGCGTACAATGGAAGCGGAGAGTATCAAATAAAGATAAAGCAACCATTTGCGAGTATCCTTGACAGGGCCTGAGCCTTGTGAGACTTGGCCGTTCGAGACTCAGGGACCTCCTTCCTCCCCGCCAATAGAGGCCAGCGACGCTGTCCACCTTGTTGGTTGGGAATAATGCGTTCTTTCCAGATTTCCACTGCGAGCCACCCCCTCTGCCAGCCAAGCTCATCACATTCCTGCGGCGTCCTCGCCGCTACGAGTCGGCAAATCGGTGGCAGGCCCTGCATCGCGCGGGTGGCCTGCCGTCCATGTAACCGCCCAGTGATCGGCGTCAATACCAATATAGGAATCAGTATAAAGTTCCACTGCTAAAGCCTCAGTTCCGATATCACTCGTGCCGTATACAATGCTAGAGTAGGGACGTGCCGCGGGGGCAGGACAATCTTGGCATTCGTAGACGGTGTCAGATAATAGCGTTCATTGTCGATTCCACGAGCCGGCCATTGAAAGCGCAGTGTGTATCGCCAAGATAAGCCTGGTGACTTTGGGCCGCGTAACAATATCCATAAGACTGCTCTGACCCAGCAAGCATACAGTGTACAGTTTCCATAACCACCCCCAGCGTCCGTTGCAATGGCAGTATTTCATGCTCTAAGCGACGCTCGTAAGTTGATCTACTTCCTTTTTGTGGCCTTTCTGCTTCGGCCTGCAGCATTCCCTGTTGACCCCCCGGCGGGTAGTCTGGACTTGTAAAGCGTGCCAGTGAATGGTTCTGTACAGTCTCTTCATCGGTTGGATAAAAGAGATGACGCAGCTCACTCCGGCTACGGCAACATCGCTTGGGATACTGAACGCATCGCTGTTCAGATAAACTGCATCAAGTACGAGCTTGACGAAGTCAAAACCATGGCACGAGTCCTCGAGCACACGCTCTTCCCAAACAGCACGAGCAGGCGATTGTAACTGCTTGGGCATGCTATAATAGCATCTCAATGGCGTTCAGAGCTAACGAGCAACCTCCTTGGCCAGGAGCAACCGCCAGAATGGGGACCCAAATCCAGATCGGTTGCTGGGGCATGATAACCTGGAACCCGGTCTTTGGCCGCATCCGACCCTCGGACAGAGAAAGCTCATGCGGTGGCTCTCTTTGATTACTGGACCCTCACCATCTACTTAGGTGTGCCAGACAGAGGCACCCCGGCCGGTGGGAACGGGGTGTCCGGGGAGTTAGTTAGGGTGTTAGGGCAGCCAGTACTCAGTAGCCACGTATCAGTAAGGTGGGACGGATGGGGATCAAACGTACTTAAGATTCCATTTTCCTTTTCTTAAGGTACCATCTCCTTCGTATCCCTTCGATTATAATGGCTGGCATGGGACGGCTACCCCCTGAATTGATTCTTCACATTGCCAAACACCTCGAGAAGCAAAAAGATATCAGCTCTTTCACCCGCTGCAGCTGGAGACTTTACAACCTGCTTCACCGTTATCTATGCCAATTTAATTCTCACCACCGCAAGGGCTCGGCATTTATATTTGCAGCAGAAAATGGGTACACCAAGCTGGTAACCAGGCTGCTGGAAGCAGGTGCCGGTATTGGATCCGTCTCCGTGAGAGACACTCGAGATCGAGTAGTAGATGAAGACGGTGCCTTGATCAACCCACTCATTGTAGCCGTACGAAATGGGCACGTGGCAACTCTGGGAGCATTACTCAACGAATCTCGCCCAGGTCTTGCATGCTCCCCGGTTCAACTTCGCGCAGCCCTGCACTGGGTTCTCCGGTGTCGTAGGGCCGACCTCTTTAAAATGATTATCGCCAAAGGCCCACCACTGGGCTTGCCGGATAGTGACGACGAGGATTATGACATGCGCAGTAGACAGGATACTGCTCTGGGTGTTGCCATCGCCGTTGGATGTGATAATGCGGTGATTGAGCGGCTTCTGGAGCAAGGGGCCCATGTCGAGGAGCAAGAAACGCCCTGTCCCTGGTATGAAGCAACGGTCCAACGTGGCGGGCAAATGCTTGACCTGCTGATCAAGTACGGCCACCGGCCCAAGTCAGATAGAGTCTTGTCTCTATTAGCCATGAATACTGACGACCCCACCACCATCAAGCGCTTCACCATCGACATGGTGGACTGGGGGATGGATATCCATATCTACGGTCATATCGCACTATTCACGGCCGTGGAGCAAGGCCACTTTAACATGGTCAAGTTCTTGATCGAAAATGGCGCGAATCCAAACTTGACCTGTGAATACAATAACTGGCGAGGTCCCTTTAACATAACCTGGATAGCAGTGCAAGCGAGGCATTTCGAAATACTCGAGTATCTCGTTGTCGAACAGCAAGTCCAACCTGATCGGGATGCTCTGGAAAAGGCGCGTGAGATGGAATTTGAGAAGGCGATCTGTCTCCTTTCAGGATTTTCATACAAGGACATTGCGCCTAAGCTGGATATTCCCTCCTACATCGCGATGGTGGAGGAGCAGAGTGGCAAGCCGTCCGCTGACTTTCATGCTACGCCCCGACTGCCGTGTGCGTGCCCGGTCAGTGAACCGGCTGCTCTAGGCTTGATTCAAATGCACCGTAACCCCCTGCTGGACATGCAGTGGCCACTAAACTGCCAATGACGCGATCACGGATGTGGTTGTGTATAGCGCTTTGATTAGCCACTGTGCTACCCTTAGCCCAACGCATTTAAAGTACGGCCAGTACGGTACGATATGGTAACGATATCCCGCTTCTGGGTTCTGCCAGATGCAGGTATTGCCCACAGCACACGAGTCGCTCACCACATCCTGTGTGTGCTGTAACCGGATGTTGCTGAATGCTTGAAACGCCGCGGCGATGGCACCACTTGTCGCAGTCGGCGACTCAGCAGGTTTGCCCAGTGCATTATCGAATGACATGGTCAGTACAGCCGATTACTGCGCAAGCTAGGCGGAGTAAGATAGGGCTATGAGGAACATACCAGCGTCAGCCTCCACCACAGTCTCGGGAAAACTCACTCTATATGGGGTATAAATGCCTAAAGAATTAACAACTGGAAGCTGAAACTGCGTTTGTTCAACAGCATAAAAGCACATTTGCGGAACGATAGATCAGAGGAGCTAAATCATGTCTTGGATAAACTACTAACACAGTTAATACCTTAACTTTAGTAGTTTGCGTCCCTGGATCACATCACAGTATAGAAGCCATTTGCATCTAATATGTCCGTATTGATAAAGTCCTGACTGAAGAAATCTTCCACTGAAATATCGATCCCATCGAAAAACAAACTATCCTGTGTACCGTTGTTGCTGGGCCCATTGGCCATCGTAAAGCCAGGGCTGATGGAAGGTAGCTGCATCTCGTTGGTTGCGTCCCCGGTATGCATCAGCCCACAGTGGTCCTCTGTCTCTGTATTACTATTAGGCGTGATCGTGGGTGGGAGTGTCAGGGTGTGAATTTTTCTTTTGGATTGCTGGCCATCCTGACGCGGGAGGGCGAGCGAATGGCCGAAAATAGAGGCCGGTGGATGTTAGGACCGATGATTGGGGAACTCTAGAATACTCCAGAATGAACTGAGATCTACCTTGATGGAGCCGTGATCTGATAATGATGAGGCTCGCATCTGATGTGCATTGGAGAGCTCGGACTCGTACTGGTTGAGATGGCCAATCTATTTATCTATCGGTTAGCGTCCATAGGTGAAAGGCTGTATACAGGGGTATAACAGAATGGAATTGAAGCCAGAGGTAAGGTGACTTGCCAATCTTTCCATCAGCGGCCATGTGGTCGCCATATCACGAATATAGTCTACAAGTCTGGTGAATGCCTCACGCTTTTCCTCTCGCGCGCTGAACTCGGTAGTGACGCTCAGCTGCAGTTCGATGGTTGCTACGATAGCAGCACAGTGGCACACCAGGGGATCAGTTAACCGGAATTGTTTCTGTTTCAGGAGTCCAAAGATCTTAGAGACCCAGTTCACATGGTAAGCGGCGAGCCAGGAGGTTTGCTGAAGGCAGAGTTCTGGAATTGTCCGGTGGCCTTGCAGCTGGAGCATGATGAGGAGTGGGTGATTGAGGATGCATATTGTAGTGTGGTAAAGTAGTCGGCTTAGGAACCATGGAGACCAGTATTCTTTATTTGCGTTCACTTCCTCTGCAGATCGGGAGCTAAGGTTAACCGCCTTGAAGCGGTGCACTGGGTGAATATTGCTGCCTATGCTCATTAGAAGGGACATGTGGCGTGCATAATCAGATTTTAAAGACCAAATTGGTTCGTCTCTAGATCCGGTTCTGCGGGCCCTGATGTAGCTCGTTGCCCTTGACCAGCCCTCACTCAGGCAAGTAGTGGCCATTAATATACCCTTCTCGGCATATATAGAGCCGCCACCATTGCCATCTAGATCCGACGGGCTCATGATGGTGCATGGAAGACGCGGTATTTCAGGCTTAAGCACTCCCCCCTCGTCCATGATTTCCACCAATGGTGTGGTGTAGCCATAGAGTCTTTGCAGTAGAGCAATGCTCCAATAGCATCGAACTTGCTCTTCAAGCTGCTGGGACTGAGCTCTCGAAGGCTGCTGGGGTACGAGAGTGGCGCTTGCGAGAGAGCCTAGCAGGCTACAGCACAGAGTGAATCTATCAAGATCGCCGGCTACCAGCAGTAAACCCTGGCGTTAGTTATAACATTTCTCGACTGTCTGGCAGGGTCAGTGTATTCTACCTGCAATGTCACTACAAGCTATAAGTATTAAAGTTTGTAATGTCGAGAGCTCGATGATTCCATCAGAGATACGTTTTGTGACAAGGAAGAAGGCGAATTGTGAAAACACTCTTGTCTTCGCGTCGATATCCACGCCGTTGCCCGAGTCCGGGTTGAAACGCGCTGTTACAGCCAGAAGCCCATATATAAGCTCGGTATCGCGGCAGTGCAGCGTGGAAAGAAACGTGCCCCTATAGAAAAGCGGAAAAGGTTGCGATTCGATCTGGTCTAGGTAAAAGGAGGTAGTGTCGAGGATATCTGACCACGCGGGTTGGAGCAATTGGACGACGGAGTCAACTGCTAGGGGTGGTTCATGAGGTCTGGCAGTCTGTCAGTATGCGGAGTGGATGTGCAATGGTATAAGATCAACCTGGCTCTCTCCGCGAATAACCGGATGTCAAGTTCAGCAACCTTGAGGCGATCGTCCTATATGGTCAGTAAAATTGACTCGTGCATAACGCGATTTCTATGCCTACCCATGTTGCGGAACCATCATTCTGCCTCGGGCGTACGGGAGTGTGTCTCTGAGCAGTTCTATGAGAAGCTCCATCACTCTTGTAGTGGCAAGGATGGTTCAGCCTGCGACACTGGGAGCAAGCAGGCTGCTCTCCTGGACACTTGGACTTCTTACGCCTGGGCTGAAGTAAGCTCATATTAGGGGCTATTTAGGTATGGGACGCACCGGCACGGTTCACACGCCTGTTTGACCCGGTTCAACCGCCGCGAAGGAGCGACAGGCATTATCTCGACTGAGCGTGGGAGAAAAAAGAGACCCGTCCTTCCGTGTGCCCAGCCGGAATATCGACGTCGGAAGACGGAAGAAGAGGCGAGATGCCAGAGTCAATTGCGTGCTAAGCTGTTGGGGCTTGTCATCGAGAGTCCCTTTCATTGGTTCAGAACGATGTACTCCAATATGGAGTCAACAAGACACGGACATTTAAACACCTTGTGTGCTGGCAGTTTTGAGCAAGGAAGCGGGAATTATTTCACCATTTCATGTCATGATGCGCGTCCCTATGCTTTTTGTCTTGTTCGCCATCTTTGCGCCTCACACTTTTGCAGACTGGCAATATCTCTCACGTCCAGACCTATCTCCTCCGAGACTGAATATCACAGTCCCTGCGCACTCTTCTGTTGCACCAGGCTATCTCTTTCTCGCCCAGTACCTCGGCTTCCAGGAAGGTAGTGTTGGCCCCGAGCAGCCAGGAGCTTACATCTTTCGGGATGATGGGGACCTTGTCTGGTCGGGATTCGGATACTTGGCCGGCTGGGTAGCTGACTTTGGTCCCACGACCATCAATGGAAGCTCAGTGCTCAGAGCCTTCCAGGGCCTTTTGGACTCACCACACGGGCGTATGCACGGTGATCATAGCGTCTTGAATCAGGACTACGAGACTGTTAAGATTTTGCGGGCGGCATCGCATCGACTGGTGTCTTGTCATGAATTTCAAGTTGTTGACGGCGGCCGCTCAGTCTTGATTGAAACGCCTGTATCTATCCCGATGGACCTGAGTGCGTATGGCGGAGACGAGGATCAGAAGTGGATTGTTAGCAATGGCTTTCAAGGTACGTTCTGCTGTTTATGCCAATGATATACCACATACTGACGCCGTTTAGAGCTTGATATTGAGACGGGAGAATTATTTTTCGAATGGTATAGCGCGGAAAATGTTACTCCGAACCGTATGTTCAGCGCCTGGATACATGCCATATCTTAAGACTGACAATAGCTTCAGGCAGCGCTTTCCCATTGGAGTCTGACGGTGCCTTCAATGCCCGCAGCTCCCTTGACGCATGGAACTACTTCCACATCAACAGTGTCGACAAAGACGACCAAGGGAACTACCTGGTATCCGCACGCAACTTCGCCGCCATCTTCAAAATCAACGGCACAAGCGGACAAGTACTGTGGCAACTGGGCGGCATCGGCTCCGACTTTGACGTACCCGAAAACGCCAAATTCGCGTATCAGCACGACGCTCGTTTCCGCTTCCGTTCCAATGACGGTACAATCGAGCGCATCTCGCTCTTCGACAATGCGGACCACTCGGCGCCTGGCCGCTCTATCAACCCCTTCTCGCGTGCACGATATATCGAACTGGATCATACTACAGAGACAGTACGAGAGGTCCATAACTATCGACCTCCTGATGATCTTGTAACGCACTCGCAGGGGAATGTTCAGTTCGTACCCGGTGGGAATGTCTTTGTTAACTGGGGCCAGGCCGGCGCTGTTACCGAGTATAGCAGGGACGGCCAGGTGTTGTTCCATGCGTATCTCGACTCGCATCCGAACAAATACGTCCAGAGCTATCGAGGATTTAGATCTCCTTGGACAGGCCACTCTAGCGAGGAGCCTGCTGTTCTAGCCCTAGCTGATTTGGTCGGTCAGCGGTCAAACTACGTGTCAATCTACGTATCGTGGAACGGAAATACGGAGACTGAGGTGTGGCAATTCTATGCTGCAGGCGAGAAAGCAAAAGAGAGGTCTCTAGGAATGGCGAAGCGGACTGGCTTTGAGACGAGTTTTGAGATAGATCTTGGGCTTGCTCTGGTGGAGGATTGGAGTGACATATCTGTAATAGCCGAAGCGCTCGATTCGAAGGGTAATGTATTAGGCCGAAGTAGAGCAACAGCACTGACAGATCAAGCACCGTACGCCTCTAGAAAGAATTGTCAGGGTCAATCGTGCGTGGACTTTGGTGCCGTTCCGGAACGCCTAGAGTTGTGAGTGCCGGGATGACACGCCGTAAGGTATAGAGCCACATCATTAAATCAAGTTTGTTCATAGTTAGAACGACACTGGATCTGAATGGTAGTCAAATCTTAAGTAAAAGAATCTTTTGTTACAGGATCTTGCATGAATGTTGCCGGGTGAGTTGGCTAGGAGGTGTAGATGAAACTACCAAACCATGGCCATTGGACCTTCACAATGGCTGGCTAGTTTAATCTGCCTATAAACTTCGATCTCTCATATTACGACATCCTGTAGCGTATTACGTGCCGTTGTGGTCTCCCAGTCATGGTATTCTGTGGCCAGGGGATTTAAGACTGAAGACTCTTCTCGCACCCTCGAATTCCCGGTTTGTTTTGCACCGCCCAAGACCCTCGACCATGGATTCTAAGACCGAGAAAGGCCCCAGAACCATTGAGCTTAGGAATAATGTTGACGTCGATAACACTATAACCCAAGATGTTAGCATTGAGGCAGACTGGACTCCCGAAGAAGAACGCCACATTCGACGCAAGTGTGTAGACCGTCTTGGGCTGCAAACAGGAGCATATACTGACATATACAGGGTCGACTTGATCATAATCCCAGTTCTGGCCCTCGCCTTCTTTGCACTCCAGATGGACCGTGGCAATATAAGCGCAGCAATGACTTCGACCCTAATGGACGACCTCGGCGTCAACACCAATGCCATCAATGTGGGATCCCAGCTCATGTCTGCGGGCATTGTCTTGACTGAAATACCGTCCAACATCCTCTTGCAGCGTTTCGGCCCGAAGAAATGGCTGTCGTTTCAGATATTTGCTTGGGGTCTTGTAGCGACCTTCCAGGCCTTTGTTCAAAACTATGCTGAGTTCCTTGCCACTAGGCTTTTGCTTGGACTTTTGGAGGGTGGATATATTCCTGGTATATATATAAACGCTTCCCGAACTTCCCTCCCTCGAACTCCCGGCTTTTTTTCGTCTCTTATCTGTCCTATACTTACTGTTGATCAGGTGCACTTTACTACCTCTCAACCTGGTACAAGAAATCCGAGACCAGCTCACGCGTTACGTTATTCTTCTTTGGCCAGATGTTCTCAGCAGCAACTTCCAGCCTAATCAGTGCCGGTATATTAACCATGGGCAGTAAGCACGGCCTAGAAGGGTGGCGCTGGATTTTTCTAGGTATGTTAGACAGCTCCCTAACGACCCCCTTATCTTACCTCTCATGCCTAACCCCCTGCTCAGTCGAAGGCATAATAACCCTGGCAATCGGCCTAGTCTTCGTACTGATCCTCCCACCCAAAGTGGGTGACGGCCGAGTTCTCCTTTCACTTGGCCGCTGGAGCTATTTCAGCCCCCGAGAATCACACATCATCCGTACTCGTGTGCTGCTGGAAACCCCCGAAGCCAATACCGCAGATAGGGTACGCATTACAGCGCGAGATGTTTGGGACACGGTCAAACAGCCGAAGATTATACAGCATTTCTTCCTTACGCTGGTCTCGATGAGTGCGCTTTCGGGGTTAACGAGCTATACCCCGCTGCTGATCAAGTCGTTCGGGTATACCTCTGTACAGGCAAATGCGATGGCTTCGGTGCCGATCTACTGCAGTATGGTCTTTACCTATACGCTGGCAAGGATTGGGTGAGTGTAGCCACAGTCCAGCCACAGGTTTAGAGCTAAAGTTGATTCTTCTCGCAGGGATCGAACAAACCATCGCGGACCACTAGTTCTGCTCGCCATTACGTGGAATGTAATCGCATACATTTGTCTTCGAAATGTGCCGTTGGATAGCAGTAAGAACCACAAGTACGGGGTTCTCATCGCGGCTAATATTGGATACGCGGCCATGCAGTATGTTCCTTTCTCAGTGGACTGACTCTCTTATCTACCTAGTCCTATAATGACCCATCTCACCCTCTATACTTAGTATTCAAAATGTTGGCTGGCTCGCTATTAACTGTACTAAACCGCAGGAACGGAGCGTTGCAATGGCGTATGTTTCCTATCTCTACAATACCAAACATTATTGCTAACCTATTCTACTTCCGTGCAGTGTTATAATAATGGCAGCAAACATGTCCGGTATCGCCGGCCACCAGATCTTTCGCACCGCAGATGCGCCGCACTATTTGAAAGGCTTGACCGCTATTTGTGCCCTTGCTGCGGCGTCATGGGTGCAGGCTGTTATTCTGAATATTTATTACTATGTTATGCCCAGCGACATGTCAAGGTAGGCGGGGAGTAATCAATCGAACAAGGGAGGAAAGGGTTTGATATAGCCCGATATGAGTGCTGTGTTAGAAGGGGCCCATGAAATTGGGAAAAGATAGTGACGGTAAACATACCTAACTAGGGGTTAAAATGCATCGGATGAAAGTAGAATTGCTGTTAATTATATGATTGGAGAATCATAGCAGTTCCCTGGATTTTATGCACTCTTGCCTCTCATCCTTCTTACTCCTATTATAGTACTCTTATCGTGCTATTGCCTCTCTTAGCTGTACTTATTTAAGTCTCGTCTATCACCCTAAAAGCAGCAACACACCCTGTGGTTGCATGTACCGGGTATAACTCAAGGGAATGGGTAAAGAACACCTCTGAATCCAATTCGTCTATTATAGCCCAGATAAACCCTTTATAAACTAAACTCCAACCGATTCCCCGCAAAGTCCCTCGCAAAGAACCGACTGGGGTACTCAACACCCTTTGTCCCTGAGTTCTCGCCCGGTCTATCGGCCTCTAACGGCGCCGCGTCTCCCCCTCGCTCATGGTGGTCCCATATCCGCTGCTGCAGCTCAAGTAGCTTCTCTTGTGACTGCAGCTTGAAGCACGGGTGGCGCTTCGAGGTCTTTGTCTCATTGACTCCCGGAGCGACGTGCACTTGCTGTCCTGAATCGCCGATATTGAACCTGCAATTATTAGAATGAACGAGCGAATAAGAAATGTCTTAAGAACCGACGCACCATAAGATGGTCCCTTTTTGGAGGTGGGGTACCGGCGCAGAACTGAGGCCCAGGGTTCCCCCGTAGAACGCCTCTGCGTGGTGGAGGGACTCCGCCGGGACGAGGACGTTAATGTGTGCGATTCCGGTAATCATCCTGTCTGCTGCGAATGACGGTGAAGTGCAATCAATGATGGTGGTTGAAGGGGAGATGGGATGGAGAGGGGCAGCTGGGGGTTTTGTTTGTTCCCCGCAATCTCGTCATCGGCGTCTGTCGGAAACGATTTCCCGTATTGCAACCGCGGATGGAGCTATACCGTTGGAAATCCGATTTTGTTGAGCCTCAGACTTAGTGCGTTATTTCGGAGTTGGTAATCCTTGGTGGACGAGCCTAAGCAATTGTAATAAGATCTGCGTATTTTGCGGAGATGCTCGTTAGCAGTTCCTTGTACTGGGACTCTGCTCAGCTGAGACGCAGTATCGCGCTGATTTGCCAGCCAGAGTATAGTATTGGACAAGTCTAGTAGTAGGTGGCTTACCAGGCCTAGACACGGTCGCTGTATGCCATGTGGGCCGTAAATATGCGGGGTGGTACGTCCGTGGCAGAAGAGCCATTGTTCTATTACCAAGTGAATGAAAAATAAAAATAAAAATTAAATATAAAAATAATTTTTATAGTAATTCCCAGAAGGACACAGTCGCTCTATTAAGCGACCAAAGCAACATTAATTCATCTATTGTAATGATACACTATGTGTCCGCCACCCTGGGAAGTGCGTCTTGGAGTCCAGTTGGGCATCTTGTATTGCATATCCCCCTGTTGTTGAGTTTCTGGATTTAAATGATGATGAATCATACTGCGCATGGTAGCTGACTGAATGGGAGATGAACCCCCCTACCGACAGATACAAGAACTTAGCCAATTGCCTAAACAGGCGCACCAAGGTCGTCAGAGATCCAGGTAAGCAGGGCCAACGTCGGTGCTTAGGCGATATATCTTGCAAAGGGGTGGGTAAGATACCTATGAGTCTACTTCTCTGCACAAGAGCTGAAAGACTCGGAATATACCCGTGTACACCAATATCCATAGTGAAGGACCAATCCAGACCCTTTATGATTGAATTGTATGCACACGAGCTTTTGTTATACTCTCCCATTCGCCATGCTTGCGAGGGGAGACGCTATCTCGGCACCGGGGACCACAAAGTCACAGATTCTGGCAGCCGGTGGACATACAAAGACTTTATATCAAATGATACCATCGCATGGCCGAAGCGAATCGGACTGGCCTGATGGACCACAACAAGATGCCGAACATCCGAGCGTCCGGTCCGCAGCCCACTCGGGATCCCTCCCCGGCCATCATAGCGCCTTGACCGCGGAATTAAACACTATGGAACGCCGGTTTGTCTCGCCTGAGGTGCCCTGATAGCGGAAACCCCCCGCTGTTAAGATGGATCTGGCTTTTTTTTTGTTGGTTGTGGTTTGTTCGGTATTGTTATGGCGTTATTCTTGGGCACAGTCGACCCACCCACGGGGTTTTTCCTGGAAATTGACCCACCGGCCATGCGCTGAGATTTTGGATTTATCAGCGGTTCCTAGCTGATAAAACAGCTTTGCGGCCCCTGAAGCTTTGTTGCTTGCACCGGAAAATAGACCGACCATGGCCCCGACCGAGCCCGAAAAGATCGGGGACGACAGCTCCGGCTTCGATGCCGAATCGGGCGGCATGCCGATCTCCGAGACCGAGAGGGATGAAGAGCTCGAGTTGGAGCGGATCAATACCTACCGTCTGCAGCAGCATGAGACCATCGGGTCGAGCAAAGGGCGTGTTCCGCGGGAGCAGTGGTTGCCTTTGGGCGCGGGGAAGCCCTACCCCCCTGACTTGCCGAATGTAGAAGCGTATATAGTCGAGTTCGAGGGCTCGGACGACCCCATGCATCCCCAGAACTGGCCGATGAAGAAGCGGTTAGTCTTTTATAACTGTAATATTTCAAGATACTAATTCGACTAGAGTGTTTCTAGGGTCCATCCTTACGTTTGCCGCCCTGGTGGTAGCTTATGGCAGCTCGATCTTCGCTACTTCGGCGCACGGCGCGATGGCCGAGTTTGGCTTCGGGACTGAAGTCGCTGCCCTTGGGACCACTCTGTACGTACTTGGATTTGCGGCAGGGCCGACGATTTGGGCGCCAATGTCTGAGCTCATCGGTCGACGGTGGCCGTTGCTCATTGGAATGCTCGGCTTCGATATCTTCATAATAGCTACCGCCACGGCAAAAGATACACAGACAATCATGCTTACACGGTTCTTCTCTGGACTCTTCGCTGCGAGTCTGATTGCACTCGTACCGGCTAGTCTGTCTGATCTGTTTGCCAGCAATCACCGTGGAATTGCAATCTCCGTGTACACCATGTCGGTCTTCTTAGGCCCGTACACGGCACCCTTTATTGGCGGCTATACAGCAGACAGCTACCTAGGCTGGAGATGGACGCTCTACCTTCCCGCGATAGTCGGGTTCTTTGGCCTAGCACTGCTGGTTGTATTCGCGAAGGAAACATACGCCCCTATCATCCTAGTCAAGAAGGCCGCCATTCTGCGCCGCCAGACCCGGAACTGGGGTATCCATGCTCGCCAGGAGGAGTTGGAAATCGATGTCAAGGAACTGGTGACGAAGAACTTTGCGCGCCCGTTCAAGATCCTCTTTACTGAACCTATTGCTTTCCTCATGACGCTGTACATGTCCTTCCTTTACGGGCTGTGCTATGCGCTATTAACGGCATACCCGATTGTCTTCCAGGACGTTCATGGCATGTCGCTTGGAGTTAGCGGGCTGCCTTTCATTGGCCTGATTATTGGTCTAATAGGCGGAGCGGCGTTTGTTCTCTCCTTCTATAACTCGTATACCAGGAAGCTGGAAGCGAATCATGGAATCCCGGTTCCAGAATGGAGGTTGCCGCCGTGTATTGCTGGTGGTGTTGCCTTTGCAGGAGGATTATTCTGGTATGCCCCTACTCACGCATTGTAGTTGGATGTTATTGCTAATGAGGCAGGTTTGGCTGGACTGGGTTTAGTCCTTCTATCCACTGGATGGCGCCGACTGCCTCTGGAGTGTTCGTTGGCTTTGGCTTGACTTCAATCTTCATGCAGGGGTTTAACTATATACTTGATTCGTATTTGAACTTGTACGTATACCTGAATGATGTATTTTTGCAATATTGAACCCCGCTAACAAAACTAGCGCCGCTTCTGCCTTTGCAGCAAACACGATGATGCGGTCTCTGGTCGGTGCCTGCTTTCCGCTTTTCACGCGCCAGATGTTTAAGAATCTTGGTATCCAATGGGCGGGGACGCTTCTGGGCTGTGTTGCTGTTCTTATGATTCCTATCCCGGTCTTGTTTTTGAGGTATGGAGCACGGTTGAGGAAGATGAGCAAGTTAGCGCCGAATGTAGAGAAGCAGGCTTGATTGTATAATATCATATGGACATATATTGGTTAGATATAGTAATACTGGCTGGGCCAATAGACTTCAATTTGAAAAGTACGTGGTCTTATTATATATCTTGTATTGTCATTAATTTATGTCATATCAGAGGTTTACAGGTATACTGCTCCAGTATTCCACCCCAGACATCCTACAGTTTGTTCTACAGCAGCACAATATAATCAGAGATTGTATGTATGTCAACTCCGCGGTCGAGGAAACGGCCCTCCAGCCGGAAAAACCTCTCGCGTAGTATCTATTCCAGCTATTTAATCCTTACATAGATAGCCTATCCAATACCCACTGTCCATCATACAAGTACGTACCAAAACTCAACTCCAACAAAAACCACAAACAAAACAACTTAGCTTACTTCTTCCCCTTGCACTCATCCTCGCCCTGCATGATGATACTCCACTTATCAGGATGCGAGAGAACCCCACCAGAAGTAAGCTCCCCATCCACCATCCGCTCACACTCACTATAAAGCACATGCACCCCATCGACGATATTCTGCATCATGATGTAGCGGTCCCACACGGTATCCTCGTTGCACCAGCGCACCTGCGTCCCCTTGTAGCACGTAACCTCCTCGCACTTGTTGGCCTGCAGCCAAAGCCATTTCGGGTCGTTGCCGTCCGGGTAGAATTGGTCTGGGGCGGAGGCGATCTCGTCCATCTTTTTGATTGTGTATTCGATACCCTCGACGGGGGCGTTGAGGGCTTTGCCCCAGCAGTTGACGCTGTGGGCGGAGGCTGTGCTTGCCAGGAGCGCTGTCGGGAGGGCGAGGATGGTGAAACGCATTTTGATTCTGACTGTGACGTGCTGCGGACGTAGAGTCTGGTTGATGGAGTTGAACAAGGTTAGAGGGGTTGGTTAACAGAGCGGTCGTGAGCGAGTGGAAGGTGAGAGATACTGGAGGTAACTTGGACTAACCTGGGTTCATATATGCTGAAAAGACAACCTATCTTACCAATGTTGACACTGTCAGTGAAGGAATAATCTTTCACACCTTCTATCAAGAGTAGTGGTGGCAAGTAGACACTTCACGAATAAAATATTCATCATATGGTTACTTGGGAAAGCTCACTGCTTGCCAGTTTAAAGATGTAGATATAAAGGGGCCTTCTATAGTGAAGTTTAATAAGAAGATCATGCACTCATTCAAAGTTAACCTGTAGAGATACTTCCACACTTTCTACTGTAACATTATGAAGTCTTCGTTTACAGTGTAAACAGGGAGGTGTCCTTGCCACCTTGATATTGACGAAGATGGTGAAGGCCATCAAGATCCTGTGTATACACTGGCGGGCTGGGAAGGGCTAGACTGGCGGTTATGAGCTTAATGTCCTTCACGACGAATCAGAATCAGAATCAGAATATCCCTGTCATCTGTATTCATAGTTCGTTCGGGCCTGGCCGAGGCTGGTTGCAGGGCCTGGTGAATTTGTATCACCCTGTTTTTAGACCTATAATATTGGAGGTGCCACGCGATCCCGTGCGATATTAGGGCTGGTCGTACCAGGGCTTCTTGGTGTTGAGTGGCTCGATGGTTGGTGCGGGGTTACTCTAGATTAACTTGGTTGTTTGATAAGTGCGTGAAGTTCCATTAATCAATTTTGTGGTCATTAAGTATCCTATCGGTATAGCTGCGCCACTTAGATCTGCGTTAGTCGTTCTCTGCATCTACGACTCGTGAGCATAATTCATTCATTCATTCATCCAGACAGAGATCGTTGCGGCGGTGGTGTAGACCATGAATATGAATCCTAGAGTCATCATGGCTATATCGCCTCGCTTCACCCATGGAGACTCCGCGACACCTTTCCAATGCAAGTATGCTGGGTAAATGTACACCAGGGGTACACACGCAAATGATCCAATTAGGGAAACAAATTTATCCAAGTCTCCTGCTCCCAGTGCGGAAATTATGCCACATGCTAGAACGGCACCGGTCCGGAACACGTTTTTCTTCCATTTGATGCTTGGGTCGCGTTTGCCAGAGGCAATCCCAAATAGACTCCCCTCGATGATGCGGACAGGCGGGAACAGCTGAATTGGTGTTCCCACGAGGATTGCAATGGAATACAGGAACTGGACGGCGTTGACCAGTTTGCTGTCTTGGGGGAGGTTGCTGATGATTTCGGTTTTGGTATCCACGCCGAATGTTGCGTACGAGAGGGCTCCAACTGCGGTAAACAGGGTTGTAATTATGAGCATGACTGTGTAGAGCAACCTATCGAAGCACTGCGGCTTCTTCATAGAAGACTGGATGGGAAGAATCAACCCAATGCCCTCGAACGTGAAGATGCATGACCCGATAGTCAAAGTAAAGGAGCTGGAGTTGAACAGTTCTACACCCGGAGCCAGTCCGCGAGAAGCCAAGCTAGAGATATCGTAGACGTAGATGTATCCAAGGCCGAAGAGAATAAAGGCATCAGCGAGCAGCGCGATCGGGCCCAATTTCGAAATATTCCGGATCATGGCCAAGGGGGTGAGCACGATCAGCTGAAAGATGATCAAACGGAACGTGGAGAGCGACTCGATCGTTTCAGGCATCACGGCAAGGAAGAACGCCCGGATATTTTCGGCTGTGAAGATGATGCAGGCACAGACAAACCCAATCTGGGATATAGCCACCGATCCCAGAATCAATGACCGAAGGTTCGGACCGGAGATCCGTTCGCCGAGGTCACCGTATCCACCGCCATGGTATTGCCTCCTGCACTGCAGCAGAAGATGGAAGCACAGCGTCGAAATCAAAGCGACCGTGACCAGAGTGACCGATGAAAACAATATTCCTCCATTACGGAACGCCTTTGGCAGAAAGATAATACCCGTCCCGATAAACGCCTTGAGCAAGGTAAAGAAAGTCTTTACGTTCGAGGCATCGCCTGGACGGACAGACCGCGTACGCGTACGCTTGCGCTTAGGAGGCCCAGGCCCTAGCAACGGCCGTCGCTCCGCTTCCTGTTGTGCTTCATCCTCACCCTGTTCAGTTTCGTCCTCGGTCTCCTCCAAATCTTCGCCGGCGAAATTGCCATACATGTCAAGGTATTCGAGGAACGAGCGGTGCAGAACCGGGTGGTCCTGGCCCTGCTGGCGGATGAAGTGTCGGCGGAAACTTCCAGGCTCGATGGCAGCTATCTCCTCCTCCACGAGGTCAGACTGGCGTCGGGGGATCACAGTAAACGTGTTTGCTCGTTTGTCCAGCCGAGCTCGCTTGGTTTTGGCTTCGATGCGGTAGAGGTCACGGTGGATGTCGCCGCCCTGTAGAAGCAGCGAGGATTGGGGTTCATGGTGCTCAGTCGAGCTCGACCCAGCTCCCTCGGGTTGCTCGGGGGGCACGGCATCTTCTGGCAAGGAAGCGGTGAACTGAGGATCGAGGTGCTGGGAGAGAATGGCCTCGTCCCGTTGGGGGACAGACTCGTTGTGAGAGGAGCTCAACGACGGTTCTGCCATGATTAATTATTGCAGGGAGATTTTCTCGGGGGTCAGAAATTGGAGAAATAATATAACGGAGCCACGACGGGCAGAGGGCAGGCAGGTTCAGGGTCCCATGAGGTCGAGTGTTGACGGTGAAGGTCTCGCCGGGCAGTTCCAAGGAATGACGCTCGATCTGGAGATGTGCTGACGACGGCGCTGCTGATTGGCTGGCGGTCACGACAACAGTCACCTGACCCGACCAACTGAGTAACTATGCATAAAAATAATGGATGGATTTATGGATAATGTAATCTGGAGGTGTGATTCGGGTTACGGCAGTAATCGTCTAGCTAATAAATTCCACTATCTTGGGCGACTCAGACTCGTCCTTGAACAAAACCGGGTCATACAAGGCCGCTTCTTCGGCCTCAGGCCATCCATCCGGCGTATCAGCAGACGCGAACGGGTCCAAGCGACGGAACGACTCGACGATTACCGCAAAGTCCAAGTTCGGCATGTTAAAATCCTCCCAGTAGTCTGCTGCCCATGACTGAAGCAGGATTCGCAGCGATGGTTTGTCCACGGCCATTACGCCCGCTACAAGCGCAAGTGTAACGTACCCGGCGCCAAATGGCCGGTACTGCAGGGCATTCTCGGCGATGGAGAGAGCTTCGAGGGCGAGGTAGTTGGCATCCCTCGAGAGCTCGGGGTCGTTTGTCCGCATGGCGACAAGGATGTAATTCATGTATAGACAAATGGTGATACAGATGCCGTAAAATCGTTGAGTGTGGGCATGGAGCATGGTCGGGGGGAGGTTGTATGGGTTTGGATGTGGGGTTTCGCCGGGATTCTCGATCTGATCTAGTTCAAGGCGAAGCAGGTCGCAAATGTTGCGCGTCTTGAAGTACAGGCTCTTCATCTCGGCCTGCAAGATTAACAGCCCAGCCAACCCGTCGGGGTTGGCTTTGACTCTGTCCAGGATATCTGGGACTTGGGAGAAATGTGTGAGCATCTGCCCTTCTGGTGTATGCGCGTCCAGGTCACTCTGCACCAGCTCCTTCCATTCCTTTGGGCTCAAATTTATATTAGGGTTGAACAGGCCTTCAAACAGCTGCGGCACGGTTAGTAAAAGGCATGCAGTTGCGTGGAGAATGCTTACAACTGGACCACGCAGTGACAACAAAAGTAAGCGCTCAAAGGCGTCTCGAGGAGCGCAGTTCTTCCGAGCTTTTAGAATTTTGGCAGCTCCCTCAGCGTGACCTGTAAACTTCAGGTCCGATGGGCCTATCATGTGCTGGTCTTGTCAGCGGTCGCCTTTCATAGCCAGCTCAATTACTCACTTGAACAAGGAGCAGGACAGATACAGCGCAGAGCGTTTCCGATGAGCTTGCCGTGACGGGATCATCCAGGCATCTCCGCAAAGCTCCCAGCGCTCTTGAGTATTTCGTAAGAGACTTTATGGTGACCTCCTTGCACGACGAAAACGACGCATGGGTTGTTACCATGGCATCAACAGCTGTATCCAACGCCTCGTTCAACCCCAGACGTCGCGGGATGAGAGTAAGATAACCGCCATACGCCCACATCAGATTATACCTCAAACTCGTCCCTGGCTTCATAGCCGCTACCAGCCCCTGCCCAAGGAGCATTGTACTGTTAGTTGGGTTGATAGCGACGCGACGAATGATATCCGTCCCATCAGGAGACGGCGTGGTGGTGAGATGACGTTTTGGAGACCGCTTCTTGACTATCGTGGGGCCGTCTTCCATGAACTTGTAGCGCTTTTCGCCGGCACCGACGCATTCGATTCCGCGGCGAGCGCATCGTGTACAGACGGGCTTGACCTCATCGCACTTTGAGATGTTAGTGCAGGCCCGCGGAGACTACGTGAGCCTAATCGTCTATCGTCTGCAGGTTGCAGCCTTGCAGCGAGGGGATGATGGGGCAGTGTGGAGTCGGCCAGCCCACCTTCTTCTTCGACTTGCGACAGTTGTCGCACCCTCTTCCGGACGGTACACCGGGCATTGTGATGTGCAGTGATTAGATATATCTGTGACGGAGAGGACTTCCAGCGGACGGCCCATTAAAGGTAGCGAGAGATGGAGAAAGATGGAGAAGAGCTGGAAACGAGCTGAAAAGCCCAACGCAGCGCCAAGAGCCGGGCTTGGCGAGGCACAGCCTTACTGATCTGCGGCTGTCAAGACCATGGAACGGCAGTTCTCGATTGGCGGGCGAGGATGAAGAACGATCTTAACTCAGGGGTTCTATTGGACAGCCGGGTGTCTGGGACGCCTGCCTGAACTCGCCTCTTCTCCTGGTATCTTATAGGCACCCAGCACTACGGTTTCCCGTCCGGGCGGCCTGATAGCATAACTGCATAAATGTTTCTCGTATTCCCGCTGACGATCTACAGTATGTGCAACAGTACAAATCAACAGTGTCTCCCTGAACGCCACTCAAAGACCCAAATATAGAAGACCCTCGACGTTCCAACGCCGAATACAATTTCGCCAAATTCCAACATACTCGAACGAACACTGTCTCACTCTATAAGTCTAACAAAAGCAATTCACGAAGATGCCCCTGCTGCTGCCGCCTCAAGTTGAATGTCGGTTGAATGGACCAAAGAGAGCCCCGTCACCATAATCTCCTCCATCAGCCGGCCGCCGCTGACACTGGGGCCGAAGAGATCCAGACGACCTGCCTTGCGTCGAGACCACGAAGGGTGAGGGTTAAACTGGGCCAGCAGGGTTCCGTTCCCATCCCGCAGCTCAAAGTCGACCACCTTCATACTCCGGCTCTTCCAGGTCAAAGGGGAATTTTGCAAGGTCGGTGACCGGTACTGCCCCTCCTTTCTGAGTCTGGTCTTGATGTCCACGGCAACTCTCTGCCCGTCGATGGTCACGTCGAGGCTAGTACTTCCTCGACTGGTGGCGGTTGCGAGCGGGCTGTTGGATGTTCTTGCACTACAGAATTTCATCTGTCGGTTCTGTGTCAAATCCAGACGGTAGATGACTGCGCCGCTGGGGCTGCCTTCGGTGATTCCGAGTACTCTCTGTGGCCAGCCGGTAAAGTCGATGTGGATGGATCGAGTGGGTGTCTGGGTATGGTAGGACTGGGGATAGGGAGACTCCGTATCACCGACGTTGGGGTATGAGCCCGTTGAGCCGTTACCTGCCGAGTATCTTTGCTTCATGTTGTTAGCATTTTAACCATGTACTCTGTTTGAATGGCGTTTGTCTGAGGCACTTACACCTTCCCTCTGGGACGCCGTCATGGCACCGAGGAAGGGAATGAGGGATGGAGAGTTGTCTGCCATTGTCGACTTAGTAAATCTAGCTCAGATACTTCTTGAGATTATCTTTCTGTCATTCTCATCTATCTCCCCATCTCCCCATCTTATTTATACTATCTCTGCCTCGAGATCTATATCCAACTCATACAAATCCGCTCCCTGATTGGCCAATCTTTCAGGTGTTACACTAAGCCACTTTCGGTCCGTCGCTGCGCGGGCCCGCGGAGTCTCACGTGCCCGGGCTGTTTTCATTGGACGGGTTCCTGGGTGCCTTGAATTCCAGGCGGCGGCAGATCTCGGAGTGGTTTTGTTTGATTCACATTTTGCAACTGACAAGCTGAAACCAGAGTGTGCGACAGTCGGCACATGTCGCTTGGATGGGAAGGGATCATCTGAGCACGCGAGAATGTGTACAGATATGCTCTGGACCTTGCTGCGCCCTGCTGTCTGGGTCACCGATCGGGCGCCAGGTCGCACCCGATTTGGAGTTCCTTAGCGACAGGGCTGGTCAGCACCTTGGCTCGGGTCTAACCGTTTTTGTCGTTATGTGCCGCCATCCCCATTTTATAGAGACACGCGATGTATATAACTATGGCTGGACCTAGCTGCCGAGAGACATAAGCTTCATACTCAGCGAACTCTTACTCTCACCATGGACCCTCAAACTGGTATATACGAGTACAAGGCGAGCCATGTACTCCCGATTGTCTTTGCCTGCGTGGTGGGCCTGTCCTTGTCCACGCATATCTACCAAAACTTGTAAGTCTATCTGGTGCCTTCTCCTGTGCTTTATTAACTTGTGCAGCCGTTATCGCTTCTGGAGGGTGACGTTCTGGATGTTCTGGGGTTCTCTCATTTACACCATCGGCTGGGTCCTACGCACCATCTCCAGCTACCACCCAGACAATGTCAACATCTACATCGCCGCCACCGTCTTCGTCTACGCCGCACCCCCGGTCTTCTCTGCCTCCGCCTATAACATCCTCGGCCGCATCATGCACTACATCCCCATGTTCGCTTGGCTGAACCCCAACCGCACCGTCCACTTCTTCGTCTACATCGGCGCCCTCGTCGAAGCCCTCACTGCCGCCGGCGGCGCACGCATCGCAACAGGCGCCAAAGAACCACGCCTCTACCGCAGCGGCGCAACCCTCATGGCCGTCGCCGTCATCCTCCAGTGCATCGTGGAGCTCTGCATCGTCTACGTCATCGCAACCCTCCACCGCAAATGCGCCCGCGCCGGCATGCTCCCCCGCAACCTCCGCTTCCTCTTCTACACCCTCTACGGAACCTCCTCCCTCGTGCTTATGCGCTGCATCTACCGCGCCGTCGAATCCCTCTACACCCTCGATCCCCCCGGAGTCGCGTGCGGTGCGACCTGCACTTACTTCCAGCGCCACGAGTGGCTGCTCTACGCGTTCGACGCGGCCCCCATGGTCATCTTTACTTTCTGGATTAATCTGCTGCATCCTGGGCAGTATCTCCCGCGTGACAAGAGGCGGTACCTCGATACCGACGGCATGACGGAGCGCATGGGGCCTGGCTGGTTAGACTCGCGGCCGAAGATTGAGACGTTCATCGACCCGCTTGATATTTCGGGTATGCTGAAGAAGGATAAACACCATACGAAGTATTGGGAGGAGGCTGTGCGGTGGCCTGTTTGTGAGGATGCGTTCTCTGCGGGGACTGCGTCGAATGTTCGGGGGAGGGAATTGGCTGCTCCTAAGCCGGAGGAGGCTGTTTAGTGGATGTCAATGCTATTGATCCGTTTTCTGGCTTTGGAAAGATTTGATGTTTTTTTTTATTGTTATTTTTTGTGTTTGTTTGTTTTGTGCCTGGTGCTGAGCGAACAATTGATACCCCGTTATTAGACTTGTAAATTAATCTGTTTCTGCGGATTTACTATAAATTAAAGATTAATATAGATAAGGTTGGTCTTCTAAAATAAGCTTTATGCTTACATTAAACTTGTTGACCTTGATAAATACAGTTTGGTCGGTCCCGCTTTAATCTCACTCGAAGGTAAATATATATCGCTGGACCAGACCACAGCCGTAACCCGTGAACCAATGTTCTGTAAAAAAAAGATAAACTAAATAAATGAAATACGGACACTTGTTGATACATTTCGAATACCGATAATCTTTTTTAAGGATAGGATCAAATAGAAACAAGAATAAACAAGAAGAGCGACCGAAATTGTACAACCGACATAGGAAAAGAAAGTACATGTCCAACGCCAAGAACAACCAACCACCAGAAACGAAAAGAGCGATTATAGGTCAGTGAGTAGGCTGGGTATCTGTGCTATACCGAATGCTTTTACCTCTCTGGAAGAGCACAGCCAGCGAGCCTACACCTAATCCTGCCGCACCTCAATCTCCGTATGCGCGTAGATCTTCCCATCAGGAACCAGGATCCTCTCTTCACTCGTCCGATCAAGCGCACTATGGATATCCGTTCCCACAATAGCACCTCTTTCGCGCTCCCGGTCCCGGCTACGGAGCGGCTGCATCCCCGTCCCCGAGCGATGGCTCTGATCGCGAACCTTGGAGAACCCCGACCCCGAGCGCTGTCCGTAGGCCCCGTACATCTTGTTGGAGGAGTACTCGCCGATAAGACGGGGGAGGAAGCGGGACGCGATGGCCTTGAAGGAGGGGATTGAGGCGGCGAGGATGCCGATGTTGATTTCGATGGCGGACCAGTACATGGCGCCGCTGATGGCCCAGGTTGCGTCGCTGGAAGAGAGCATTTCCGGGATGTAGGTTATGCGGATTATGGAGGACACGCAGGCGCTGGGTTGGTTAGCTTGATGTTTTGTGTCTTTGGGGATAGGGGTGGGTTGAATGACGTACAACAGACCGAGGGAGAGGATCAGAGCGAGGGCGACTTTTTGCTTGCGCGGCATTTGCAGTTTGAAGATTACTCGGATTGGAAGTGTGTAGGTGAGGAGGTCGGTGAGGATGTTGAGTGCTGCGTTCGCGAGGTAGAAGATATTGATGTTGACGCATTTGCTGGGCTTGATGGAGGTGTCCCAGGCTGCGGGAATGGGCCGGCATTGGAATGCTGCAGTGAGGACGTTGGCTGTGGCCTGGCAGCAGATGATGCCAAACATGATGAAGGACATGCGGGTCAGGTATTTATCTCCAAGTCGGGTGTAGAACCAGCAGACGGAGGTTTTGACGAAGCCGAGGCAGGCGAGATAGAACATGGAGCTCAGCCAGACGTTCTACTCCGGGTTAGTTTGAAGTAATTTAAGTTGACTGGGGTTCGTACGAATGCATATGGGATCATGTCTGCCAGGGGAACGTCTTCGATATGACTACCAAGACCGTGTTTGACAGCTGTGACCGTTAATGTGGCGTTTCAGGAACTGTGGGAGAGGACTGACCAATGACTGTGACAACAGAAAACGCCCACGAAAAGCCCTGGATTGCTTGGTTAGCCACAAAGCTTGATATAGACCAAGTGTCTTACGCATGCGAAGATAATAAGATCTAGAAGTGTCAGTTGGATCTCGGTTTGTAGCAGGACAGCCACTTACAGTCGTCGGCGCCCATTTTCTTGAGGACATAAATTCGAGCAAACAACCGCAAGATAATGACGAAGAAGGTAATCACCGCGAAGGCAATTGCAATCCCAATGACCGTTGGGCCCTGGGTTTCAGCCATCTTGAGTAACCAGAGTAGCAGATGTTGAGAAACGAGTGAACGGCTCTACTCAACCATGGGCGGTTTGGGTGGTTAAGGTAAAGGATAGTAAGGTCAAATAGAACTGACAGTTTTCAAGGAGCGCATAAGGTTCGAGAAGGGAACCTGAGACAGGAGTTAAAACAACTGCCCTCGCAAAGGCCTCTAAAGGAGCTCTCCCGCGGGACGGAGCGATCCCCTGTCAGTGATGGACACTTCATTCCAACTTCGCTTGTCGCCGTCTGTTCGCTGAATGGATACTGCCCAATCCTTGCGTCTGCCCTGCAATCTTCGTCTCCTGGCCAGGATGTTTACACACTAGTGAATCACCTACCACGGGATCGGGAGGCGAACTCGGCGCCACTGGACGTACAGGACTTTGCACGCGAGCCAAGTCGCCATCACTTCGACGTTGACGAGCCCCAGACTGGAGACATGTGAGGACAACCGGTGGGCCACTGACTGCGGACAGGATCCGTCCGACGCACTGTGACAGGTCGGGACCTGGCTCTGCGGGGGTGGACATGTTGTCGAGACTCGAGAACCACCAAACCCGCTGAGATGAAGGACGCTATGTCGGCAGCGCAAAGTGTAAAGCGCCGCAGCGGGACCTGGCTGAGATCGACATCAAGAGACTTTCTGCATGGTGGCCGGAAAATATCTCCTTTGCTAGGGCTTACAGGTGGCATTGGTATTGGTAGCCTATGGCAGGAATGAACGAAATTTCGCTGTTGACAGGTCTAATCGTGGTCATCGAAGCAGCAGTAAATGTCACAACATCCACTCGTCGAGGAGTTTTTCCTGCATGTGAGTGCATCACCAAGGCATGGCGCAGAATCGAGACTCCTGTCAAAAACGTTAGGGATCGGCTGGTGCCCAGACAGCCTGCGGAATCCTGTGTCAAGATACCCGATCCGTCGACCATTGCGGGGCGATGAAGACCATCGAACAAGGCCTCGAGTGGAACGGAGCGGTGCTGATCTTATACACAAGGTACGGATCCACCGTGAATCCGAGAAAGGCAGAAACACGCTTGAAGTCGAATACGAAGACAGGACGGGCTGGATGAAGACCCAACTGCCGATTCCAAAACGGGCTAAACGACCGTTGCGGCAGACTCGCCAGTTAATTAAACAAGCGACCATTCTCCGAGCCAGTGAACCTTGAGGTTGACGTGCTTCAGGGTTGTTTTCAGTTCTCGGCCCGAGCCCTCTCTGGTCGTGGATGTCCTGGCCGTCAGCTACAAATTCGCGAGAATTACCTAAAATTACTGCTGGCATTCTGACAGGTGTCAAGCGAGTCAACAAACTCTTCGTCCAGACAGTGCACAGACAACTGTTAATGTGAAACACGGCCCACTGCGAGCCTGCGCCGCACCCTCTGTCTCCGCACTATCAACGACTAGACCAGGAGAAGAAATTGACGATCAATGCAAAGTATTTTTTTGGCAGGTGTGGAGCCAGGCTCTGCTCTTCATTTGCTCCTCCAGCTGCCTTGTTTTCCTAGCCGAAGAGCGAATAGTAGCCGTTGTGATTATTGGGCTGGCTACTCCATACTGGCATGGCCGGGATTCTAGCCGTCCTGGCACTTTTTTCAAAGGGGAAGGAGGGTGGAAAAGGAGGGCGAACACCGAGGAGGCGTCGGTCATATCAGATCGCCAGCTGCAGCTGTCTGGGGCCTGCGGTGATACATCTTCTCTTCCACATGGTTCTTCTCTCGCTGTGACCACTGACCACAAACTGCTGCATCATGGGGCTCGGGGAACTGGTTCTTGCGCAGCTGACGCTGACCAATCTGGTTCTCGGCTATCTTGCTTATATTGTGGTGAAATTCATCTATCAGATCGTTTATTATCGCTTCTTCCACCCACTTTCGGTCTTCCCGGGCCCGTTCTGGGCCTCTGTCACTCGACTCTGGATAGCATGGCATAATGCGCAGGAGACGGAGCTTGCAGTGGTTTATGAGGCGACGAAGAAATATGGTATCGTACTTTCGCGTGAATTTTATTATTTGTCATGGCTGAGTGCTGACTGCTGTTGTCAGGCCCTGTTGTCCGGGTTACTCCTACGTTGCTCCTGGTCAGCGATCCAACAAAGCTGCCAGAGATCTACCACCGCAATGCAGACAAGACTGGTCACTATATCACCGGGTCATTCGGTGAGACTGAGTCGATCTTTAACATGAGGTCGCACAAGACACATGCGGCGTATCGCAAGTACGCTGCTGGACCGGTAAGATAGTCGAATAGTTCCCACGACAAAGATACTGAGAGTGGAGCAGTATAGCTTCTCTAGTGTTAAACGTATGGAGCCTCTAATTGATGTCCGGATTAAAGACTGGCTTGCCAAGCTTGACGAGCGGTTCGTCCGCAGCGGCGAGAGTTTCGACTTCTCCTGGTGGGCAGTGTGAGTTTTGCATTCCCCGCGGAGAAGGAAGGAACTGACGGTGTATAGCTACATGGCCTATGACATTATTAGTGAGGTCGGATTTGGCGCGCCTTTCGGCTTTGTCGAGAAGGGCGAGGACGTCGGTGGACTCATCCAGGGTTTCCACGACGGTCTGCCTGCATTTGGTCTTCTCGCCCGTCTTCATCCGTTCACGAGCTGGATCAAGACAACCTTCTTGAAGAAGTATATGGTCGCGAAACCCGAGGATGACTCGGGAATTGGCGTCCTCATGCGCTTCCGCGACCGCCTGATCGAGCAGCGCGTTCAGGACTTGAAATCAACCAAGGACTTCTCCCGGATTGATCTGCTGCAGACCTTCCTCGAGGCGCGGACCGAAGACGGCCAGCCCTTGACAATGGACTACATCAAGGCGGAGATCCTACTTGTACTCCTGGCGGGCGCTGATACTACCGGAACTGTTTTCCAAGCGCTGATCCACTACTTGCTCACCCACCAGGGCGTGTATGAGCGGATGATGGAGGAAGTCGACGCGGCATTCAAGAATGGCCTCGTCAGCAACGAAAACCCGCAGTATCAAGAAATCCTCGAGAACCTGCCCTACTTTGTCGCGTGCGTGCGCGAAACCCTCCGCATGTGCCCACCGGCTCCGAATATCTTCCCTCGATATGTTTCGGAGCCAGGACTGGACTTGTATGGAAAGATAGCTCCCGCGGGAACAGAGATATCTTGTAACCCCTGGGTGATACAGCGCGACCCGGCTATCTTTGGGAAGGACGCCGAGGAGTTTAACCCGGATCGATGGATGGATGCCGAGCGCACTAAGCTCATGAACAAGTACATGATGACGTTTGGGTATGGCGCCAGAGTATGCCTGGGCAGAGACATTGCGATGATGGAGCTATTCAAGGGACCTCTCCAGGTATGTAGCGTTTCTTATTACCCGGTGTCCTCACTAACTTGGCCAGTTCTTCCGCCACTACAAGCCGTCTCAGGTGCCCGGGAAGCCGGAAGCGAAGTTTGTGATCAAGGGAGGTATTGGATTCTGGCGGGATATGTGGATAACAATTGACAAGCGCCCGCTGGTGACGGCACAGTAATGTATTTATAAGTGTTGAAAGTGAACCAATGAATGCAATTTGCTCGTGGAGCCGCCATCTGAGCCTCGGCAAATCTGGATAGCATCAGCATTTCCTAAAGAAGCAAGTCAAATAGCATAGCGCCTTGGCATCTCGTATCGACGCCCAGCCAAGACAATACCCTACGCCTCAAAGTCTGATGGCGGCGCCTGACCAGGGAATGTTAAAGTGGGAGAAGCCCCCTCGATCCTCTTCTCATCACTCACATCATCCGCGCCATGCGATTCCTACCATCCACCAGCCTCTGGTGGCTATCCCTTTCCTCCCTCGCCATCGCGTCCGAAATCCCCTATGACGCGCAGATCGAAATCGACGTGCTCTTCCCCCGCAACGAAACCTACAACAACCTGACCAGCTTCCCAGTCGTGCTCGCAATCCAAGACGTAAAGTCCGCGTACCGCTTCGAATGGGAGATAAGCTGGACAATGTACAACGCGGCACCGGGAGCGCGCGAATTGGACTATACTAGCGGATATGGGAGCTATTCAAATATCGGGAATAACCACTTCCAGTGGTACTTTGATGATGTAGCTGTTGTGCCGATGATGGGGTATAACTTTACCAAGATGAAGCCGGGCCCTTATAGGCTTGAGTGGGAGTATTATACGACGCCTTGCACGAACAGGCCGCCGAATACGATCGTATATAATATCCGGCAGGTGATTGCGTCTGGGGTGCAGTTCTTTAGTGTTGTTGAGGATGGGAGTGGCTTGGACTTTGAGATTCCGGTGGACGAGTGTCCCGCTTTTGGTGATTTGTGGGCTGTCAAGGAGTCGACGTACTTGTATTGTCCGTTTCTTCGAGATAGTGATGATGGTGATAAGGATCCGTGCAAGGCCAAGTTGCAGAATAGGGAGCAGGTGGACTGTATCAGGGATTATCTGTTTGAGGGTACAAGGCAAGTGCCTAATAATGAGACAGAAGCCTGTCGTTCCGCGTTCAAGAGGGCCGATGTTGCTTGGTTGGAACCGTTGAGTGATGATGGAGATGAGGACGAAGGTAACGACGACGGTAGTTCTGACAATGACGACGGCGGTTCTGACAATGACGACGGCGGTTCTGACAATGACGACGGCGGTTCTGACAATGACGACGGCGGTTCTGACAATGACAACGGCGGTTCTGACAATGACGACGGCGGTTCTTCTGACAAACAGGACGACACCGAGGGCTATGCTGTTTCTCATCGGCCAGGCTTGTTTGGTGTTGCGGTTCTGGGGTTGTTAGCTGTGGCGGCCATGTAGTAATCAATCACGCACAATAAGGAGATGAATGATGATAATCCATGTTCCCGGGAGTTAATTGATACTTCCATCCGGTTTCCGAATAGAAATCCCCCGATAGTGACGTTGTAACAAGCCCGCAGCGTCGGAGCCCGAGCATCGGAACTCGCAATATTATATTAGAAGAACAGCCAACACCTAGACCTTAACCACACAAGTTACAACTTCAATGAAAGCCCTTCGAGCAGCAGATCGTACGTCCGGACTCCATTTGGAGGAGACTCCGATTCCCGAAACTGGTCCCGACGATGTCCTGATACAGGTCCATGCTGCCGGCGTTACACCAGGGGCCCTCAGGCTTCTGGAGATGGGCCGAGCTCGTACGCCGTCAACGGTGGGCCATGAGATTGCCGGAATAATCACCAAAACTGGGGAGAGGGTCCCTGCCGAACTCGCCGTTGGAACCCGGATCCGTGTTAATCCTGTCTTATCATGTCGTCAGTGCGAGTACTGTACCAGCGGACGGGAACATATGTGTGGTGAAGGGGCGATGATTGGTTTTGGGCAGTTTGGGCAGACTTCGCCTCTGTACGATAGATATCATGATGGGGGAATGGCGGAGTATGCCACGGTGCCGTACTGGAATGTTCATATTCTCCCCGACAAAATATCCTTCGCGATTGCGGCAAAGGTTCACGATGTTGCAACGGGTTTGTATTCTCTCGAGCGCGCGAATTTAAGCAAAGAGTCCGTCCTACTTGTGACGGCTGCATCTGGGACAATGGGAGCCGTGACCTTGCGACTTGCGCAGGAGTTTGGTATCAAGAAAGTCGTTCTCGTCGGCCGATCTCGTGAACGACTAGAGGTCATGAAGAGGCTGACGGCGGTCGAGACTGCAGTTGTGGTTACGTCGAACGAGAATGGGGAGCTCGATCAACCGACACTGCTTGAGAGCCTGCGTGCTGCTGCACCGAACGGTGTCGATGCCATAGTCGATTATTTGCCCTCTGGAGGACTAATTACGAAGATCCTGCCCATATTGAAAACTGCTGGGACGCTGGTCCATATGGGCTCGAATGTGTGTCCGTTGCCGGTTCCACTGGCTCTGGTGATGGGCAAGTGTTGGACGATTGTTGGGTGTCGGGGGCATGCTCGCGAGCATCAGAATAAAATTATCCAGTGGTTGACAGAAGGGAAGTTAAGTGTTGACGACTTGATCACTCATCGCTTTCCGTTCTCTGATGCAGAGAATGTTATCAAGCGGATCGAAGACCGTGAGGAGCCAATGTGGTTGACAGTTATCGATGTTACTTCGGAATCCTAGATTGATCTCTGGTGAATTGCATACATGGAAGGGAGATGTCAAAATGCTGGAACAACTTGCATTTCTAATCGGGCTATGCTGCCTAGAAGGTAATGTCTTCAACCATTTGCAGTCTTCCATTCGTCTCGTTTTGCAATTCCATCTAGCATACTGCGCGGTGTACCTACCCAAAGGCTTGATCAGACTTGTAGCGACATCTTAGTTATGCACGCTCCTCCACGCAAGCAATAGCCTTCCCCCAGACCTTGTATTGGTCGTAGTTTTCAGCATTCTCATCTCCCCATGCTAGGACCAAAGGGTGGGTAAGGATGACAATTCTGCGATTGTCCAACTTATCATCATCCTCCTCGAGACGATGGAGACGATGAGCGGATATGAAAGAGCGGCCTGATGAAATAATTCCAGATTGACCTAGACCAGTACAAGTCATAAAGGTATGCTGTGACCATAGTCGGAATGCAAGCTCTCCTGCGACATGGATGAGACCACGTAAGTCCTCAGTGCGTTTGGTAATCTGGGCGTCCCCAGCCAACGGCTTCAGCAAGACATGAACAGGCCCATCGAGGATCTTGTTGGATAGGCGGATGGCCACTGTATGTAGTGCGTCCTCAATAAAGGGTTGCCCGCTGGATTCAGTTTCGCATTTACTCAACATTGAAAGCGTCTGAGAACGCCACACATGGCTTACAGGTTCGTCTGCTACAAGGTAAGTCAGTCCTGGGTGATGAGCGATGGGTATAGAATTTCTCACCACATTGTCGTAGGGATTGGTATAGGGCGTCTAGCTGTCCACGACTCGGGGTGTTACAATACGCTCGCGAGGTTGGGAACACAAAGAACGCACAGCCGAATATCTCTTCGAATATGGCTCGCGCTAGTACAGCCTGTGAGAGCATGAAAGGTATTTTCTTCTTGAGAGACGAGAAGCGAGGACTGCAGTTTTGACCAATCTTCCTGAATACAGTATCCACCCAGTTGGGATATGAGTCGGTTCATCTCACTGTTCGATGCCGAATGCAGTTTGCCTATATCGTCCACCGCATAGTTCCTGGCCCATCCTCTGAGCTTTTCTTCGAGGACCACAAATTTGTCACGGACCTCTCTGTCTTCCATTGGGGCGGTTTCTTTCTTTTCTGTGGCACGGAACACGGCATCTTGTGCGACTCTGACCTCCTCCTGTAGTTTGGCGTTGTCACGGCGTATCTCTTGTAGCTGGCGATGTGAAGTTGCGAGTTTACCTTGCGTTACTGTAATATGACTAGCCTTTGCTTCGTTGTCATCAACGAGCTGACGCAGACGATTCTGGAGATATGTGTTATCATGATGTGCCTCTTCCAGGCTCGTCTTCAGGGATTCAAGCTCTCGACGGGATTCCCTTTCCCTTGCCATGAGGTAGTCGATGCAATGGTTTGCCTGCCTCAGCCTCGCTGATAGATACCCAATATCCCGGTGGAACCTGAAGCGAGAACCGCTAGACGAACTAGGAGAAGGGCCAGCCTGCGGAGTCGCGCTCGGCTCCAAGTTCATAATACGTCTTGTATCTGTATTAGGACTCTCATCTGGGTTTCGGAAAGCATCTATCTATTGTCGAGCCTGTAATGAGTAAGCGGCGTTAGAACTAGGGGCATGCAGCGTACTACCCTGCGACTATACTCCATTGCAAACAAAACGTGCCGTGTGATTGGAGAAACAGAATGCTTGGAGAGTCCTGAAATGGGAAATGTCTGGAGGATGGAGATAGGATTAGACAGAACGAGAGTTGTAGATGAAGACTATTACCAGCCTGATGGTTGTTGAAAAGGAATCCAACACAAGTGAGAGAAAAGAGAAAAATGAAAATTCGCTCCCAGCGACCTTCAGCCTTCTTCATCTTTTCCGTCGCCTTCGCCTTTGTGCATAACACTGACCCTTCCAATATCTCATCTCACCTCTTTTCAAACCCTGCCACCTGAGCACCAGGGAACCTCCTTCTCTTCTCACTGTGATATCCAGCTTCTTTCACTTCCCTGTACTTCAAAATGGCGCACGATAGGCACAAAATCATCGTTGGTGTTGATTATGGAACTACATTTACTGGTGGGTTGCCCAGCAAGATGCTGAAGACGTCGACTAAGCTAGTCAAGGCGCCAGTTATGTTAGCACTCGAGGAAAGACCATCGATGATATTGTCCTTATCAAGTCCTGGCCTGGACGCGCGAGACACACCGAAACCGTCCTCAAAACACCTTCTCGAATCGCGTACGCCACGGATAATACTGGAAAACACCGCTGGGGTTATCAGGTTGAGCCGGGAATGATGTCCTATTCGTGGACCAAACTGCTCCTAGACAGGGGCACTCCCCTCACTAGTTATGACGCGGCGCTTGAAGGTGCTGCTGCTATCGGGATGTTCAGACTACCAGAAGACAAAGATGCTGTGCAGGTTGCCAGCGACTTTCTTTCTGGTGTTTATGAACACATTCTTACAACAATTGCGAAACAAATCACCGAAGAGGCGTTGAGAGTTACACCCCTTGAGTTCTGGTTTACAGTGCCGGCTATTTGGTCCGATGAGGCCAAACATTCAACGTTGGAAGCTGCCCGAAGGGCCGGGTTTGGTTCAATGAGGGCCAATATCCAGGACACAATCTGTCTTATTCCGGAGCCTGAAGCGGCCGCGATTGCAGCACTCAGGAGATCGGTCAATGATGGCCTGGGATTACCGGTTGAGGTAAAATATCTAAGGTCGGGATGAATATTTCGTAGCTAATTCGGCGGATACAGCCTGATGATGGGGTTCTTGTTTGTGACTGCGGTGGAGGAACAGTGGTATGTTTCCCCTCGCTTGACCAGTGTTATATCGCTAACACGAAGTTCCTGTACAGGATATTACCACGTACTTGGTTAAGCAGGTGCAACCCACGCTCAAGTTTGAAGAGCTTTGTACAGGCATTGGTAAGCAACTGGCTAATTATATTTCTATCATTGCTCACCGGAAGTAGGAGGGAAATGTGGTTCGACAGCGGTTGACCGTAAGTTCTATAACCTGATGGGCCAGATCTTTGGTAAAGCCTTCAGTGACCTTCCACGCCGTCGGACCGCACCTGGAAGCGACTTCATGAATAAATTCGAAATTATCAAGCGCGACTTTGGCTACTCTTCTGCTGAAACGACGCACGAGCTCTTTCTGAACATGAATCCTGTTGGAGTGAATGCAGAATACTTCAACGAAGACGAAAGCTTAGTGATAGTTTCTAAGTTAGTGATATCCAATAACCCCTACTCATCGTCGAGTTTTACTCTAATTGGTCTACAGCAATGACCTTCAGTCTCTTTTTGATCCCGTTGTGGAGAAGATTATATCGTTGGTCCGCCAGCAGATCGCCGTTGCTAATAAGGAGGCAAGGCGCGAGGCAGTCAATGTAAGATTACATCCAGAATCACCACAAACCGTTTCTATCCGGGCTTCGATGCTAATCAAGCCAGAGGATAATCCTGGTTGGTGGCTTTGGAGACTCCGAGTACTTACGGAACGCATTTCGAAACACGTTTGGACCGACTGGCAATATCACGGTCACAGTGCCGAAAAATGCGTGAGTCGAATACATTGGCAAGTGTTGTACTGAGTTTGTAAAGCCAAGCGGCTATTGTTCAAGGAGCAGCGCTTCGTGGACTAGAAGGTCTTCGTGCTGACAATAGGCGGTCCCGTCGACATTATGGATTCGCATGGTCGCTCCCCTTTCGGAAAGGCATCGATAATAACAAGGATTCCTATGTTCATATCTATGACGGCAAAAGATATGCCCGAGGCTATATGAGGTGGATGGTTTCCAAGGTACCTCCGAACTTGGTTTATGCGCTGATATCTACTAAGTCGTGATAACAGGGTGAACGAATCCCAGATGGTTATTCCAGCCAGGTGGAAGTGAAGAGAGGCCATCGGCAAGGCGATAGATTGGTCTTTGTAGACTGCCTTTACTCATGCGATATAGAACAAGCCGCAACACGGGTAGAACACCAGGGTGCTTGTCCATAACCTGCTTTCAATAGCCCAGCTGACTGGAGAATCACAGGGGTGCGGAAGGTCGGGGAAATCATCGTTAACTTCGAAAAGGTTGATTTGTCGAGGTTTCCCCACAAGGTCTCTAACGGCAAGGTTGTGTATCTCTTGAATTGTTGCATTACAGTGATATTCGGGGCGGAAGAAGGATTCCTGAAGTTCGAGGCGCACTCGGACGGACAGCTCATCGGCGCAACTTCGATTAATTTCACCCATACCAGCTTCTACTGACGCGCCTTCTCGGTGACTTTCTTTGCTGACTGACGAGATGTGAGCAGCTCCTGCGATGATATGAAGGTTGATATCCGGCGGCATCGCGATCGGGTTGTGATTATGACATATTATCGTTTTGGTGTGGGCAAGGAGCAAGTAGACAACGTTGGAAAGCCGAGGAGAAACTAGTCAGACCTTGGATTTACTCTTTGGTATCCATTGGGCTAGAAAGTATAAAGAACGCTTTTTGCCTTTATCAAATCATCCAAATATTCAATATTTGCACGTTTGTCTTCGATGATAAATAACATCTGCACCCGAATTGAGGTTGATTGTGGAAAACACTATACTGCCAGTAGGTTGACTTTGAGTATTCGCATCATTAGTAGGGGAAGCAGTCTGCATTACTATCTTCATATATAGTCCTCTGGAAGAATAGATATCGTTGGTCAGATCTGCAAATATGGTTCCAAGAGGCGCTATACTGAAATAGGTACCAATGCCCTAATTACCTATCTCGTCGGTTGCTTCAATCTGTACCTTCATACCGCCATCAACAGCCCAGGCCGCACCAGCGACATAGCTAGCCCTCGGGCAGCTCAAAAACAAGGCAACGTCAGCAATCTCCTCCGGCCTCGCCTCCCGGGCCATGGGAACAGCGCTCTTCATCAACAGCGGGTCAATCTTTTTATTAAGAACCGGGTCAAGCTCGTCCGTCAAGCCTGGACAGACCACATTTACCCGAACTCCATGCGCAGCGAGGCGAACCGCTATCCGTCAGAACGTGTACATCAGCTCTGGCTATTCAGGTGGAGGTGCACTACCCACCGGCTTTGCGGACCAGCCTGAGGACCGCGTCTTCAGCAACGGTATCCCTGCCCAGGTCGGTACGGGGCGCGCCTACGATGACGATGGACCCGCGGCCAGCTTCGCGCACTTGGCCGCGGTACTTGTACTTCCCAGCGGACTGGCTCTTCATTACCTGAGCCACGGCGTGGATGCAGTGTAGTGTTCCCTCGGCGTTGGCTTGCCAGGTGTGATCTGGTTCCGATGACCCCGTGGCTGTGATGCTGGCGTATCTTGCCCGGGTGCTGTCGATATAGTAGTCAATTCTACCGAATGTTTTGACTGCTTTGCTGATCACCCCTGCGATGCTGGAAGGGTCTGTCATGTCGACTTGTATGGCTACCGCCGTGAAGGCTGGGTTTGTTGCGACGGTCTCGCTCTCCTGCGCGGCATCGAGAGCGGCGTCGTAGTTGGTGTCGGCGAGAAGAATGCCTTTGACGCCCTCGGCGGCGTATCCGAGGGCGGATTCTCGTCCGGTTCCATGGCCTATTGTGCGATTCAGAAGGTGAGAAGAGGATGGCGAAGCTGCAAGTTACCTGCGCCGGTGATTAGGGCGATGCCATTTAGATGGAGGGACATGATCGACGGTCGTTGACAGGGCCTGCCAACATTGGATATTAAGAGACCAGAAGGATAGGAAGGGGGGAAGAGCTGGAGACTCCAGTTACGGCGTACGCTGTATGTCCGGGAATGGCCGGCGTTAACGCGCCCCCGCCTTAACTCCGCCGCTGGTATCGGTCGCCGAATCGGTTCCATATTGAGCATCGCTGTCAAAAAAAAAAAAAAAAAAAAAAAAAAATCGGAATTTCGGATTTGGGGATATTATGTACACAAGGTCCATTGCTGCATTACTTATTTGCCGTGGGTATCGCCACTAAACTTGCCCGTTCTGATCTGCTCCTGGCCTGCGCGCGAGATGGCATCGTTCCTGGTCGCCCCTTCGTCGCTGCCAAAGGCGCGGTCGACTGCAGAGTTGAGGCCTCCACGCAGCCACTCGCCAGCGCCCTGGGAATGTCAGTCAGCATCATCGGAACTGTCAGCAGTGGTTGGAGCTGCACGTACATGGATCCCCGCGAAAACTCCCCTTACCCCGCCGCCGAGGGTCTCGCCTATATCTCCGCCTGCAGTTTGGGTTCCTGTTTTTGGTTCTGACTGGTGAGAAACAGGTCATTGTGTTCATGCGAAGAGTCGAAACTTACTGTCTGCCCCAACTGCGGCATGGGGTTGATAGCTGGGCTCGCTGGTGTTTTGTTGTTCCGCTTCTGGGATCTGGTATTTGAAGCCGGAATCGTACGCCCGGTCGCGATCCAGGCCATCTGCGCTGGGGTCATCGACGCGGACGCCAGTTGCCTGGGCGCCGTCGTAGTTTGTAGCGGGCTGTTTCTCCATTTTTTTCTGATGGTTGGTGAGGATGGGAGATGGATTGTTGTCGCTGGCGGGCTGGTTATAGGCGGCGGTGGCTGTGACGTCACCGTCGCTGTTCTCCGGCGAATGCTTATGCCTGGCAGCCTGGGTACTTTTGACGTACGTAGTTATTATGGCAGTCAGCCTCTGAATCAAGCCGGGCACTGCCTGACATAATCCAGGGCTGGCCCACGTCCCAGGAACGTGCGAGCCAGATGTGACACATGAGACTGGGGAATATATTTTTATCACTGCAGCCCTTGGCATCACGCCTACAACCTTAGTCCAACCTCCCATCAGTTATGGATGTAACGGGACACTGTATAATTAGAACCCTTTGTACGGAAAATACCAAAACCTCGCCCCGTGGAATCGGGCGCTGGAAAGACAAATATATTCAGACAAAGACGAGATGCTCAACCATGTGAGGTCGAGAAGTGTTTCCCAAACTCTGCCGCCGGCGACGTCTTTATTCTTTGGCATCGGGCAACGAAGTTCCGTCTGGTCGAGCGAATTGTTATACTTTGTCTCGAGCTAGGAAATGATGGTGAACGAGCCTGTCGGGCACTGGTCCCACTGGGATGGAGTTCGGGTTTCTTTATCTAACTGTAATCGCAAGCATTCCTCGTTAACCCACGATTGCTGTCCTGGTATGGAACGGGCGCGACTGGTGGTCTATAAATCAAGCTGTCCCTTGAGTAGAGTTTGTATTCGCATCCATTCGATAACATCTCATTCTCATCAACACGTCAGTTCAACATCAGCCCGAGCCCCAGTTTATCTTTTAATATACTTCATCGAGTCGGTAATCATGCCTTTCTATGCATATCTGACGAAGGAACCCGTAAGTCTCCTGTCCCAATTTGCGCAAGCAGAAAGGATTAAGCAATGCAGATACCCGAGGGGGCCCGATACCTCATCACCGCGATGAGCGAGTCTGCAGCGGACAAGTGGTATGCAATGCATCGACGAACCGTTAGTCGAATCACTCCTGAATGGTATACGTTCAAGCAAGACTCTGGAGTTACCGAGCACACTGTTAAGGGTGTTGTCGTCACACGCATAGCGGATGCAGTGGACACTACTGGACGCTCTTGGGTTACTTTCCAGAACAGCCCAACTCATACCAGTACTGGCACTGCTGGTGCTGGTTCTGATTCTGCCATGAGTAGCCTGTGTATCTCAAGTTCCGACGGACCTGGGCGTTAGAGCAGGTGCCCAGAGTGTGAGCGTTTTCGCACGAACAAGTCCGGTCTTGATTACCACAACTACGAGGGTTGACGCCGAGGTGGAGGAGTGGGGAATACTTTCTTCGTTGTCTATGCTGCTTGTGTTTTCTCTTTAGATGGAATGTATATGCTTGCCCGTTTGATTGCTTCTTACTGGATAGCCCCCCGGGCCTAAAGATTCCTCATTATCATGGTGCATGAGGGTCAGCTGGACGCCGAGTATGAGTCACTGAGCGGTTGTGAACAAAGACAAAGAAAATAATTGCGAGGAGGCGGGCGTACTCGACAGGGTGTGGCCGACGCCCACTTTCTACGGTTGAAAATAATTTTAATATATGGGTAGATATACAAGGCCCCTTCTTCGCCAGCCGGCTGGAGGTAGTACCGATGTACCCAAGCTTAACCTTTCTAGACACGATGAGATATCACTCTACTGCAACCGGGTGGGGCCCCAAGGCCAGCGCAAAGATTATCTCGCAAGATGTGCGTATAAATGCTTCCCAGTTGCCCTGGTCCTGTTTCATAAGTGGCCGAGGGCTCATGTTTCCGCGCCACAGTACTGACCAAGTGCACTGGCTAGGAGAACGACAAAACCTGCCTTCTTATTACCGGCGACAGCAGCCAGAGCATCGATTACTGTTTCGTGGTGATACAAAAAATTACGGTCGGATGCTTCAAGATCGGCCCCGCTGAATACTGCTATGATCCCTCCAAGGGCGGCTTTCAGACGTTTTGCCGCTCGGTGGTCGGCCATGCTGAGATCAAGAAGCTGAGTCCCAGCGTCAGAGTCGAAATAATATCTCGTTTACCCAATTTCTCTATCGGTTAGTTCCGCCTTGTCATGCCGAGGGCAATCCTTATGCCGTTGATACCTTCAGATGGAGGTTGGTCTCTGTGGTCTAAAAGTGAGCACATGAAATAATCCTTGTCCCCTACGATATTGAAACTCAGCCTCAGGTATTTTACATCGCTCTTTTGTCCCCCAATAGTAAACGAGTTGTTCCGTCGCGGTTTGACTATACTAACGATGTACCCGTACCCTTTAGCGGATCATAGCGTGGCTAGAACTTTCATGGCAATATCAGTCGAGTGCTTCCTGGGCCTGTGCGTGCGAGCGACCGGGTGAACCCACTGTTAGACCACCCGTCCAGTCTGGATAAGAGAAGAACAACCTCCATTAGTACTATCTGGAGACTAACACACCTCGCTGGCAACTCTCGGTGGCCGACCGATGACGGGACGCCGCGGCGCCTGCCTGATCTGCCTGATCTGCTGTAGTCGTGATCACATCGGAATGGAAAGGCGAGGAAGTCTAGGCCATCACAGAGTGTGATTAATATGGTTCCAATATGAAGGGGCTGGAATGACAGCAACGTACCTTTGTATTGCTGTGCTTTCACGGGAGACGGTGCCTTGTTTTGGTCTCCCGATGCCATCGACGACCGACGACCGACGGGAGATCACAGTTCGGCTGCCTTCTATTCCATGGCTGGCTGAGGACCTTGAAGCAAACCATTTACTCGTCAAACCTCATCAACCGGCCGATGAAAGGTGCTTGGAAGGGGGAGAGCATTCATGGTGGCGACACGCAAACGGATGGGAAAGATGGACAGACAGAATGCAGATTTACCAACTGAAGACACAACAGATACCTGCATTTTCCGTTTCAGGGGCCTGGGAGCCCCTGAACGAATGTCTCGTCTCTCGCTCATTCAGCTAATCAGAATCCATGCCAGGTAGCACAAGCGGCATACGGGACTGCGCAGGATACGGGGCAGTGGTGAGCCTGCTCGACAGGTCACCCCAGTAAGTGATTTTCTCACATTATCTGTTGACATTCATCATGGCGCTCGCCCACTCGGAATTCCTGCGCGCCCTGGCCCTTGCATACTGATCTGGTCAAGTTTCGCGATTGAAGCTCGGGAATCCCATCCCTCCACCTACCGATGGTAGTCATTTACGAAGAGCTTCTGGGGGAGCGAATTTCCCGGGCCAAGAGCTTCGTACCAGACGGCCTGGACCTGGGAACCCCCCAGAATCAAACGCAGATGAGTTTGCAAGGCGTCTTCTCTGACCGATATCCAAATCATGGCCGGGTTGCTCGGCTTCTTGCACGATCTTATTTTTATGCTCGACCCCCGTTTGTGGAACTTGTCATGTCGAAGGTCTGAGATCAGGCGACGATGTAGGCACCGTGATGGCCATGATGACAGCTTTGCAGGCTCGCAAACCCATTGGCTTTACTTTGTTTTGGGATCAGTGTCCAGCAGGATCCATCAGGAAACCAAAGATTCGATCGACAACAATGCAGCGCCAACCCAACGTAAAAAGTGCCATTGCTGCTCGATGATGGCTATTCTACCATGCCAAACGTCTTCGACTGATCGATTTTGGACTTCAGCAAGTCTCGACCGTCTGTAGCTCTCCGTGGATCGACCCGTTGCAAAGCTTCGAGGCAAGGCCGGAGATCCCGCGCGGAGCGAATGAAAAGCTGGATGAACAGAGAACAAACGCTGCTGTCGCTCTGGCCTCGTGTGGGATGATGAGATCTCGAGCAGTATCATTGTTTCTCCTCCCTTCGCAATCTTCCTATACGACCACATCCGCTGCGGCAGTCTTCAGAACCTCGAAGTAAGGTGCGGTCCCTTCCCAATTGACCACCGTTTCCTCGTCGTACCCATCCAAAGCTGACATGTGGATTATCCCAAGTCCTACAGATTCCCCGGGTCCGCAAATGCGACCATCGTCAAGGGCTCGTGGGAGCAAGGACCGCAATGTACGTGGAGATCTCGAAAGCGGCCAACAACCGGCGTTACCACCTACAGGAGCTCCGGTAAGTTTTGACTTAAACCAATATCCATATCAGCATCTAGGTACTAACAGATCAGTTTCATCCTCGTCGCCAGCTCATAGCGGAGATGTTCGGGCTGGAGAACGAAGACGAGTGTGAAGGCTATACAGGGGTGCGCGAGTTCTGCGACCATCTAGAGACAAACTATTTCCCCCGGTTCGCTAGTTTCGACAAGGAGATATGGAAACTATTGCGCTACGGCTATCCGACGGATGCTAAAGCCAAATGGTGGTGGTGTCTGAAGGTTGTTGAAGCGTGCCGATGTCTTCAGAACGGTACAGAGGGCAGTAATCCAACTGCCAGGGCCTTGGCCGCTAAATTTCTGTCCAAGAACTGTAGGAATGACAACATGGAGTTACACAATGTCAAGGCTCCCATTCAAATCGCACTCGCAAAAGCTTTGATACATACTCTTTGCTGGCTTTCTGCAGTAATATCGCCTGTTATGGAGGACGACGAAGAGGAAGATTCACTACACGTTTCATCCGATGACCCAAAACTTATTCTTTTCGGGATCTCCGCTGAATACAATGGGAAGAAGACAATAATCACTATCGATCTACGCCACACTTTATCCGAGATATTCCACAAGATACATCAAGCTGCTGTTCCCACGCCGAAGAAAGAACTGGGAATCGACGCAGATCGGTCAATGCACGAAACGGGCGACGTCCTTTACGAATCAGCCATGAACTATGCATCTCTCAAGAAGTATGGCGGAATTCGCCTGAGATGGGTAGATACCCTCAGTGAACACCTGTCTCTAGACAGAGGCAAGCGTGAGCTTTCCTTGTTCCGGTTCCCTTCGCTATGCGCATTGCGAGTATTGAAGGCGGACAGGCTTCTCGCAGTTGCAAAGTATGTTAACCTTGTTGTCCACATCATTCCACATAGAGTACTGACTTTTGGCTCTTCCCTTCCATCTAGCATTACCAACCGGCTTCTCGCTGGCAGAGATTACGCGCTACCCTATGAGGTCGACGACGACGAAAGGGTGTGCGAACAGGTTATACTCTCGTACAGGCTCCTGTTTGGACAGAATTCGAAATCCCGGGATCTATTGAGGAGTCAGTTGATGGATGGGCAACGATCTCGAGGAGGTGTTGACTCGTTCATCCTGCAGTGCATTGGCGCGGTGCCCGGCCCCTGGCGCGTTCGCCTTGGTCGGGCAAAGCCAGATAAGCCTTTCAGCAGTGCAATCTTGCCAGAGCCTCATCGAAGAGACGACGGCTACATCAAGGAATGGAAAACGTATTTTGCAATGGTAAATTTTTCCAGCTTTAGATGGCGATTGCTAGCGCTCCAGACCTTTGGAAACGACCATCCACCAACTGATTTCCTGGACTATGTCATGGATCCCCGGGCCCCAATGCAGCGCGCTGCTGCCCGAGTCGGCGTTCTTGCGGTGGTGCTCGCGATTTTGTTTGGTACAGGACAGATATCTCTTTCTGGGCGGCAGCTTGTGGAGGCGCGATCGTGAAGCTACAGGATTCTACCAGGTCTAAGTTAAGAAGGATGGTTTCGTTATCTTAGTTAGTGCCTTGATCCTAAGTCAGCATTTCTTCTTAGTATGATTTTTGTATTTTCAAAGACGCGTCCACCCAGGATAGCATTAAGACAGTGAGCGAAATCAAGGCTAGATCATAGTCAGTCAGTTAACCTGTCTCGTACTCTGCATGACTGTACTCTTACATCTTGTTGTTATTTCCTCGGCATCTTTTCCAGGTTTATCTCTGGCATCCTTTCATTTCTTTAATTCTCGGTTTAGAAATAATAAGAGACAAGAAACGCGGAACAACCATAATGACCCTCTGTTTTATCTACTATGATGTACGCGGTACGACAAAGAGCATTGAGACTGATGGATTTCTCTACTCGGGCAGTGATATGTCTATACACTGAAAGCAGCGGTCAACGACAGCAAAGCCAGCAAAGACAGTGTCGACGCCGGAGTGCGGTTGCTAGCGTGCAATTCCATAAATCAAAGGCCTTTCCCAAAGACCAGCCCCCACGACCTATTTGTTCTTTATGGTCTGGAAACGGTGTCTCTAGTCTGGTTCGGCTAATGGGAACATTTGATCAATGCTAGAACGAGGATATTAAAACAGTCTATTGGATACTAGTCCCATTGAAGTAGAGAGTACACTATATTTCTTTATCGAAATATATCCCCGGGCCTTTGTAGTGTACCAAGGATTTCCATATCGATACTTGCTCCGCGCGGTCATACAGCCGGAAACGATAAAATGACTCTAACAGCAATATGATTGTCAACTGGGGCGCAGTAGACGACGCAGTAATCGATAAGAAAATTAAGAATTATATACTGAGTTTAAAGAACATAGAAAACGTCCCAGAGCATCAATGACACGAGAAAAAGCAAGTACCACTCGAGTGCATAACAAAATTCAAAGAAACAAATAAGAGAGAAGTTGGTAATAATGGTAAGAATGGCAAGGAAATAATCATCACGGCGTAGATCAAGGTAGCGTTTAACGGGCCATTCGATTGACCCAGAGGCTGGTACCCTCTCCAGAACAGCTTTTCTCATCCTGCAGTTTCAATGCTCGGACAAGACTTAAACCAACTTCATGCTCTTCTCTCCTGACGGAATCGAGCTCGGAGTTGAGCCTCGTGGTAGTCTTCTTGGTCTCTTCTCTTGCATTCATGTCGTATAGGACGGAGTCTGGCTGTGGACTCCACATTATAGCGTATATGGCCTTTTCTGTAGACTGCCTGCGTCGAGCTAGGTCCCTCTTCCTCAGCTCGAGAGCTTCAATGCGGCTCTGCTTTGTCCGTTCAGGTGGCTGTGGCAGGGGCTTTGATATTAGGCAGTCTTTGGATGGTTGAGAAACATTGGACTTTGGGGGGACCATTTTGTGAGCGGTATCGGGAGGTACTTCTTCAGTCGCTATTGTAGAAGAGCACTGGACAGTGGTGGCGGTGTCTCCCAAGCTTGAAATTGTCGTTGAACGGTCAATATCATCGCCCCGTTCCAGATGACGGTCTCTCGGTGACGTGATTGGATCAGAATATGCAGTAAACGGGCCGGTATAGAGAACAGACGGGTTGTGTATGATATTCATAGCCTGCTTCTCAAACCCACTTGCCCATTCCATAACCCTGCGTGACGAGTTCGGCTTCTGAAGTGCAGCGTTGATATCACCGCCAGTGACAGTTGTGACGACTGATGGAACCACACAAAGGGGACCTTGCTCTGGATATGGGCAGTCGCAGGCCATTAAGCGATCGTTACTTCGTGACAGGTGTATTCGTGATGAGCGTGGTTCCATTGACTTCCTGGGAGGGCCTTCCGATGATTGCCTGACTGACCTCCACGGTTCGACGCTAGGAAGGCTATTATTATTGGGTGATAGGCGTTGTTTATTAGGCCGAATATGGCTTTTCAAGGACCCTATTGATCCGGCGATGGCTTTGACATTTTGTCGGATTGGAGGTCTGGCAGAGTGAAAGCCATGTCCGGTCCTATGGCCTTGAAGTTGCTGGCAAGTCACGGTGCTGCCGTGCTTTTCGATATGAACACTGGGTAAAGCATAGAAACGATTGACCGAGTTTCCGTTCATCGTTTACCAAACATCTGAAGCAATGCTTCGAGAGCACGGTTGACAGGAGTATGAGGGTAAGGGTCACAATTCAACGTTAACCGACAAAGACAAGGGTCCAGGAATCATTGACTAGAGAGTGCTGTCTTGTTTTAAACGGAGCTGGTGGACCCTTCCGGCATGTTGGGACGGTGCCGATACCGACAGCTTGTGGTGCTGTTTGGACATCTCCACACCAGGGTCGCGAATGGAGATGTATATTTTTAGTTAGGCAGACTGCACCGTAGAGAGCACTTGAAAAGAGTATAGCTCTGTTTAGTGGCATGATAGTCTCGGATGTCGTTGGCGATCATGATCAATGCAATCCCCGATACAAGATGCCATCCACCTAGTTAAGAAAATGACCAAGAAAATGACCATACGGTGCAGGCTATAGAAAAGGTATGGTTAGATAAACCCTTTCCGACTCGTCCAATGCCTATTTCCTTTTGTTTCGCCTGTCCTTGACAGTTCTTTGTTGTTGTTGTTCTTAAATTGCTGGTGGGGCCACGATATCAGGGTCCGAACTTAAAATTAAAACCCCAGTTGCAGATCACCGATTTCCTCCGGAATAGAAACAATTGTGAAACGATAATATGCCATTGTACACCTGCTTCTGGGTGGTAGAAGGTTGCTTGGTCGTCCAATATATCTTTCCTCTTATCCGGCTATCTGAGCTTTGAATGCAACCGGACGAGAAATAATGGGATGTTTTTGCTTCACCTTCACACACAATTGAAGGTGTAATTGGAAGTGTAATTTCCTCGGTGTTTGGATCAATGTGGCCCTTTGATCAGCCTATCACCTCCCGCCAGAATGTCATCTCTGGACAGTCCCGAGGCTTGATCTGTTCGTCCAGCCTCCATCGTCGCGGTTCAGCCACATTGTAAATAAGGATCATCCCATTACACGTGCAAACCCCACACCTAATTTCAGCTGAGTAATTCAATGCAGGGCTGTCGTACGGAGTTAGTTCGGCACCAGCTGGAGCAGGTGTAGATATGGCTGCGGAGATTGCCCATCTTCAAGGTTTGGTTAAACCTTCGCGGCGCAAACGAGGTCCACTGCTGCGTATGAACCCCGCCAAACGCTGCGTGTTGATTCAAGTGTCATTGTATGTAATTGGATGGATGTCTATCTCAACTCAAGAATGACTCGAGTAACTTTCTACTTTGCCGGACTGGAAACCTTCGGCTGGAGGCCACTGTGATTGGTCATGGAGACCTGCTGACAAAGCGCCGCTTGACCTTCCACCACTGGCACTGGCTGACTGCAGCATCACCACCATGGATGTCCCCATCGCAGCCAATGTCCTTGGTACCACCGGCGCAGTGAGTCTTTCCCTTGTCAATTGACCCGGACTAACGCGTTTAGGTCTGCTGGTCTGTCCAGGTGAGACCGGAATCTCACCATCACACCGAGTTGCCTGGCTGACCCCCGCAGCTTCTGCCTCAGATCTTCATCAATTACCGACGCCATGACACCGAAGGACTTCAGGCGTCCATGATGATGTTGTGGGCCATCGCCGGCGTCCCGCTTGGCGTGTACAATATCGTCGAGGAGCTGAATGTGGCGCTGCGGGTCCAGGCCCAAATTCTCACTTTTCTCAGCCTCGTCACCTGGGCGCAGTGTCTGTACTATGGAAAGGTGAGTTTGAACGGTTGAATTATGGCGAGGTCTTATGATTTGTTGCAGAAATATTCAATTTCCAGATGCGCGGCCGCGGTCATGTCTCTTCTAGTGATACTGGGAGGCATCGAGGCCGGGTTGATATTTGCCCTGCGCGCCGCTAAAGACCGGGGTCTTGAATGGCCGATGATTCTGATGGCTGTTCTGAGCGCCTGCTTTCTTGCTGCCGGTGTTCTGCGACACTACTGGGATATATACGTCCACCGCACTGTCCGCGGAATCAGCTTTATCTTTGTGGGGATCGATGCCGCCGGTGATTTATTCTCGCTTGTATCTATCGGTATGTTACTGCTGACTTGTACTTAACTACTGCTTACATATGCAGTGTTTGAGGCGCAGATAGATATCCTGGGCATGGTGATATACGGAACCGAGCTGGTGCTGTGGATTGGTGTATTCATTTGCGGCTTCGTGTTTAATTTCCTGCCTTGGATTACGGAGCGATCGAAGAAACAGCAAACTGCTGCGAGAGAAACAGACGTGACTCTCCACCAGATGCCATCCTCGACTTCTGTCTTCCGGACGGCATCTGGGTCTGATGTCGTGAGAAGAAACCCGCAGCGCTCTTAACATATATTACCACGATTCATTTACTATCGAGTTCACTGGCTTGACCTAGTACAATATAATATCATCCTCCTCCTTCCACCCCGCCAGTACACCCTTCAGTGAATTCACCGTCGTTATTCTTAATATCTTATAGCAGGTCTTAGTAGTAGTAGATAAAGATATTAGACTTCTTATCTTCCGGATGCTAACACGACCGCCTTGATTTTTGAGCGCGGCAGATTAGTGCTCTGACTTTCTGATTCCTAATGCCTGCTCATGTTCCTCCGCTGATGGCCTCCCATCCCATGTTGTTGTTGGGCTTATCTGCATCGCTGCGGATATAATAAAACATAGGTAGGTAAATATTTGAACCTTTTGATTACTCCATAAGTATTGGACACTGTTGGAGTACTAAATCTTTATTAGCAGTATACTAATAGAAATGATATTAAACCTACTCCGCCATTTGCTCCAAGATGGTAAAACATAAAGCTTCGCCCGTCAGTAGTCAGGCCATATAGACTCAGATTTTTTTTGTTTTTTTCCCGGCGGATATGCTGGGTGGTTGCTAATATACTATGAGAACCAGGGTTTAGGCAGTGAGGGGATAGTACATACCAAGGTACCCTAGGAGCTGGGTCCTGGCGCGGGAAAAGGTAGTTGGGCCCTTGGCCTCTATTATAGCCAAGTTTGCTTCTGGCTGGTCAGGCTTGCCATACCCTATACTGTAATCAACCTTTCCTGTAAATCTTTTGGTTGCTATGCCCTCCTTTACTACAGTGCACTCTAGAGTAGTTTCATACTGGAGCTTAATCGGGGCACAAGTACGCCCACAGGTGTTTTGGACGGTGTCGATGGACGCAATAAAAATCATGTCCAAGCGGCTCCTCACCAATGCCTCATTTTCGTCGTCCTGGTCAAGACAGCCTGTGGCACGGTGAAGACGCTCTAACATTGAGACTGAACACAAACGAATCACTTAGTTACCGCCAGACAGACAATATTTGGGTCGGCGCTGGCTTACGAAGGTCTTCTGGCGGGGAGATATTCTCAATCACAGGCTGGGGCTCGAACGCCTCGCGGTCGGCCTGGTAGATTCCAAAGGAGTCCTGCAGCGTTGATACCGTGGTTTTACCTAGCTGAACCACCTCTGGTTCCTCTACTATGGCTCTCGCGATAGTTTCAGCCTGCTCCTCAGTGGGCTTAGACAGGTATCTCTTCGCAGAGTGATAGAGCTGCTTCACTTTGGCCTTTGACACTCTCTTGCTCGTCATGGTGCCGGAGTATAGAGGGCTTTGGTAGTAGTATTATTTGTGTCGTGTTGGTCAATTTGCAGTAATGTAATGTAAATTAATTAATTAGGCATTCTAAAATCAATTGCTAAAACTGGAAAAAATTCCTTTTTTGTATTTGCCATTATCTTGTAGGAAGGAAGGAGCGTTGGGGTGTGTTGCCTTCTCCTTCCAAATTAGATGGCTGTGATGCCGTAACAATCCTGTACTCCATCATCCAGGATATTCTCAAAAAGCGTGACGACATCTTCTGTGAAGTTCATATAAACTCTCCAGCTTTGGGTTGCTGCATTCCAAAAGAGCCTCTTATACCCTTCACGTGACTCTTCGGGCTGTGTAGCAAGTACAGCTTCCGGGTCTTTGCCCTGCCCAAACGGGTAGAACCAAAAACGTGAGGTTTCTTTGCCATAGAGAGTAGACAGCTATTATTGTTAGCAAGGAATACTTTAACAAAGTAAATAGGGTTGTACCTTGGATGCGGAATCAATTTTAAAGAAATCAAAGAATTCGGTATCTGTGTGAACCCCATAGACGACACAGTTACTCTCGCCGCGTTTCTTGCGTTGCTGATGGACGATGGCTGTATTATATATCAGAGTCAGAGTAAGAGTCAGATTAGATATATATAGATGCATATAACTCACCCATATACGCTCGGAGTGTCTCCCCTTTGAGCCACTGGGGAGTATTGTCGACCATGATGACCAAGTACTCGCGTATATTCCCACCGCTATCCACAAAGCCAAGCGTGTGAGTAGTATTGGCAATCAAATACCGTTCTCTTTTCTTGAAGCGAAGCTGCAGCCCTTTGTTATAACCAGGCCGGAGGCGCAGTTCGCCAGAGTGGCCCTGTGATCTGAGAAAGCGTGTAGTGCGCTGGATGCATGGATCGAGGATTGCATGTAGCCGCGCAATTTTGTACTCTGCATGCATCATTTCGAATTGGGGTGCGAAAGCCGAAATAGTGGCTGTTCGCTTTTCGAAGTCTTTCTCTAGCTCGTCTAACTCGCACCCTGGAACAATATTAGCATGCATTAGATTAACAGACGGCATTAGATGAATAGGGAGGGCAACGACAAATATCCTGAGCCTGAGAGGATACTCCAAACTGCTCTATAGGTGCTCCCCCAGAAGTAATGTCGAACATCGACCAGACTTTTATGCTGTCGACCATCTCTTCTTCAAAGCAACATGGCCATATTGGCCATGCGCCCGGCTCAGGGCTGACTGCATCTGGATCTGATGCGATATCTTTCTCGATCACTTTCTCGATTACTTTCTGTATCATCGCTTGCCTCCTTTCAGGAGAGGAGAGCTGATACTGGAACCCCCAAAGAGCACACATCGGTTTATGGTGCAGTCGCACGAATTTGGAGAAGGCAGGCCCCATTTTGAGTATAGAAATTGTTGAGAGTAGAAGTCTCGTCTCGAATTCTGCGTCCGGCTTATAAGTTTCTGCTTTAACTTTTGTCGGATTTGAGTTGGTCATGTCATGAACCCTAAGCCGTTGGGCAGAGGTGGGCTGATGGTCGATAGTTTCAGGACTGTTAGAGTAGAGATTATTTACTTATCCTATTCTTGATAAGGTTATTAGATCCTGACCATTGATTTATTAAAATCTTTCCATCCTGCAATACAGCAACTTCTTCTATAGCTGTAATTTAGTTCTTACTTCACAACAACTAATCAACTAATGAGAATCTATTATACGGATATATTGACTTGCTATTCTAGATTAAGCTAGAACTTTATTTATACTATTTAAAATACTTGTTTTATTCAATACTTGAAGTTTCTATTTTACTATTACTATTATAGTTCAAGAGCTTGTCTAGACTTGGATATGGTCGAGTTCAGTCAAATTTATAGTTATAAATAATTAAATTAGCTAATGAGAATCTGTCATACGTTAACTTACTACAAGGGTCGTGATTCATCAATATTATACCTTACATATATCGTGCTATAAAATCGAAAGACGTCATGCAACCAGAACCAACCAACGCCATCTATACAAGAAAAGTAAATGGATTTTAGTTATTTGGTTAGCTGAAGAGGATAATGGAGAGAGGAAGAAGCTTACCTGGTAAATCAAGAAAGCCCTTAAGAGTATTCTGCCCTCGATTGGATGCAAAGTACAGGATGGATATTGAGCCAGTTATGGGATCCCGTAACCACCTGCCAACATGTCTCGTATTGCCATCCCCGTTATACTTTGCGGCCGCACCGCCGCCGTAGGTAGACCCGTCTCGCAACTACTCCGACCCGACTATGAAGGTATGAAAAGAATCCCTTCCGTTTACTGGTATCTAACAAAATAGTAATCCATTTCATAACATCACCGGAGGGCGCACACGCTGACCTCCCGCTCCTCCTCGCCGGTCGCGACCCGCAGTCCACCGCGCCCAACGACATCGGCACGCACAACTACACTCAGCCCCCGCGCGCCGTGATCTTCGGGCGCGGGTTCACTCCTGATTTCGTGCAGGAGCTGAAGAAGGCGTACGCCGATCGTAGCCAGGAACCTGTCGCCTGGGTAGCAGGCGACCCGGCCAAGGTGCCGACCGGTATCCCGGGGCCGGGATATGCGGAGGTCTACCGCGGTACTAGTGAAACAGGTTGAGATATATATTGAGACCAGAGCACTGCACGCCTTAATTTATCGAGACACTGAATATAAGGGATTTGAATCTGTATCTAGGATAAACGGATTGCCATTCAAGATCATATACATTCTGTCGGAAGAATACTGCAACAAAACTAAACATCTGTTATGCACTGGCCTTGAGGTACGGAATCCCCGTCAACCTGAATCCCCTCTCCGTCAGCTGCACCGGATTTCGCGGTTTCGCCCGGTTATACGGGTCTGCCTCTCCGTTGCGATAGACCGGCAGGTCAACAACATGCATGGCATTCGGCCAATGGGTCGTCATTTTGGTTTCTAAAGGTCAGCTAGGTTCAAGTGTATAACTAGATAGACATACCTTCAAACGCCATCTTCTTGGTGAGGAGCTGCTCTTCAGTGGCGTCTTCGACCGGCATGTAGCACGTATACACGCAGAATCGCGGCTGCGATGTCTCCGAGGAGAGATTGTAGTGCGGTGTGCGCGAGTCCCCTGTCAATTAGTATTTTATTATAATATGGACAATGACTTACAGAGCAGGAGATCACCAGGCTCAGCGGTGACCTTGATCCACTCGCAGCCTTTATCTTCTAGCCATTTCCTCCCGGCGTCCGTGAAGCCGTACCACTCCTTCGTCCTATAATCATCAGTCTCATGCAACCAAACAAGGGGCAATGGGAATACCAAGACCAAATACGCTCCTCATCCTTAAACGCCTCATGAAACTCCTCACTGAGCAAATGCGCCCCCTTACAAACAATCAACCCCCCGTCATCAGCCCCATTCGGCAGCAAATTCACCAACCCCTGCAAGCACCGAAACCCGGGCTTCTCAGGATCCTGGTCCTGATGCGGCCAGGGCGTGTTGGGCTTTACGTCCGTCCGGTTCGGGAAGCCGATATTCACCGAGTCAAAGGACACGATGAGATCGGGGGTGTTGTAGACGGCTTCGAAGGCGCGCACGACGCCGGGTTCTTGACGCACAGCCCAGGTGAAGGATTCGTGGGAGACGGCGTACCCGAGACACATTCCCTTTTCGTTGATGTCGGGGAGATGGTCTTTGTGGATTGTGCTTGGGTCGTTGCGGTTGAAGCCTAGGTTGCTGTGTTTGTCAGTGGGTGTCTTTTGGTAGTAAAAGGGGGACTTGGCCGTACAATCCTTCCAACCAGTCGTAGATCTCGTCTGCGTATTTGAGTGCGCGGTCGCGAGGGACGGCGTTTTTAACAACTGCAAAGCCGTTGTGGAGAAGGTCGTCGCGGAAGTCGCCATAGTGGACGTCGGTGCCGTGGGAGAAGATGCGTCCGGGGGGAGCAGTAGTAGTAGTGGTGGTAGTAGTAGTAGACATTGTATGTATACTCTTTGAATCAATGATGGTGACATGTGTCTGGAAGCTTGACTGTTTATATCTAGTGTTCATGATTCTATACAATCCGGTCCGGCTCGGTTTGGCCCGGTTCGGCTGGCAGTCGGTTATCTGACTTAGTCTAACCTGTTAGTCTCATACCAGGCTTTGCTACCGCTAGAGATGCGGGGTGCAGCTTTGTCTGTCGGATGTCCACATCTGAGGATTATGGGTGGAGCCGAGAATGGATATGGATAGTGTTATTTTGCTACGCAAGGTGACAGTATGATCTAAACACTAATACAGTATTTACACATTTAGCTTTCATCAAGAGTGACAGAATATAGTAGTTCAATGTGGTTGATTCTTTGTATTGTCTCCATAACACAGCCCTAAGTAGAAACACCAAAACTACACATCCAAGATTATACACCAACCCATCGACGAACAAAGGATCTAATCCTCGCGCCAAAGAAAAACATCGGAACCGCAACCACCGCCAGCACAGCACAAACAACCATCTCCACCACCATCGTCATATCATACCCAATATCCCTTACAGCGGGGAGAGTCGCATAACTAAGTCCAAACGAGATAATGCCTCTCCCCGCACAAATCACAACCAGAAAGGGCGCAGCACGTAATGGGAAACTATCCACGGCGTATGTAATTCCGACGATATTAGCTCCTAAGAAAGCGAAGAAACTCGCGTTGTAGCCGACGACGATTGCGCTGGCGTTCCATTGCTCTGGAAACGACGCGGCCTGTCCGTAGATGATGCCGCAGATTATGCCGACGGTTGCCGGGATTGTGAGCACGGGCAGGCGGTATTCGGGTTTGTACAGGCCGCCGTTGCGCTTTGTGAATGTGCGGATTGTCAGGTCGCTGCCGTAGCCCAGGAGGGGGAGGAAGATGATGCAGCTGACGATTTGGCCGGCTTGGACGGAGCCGAGGGAGGTGAAGGCGAAGCTGTAGGGGGGTGCGAGGAGGATGGTGGAGAATGTTGCGGACTGGAAGACGTAGACGCCGAGGAAGGCGCCGTTGAGGAGGAGTAGCCAGAGCGTGGTGGGGATGCAGACGCCTTGGAGGACGTGCTTGTAGAAGATAGGGATGTCGCGCCAGCGTGGTTTTATCACCGACAGGGAAAGGTCGTGTCGCCATGTTCGTGGGCCAAGCTCCATGTCGAGCAGTGTTCCGTATGGTGAACGAGACTCTGAAGATGGGTCTGTCTTGAGAGAATTCCCTGGCTTGCTGGTTTCACCGCGCATATCAGTGGGTGTCCGTTCATATGAGGACTCCGATACGAAGACCACAGATAGCAAGAAGACAACTGCGTTCATAATGGCGAAGAACCCATACCACCATCTCCATCCCCACGCCGCAACCATATATGTCGACACCACGAAGAACACGCCAGCCGTCACATTCTGGATAAAGATAAACCAGGCAAGTCTCCGCCCACGCTCATGCAGGAAGTGAATTTCCTGGATTATTGCCGGCGAAAGGGCCTCGCTTTGTCCAGCTGCCAGGGACATGATATTGCGGCCTGCTATGTGGCTCCCCAGGCTTTGAGAACAGGCGCACCAGATTCCCGTTACTATGAGAAGCACCATTGAAGCAAGGAAGACGGGTCGACGGCCGCAGCTGAGAGCGAATGGCATGCTGATGAGATTCCCAATCCCCATGAACAATGTTGGGTATGTCAGGAGGTCATTTGCGCGCTCTTCCTCGCCTGGATACTGCTGCTGGATGACGGAGAAGAAGATAGGGCCCATTCCGGAGCACAGCACGACGGACGTGCAGCTGTATGCGGAGACGAGTATGAGAAGGGCCCATTTTCGCCACGGGGGAAGGTTCAGAGGGTCTACTCATTAGCTTTCGCTTGGTGTACCTGTATAGCTGGACATACCTTTTGGATCTGCCGATGGAGTTGGGATTAGGACAGTGTCGCTTCCCCTGAGGAGTTCGACATCCCCTGGGGCGGAGCTGATGATTTCCTCGTGGATTGCCTCGCCTTTGTCCATTTTGATGGTTAATTTAGTATAGCAAGACAGCTCATCCGCGCCTTTATACCCCGGAAACAGTCAATACTCCTACTCTTACTAGCAGGTTGATCGACGTGAGTTGGTGGAGCCGCGAACCGAACCGGAGCGAACCGAACCGGTGGGCATATACAATATAAGTGTACACATCCACGCCAGAATAGACGGAAAAGGTTTAAAAACAAAATGCCTGTTACATTCAACACCAACATCCCCATCGAAGAACTCCAGCCCCCTGAAATCGGCCACGGCGGGTACGAAGGACTCAAACCCCGCACCGAGATCCTCCCGCAAGGCCACAAAACCGCACCCGGGAGACGCGCTCTGCCTTGCGATATCCAAGCTGATCACGATGTTGCCATTGTCGTGCGAGACGGGTGTACGCTGTACGCGGATATCTATCGGCCTCCTGATGCACCTACCCGGTCAACACCTGCTATCGTCTGCTGGGGTCCCTTCGGGAAGAAGTTCAACGGCGTCTCATCGCTGCAGCTAATGACGCCGTGGAATCTGGGTATACCTGATGGAACGCTGAGCGGGCTGGAGAAGTTCGAGGCGCCTGATCCGGCGGAGTTTGTGCCGAGGGGGTATGCGATTGTCAATGTCGACTCGCGCGGGGCGGGCGATTCCCAGGGATGCATGGTGACCATGGGTACACAAGAGGCAGAGGATGGATATGATGTGATTGAATGGATTGGATGGCAGGAGTGGTGTAATGGTTCTGTTGGCATGGCGGGGAACTCGCACCTCGCTATCATCCAGTGGTTTATTGCGGCGCTGCAGCCGCCGTCCTTGAAGGCTATTGCGCCCTGGGAGGGCTGTGGGGATTTGTACAGGGAGCAGTTTGCGCGAGGGGGGATCTATGGTGGGGATTTGTTTGACAGGTTGATTGTCAAGTATATGCTGCGTGGACAGGGCGGGATGGAGAGTTTTCGCAAGATGTACCAGCAGCATCCGCTTGCGTCGGACTGGTGGAATGACAAGCGGCCTGATATGAGGAAGATCAACATTCCGACGTATATCACCGGGACCTGGACGAATACGATGCACGGCATGGGTGCCATTCGAGGTTGGCTGGAGGTGCAGTCGCCGCATAAATGGCTGCGCTGGCATCCGTACCAGGAGTGGTACGATATCTGGGGGAATCCAGAAGCGACCGTCGAGCTACTGAGTTTCTTTGATCGGTATTTAAAGAACGTGCAGAATGGTTGGGAGGATACTCCTCGTGTCAGGATGGCCATCCTGCGGTATGGCGAGAGCACCCCGATAGCCAACATCGTCGAGCCGGACTTCCCATTGCCTCGCACGGTCTACCGCAAGGTATACCTTGATAAAGGTGGCTCACTACTGGATCAGCCGTCCACATCTGGGACACTTTCTTATAACTCAGAAGACCCCGCAGATATGGCCAAGTTCACGTACACCTTCACCCAGCGCACGCAGCTGGTAGGCATACCCAAGGCCGTCCTCTACATGCGCTGCGACGACTACGACGACATGGACGTGTTCATCGTATTAAGCAAGCTATCTGCATCCGGGGAGCTGATGTTCAACCTCAATATCCCATGGAAGGGCTTGCCCGTGTCGTCTATTGACGAAATTCCTCAAGACAAACGGACGGAGGTTATCCTCTACCAAGGCCCAACGGGGATTCTGCGAGCCTCACACCGCGCCATTGATGAGGCCAAGTCCATGCACCCGCACTGGCCGTTCCATCCGCACGAGCAGGAGGAGAAGATCACGCCTGGCACGGTTACCCGGTTAGATATAGGGATCTGGGGAATGGGAGTGGAGTATGAAGCAGGCGAGAGTTTACAACTTCGCATCAGCGGTCATTACCAGGGGATATCGAATTTCGGCACAACTGACCATGTCAGGAATAAAGGCTTGCATTGGGTTCATGTTGGGGGGGAGTATGATAGTCATTTGGTGTTACCGTTTGTCTGACCATAAACTATTTAGATATGGTTACTCGCTATTCTCGAATAAATGGCTCAGGTCATTCCAGTCCCAGCCCGCCCAGTCGAGTGCGGAAAGACTCCAGCTATTCATCGGCTCTGTGCTTAAAGGCGAGCCAAATGGTAGTGGTACCTGTCCTTGTAGACACTCCTCTGTATATCCTTCCAGCGCTGATAAGACGCCATCCCTTTGTCCACCATAGCGATTCCTCATGACTGTAATTCCAGCCTTCATGAGCTGCACGATTAGCACTCATCATAATACAGGAGAGAGACTGATTCATACTTCAAAATCCACCCGAACCAGAAGAGACCTCCGCTCTCGCAGGATATGCACGGCAAGAACATACACAGCCGGCAATGGCGAGGTCAGTGTAGATAAATATGATGGAAGTTCAGAGTCGACCATGCCGACAGTGAGCTTGATCATCTCCCGCGCAGCCTCGACGCAGATACTCGCCCCGCTTGCGATGCGCGCTTTCCATGGCTTGCCTGTACCGTAGCGCTCGATTACCTCGTGGATTTCGGATGGTTCGATCAGGAGCACGCTGCGGTTGAGCAGGATGAGACTGGACTGTTAGTTTGCTTCGGGATAAGGTGACGGTGTCTTACGCGTAGTGGTAGTAGAAAGATAGGAATGGGGATTGCTGCGAGAGTTGCCCTGATATAGACGCTGTTCCGGGCCTATTCAGTTAGTATGTAAATCCCAATAGTATAGCTCGTAAATGCAGATAGTATATGGACGTACTGAAACTCAGTTGGTATATTCATCCACCAACCATCTAACAACATGGCCAATTCACCCCCAGTCCGGACCTTCTCCTCGATTGCCTCGTCGACGCTCTGGGGAAGCCACTCCTCGCGCCGCCATGCACCGGCTGCACGGTCCTGCATTTCGTGTAGTGTATTCGCTAGACTTATGCATGCCCATTTATACTTTTCCTCTGACGAAGAGATACATATCTGGGTTGGTTGGCGGCACAGGTCGCGGTCCCAGATTGTAGACGCACGCCCGCTTTCAAAGGCGAGGATCTTTTCGAAGACGAACATGCACCACCAGATATTGGAGCGTCCCGTGTCGGGTTCGTCTGTTGGTGTCTGGTTAAGTCCAATAGATTGCGCCATGGAGATACCTAAGGCGAGAATGTCCCAGGCCCAGGTGATCTGGTCGCTGCTTCGGAGGACAATAGAGAAGAGGAAGATGGCCTGCACGGAGTGGAGGGTTCGTTCTGCGACGATGTGCCCGAGCAGCGTGTTGCAGTGGTTGATGTATGGCGATATTGTTTGTGAGTCTGTCGTGAAGCCGCTCGCGATGAGGTAGGCTAGTGCTTGATTAGACGGGCCTTGATTGGAGTAATTGCAAATCTGCGTGATGTGCTCCTCGGAGAGAAATGGGAATATTGAACAGAGTGTTTGCTGAATGTTCTGTCCGAGGATGCGCATATCGGCTGGTGGAGGTAGGGGTGGTGCAGAACCAGGGCCCGATTGAGAACCGGCACTGGCAGCAGGTAAAGCTGGATAGGGAGCATGGATGCGCAGTCGATAGAAAGCAAGATCCAGCCACTCGGTCATAATCTCGAACATGCATCCCCCGACGAACCGGGGCATCATAGGGAGGCGTCCGCTGCGCCAGCCAGACCGGTCCCAGCATTGCGACTGTCTGTCCCTGGATGGCAATGGGGAGGCTGAGACTGGAGTATTAATTTGCGACTCTGGTGTGTCTGCTGCAGACCGTCGACGATGCGTCACGACTGCGCCCCGTCTCTTGTCGGTGGTGATGCACTGCACTCCGGCGATGCGACAGTTGCGGCACGAGGGCTGCTGCTCGTCGCATCGTGTTTTTTTAGTCCGGCAGTGGTTGCATGCGTAGGACAATCGTTTGCGTTTGCGGTCCATCTCATCCAGATCTGACCAGGCCCAGATAGTGCTCTGATCGGGTGGAGGTTGTAAACTGTTATATGTATCTCCACTTCGGATCGGCCCTCGGCTCTAAATACAAATACAGCATTTACATACAAATACAGCTATACAGAATGCTCGCTCTTGGGCACCCTCCACCCGTTTTCTAACCCAAAGATCCTCCCCGTGATAATCCCCTTGATGGTGAATATATTGACCACAATCCACATCACCACCAGAATCAACAGCAGCGCCGTCGACCACACATCAAAAGCCGGCGAGTCCATCTCTTTCCCCATCTGCACTGCTGCATTCGTATACACGCCCTATCTATTAGCCAAATCCTCAATAATTATTGGGCAACTCACCCACGGAAATATCAGCGCCCACGCCGTCAAAGAAAACGACACCTTCCTCCACCCCCCACTCTGCACATGCAATGTATAAACAATACTCAGAATCGCAAAGAGCCACCAAAACGTCGAGAATCCCCACGCCATGACGCCGGCAAACTGACTCACCACAGAAATAGGCACCGCTGCTTGCTCGGTGAGCAATGTGCCGCGGTTATATTCCCCAAAACTGTGCAACACCGCATCGCCTAGTATATGCAGTGCGAAACTGGCTTGTCCGAAGGGCCCGCAGAGAACCATGTCCTGGTATGCATTATCACGGACGGGCGAGTCCTGGTCGAAGTGGTGGTACATGATGCAGGCGTCGACGCAGATGGTTAGTGCCATGCCGGCGCCGAGTTCCATGTATGAGATGATGATGGCGGGGACGCGGAGGCGGGCGCTTAGACTGCTGTTTTCGCAGATTGTGCCCCCTCCTGCGGCGGAGGTGATGATTGAGATCATGGGGAGCAGGAAGGCTGGGGGGATGTGTTCGAGGCCGGCGGGTTGGAGCTTTAGTTGTAGGTAGGGCACCCCGATGACGCTGGTTATGGAGAGGGCGGTGGAGATCCACCATAGGATGTAGGCGACGAGGTCGGCGGAGCCGCTGTATTGCAGGGATATCATTTGGATTATGGAGGTGAAGGCGATGGGGACGCTGGATAGGCAGGAGGCTTCGACGACGCGGGTGCGGATTTGGTGTAGGACGTGCTTTGGGTAGAGAACTATGCGGGTGATGTAGATTGCGAGACTCAGCCCGAGGAGCACGATGGCGTAGATCCAGACGATTTTGGCGAGAATGGACAGGGCGTCGAATTGGTAGTGCAGCTGGTGCAGGATGGCTGCGATGATGGCCACCCCTTGGGGGGCGAGGAACCACGACGACGAGAAGTTCCACACGGCCAGGAGAATTGGCCGTACTGGCTGTACTTCATGCTGTACTTCAGACAGCTGTACTTGAGACATTGCGATCTTGATGAAGTTGTAGTCTACACTGCTCTACATTCCTCTAGATTATGGAGTGACGATGCCGTGATGTCATACACATTCGTATAGGATCATCATGAAGATATCAAGTTAAATACTGCTTCATATCCTCCGGAACACCCATATCCTGCGGCTTATCATCCAGAATCCTATACCACTCCGGCTTGGTCTCGACAAATATATGACACTCCAACTCGGGAACGGCCCCCTCCTTCACCGTGACAGCACAAATCCCCGTTTCCTGCGGCCGCTTATCGTAGACCATAGTCAGCGGCGCATGGCAACTGCTGCAGACAGTTCTTGTCGCGAAGTCGGTAAGCCTTAACTCCACGAGTGATGTTTTCTCGATCCAGTGGAAGTGCTCGCTTTTGATGTTGACGAAGGGGGCGAAGGGCGCGCCGTGAACGAGCTGGCAGATGGTGCAGTAGCAGTAGGAGAGGCCGTAGATGGGGGCTGTTGTTTCGTAGCGACTCTTGCCGCAGTAGCAGCTGCCAACAACAATGGAAGTCATTGCAATGTATTCTGAGATGTTGTGAGACGGACTGGGTGGGGAGTGGGAGCTGTATATACGTGCCCCTCATTCCATCACACCTCGTATATGCATGTAACTCCATTACGAGTCTACGGAACTTTATTGGCCATAGCCAAGATATTTGTCAGCGTCATCAAGGAATATTATTATGAGTGTTATGATGGCCACCGCGGGGCATTCAGAATCAATCCCATCAACATGCCTGCCAGCAGCGCCGTCACAGGCACCGTAATCACCCAGCCAAAGTAGATCCACGCAACAAGACGCATATTGATGCAGCGCCAGTCGCCGTTCGCTAAACCAACTCCAATTGAAGCACCGGCTATACATTGTGTCTGTATTACTTAGTCAAGAGCCCCAGGGAAGAGGGCGAGGAGAGGAGGTACCGTAGACACAGGCAGTCTCAATCGCGTCGCGATCAAGATAGTTAATGCGCTGCTCAGTTCCATGCAGAACCCGCGCGACGGCGACATCAGGGTCAGTCTGTTGCCGAGATTGCGCATGAGATGGTATCCATATGTCATGAGGCCGAGCACGATTGCGCCGCCGCCAAAGCATCTACCCATGTCAGCACTGGACTAGACTGGTTTGGTTTGTATGTTTAGACGTACAGCACCCACGTCGGCACAGGGACCTGGCTCCTGATCTCCCCGCTCTGCCAGACGAGGTAGGTTGTTGCGAACGGGGCGATGGCGTTGGCGACGTCGTTGGCCCCGTGCACGAAGGACGCTGTTGCCGCGGTCAAGATCTGTAGCGAGCTGTACATGTATTCGGCCCTGTTGTCGTAGCGCGAGGCCCGCGCGTGCATGTCCTGGATGTCCCAGGTTAAGACGGTTTGTCGCTTCTGGGCTTGGATTACATCTTGTTCGAGGCCGTGGTAGAGGATGCGTTGGATGGACCACCAGAGTACGGGCCAGCTTGTCCAGGGGCCCGGGGGTCGGGGAGGGACGCCGTCGACGAGTCCGGTTGGCTGAGTAGGCTGGCCGTCTAGTCGTTCTGGGTCGTTGTAGCCTGTTGTTTGGATGGATTGGAGGAGGTGTTCTGAGGCGCGCAGGCACTTGAGTTCGTCTTGCGTGAGGTGGCCCCGGTAGTAGTCTTTTATATTCAGGCTGCTGCGTCCGGCTGGTGGGGGATTAGGCAGAGGGCGGGATAGCAGGAAAGGTCCGCGCCAGACATCGTACCATTTCAGCTGCCAGTCTTCGTTCATGACGCGGCGCCAGAGGTAGGGGAGGAGGAAAAGGATTTGCAGGATCACACAGCCGGTTGCGACGGTTATCACGGAGACGGCGACTTGCATGCCGTTCGGCTCGACGTCGAGCTGGATGCCCTTCCACACGATGAGCACTGCTTTGTTAGCTTGATCAATAGAATATGTGGGGGGCTTACTGGTTAATCCCCCGATCGCAAAGAAGGAATAGATCGGGATGGAAAAGAGCGCTCTATGCACGGCGTACTTGCTGGACAAGACGAAATGCTTCGTCACCAAGAACATGCCAGCCCCAAGTAGCCCTGCTATCCCAGGAGCAATTCCCCAGGCCGCAAAGACCTGCGCAACGCCCCGCCAGCCCCAGTGTACCTGCTTTATCCCAACCGAGGCCGTGCCCGCGCCGACCAGGCCGCCGATGATCGAGTGCGTCGTGCTAACCGGCAGTCCGAAGCGGGTCGCGATGGTCAAAAAGGTGGAGGACCCGATAATGGTGCACATCATGGCGAGCATGAGCACGGCCGGCTCAGCGTCGTATAGGTGAGGGTCGATGATTCTCTCTCGCACGGTTTCGGCGACTCGCGAGCCTACACTTACGGACCCTGCGAACTCCATGCAGGCGGCGATCAGCATCGCCTGCTTGAGCGTCAGGGACCGCGAGGAGACCGACGAGGCGAACGAGTTGGCTACATCGTTGGCTCCTGCGGGGGTCAGTTTATTCAACTGGTGGGGACTGTGGGAGAGTTCGTACCTATGTTCCAGGCATCCAGGAACGCGAAGATGGTGGTCACCGCGAAAATATAGTCATACTGGTGGAGGATGGCCATAGGCTCGGTTGATGGCAGACATGGTCGATGGCAGCTTGATGGGCCTCTGCCCGATCGTTTTAATAAAGACCTCCACAGGAGGGAGCAAAAGGTCCAAGAATATCAGATGAAGCCCAAGCATCTTGGCTGTTGAGAGAAGCCCACGTGGTGGTGACAAGCCCTGATAGTGGCCGCCACACTCGCACAAGGCTGGGCACTATAACTGGCCTTTTCTTAACTCGACACAATGCATTATTACTCCTTTCACTTAAAAATAAATATATGCCAGGATCCCCGATCGCTGTCTGTCAGCAGCCAGGGTCTTAAGCTGTCCCGCGATACCCGCCGTCTGTGCACACAGGCCAGTCTTGGGCTTATATAGCCTAGCACTGCCACGCCCGTGGACAGGGCCGTGTTGCTGAATGGCTAACATGAATAATGTCACACCATGGCTTGCATTTCATCATCACTCATCTCGTATGCTTCCCCAACGTGATCGTTTACCGAAGGATGTCAGATTATTACTTTCACCACCCATCCATACATTGAGAAACGTGCAACTGTCGGCTCTCGAGTCCGGCTGTGTAACTCGGGCTGCGACAGCCCACTGCAGATGCAAACGAGTGTTGGACAGCTCTGATGCAAACAGACTGTAACCTTAACTCGATCTTGAATTCTCCACCCGGTGATCATATGGAGCCGGGTGGTGAACCTAGTTGTACCTATACCTTTCTTACGCTATCTTCTAGATACATAATCATTGCACGTATGCTATCCCTCCATCAGATAAAAGCAGCTACTCCCAGATAATACTACTCAGCCCCGACGACGAATTACTCGCCTCCCCCGGCTCTCCAACCTGCAAGCTCGCAAGCAATCTACCAAGCCTCCCACTCGACGGATCCCTCATGATAACGGCTACATTCGACGAAGCCTGGTTCCCAACCGCCAGCAGAGTCCCATTCTTGTTAATCGCGAACGTGCGCGGGACACTGCCATATGACGAGGTAATCTCGCCGAATCGCACTGTCCCGTTGGGTGACTGTACCAGCGTCGCGAGGGAGTCGTTTGGAGCAAAGCCCTGGTCATACCGGACTGAAGCGTAGAGGGAATTCCCATGCATGCGGAGTTCGGATAGCGTGGAGTTTCCTGTTAACTGTCCGCCTGGGTATGGAATGAAGGACTGGGTTTCTTTGAATACGGGACAGCCAGGTGGGTAGGAGACGGCGAATGCATTGAAATGTCCGCCTAGTTCGCTGACGGTATATAGCATGGTTACTGGAGACTTGGAGTGTGGTTCTGATCTCCAGAACAGCCCGTGTCGTGGGCCGCTGCCTGCAGTGTAGTTGACAGATGGACACGCATTCAGATGCCCCGAGGCCTTGTCAATGGCATACACCCGGACCTGGTCGGCTCCTAAATCGGGAACGAGAAGAAATGTGCCCGTTGGATCGAGGATCACCTGGTGTGGGTGCGGTGCGTCCTGTCTAGAATCGGGACCCGGTTCGGACAGTGTATAGCGGAAGACCTGCAAGGCCTCGTCATCCGGCCGTATAGGGAGTCTGAATGTGGACAGGGCAGAGCCGCCGCTGACAGCGTTAGTCCGCAATATGGTTCGAGATGGGAGGACCTACTAATGGGCAACAGCCAGGTACGTATCTCCCTCGCCGGTATAAACGGTGCTGTGCACGGCGGCCCCTACGTCGGCCACTTTGGCAAGCTCCGTCAGTCTGCCATTGCTGTCGACTGCGTATGAGCTCAATGAGCCGTTGACAATATCGTCGCCTGCGTGGTCGGAGCAGTAGAGCGTGCGCGTTGGCGAAACGAATGTCAGCCAGCTAGGATCGCCGCATGACTTCAACGATGAAGTGATTGATAGCGAGCTTCCATTGAGAGAAAGAGAGTAGATATTGCCGTCGTAGTGTGTAGCGTAGAGGTTTGTGGCAGCTGCCAGGGAAATAAAGAGAAGATGGCGAAACATGATGTGTTGGATGGAGAAAGAGGTACGAAGCTATCGCCTATATGATAATAATTAAATTAGAGGCACCTTGCGTGATAATAATTAATTGGAGACTTCTCCCCGCATTTATTCTGTTTCAGGACTGGCTGCACGTCGGCATATGGTCTCCAATAGCCGGAGATGTGCCGGCAGGGGAGCTATACTTGGAGATAGTGGCAGGCAGATTGTGAATATGTATTTAAAAGGCCGGCGACAGATAAATACTGATTAGACCTAAGAGACTACCTTTCCATCCTTACGTATGATAACCCTGCCGTCTTCACCCACCCGCCTCTTCATCGTCTCCTGTATATCAGCGGGCAAGGTCCACGCCACGTCAAGCCCAAGGTTGACAATCCATCTCCAATCTTTAAATTCGTTAGTGATATCCCCCAGCCGCACCACAACTTCGGTGGAGAAGCCCGGGGAACAAAGGCTAATATCGACATCGCGGTCTCGTTTATACCCCCTGCTGCCGTGGGTTGTGACACTCAGATACTTCAGCCGTGGCATACGCAGGGCCGCTCCTGCTAGGCTTCGAACCAGCGGGTCGTACATAGCAGGGTCTGGGTTTCTTCTCCAGGGGTAGTAGGGGATGTTGCCATTAAAGAACGCAGCGCGCTCCCCGTCTATTTCCTCGTCGTATCTCTCGGGGTTGGCCGACTCTGAGTCCGACTCTACGCCGACCCCTATCTCCAATTCATCTTCTGAGTGCAGCTCTTCAGCTTCAATTGCTGCAGGGTCCCCTGTGTAATACCATCGGCCGTCATACGTAACAATTGTCATATCCACCGCGAGCTCAGTGAGGTAGGGAAAGTCTGCATCGTCGCGCTGTCCCGAGCTCCATAGTGCGGGCGAGATCATGCATGGGCCGTCCAGATTGAGTATATGGAGGCTTGTCTGGGCTAGCTTGCGTATTGCGTGGCTCAGTACATCCCCGTCTGGGTAGGACGGGTCCTCTGCGAGCGCTATGTTAAAGGCATGGTTTCCCGGCGCAGCCTCTTTCATCGACAAGCTCAGTATCTCCAGCTTCTGCAGCGTCGGAGCCTCTAGTGCTTTGGCCAGGTCAGCCCTGTACTCCGCCCGCGACGCTTTGTAGCGGGCATGAACAGACGGCAGTGTCAAGTTTAGCTCGCGCAGATTCGGCAAAGTCAGGAATATATCTTTCAACGTGGTCGGATGGATGCGCCGGCCACCATCAATGATGAAGCTACTGACACAGTCCAACGTAGGGAGCGCCGCCTTTTGGCTATCAATGCTCAGACTGTGGTCGGGGTAAAGCCACCGATATTCCTCGCATCCTTCGTGCCATCCGTCATCGCTGTCGTACTTATCCGTATGGGACTGGGCACCTAGCTGGAGCTCGAGCAAGGGTTTCTTGTCTTTCCAGGTGGAGAGCTCGTTCCAGAGAGTTGTCACGCCTTCGTGGAACGCGCCAAGGTTGGCCTGGTGCTCCTCGCGGCGTTCCTTGCAGTAACGCCGGCAAGACGGATATGGAGGCAGAGCGACTGCATATATAAGTGAACGCAGCACTCTTCTGCGCCATGGGTGGGCGCCGATCGCGCACAGCTGGCGGTGGTCATCCCCGGATACGTAGACCCTGCCGAAGGTAAACCTCTCCACGGCGACCTGGAATGCGCGTGATATTGTTGCATAGGGAGCCAATGGCTCACCACCAATGCTCAGAATAAACAGCTGGCACGCGATGAGATCGATGATCTCGGGGCTGAGGCTGTTGAGAGAAGCGGGCATTGCGAGAATAATGTGTTGAATGCTGCGAATTCGCGAAGTTTGACAGATCAACACGCCACAATACGGAATTACCAGTATTGCCTATATTACCAGTAATACCAGTACCTTCTATTGATACAGTTTCACACTTCCACCCGAACTCCAGAGACCAGCACCGAGAGAATCCACCACAACGTTAAAGTCAATCCCATGTTCCTTGAACATCTGATGCATCTGCCAACCGTCCTCTGGTCGGACATGGCGGAAATATCGCTTGTGTGACCGGCTCAAGATGCAGCGAAGGTGAGGGAAATCCGGCAAATTCTGCATAATACTCGCGCCAAAGTCCTGAACACTCCAAGTCTCCCAGTAGAACCACCAGAGATTATCCAAGTCAAACCGCAAGACCAGATCGACGAGTGTCTTTGGCAGGATCGAGCAGTCGTCGAGGTCTACTTCGATGGTGTCGAATCCGAAAAGCAGAGTCGTCGGCACTTCGAGTGTTTGGAGACGAGAGAACTGGGCGAATATGCCATGCAGCACTGCCCTGGATTCCTCCTTCGCGAGCTCTTCATCAAGTCCCTCGTGTATGCATGGGTGGTAGTCAAGTCCAATTGAAAGCCTCTCGACGGTATCTCTGACGGACAGTAACCCCTCGGCTAGACAGTCACTGTGCTCATAGAAAGGCTGCTTTGCCCACCCGTGACATAGCCCCAGATGGAGGTTTTTCAGGTTCTTCGCGCGAGTCAGTAGAAATGGAACATCCTGCTCGGAGATCGTTGACCGGGCAAGAATAAGACTTTCCAAGTGGCTCAGATCAGGGGGGCCCGCCTTGAGCTCCTCAACATCGCGTAGCCATATTTCCAACCGATGGATAGAGGGAAGATAGAACCAGACCATGAACTGGGCACGGTTGCAGGGAGTCGAAAAGTCATCCGGCTGCTGATAGCCTTCAACATCGTGCTCGCTGTACCTTTTCACTGGACGAGGCACGTTCCCACCGTAGTCGACCACCTGAAGGGACTCGAATGATGATAGATATCTGCTACTTGAAAATACAGCATGCCTAACCAATCTTCCAGGAAACCCACCCTTCTAAACAAAAGAAAAATCGAGCTTCAAGGATTCAATGTTCCGCAGCTGAGAGATCAGCACAGCCGCAAAGGCATGGAAGTGGCCATTATGCAGAGCATCAATCCACTCTTCAGCATCGGGAAACTCGGCTGTTCTTATAATATCAGCAGCGTTTTCAGTAACGTCTTGGAAATCAGACGATTCACTCCAGTCCATGTCCTGTCCAGGATCGACCCAGCCGGCTTTATAGGGATTGGGCCATTTGGCTTTGACCGACAAAAGACTTAGACGGCGGACGGAGGATGCCAAATCTGGTCTACCAAGAATCGTTCGCAAAGGTCTTTACATATCGTGGACAGAGACAGGAAATCTTCGGATGAAAGGTAGTCCACACCAGCAATCTTGGGGCAATTCTTTGAACGGGCTCTGAATATTCATGGCTCTGAAATTCAGGTGTTGACTGTTGAGATGTCTGAGTGACAAGTTTTGATCACGGTGGCAGTGCAGCAATGACCTTGACTACTTATTACGCTAATCTGTTAGTGCCGGCAGAATTAGACAATATTGTCAAATCTGTTATGCATGTGCCATTTACTCCGTGGAGATGCTGGACTCTCTTGATTCACGCCCGACCCATATCACAATAGCCAGCAGTATCAACCATGTTCCTTCGTCGTTGCTATTGATCCCCAAGATGGTCACCGATGTCTGGCAAATAATATAGTAATGGGTCAGTCAATGGAAGCTTATCTTTCATTTGGCAGATTGTCCCACAGGAGCTGTTTGGCATCCCTGAATAGATGTTTCAATCACTCCAGGTTGCTTTGTGTCAAGTTGTAATAGACCAGGCTAGGCCAGCATTGTGCAACTGGTCCTATTCAGAACAATAGTGTCATAATGATTGTAAACAAAGGCTTCATGATACTGCTCTTCACAGCATAGATAAAGCCCATACCCTGGTAATATACACGCCTTCATAGTATTTTTAACAAGATGGAGAATTCACATACGAGAATGTGTTAGACACGAATATAAATACATCGTCAATCTACTGACATAGCATCGACAAGTACAGCTACAAACTGACAGACATACAAAAGTATATCGTCAAAATGCCAGGAACTCCAGGCTCATCCCGATCCGGACGAGCCCCATCTCGCTCTCCCTCAGGATCCCCCGCTGGACGGGGGGGGAACAAGTCATCGCCGCTCTCACAGTCCTCGCACAGCTCTGCCTCGCCATCCCCAGGCCTAGGCAGAGGCCGTTTTACAACTCCGCCTCCCTCTGTAGGGTGGGGGTTTGGTGCTCCGCGAACGCCCCCGCCTCCTCAGCATCGCGGTGGTTCGCCGATGGCTAATATCTTCGGACTGGACGGGCATAATCCTCCGACTCAGATATCAGGACCGAATCGCGGTGCCTCATCTTTATCCCCGTCGCCACGGACGGGTTCGAGCCGTGAACAGTCGGCATCTCCAAGCCCTCAGCCTGGCTACGGCCATGCAGGGGCACCCGGGCCTTGGGAATTTGCCCCGGATATTGGACTGACGCGGGACGCCAGGTACTACGGCAACTCGTATCAGCCGGTGCGTATGACAACAAGGCAACGGGGACGCGGACTGGGTTATTCTTTTGGGCGTGTGCCAACCAGCAGTCCCTCCTCGCCGACGAGCAGCTCTTCGGTCTCTGCGCCGCGAACTCCCCCTGCCCAGATGTCCAAGAGGCCTCGTGATGGTTCCACACCTCCGTCGGGTGCAGGCCCTTCAAAGGAGAAGAGGCGGTGATTCATTCTTCATGTTGCTTTCGTCTAGTTGCTGAAATCTTCAATAGAATTAATAAGGATTCTTATATGCTTCCAAGTAGACTTCACTTCTAAGTATATCGTGCGGCCTAGTACAGATTTAGATATATATTCAATGTCGCATGATCATCTGTGGTTAACAGGCATCCCCAACGGTGACCTCAGACTTCGTCCCATCACCAACACCCCCAACAGCCTCCACCAGCACCTTCTCAGTCACAATATCAAGCCGAACCTCCGTTTCGAAGCCATTCTTAGGAACAGTTCTCACCTCTTCAGAGTCTGACTGCGCCGTAACCCTCCACGACTGCACATCCGTCGCCCCATTCCAGCTCACATAAACAACCGTCCTGCCCTTCTCAGCACAAGCAACCACATCAGGAACGGTCCTGGGACGTCCAAGCCAGGGTGTTCTGTAACCCCGATACGACTGCAAAGTCTCATCATACCCAAACCGCGCCCTCATCACCAATGCACCATCCTCGTCATACTCCTCCAGTTTCGGCGTCGCACCGTGTTGAAGCAGGACATGCCCGTTGCTTAGATTCTGGTAACTACCCTGCGAATGCGCGAAAACGGGCTCCTCTGCATCCCAGAACCTCTGCACAGCTGATGCAGTGCTCTCCTTCAGATCAAGGTGCAGAATCAGACCGGTGGTGATCTTGGTGTCGCTGGTGTAACCTGCGTTTTCGTTGTCGTGTAGCTGCAGTGTGATGCTTTCGTCGGTTTGCGAGATGAAGCGCGCGTCGTGCTGGAAGCAGAAACTTGCTTCCGGGGTGAGTGTGAATGACCCGCCTTTCTGTCCCTGTTTGGTTCATTAGACTTTGATTAGGCTCTGAGTTGTTGGCTTAAGGCTACGTACGTGTAGATGCCAAGTTACGTTGCCGTGTTTGTCGATGAAGAAGAGGGTGCACATGAACCGTGAAGAGACGAGGTATGAGTCGCCGTATTTCGCTACGGAGTTGAGGTGTGGGTACTCGAATGGTGCAGTCTTGTTTTGTCCCGAATCTTCAAGAGGCAGGACGATATCTGACAATGGGACCTCGGAGAGATGTTCGACTGTGCTCCATCGGAAGAGGACCTCGTTTGTCTTGATATCGATCTCGTAGAATAGACCATCCTGCACCCAGCCGACCTTTGGCCCGCCGATTGAACTCAGGTCCATCTGGGTGATATTCACCGCTGTAACGAGGATAGTGCCGTCGTCGGTAATTTGGCTCTCGTGTATGTCGATATAGGACTCGAATGTCTGCGGGTCGGCGATGGTGGAGAATCTGTGATCCCCGGGCAGAGTAACACGGTATATCTCGTCGTAGGAATTGTTCAGGATGCTAATACCACCGAAGCCGAAGCCATCGAATAGATATCCGTTCCAGTAGGCGAGAACTGGCTCGCCGTCTAGCATCTGAGGCTGATACGCGGAGATATTCATCTGCGGTCCCCGCCAGACGAGTTGCCCGTCGTCGGCGTATATTGCGGGATATCCCGTTTCACGTAGAATATCATGGGGCGAGACGAAGAGGTAGCCAAGCTCTGTTTGTCCGTGCTTGGTGACGTTCATATATGGTGCTTGGAGGGGGGTGCTTTTGAATGACTGCAGCGGCCATTTTGCTGTCTCTTGCGCAGCAGTGACACCGACAGCAGCGAGATAAACGGCCTGTAGAGACGGCTTCATGATGTACGCCTGGTTAATATGTACGTACTATAGAATATCATTGGACTAGTCCGGGGGAAATGATCCTCTTATACTTGGCGTCCCAATCTTGGTTCTCCAAATTACAGTCTACAAGCTCACCAAGCATCGATGACCCGCGGGCTAATTCCGCCGACTCCAAATACAGGTTACTTAGACCAATAGACACTCCTCCTAATCCGCCAGTTTGGGGTAAACACGCTCAGACCTCGTCGGTGGTATCCGAGTCGTGGTACTAACCTATGAAATGCCGGGAATCCCCAACGCTATGGCAGGGCGGAAAAGTGTTTATACTGAGGGGGATACCGGTTCATCGGCAATTCATTCTAGTAGAGCCGATTGAGGGTACCCATGTCCAGCGGTGGAAGGTGCTCTCCCGCACTCTGGCTGGGAAGGGTTAGCGTAAGAGTATACTGACAGGACAGAATATCAGAGCTCAATGCAGTAAGTACAACCTACTATGCTTCCGATGGAGGAGTTCCGCTTGATTTCCGATGTACAGGTAAGTGGTTAACCGTCTGGAAGCGAGGCAGATGTTTGAATAGATGTCAATGAGTATAGACAATGAGATTTGGTTATGCTAAGACTTGAAATGCATCATGCAGGACAGTCCGAGGAAACTTGACGTTAAGCTATTCAGGAAGTCCTCACTGTATCTGAGCTTTTAATACAACAATACTCCTAAGTGTTGGAGATTGTATATAAGATTACTTTGTCGATCCTTAACCCCCGACTTATTTCAGCGCCGCCCACGCTTGGAACAACCCAGCAGCCGCTATAATAACCCCATCAACCGTAAGGCCCCTGAACAGATACCACCCCGAAGCCGACCAGGCAATAACCGAAAGCACCGAAGCCATGGCGCGGCCCAGGGGCTGCTCCAAAAGACTGGGATCCTGCGCCCATTGGAAATTCAGCAGGCCTGTCGGCGTTAGTAGAGATAGCTAGTATTGGTTCGGAGGATTACCAGCTAGTATGAGGTAGCCGCTGCCCTGGTACCAGGCGCTCATGCTGAATGTGTAGGCGACATCTGGGAGGGTTTGGAATTCACGCAAGCGCTGGAATTTTCTTCCGGAGGCCTGTGGTGGTTAGTTGGGTGGTGCAACTGTGCAAGTAGTGAGGACTGACCGCGTGCAGGAGCGAGACAATAATGGAGCCGTAGCCGGCTACTTTGAGGAGAGTAGAATCTGGCATTGTGATGTGTTGGGGAGTTGGAATAATTAATGAATAATGAAGATAATAGAGAAGTACGGGGTAACTGGAGTCAAGATCAACCGAGGTTGATTCTTAGCTTCACATGAACATGTCAACCACTTCATATATTTTATGTTAACAATAAATATAGATATCCATATCCAACATATCAGGAATATGGAAGTTAGATGTAAACTGTGTAGATGTAAAACTATATCTGTACAAGCTACGGGCGCACGCCGATACTAAGCACGAGAATTGTTTATATTATCGACTGATAAAGATAAGCCTGAAGCTGGTCAATTAAACTGGGATAATATTAGCTATCTGTTAATTTTCTGTAATTTATTATTCTTATTCTAGGTGCAAGGGACAGGTTCCCGTGGTTAAATATGCAGAATCCTAGGTAAAGCTGATTATTCTATTGAACATGGGACGTCTAGTAACGCGTTAGCCTATTATAGTGCTTGATACTTCAAATGAATTGTTGATAGGATCCATGAGTATAAATAAGCGATTGGCTTCTGTGTCCAACCCTTGTCACCTCCGCAGGCTGCAGGATATCAGCTTACTCGCTAGGATCATTGTTTAACATTCGTAAGCAAGCACGGACATAATCGCAATCTTACATTCCTGCCTTTCTCCCTGCCTGATTCCTTGCTTATCCTCGTCCCCGGCGTCGTCCTCATACGCTGACTCGCGCATGAACTCTATATGCAGAGGGGTTGGCTGATCCGGAAGCACGGCTACTGGGTTAATGAGTGCGTCTACGATACTAAACTGATATACCCGGACTAGTTACATGTCTGTGTACATTCTGGATTGCCTGCAATACCATTTGAATAGATTATTAGTTTATATACTAGGACATTATTATTTGAAAGACAGTGACTGTAAAGGGTTGTTAATACATCTGGGCATTCTCATAGTACCCCTCGAAGCGATTAAGGAGAGAGGTGATAGGACAGAAAAGCAGAACGGCAGCAGCAAGGACACTGCTTCCCCATCCATAGCCTAGTCTGTCAAACAACGCCGGGATGGTGGAAGGTAGGACTGAACCCAGGACACTTCGCAGAACCGTGCACACTGCAATGGCCCCGGGGACGTGCGGGCCAAAGTAATCCGTGAGATATTGCTGGAGGGAGACGACGACTCCGGACGATCCGACCATGGTGAGATTTGCGCCGAGGAGAGGGATTATCCAGTGCATCTTGGCTTGTGCGGACCAGCCGTACGCGAGGATTCCAACGGCGATGAGGAGGACTTCGAAGCTCATGATGGCTAGACGGTCTTGGGGCTTGCTCATGCCTCGTTTGACGGTGCGTTTTTGGAAGACGCGATCGGCCAGGCCGCCGAGAATGGTGAATCCGAATACAGCGCCGATGGTGGGACTGATGTAGCAGTATCCGATCTGGGAGGAGTCGAAGTCGTATTTGTCGCCGAATAGAATGGGCAGGTCGGACATGAGGATGTAGAATATGACGTACGCCATGCTCATCTTCAGGGCTGAGAGGATGACCACCGGGGACAGCGTTGCGAGCTTAACAGGCCGGGCGAAGGCTGTCACGAATGCGCCCCAGCGGTTCGAGCCAGAGTCTTCTGATTTGGTGGACTTTCGAAGGACGGAGGGGTCGGAGGTCTCTCTGAGGATGAACATGGCAACGAGTGTTTGGACGGCGGCCTGGTACATTAGCAAGAGTATATCAACAACGCTGCAAGAGTCTTACCACGATGGACATGGCCCAGAATGCAGACCTCCATCCAAGGCGAAGAGTCAGTTCACCTGCGACAATCGGACCTAACCAGTCAGTCACTATACGATGTCGTCGGAGTTTTATGCCTACCGATTGCACTTCCCTAATCCTAATCAGCAACTGGAAATTCACTTGAAAGATTCAAACATACCGACACCGGTGCCAAAGCCCAGATAGCTATGATCTTCCCTCGTTTCTCTGCAGAGACCAAATCGGCGATAAACCCGCCTTCCAGGACAATCGGAATGCAGCCCGCCATTCCTGTGATCACACGTGCGACCAGGAGTGTCGTTATATTAGTACTCAACGCGCCCATGGCCAGGGAAGCCATGAGCAGGATGTTGGAGATGTGCATGAGCGGACAGCGGCCCCATAGTTCGCTTGCCGGGGATACGATCAGGGGCCCGATGGCCATCCCGATGACATGGACGGAGATGAGGAACGGAATGACGGCGGGGTTTGTTATCTGGAATTCACGGACGATTTGGGATGCGCCTGGGTTGACGATGCCAGTTCCAACGGCACTGATTATGGATTAGCCTGGCTTCGGTGAACGGGTCTGTCTTGCAGAGGACTCACTCGTTGAAGACAGCAAAAGACACCACGCCTAGAATGGCAGCCTTTCTCGGAGTCGACCATGACCGTGGACTCTCCCTGTGCTCTGTGGGCTGGCGCTCCAGCAGACTCTGCGTCTCGGTGGCCTCGGGCGTAACAGTCATAGTGGCGGTGAGATGCGAGAGCTGCGCAGGAAAAAAGGCATGTCCCAGGAGATTTAAGACTTTTGAACCGAAGGAAATGGGTGGAGGATCACTAGTCAGAAGATCCTTTGCGAACATCACCAAGCCACCAGAAGAAGCAAGGGCCGCAGTGAGCCCTTGCTGAGCGAATCTCGCCACAGAATGGAGATGTCAGTCACGGCGCATGGAGCACAGCATGCCCAATCGGCCTGAATGGAGAGAGGCAATTGCCACAGCGTCGCACAGCAAAGACCGAGCTGAACGAACCTTCGATCTGGAGGAACCGAAGCAGGCGATATCGAAAGCCACTCAGCCGTGCGATCGTCGCAGCCAATCATCCCAGTGGAGCAGCAGGACAAGTTTGCAAATCAACAGGACCAGATCGCCGCATCGTGCAGGGTGATGGCCCCATGATGTCCGGATGAAGACGCCTGCATGAACTGCGCATCCACTCTGGCGGAAATCTTATACATCCACTGCAGTCGCCTAATTACCTGTCTCCCTGCTTCCCCACTGCAATAAGACATTCCTTTATTTCCACCCGACAGAGTACGTCGACTCTGGATAATACCGCACCGGATCTGGTATCCGCAAGGGATTGTTCCTCCGAGACAACGCTTTCCAACGTCGATTAACTGCATGTATTCGTCGCAGATCCTCTTGCGACAGACGCCTGGGTCCCGAATGGAAGTTCTGAGCCTGATCGGATGGCTTCTCCGGATCTTCGGACACGATCCATTCACTTGGGCGGCTCGAGGCAAACTGGACTGTGATTGATGGAGTGCCAGCAATCCGGCCTCAAGCTAGTCGGACTCTCCAGGCCATTTCTTTATAGTCGGTGATCATATAGCTCCACTCATACTGCGTGGTGCCAACCCGATAGAAAGTGTCATCCCCAGCGCTGCCAGGAAGCCTCTGGATCAGATCCTATTGGAGGAGTCACTGGTGATGACAAGACGATGCGGGGTCAAGTATGAAAGGCACGAGCCTGTCAACCGACTATACTTCTATTCGAACGACAGACTTATCGCTAGGAGTTCTATGCTCCGTTCGAACATCAACTGGCACGGCTCTCCAAGTTTGAGCTTTAACCCTTTCAGGGAATGCCTTTCATCTGGGGAAAAGGAGTGCGATGGTGTTGAAACCGCATTAACTGGATTGGATTAGTTACTTATAATGGTAGTAGAAGCAGTCATATCCTTATATTTGCCTGAATTGGCCGAAGTTCATCCACCCTCGTGGTTGTCTCATTGATTGATCAATTAATGATCGTAATGCGATTTGTAAACTTTAGATGTGAATCCTGTCCTCGTATGCTCAGGCAATTCTCAGCCTTTAGACATTAAGTTCATGGCATGTCTGACATGCGCAGCTCGTCTGCATCTGCGGCTAAATGGCACTCAATGCACTTTTATCCCCGTGTCTGTACGGAGTACCTGCTTATCGCCTTGTCTGGTATACAGAGAGTCAACATTCACGTAACACTGCATTGTGTATAATATGCTGTTGCCGTAAATATTAAGCTTGGATTAGAGCATAACTAGTAATGTCACTAACTGTGCTTGTTCTAGTTAGTTATTTTTGTGCAGATTACCTAATCCTTATGACTGTCCTGCATCTCAATTGAGTAACGAGTCTAACTGAGCTGGATCCTGATCTCAACTATTCCACTTATACCATCGACACCTCAACATGTCGGACTTATCGCACTCATGCTCGGTGTGTCGCAAGACCTTCTCGACAAAGGGCCATCTCCGGCGCCATGAATCTAGTCGTCTGTCCACTCTTCCAACCCTGCAATCAGTAGCACTAATAGGTTTAGACACCCAACCTGCCGTACACTGTCATTTCTGCGGCAGGGCGTTTACAAGAAAGTATGTTAATAAACATAGAAGGAAGGCTGCTAATGTTGTATAGGGACGTCCTGCATCGACACTACAAAACCTGTCCAAAAGCCAGAAACGAGGACATACCCAGTCGCAAACCACCCGGGCGACTGCGCAAAGCGTGCGATCGGTGTGCCACACTTCGAGTCGGCTGTAAGGGAGAGAAACCATGCTCGTTATGCCAGGAGACTGGAATGCGCTGTACTTATCAACGTTTAACAGCTGGTGTTGATACTGAAGAAAACGACTCCGACAATGCCACGGCACTACCCCTGCTAGAGAGCTTCTCCGCTCCAGAGACCCGCTCTGCTCGCAATGTAGCCCATGTTATATCCAGGTTTACGGCATCGGGCTCGCGAGGAAATATCTTGGATCCTGCCCTCCCCAGCTTGGAACTGAATGGCCCGGAGCTCTCGGCTGGGAACGAGTGGGATGCGCTGCTTAGTAGTTTCTGGAGTATTCCCTCGGAGAGTTCGGTGTCTATAGGGGAGGTCTCTACTATGACCCTGGAGACGTGCCAGGTCGCGTCTAGGCGACTCATCGAATACCTGCAGGTAGATTCTCATGGATTCAGTATAGACCGGGTGAACACATTCCTTGCTCCGGCGAATGTTCAGCAATGCATCGCCGCGTACTTTCAAATTGTGCACCCTCGGGCCCCGATTATCTATTTGCCAGGACTTGACCTGGAAACTGCTTCCATACCCTTGCTTCTGCCGATGGTGTTACTCGGTGCGGTTTGCGGCCAGTCAGACGAGCTGGCAGGCCTCGCAGCTGCTTTCTGTGATGTCGGGGAAGATTCAGTTTTTGAGAGTGTAACGTTTCAAGAGATGGTGTACAGTCCACGGAAAACAGAGTATTCACACGATAACATCTCCGACGCAGAGATCCAGTGTATCCAGGGCGCAATGTGCATGATTCTGATTCAAAAGTCTACCACTGATTTGCGGACGCAGCGGCGCATTCGAGTCCAGCGGTTTCCGGCTTTGATATCTGCTGTGCGTGCGTCGTGTCTTACTGAGGCGCGGCATCGGATTACAGGTGATTGGGATACGTTTATTCGAGAGGAAGTATGCTGTCGGTGAGTGGGATACTCCGAGAGTATGCAGTTTTATATTAACGTTGTCAGACTTATGAGTTTTATCTGCGTGCTGGACACTTACTTCGTCATGTTCTGCAATCAACCACCATGTCTCCAGCCCGTTGAGCTGTCCTTCCAACTCCCGAGTGTGTCGAGAACGGTTGATATAATGAGTGACTCGACTATTCGGGGATTCGAGATGCTTCAAGATCTCCGCCAACCACCATTGCTAAACGAGCTCAGCCAGCGAATATCTAGCAATAAGTGGCAGTCTGACCCAACTCTCATGTCGAATCTTGGAGTTTTCGACGTGTATATTCTCGGCTGTGGTACGCTCCCTTCCTATATAAGAGATATTAAACTAACAGGACAGCATTCCACCCCATCGTGTTCAACTACCACTCTAATAATACCTACATGGCAAATATGCTCCCAACCCTCGAAGCTACTCTCAGCCGATGGGAAGCCCTTTGGGAGAAACTATGTAGTTCCCATTGGAGCTCTGATGAAATGGCCCGTGCGGATATTATGATGTATGCCCCGGAGATTGTTTCTCTGGCTAGGGCGTACCTGTATATACCTATATCCAAGCGGGGCGTTATCGCGAGGGACTTTACGCTTGATCTGCGGCGAATACTGAAAGGGGGAGAGAAGCCATCATAGTCGCTTTCCTTAGCCGCGTTATTTTTACCCTGACTAGATCCGTTCTTGGTTCCTGAATAACTGGGTAGTGGACGTTTTATACACTCGAAGGCATAACCTCCGTTTAAGCTGTCCAAAGCATGAAGACAGTTGTGTCCGGACGTGCAGGGCCACGTCACCAGCTGCAGGTCAGATCAACCAAGACCGGATTAGCCAGTCAGGCCAACCCAGCCACAATGATGTGAGATTCCTCCGGTCGACGAACCGCAGCTATGCGATGCGCTGTACGGCCATGGCGCGTAGGACGAGGGGTCAGATGCCCCCACCAACAGCCATACACGATCTTCATTATCTGTTCCTGGGTTATTCTACCAGCGTCTGTGATCCGTGATGGGTTTAAAAACGCCATTAAAGCAGCCGGATTTCCCAGGTTCAAAAGTCCCGTCGCCGTCGCTATCGGCAGATGGTACTACCGCAGACTCTGGCTGCAGCAGTCATACCCTGCAGCCGGTATCTAGCACCGCTGCAGATAGCGATACGCGTGAGGATCCCTGGGCGCAAGCCTATGCGGCTCTAAACCCGGCCGTGATCGAAAAGTATGAACAGATCTTGCTTGCCCAGGACGCGAAGAGTAAGTCTGGTCAAGGTCGGTTTCTCAATTTGCAACGAGCTTCTATCTGACAGTATCTAGCGACCGTCTCACATAAGCAGCAAGAAGAGCTCTGGCAAATAGCCCAGAATAGGATATTGATCTGGTGGAGTGGAAAGAGCATATGATCCAACCTGCTTTGATGGTAACTGCCTCATCTAGTCAATTAACCATGGTGCTAATTGTTGTTTCCGCCAGGATTATCCGATGCTCGCGGCACGTCATCCGATTGTTGAATTAGCTGGCCTGGCAGGCCATCTAGCAGAAAGCATATGCCGTGTACTAACTGTATTCTTTGGAGTCACTGCTTCACAGCCACTCGTCTTTCCATGTCCTCTACCTTCTGTCCTATCCTATGCTGTTGAAATTACAATGTACGCGTTCGCTCCTTAGATACGGTGCTATGTTTCCGTGCAATACAAAGCCATCAGATGTTGGCTTCACTGTTCTGCCTCACTGCCAGAATGCCAAAACGACCGAAGCACACACACTTGAACCCAACACCACCCATGCCGCGCGCGCACTGCTCTCTCTTGTCATGAACAACGCTCGATCGAAGATGAGATGCTTCAGCCCGTTGAAGAAGTGGTACGTGAATGGCATGGAAACACCGAATTTCAGCGCTACTTTTGCTGCCGGGTGCAGGGAGCCGAATGCTGATACGACCGTGGCCGTATCGACGGGTAGACCCAGTGAAGGGCCGACCAGGTATAAAGTTGCGAATCCGTATAGACTACCAGACAGCATAATGCCGGTTGCTCGGTGCAGGATGGATGCCAGGGACTTGTATTGCCATTTGTAGATTGTAATGTGTGGGGAGACGGGGCGGTTCAGGCGTTGGGCAACAAGACGGTCATTCTTATTTTGGGGGTTGATGGTTTTGAGTTGGATAGGGGTGGTGTTGCTTGATGAGCTGGTGTCAGTCTGATACGCTCTGCTCGCTTTTGTGAGATGCGCATTCGATATAGGGAAGTATATGCAACGGGATATTCGGTGGCGCGTCGTCGCTGTATAATCCAATCCATGATTAGCTAGGATGTATGCATGATATAGCTAACTCACCTCTCAGGGCTGTGGTGGATAACATGGTGGGAAGTATACTGAAAGAAATTAAAACCTTCAGCAGTATCTACTTAAGAGACAGCCTTGACTAGTCATAAAAGGTGTACTTGGTTAGAAGGTCTGATTGTCCATACGGAGAAAACCCGCAATCCGGAGAATACCCACAGGCCCACATGCGTAAAACAGCATATTTCTAGAAACCATCCAAGGATATGTATTTACTACAATGCTTTTCCCAAGCAGTGTGCAGTGTCTACATACCCCTCATTTTATTTTCTGAACGAATATTGGCGCAGGGAATCCACCTATGATGGCTCTGTGGTCTGCGGTTGATAGCTCCAGTGGGCAAGATAATGCCGAAGAGTTCTTGCGCACCCCAAAGTAATTAGCTGGTGGCATATAAATAATCATGTCTGCTTCCCTGATTGTGAAGGTTTCCTGCGCGGATTGGCCTTGATGTTGATCGGCGGCAGAACCTTGTACTGGGCTTGCGGAAAGCCCGTTTGGCAGCTCGTTGAACAGGCATCGCTTGAGTGAGAAACCAGAGACGATTCTGGCGTGCCATTTCAACGGGTCTATTTGCCTGAAGCTTGATGGGAATAGAGCAGTCTATTTGAATCTGGGAGGTGGACACGCAGTGACTTGGATGTCTCTAGAGCACTACTAGACTGGGATTAATTTATATAACATTTATACTACAATAGATAGAACACACGAATGGTAATACCTACTGATGATCTAGTCCGCCAGGATCTCGTCAAAGTTGCCTTTCCATATCCACTTTGGACACCGTTACACTCTTTGTTTACCTGGTGGACTTGCAGTCATGAGCTCACAGACAAAGAAAGCTTAACAGCTTTAAGAGCAAAGATTGGCGTCGGACAATGAAACCACCCAGACCGCCACTTTATTCTATGGTCAATAAACGGAGGATGGAGATCGTGCTTTGTGGTTTCCCTTTATATCGTCTGGTGCTGCTATTTAATCTTACGATTCACTTCCTGGGACTACATCTAAAGCCACATATTCTTAAGCTCTATCGATTACGTTTCAATTGCAATGACCCTGTCAAGTACAATAGATGCACTCGTCATCGGCGCCAGCTGGGCCGGAATCTGGAGCCTCCACCTGCTAAAACGGCGCGGGCTGAATGCACTCCTTATCGACGCCTGCGAGGACGTCGGCGGCACATGGTGCTATACCCGCTACCCAGGGTGTCGCGTGGATACCGAGATCCCGCTGTACGAGTTCGCCGATCCGGATATATGGCGGAACTGGAGCTGGTCACAGCGGTTTCCGGAGCAAAAGGAGATCCAGGCGTATCTTGCTTGGGTGACGGATCGGTTGGAGCTGAGGGGGGATATGGTTCTTGGGACGAGGGTTCAGAGGGCGCAGTGGGATGATGGCGAGAGTATCTGGATCGTGTCTGTTTCTGGTGAGCGTGTCTACCGGACAAGATATCTCATTTTGTGTACGGGGTATTCGACCGTTCCGTATATCCCACAGTTCAAAGGGGCGGAGCTCTTCCAGAATACAGTCCATACATCTGCATGGCCTGACAAGACAGAATGGAAGAATAAACGCGTCGGTGTGATTGGGAACGCAGCAAGTGGGCTGCAGATAATCGAAACTCTAGGTCCACAGGTGTCCCAGCTCACTGTCTTCCAGAAGACGCCGAATCTTGCAACGCCCATGCAGCAGAAGCAGTACTCCGCCGAACAAATGGCGCAGATGAAGCGCGACTTTTACCCTGATATGCCTCGGCAGCGCAACTCGGTGACTGGTTTCTTTGCATCCCCGCAGCGTGCTACTTTCGATGACAGTCCTGAGGCGAGGAATGCCTTCTTCCAGTCTTTATTTGACAGAGGAGGACTGGCGTTCTGGTTCGGCGGGTATTCCGATCTCCTCACGTCGCGAGAAGCCAATATGGAAGCATACACTTTCTGGCGCGACAGCGTTCATCAGCGTGTCTTGGACCCAGCCGTCGCAGAGAAGCTTGCCCCTGCAACACCACCGCATGCCTTCGGTACGAAACGCCCATCGCTCGAGACGTCGTATTTCGAAACCTTCAACCTGCCGCACGTCGAGCTGGTCGACGTCAACGAGTGTCCGATCCAGGAAATCACCGCCCAGGGCGTGCGCACGACCAAGCTGCATGAGTTTGACCTCCTGGTTTACGCCACTGGCTTCGACGCGTTGACTGGGAGCGCCCTGGCGATTGACATTGTAGGTGTGGATGGAATCAAACTCGAGGCCAAGTGGGACGTCAGGGCGAATGGGAACGGGGTCTCGACGGCGCTGGGCTTGATGACTGCAGGGTTTCCCAATATGTTCTTTCCAATGGGCCCTCAGGCGCCGTCGGCGCTTGGACTCAGTCCGCAACTGGCTGAGATCCAGGGTGACTGGATTGCAGGTTGTATTGGATATCTGCAGTCAAGGGGGCTGAGAAGGATCGAAGCGACAGGAGAGGCAGAGGAAGAATGGAAGCGAGAGGTCATGGCTGCTGCAGAGCACACACTGTTTAGTGAGACCGACTCGTGGTATATGGGCGTCAACATCCCCAATCGCAGGAAGCAGCCTCTGTGCTATTTTGGGGGGATTGGCCGGTACATCGAGTGCATCCAGCGAGCAGCAGCAGCTGGCTATCAGGGATTCGCCATCTCGTAGCGCCTGGCCAGTGAAGAGTTCGTGTGGGCCTTTTAACTAAATTAGCCTGCAGTTTGTCTTACGATGCAGCCAATGGGACTGGTGAGGCTGAGCAGTCAACCGCATCAATTTATGTTAATATGGCATGGCAAGCCGGTAGCAATAGACATTGAGGTCCTAGCAATAGACAGAGAATTCTGCTATCACCATTCATCGAATAGTGACTGTAAAAACAACGGTGGATACGGACTGGATGGTGATTAAGTTGACAGCCTCAGCCCGTTCGAGACCGACTTCTTGATTCTTCTGCCTTTAGCTTAACTTGGCACGCCAATCTTGTCTTTTTTTGGCTGGAGTTTTCTGCATCCCTGTGCGCTGGTCCAATCAGTATTGATGCTATCCAGAAGCCCCGTCCGCCGGCGCAGCAGCGCTTCTTGGGGGCGTTTCCAAGAATAATTGACAGCACGGCGCTGAGTGATGCAGGGCCTGAGTGATAATAAATTTATTCCCCTGGGAGACGGCGTGGTCGTGGTTGTTGCCCCTTTTTCCCAGCAGACTGTTATGTATACTCTTCTACGATTCTTCGCCTTGCTATGAACTGATTTGCTGTACTCTCTCTCTCGCCTTACTACGGAGTATTGAACTGATTCTAACTTGCAGTTTGCTAGGATCATGAACAACACCAGCACCGACGGCAACTGCGGGTCCAACTCCGACACCAACGCGACGTGTCTAGGCTCGACGTACGGAGACTGCTGCTCGTCGAAAGGATACTGCGGCGAGACGTCCGCGTACTGCGCTGAAGGATGCCAGCTCGACTTTGGAGAATGCAGTGACGGAAGTGTCCAGACGATAAGCACGACAGGCAGTTGTGGCTCGACCAAGACCAGCAATGTCACTTGCTTAGGGAGTACATACGGCGACTGCTGCTCGGGCAAGGGATACTGTGGAGGGAACTCGAGCTACTGCGGATCTGAATGTCAATCGGCATTTGGCAATTGTGGTCTCGACGCTATGACTGCGAGTCCCAGTTCCAGTCCCAGTTCCAGTCCCAGTTCCAGTCCCAGTTCCAGTCCCACTGCTTCAGAAGAGGACGGGTTGAGCAGCGGTGCAATTGCGGGCATCAGTGTCGGCGCTGCGGTGGGCGGACTGGCCATAATCGCGCTGCTGGTTTTTTTCTTCATCCGGAGGAGGAAAGCAATCTCCGGTGAAGCCGAAAGGACAGACGAGAAGACAGACATCAAACAAGGCGTGTCAGAGAGGCACGAGAGACACGAGCTGAACGCGGAGCACCTGCACGAGATGGAGGCAAAGGGGCCCACACAAGCTCCTGTTGAGCTGCCGAGTCATTAGCCCTATTTTATGCTTTCATATGAGACGGTGCTAGTCCCTGCTCCTGATCATTCTTTCCCACATGGGCAATGCCTTAATTCCGACCCTCGCCCCCTCCAACGCCCACTGTTTCGCTCCGACTCAGGTCAAGCAGGCTTGTGCGGGCATCCACTTTGCAGATTCTGCACGACCAGACCCACGCTTCACTGTCGGTTTCGAGAACGAGATTCAGCCAGCCCTTGCTCCGGGCTCCTTTCATGCAAGTTCCCCGTTGGAAACGCCCGACCGACGATCTCCTGAGTCAGAATGATGGAATGATGGACGGTGGAATATTCGGGAATCGGGTACATGCATGTCGCACTGAAGAGTGTTGATGTTTATTCAGATATACAGTAGATACCTAGCACAGCATTCTATAATAATGGTGCTCTGTTTGTAGCGTTTTGAATAATGAGAGCAATCCTACAGTTGAACAGTTAAAGTTGTTTACTTAGTGGACGGGCAGTGTTTATATGGTTACCGGAGTGTACACATGCAGATATATATATCTCAACACAACTATATCACTACCCACCATCAGACAATATACTTGTCGATATATTTACAAAGAAGCCGTAGAATGAGTCTAGGTATATGAATTGAGCCATCAATTATCTATAGGCAATTTACTAAAGCAAGTCACCCTTCTACTTCGGATGCCAGGCCTGCAATACTCGTATGCCTTGCATCGCCATCATCATCGCGATCGCAGCAAGGCATGACGTAAATATCCCAGGATAATGACGACAGGTCGACCAAAGACCAAAAAGGAAGGTGGTCGATACCATTCCCTCGGTGGAACTGAATTTGGGGCCGGGGGGGATCGTCCGTGCAGATGCCCTACAAGCCGATGCAATTCGGAATTGAGCTGCACTGCTGAACAGGGGAACACTAAGGACCATCTGTCGATGTTTATGGAGTCGATACACCAAGTGGAATGCCGAATTTATGGGGAAGACTCCATCCGGATGTGATCCAGGTACTCGGGCTTCCAACGGTGGGTGTGAGAGCCGGGCTGCAGATTCGAAGGAATAGTTTATCGCGCCCCATCTGCATCCAGGCCATCACGCCCATCGACATCGTATAGCATCGCCGAGGTTGACTTGGAACGTGTGTGGCGCTAATCACTGCTATCGTGAACTATTAGGGCACTAGGGACAGCAGACCGGTCGGAGTCTCCGGCTGGCTGGTTCGCGGTCGATCGGAAAAAAACAAATATTGATATGCAAGTGCCGGCGATGGATAGTTCGCAATCTGACTGATCACGATGGGCTCGTGTTTCGATCGATTCTTCAGTTTCCAGTTCTGGTCCAGTTTTGGTTCTGCTCTGGTTCATCCCTGACGTCCTGACTCGGCGCAGAATGACTTGACACTGACAGGAACGGGACGGTTGCAGCAGCGGCACGACAGTTTCGTCATCTAATCATAAGCCAGAGTCAAAAGCTGCAGCGGAGTTGCGCTATCGAACCTTGTTGTCGTGACGATTGGACCGGTGGGCCGAGTCAGGGTAGATTTGTCACTCTTCTGCACTCAGAGAATAGGTTAGCTGTTTAATGTGTAACGGTTTATGGACTGCTCACTGTCAAACTGTTTTACTGCTTACTGATTGTTTTACTGACTGTTTTACTGTTTTACTGTTATCTCTGTTTTTGTTTACTGTTTGCCAGGAGAGTGTACTCATTCACCTGCAACGCCGGCTGTCTCGATCGTAAGCAGGTAGCTACTGGATTCATGTGGAATTACCCCTGGAGATCGCACGGCTTCCAGATGCAACCAGCCAGCCAGCCTCCAGTCACAGCGCCTTCCAGACGGCCCAACGTGGGGGACGCAGGACCAAAGGGAAGCTCGTGTGGCCCCAAACAAAACAAGCCGGGTCGATTGGGTGTTTGTCTTGCGTCAGAATTTGCAGAGTGGGTTCCAGCACCGAATGAAAGATGTTGTAGGTCAATAGTTTGGTGCTGGGACGTCTTAGCGCTGCAGATCGAGATATCCAGATATCGCCCACGAGATGGATCAGGAACACGTGTGGGCCACGGCAAGTGGAACAAATGGATTATGGATCGATGAATCGATCTCGCACGAATCACGCCCTGGACTCAGCGTCGCCGGCATCAAGAGCCATGTCATTCACGGGTGTTTCCTCATCGTGCAGCACGATCCTCGACTGGGTCTCTGCCAGACGCGACAATTGGCGATTCAGATGCGAATTGGCTGCTCTGGCAGCCTTCGATAGTGGCCTTAGTCGCGCAGATCGAGTGCGATTTGGGCCGCTTAAGAGGGCCAGCGAGCCGGCGGTGGTTCCCTGCTGGCGCTACGGAGAAGATTGGAGTTGAAGGCCCTCATAAGTCCGCGTCTCCTCCATCGCGTCGCCTGCTTCTGCTTCTGTTCTCTGGACTCGTTCTCTCTTTCTCTTTTGCCCAGAGTTCCCTCTTGTCCGCCACCGCGGCCGCAAGTTGACAAGCCGCCTTCCAACTACCCACAGTCCTTTATAAACACCAATATACTAATAATAATAATAAATCGCAATGGGGTCTGAGCTCGGCATTAACGAAGACAGCAAGCCCGAGGCTATCTACACGCCCGTGGCCATCTGGTGGGATGTCTGGGCCGTCGTCTGGTCTGCAGTCATCGGCGCTGGCATGTTCTACCTGATCAAGCGCCGCAACAACCCCATCCTGCGTGTCCGCTCTCTCTCGCTTTCGCTGTCTGCTATCGGCCTTCTCCATTTGTACTGGATTGCCTGCCAGATTGCCGTCATGATCGGGCCCATCATGCCCGGCGACGTGCAGTTCTGGGTCATGGGCACCTATCTACCCTGTGGTCTGGCCCTGTTCCACGCCTCCAACAGTTACTTCCTGCATGTTGCGAAGATGCAGAAGAAGTACGCCAAGTACAGTTTTCTTATTGATTCCACGCCTGACGCCAAGCGCCCCCACCAGGGGCCTGGCCTGATCAACCGCTTCCGCCGTCTGGACTATACTCTGAAGCTCGTCATCTTCGTGGCCATTGCCATGGTTGGACAGGTAAGCCATCTTAAACCATTGGCTTGACACTATCTAACTGATTAGATCCTCCTCACCGTCATCATGTGGGCGATTTCGCGCAAGTACCACCCCTCCTTCGGTATCCCCGGCACTGAGGTCAACGGCCCTCCCATGAAGGTCTTGACTGAACAAGGCCGTGGCTGGGAATGGTGGCCTGGTGTCTTCTGGCAGTTCTTCTGGTCGTGGATTGTCGCTCCCATCATTCTCTGGAACTCGCGCCACATCCACGACACCCAGGGCTGGCGCGTGCAGACGATTGCCTGCGCCATTGCCGGTCTCCATGCGACCCCCATGTGGCTCATCGCCCTCTACGTCCCTGCGTTCGAACCGGTCAACAAGGTCTGGGTCCCTCCCCAGTGGATCTGCCTGTCAATCATGGTCACCGAGATCTTCACCGTCCTGCTCCCCTGCTGGGAGGTCTTCCGCCAGCAGTCCCTCCGCAAGGAAACCCTCGAGGCCATCAAGCAGTGGGAAATCCGCACCAAGGGCGCCAACTCCGAGACCAAGTCGCTGGGATCCACTGCCACCATGGTCGACTCAATGATGTCCGGCTGGAAGTCCAACAGCGACTCCGTGCTCAGCGACAACAGCGCCCGTGAGAGCATCCTCAACATGAGCGCCCTGGAATACGTGCTCGAGCGCAACCCCACGCCCCTGCAGCGCTTCTCGGCCCTGAACGACTTCTCCGGCGAGAACGTCGCCTTCCTGACCTCTGTCGCCGAGTGGAAGGCCAGCCTGCCCAAGGCCATGACCGATGCTGCCGCCGGCGAACCCGACGAGGCCACCAAGGAGGCTATCCGCGAGGCCTTCAACCGCGCGCTCTACATCTACGCCGAGTTCGTCAGTGTCCACCACGCCGAGTTCCCCGTCAACATCTCCTCGCAGGACCTCAAGAAGCTCGACAACGTCTTCGAGAGCCCCGCGCTGATCCTCTACGGATCCGAGGACGCCAGCGTCGACCGTGCCACCCCCTTCGACCAGGCCATCCCGTCGCCCGCCTACTCCGAGTTCAGCGAGAGCTCGCTGGCAGCCATCAAGAACCGCGCAGAGTACGTCGGCGACATGCCGCGGGGCTTTGGCGCGTCTGTCTTCGACGACGCAGAGCACAGCATCAAGTACCTGGTGCTCACCAACACGTGGCCCAAGTTCGTCAAGAACCGCCGGTCGTCGACGGACTCGCTGGAGACGTTGCAGGATCAGGCTGTATAAACTGGACCAGACGCACTTCTCTGCGTGTGGCATGTGAAACGCCATCGATGACTCTCGGGCTCTGATCTGATCAGGACTTCACTTCTTGTATATATTTCGCCGTAGTAATAGTATTATATACCCCAGTCTCCGGACAATGCATTCACTCGTTCTACTACTATTACAGTCACTTCCTGGGATTTACTAAGATTGCCTTTAACAGTAACGCAGCTGCAGGACGCCGTCTTGGGAAGTTGGTCTCAGCTGCAGGTACGCAATAGTTAGTGTCGCAATAGTGGATTCAGAAACTCAAATCGATGTGGCCTTCCTGATACAGTTAGGCGCGACGATCTCGAGACTATTAATCTCCTGAGGTTGATGAGAACATGTGCAACCAATGTACGGACTCTGCCGAATCGCCTCGGCCTTGTAAGCGAAGGAATCGGCACTAACGGTATGGCCAGAAACCAGAATACCCCTCATTCATATCCAGTGGGATACATCAGCCGAAGAGCAGATACCACCTGTCAGTGCAGCACGGTACGTCTGGTCGACGATGTAGTTCGGGAGACGAGCGTATAGGAAGCTGTGGACAGGGCTAAGAGCGTGGTGGCTCGGTGAAGACGTAGAATGGGCGTGACAGTGATTCGAACAACTGCAGGTGCTTCTTCAGAGGCAGCATTCCCGGCCATGTTAAGCTGAGAAGAAGAGTTAGACTGCGAGACAGGCACGACAGAGTACCAGTGGTAGACCAGACCAGCCCCAAGCTGTCACAAAAGGCAAAAGGGCAAGACAAGCACAGAGATCTCCACCTGTATGAGAAGTGGCGCATTAAGCATTGAGCATCCGATTTCGCCGATATTTGAATTTGAATTTAGTCTATTGATCTACTTGATGTCTAATTCTACCGGCAGCATTGCCCGATCACACGCGGCAACGGCGCCAGCATCCTGAAATGGAGACAGTACGCCAGAGGCGAGAGCGCCATCTGCCCGGTCGCAGCATGGATCTGTCGATAGAGGCGGATTGGAAGGAAGACGAGGGTCGATCGTGTCAGGTATCATGGAACTAGGTACCTGGGAGGCAACCGAACCAGGGTTCAGTCGATGATTAGGCCCGCATGTACCCAGTGTAGCTGAGTGCAGATTGATACTGGATAGACAAGACTATGGAATCATACCTGATACCACCGAATAAATGAATCAATTGATCGTCGAATACACAGTGGCTAGAGTGTCGAAAGAACAATCCATCACGCCCTACACCACAAAGTCAGGCAGAAACCACAGAGCTGAATCGCAGGCGGCCTCTAGAGATTATAGACTAGGGTATGACTCGTGCAGGCCGACCCGTGGAACTGATCTTAATGGCTCGAACTGTCAGTAGAGATTTGGAATACATCGCCCATCGCCCCGCTGATCGCCGTGCTGCGAACCAGGCCGTGTCTGGTTTTGCTTTTCCGATCGCAGTCCGCACAGTATTTAACCATTTACCCCTGTTTCTACTTTGCAACCATCTGTTGCTGTTACTGTTACTGTGCTGTTACTGCTATTGAAATGGCAACTTCGCTGCGTTCAGCCCGCGTGCTCTTACAGTCCAAAGACGCAGTGCGATGGCGCTCAAAAGACGCAGCAGCAACAATCTTCGAGAGAAATACCGACGCCGCAGAGGACTTTTACTACTACAGTGGATTCCAGAATGCACGAAACGGACGACGACATCTCGACCTCACTGTCACGGCGCGACTGCGCGTCGACCCCCAAGCCGATATCCAACCCGAGCATGCCCGCGCTGCGTGGGCTACGCTGCAGCAGAAAAACCCCGCCCTTGCGTCCTTCGTACACGGTTCGAAACGAATATACGTTACACTAGACTTGGAGCATACGAAGAAGTGGCTGAACAAGACCTTTGTCGTGCTGCCGGATGAGGAGGAGATCACGCCGGAGCTGCTGGACAGTCTGCCCGCGACAGATATGCCGGCGATGCACTTTTTACCAGACTCGATGACGTTCGCCCTGCGGACGCCGCAGCATCTGATGGATGCGCTGGGCGCGGTTATGCTGATGAATGACTTTCTTGCGGAGATGAGCAGGGCGCTGCTAGGGGATATCGACACGCAAGACGATCAGCCAGTCGAGCTGGCGTGCAGCCTTAAAGAAGCCGCCTCTTTACCATCAGCATCAATATCACAGCGCGCTCGTCTTTGGAATATCCGCCGTCGGTGGCTGCGCAGTTACCCTACCGTGGGCGTCGTGCCGGACCAGGAGAGCCCTCAGTCAGGACTCTCTTCGTGGCACGACCTGGAGTACACACCAGCCGAGACGAAGGAGATCATTGCAAAGGCGAAGAAACACAAAATGTCGGTGACGCATGTAATCCATGCCGGAGTCGCCTTTGCAGCGAAGGAGTACGGCCCGTTTCAGCTTACTAGGAATTATAATACGATCATTCTTGTGGATATGCGCCGGCGCTTCACGGACGAGCCGGCACGGCAGCGAGACGCCCTCTCCCCGCAGCACGCGATGTGGCCGGTCTCGGTCCAGGTGACGAGTTTTTGGAAGACAGCGGAGATTTTGAAGAACGAATATCAGGAGCTCGTCAAGGACCCGGACCTGCCGGCGCTGGTTGAGCCTGTCTTTGCGGAGACGATACCCGGTGCATCTTCGTCGTGCCCGACCTTCCACAGCGCGCCGATATTTGGCAACTGTGGCCGGATTGACGACCGGCTAGAGTCCGCATATGATGGCTTCGCGGTGGACGACTTTTCGATCTCGACCGAGTGCTCGGGTGAGGAGATCGTCATGGCCGTGTGGACGTACCAGGGGAAGCTCCGGATCCGGGCCATGTTCAACGAGGGATATCACAGCGCGAAGAGCATCGAGCAGTACATGTGGCGGACGGAGGTGGCTCTCAAGGATGGGCTGGGGGTGGGCAAGGTGCACAGCTGGTGGCCATAACGACTAATGACTATTTAATGCCAGTTGATATCCATTCTCCCACGATGTGTCTCTGCCTCGGCGGGTCTTCCCTACCCCTCCAGTTCCAACTTTAAATCGATCCGATCCGATAATCACGGATACGCCCTCGGTTCATTCGGTTCTGTCCACCCTATTTTTTGGTTCTGTCTGTTCCTGGATGTGGCGCACTAACATCAATAGACTCGCGTCGATCAGAACGGCAACCAAACTTCCGGTGGACAGACCACCGCTTCTTTCAGAATTAAACTATTGATTAATAGTTATCCTAGCGTGTGACGATGCAGTGTCTATTATCCTATCTCTGCAGTGCAATGTCGTATCGCGTATTACTCTGGAATGTCTACCCCTGATACCTCCTTGCAAATCCCCAGCAACTCCTCCTGCTTCTTCACATTCGCTGCCCCCGGATGCGCTGACTCCTCGCCCCTCGTCGTGAAGAACGTCCCACTCTTGAGCTTCGCCAGACTCCCCTGTCCCGCTGCCCATTCCGCCAATGCCTTTGCCGGCTTGTCCATCCCCCCAGGCGCCATACTGCCGCCCATCTTCGTCCGCACCCAGCCCGGATGCATACTGACAATCTGGATGTCATCGCCCCAGCGCCGCGCGAATGCATTCGCCAGCATCACGTCATGCAGTTTGCTGTTCCCGTACGAGTGTGATTGCGTTGCGTTGCGCAGGCTCTCGTCTCCGCCATAGTGGCTGTCCGAGCTCATATACAGGAGTCTCTCGGTCGGCCGCTTCATCTTGCAGGTCAGGATATACGGCGCGAGTGTGTTGACCGCAAACACGGCAGAGATTTTATCAGCCGTGATCTCCGTGCTCGAGGTCCCGCCGTATCCGATCCCGGCGTTGTGGATGACCGTGTCGAAGGGCTCGGGTGCTAGTTTGTTGGCTTCGTCTGCGAGCTTCTTTGTCTCGGCTATCGAGCTGAGGTCACCGACTAGCACGGCTTCGGCTTTGGGGACGGCCTTGTGTGCTGAGGCTGCGCGGTCTGCGTTGCGGGCGTGCAGGACCACTGAGTGGCCCTGGTCGGCGAGGAGCTTTGCGGCGGCTTGGCCGATGCCATCGCTGGAGCCGGTGATGAATATTCGCGTCATGGTCTTTAGTACTGTCATGTATTCTATGATTGTAGAGTGAAGAGTCTGGTTCCAGTTAGGACGTGGCTGCTGTTATGTGCGTTGTGTGCTGTGATGTCATGCTTTCTAAGGAATGACGTCAACTATACATGATCAAAGATTAACTAACTGTTAACTATTTATGTTGAATAGAGAAGAATGGTATTATCAGACAGGATTTGTATTTCTGGATTGAATGCCGGGTTTCCTGTTTGGGTAGTCCGGCCTGAGAAAGGGAAACCTGCGCTCCTCTATTGTATATGGGAGAGACAAGCTTTAATTCATGCACTTTACAGCGCTCACTGCCATGTTAACCCCACAATTGGGTTAAAAACGTGGCCCGGGATTTCCTAAGTCGGTTGCTTTGCGGTCCCTGGCCTGAAGCCGGAACTTCCTGATCGAGTATACAGGAGTGTAAACACATTGAAGAAATATCTTATAATGGCTTGATAATGGCTTGATCTGCTCAATGAACGATAGCTTGTGTGATCAGTCAAGGAACGAGCATCCCGATTCGCTTTATAAATCACCTGTTGCAGAACGTCCTGTCTGGTATGTAGCAGGATCAAGAGGCTAAGCTTCATTTATTCTGCTGTGCGATGTATACATAACAGATCTGTGAGATTTTATTCTTCTACAGCCCCATCTGATAAGAGGCACCGGTAATTGACGTTCGCATGTAAAGCTGAATGTAAGGCCCCGACAATAAGAGTCGGATGCATTTGTAGAAAGCTTCCTGCTCTTGACCATTCCAGGTATCGCATTAAATATACAAGGTACATGGTAGTATTTAAACATCCAGTGGTACTGATTAGACCGTCTAAGGGTGGACTGTCGGTGAACAACCGGACATGCCCGGCACGCACAACGCCGGCCAAGCTGCATTCTCCAACCTCCACCCCGACTTCCCCTGACTTTGCCGGCCTTTCAAGATGTCCCTGTCTATCGACCAAACAGGTCCTAGGCCAAGAAGCGGCCAAAATGCTGCCGAAGATAAGCCCCGCAAGGCGTGCAGTCAGTCCCTCCTTCTCCTTCGTGGCCCGTGCACATCGGTCGCAGGTTCAAGATGTAACTAGTATACAGTCAATTGCAGACGCCAGAAGATGAAATGCGTCGTCGAAGGTAACAATATCTGTCGCCGCTGTCGCCGCTCAGGGGTGCCCTGTATCTTCCTGCCGCGAGCCAACGCAGCGACTCTGCCGGAGAGCGTGATGGCTCTGCAGGACGACGAGTTCAAGGCGGATGTTTTGCATAGACTCGAGGTTATTGAGGAGAGAATTGGTCTCTCCGGGGCGAAGTCTGAGCTGCAGGGTGCGGATTCTGCTGAGGCTGATGGCACCAGGGAGTTATCACCAGAGTCTGAGGGTTTAGGATCTCTCTGGGAGGCAGTGGCAGTGCTGCAGAGAAGTGTTCCTCAGTCTGTTCCCTCGATCTGGCGTGGAGATATAGTAAAAGAGCTCTGGCTGTCGTAAGTGTACGCAACCATAACATGCCTCTAACTAATACGGCGCAGGTTCCACGACAGAATGCCTGGATTGCATTTCATGCCGCACAAACAGACCTTTTCTGCGCCTCATCCAATACTCCTGGCCTCGATACTATATTGCTCCAGCGTTCGAGGGCCGGCAGATGTTGCAGAACTGGCACCGCACTACTTCACGGTCCTGTGCAACGCCATTGCCCAGATATGCATCCCCAATAGCGAGATGGGCAGGACACCTGACGACACAGAGGAATGGGCGTTTCAAACCGTCTTGGGGATAATTCTGGCTGGACTCCTCAATGAAGCGACGGTCCGCGAGACTGGGATCTGGATCTCTATAGCATACCGCCTTATCCTGGAACACTCTCCGGCACATATCGACGAGCCATCTCGAAAATGGCGCAAGCTGTTCAGCGGTATTCAGATTATTGACCTCGAGCATGCCTCGCTCCATCTTTCCTGTCCTGTTATTCCTATTGAGGCGCCCCTGCCTGGTCTGCGCACTCCCCATCGAGATCAACTACACAGACTGACTCGGATGATGCATACCGGCTTAACTCATTTCGCAGGAAGGGGACTGCCGACAATATGGTCCTCCTTTACGACTGATGTCTCAGCGGTGAGCTTGACAAGCGGTTTCACCCCAGTCGACACGGCGGTGATGAGGGATTGGGCTCGCCAGCTGGATGAATGGCTCGTCGAGTTCACGCAGAGCGCAGAGGGATCGGAACAAGATCTCAAGCTTGTCTTTCGACAGTATGTCCTTCACCGGCTGGTCGTTTTGTCCATATACCACCCAGTGAGAGGATGCAATATGTGGTCGAACAGCATCACACTGAAGGAACAGTACGAGCTGCTTCTTTCGGCCCGTGCGACGCTTAAACTACATTCTCATGATGGTTCGATCTGGTCGAATTGGGACCAGGTTATTATCACCTGGGCGGCGCTTATTATCATCCAGGGTATTGAGGGAGGGAGTGGCGAGCCAGATGGTATGTTATCACGTATAGCGAGTGCCACGACTAATGAATACAGATCTCCCAAGTATACGAGTGCATCTTCAAATGCTCAAGCGAATGACAGGCCCAAAGCCCAGTCTGCGGGACGTTCTCGTCGCCCGGCTGGAATCGAGTCTGACTACGATACAGGTCCGCGAGTCTGCAAGTCTGCCGCAGAATGTCTATGGGAATCTCGCTATGATGGCACCGATGGACCAGTCGTGGCAGCTGTTCGACCAATCCAGTCTGCAGCAGATGTATTCGGACTGGATGCCTCAATAAGTTATCAGGGACCGTAACAACATAATCTCCGCGCTCCACCTCTCTATCTACCAGTAAGCCAGTGATCAGTGCCTGATCCAGTGAGAAGCCCGGCAAAGTCCGGCAAACAGTCTCACGTCTCGGACTTCCCCCGTTCTCCCAGACAGCTGGTTCTGTTATTGGAGGAATATATAATCACCGTGGACAGATCGGCGATCACAATTCCGTTGGCTGTTGCGAGCTACCTGTTTAGGCTATGTCGTCTGGAAACAGAATAAATACTTCACTACTTTATAATATACTACTTCTCCTTCGCCCTAGCAATCTTATCCTTGTACTGTCTGCCCCAACAGTGCAATAAGGGCTGTTTCCGGCGCCCAGCTAACCATCACAACAGGTACGGTTTTTATATTATGTTAAACTAGAGAATAAAAATTTACTGTATAGACTATACCGGTACAAAAATAATTCTCCACTTGGCCAGGTATCGGATTGAATGAAGTCTAAGGTAAGGTGTAGCCGCCGTCCACAATGATGTTTGCACCGGTCATGTAGCAGCAGGACTCACTGGCAAGAAAGACATATACCTAGAAAAACAGTATATTAGCTAGGGAAAAGCTGAAATAGCAAAATTTAAACCTACCCCCTTCAATTCGGCAGGGTCGCAAATTCGTCCTGCCGGAATCATGGCCAACCACTTTTCAAAAAGCTCCTTGGGTTGCTGGGTGAGCACTATGAGAAGGGTAATCGCAGTCAGTAAAACTAATATCTGTGCCAATGCAGGCACTGGACTCACTTTTTGTCATGATGAACCCAGGTGAGATACAATTCACCCGCGCAAACCCCGTCCATTCAACAGCCAGACTCTTCGCCAAATGCACGACTGCGGCCTTGGAGGCATTATAGGCAGCCTGTGTCTGCGGAATATTGACAAGAACTGAGCTGACCGAAGCAGTGATAATCAGATTACCCCTGCCCTGTTTCTTAAAGATTTTCCCCGCGGCCTGCGCCGTCCACATCACCCCGTCATAGTTAACGCGGTTGTCTCTCGCCCACGATTCCTCATCATACTCTAAATTAGGGCAGTTCGTGCAAGTGCCAGCGTTCGCGACCACGATGTCAATGCGGCCACCACCAAACTCTCTGGCGACATGATTAATGGTTTCCGCAATCTCACTGCGCGATGCAACATTTGATTGGTATGCCTTCACCCGCTGTCCGGTCTTTTCCGCTACCTGGGCAGCAGCTTCGTGGGCATCGCTGCTTGATGTATAGAGTAGAGCCACATCGGCTCCGGCCTCTGCGAGCCCCTGTACAACTTCTAGTCCGATTCCGCGAGCACCGCCAGTGACGGCTGCAATCTTGCCCTTCAGGGAGAATTGGCTGAGCACGTGGGCGTTTGGGTCGAGGGGTTGATAGAGAGGCATAGTCCAAATCTGTGAGGAGGGCTATTGGAGAAGGATGTGAAAATGAATATGTTCAATGATTTCCAAGCTGATGCTGGGCCGATGGCAAGTCTAAATATTTAAACGGGTGCTTCTAATCGTCGGGAAAAAAGAACAACCCCTACAACAGTAAAATTAAACACAACGAAGAAGGCTGATCCTAGAAGGCCAGAACTTTCCCATACCATTGTGGCAGACACATCGATCCACAATACGGCATCATGGATATATTTCCGACTTCCTATTATGGGAAGAAAATGGCGAGATTCGGCGCGGAGTTTGTGCGAGGCCAAGACCCGCAGGAGCCAGACAGTATCTGCACGACAATGCCATCCATGTAAATAAAAAACATGATTGGCTTGCGCAGATATGTATAGTTACATCGGGTACACAAGCTAATCCCCAACACAGAAATTTGGTTGCTACGTAAGGAGCAATGAACTTGAATATGAACAAGTGTATTCATACAGTACTAAGCTGTCGTAAAGATAGATACAAGTTTTAATATTCACCATAACCCTGTCTTTCAAGCTTACAACAATTTCTCAACACCAGAAATCATGACCTTGAAAACATCCTGCCTCCCTTGTTTAACCAGCTCGAATGCTTCCTCAGCTTCCTCAAATGCATAACGATTGGTAATCAATGGCTTAACATCAATCTGGCCTTTGGATATCAAGTCAATCGCCCCCGGATAGCAGCCTGGAAGGTACCGAATAGACCCCTTGACTGTCAAGCCCCGAGTGCAAATAGCAGTAATTGGAACCACGACCCCTTCCTTACCCATACCAGCCTGCACGAACGTCGCTCCCGGCTTAGCAACAAGAACTCCTAACTGGATACATGCCTCTGAACCAGAGCACTCTAGGACAACGTCTGGACCGTCGCCAAGCTGAAACTGTTGCTTAAGTTCTTGTGCAACCTTTTCTGCGTGTTCTAGTGGATCTTGACCTGGCTCTGCCCGGGGAGGAATGAAGGTGTAGTCAGCTCCATAAGACTGGGCAATATCAAGCCTAGCCTGGACTATATCGATCCCGATAACAGTTTTGGCGTTGTATGCTTTAGCAACAGCCTGGCACAGGACACCGATAGGTCCGCATCCCAGCACCAGAACGGTCTGGTGAGCGCGCAGGTCCGCGGTCTTTGCAATAGCACAAGCAACCGAGACCGGTTCCACCATTGCTGCTTCTTCAAGAGACAACGAGTCCGGTACTTTGTAACAGAAGTCTGCGGCGTTAATATAGTACTTTGCAAGTGTCCCGTCCCAGGGCGGAGTCGCAGCAAATCTCATATCGCTGCAGAGATGATATGAGCCCTTGCGGCAATATTCGCATCGCCGGCAGGGGACACCAGGCTCCATTGCGACCCGGTCACCGACCTTCAGGTGAGACACTTGGGCCCCTGTCTCGACGACGACTCCAGATGACTCGTGTCCGAGAACCATTGGGCCAGTCAGTTTATAGTCGCCGATGCGACCGCGCTGCCAGCTGGAAATAGTCAGATATCGCAGGATTAGCCATTGGGTAGTCGGATCATACTAATGGACCTAGGCAGGGGAACTGTTAGTCGAAAAGACTTTTCGAAACTGTGCTGGACACTTACATCGCTTCCACAAATCCCTGTCTGGGCGACCTGGACCACCACATCGTATGGATCTTTGAGCTCGGGTTTGGGGCGATCCTCGATCACCACGCTCTTGATAGATTGAAGGACAAAGGAGGGATTCTGCTATAGTTAGTAGATGGAAACCGGATGGCCTACGGTAGACATACCTCCATGGTATAGGATGTAGGGCAAGAGAATTCAACCGTGTGGAATATATTAGGACCTTTTCTTTATTCATGACAACTGCCTCGCCATTTATACACTTCCTGACGAATTGGCGAGTTTGAAATGGCCTTGGTATTCCTCGAGCTCGCTGCGCAGGAAATTGCGTTCTGTCACAGTAGGTCTCGCCGAATAATTACCATTTTCGGAAGGTCGCGTATATTCCCATTTTGGGCGTTTTCCAGCAAACAAGATGAATATATGTTCTATATAGATTTAAAAGCCCACAAAATTCCGGATAGCCACTCGTCACGCATCCATTCTATTCCCTGTCCGTTGCACTGTTTTCGTCTTTCAATCTGCAATAGTCTTTCAAAATGCCGCCCCCCGTCCCCGCGGAAGATCGCCTCGCCGATCTCTTTTCACTAGCAGGAAAGGTGGTCGTGATAACCGGTTCCTCTGGCCCCCGCGGTATTGGGTTCGAAGCAGCACGAGGCTGCGCAGAGCTGGGTGCCACCGTCGCGATCACATACAACACACGCGAGAAAGAAGCCAAACAGAACGCGGAACAACTCGGACAGGAATTCAACGTCGACGCCCGGGCTTACCGGTGCGATGTTACCAGCGACACTTCTGTCCAGAACTTAATCCAATCGGTGCTTCGTGACTTTGGCCAAATCGACGCCTTTATCGCGAACGCAGGGCAGACGGCAAACTCGGGCGTACTGGATGGTACACTTGACGACTGGAGGGATATTGTCGACGTTAATCTACATAGCGCCGCTCGCTGTGCCAAGTTTGTCGGAGAGCACTTCAGACAGTGCGGTAGGGGCTCCTTTGTCCTGACTGCGTCGATGTCCGGGCATATTGCGAACTTTCCGCAAGAACAGACTTCGTATAATGTTGCAAAGGCTGGGTGTATCCATTTTGCAAAGTCGCTCGCGAACGAGTGGAGGGATTTTGCTAGAGTCAACGCTATTTCGCCTGGGTATATTGATACCGGGCTATCGGACTTTATCTCTGAGGACACCAAGCAGTTGTGGAATTCGATGATTCCAGTGGGAAGGCCGGGCGTCGCAAAGGAGTTGAAGGCAGCTTATGTGTATTTGATTAGCGATGCCAGCAGTTACACTACGGGTGCTGATATTGTTGTAGATGGAGGGTATTGTGTTCGCTAGCCTTGGAACTTGTATCTAGTCGGGAATAGGAAATTCTATCTAAGAGCTTTAGAAACCGTAGAGCTACATAAGCGTGCACATTTATCAGATCACCATCGTGGCTGACGTAGTTGACTACATCTACGAGACAATAGGGATTACCCGGCGCCAAAGTTGCTATCTACATCCCAGTAGCGTACGGACCAGGTGAACCTACGGACAATGCACTTGGCTTCCATGACTTCGTCCTGAAGCCGCAGTCGTGGGGCGTGTGGTGCCAGAGGCATTGGCCAAGGAAACAACTGTGCTGGGGCAATGAGAGTTGCTTGGATGTATGAAGATGTTTTGCTGGCACAGTAAACTGTATTTATTCCATCTGGTATTGTTGCCTGCCTTCGGGCTTCAGCGAGTACGAAATGTCTATAACTTCATAAAGACAATAACGCCGCTACATAACCGGCTTAGCAATCACATTCAACTTGGTCGGATTCGAGGTAATCCGTTCAAACTGGCCAAAGTTCTCCTTAACCCCCCCATCTGGCAGCCTCCACTCAAACGCCATCACCAAAGCCGCTATCGCAACACTCACTTCCATATACGCCAAGTTGCGGCCAATACAGGCCCTTGTCCCTGTTGTGAATGGCATCACATAGTCCTTGAGGTTGCGCCGCTCCTCATCAGAAAAGTCCTCGTTCCCCGCAATCCACCGCTCGGGGATATACTCCCGTGGGCGTGAGAATAGGTCCGGGTTCAGGTGCAGCTCGCTTAGAGGCGAGGAGACGGTAACGTCTGCGGCGATGTGATGGCCGGATACTACCGATTGCTCCACGGTGCGGCGAGGGAGGCCAAAGCGCTGGGGGACCATGAGGCGGAAGGTTTCGTCGAGGACAGCGCGGAGATAGGGGATCTGGGCGAGGGTTGAGTAGGGGGCTACAGGTCTGGACGATTTGGGGATACTGGACACTAAGGTATCTCGCAGCTTGGTTTGGATATGCGGATGGGTTCCCAGGAGGAGGATGTTGTTAGTTAGGGTTGTCTGGGTGGTGTCGTTCCCTGTTGCTAGCCTGTCAGTATGACAACGTTTCGACAATGACAGAATGTTACGGACCGGCGTTCAGCATCACATTGCTTTCAGCAACAATCTCCCACATCGGCAGCGGAGGCCGACCCTTCACATCGTTCTCTGTGGGGAACTGAGAGAAGATATCCGGCTCTGCAGGCGATGCCTTGAGGCGTCGGTTCACTCTGTGCCGGGCCATCTGCGGAAAATCCCCCATCAGCTTCACAATATCGGTGGCATAGGAACGACAACACAACATACATTCCCAAAATCCGCAGACGCAACGGCGAGGTTCGAGTTCTTCGTCACAAACCGCAACGCTTTGTACGCAAAGAGCGGCAGGTGGGCGCCAAACACTGTAAACCAAACACCAGTCTGGAAGGACTCCATCGCACGCACTTTCTTCTTCTCCCCTGTCGCCGACTCGGCAATGCAAACGTCGTCGCCCTGATCCAGAAACCCAAAGCTATCTGACCACATCATCGAGCTGATGGCATCGTACGTAAACATGTTGAACCAGGGGCGCACATCGAAGCTCCCATCCGCACGCACAGGGAATCGATCAGTCTCAGCTACCTTCTGCCCGCGCGTCTTCAGCTCCAAACAGCGCAGCAGTTTCCGCACGCACTCGGCAACCCGCGGCTCAAGCATCCCCACGTTCTTCGCCGAGAAGATGGACGCAAAGTACTTTCTCTTCCGTGCGTGGTCCGCGCGGTCTGTCGAGTCAGCCATGTTGGGCGTGTCGCCGGCCATGTGGCTATAGAATTCATCCTTGATGATACTAGACCGGTGGCCGTAGATGTCTTTGTAGGCGTCTGGGTCTGTGAAGGAGAGGTGGTTGGGGGAGATCCGCACCACGGGGCCGAGGCGTGCGTGTGCCTTTTCGATGGCCGTCCACCGCACCCCGTACCAGCTGTAGTACATTACCCATAGAGGCGTGAAGGCGGCGATGCCGAGGGGGCCGGCTGCCGGATACCTTCGGAGGTCCTTTCTGTCGCGGAGGTATATGAATGCCGGGGTAAGGAGAGCGAGAAGGAGGGCTGCAAGCCCTATGTGCGGTATGTGGTCTGGAGAACAGGTTAGGGAGGTGGTAAATGGAGGCCATTTGGGCGTTTACCAGATAGTAGCCCGACGGTCAATAGAGCCATGATTCACGATTATAGTTGATACAGGAATCAGACGTTGAACAGAGGCAAAGATTGTGGGATAGTTACAGACAACCAACCCCTTTATAACTGCTGCAATACTGAATACTGCGCATGACTCTAGATTCTCGCCCCAGCATCTGCTACAAACATCGTGGAAGGCGAACAGCGACCAGCAAGTTCGGTCGAGTCGGAAAGACATACCAAGAAAGGAAATAATTCGGGGTTGCAGATATTGGAGGTGGGTCGCTGGAGATATAGAGAAGTCAACCAACGACATTAAATACAGTCTTATTCTAAGATTGTCCAGTTAGGCAGGACTCTCTGCGACGTTTACCCACCGCGGCCGCGACCCGTCCCAAATGCCCCTCAGGCGAGCACAGCTTGTCTGGTTCGGCCAGCCAGTTTCCTCCCAGAGTGCAAGTAGCATGCGCAGGATAAGGCCTTGCTCCGCTTTCCCTGTGACAAACTGCGCGCTCCAGGCGACGAGGTGGCTACCGTTGATCTTGACTCCGCAGTCGCTGGCCGAGAGAGTCACGCCGCAGAGCCAGCGTGTTGGCGTGGCGATTTTCTGCTGCGGTTGGGTTTAGCTTCAGTAGGAGCAATAGTAGGAGGAGCAAACTACCTCCAATAGCCTTGTTAAATTGAATACGTTGGATTCCGAGCCAATCGTAGGAGAGTAGACCGCAAGCATGATTTGCGCCGCGTAGAAAAATTGCCATGCGACGTCTGGGTAGCGTCAGCGACGAAACGAATAGGTTTACTGGCGGACTTACAGTGCCACGACGCTAGATAGCGCACGTCCGGAAAGGTATCGCTCTCGTCAAACTTGACATACCAGGGCTGAAAGGACGGCGGAAGATGCTGTCTCCAGTCCGAGATGGCCTGCTCCAGCCGCTTAACCCTCGCAGCGGAATCTGCAGGGGAGCTCGGTGTGCCCCAGACGGCCGTGCATAGCTCCGCAATGAGATACGTCATGATGTTAGTATACGCCTCGTCCGTCAGGTTGACATCCTTGGCCGCATATTCCATGTTCAGAATCTGCAGGCGGCCCAGCTCGAATGGCGACGGGCGCTCCAGCATAAACGAGACACGGATGCTACCGCGTAGATATGCCCAGAAGGCTGTACTTGACAGGTTCTGGTCGAATATTGACCACTCATCGAACTCTGATTCAAAAAGCGTGGAGCTGCCATATAGATGGTGCTGGCGGTCTTCACCAAGTTCAAGGAACTGCTCGGTCATGCGGAGCAGGACGGTCGTTGCGAGGATGGAGCCTAGCGGGTGACTTTGCTGGCAGGTGGTAAGCAGTGGGGTTAGCAGTCTAAGGGTCCGATCGTGCAGGGTTTCCTTGACGGGAGCTGCGATGCGGCCGTGAAGGTACAGCACCTGAGACGCATAGGCAAGGCATGCAGAGAGGAGTGCGGTCTCCGTAGCGGCCAGCTGGGGGACGTGGAGACCGAAGAAGCGGTTTGGGGATACAATGTCCAGCTGCCCAGATGGGTATATCAGCGCCGATATCTTGCCTTTCTGGTCTGGGCAGTCTTACCCATGGCCCGGCGGTTTGGAGGTAGAAGCTGTATATGCTGGCCTCGGTTTGATCGGCTATCACGCTCGGGGCAGTTCCAATCAGCGTGCTGGGGAAACAGACTGGTGGGAGTGGATCTTGTCCAAACGTGTCCGGAAACGCCACTGCAGTGCTGGCGGAGGGGTCCGGCACCTGAGGGCTCGTCAGTGGTGTGGAAGAATCAAAGGCCCCCTGGACCTGGCTCGGCTCAAAGATGGTCTCGCCGCTGGCATGAGGGCTAGGGCTGCTGGCAGGCTCGGACGGAGGGTCTCTCTGGGTGTCCTCGTGCGCATTTGATTTCGGGGTTGCTGGCTCCTGGCGGGGAGACGAATGCTGGTCTGACGGCCAGCCGGAGGGTTCGCTTTCCTCGACCTGTGCGGGGATACACGTTCGGAACTTGAATCGCACAGGCTCATAGCTGCATTGCATCAGGTACCGGGACTTGGTGCAGTTGGTGCACGAGGGCGCCACCCGGTCACACTTCAGGTGGCGCTCGCGGCACGGGTTGCAGGATCTGTTGTACGGGTTCCGGGGCATTGTATCTGCGGATGTTATGCACTGTATCGCGGAGGTTATGGATGGCACTCCGAGATATAATCAGGTCTGGCATCTGTCGTCCGGGGGGTGGGGAGAGTCGTTGATTGCGGGGAGTCTGGGGATGTCGGCGAGAAATCTCCCCTTCCGGTATCGGCCGACTCTATACTCCACACTGCAACATACCCCAGCATGTCTCCAGAATCGCGCCTTAAACCGGTATAAATGGGATGCCATCGCTTATGCCTCATGCTTCCGTATCGTATTACATACTTATTTGCAACCTTCCATCATCCAGCGATGGAGGCAGTCCCCCCTTCCAAAGACGAAGCGAGCCAGGAGAGCCGGCATGTCGAGGCCCTCCCTACAGACTTCAAGTCCCGCAGGTACCTAGGTGGCCTGCGTGGACAGCCCTTGGTCAGAGCCATCACACTCGCAGGCGCCATCGGATTCCTACTTTTCGGCTACGATCAGGGCGTCCTCAGCGTGAGTAGCCCGGTATCTCCAGCTGTCCGCCTCCTAATGCGTTTTAGGGTATAAACACCGCTCAGGACTTCCTCGATACCTTCGACAGACCGAGCTCGAGCGTCCTCGGCACAATCAACGCGATATACGAAATTGGCTGCTTTGCCGGTGCAATCAACGTCTTCTTCGTCGGAGAGATACTGGGCCGCAAGAGGTGCATGTACGTTGGCGCGGCGCTGATGCTGGCAGGCGCAGCGCTGCAGGCAGCGTCATTTGGCACACCGCAGATGATCGTTGGCCGCGTTGTGTGGTATGCTCCCCTTGTCTCGATTGATGTTTTTGAGTCTCCGGGTGAGTCGAAGCTGACGGACAGCAGTGGCTGGGGCAATGGATTTAATACAGCAATCACGCCCCTCTGGGTATCGGAGCTGAGTCCTGCAAAGTCTCGCGGCCGCCTGGTCTCCGTCGAGGGTAATTTAATAGCCGGCGGTGTCGTTGTTGCTTACTTCTTCAACATAGGCATGTCCTATCTCAGTCCCTATAACCCCGTGCAGTGGCGGCTGCCGATTGCATTTCAGGCGCTCTTTATCGTGCTCCAGGTATTTCTTGTATTCTTCCTCCCCGAGTCGCCGCGGTGGCTCGCGAAACGTGAGTATCCTGCTTCTGGACCTGAGTGAATATACCCCATAACGATATATCTGCAGGAGGTCGCCACGAGGAAGCTCTCGATATTCTCACTCAACTATCCAGTAAAACATTATGCGATGGACTTGGCGAAGCTCGGAAGCTGAAGGCAGATATTGACCGATCTCTTGTGGGTATATTCACTCTTGATAGCGCAGTTCTGGCCGTTGATAAAGATTCAGGCCTTTGAGGAAAGTGGTGGCTCCTCCAAGTTTCGCGAGGTCTTCACCAGCGGTCCCTTGAAGATTGGCCGGAGATATCTGCTTGCCTGTGGCCTACAATCCATGCAGCAACTTTCAGGCATCAATGTGTTAGTAAGACGAACCTACTAAGCAGGACTTATAGCTACGTTTAGTGACTCTCCTTAGGTGTATTATTTCCCACACATTCTGACGACGGATGTTGGATTCGAGGAGAAGCCGTCGCTATATATCTCTGCTGGCCTTGCCCTGACGTACTGGGTGTTTTCTCTCATTCCAGTCTTCTGCCTCGACCAGATGACCAGACGCCAGCCTTTGATATGGGGCTCGGTGATCTGCAGCATCAGCTTTCTCCTAGTATGTAAACGCGAGAAATGGACACTGCATATAATATACATATATAAAAGCTGACACAGAATAGGCAGGGGTTCTACAAAAAGACATTACAACAGTCAAAGCCAAAGCGTCCATGACGTGGTTCTTGTATGCTATCCCCTTCCCTTCTCGTCTCCTCTTGTTTCGACCTTTCTGACCATTCAAAGTGTCTTCGAAGCTGCCTTCGGTGTTGGCTGGGTCCCCATCCCCTGGCTTTATTCACCCGAGATAATGCCCCTGCGACACCGATCCCACTGCGCGGCATTGTCGACGGCGAGCAACTGGATATTCAACTACATGATCGTCCAGATAACGCCAGTTGCGATCTCCAACATCCGGTGGAAGACATATATGATTTTCTTCGTATTGAACCTGGTATTCGCGGCTACGATCTTTCTCTTCTACCCCGAGACTAGTGGGCGCTCACTCGAAGACATTGATGACATCTTCATGGGCGAGAACGATAAGCTCTTTGTTGTCGATACGACGGGCCGACTTCGTCCTGGGTTTCGAAGTCAGTATAAGCGAGGGCTCCCGGTGGATAGCGAGGGGCACGTTGATAACTAAATGTGTCTATCGTTGTTCTATGGCTAGGGGCGGGTTGGTTGGTATTTAAATGGTACAATATATAAGATACTGCATCCCTTCTCGTAGGGATACCAAGAGTATATATATATATCTTGCAATTGGAGAAGGATGACAGGATTGGTCCAGTATATCGGTTATCCCGAGTCACTCAGTTAAAATTTTTTCTTGCCAGACAGGGAGCTGAATACTAAGACGGAAAACAATATCGCAATGAAAGCTATGCTGAGTGTCAACTAGCATATCAGCCTGAAAGGACTAGGTGAATCTTACCATATATCAAGTTCATTTAGAAATAGAGGGCTTGGACTATAACAGGTGTGAGTTCACATGGCAATCCTCTTTTATTAGAAGGTGCTTTTACACTGCTAAATTAGTATATATTTAACCTCAGCCGCCTGATTATACGCTTGTTCTAACCAGCAGCCTCAGCCATTTGGGGGGCGGTGAGGTCATATCTGATCAATATATCATAGATTCATGATAAGGTCGATGCAGCGAGATTTAGGGCCATCCTTGCCACTATACCAGGATGATCGACCGGGAGGATCAGATGTTAGATGGAGAATCCCATTATCACCGTGGACAGATCAGCGATCACAATTCCGTTGGCTGTTGCTAGTTACCTGTTCAGGTGTATGTCCTTGGAAATGCTTAACTTTATGATATACTACTCCTCCTTCGCCCTAGCAATCTTATCCTTATACTGTCTCTGCCCCAACACCCACCAAACGAGAATCAAAACCGGAATCCCACCGACAACCACACAGGTATAGTTCATATTCTGCACCGTCACGGGCATGTTATACGGGAAACTGAAAAAGACAATTGCAAACACCAGCCAGCCCACAGCAACACCATTCACCAGCCATCCCCATTTCCCCATATGGAAGACGCCCCTGTGCATGTTTGCCCGGCCCGTCAGCATGTTTGTTAATATCGGGATTAGGTAGGCGACGTTGTTGATTGTCACGGCGGCGCCGAGCATGCTGTTGAATGCGGTGCTGCTGCCGAGGTAGAGACAGCCCAGGGCGGCAATGACGGCTGCGACGAGGAGTTGGGCGTTGAAGGGGATGCCGAAGCGCTTGCTGACGTGTGCCCAGGTGTCGGAGAAGGGCATGGCTCTGTCGCGGGCAAAGGCCCAGAGGACGCGCGAGGTGGAGAGTTGGGAGGAGACGACGCAGGGGCCCAGAGCGATGAAGAGAATGAAGGTGAGTCCGAATGCGCCCCCGACGGACTGGGTGACCTGCCGGAAGAGCTCGGTGAGAGGGAGGCCAGTGTTTGTGTCGGACAGGGCGGCGAAGTCTTGCACGCTGAACATCAGGGCGATCAGGTAGCTGAGGCCGGTGGTGAAGGCTATCGTCAGGGTGATGCAGATTGCCAGCGGGGCGTTGCGAGAGGGCTGTTCATTAGATTTATAGAAATTTATAGACCTGCAGGACGGGTAGACACTCACGTTGGGCATCTCTTCTGTGATATGCGTGACTCCATCCAGTCCTCCCAATGCATACAGGGGGTTGACGAGGCCGGTGATGAAGCAGATGACATTACTGTCCCAGCCAGTGTTGTTGATAAATGTCCTGAATACGAAATCCTTGCTCTGATATATCGGTGCACACGCGACGACCGTAACGAGGACGACGAACCAGCCGATCTGGAGGTAGAACAGCGAGAACCTGTTGAGCGCTGGGATAGCCCTGTTCCCGAACAGGACCATAGAAGCCGTCAGAATGTTCAGGACCTGGTAGATGATAAACGTCTCCCACGTTTTGATTGGATCTGACGGATGGTATAGAGAATAGAGTGCTTGCACTGTCATCGTCAGTGGTCAAGAATGTGCAGTTGCAGCATTCCACATACCGATCTGGGCGAAGATCAGGTTGGTCGACGCGGTGGTAAATATCCCTGCAACACGTTAGCTCGGGGGCCGTTAATAATATTATCCTCGAATAAATACAGCCAGCTACGGTCATCCAGCCGGTGATGAAGCTCAGAAAGGCACTCAGCTTCTTGGGCGCAATGGCAGCGATCCAGTGGTACATGCCCCCCTCGGTTGGATAGCTGGAGACGAACTCGGCCAGCGAGGCCCCGAGGAAGGACTGCATCATCGTGACGAGGATGAAGCCGTAGATAATCGCACTTGGGCCGCCGGCGTTGATTTCAGTAACAATGCTGAGTCCCAGGCCGGTCCAGGAGATGGTCGTGGTAGACGCCAGCCCGATCAGCGACAGGATGCTAAAGTGGCGCTTCAGCTCTTGAGTATGGCCTGACTTGCTCATTAATTACAGGCTACATTGCGTTCAGTCCACGTACCCATCTGCGCCAAACGCAGCTCGTCGGCATCCATGCCGGTCGCATCGCTGGCTTTGGGGTGTGTTGAGCTGAAGTCGGCCATTTTCACGCGTCGACTGAATGGAAAAGGGGCTGCTCGTGTAACAGTTGGGATGGCGGGCGGTGATATGGACGTGATATGGACGTGATATGAACCACGGTTACCAGCCGTCGCGTGGTCATTTCCTGCATTCTTTGCTTCTCCAAATATGCAAGAAGATAAGCAGTCCGGACTACGCCGGACTTTGCCGGTTTAGTTGGAGAATCTAGACTAGATAGTTTAGTTAGTTACCTGTCTCTCCACGATTTGGCCAAACTCCGGCGGGGTTGGCCGAGGTTAATAGTAATAGGGGTACTTAGTACTTCAGGACTAGGAAACCTCATCTGTATTTGTTGCAGCTGTCAAGATGAAGTCCATTTGGTTGCAGCTATTGTGTGCCAGTCTCGTGCACTCAGTGCAATTAAGCCACCATGCACAGACCCTCTTCGACGAGTCAATGACGCTGCAGGACGCCATCTACGATCCGTCGGCCTCGTACTTGCGTTACTTTTACTTTCCACTCGCTGCTGGTCCGCACGAGACCCGGTCGTCCATCTGGTACTCGGTGGGATTGCTGCAGCGCAACCTCGACAACGACGCCGATGAGGCTGTAAAGATACTCAAGAATGTCATTGGCGATCAGGAAAAGAATAAATCAGCCCAGTGGTACGGCGACTATACCAAGTATCCTGAGGAACCAACAGTGGGCAGTCCGGCGTACCCTGCAGAGGTAGGTTACCAACTCCTGCTGCTATGATCACCGCTAAGGAAGCAGATATACGGTTCCTGGGATCCCAACTGGCGGGGCTTTATTGGTACTGCCTTGATAATTATTTATGAGGAGTTCCGGAGGCTCTTGCCTGTAGACCTGCAGGACTTGATACTCGAAAGCCTGCATAATAATACAATAGGTGACAGCTACCGTGTCGGAGGAGTCGATGGTGACAACCTCTATCCAGGGTATTCCAATGCCTGGTTAATGAGAACTGTGGTCGGCTCATGGACCGGGAGGAAATTGAACGATGCCAACATGACTGCTGCTGGAGAGGCAGATGCAGTCGACTTCCTGGATCTGTTTGACCGTAACCACACCCTCTCTGAGTTCAACGGCCCAACTTATGCCGGAGTATCCATATCCGCGCTCACAATCGCGGCGAAATATCTGGGATCTACGAACTCGACCATCGGACGGAATGCAGCCCGCGTTATTCGGCAGATATGGGAATACGAGTCTCAGCTCTGGAACCCGAGCATGCGGAACGTCGCTGGTCCGTGGGATCGCACGTACGGCTACGATATGAACCATTATGTGTCAATCTTGTCAATCTGGATGTGGACGCTCATCGGAAAGGAGAACGTGTGGACGAATACATCTCCGATCTGGACTATGACCCATGCTGATGACTTTGAGGTTGCGCCAGTAATCGCTGTATTGTCCGATTTCCACAAAACGCTCATTCCAGACAAGATACTTTCGAAGCTCAGCTCATTTGCTGGAGATCATATGTATACAGGACATGCTTACGCGCCTCCAGCGGACCTTGAACCGCGCAATATCACCACGTGGGTGTCATCGAATATCTCCATCGGCACACAGTCTTTCAATCAGAGTGTCATCGGGGGATTTTCTGAGGACTCAAGCTCGTTCAGTCCGGCCGTTGTTCAATGGACACGATCTGACGAGTCCGTCGGATACTTGAGCTTGTATCCCACCGAGACTGCATTGAAAGCTGATGTAGCTCCGTACGCTCTTAACCTCAGCTACCCGCTTGGAAACTCTTCGAGTACATTTACGTTTGCGCTCGCGGCCAACCCGCTGGGGAAAGGCCGAGATATCACTGGCTTCGACGATGTGGATGGCGTCAAGATCGAGGTTGTTGGTGGCACTGTCGACCCGACTCCCCGGATATCGTTCTGCGGCTTATTGGGGGGTGCCTGCGAGCCTATTCAGTGAGTATTGACTTGATTTTCTATCCACAGTTCACTAATTATGGCAGTAACTTTGAATTCTGGAATATTACATTTGTTATGCCGCCGGGTAGCTCTGAGGTCCCCGAAGTCCAGTTCAGATTTGAGCAATAGTCATCTTTGAGTAAATGTCTATTCACACATTACCTTCCTGTTTATCCGTTTAATGACATGCCAGGAATATTTGGAAGCTCGGTTTCCTTCTCAACTGGAGGATGATTACTCTTTCCAACAGTTACGAATACGTTGCACTGAGAATCCTGGGAAATAAGAAATCACCCCAAGCTAGCTGCTATACTCTGATATTAAACCCAAGAAACTATACATGTCTTCACTCAAAAGCCGTGCTCCAATCTCGCAAGAACCGCCATCTGGTTTTATCCTTGAGCTCTGTTTCTTCCCATCCATTAACCTTTGCTGGGAAAAGGTTCATGGTGTCTTGTAGAGTTACGTCGTGTGCCAGCACAAGCAGCACATTAGGTGCCGCATCAAATGGCATCATCTTTTTGATACTCTGTCCAGTTTCCTCGGGCGATTCCGACATACTGAACCCGTTCTCTAGGACACCAACTTCGTAGAATGGACAACTGTGATATAACGGTCCCTTGGGGTGTATCTTCTGCAAGCAGGTACTGGCAATTGACACCGGTATAACATCCAAGTCTTTCTCGTGCGGTTGGATCTCTGATGGAAGCGGCAGGAACTCAGACGGACGCATTTGACCCGCGTGATGGCAGGTGTCTGCACCCATAAGAACGAAACTGTCGTCTTCGGAGGCCGTGCCGTTGGCTGTCGTCCTGGCAAGACCGCAGACGTGGCCGATGTCGTGGCCAGGGACATCGAGCAAGTAGAAAGACCCATCGCCGAAATAGTCAAATGCACGAAATTCACCAATTTGTAGATGAAATCTGTCCTGCGTAATTTCAACCAGTTTCCGACCCTGGTAGTCGGCCTCGAAGAGCGAACTCTTCTGGTTTGCAGGGTATCCTGGCAGCCTGGCCCCTGGCGCTCCAGGGCCGAAAACCAAGTCGACGCTCGGGGGGAAAGTTGATGGGTCCCCAGTATGGTCCGCGTGGCAATGGCTTTCACAGTTAGAGAGGTGGACGAGCTGTCAGAGTATTTGCGCACCTCCAGATTATGGCTTCAATCGAGGTGAGGTCTACACTGTTGTCCTGCAATATTTCCGCAACATCCTTCTCGACATCAATTACAAAGTTCTCCCGGAAGCCCTTCCAGAAAGGACTGGAAAGCTCGTTGGCATCCTTCCGGACCCCGAGATCAAAAACGACCTTCTGCTGGGTAATGGGATGCTCGATCAAAAAGGTGAATGCATTTGCAACTAGGCGATCCATGTTGCCCAGCCTAGGTTTGAGGAAGAAATCGGCGGGGCCATCGATTGTCACCGTCGTGTCTATGACATAGACATTGACGCTTTGGGAAGATTGTGGGATGTTGAGCGGGGGTATCTGGCGCGTCATTTTCAATCGTGGTATCGTGGTTATTTGATGTCGTGGAAATATATATCCAACGCGGGGAACATCTTGTCAGTTTCTTGGCTTATTTGTCCTCGGGTTTGGCCGTCTGCCATCTGCCGTCTGGACTCCGCACCCGTGACATCCAGAACTAACAGTGGGCAGTGTAGTGCCCCTTCTGTGTTTGTTGTGCCTTCCCAATGCGGCAGCCCCACTACTGAGCCGTGAGTGGTCGGGCGGACGGGAGGGTCGTCCCGCATCGGCTGCTTACCTAACATTCCCAATCGGGGTAGTTATGATGGTTGGAACAACTCCAGTTTACCCGCAAGACTATGTAGGCGGTACAAGTTATGTGTAACTTGTTTTCAGGTAATCGAATAGAAAATTCACCCGTCAGGTTATTTTAATCAAGGGTTCGTTTATAGACGGTCTGGGCTGTGTTACACAATGACATCTATCTTCCACCTGCATACCTGAATGCAGCGGCGCTCCACATTCGCATTTGTTTGGTAATGGGGCTCTCTGTCCGCTCTCACATTGAGTATTCTCATGGATAAGGACGGATGGGTAAAAAGGATAGGTAGTGTTGGAATGTCGCAGTCTTCGCAGTAGCTACTACTTTACCCGTTGCAATAGACGTTGAAGTGCTGCCATTGCACCGGAAGTAGCTTGGCTAACAATTGGGACCACTCCTACCATACAATCAGCGTAGTAAAGAGGTCACTAGGGTGTCATTACTTATGAAAACAGCGAGTGCAGACGGTTTCCATGCTCTTAAACACTCATATCAACTGCAACCGTGACTGTAAACAGGGTTGATGTTAGGGTTACCACGGGTATACGCTTCGTACTGAGATGGCGATGTAAGGTCTCAATATCGAGTGTTATAAAAGCCTCATTCAACATGACTACCCGAAGCAATTGACACTGGAGATAACGTGTTCGATATCCAGCTCCAAACCAAACAAATCTTTGACAACCGAGTTAATCTTCAATACCACAAAATGTCTTGTTCATCGTTCCCAACTGCCTATGAGCCCGAGGCGGCCATCGTTCGCGACCTCCGGGACTATATCTTTCGGTCATACCAGAGAGCCAGGGCGTTCAACTTCGCCATCGCTTCTGCACGTGCCAGAGAAAACGGCGGCCAGGAAGATATGAATCTGGAAGGAATCTTTGATCTTAATGACTACCTGCGGTTCTGTGACAAGTTGCTCAAGTGGGCGCCGGACGTCTCTAGTCCCGGAGATGCGCTGCTTCGCAAGATTCTCGTTTTCTACTGGGTGTTTGAACAGCCGTCTGTCCGAAACCTCCAGACGCCCCTGTTGCCCGAGACATCGAACACGGATCTGTCATGGATTTCCTACTGGCTTGTGGGTTTTGCACGAGAGATCGGACACTGGATGGATACGCCGGAATCTGCCGACCATGTCGAGTCCTTTTACAACAATCCTATCTATAATAAGGATATCGAGCTCTACAAGCAACCAGAAAGCGGAACATGGGGGTCATTCAACGAGTTCTTCTCGCGTAAATGGGCAGACATCAACGTCGCCCGTCCGATAGCTGGGGCAGCCAACGATTCGGTCATCGTGCACGGCGCCGACTCCATGTTTGGTGGCTCGTGGGACATCGAAGACGGGTTTGTCAATATTGAGAACCAAGCTATTACGGCCAAGGGTATCAAGTGGCCTGTCAGCGAGCTTCTTCAGCGCCTGGGTCCGGACTTCGATAATGGCAGCCTGATGCACGCGTTCCTGTCGCCGCACGACTACCACCGCCAGCATGCCCCTGTGAGTGGCAAGGTTATCGAGGTGAAGAATATTCAGGACCAGGTGTACCTCCAAGTGACCAAGAAGCGAGACGGCAACCGCCTTGCGCCTGACCGAGGACTTACTCGTGAGGCGACAGAGGTAACCCGAAGACACCATAAGAAGAAGGTTGAGCTTCGATCGCTAGACGCCCCAGATGACGCAGGCTACCAGTGGTGCCAGACCCGAGGCCTGATAGTCATCGACACTGTCACCTATGGCAAGGTTGCCGTCCTGCCAATCGGCATGGCCCAGGTCTCGTCCGTGGTGATGAGCGTCAAGAAGGGAGACACCGTGCAGAAAGGAGATGAAATCTCGTACTTCCTGTTTGGGGGCTCGGATATCGTCATAGTATTTGAAAAAAGAGTCAGGTTCCGTGACGATCTCGAGGTAAACAAGACAAAGATCAACGTGAGAGACAAGTTGGCTACCTTTCCGCCACTCCCCTGACTCTTATAAGTGATGGGAATTAGTATGTGTAAACAAATGAATGGTTTATTTGTTCCGAGTATATGTCCATATGAAGTTTCTGATACTGAATATCGACCCGACCTATGTAATATAAGAGCAGAGGAAAGGCCAAGCAGGATTCCATCCAGCCCCCAAGGATAGTCCAATACGTCCAAAAGCGTCCGACCACCAAGTGTGTAAGGATAGGAAGGGCCAGCCCACGGTGGGGAGCTGAAGTGGATGTTGATGTGGTGGAGATGCTCGAAAAGGCCATCCATATCATCCAGTAAACTGATATGCCGCCAATCGGAGTCTGAATTAAACGACGGTGACAGATCGCGGGAACAATCCAGGTCCAGGTCTTCGTGCTGCTGGGCTGGATCTACACCAGTATAGGACTTAAGGGACGTGATAGCCCCTCCACCGGGCCCACGAGACAACACGAAAGCATTGCCACCACATCCAACCGGGGCGCTGATCCATGTAGATAGGGCAGACCCAACCATATTCTTCAGTCCTGTCGAAGTGTCCCGAAGGGCTGCTGGTATAAAGCCATTCGTGTTGACTGCTATTCCAGCAATTGATCAACGACTTCAAGGATATAATTCAGATTGCCTCTGATGATGTCACTTCCATGAACGGCAGTAAATCCAAGCGGTCTCTTCTAGCTCGCCAAGAATGCTTGGACGTCGCAGACGTAGAGCAATGTATTGAGGACCTTGGAGAAATTATTGAGGATCCTAGCTAGATCCTAGGAGACAAGCGGTCCTTCAAGGTTCGTCATGAATATCCGGGTGCGTCCCGTTGGAGAGTGATTGTTAATATCTTGAACCAGGCTGCTGGAAAGAAGAGACAGAACCCCCTGCCTACAGTGATAGCGAGCAGCAGGGCCTCTGCAGTGCTTTCAGAAGCGTATGTCGATTTCCCAAAAAGGCCCCGTCCGTAACATGGCACTAATAACTGGAATAGTTCGTCATGGTGCATCAGGCACTTTTGAATACTGTCATCGGCAAGCACGGCCTGCTGAGCTTGACTCCCTTCACCCAACCGATTGGGCAAGTGCTCCGGGTTTTGGAGGGAGGTGTTGACGCGCTTGCCTTTGGTATAATTGACAGTGTGCCAACCTGTGGACAGGAAGCCACTAAGAACAAGAACAGTCTAGACATGACTCTTACAGAGGCCCAGGACACGTACAGTCAGTGAGCGCGCTCACTACAATTTGCCAGGGGATGGCTTCTCCAACTTCTCGTCTTTAATTTCGACGGGCAGAGTAAATAAAGGGTGGCCGGGGGTCTGTCATGGATGTAATAATAGTTACTTTGAAAACATCGTCGCGTTATAATGACCTGGTCAGATATCAATTAATCCATTTCTCTATCTAAGTGCCTCCCAAGCCTCTGTTCTACCTAGTCTTGGCTATGGGATCTCCAGTCTATCGTGGAAATCATTAAACCAGAATTAGTAGATCATGACAGACAGTAGTGTGTTCTGTGATAATGGGGATTCCGGCTTGGTCACACCAGCGGTTTGAGAACACTCAGCCGGCGTGGTTGCTCCTTACATTAACCACCCTTGATGGTGCCCTCGTGGAATTGCATGATTGATAGGTTTAACGAATATTATAGCCAGCGCGTGTCCAAAATCGAGTTGGTCTGCTGGACAACGCGAGTGGCAGTCTAGCCTGTTCCGGCGCAGAATTGGTCTTTGGTGGCGTGGATGATATCAGTCCGCGCTTGTGGCTTTGAAAGTTACTCGGATCATTTCGAAGATTCGCAGCATGTTCGTCATGTATTATTTGGTTCCCGGGTTTTTGAGGATGTGAAGTATTGAAAGAGTAGCATATGGCTTTCTCCAGCCGCTCCACGAAGGGAGTATCGACAACGTTACTTGTATACGCTAGATCTAATGGCACCTTTCGTCTCGTCTAAAAAGGCTACTCGTCTCTGCATAACCGCAGACAGAGACAGTTTTGACAGTAGCTTTCTGCACAGCTGGAGTCTTGAAGGGTTTGACGTTCGATACTTGCCGCTGGTCAAGGACAAGAAAGCTTTTATCCACGACCTCGAGGGCATAAAGACGGGACTAAGTGTCAGTGAATCATATGCCATCATAAGTGTGTACCATAATCCTTTAAAGCAAATTGGTCGCTAATTCTGGCAGGTTTCGGCGAGGCCGCCGCGGTCTGTCTGGAGCATTTTCTCCATTCACCGAATACCAGTAAGCTCTGCGCACTGATAGCTTACTATCCAACAAGGATCATAGACCCGGAGCTTGCCTACCCGTCGTCAGTTCGTGTCATGGTTCACTTTGCTGCGCAGGATGTCACTGTGGTATATCCATCCAGTGGGAGGGCGCATAAGAGCCAGAGCGAAGTTAGACGTATCACTTCGGCAATGGGCACAGGAGACCGGCTCAGCGTCGCATACCAGGCGTACGTGTACAATGGCTCTCTACCAGATTTCGCAGAGACGGACTCGAAGCATTATAGTCACATATCAGCACAGCTGGCGTGGAGTCGGTCGCTGAAGGCTCTGCAGCTGGCATTCCATAGAGAGGTTGATTTGGAGGCCGTATGGGATGAGGAACAGGAAGGTATGCTACCTCACCATATTACGTGTTCAGTTGTTAATAATCGTTCCGATCAGCTAGGTACTTTTCGTCCAAGCCCGGCAGTTCGATAGGCTGCTATACAGGCGACAAGACACCTGCTGTTAAGTTCCAACCAACGGCACAGGGTGCGGCAGGTGCAACAGATCTTCGCCGCTTCTATGAAAGGAACTTTGGTGGAAATGCGCCGGCTTCGATGCGCCTGAGACTTATCTCCCGTACCACCGGCGCCGACAGAGTGGTTGACGAGCTGTACATGAGTTTCAAGCACAGCCAGGAAATGCCATGGATCCTACCGGGCGTCGCCCCGACAGACAAACAAGTGGAGGTTGTGCTTATCAGCATTGCACAGTTTATCGGTGGCAAAATATCTTCTGAGAATGTTTACTGGGATCAAGCGAGCGTGCTTTGCCAGGTTGGTCTGCTTGATCCGGGCCTGGTCCCGCAGGGAATTCAAGGAGTCCAGCGAATTCCCGTTACTGGCAGGGAGGAGGCGAGAGCGGTATTATCTAGTAAAGGCTGACTTGATAGGATATGAAAATGATAACAGAAGACATGCGTTGTACATGGAGTATCACCGTAAACACTCGAATCACGGATGATAGCCTGGATTGAAATTGCTATATACACAGCCCAACTCGTCATACGGCGTACTGGAACAACAGGCATGAAAATTAGTAGGAACAGGCCGGAGGCGGCCAGAGGATAAAGCTAGACCAAGGCCATCATGGTTAGTTACTGGGCGACTGCGTTAGTTATGTACCCCCAATCATGGATGCGAAACTCACAGCAGCTGGAGGGTTAAATCTCCATGTATCTTCGCCTTGAGCTGGACCTCGATGTCCAGGTTCAAGTCCAGTCGTAGCCTCAATTGCTCCTCCTTTCCCTTGTCCTCCTCACTGGACTGTCCACCAAGAGCACTGCCCAAAGCTTTCCCTGCCGTGTTTCCAACTTCACCCACGGCCTTCCCGCCGACGTCCTGTGCAAGCTCTCCAACTTGGCCGACCGTTTGTCCAACATCATCCAGGCGGGCAAGCTGCTGACCAGACTGATCCTGCTTGTTTCTACTCCAGACTTCTGGGGGTGCGTTTCTCTCACGATCAAGCGCGACAGTCCGTCTTGGACGATAGTGTCGTTTGGGAGGTTCAGGTTCCGGCTCAAGCTCTGGCTCTGGCTCTGGAGAACCGACTTCTTCAGTTGGTGGTGATTCTGGCAGAGGCTCGTCATCGTCCTCGTCCTCTTCTGGTTGATCCTCCTCAGCTGTCACTTCGCCAGACTCTCCATCATCCGTGCTTTCATCTTCGGCGTCCTCCTGGGTTTTGTCTTGGGGGGCATCCTCGTCGATGGGGTCATTGGCAGGGGTGTCATTTGCCTTTGTATCTTTCTGATCTCTTACAGAGTCGTCTGCTGGCTCGGCGGGTGGTTTTCTGAGCTTAGGGGGCCTGCGCTTGGCCGCGGGGGTGGGCGAGGCATTCCCGGTAGGCGCATCCTGCGTAGGATTTTTTTTTGGATTCAGCGACATTTGGGATGCAATAATTGCGGAGACTCAACTCTTAGGTGATGGTATACTCTCCAGGTGTGACTATATTTACATAGACTACCCACTCTAAGTGAACCACGACCCAGCGAATAGTTGCAACTAACTATGGCCTGCTGTTGTAGTATTGATGTCAAGGCTGGGAGTTCTGATAGGTTAGACGGTAAACCACAAACAATGGGACGGCAAGAGACGCCGTCTAAAGTTGGCATCTATCAATATTCGCCTGCGCCGCTTTTGGACTGGTCTCAGCCACCTCCACGTAACTGCTACAACTCGGAAAAGTGGTATTGGATGGGAAAGCCGGGTAGAGATGCCGGCAGGTCGTTTACAACGCATCATTATATTGTCAGTTTGGGATGTCGGTATGGTTAGGGCGTCATAGCTTCTTTGATAAACGTAGACGCGTGGTCGTCTTGGTCAGAACGGTACCGACAACACTTCCAGTGGTGAGCCAGGCTTACGAGCTGGGTTTACACGCAGAAGGGGCGAGGACTTATCTTATTCAGCTGATTGAACCGTCCTACTGTGCGCAGAAATCGGGGACGGAGGCCCCAGCGTAGTTGCACATCTTGCAAATATCTTAACAGCACTAGAACTCCCTACTCGTGGCATAGCCCTACAGTGAATATGGCTAGTAAAGCATCGCGAGAAGCTGACGAGAATGATGTCTACACAATGGATTCGGATGATGAACAAGAACGCGCACCCCAGCGCCAGCCAAAGCCAGCGAAACCAGCGAAGCCAACGAAAGTGCGACAAAAGCCGCGGCGTCAGCAACAGAAGAGCAACGTTGTCTCAGAGGACAATGCTCAAGATGAGGCCAAAGCAGTGCAACCATACGAACGGAACAGGTCGACACAACTCTCCAACCAGGAAGCGTCGCCGACACAGGCTCGTGGGCGTATACAGAAACACGCAGCACGACAGGAAGAGCAAGTACAGAAAAAGGAAAAGGACGAGGATAGTGGGCTCAAACTCCGACTGGATTTGAACCTCGACATCGAGGTTGACCTGAAAGCTAGCATACGCGGTGATTTGACGCTGGCATTGCTGTGGGTTTGGCCTGATAGCCCTTTGCATTAAGAGGCCGTGGCTAATTTTCTGCAGCTCCTAATATCATTATACGGAGGAGTGTCTCCCTGATACCAGCGTTTGCTAGGCACGTTAGAAAGGAGTATGACGATATGAAAATTATTTTGATTGGTGGGATTTACTCATGTATATGCGCGCAGCTCATGAGATGCGCCGGTCCCCTTTTCCGTGGCAGATGGTTGATCGGATGTTATATGTACGTCAGACATAGATACCAAGTACCAGCATGCCAGAACTAGTATGTAAGACCGCCGTCCAAAACAGTTTATGCGATGTAGATACTCCCCGCGATATTCGACCAGAATCATGGCTCGCCCAGACTTGCTCTCCTAAACTTGCCTAATCCGTCGACTTTTGCACAAGCCGCGTGGTCTCTTTGGATCTGGAACCCTCCGCTTCCCGTATCACCTGTAAGATGACCTTGTTCAAGCAGGGTGGCAACGACTGTGCACATGCAACTGGATCCCTGGTTGTTTATTCTCGGGCTGTCACCCGCCTGTCATATACTGCCCTCGGCAGGTACCGATTGGCGTGCATGCAGCCACCGTCGTAGAGTTCTGCCATGCGCCCCCGCGACAAACTGACGCAGAGGTGATGGGACGAACATCGTCATGGCGATGGCGAGATCTCGATGATCGGGAGTCGTCGGTCACCTTACTATTTATCGCAGTACTGTGCGGATTACCGTACTATGATGGTGGCGCGTTGATATACTGCACCTAAGACACCAAGTGAATACATAACCGATCGCATAAAAGATATCACTATATAAAACGCAACTCCTGTATATACAACCAAACAATGGCGTCTCCAGCACGTCCAAAAGCGAAACCCCTGGGTAAAGACCCGTCGGCGCCGAAGATTGCCACACAGAAGACCTCCCAGGCCAAACCTACACCACCGAAGCTCAAGGAGCAAAGACAGAAGCAGGTTCCTGAAGTTCAGAAGCTTCCGACAGATGCATCCGGGTCGGGCTCTGAGCTGAGTTCACTTCCCAGCCGCGGAAAGGCAGCAGCTGCGTCTCCATCCGGAGGCCTTGCAAAAGGAGTCAAGGATAAAGCAAGGGTAGCTAAAGATCAGAAGCCACAAGACAGTATCAAGGCTACCAAAGACGCAACGAAAAAGGCGGACCTACCTCAGACTGACGATATTCCGAGCGAGAAGGTTCAAGATACTCTTCAAACGGCCAAAGACAAAGCAGCTACCGACGATGTACCCCAAGCCGGCGAGGTTCCGGAGGCGCCGGATATCTCAAATAATGTTCCATTAGACCTATCTAGCTTGGACGGGCTTGAAGTTGGTGAAGGTGGACAGATACTGGATAGCGAGGGAAACCCTATTGGCGAAGTCGTCGAAGGAGATCCAGAAGACCTCGTCGGTCAGACGGTCAACGCCAATGGAGAAATCGTCGACGAGGATGGGGACCTCATCGGCCGAGTTGATCTTATCCAGCAAGAGGCAGGAGCACTCAAAGATCAAGCCCAAGAGGCCGAGCTGCCAGAGGCGGAGGTTCCTACGGGTGAGGAAGTGACTGACGAAGTCCCAGACGAGCTGGAAGAGCAGGCTGAACCGGGAGAGGGAGTATCTCTCGGTGTAGACGAAGTGCCTGATTTGGAACAAGAATTGCCCGACATATCAACGCTGGAAGGGCTGACATGCAATAAAATCGGCAGCATTGTCACGGCAGATGGGACTCCTGTAGGCGAGCTCCTCGAAGGCGACCCCAAGAAGCTCTCACGGGGGGCATTTCAACTTGACAGTCAAGGCCAATTCTGGGATAATCAAGGACATGTCATTGGCAAGGCCAAACCGATAGAACTTGAAGAAGAACAGCCCGGGTTGTTTGCAGACACAGGAGACATCTTTGTGGCGGAAGATAGCTGGATCCAAGACGAGAACGGGAGAAAGGTGGGCAAGCTGGTCGAAGGAGATCCAAAACGACTCATTGGATACGCCGTGGATGACGATGGCGATATCCTTGACAAACGAGGCAACACGATCGGACGCGCAGAGCCCTGGGAAGAGCCAGAGGTTGAGCCGGAAGAGGTGGATTTCTCGTCCGTGGAAGGTCTGAAGCCAAACAAGCATGGGAATGTAATGGGCCCTGATCAAGTACCGATTGCTCGTGTGGTGGAAGGCGACCTGAAGGAGGTTGCTGGTCGAGGCATCAACAAGAATGGCCAAATCCTTAATGATGACGGAGAGGTTATTGGGCAAGTACAGCTCATTCCCATGGGTGAGATAGAATGCATGGGTCCGTTCAGTGGCCTGGGAGAGCTGTTTGTCAAAGAGTCTGGATACATTGAGGACGCTGACGGGGAGGTGGTGGGCAGGATCGTGGAAGGAGATCCCAAGAGTCTGCGAGGCCATACCGTCGATATCTCTGGTGACATTCTCGACCAGTATGGAAACGTGAACGGCCGTGCAGAGCCGTACGAGGTTCCCGAGGAGGAAGATGAAGAAGAGGAAGATTTGTCCGCTCTAGAAGGAGGAACCGTCAACAAGCTGGGCAATGTCGTCGACGAGCATGGTACCATTCTAGGGAGGATTGTTGCTGGAAATCCGAAGAAATTGTCTGGCAAGAAGGTGGATGGAAACGGCCAGGTCTGGAGTGACAACGGCAAAGTCATCGGACAGGCAGAGCTGATCCCAGAGGACGAGCGTGAACAGCCAGAGGGCGTCTTCTTTGGCCTAGACGGACTGATAGTCGGCAAGGATGGCCTGGTCATGGACCCTTCAGGGGAAGTCGTGGGCAGACTGACAGAAGGGGACAACCAACGACTCATGGGACGCGCTGTTGATGAGGACGGAGAGATCATTGACAAGACTGGCAATGTTATAGGCCGAGCAGAGCGATACACACCAGAGGAGGAACCGGAGCCAGAGCTATCCCCTGAAGAAGCAGAGAAGCAACAGAAAGAGAAAGAAGATACAGAACTGGCAAAGAAGATGTGTACCATCCTGCAGCAGACAATTGACTCTGTTGGGCCAATTTGCAAAGAGATAACCCAGGTAAGCTCCTTAGTGTCTCTCTCTGCCCTAATATATAATACTGACGGCTATAGCGCACTGAAAAAGCCAGCCGCACACCAAAGGAGGAGCTCGACGAGGAGCAGCTGGTGAAGGACGTGAAGCCCTTGATTGAAAAAGCAGGAAACGGGCTGCAAGAATGCAAAGGGTCTCTTAGGGCTCTTGATCCAGACGGCCATATCGCAGCTACTGCAAAGGCTCGCAGCGCCTCGCACGAAGCCACGCCAGCAGAGTATCAACTAGCAGACTTGCTCAAGGAGCTGACGCAGACTATTGTCGAGACCATTGAAAATGGCCGGCAGTATATCAGCGATATGCCCCATGCAAAGAAGAAGATCAACCCCCTGTGGGCACTGCTATCGGAGCCGCTGTTCCAGATTATTGCCGCAGTTGGGCTTTTACTCAGCGGAGTACTCGGCCTCGTCGGTAAGCTTCTCGATGGTCTTGGACTTGGAGGCCTTCTTAAGGGGTTGCTGGGCGGACTTGGACTCGATAAGCTCGTCGATGGACTTGGACTTGGTTCGGTGACTGGAGCGCTGGGGCTTGAGGGTAAGAAGTAGTTTCATCCAACCTGATATTATCAGCCTTCTGACCCGTTTAGAGGGGTTCTCGCTTAGGGCGCTATTTGTCTCTCTGGTATTACTAGTTCACTCGTTGCTGTACACCTTTCTGCGAGATGTTTGTGGTTTTGATATGAATAGTAGCCGCGAATGAATATGTTCTTAATTCTCAATTAAGCCACAATGGTATTAACCGTAGGACGCACACTCAAATAACCATCTTAACCGATGAATATTACTTCAAGGACAGCAGAGGTTATGTGTCTAGAAAAGATCCGTCATTGCACCTTGAGAGGCATCGCCCACCAGGCGGGAGTATTTGCCCAAAGTACCGCGAGTGATAGCAGGTTTCGGGGGTCTCCAGCTGTCCAGCCGCCTTTTTATTTCTTCTTCAGAGACGCTCATACTGATTTGATTCTTCTCCGCATCAATTGTGATAACGTCGCCTGTTTCGACCACCGCGATAGGACCTCCTGAGGCAGCTTCAGGAACAATATGGCCCACGATGAAACCATGACTCGCCCCTGAATACCTTCCATCAGTTATCAGGGCAATATTTGTTAATTTGGCTCCCATAATTGCGGCGCTTGCCTTGAGTTGCTCTGGCATCCCTGGGCCTCCTTTTGGACCCTCATACCGCACCACAATGACGATATTCTCCCCGCGGGGAATTTCGCCCTTATCTAGAGCCTGATTGAGATATCTCTCCTTGTCGAAAACCATAGCCTTACCAACAAAACGCGTTCCTTCTTTCCCGGTGATCTTTGCCACGGAACCGCCCGGGGCAATGTTTCCTCGCAGAATCTGAATATGGCCTGTCTCCTTGATTGGACTATCTAACGGCCGGATGATAACCTGGTCAGCTGACAGTGAAGGGAAGCCTGCAACATTCTCTGCTAACGTCCTCCCAGTCACGGTGGGTATGTCGCCGTCGAGCAGCCCTGCGGCTATCAATAATTTCTGCACCGAAGGGACGCCGCCGATTTCATACAGGTCTGGCATGTAATATTTCCCGCTTGGAGCGAGGTCGGCGATGAGTGGTATTCTGTTGCTCACGCTCTGGATGTCGTCAAGGGTGAGGTTGACGCCTGCAGACCGGGCCATGGCCAGCAGATGGAGAACGGCGTTAGTACTGCCTCCCAAGGCCATCACCATGACCAAGGCATTTTCAAAGGATCGTTTAGTTAGAATATCAGAAGGCTTAATATTCTTCTCCAAACACACCTTGATCGCCTCGGCGGCCTTAACGCACTCCCTCATCTTCGCGGGAGAGGATGCCGGCGTTGAGGCGGAACCAGGTAGACTCAGACCGAGTGTCTCAATCGCCGTGGCCATGGTGTTTGCAGTAAACATACCACCGCAGGCACCGGCAGTGGGACAGGTGTGTTGCTCGATATCGTCCATGATCTCGTCCTTGGTGTGGAGGCCTTTGATGCTGTCTTCGGTGGCCAGGTCCTGCAAAGTGTCGTATGTGTATGCACCGGCAGCTTCAAATGCCGACCCCAGAGTCATACGTTTGCGAAGAGTTTGTGCGAAGCCGACTTGAATTGACCCCCCGTATATAACCACCGACGGTCTGTTGTGCCTGGCGATTCCCATGACCACGCCAGGGCCGTTCTTGTCGCAGCCGGGGATGGCGATACATGCGTCGTGGTGTTGAGCGCAGGTGACGGTTTCGATGCTGTCGGCGATGATCTCGCGCGACTGGAGGGAGAATCGCATTCCTATAGAACTGTCAGACATGTAGAAAGTGGTGTTGCAGACTCTTACCCTCGTGGCCTACGGTTATGCCATCCGAGACTCCGATGGTATTGTATTGCCAGGCAATCATGTCCTGATCCTTCACTGCCTTTTTCACGGTTTTCCCCAGATCCAACAGGTGCATGTTACACGGATTTCCTTCCCACCAGACAGATCCAATGCCGACATGCGGACTCTTTGCCATTGTCTCTGGGTCCGGGACTCCTGCACCGTACAGCATAGCCTGGGGTGTGAGACAGACAACTCGATCGGCATACAGAGATATACACTTACTTTGGCAGCAGGAAAGTCATGCCCTCTGGTGATAAAGGTAGAGTGACGATTCAGAAATGGAGTTCCATCTTCGTGCTTTGCGTCGTCTGGCAGACAAGGAAATCGAGCGTACTCGGACATGTTGATATTTTCTCTCTTCAATATGCACAGCCTGGTAATCAAATTAGCTGCCAGATAAACAGCAGAGCAGCTTTATACCAGGCATCTCTTGTATATGCAGATCATCGCCAGATTCACCACCGGCGGTGGCCGGCAATGCAGCACAGACTCGGCGCTGGAGGACAAGGCCCACTGCCACTTCAATGATCTGCTCGCTTTTCTCCGCAGAGACTCCAATCCTGGACGCACCGGAGCATCGAATAATAACGATGTCTGCAGTGGCTGGCGTCCCCGCCTCCACATCGCATCCCCCCCTGCGGCTGGGAGAGTCGGCCCTGCCCCGAGTGATAAAACCTGCGTGCGCCCATTGCCAGGCCCCATGAATCCTTCCCTGTCTCGTGTGTCCGTCTCGTGTTGCTGATGAACCAGCAAAATGAATTCTGAAAAAGAAACCCTGTCGCAGGAGATCTCGCCTTCGCCGCAGGTTGAAGCTGCCAGCGAGCCCTGCCCTACCGAGTTGCGCCGGCTGCTGCGGAAGATCGACCTTCGTGTGATTCCAATCCTGGCGCTCTTGTATTTCCTCAGCTTCCTTGATCGGGGTTGGTTTTTTTTCTGTCACCTTTATTTCTTGGCTGATTGATTAGGAAATATTGGAAATGCCGAGATCCAAGGGCTTTCGACCGACTTGAACCTGGTTGGAAACCAGTATAACTGGTAGGATTGCAGAATATTATATTTAAATCATACTAACAGTCTAGGTGTCTAACGATATTCTTCTTTCCATACTCCTTCTTCGAGCCGCTTTGCAATCTGCTGCTTGTAAGGTTCAAGCCCAGCATCTGGCTGCCCTCCATTATGGTGGCCTGGGGTAAGAACTAGATAAGACTTCTTGAAAGTGATGCTTACACTATATAGGTACTGTCACAACTCTACTAGGGATTGTCCAAAATTATCCCGGCCTATTAGCGGCGAGGTTCTTTCTTGGTCAGCAAGCACCCATGTCTCCATCTCTTGTTATCCAGCTGACAGTTACAGGATTGGCGGAAGGAGGTCTTTGTGAGTATTCTTCCTGTCAACAGAGACTCGGTGATTAATATTTACAGTCCCCGGTCTCGCTTTCTACGTTTCTCTCTGGTACAGTTAACCCAGTCTATCTTGCGGGAGAATGCTCACATGGACAGGTACCCAAGAGCAAATGCACAATTCAGACTCGCCATGATCTTTGCATCTGCCTCAATGGCTGGGGCGTTCTCGGGCCTTCTGGCGTTTGCCATCAGCAAGATGGATGGGGTTGGAGGGTTGGAAGGGTGGAGATGGATGTTAGTCGCTGGTACTCTATTCACGGCATGAAGCTGACCGCAACAGATTTATCCTCGAAGGACTCCTGACAGTAGTATGCGCAGTCCTGGCCTTCTTCCTGGTCTGGGATGAGCCAGCTACGGCGACCTTCCTGTCAGACAGGGAGAAGGCCATGATCATCGATCTGTTGGCAGACTCACGAGCGAGCTCCAGCGAGGGCCAACTAGAGGAGAAAAGTGCGTTCGACTGGAAGCAATTCATGGCAGCAGTTCTGGACTGGCAGGTGAGTTATCATATTTTAACAAGATGATGGCACTCACGATATCTAGACATGGATGCACACAATCAGCTACTGGGGAACGGTAAGACATCAGCACCGGGTACTTGACTATTTCTAACTCTTCCAGGCGGTCGCTGTATATGCACTGTCACTGTTTCTCCCGACGATTATAAAAGGATTGGGATATAGCTCTGCTAATGCGCAGCTGCTGACCATCCCCGTTTACGCAGCTGCCTCCATATCGTGTATTGCTGTGGGCTACTTCTCAGACAGGATGGGCCAGAGGAGTCTCTTCACGCTTGTTTGCTACGGCGCAGTGTTTGTTGGCTTCCTCATCGCCGTTGCCCCCAGTCGATTCATCCCAGGCTTGACGTATGCAGGATGCTTCATCGCGGCGAGCGGCAGCTACCCAGGTACCTATAAACCCCTGTAATAACCACGGATGATATTAATCAGTCCAGCTATACCCGGCCTCCTGGCCTTGTCGTCCAACAACTACGCACCAGCTACGAAACGCGCTGTCGGAATGGCAATTCAGATTGGCTTAGGAAGTTTAGGAGGCGCGGCGGCGTCCAACTTCTACAAGGAAACAGATGCCCCAAGATATCGCCTCGGCCACTCCTTGGTGCTGGCCTTTGTAGCATTGGGCTTTCTGACCGTTGTCCTCTACTATTTCCTGTGTCGGAGGATCAACGCTAAACGCGACCGTGGAGAGGCAACTACCAGCGAGAATTCGGATGGGATATTTGAGATGGGCGACAAGGCACCGACCTTCCGCTACAATCTGTAGGTATTCCGTGGGTAGGCTGATGGTATAGCTGGAAAGAGTGGCAAGAGTGGCACGATAACATTGCGAAATTATCCCCCGTCTTGATATCCCAATAGCCAATTGTGCCAGAGAGTATTGTCATTGGACATCGTGTAGGGCAATTCCCACGGGGCCTGGCGCGGTATATCCGCAATAATGCTATCAATATCTAGACCCATCGAACTGTCCTCAACCGTATCATGCGCCTGTGGATTTGGAGTGTTAGAGTCTTCCCCTGGAGCCTCTGGACTATGGTCAGTCTCCTGCCGACGTTGTTGGTCAAACATGTCGAAGAACAACTGGCGGATCCAGCTTGCCAGCACATGGCACTCTTCAAAGTCCTTCAAGGCGAGTAGCTTGTACTTGATGGAGCTCAGCAGCGCATTCCTGCAGGTAGTAGATTCGTTCATGGTGTTTGCGTGTGTGAATTGCGCGGTCATCGCTGCAAATATGGCTGATACACTGGTACCGATCAGCTAGTCGACTTTTTATTTTATTTTTTACTGGACTTACCAGATCATGGGGAAGTGGCTTCCTTGATGATAAGTGACTGCGTCTTCAGCCAGAGAGGTAATTCGACTGGCTGCGTCCATGATTATGTCGTTGCTGGCGGTGCTCACATTCGATGGCAGGTTTTGGAACGTGCGTTGAAAGGTCTGATGGACAATTATGCGATAGTAGCTGACAGAATTAGTACTATTCCCTCAAACGGCCTTGGACTTACCTAGAAGTCAGGTTTAGAATAAGAGGGAGCTGGGCATGGGATGAATGATGCAGACCCGGCGAGAGGCTCTCTTCCCAAGTTGAAAACACCCTACATATAGAGTCGAGTATAATTGTCTCGTCTGAGAGAGTTTCCCTTGAGGGTGCGAAATAGGTTCTCAGTATGTTGGAGACTAATCCGTCAGCGATGCTCTTGAACAGACTTGAATGTCTAACCTGCGATTGATAGTCTGGCCTGTGCCAGGACATATTTAACTGTTTCTGAGGATTCACCCTTGAGGTCGTCCTCGCGGAGAAGTTCAACATCGCAGTCGGAGTCATGAATGATCATGGGCTTTCCCAGCGATATCGATATTTGTCTGTCGCGAATCTGGAATGGCTTAGTAGAGTACTCTAACAGCCCGATAGGAGAGCCTACGTATAGTAACCACCAGATGCGACGCCACATGCGCTCTCGCTCTGGCTGGACATTCCGGTGCTGGGCCTTGCGATGCATCTGCATACACTGCGCAGAGCGAATCGTGCCAGCCAGCCACCACAGCGAGTCTCTGCTCTGGCTGGCAGATCCGGACCAGTAGTGGAGGAGATAGGAGCATAGAAGCATTACCAGCCGATCGCTCTCCTGCTCCCCGTCAAAGGCGGCCTTTGCTGAGCTGAAAAGATCGTCTTCTACATCTATGCGCCCGGAATACCCCAGGAGATGTATAGTCTTGAGATCACAGTGGATGGAGGCGATGAAAAGGACACAGCGAAGCAAGACTTTGGAAACCGACCCGTCACTAACCGAGGCAAGGAATGCCTCCCGGTCTAGAATGGGACAGAACGGGTGGAATATGGCAAAGTAGCCACGCAAAAGGTCATTCACCAGTTCTGCAGGGGGGAGAGGGTGCCCCGATGTACTGGCCGGTCTGTGGTCGCGGCCGACCACTGCATTGTTGCCCTGATCATCCTGTATAGGCCGATACAGGCAGTCTTGGTCGCTGTTTGTCGTTTGGATCACATATGACAGATACCAGCTCTCGCCCCAGATGGGAGGCGACGCTTGACGATGGCGCGTGCTCGCATACAGGCGATCATGACTCGATGATCCTTCGCTAGACAAATAATGTCCTCGCCGATTCCTGCACAGCGCTTCAAAGTCAATCGAGAACGGGGGGGCTCGATCCGATATGCGCGTCGTTGGGTTGGGTTGGGTTAGTTCGCTGGTTGCGAATCGCCCATTGCTTCCTCTGAAATATGTATCAGTTATTATCCTGTCTGTACAGAGATGATCATACCGCGTTCTCTTCGTCCTTGCAATGTGGCAGTCGGCGTTGCCCGCTCGCCGGCAGTGCGAGCAAGGAAGCCCTTTGGTCTCCGAATCACACCGGATATGCTGGTCCTTGCATCTTTTACACGCCGGGGACGGTGCTTTCCGTTTAGAGCGCTGGCTTGTCGACATTGCGCCTGTGAGGATGAAGATATTTGAGAGCGCCTGCGATGACTCGGGCACATCTGCCCCACAGCTGACAAGCACGACAAGCATGGACCAAGATGATTCACTGGATTCGGTGGATTGTCTGACTGTGTCCAATGGGGTTCGGTGCATTGAGCATCTGTGGGCCTGTTCAGATGTCGGAGTTGTCTCCGATACAACCACCGCCGGTGGTGAGCGCCGGTTCAGGCAAGTTGCACGAACAGTATAAGGCTGAGGCAGTCTGTGGTATTCCTGGACATACATTTCAAATTTATCGTCGAAATAACAAGTACTGTTCAACCATTAAACTGTTTGTTATCTGCCTTCTGTATTGCTTCAAACTAACAGCACTGCCTAGATCGATAAAAGATGGGAATATTTGCGCCCCCAAATCGCAGGCTGCTCGTTCCCCATAAATCGATAAGCAAGGGGGCAGTGTTCATATCGAGGGACAAATACCACGGGTGTTGGCGCAACTAGCAGTTATACCCTAAGACAGCCTCATCGAGTCTAATATGCCATTGGTGGTTTCTCAACAATCTTCTCCAGGGCTTCGAGGTTGAACTGCGCCTTGCGATACGTAGCCTCATTGCCAGGTGTACTGCCTAGTGGGATTAGCAATGGGCCGTGCTTTGGACAAGCCCGTGTATTCGGGGCTTGGACTGCCGCATGGTCTGATGCAAATCTAAGGTATCTCCGAGCGAAGAGCGCAACTCAGAATATTTGTCCGTTAAACACCGGGGGGCTTGGCCGATATAAGGCAACGGGGAAATTGGGCTTTACCCGGTGGCAGTGCATTGCTCGTGTATGGCCCAGAGTATGTCAGTACAAGACCAGCATTTCGACCGTGGAGGAAGAGAATATTGATCATGGCTTCTTCAAGTGATCCAGTGCCAGCAGCCAGGTCACGGAATGGGTGCATTACCTGCAAGTGAGTTGGCAGTCTGCTGTTAGGGCTTGCTATTAACTATGTCGCAGGAACCGCCGCGTCAAATGCGACGAGACAAGGCCTACTTGTCGCCGATGCGAGACTGCAGGGAGGCAGTGCGATGGCTACGGCGACACGACGGATTCTGATGGGACCTCGACGTCGAACAGCTTCCGGATTGTCCAGCATATCCCCGGCATTTCGAAGCCAACGCGAATGTGGCAGACCCCCCAGTCGCCCGATCTCATCGCCGACGACGAGTATCGCGCCCTGGAGTTCTTCCACCAGAATACAACCCAGTCGTTCACTGCAGATATCGGAGTTCTGCTGCTTCAAGTCGCCTATCATCAGCCCATCCTGAGGAGCATCGCCGTCGCCATAGGGTCTCTGCATCGGTCATTTGTCCTCCATGGGAGAGGCCCTCTGGCAAACAGCAACGACGCGCAGTTCATACTGCTTCACTATAATAGAGCCATCCGAGAGCTGCTGTCAATACAGCCAGAGACAGCCCAGCGAGATGAAACGTTTCTGATTGCTTGCATCTTCTTCTTCTGTTTCGAGTGCCTTCGGGGTGAGTACAAGAATGCCGTGCGCCATGCAACTTCGGGCCTCAAAATCCTCAAGCAACAACAGGCCTTGCCTGGGAGGGACTCGATGCTGCCACCGGAGGCCATCACTCTGCCATTTTGCATTCTGGAAACCCAAGTGTTGGAGATCAAGGGTGAAGAGGCGCTCGATGTTGAATTACAGCCTGCGATTCTTTCTTCCTTCTCGCACCCTAGCATCAGCCCACCAAGCCCGACCTCTAATGCCAACGAGATGCTGAAGTCATTCCACCTCTTCTGCAATCGATTCACGCGTTTCGAGGCGGCCTGTGGAGTCTTCTCGCAGAAACGCCATCATCGGGGGTTTGAATTGCAGGGACAAGCACGACAGATAGAGGAGAGCTATTTCCACATTCGGGGTGATCTGGAAAACTGGTTGCACATTTTCGAAGTCTGGCTTGACTCGTGTCAAAATCAGAAGCATCCAACTGTGATGATCATGACAGTCTGGAGGCTGCTGATGCGAGTCTTTCTTGAGCTGGACTGGCCACCTTCAGAGCTTTCCTGGGACCAGTATATCCCGGTCTTTGCAACAATAAACTCGCTGGCTACAGATATATTGCAAGAGCCGCGAGAATCTCAACAAAGCAGCGCAAGGTCAATGACGTCGACATTTTCACTGTCCCTGGGCATTGTTACCCCTCTGTTTATCTGTGCTACTCGCTGCCGACTCTCCTCCATCCGCCATCGCGCCACCAATCTCCTTTTGCATTCCCGGCGGCGCGAGGGGCTTTGGGATGCTGAGCTGGCAGGGCGTATTGCGGAGCGGATTGTGGGTTTGGAAGAGTCTGCTGCTGGAATCAGGCCTGGGATTGAGTACGGTCCCGGAGAGGTCGATGTATCTGCACGCATCTCGTCCCTGTCGCCTTATTTCACAGAGAGCAAGCAGGCTGACATCGGATATAGCCGGATGCAAGTTTCATGCGGTGATCTCACAGACCAATATACCAATACATAGACTGGAAGCATACATTAGCTCATTTCCTGTGCACTTGAAAGCGTGATCCCAGAATGCAATAATCCATAGACATTCCGCCTGATAATATTCTGTACCGCCTCCGGCTGCCTTGAGTAACAGGCAATTTCCCGTAAACAGGGCAGCAAGAATGAAAACAAAAAGTGAGGAATGGCCAGACGCAAAAATGAGCTGATGCTTGAAGAGGGTGCCACAATTCAGCCTTCCCAGGGTGCATCCATGGTTATACGATGCCCAACATTCTTGCCCAGTGTAGCCAATTTTTAGGGGGTTGTTTAAGTTCAGCCGTTGATATTATTCCTATTATCCATAACTACGTACAACCATATATTTAGTATGCAATGCCATTTATCCTCGCTATCATTGACAAACAATTGCCAATGCAGGCAATTCCTACCGGACCATTAGACAATCGCACCCAGGAACAGCCAAGGACACCCAAGAGCCAAGGACGCCCATGCTGCAAGCCCTGGTCAGCTGCGGTTGAGTTGTCTATTTCGTGATTGCTTTTGTTTGGTGTCTCTTTGTTTGCCTGGTTCCGTGCGCGAAGGATTGGCTTGGCTGCATGGAGGAAGAGCGGCGCTCGATAGGATCGAATCCCTTGCGTGAATGGCGTTCATCGGGTATTTTTCAGAGGGCCTTGCATGCATGATCGAAGTTAACAGGTTGGGGCTCTGGCCAAGTCGGATCGAGTGACCTGTCAAGCGGTTTATTACCTACGGCGGCCACTTCCGCACAATATTGCACTGGCAGCCATCTCCGGCCCACAGGAAACCAGGCTTCTTGTCTTGACTATTGAACTTTCTGGTTCTGTCTGAGTGTAATTGGAATATTGTATCCATAATCAAGGGGCGAGCCAAGGGGCTGCCGCTTGCACTTCTCGCCTTCCACTGTTTTCAATTGTCAGCATTCCAGGTACTGTTATTTGCCAGGGATGCGGCAACCCCAACTATCAGTGCTCTGGTTGCAGTCCAGAAATATGCACGCCAAAGTCAGGGATGATGTGATTTGTCCGAATCTGCAGAGAAGAGCTTGACAACTCACATCCACATCGATATGGTGGACTTTGGCGGGGGCTATATAGTCTACCCCGGCTGTCTCAGTTGTGGCATCCATTCTAATTCTCCAAATCAATCGGAAATATCTATTCAGAATGCATTCCTCGGCGACTTTTCTTCTGGCAGCTGTTGCCTCCACTGCGTTGTCCTCCCCTCTCCAGGCCAGAGATGTACCGGCAGGTCAGCTCATCACTGGCTGCACGGAGCCAGGAACGATAGCCTTCACCTTTGATGACGGCCCATCGGAGTACACCAGCCAACTGCTGGATCTCCTTGCAGAGTACGACGCTCAAGCTACCTTCTTCGTTCTAGGAGACACTGCTTCTGAGAGCGGCGATCTGCTCCAGCGCATGCAGCGTGAAAGCCACCAGATCGGATCTCACACGTATGTATAACATATCGCCAGTTAGCAATCCTTTTTGGCTGACGTTTACTCAATAGCTACGACCACCTGAGCCTTATCACCCTGAGCGATGCGGAAATTGAAGCTCAAATGAACCGGCTTGATGACGTTCTCGTGGATTTGATCGAGGAAAGACCAACCTACATGCGCCCGCCATATTTCGACGTCGACGACCATGTGCTCCAAGTGTTGGGCAACCTTGGGTACAAGGTCATCACGGCGGATATCGACACCAAGGACTACGAGAACAACGACGAGACCCAAATCGACGTCAGCTTCGACAAGTTTGTCAATGAGCTGGATGCCGGGGGTAGCATTGTGCTGTCTCACGACATCCACTACTGGACAGTCTACAAACTGACAGAGGAGATGCTGATTGAGGCTCAGAGCCGAGGGCTCAGAGGTATGTTCCTTGAAATTGAGAATTGTGAGGCGCCTGCTAACGGTAATAGCTGTCACGGTTGGCGAGTGCCTGGGAGACCCCCTGGACGAATGGTATAGGCAATAGATAGGCAACCCTATACTTATCGCTGCCTAGCCTAATCTAGCGATGATAATTCTATGCTCGGAAATATTTTTATTTAATCCTAATCGTGGCGAGTTTATACTCACTGCCGTTAATTTAATCTGTTGATATTGTCACAACCACGATAGTCCCAAACCTCGTCAGCTGTAGTTCAATTCAGCCCCTCGTATAGTGTATTCAGCTTGTATAATATCTCAAGGCACTTGTATAAAATATCTTCCTTTCAGCGCAGGATCTGCGGGGTGTAGCTGAGCCGAAGTTTGCCGACACCGAGATTGGCGCCAGCCGAGGAGTCCCATGTGCTTGACAGTTATATAGTCTGTACGCCCGCAATAAACATCTTTCCACAATGTATCAAAATGGATATTCCAAAGTCGTATGAACGTCTCTCCCTCGAGAATATAAAAATCTCGCATCACCCTCCCAACGCCCCAGATGCGACCGCGGTAGTGGTGGTTACCCTGAACCGCCCAGAGAAATTCAATGCATTCACACCGGCCATGGCCGAGAGCCTCACACGGGCATTCCAGCTGTTTCATTATGACAGCCGTGTTAGAGCAATTGTACTAACTGGAGCTGGGAAGATGTTCTGCGCTGGATCCGATCTGTCGGTAGGCTTCGGAGACGGCAAAGGCAGGGCGGCGGACTTCAGAGATATGTATGTATGGAGCAAAACCGGGGCTAGGAGGACAAGCTAATGATCTGTCTTAGCGGTGGACGAGTGACACTGGCGATGCATCGCTGTGCAAAGCCAACCATCGTTGCCATGCAGGGGTCTGCGGTGGGTGTCGGCATGACAATGACTCTTCCAGCTGCCATCCGGTATGTTTCCCTAAGAATCAGTGATGTATCTGCTAATGCATTGTAGTATCTGCCATGAAAAGAGTAAATATGGATTTGTCTTCACACGGCGCGGTCTGACAGTCGAGTCGTGTGCTTCCTACTTCCTGCCTCGTCTTGTCGGCTTCTCCAAGGCAATGCATTTAATCACGACAGGGAAAGTCCTCCCACCCTCTGCGCAGTATTTCGGTGATCTCTTCACAGAGGTACTGCCAGAACAGGCCCAGGTTCTGCCTCGTGCTGTTGAAGTCGCAGTGGAGATGGCGGAGAATGTCAGCCCTCTAGCGTCGTCAATGAGCCGGGCATTGATGTGGGAATGCCCAAGCTCACCGGAGGAGTCTCATCTTCTTGAATCCAGGGTATTCCATCATATGATCAATCAGAGGTAAGCGGAAAGTCGCATGGTTGAAGCGAAGACTAACGGTATACAGCGATTATAAAGAGGGCGTCCAGTCTTTCCTGGATAAGCGGAATCCTGTCTTTGCACCGCATCCTGGGGATGTCGATTCTGCAATGTATCCATGGTGGTCAGAGACGAACACTGCTGTAAAGAAGGAAAACGGTTCCAAGTTATAAGATGTACTTGTTGATGGGTCTAGCATGGTCAATATAAATATATATATTTGTACATTAGCTGCTGCAGCTGTGGCCTGTCAAGCACCTGTCCTCTTTCAGACGCACGAATGTAGAAGATGCAGAATTACCCTATGAACTAAGCCTGCAATCTCCAGACCTCTTGTATAACTGCACCTATAGTCCTTGATTGTATACTTTCATGTAATGCCACTGCCCCAAGGAGGCCTAATACTGACTAATACCCCGACTATGTTGACATCACGTGATCAACGCGCCGACACGAGAAGCATCAACATCAACATCAACACGACAACTTCTGCTTCTTACTCGTTGCCTCATCCATTGGTGCTCGGAAAGAGAGTCTTGGGAACCCGGCAATTATACGTGGCGCGTATTCGAAGCATCCAACCCCCACACGCTGAGCTGAAGACTACTCCGATTACTCCGACTACTCTGGTCATCAGCATGGAGTAGTAGCAGGCCTTCGGAGCAGATCGTCTGATATGCCCACAGTTGACGACTGGACATCCTTCTTGAGTCCAGACTCCTGAGAGTTTGAGGCTGGTTTTATGGAGTCTCTTGGGCAGCACCACTCGCTCACGGCCTCACCTCTGAGCAGGTGAATAACCGACCCTCTAGTTGTAACAATCGAGCGAGCCTCTGAACGAGATTCGATCATTTCCCAAGATCCATCGATCGGAAGAAGCCCGTGGATGACTGGCCCTGGAGTCCTCCACTTTCAGGGCTGTGCCAGCTTGTAGTTCGGTCTAGCAGCCTGGGCACTGTCCAGCGTGTCGAATGGGCCAATCAGCCAAGTAGATTAGCGACTGTCGAGTTCTTCGAGATTGGAAGGGTTTCAAACCAGGAAACCGGCTCCTAGGCGCCCGATGAATCTGCTTGTCTTCAAAAGGGATCCAAGTCTCTTCCTTTTGCGGATACATATCTGGCGATCATTGCAATGGGACCATCTCGCTTTGGCATTGGGCTCCTGGCCCTATCGAGCTTATCTCGTGGTATGTTATTTCTCTGGCTGCGATTTCCTGCTAACACATCTTCCAGCCGTATTGGCTCGAGAGTGCATCATCGATGAGATCCTCACCGTTTCCAGCCCCCAAGATCTGGATAGTCTTCGCGATGGCTGCACGACGATTACCGGCAATATCGCCATCGACAGCGACTACTCCGGCGACTTCTTTCTCGAGGGTGTTAGCGATTTCGTCGGCAACATTTCAACTTCCGAAGACGCGCCCCCGGTGAATCTAGGTGTATTGGATCTCCCCGATCTCGTCAACGCCGCCGCAATTACCGTGCACCGAGTTGAAACCGTGAATCTAGGCAACCTCCAGCATGCTGGTGAGCTCCTCCTAGGGCCGTCGTCTCCTGATGGAGAGGTCAACCTTGAGGCATTGAAAGATGCCGATAATGTTGGGTTCAAGGGTGGTTGGAAGAGCATCGTCCTCTCCTCATTGGAGACGGTCACCGGAGAACTAGGGTTTTACTTTGTGCGAGGGGATGATGTTTTCCCTGATGATGACGAGATTCCCTCGCTGGTGGTTGATCTTCCAGTTCTGAAGACAACGTCCCAGTTCACGGTCGAGGGAAAGGTGGCAAGGTTCGTTATCTGTATCCAACCTTCCGTATATTTTACTAATTATCTGCTTCAAGCATCTCGGTGCCTGAGCTCGACAAAGCGGGCGACACTGACACTCCTGAGCGAGATTCTTCACAGGGCTTGCGACTTAACATCGAGACACAGATTGAGGTTGAATTCCCGAAGCTGCAAACCATAGGAGCCACGACGCAGGTGTTTGGCAATCTATCTCGGTACATCAGCCCCATTCTTAAATGGCGAGAGATGGTCTGACTTTTTTTCTTTGGAACAGCATAAGCCTCCCTGCTCTCGGAGAAACCGCCACAGGCATGGAGTTCAACACTGATATGCCGCTTGAAATCTACTCGACTATAGAAACAGCCTTTTACGTGTGGCTGTGGGGGAAAATCAAGAGGTACTGCATCCAAGCATAGCTAAAAGCTACTAGCTCCCCACACTGACCTGTCATCCCTGTTAACTAGTGTTGAATTTCCCAAAATGGTTGATCTAGGCTCTGTCGATATCGCGGATGCCATACGGCCCTGCAATGAGACGCTTGTCAAGCTGTGGGAGGCCATTCCCAGCCACGGTCCACCCGGGCATGAGAGCAGCTGGTACTGGCGGTGTTTTCGCGAGGACCTTCCGAGAGATAGCAATCAAGTCGATGTTAATACGACTACTACCGTGGCTCCGAATGAGCCGACCAGCACTGCTGGCAGTGGCGAGAGCTCAACGGAGCCTGGTCATCAGGAACCCAGCAGCACTGATCCAGAGACAAGTGATGATTCAGGCGTTCCTGGAAATGAGGGAGTGTTCCTCTTACCATCACAGGCAGGTATACTGGCAGCACTACTGGCGGCTGTGGGTGTAGGTTCCATGATGTAGTCAATATAGTCCACTCAAATATACAATAGGCTTATGTGCATATCTTATCCACATGTGTATTACTAAGCACTGTTATGAATCAGCTCCCCGCTTCCTCCGCACCTGCCAGCTTCTCTTGCTCTGCCAGCCCAACTCTCTCTCCGTCCATTAATTCGTCTACTAGGCACTTCACTCCTCCCATTGATCACTCCATCAGGCACCCCTGCGTCTTTCCACCATTCCCCGCCCTTTCCTCCGCCCTTTCCTCCTCCCCCTCCTCGTCCTCTGCGTCAGCCTCCTCGTCACCGTGGCTCCCTTCCTCTCGCTCTCCACCCACGCCCCCATTGCTCGACTTGCCTCAGTCCTGGGCCATTTCCGTGGTGCAAGGTTCGGCAGTCCCTCTTTTATTACTGTCTATCGTCACCCTCTCACGACTGCCAGCATGGCCCCCGAGCATCTCCGTCGTCCGCCCCAGGCACCCCCACTCTTCACTGCCACCGCCGAATCGATCCTGAGCGATGCCAAACGCCTCATTGAGACATCTCGCAAGGTGCAGGATGGCATTGTCGCGGACACTTCCTCGGACAGTGCCAGCTTTGCGTCCGTGCTGAAACCCTTGGCCCACGATGAAAACGTCATGGCTCTGGAATCCAATATCCTCGGCTTCTACCAGGCTGTCTCAACTGAACAAACGCTGAGGGACACGTCCTCCAAAGCGGAGGAACTGATGGACGACTTCTTTATCGAGTCATCGATGCGTGAGGATATCTTCAAGCTTGTCGATGCAGTGCTGAAGAAGAACGAGAGCCTGGACCCGGAATCCCGCCGACTGCTGGAGAAGGAACACCAGAGCTTCATCCGAAATGGCCTGGGTCTTCCAGCGGGCCCTCAGCGCGACCGCTTCAAGGAAATCAAGAAACGCCTCAGCTTGATCAGCATTGAGTTCGGGAAGAACCTGAACGAGGAGGACGGCGGTATATGGTTTACACCGGAAGAGCTGGATGGCGTGCCGGAAGATGTCGTCTCGGGCCTCAAGAAGGGAGAGGGCGAGAACGAGGGTAAAGTCCGGTTAACCTTCAAGTATCCAGACCTTTTCCCGACGATGAAGTATGCGAAGAACCCGGAGACCCGCAAGAAGGTCATGATCCAGAACGAGAACAAATGCAACCAGAATGTGCCGCTCTTCCGGGAGGCCATTGTTTTGCGTGACGAAGCCGCCCGCCTGCTAGGATACCCAAGCCATGCAGCCTTCCGGATCGAAGATAAGATGGCCAAGACGCCAAAGACGGTCGACGACTTCTTGTCAGACCTGCGCGCTCGTTTGACGGACGGTGGCCGGAAAGAAATTGCCCAGCTCCAAGAACTCAAGAAGAGCGATGTGGCGTCCCGTGGAGAGAAATTCGACGGTGGTTACTACCTCTGGGACCACCGATTCTACGACCGCCTGATGGTGGAGAAGGATTATTCTCTGGACCACCAGCTGATTGCCGAATACTTTCCACTCCAGAACACGATCGACGGCATGCTGAAGATCTTCGAGCAGCTCTTTGGCCTCGTGTTCGTCGAAATCACCGGCAAGGACCGTGATCAAGTCGCCACCAGCGGCAAGGGGAGTGATATCGTGTGGCATGAGGACGTCCAGATCTTTAGTGTGTGGGACGACGAGGGTGAGGGTGGCAGCTTTGTTGGCTATCTTTACCTGGATCTGTTCCCTCGCCCTGGCAAGTATGGCCACGCCGCCAACTTTAACCTTCAGCCTGTAAGTTGCTCCAGTTGGAGTGAAAATTGCTTGAACTAATTAATCTCGCTCCAGGGGTATATTGATGCGGAGGGCAAGCGTCGCTACCCGGCCACTGCGTTGGTCTGTAACTTTACAAAGCCCACTCCAAAGAAACCAAGTCTGCTCAAGCATGACGAGGTTGTGACTCTGTTCCATGAGTTGGGTCACGGTATCCACAATCTAGTGTCGAAGACCATCTACTCGAGGTTCCACGGCACCAGCACGGTTCGCGACTTTGTCGAGGCTCCTAGCCAGATGCTCGAGAACTGGTGCTGGGACCCATCACAGCTCAAGTCGCTGAGCAAGCACTACTCCACGCTGTCCCCAGAGTACCTTGCGGCATGGAAGGAGCAGGCAAACGGACAGGCAGAGCCATCGGAGAATATCCCCGACGAGGTTATCGCAAACCTCATCCGGGCGAAGCATGTCAATGATGCCTTGTTTAACCTGCGTCAGCTCCACTTTGGTATCTTTGACATGACTGTGCACGAGCCCGAGAGTCACGAGAAAATCCAGGAACTGCCAATCACATCGACGTACAACAGGCTTCGTAAGGAGATCACACAGCTGGACGGGCCCGAGGTTTTGGGTTTGGGCGACGACTGGGGCAACGGCCAGGCCACATTTGGTCATTTGATGGGAGGCTATGATGCTGGCTACTACGGCTACCTCAGGTATGTTTTATTGGAATATTCTGATTTGTTCCACGTCTGACTCCATGCAGCTCGCTAGTCTATTCAACGGACATGTTCTATACGGTCTTCAAATCCGACCCCATGAACCCCACCGCTGGTCGTCAATACCGATACAAGGTCCTCGAGAAAGGTGGCAGTCAGGATGAGATGCAGACGTTGACTGAGTTCCTGGGCCGACCCCCCAAGACGGATGCATTCTACAAGGAGATGGGACTGGCTTAGTTTAGTCAATAGATCAGTCTAACAGCTATCACAATTTCCATGAAAAGAAATACTGCTGTTAACTACGGCGACCTGCAAGAGAAGTTTTGAGCGCCATGTTTCAACGATCTATTCACAAAGTAATCATCTTTAACAACGTAACGAATGCCAAGTCAGTCTTGTAGTTCCGCAATGTTGAATTGCTGCGCGAATATTGCGCACCCCATATCTTCTCCCATCCAACTGTGATCCTCTATTATACCGTCCTTGCTATGGGGATGTCCTGCACTGAGTGAGTAATCCGTACACAGAATGGAACTAGATGACCCACCAACGCAGCGAACGTTTCTATGATACTGGCACTATGCAGCAACAGTCTTGATGCAGCGAGCCTTCAGCCAGCGGGAGTCTGGGTGTGCCCCGACGTCATAGCACGTCCGAGACTGGAAGTAGTCGCCGCCGTAGGCCCAAGTGTCGTACAGGTATTCGCCTCCGCATTGCTGTCCAGTGCCGGGCTGGGTCCAGAACTGAATCCGCTGTCCATGGGCCCCGTATCCGTTCTCTCTGTAGGACTCAAAGGCGGGGATGCTGGGGACGATACTGTTGGAGTCGAAGTGGACGTTCGTCTGCTTGCCTGTACAGTTGGGTCCGGTAAAGACGGAGACTCCGCCTGCAAGAGCGCCTTGGATGACGGCGAAAGTGCTGAGAAGAGTGAGATACTGCATTTTGAATTGTAAAGTGGAGTGAGATTGAGCTTGTTGGAGCTTTTGTGGGAAACGATGAACTGTTGAAGAGAATATCTCAGGAGGATATGATTCTTTATATACTCGTGTATTGATTAGGCGTCCATTCTCGCGTATACAAGGCAGTTGGTAAATACGCATACGCGCGACTGTTGCACCACAGCTGATGCCGGAGTATCTTCATCGATACGTTTACGAGTACGGGTACATGACTGAAAGCCACCACAATAACCTGACAACATGGATTGTAACCCCTAAGGACCAGACATACGGTCTGTAGAACGTAATACGGTGTAACACCAACGAGTATTCCTGCTATCTATTGAGTCCCGAATACGGCTACCGATGTCTCTGCTTTGCCACTGGTATTGCCTTTCATCATGTAACTACAGCTGTAGCTGCATGTTAAAACAGATCGGTATATATCGCAACTGAAGCCCGCTCCGTGAAATTGACCCAGCCAGGGAAAAGCGCGCGTGGAATAATTGTGATCCGGTCTTCTGCTTGAAGATCGCCCATCCAGGGCTGCTCGTCTCTGCAATACACGACCTGATGATGCCTCGTCTCCGAGCTTGCATGTACATTTGTGACTAGTTGTGGAAGGCCCGCAGAAACGTCTTCCCTCCCAGGTGGTCTTTGGATCCCGAGGTCAAACCACGTCCAGGAGCCTCTGTATGTGCCATGGTCTTGTGGATAGGAGCTCCAGCCTTGGTCGTGGCTCCAAATATCGATTATGATCTTCTGAACAGGGAATCGTTTGCCTGTTATGGGCTCTGACAGCAGATACGGGGTTCTGTCGCGACACGCGGATTCTGAGAAACGAAGGCTATCTTGCCTAGCAACACGAGAACAAAGCCAGTACTGTGCCTGATGTAGAATGGCCAGGGCCAGTTCGGCCGGCAACCACCGCTTGAGGATGTTAAGGGCCGCAACAGCATCAGACGGGTCCCTTGGGTAGTGGGTGTCGCTTTGGGTAACTTCAAAAGGTGCAGCTGCTAAGACACTCATCATAGGCAACTCGCCATGCTTCGAAGAAATTCTTGGTATCAAGCCCCAGTTATGGGAGAATAAAGGACAGATAACAGCGTTAATGCACAGCCCCAAGAGCCCCGCACGAGGCTCTCCATCCTGAAGTACCAGGATGGCTTACTAGAGGATATTTGAGTTAGCTGCCTTTCATGGGCCTAGGTTCTTTAATGTACTCGTCTTCTATCTGAGCATTTGGCTGTGATCTATTCATGACTTAAATGATGAACTCAACACGCGGATTTCATTCCTTTGTTGTCTAGGCCTTCGCTTCGATCTGAATACACATGCTTCAGCCTTAAATCAGCCTGGAATCACTGATCCTGTCTTTCAGGTGATGTCTGCTTAAGTTGCAGGTCTACACCATCTGCCATTATAGCTTGGACCTCCTTGCACTGCGTAGGATCGCTGTAGAAGGTAGCACCGATTTGCTCCAAAGCCCGACAGTACTCCTCCATATCCGACATGATCGGAAGCCGGTTGACCTGATCTAGCTGGGCCTGGGTTGGATTCAGAGTCCAAACACCCCCTGAAGCTGGCCAGCCCGTCAGCGTTGGGACGACGGAGCGGGTGATGGGAGGCAGATTATTAACGAGGGCATTAAGCTGGTCGCTGGTGATGGCAGTGTTGGGAGTTTTATCGTGGGGCTCCATGGTTCAGGTGGTTTATGATGAGATTCAGGGTTGAGAGCGGGGAAAGATTTCAGATTTTATAACTGTTGCTCTGCAGTCAGGATTCTCCCCACTATTCCCAATGCAGACAAACAGGACTTTACACTCCAATCAGGATGGTGCCACTGATGGATCAGATAAGATGGTGTGTGGACCAGCTAGTCAGACTTGTAGGACGGTGTATAATGTTGGAACTTGTCCCAGTTAGGACGGTGGACATTGGCAATATCCAATCTGGATCCAACAGCTACCCTAGCCGAGGACGGAAAAGGAGTGTATTTCCTTCAGCCAAGCCAGGAGCAGCACGATGATATGAACAGGCGTCCAATCGCGAGGAACAAAAACGAAGAGCTGGATATCTTCAAGCATTACAACGCAACATACTACGAGAATCTGAGTTTGGCTTTAGGTGGTGAGCACCTCGAAGGTCTCCTTGTCCATGATGATTCCTGTCTGACATCGGACTCAGCGTTGCTGATGGCACGGGGGCAAGAGAAGCGGACGAAAAGACGCAGCGAAGGGAGGATATAACTGCGTCTTCAGTCAGAATTTATCCGACGTAGAAAGTTATGAGTGGAAATAATTCTGCGCTGATATTCTCTATAGTGGAGGGAACTCGGCCCCCTCTGCTTGCTTTAAGAACATCGAAAGATCATAGGGAAACGCTGGAGGCATCGAAAAAAGCCCATCCATCCACTCAGCCCCCTCAAGTGCATCGGAACCCACCCCAATATCTTCAAGAAGGGACGCTCCGTAACTAGCATCTACAATCGGCCCATCTACGGCCCCAAACGGGGTGTCCGTGTTTGGTCTGATACCGCAACTGTCCGAGATCGGGTCGTCTGGGGGACTGTGTGGGCGTTGGAACCAGAGATGGTGCAGTAGTCGCGCGTAGCGTGAGGCAATGTGGCTCTCGCTGATTGCGGTGGTCTGGAGGACGGTGATGAAGCGTTGGATTAGAGATATAGTATGTCCATGGCGAGACTGGGGAATTGCGCCAGACGCGTGGGTTTTGTATAGGAATACCGCGGAATGGATTTCATAGCTGTAGTACTGTCAGCGGACTAGTGTACCAAAGGCGTTTCAAGACAGGAACTGGGGATATTCTTACAGGTAAAACCGCGTTGGCATACACCGTAGCTGCGTCTCATCAAATTCCTCAACAAACACTCGTAACAGAGACTCGGCCGCATCCAGAGCCTCATAGATATGCCTCGCATCTGCACTAGCCATTGTTGAGTCTGGAAAACATAATTTACTCGAAACACACACTTCCGGAGAAGAGTTGGGATTGACTGTAGGCCTTGAAGCACGATAGAGCACAGCCTGGAATGCAAAGGCATTCACATACAGCCGTAGATATTCCAGCATGATTGTTAAACACCCCGAAAGTGCACTGGAAACTGCAATCCCCCTCCAAGCACACTTCCATGCCGCCATAGCCTTCCCCGTATCATCGATATATTTGACATAGTCGCCGCGGGTGATTAGCTCGACGGTTCGTGATTTGGAGGCGAAGAGGATATCATGGGCATTTCCAAAGAGGGTGGTGAGCTCGACTTGGGCTTGGATCCAGGAGGCGTAGTCTTCGCAGAAAGGAGGCCTCGACTGGGGCTGGAGGGAAGGGAAGTCTTGCGCAATGAAGCGGACAGAGAGGGCAGGGCCCCGACACCAGAAGGCCTGGCCCATGCGTATTGATATTTGGCGATCGGAGAGGTACGTAACTGACGCCACGATATTAGGAATCTATATTTCGTTGGTACCGAGGGATATAGAATAGGGGGGGTCATACGAGTCCACGCGAGGCGCTTCCGCTGCGCCATGGGGTCCAGTTCATTGCCTTCGCCGCGAAATCCGCTATCTTCCAGTCGAAGCCGGTATGCAAGCCTGACTGCAAGCCCAATAATAGACCAGGCTGCCTCACCACCGCCGTCATCGGCTTGGCTTAAGTTGAGGAGGGTCCACTCACCGAGGAGTAGGAGGCCTTCGACACACCCGACATGGCGCGTGTCGGGTACGCCGAGAACGACGTCAAGTATGCGCTGATGGAGATGGTCACATATGCTATTATGCCGGGTGGACTGGTCCGGGCGATCTTTCGTTGCGACAGCCAGAATTGCGGTGGTGAGGAATGGTTCCTGCTGGAGCGTTTGCTTGATGTTGTCGGGATTGAGGACGCTCTTTGGGGCGATTGGGAAGAACTGATGGTAGGAATTGCGGTATCTGGAGGGATCAGCCAAGGCTACATGGATGGACGAGTATGGGCCCGTACGAAGATAATAGCTCGAGCAGAAGGGGTAGGAATATAATCCCGTTATCAATTAATGGATGAGAGATACAAGCGTCTTTGCCTCCCGCAGCTGCTGAGATATCCCCCATGCGGCCGCTGGGCTGTATATGTCGGTTCCCGGGGATGCTCAAGGATAAATTCCTGGCATTCCTGTCGAGCAGGTAGGGGTTGTCACTGCCAGCTTGGGCCTGAAACTGGTCTTCCGGCTGCCCTGCCGCATTGGCAAGAATCAAGAGTGCATCAGATGGGTTCTGCAAGTTGTCGTGAACGTGGTCTCCAGAGGTTGAGTGAAGCGATCCATTTCCAGGGGATGATATGGGTGGAGTCGATAGTGCTGGTTCCTCATCCTGCTGTCTCTGAGCTGGACGTCCTTTCTGTCGCCGAAGATGCGAATAGTCCCCTCCGCGACGAGACGTGGCGAGTACGCATTCAGCCCCCTCGCGATTGCACTTGACGCAGGGCGGTTTATTGGAGTCCCCGATTCCTCGTCTAGGGTTAGTGGTTAGCGATGGACTTCTTGAACCGGTTCCATTTCCGGGATCCCCGTCTGTTGAAGTCTGGAGACGTACAGATCACATCGTGTCTTGCGAGAGCGGCATCTCACGCAGGCCCGGTATTGCCGGAGACCGAGACCTTTCGTCATGCTGGGGACGCTTGTAGACGGAGAAAAAGATGCTGCACACGCGGTTGCGGGTAGCACGATGTGTGTCTGGAGTTGTTGGCAATGTACCCGAGGTTATAGACGGCTGTAGATATAATGACGCCCCTTCCCCGCATTAAAATAATGTGGGGGCTGTAGACGGCTGTAGATCACTATATCATGTTGGAGATGGCATGATTTGCCTTGTAGGGAAGAACCTGCGTTATTAATGTTGTAAAAGTTCTGTGAAGTATATAGATAGAGCGTATGACACCCGGTGCATTGTCAACCATAGTCGTCCCACAAATCAACGCACCACTGGTAAACGAACTTGAACACCATGGCTCCTGGTCGTCTGGCGTCTCCTATTGCTAAGGCTCCTGCGCCTCAACCCCTTGTCGAATCGCAGCGTGCTGAAAACATCAAGGCCGCTGCAAACGACATATACGGACGATACTATCCAGCTGATCCCAAGTCCCTCAACCTGGAGTCCAACTTTGGGCCAATGGATCCAGAGAATGTGGGATACCTCCAGCCAACCTCCGTTGACACGCCACTGCAGATTATGCACGAAAGGTTCCAGCGAGATGGCTATTTATTTGTATGGCAACCCGCACCCGCAAGTGTTAAAACTAATTGAGCGACAATAGGTCAAAGGATGCATTTCACAAGAAGCCTCGTTGAAATGTCGCGAAGCATACTTCAATTACATGGCGCCCAGTGGCCTCTTACAGGAAGGGAGCAACCCCGTCGATGGTGTATTTTCACACAAGGACAGCAGAAAGTATCTGCCACCAGGCAATCTCCGCCGACTATTCGGCTTGAAGGACGACGAGGAGAGCGAGAAATACCTCGAACTGATGATATCCGCCCACGAAGCTCAATTCTATCTTGACTTCTGTGCCAACCAAGAGCTTCGCGACTTTATCAGCCGTTTCACCGGCTGGCAGAAGCCTCACATGCTTCAGCGCACGATGTTGCGAGCATTTGTTCCAAACAGCGAGCTCACACCGGTGCACTTTGACCAGATGTATCTCCGTGCTGGCCCACCTACCAGTCTGACAGCGTGGGTACCCATCGGTGATGTCTCTCTGGAAGGAGGTGGCCTGATGTACCTTGAGGGCTCTACCGATATAGGACAGCAGACTGAGGCAGACTTTGCACGCAACGCCCAAAACCTGACTGATGAAGAGCGTGTTAGTGCCTTCAACAAGAATATGACTGATGGTGGGTTCCTCAGTCGGGATACAGTCGCTTATGGGAAGGAAAGACGCCGCAGATGGCTGATTGCAGAGTACGAGGCCGGGGATGTCATTTTCCATAACCCGTGGATGGTGCATGCTAGCTGCAAGAATAAGGACCCCAATAGTAAGATTCGACTCGCTACGGACCTGCGATTTGTAGATCCGGAGAAGCCTTATGACCAGGTGAGTACTGATTCGATTGTCCATTTACGCTCCACGTTAACGTTATCTATTATCACTAGCGGTGGATGAAAGTTTATCGCCCTTTGGATGGGCTGTGAATCTGTTGAGTAGAGTTATCTGCAGGGTAGAATTATATTATACTCAATCTGATTGATTGCTTATGTTACTATGAGCTCGAGTTCCCTGGAGTTAATAAATACCGTTCATGATCCGATGTGGGCACTGCTTCACCTAGACGTTAAAGATATGAAGTAGGATATACCGATAAGTCCTAGAGAAACTTTGCTGAAAAGAAAAGCGCTTTCTGATTTGGGAGTATGGCCGGAAAGTTCCAGTACAGCAGATATGATATACAACGCAATCGCCATCGCTTCGAGTGCTGCAGCCGTCTACAGCCGTCAACTGCAAGACTATTTCCCCACGAATTGGAAGACTTGGAGCATTGTCTTGGCTTCTCATTCTGCAGGAATGAATGCGGGGAATTCTGGAGTTAAATGCTATTTCTAGCTAATTCGTGGGGTATTCTGGGGTTGGAGTGGCCGTCTACTACCGTGTTATATGGCTTTGGAGTAAACATGAATGCTGCATGGAAAAACAGACTCTGCACCGAGACATATAAAGTCTCTAATCACTAGTTAGCCGGGTTATATTTATCCTATACCTCGTCCCAGATACTGCAGAAATACCATGTTTCTTCAACGGTTTATTCGCAATGATGCGACACGGACAGATCCCCCAGAGATTTATAATTTACGGACGGTACTCATCAGCCTCGTGGTAAGTGACGGCCACGCCTTTTCTGAATCCAGCACCGGCGATATTAACATCGATAGGCATGTGGAGGTGCACTACTCTTCGGCATGGACATGGGTATAATTGGGGGTGTCTTGACAATGGAGCCATTCAAAGAGTGAGTCTTGGGCCAATATATATACATGCCTGTTATGTGACATACTCATTAGCTCACAGGCAATACGGCCTCAACAACAAATCTGCAACAGCCCTTGCCAATCTCGAGTCCAACATTGTCTCCGTCATTCAGGCTGGTGCGTTCTCAGGATGCTTCTTCTCGATATGGCTGGCCAATCGCATCGGGCGGCGCATGTCTCTCATCCTCGCGTCCGTGCTTGTTTTCATTGGAGTGGCCTTGCAAGCTGCAGCTTCTGGATATATTGCTTCGATATATGTAGGGAGATTCGTAGCGGGGGTTGCTATTGGTATTGCCTCGACAGTCAATCCACTTTACGTGTCAGAGAACGCACCTCGTGGGATACGAGGCCTGTTGACTGGATTTTACCAACTTAGCATTGTCACGGGTTTGACAGTACGTTACATTTCCCTTCTTTGTGGTTACTAGACCAGCTGACGTAGGGAGCTTGCCTTTTGGATCAACTATGGGTGCTCACTGCATGTCAAGGGTCATGCGCAGTATATTATCCCACTGTCTCTGCAAGCTCTCCCGGCAGTGATCCTCTTCGTGGGTATGATTTTTGCTAGCGAGTCTCCCCGGTTTCTTGCTATGGAAACACCCGATAAGGCTCTCATCGTCCTCTCCAAGATGCGAAATCTGTCTACCGACCACCCATATGTCCGAGAGGAGATGCAAGGGATTCTGCTTGGACTTGAAGAAGAGCGCTCTCTTGCATCTAGCGGCTCATGGCTCACACTGATCAAAGAGGCCTTTACCGTGAAATCTTATCTGCGTCGCAGTTTCTTGTGCATCACGCTGATGATGTGGAGTAATCTGACTGGTACCAACGCCATGACCTACTACAGCCCGACAATCTTCAAGAGCGTGGGACTGTCCGGTTCTTTCGTCTCGCTGTTCGCTACAGGTATCTACGGTATTGTGAAGTTCGTTGCCTGCTTTATTTTCATTGTGTTTGTGACGGACTCCCTCGGCCGGAGAAAGAGCCTGCTGTGGACTGGCATCGTCCAGGTAGGTCCTCCGCGAACCTTGTCTGTTGGATATATTGCACGCTAACAAAAGTTAACAAGGGCTTGGCGCTGTTTTTTATTGGCTTTTATATTCGATTCGATCCGCCAGAGGAAGGAACAGATCCAGATGCCGCGGGATATGTCGCACTGGTAGCTATTTATATTTTTGCCGCCGTGTATCAGTTCGGCTGGGGTCCCGTTGTGTGGACATATTGTTCGGTAAGCTCTGCTTTTCTTCCTAGACGCCCCTCCTAAGGTGCTAACAGCATTATTAGGAAATACCAGCTTCTCGTATGCGAAGCCTACAAATGGGAATGGCTACAGCCAGTCAGTGGCTGTTCAATTTTGTCGTGGCCAAAGCCACGCCCACCATGTTCGCCACACTCGGCGTGAACGGCTTTGGAACATATTTTGTTTACGGATCTTTCTGCTTTGTCATGGTCGTCTTCACCTGGTTTCTCGTACCAGAAACTAAAGGTATGCATTGCGGCTTGTAGATGGGAATTGGGCAACTAACTCTACTGTAGGGCTGTCGCTAGAGGATATGAACGATCTATTTTCCAACTACAATGCGCGGGCTCGATTTATACCCGCTCGATTAACTGCGATTGAAGGTATGGAAGACTTAAAGTTTGATGCAGAAAACAGGCAGACTACAAAGTCAACTGCGGATAAACAGTAGCAATGCCGATAGGCAATAGAACCTCCCAATTAATAAGGGAACCAGCCCTCTTAAATAGTTGATCAATACCTGTAAATAGGACAGCTGGGATCTTTAGTATGCATAATCCCGTGTAATAAAAATGACACGGTACTAAGAAATTTGTATATATATTAGTGGTTGCGAAACGTATTGAGTGAAGGCTTACCCATTTCTTTAAGAGGCTGCAACTGCCCATTTACCCGTCCGAGCATAATACTCAGTCGGTCCAGGCGGTTTATGCTGCCCAGATCAGACGTGAGGTTCATAAAGAAGGAAGTTACCTCAGTTAATATCCCCGATTCCTCCACTCAACCCTATCCATAACGTCATTCGAGACAGTTTCAAGGCCAATAGAATCGAATACACCTAGCCAGCATGTAATTGGGTAAGGGATTCCCAGCATTGAAGCCACTCAGAACAGACCGGGAGTGGTGGAACTCCAGCCTACAGTCCTGCAATTACCATTGGCGCGGAGTTATATATATCTTTATACAAGCACTTTTACTAGTATATGCGGCAGCCATACTAAGTGTTTATTAGCTAAATCCTTTAAGTTGTTGTCTCGCTAAAGCGTACGTAAATGAGAGGCTAATAATCTCAGCATAGAAACCAATCTTGCAATATGTTGCCTGAGAATATGAGGCGGCGCTCGCCACTGTTATAGCAAAGGGAGTTCCACCAAGTTGACATAGTCAACATTGTCCGCGAGCGCCTCCACACGCTTACCAGCAGTGTTAAACAGCTTATCCCACACCAGGGTTTGTTTGCCGTAGTTATGGCTGTGCTTCCAGCCCTTGCGATGGTGAAGATCATGATCCTCGATGAGAAGGTACGTATTGCACAGCTTCATCAGCCACGTCCACGGGTTTGCTGTCCCGGTATACATCCGTAGCCCGCTATGACCCAGGATCTCAGTGAAGACTACATATTCCTGGCAAACCCACCACTCATAGAAGCCCATGGGAAATCCCATTAGCTTCATCGAACCGTATGCAAGAAGCGGTGTGCCGATGATATCCACAAACTCCTGCACCGTGTCCGCATAGGCGGTCAACAGAGGATTAGGGTGCTTGGTTAGGTGGTGGGTGCGGTGGAATTTCCAGAGGTGTTCCGTCTCATGCGCGGAGCGGTGGAGGATATAGTACCAGAAGTCAATCATGAGGGCATACATGCCGGTCTCGAAGATAAGCCATCCCCATCGGATCGAGACTGGGCCCTCATCGGGGCGGTAGGCGAGGAAAACGGAGTACATTGGACGGACCAGCATCGTGGATAAGAGCGTCTGCACAGTCTTGCCGACACCCACGTCAGGTACACCATCGCGAGCATGCTTGTCCCCGTCGAAGAATCCGATCCTGTGGCCGAGGCGACGGAGAACGTGTACTTCGTGAACGGAATTCAATTCGAAGGCGGCATGGTAGTATAAAAACACGAGCCACGCTGGAGGGTAACCGAAGTAGTAGATATAGAGTTGGTGAAGGACGAGTGGGAGGGCGGCGTGGGTAAGGATCCAAACATGGAACTGCAGCTCTGGTGCATAAGGGATCTTGTCGGTCTTCTGATGAATTGGGACCTCTTGATCAAGCTCGACATGGTGCACGTTCAGGAGCTGGATCAGCCAGTGGCCGCCACCCCACTGCGAGCGATCCCACAGACGCCAGGTGGACGTCATGGAGTCCTTTGGGTTTCGCATTGGGATAGCCATCGTAAGAAGCACGTCGTAGTGTTATGGGGAGAGGTATGTCAACAACCTCGTCCAACCCCGCAGCCCAGAAAGCTTTATATCCATCGGCCACTTTTGAAACACATGGGAAAGGCGCGTGAACCCAAAAATTGTTGGGGCCGAGGCGTGGGCACGTAAATCACTCTTGATTAGTGAGCTATGGGCAGCCAGGCCAAGTAAAAGAAGGGAAGGCATATGAAGGCTGATTGATATGATGAGGGTGAGGTCCACATCTTGTTCATATCCGGTAAGTCTTGCGAGCGGGTGTGCCATCAATCGGGCAATAGATAGGAGGTTGGTGGGGCTTACCACCACCGAGATGTCTGCCTAGTCTCTTTCACGGGGGATGCGCCCATACTTCTTTGTATGTAGTTGGGGTTGAGATCTGTCGGCACATTCTGCAGCGCATTCCAGTAGGTTACCACCAATTGGTCGCATCTAATTTCTTAGTAACATCGTCATAACTCTCTTGGATCTTCTTCCATGTCTGGAGTCTCCATTCTGTCACCCCAGGCGTAAATGCACGGCCAGGTCGTAGCAGCTCTCATGCTGTCTATGCTATAGATCGTGCAGCGCTTTAACAAGCGAGATACCAGAAGGGTTCTACGTGACCTTCTTGCCAGTGACTGTAAGTGAACCACTATAACTTTCTCTGGTAGACATTAAATAACATTATATGTAATATGACATTACCACAACACAGCACGATCGAAAATTAGCATATACTCGATTGTGATGGGATTAGGCCTTCTGACACAAGAAGATTATCGAAATTTCCACATGGTCCTCAATCTTAGGTATTCGGGGTGTATCCTGCGGAACCTTCCAAAGACCATACATTCTGAGCCTAGAGGTCATTCTCATGAGTAAAATCCAGGCCGGTAAGCTTGTCTTGACCAGACTGCTCCTCGGAACCAGTTTTATCTACCCTCAAGTCAACAGTAGAAAAGACGTCTTCATCATCATCACCATCACTATCTTTGGTAACATTCTTGACGGAGCACCTTAGAACCGGCACCCGATTAAACCGAGAAGAGATCCAAGTCCAAGCTGGGTACATGCCCGCAATGAGTGTCTGTCCATGATCCCTACCCTCATACCTCACATATCGAACATTCGTGCCCGAATGGCAATACTTCCAGTACAAGGCGTCGGTATCATTGACCGGGGCTGTTATATTGTCCTTCGTGCCTTGGTAGATATATAGAGGAAATTTCGGTCTATGCGTTGGGTTGACGTGCTGTCCCATGACCCCGTACTGATCAAGGATGTGTTTGAATTTGTACAGAAACTTATCGCCGCTATCAAACCAGTCTGTGACGTTGGCGTTCGTCGGGATTTTGGGCGGTTTCGGGTCTGGGCTGCTGCATCGTGTGAGGGGCCCAAGGAAATATGAGCCCCAACTTAGCTTAAGGTTATCGCGCAAAAAGTCTGACACTTCGGGAAATGCATTCATTACGCCTAGTATTGCCCACACATTGAGCGGGGATTGGGTCCCGTTGACGTGGATATATGTATTTGTTACGTTTGGAGGCGGGCCACCAATCGCAGCACCAACTATATTGAGGTCGGAATCCTCTTTGGCGTGCAACTCTGCCGCCCATTCCGAGGCGAGTCCACCGCCGGAGTAACCAAACAGGATTGCCCTCGCTTCTGAGTCAATTCCCGTATGGTTGTGGGAGTTTAAAGCGGCGCGAATAGAGTCCAAGGTGTGGTAGCCGCTTTGTGGACCGACAGTGAAAGCAGCGTTGTTGCCCTCGTAGTCCGGGACATTGATGAACGGTCTCTCCCCCAATGGTCCTTTGCTGCTCATAAGATACGGGATAACAAAGGTCATTTGACCCCAGCTCCACATCTGAGCGTTGGGATTGGCATCCTTCTGAAGACCAAATGACGGGGAGCAATTCACATCCGGGGAGTCGTAAGCGATTTGGTAGGATAGCAGGCGGTTAGGGTTGGCATGCTGTGGCCGGATGATAGTAGTCACGGATGTTGTTGGGTGACCTGTAGCGTTACGTGTTACAAAGAGGAGCTGGTGTGCCGTCAATGGGCTTTCGACGCCAGGGATAAGTGAGGGTAGGTCGACCGGTCGATGGTTAATGACGAAACCTGGCTTCTGACCTTTCCAATTTTCATCTCGGGGCGTGTAAAAAGGATCGATGACCGGCGGAAGTGGGTCGGCGGCCGCGTTGAGGGCTTGCATAAGGACAACTGTCGCGGCTAATAAGAGTGCGGCGAATGCCATGATGTTGACTAGAAAGACAAATACTGCTCAGTGGTTTCAGCAGTTTCGAATTGGGTCTTTGCTGCATTTTACCGCAGGTGACTGGAACATGAATAAATAGGTCTGGGTTGCAGAGTTGGTTACACAAGGTGATGTCAGCATCAAAGGCCATAGACGCATGCAGCGGATGGAAGTTGATGATAGTTGCATAAATATTGGTACTCAATGATAGCCTGAAGACCTACTGCTAGCCGGCTGCTGCGAGAACCTTAATTGCGCGACAAATCTTGACTGATCGCCGGATTCCACGGGAATGAGCCAAAGGAAGCTGCCGAATATTGTGGGCTGGACCGTGGGATCTTAATGAGATCAAACCGTATTGTCTCAGGTAGTAGTGGTCTACCATGTTGCATCGTATCAGCCAACCATAGACGTCAATATGACATTATCTACAGCAAAGGCAATTGCCAACGTCGCACAAAACGCAATGGAGTATGATGAGACCTATCAGGCCACCAACATTGGGTCCCTCTGCCCGTCGAATACGCCAAAACTACCCACTATACTACAATTGCAACACATGGAAGTTTCGACATCTAAGCTCATGGAGCTTATAGAATAATGGCTAAACCCTGTATATTTTCTAGGTTTGTTCGATGCTCGGAAGAGTTAATCAAGCTGTTTGTTGTATGTAGGTTTGAGTAAGTCAAGTACTAACGTTCTAATTCCTGTGAACCATATTACACTCTGATACCAAAGCATTCCAAACTAGAATTCAATGAAATTCAGAGAGCACCTTTCCCACGTGAAGACGATATGTTATTCATCCAACATGACAAAGTTCTCTTCGGAACAACCTGTCGAAGACATAATTTCACATTCCAGTAAAACCCCGAATATAGGCCTCCCAAGACCCTGCATCCCATGCGGAGGAGCCAATATTCTCATGCGAAGCTTTCAGGAGCAGCCGTGCCACCTATATTCATAGACCGGCAGGGAATCAGTAAGAGGGTACACGGCGCATGCTACACAGTATTTGGAACAGGTTGCTCTAGCCTGCTTCCCAAAGGTAGAAGATGATGATACATAATTGGACTTTGTGTTTCAAGGGAATCTCGTGCCGAGCCTTCCTTCAAATGTCTGTCCAACGCACATCCGGGTTCCCAGTTCTTGCTAGCCTTCTACTTGCGTATAATGAAGGTTCCTGCTATAAGCCGCCATGCCCGATCGAATCTCGTATTCTTAATTATTAATAACACGATAAAACGTCGTGAGGTGCAGCCAAGAAGGCCCGAAGCAACGCTCCCCGCTCAGCCCTCGTATTCCCGCTCAGCCTTGCTGTTATATGATGGACGGCTCTTTCTCTCAGGAGAAAGATTCCTTGTAAATAGAGGTTCTCATCGCCAGTTGAGGGCTTTAGAATTCATATCAGCCATGGATAATTCCAAGGAGTCGGTTATTTCGTCCGTTCAACTATATATCACGAAGACAGGGCAAGTACAGAAGGTGCACACCACAGGTAAAGGAGCGCCTAAGCTATCTTGAACGGTTCAACTGCTCACATCACTCCAAGACCGCGATGCAGAGGTGAATAACCCCTAGCTTTATTCAAATTGCTGAGCTATCAAGGTCCTAACAACATGGCAGGCAGATCGACTTGGTATGTGGACACTTGACCACCATTACCTCTATATTGATGTATGAAAGATATCCAACATCAGCTTTTCCACATTACCCTGGGTGGAAGACTGCACCTGTCTCCTTTGTCAGAAAATATTAGCTCTGTCCTCGATATCGCGACAGGAGACGCAACTTGGGTTCTTGCTTTCGGTACGAAATAGACAGATAGCTAGTTTCATGCCTCAACTAACAAATAGCAGCCGATAGAAACCCAAGTGTATCCATCATAGCTAACAGCTCAACTGTAATGGACAAGATGGGGTACCTTCCTAATCCCAGAAGAGCCAAGAGATAGGAGCTGATATCCCAAGGCTACCTGCAAATCTTACCCCCGACACCAACGATGCCAACAAACCCTGGCCGTACAGCCAAATGTTCGACTACATCCACTGCCGCCAAAACCACCGCAGACTAGAGGAACATGGCCTTTTCGCCCAGTCTTTTGAGTTTCTAAATCCCGGTGGATGGGTTGAAATGCAAGAACTTTGCAACCCACCAACTTGCGATGACGGCACCCTCACAGAGGACAATCCACTCTTCAAGTGGGGCAGATTACTGGTCGAGGCGTCAGAGAGGATGAATCGTCCAACTGATAATCCCACAAAGTATGAAGCCTGGATGAAAGAAGCAGGGTTCATCAATTGTCAAACTGTCGTGCATAAATGGCCAACTAATCCGTGGCCCGAAGATGAGGAGGGGAAACTAAAGGGCCAATGGAACTCGTACAACGTTCTTCAGCGGTTCGAAGAGTTTTCGACTGCTTTGATGGTGAAGAGCCTTGGGTGGAATCCCGAGGATGCAAGAGTCTTCCTTGTTGCTGTGCGCGAGCAGTTGCAGAATCCGGATGTTCATGCGTACTGGCCAGTGTGAGTACCAGTCACTATTTGAGGCCCGTATATTAATGTAGTGTCAGGTACTTTGTTTACGGCCAAAAGCCACCCACTGACTGAATGGAGGGTTTGTTTACAAGATAGTATAACAGAATGGTTACTCAGTTCATGAAGTATCCTATTAGATAATACCTATTTAAGAAAGATATTCAAGCCCTCATTCCATCCACGAGTGTAGCAATACGGGCACATGCCTCGTCCATGTCCTCTTCTGGAATCAGACTGTAGCTGGCGCGAATGTGACAAACCTTCTCATTGCCTGGCATAAAGGCGACGCCGGGAATTGCCAGGATTCCGTTCCCCATTTCCTGCTTACCCAGTAGTTCGGAGCTGTCTCGCCCTGCCGGAAGGCGCAGAGTCAGCCAGAGGAACATCCCAGCGGTTGGGACATCCCATGTAGCTCTTCCTATGAGATGGCGCTCCGCTGCGGCAATGAAGAGATCCCTTCTGCGTCGGTAGATATCTGCTACCCCGGCACAGTGTTCAAGAAATCCTGAATGGCCCCAATGTCGAAGCAGTGAAAGGGCTAGAAGCTGCGTGGTCGATGAAGGTTGAAGACTGATACATTAGCTGATATTAACCTGCAGCCTTACAGCGTCGGAGCTCAACATACTTGATGTTTTCTGTAATTTGGCAGACGCTATGAATTACAGCGACTGGAGCCGTAAGGACACCGACACGCATACCTGAACTGACGATCTTGCTCAGCGAGTCGAATCGGATTACACGTCCTGTCTCTCCGTTTGCCTCTGTCTCGAGTGCAAGATAGCTCCTGGCTCTCTTGGATGCCGTTTCAAAGTCGATAAAGTAATATGCGTCGTCCTCCAAGATCATGAAGTTGAACCGTTTGGCGAGTCGGAGTCTAGAGTTTATCAGCCATTGTTCGGTCATGGTGCAGCAGCTTTCTTACATTTGCAGTTTGCGTAGCTCGGTGCATGACTGGCCGGTTGGATTCGACCCTGTCGGCGTTGTATAGAGAACCTTGGGCCGCCGGCGATAAGATGGCCATTGCACCAAGGTTTGCTCCAGTCTAATTGGATCCAATCCTTGAGCATCCGAATGAACTTCTATAAGTTCTTGTTCATCTGCTCGTGCAATTCCGAGGATTCCTCTGGCGCAAGAGTTAGCGGGATTCCACTGCAGAAATTCGGGGAACCCACGGATATGCCGGTCTGGGGGTTGTTAGCACATATAATTTCAATTATCCACGATTTAAACATACGTTTCAACTAAAATTGGATCTCCGGGGTCGGTGAAAACCTGGAGAGCTCGACTGATAAGCTCTTGACTCCCGTTGCCAATACAGCACCCCCAGCCACTGTATGCGCCGACACCATGAACTAGCCGCTGTAGGCTCTCAAACCACTACACAACATGCGTAAACTTCCAGCCCCCAAGAGAAGGTGGGTGGTGGGAAGCATACCTTGATAAGCTCACCATTTCCTGCGGGAAGTCCATACTGTAAGCCAACGTTGAGATCGGCTTCGTCAAGCACGATCTTCGTTCCTGCGGGGCCTTTCAGGGTAATAGCGATTTCAGCAAATGGAAATGTCCCTGGGTTGGGCTTTCCAGCAACGAGGGATATCATTCCCGGTAGTGACTCTAGAGGAAGGAGACTGCGGACTGTACAGGCTTCAACACCGGCTCAATTATCTCATTTGGCACATGTGTACTTACTAGCTCCAGGCTCCCATTTCTGTATACGTTTTGAGAATAGTGATGTAGTGTCCACTTGCAAGCTTTCAAGCCCTATTGAGCCCATCGTACGGTGTACTGAATGCCTTCGGTCGACTGTATGGGAAGGGCACCGAGAAGGAAGGGGTAAATAAATTCTTATCACCAGTCGTGGTATTGATTCCTCAGCTATTGTCCGTATAGCTTAACGGGTACGAGGGGAGACTCTTTCCTGTTTACCACTGTGGCTAAACGATTCAGGTACTGATCACAAGGAAGCCTAGCCATGTCGGATTCGTCACGGGCAGGATCCAAACACAAATAGAACAGTGGCGGTATAATGACGGCAGGATGCGAGGCAAGATGCGAAGGCGCGATTAACACACGCTTGTAAGTCAAGGTGACATATTAAAGCTTACCTAGTAAAGACAAGCGGCTTGCCCTCGTATACCGTCCCTTGGACGTGCACTGAAGTAGGCTCATCATGGGCGATTTAAAGTTTACACCGAAAGTATAACAGGACAATTCCACTCCAGGCTGACACCGCTCGTATATCTCGCGTCTTGCGTGTATCAGCGGGGCCGATTTGACGTATGAGGTATACAGCCAAGGGCGTGTCATTGGAGATCAGCTCCGTTGCACTATCTTGTGTATATCTGAAAATAGCCATTGTTGGCATTTGAATAATTGAATCTGGGTGTTTTTAAATTACGCGTCTGGTAAAAGAGTATTCTGAATGGCTTCGGCTTCTGACTGTAATTCACATAACAGCTATTATGGGTGGGGCATCACAACTAATCTCTTCGGTTTGACTTCCTGGGATTCCCAGGAAGACTGCACGCCGCTCAGTGGTATACTCAAGATCTCAAACGGCCGCTCAATTCTCGTGATAAACGCGATCAAACCCTCCATCTCATTCTTCAAGTCTTGCTTGGTGAAGCTTCCCATCCCCGAGCCCCTAATGCAAATCGGCTTCGAGCTGATCAAATGAGGCGGCAACAGTTTGAGCATAGGAGGTTCCTCCGCGGCAAGCCTGCCAACCTGAATATACTGAAGCTCAACTCCGGGCTCTACTTCCGCTGTTTCGAGAAGTTTGGCGGCAGCCGTCCCACCCACGTAGTCTAGAATTATGTGCAGCGGTCCAATATTGGGAGGCAGAACGAATGGTGTCCTCAAAAGAACGCGGTCATCTAATCCTTTCACGCCTTCAAGAGTTTCCTGATTTCGTGATATCCCAATGATCCGCCGTGCTCCTAAATAGCGTGCCACGATAGCAGCTGCCCGACCACTCGCGCTTGTTGCGCCGACAATAACGATAGTACGTCCCTGACAGCTGCCGTTTACTCGACAGCGTAGCGCCATCCAGCTGCTTGACACCGGATTCATGAGTCCTGCGACAGCTATTGGGTCGGTGCCCTCATCCAGCTTCACAACCTGGCTCTGTTCAACGTTCGCCCGCTCAGCAAGAAGCGGTGCTGCTAGTGGTGTAATATAGTATAGGTCGCCTGTAGTTTCATCTTGTCCGACGCCGTCGATGCTGGGATCGAAGGGGAGAACGGCATTGCGCGCTGTTGGGTGGAGGCCTGCCGCTCGAAGCCGTACGACCGGTGGTATTCCGACAGATAGAACGTTGAGCTGAAGCTGGGTTGGTGAAGGTGCCGGTGGATTTGGGACTGAAATGCATTCAGGTGGTGCAGTCCACGAGGTGACCCTTACGGCGTTCATGGGGTTGTTGGGTGCTGCGAGAGATATTCAGTTTGCGGTCCTGAAAAGCATCCAGACGAGCACAATTATACAAGATGTCCAAAGATTGCAAATTTGCTTTACAAATGGTGTGTAATGTAAGCCTCGTACGGATGCATCATGAGCGGAATTGTGTTTCGCTTCGTCGGGTATCCAGGACATACGAAGTGCAGGAAGGACGTCGACGTAGCCATGTCAGCATCACCTGCATTAGAATGTCACTAATGGTATATATTCGGGGTTCACGGGCATCGGCCAGGCTCGCCCGCGTTCGTATCCGCGCGACAAGGTTCCCCGCAGATGTCAAGCAGAAGGTTTGTTACGTAGAGTTGCATTCTAAGACTTTTTAGGTTAACCTAATCTGATCAACGGAGTCGAATAAGCGAAGAATATTCAACCAGATTGCCCCCGCGGCTGAATACGAGGCCTACTAGCTAGTTGAGGCAACATACAACACGCCACCTGCAAGTGAAAGTGCCTCTTTCCCCGCGGAGTCCCCGGACGACATCCTGTTTCTTCAGACAAAATGAAGTTGCCTACCCACGATGCAAGACGGTACAGAAATGGAGATATTGCGCGAGCTGAGAATAGAAACACGAGCCTAGTCTTGAGAATTTAGGCTTTGCAATATGAACGACAAGACTTTTGGTCTCTTGCGCACGTTGCATATGAGGGACCTTTACGTGCAGATCTAGGAAGACGCATGGACGTAATTCCTAAGACACGCGCTGTATTTGACGTATTGTTTACAGGTTGTTCTTTCTACGATAAATGTTGTAGTATAGCGACATATCGATTAGAATTTGAAACGAGTAGCTAGCAAATAAACTCCTAATTCATACGAAGTCCAAAGTCCCCAGCCAACCCTAGGGCCTCATCCTTGATAGGCATCGCAACATAAGATGTAGTATACACACCTTTCTTCTCCGAGTACGAGAAGGAAGCATACGTTTGACCATAGTTATCCACGTCCTTACTGTGAAGTAATTAGCCCGTACCATTCAAGAGCCCAGCGGGGTAAAGGGGACTCACAAGATGGACTGCATCGTCTTCCTGTACCTACCACTATGTCCCCATTCATTATCCAGTTTCTTGAGAACACTTTCAAAGTTCCGCTCAGCAACCTCGGAGCTATCAGTATACTGGAAGAGCGGAACATATATCTTGGTATCGGGAATGGCCTTTCCAGGCGTGATCTCAACGGTGTACTGAATCCCAGAGTATCCTGTCCGGTTAATACGCTCCGGCTTCGACCAGGATTCATCCACTGCTTCGAGACCGTCGGGTTCGTTAATTAACAAGGGCCAGATCGTCTTTAAGATTTCAACCCTCTTGAGGGATGTCTCATCAGTCAGACGGCCACCGAGGGTTAAGACATCGCGGACAACGGCGAAGGAGTTCCCGCTTGTGTGGATATAGCATTTGACGCGTGCGTCTTTGTACTTTCTGGGGTCAACACAGTCGATTCCGACCAAAGGAAGCATGGCATCGTGTTTACAGGTAGAAATATATCTAGCGTTCGTCATGATCAGTATGTAATGCAGATTGAATTTTCCACTCGCCATGGGATAGACACACGATTCAACTAAATCCAACGCAGGAGTGAGCTCAGATCGTAATGGGTCAAGAGACCTGAGGGTCTGCAGGATGATATCCCCAAATGGGCGTCCCGTAGCAATGCCCTTCCGCACGCCGGGGATATAAAACTTCAATGTCCTTTTCGGACCGTCGAAATCGAAGCCCACAGAGCTTGGAGGTATGGCGACACCGGGAGGCATCTTCGCCAAAGCAATCTCGTTCTCTTCCGGGGTGAGGTAGAGTGCGTCCATAAGCCCGTTCATCCACTGGGTATCTGCCCCCACAACTGCCGCTAGACGATGGAGTAGCTCGCGCGACTGTTTCTCTGCGAAGGGGTCAGGCCCTGCTCTCTCTGCTGGACCGACAACATCAAAGTCGAACCGCACTTTAGCCTGCCCGGATGAAACTATGTTGATGCTAGGATCGAAAGGCGAGCCCACAAGGGAGGAGGGAGTTGTATATGCAGCGTGCGGTTCTCCTGGCAGAGGGCCGAGATTGGGTGCCACATGCTCATCGATAAATTCGAGATGAGCCTGTTGATCAGCCACTGAATATGTCTTCGCGGCCTCAAATAGTGGTGCAAGCACGGAGCGGAGGTGGCGAGACCAGTACACCTTTGCGTTCGGCTGCGAAGTGTCTGATGCAGAGATAGAGCTTTCGACCGTCATTTTTACGATTAAGAGAAAGAGAAACGCTGTTGCGTGTAGTACGGTAGGGGGGAAGTGTCTACACCACGGGAATATATATTTGAGCTGGGGAAGTCCAAAATCATCAACCTAGTTTGTTCAGCAATCCGAACGTCAGTAGCCGTACTAAAAATACGGACAGCGATACCAAACAGATTCGAAATATCAACTCTAACGTGAAAGGATCATTTAGCCATAGACTCGTATTCGAGTAGATTTAGCCTTCTTAGCTCTGCATATCGTGGAGGGTGTGAATAAATGCAACCTGAGACGGATGAGCACACTGCAGGCAGGCCAGGGATAGGGATATTCCATCCAATAGATCAAATACACCAAATTGACCAAGGTATGAAGTACTTTGGTGGCTTGAATATTGAGCCTTCGTATTCTCGTGTCAGATTTCGACAGCACGATCTCACCACTTTAGGAGTCCACGACTGGGTATAAGCTCGTATTCGAGAAGAAGATAATCAAGCTTGTGAGTCAAGGGTGTCGGAGCTGGAATCGTCAGAAAAAGATGCCGGGGTTCGACATCAAGGCCAGCCACCGAAGCTGAATTTCCAGCTGCCGTCCCCGTTGTGCGTTCTTACTGACTTTGTCGCGTCTTGCACTCCTCACTTCGTCTTCTGCGAGTAAATGTGCTTTCCGACCTGTGTGGCTATATATTCAACCTCGATACACACTCCGCCATACATCTAGTGGGATCATATTTGCGTACATCGTCGATATAACCCAATATTCAGACGTGGCAATGGCGCCGTCAAAGACAGACTTTGAAGCCCCGGCTGTGACCATTTTCCCAAAGGGTCATCCATTCGACAACATTGTCGACGCCTTACGGTATGCGGCGACACATTCAGCAGAAGGAATTGTCGCCTATCCGCAAAGCGGTATCAACGAGCCATCTGCTGTGAAGACTTTATCCTACAAGGACTTGCTACACCAGGCGGAACAAAACGCGTCTGTCTTGTCTCAAAAAGGACTATGCCACCCAAAATCAGTTGTCATAATTCGCTTTGAGGATGCCTTGGACAGCATTGTGTGGTACTGGTCTGTCCTACTCACTGGAGCCATACCTGCCGTCACAGGGCCGGGGATGTTCAGCCATAACCCTGCAGACCGGCAGAAGCACCTGAAACATCTTTACGATACATTTAACGGTCCAATCTGTCTCACTCGATCCTCTTTGATGGACCCATTTTTGGAACAAACAGGGGAGAAGCGTATCGATGCTAGAGCAGTTGAAGACATATTCACCAAAGCAGGAGATGATTTGGACTTGCCTCCAACAACACTGCACCCTTCGCCAACTGATGTTCTGGCTCTCATGTTAACATCGGGGAGTAGTGGGAACGCAAAGGCTGTGCCTCTGACCCATTTCCAACTTCTTTCAGCGTTCCGAGGAAAGTCAGCAGTTGCCAGCCTATCCTTCCCTAAAAGTCCATTCCTCTCGTGGGTGCACATGGACCACGTTGCGAACCTTGTCCATTGCCATATATTTGCCATTGTCTCTGGCGTCTCTCAGATTCAAGTGCCCGCTACAAATATCCTCGTCGACCCGGCCAACCTCCTGAATCTTATTAGCCGGCATCAAGTATCCCGCACCTTTGCGCCGAATTTCCTCTGTGCAAAGCTTCGACGGCAGCTAGAGGCTGGTAAAACCGGTACCTTGGATGCTTCTCTCAACCTGGAAACACTGTACTTGGACACCGGTGGAGAGGCTAGCATCGTCGAAGTCTGCGTGGCGTTACAACAGCTTCTGAGCAAATATGGTATCCCTGACGATGTATTCAAGCCCTCGTTTGGCATGACAGAGACAGTGGCGGGGTGCATTTTCAATTCCCATTGCCCAAGTTATGACAGCAGTGAGCACCTCGAGTTTGCAGCGTTGGGGACGCCGATGCCGGGCGTACACATGCGCGTTACCCGTCTTGATGAAAGCGGTGCTCAGGCAAGCCCTGGGGAGCGCGGCAGTCTCGAAGTCACAGGCGATGCCATTTTCAAGGGCTACTACAACAATCCCATCGCGACATCAGAGGCATTCACCGAAGATGGGTGGTTCCGCACAGGCGATCTGGCCTACATTGACAGTAACGGACATCTGCACCTGGATGGCCGGACGAAGGAAATTGTGAACATTAATGGTGTCAAGTATCTTCCTCACGAAATTGATGCGGCCCTTGAGCAGGCAGACATTGTAGGAGCCACCACAAGTTACTTTTGCTGCTTTGGGACTCGCGATGCCTCCATGGATACAGAGGTCGTGGCTGTGCTGTATCTCCCATCGTACGAGGAAGATGACGACGAGGCGCGGTTTGAAACACACAGTGATATCATCCGGATTGTCAGTATGCATACCCGATCCAAGCCGAAGGTTGTCCCACTGCACTCGACAGATATGCCGAAAAGTACATTGGGCAAACTGTCGCGGGCGAAACTCAAGGCATCGCTAGAGGCTGGCACCTTCGTCGAGCACCAAGCCCTCAATGACAACGCAATCAGACGATATCGACAGAAGGCCCGAGGTGAGCCAGAGACCACTGAGGAAACCATCATTCTCAGCATCATCCGAGAGCAGCTGGAACTCCCATCCGAGGATGACTTCGGGGTTAACGACTCCGTGCTCGCTACTGGAGCGACATCAATGGACCTCGTCGCCATAATGCAACGCATCAACAAGCGTCTCGAGCTCATCAAAAACCCTCTGCGACTGACAGACACTCTCCGCCAGCCTACAGCCAGAGGACTAGCGGCACGCATTACCTCCACGGGATCCCAGGTAGGGCACGTATACGACCCCGTCGTAACCCTCCAGTCGCACGGCAGCAAAACTCCCCTCTGGCTTGTTCATCCCGGCGTCGGCGAAGTGCTTGTATTCGTCAATCTAGCCCACCTCATAACCGACCGCCCTGTCCATGCCTTTCGCGCAAAGGGCTTCAACGCCGCGCAGGGTGAAACTCCCTTCGCGAACCTCGAGGAACTCTTGACGACATATTACACCGCAATCAAGCAGCGACAGCCTCACGGTCCCTACGCGATAGCGGGATACTCTTTCGGCGGGATGGTTGCGTTCGAGGTGACAAAAATGCTTGAACGCGGGGGTGATGAAGTGCGATACTGCGGCAGCTGGAATCTCCCGCCGCATATCAAGTTTCGCATGCGGGAGTTGCTCTGGGAAGAATGCGTTATTCATCTGTTTTACTTTGTGGGCTTGATGGACGAGAAGACTGCATATGAGCATAAAGCGGCCCTTTGTGCTTTTGAGCGGGATGGCCGTCGGCTTGATGCGATTCGATACCTGAGGCAGTACTGCGATGATGCACGGTGGGCGGAGCTAGGTCTGTCAGAGGATTATTATTTGCTTTGGGTTGGTCTTGCCAGTAATATGCAGAGCAATGCGGTTGATTATGAGCCTGAGGGGACTGTCAGGTGTCTGGATGTATTTGTAGCGGATCCGCTGAGCCATGTTGCGAAGGATAGGAAAGACTGGGTAGAGGGTCGGCTAGCAGCGTGGGCCGAGTTTGTCAGGGAAGATTTGCAGTTCCATGATGTGCAGGGGGCACATTACACAATGTTGAATAAGGAGTATGTGGTTGGCTTTGCGGACATACTGAGGGGTGTACTGAGGGACAGGGGGCTCTAGCATATGACTACTTCGCAACAGAACCTTTGGATTTTGTTTAGGGATCTCACTACATCTAGTCTGGTATATATTGGGCAGGCTACAAAGTCAATTAACGGTATCTATACCTTTGATGCCGAGAGTGACCGGGGTTCGTCCTGATACATGCAGAAAGAGAACCACCGCAGCGAGAGATTATCCGTGCCTTTTAATGATGACAAGATTTACGCGAGGTTTTTTCGGCTCTCTGCTAAGAAAGCACAGTTAACCTGACACAAAGAGGTTGCATGTTGCTTATCCATGAGTCAAATCGAATGTTATTTCCCGGAGAGTTCTGGAAGGAATAACTCTGCTCTGTTCCTCCGTACTGACCTCAGGCTAAATCGCGAAGGAAGAACTCTAGCGGAAGGAAGCGAGGATGCCGGGAAGTGGTTCCAAGGGCATGTGAACTACAAACCGAACTAGACCCCTACTTTCCTGTCAGCCCTACCGAGAATGAACCCTGTGGCCTGTGTCGCAGCCAACAGGTGTGCAGTGCAGGTGTGGCGTCCAGCGGCGGTTTAGCTCCCGCATCTACAGGGGATAACCAGGAGAATCTAGCCTGACTCGTAAAAAGGCTATTTGCCTTAGATGCCAAGGTCGGATGCCGTCGTTTCGAGCATCCTGTCATATGGACAGTATCTATGCAAAACATCCGTCGCTGCCCATCTTTCCTAATCCGGTAATAAGTCCGCTGTCGGCCCGAACAATGATGCCCTGTTGGTAACAACGGTGGATAGAGGGGGATTCTCACGGATAGCGGATGCTGGAAGCTGGTTTTGCTTGGTTCCATTCAGGCAGAATTCAATCCTGCACCGGGATATGTCGCAAGCAGACGCAGAGTAGATAAGGAAGGGTTGCGACTCTTCACTCTACAGAATCCATCGTTCATGAAGAGTTTTCCTTTAGAGATACTATTCACAATGAAGGCATCTATTTTCCAGCTGCTCTGCCTAAATGCCGCACTTGCTAGTGCCCAGGTCGTCTCAGGTGCTGCAGAGGGCTTCGCAGCTGGTGTGACTGGCGGTGGTGATGTATCCCCCAGCTACCCCGAGACCAACGAGGAGCTGGTCGCCCTGCTCGAGAGCGACGAGCCCCAAGTGATAGTCCTAACGAAGACGTTCGAGTTCATCGGCACGGAGGGATCTACGACCGAAGACGGGTGCGCGCCGTGGGGCACGGGGGAGAGCTGCCAACTCGCCATCAACGCGAATGGGTGGTGTGGCGACAACCCCGTGGCAACAGTCACGTATGATAATGCGGCCATGAACAGCATCCGGATCAAGTCGGACAAAACACTTGTCGGCGAGGGAGATACAGGTGTGCTCAGTGGGAAAGGGCTGTATTTTGACGGCGGCATCTCCAATGTCATCGTGCAGAATATCAAGATCACGAACATGAACCCTCAGTAAGCCCCTTTGAGACGGATTATTTATGCCCAAACACATCGTTTCTAAGAATGATACAGCCTCGTCTGGGGCGGCGACGCCTTCACCTTCTTTGGCGCTGACCAGATCTGGATCGACCACTGTGAGGTAAGACCAGGCCACCGTCCCATCGATAGCAAAAGAAAAAGACTGACCTGACGGTGTAGACCTCCCTCATCGGACGCCAGCATTTCGTGACTGGCTTCAACCCCAACACCCGCATGACCTGGTCCAACAACTTCCTCAACGGCGAGACCACCCACTCAGCCGGGTGCGATGACTACCACTACTGGACCCTGGAGCTGGTCGGCGTCGGGGACGAAATCACCTTCCAAAGTAAATACATAACCACATGCCCTCCTGCCAGATAGTATCAGAATCTGACTAAACTTGACCAGACAACCACGTCTACCACACCACCGGGCGTGGACCAGCCCTTTCCGGCACAACCCTCTTCCACGCTGTGAACAGCGTCTGGTCCGACATCCCGGGACACGCCATTGAGGGTGGGGACCAGGGCCGCGGGCTCTTCGAAGGATGTTACTTTACAGACGTCAGCGAGATCGCGCCCGCGGAGCCAGAGAACCAGCTGTTCAGCGCCAGTGACGAGAACGCTGCCTCATGCGAGTCTGCGCTTGGGCGGGCATGCGAATCCAATGGATACAGTGGCTCCGGTGCGTTTGACAGTTCGAATGCAGACTTTTTTGGCGACTTTGCAGACCTCACAATTGCCCCGGCCGGCTCGGCAACGGATGCTCTGGCTTATGTCCCTGAAAATTGTGGAATTGGGCGTATTTAAAGCTATGTGTCATAGAGATCAAAAGGTAGCGACGGCTGGGAATTTGTCGGAGGAAGAGATATCTTGCTTAGGGAAAGGCAACTTGGTAGTTGTTTTGTCGCTGAATAACCCCTGTTTTCAGCAACGAGAGCACGTGTATGAAGCTTTTCGCCTGGCGGGATTGTTGACCGTGTTGGCTTTCACGGAGGGCAAATCAAGAGATTGAACCCCAAGAATCTTACCTACCGATATGTATACTGCGCTTCTGGGCCTCCCTATACTTTGTATTTTGAATCATGAAAATGCGCGGCCCGGGTGGGATTTACATTAGATATAATCCAAGAAGTCTGGATTCCGACAAAAGAGACCACCACGCTCATCATCTAAGCGAGTTGATCAACACACAACTTCCTTATTAGCAGAGCAACGCGCGTATTCAGGGAGCGAACGCGCCCAAGCCACGTCAACACTATAGAGGCGCGGATCCAGAGAAAGAAGACGAATCGATAATGGGTCTATTGGTGGAGATGCCTAGATGGACAACAGGCAAGTAGCTCAATGATATATAGGCCAGATGAGGACATGCGCTAGCTATTGCAACTAGCTTCCCGAATTTGCAGACAAGGCCCCCAGATGCGCTTGCGGTTTGCGATGCCCATGAGGGGGCCCCGTAGCCCATACATAACAGACAGCTCTTTATCCAACCAGAGAAAAAGGCGTTTACAGCCCGTTTTAGAGTATCTCTCATCCTCAAGGAGTTCGAACAGTTCCCAAAACCATGGCATCTCGCGCCGCAGCATCATTTCCCAAAATGAGCTGTGGTGAGTAGCTACTTGAACCGTCCAGGATGCTGTGGCCAATGCGGGCACTGAGCTTCCTGGCAGCCGTTTAAGAACTAGATGCAGCACATCATATGGCAATTGGCTGAATGGGTCAGCCACCACATTTGGACGTAATTCACGGTTTGTCGAAGGTCGCTGGAACGTGCCCGAGTCAAGCTTGGCCTTTAAAAAGTCACTCAAACCAGGAATTTCTATTGGGTTCGTGACAGCAAACTGGGAGTGGTTAATGATAAAACTGAGGAGCAAAGAATTCTGGTTGTTGGAATACCTCTTCTCCTCGTATACTTTCCCAGAATTGGGCGGCCCCTTCTATAGGACCATGATCAATGTCCAAACTCTTCCCACCCTCAAGAGCACTAAAGCTGCCGCGCAGATCGTCTTTATCGATTTCCTCTTCTGCGTTCAGATCACCAGTGAAGGTCCAGGTGAGCAATTTGAAACAGGGTACGTGAACGGGGAACGCTGCGTCAGAGGTATTATATCTTCATGATGACCGTCAGCTCTCAATCTGGGGAGCCAGAGGGGGTATGCGTGAAGAATACCCGCTGAATTTCGTAAAGTCCTCATCTACACAAGAGTTAGAGGAATTGCAAGATACTGCCGCCCCGATGAGGCCAAGGGGTACCACTAACCATCTCCCACGGGGACATAAATGCAGCCCTAGGTTGGCTCCAATATTAGTCGACGACCTCCGTATAACCCGAAAAATAAGCGTCATCCCCATACCTGCTCCATATAGTGTCCCTCGCCTGAGAGAAACGCTCTGGGCCGCTGCGAATCAGTACCAGTTGAGATAATGGGGAAAATATATACTCATACTTGTTCGTTTTCTCGTCTATTCCCAAGCCACGAACAACTTCAAGCCACTCCAAACCCTCTTCGCTGACCAGCTCGGGGTCGTAACTGTACTCCTCTTCTAGTGCATCGAAGTCTTCCTCAGTCTCGTCGCCACTTGCCTCAGAGTCGGAGTCTGGTGGGGGTTCCTCCCCAGCTAGCAGCGCTTGCCGCTTTCTCTCCACGCGTCGTCGACGTTGTGCCAGGGCGCGAGGGTCAGCAGAACCTGCCCCAGCACCCGTCAGGGAGCCACCACAGATAGCGCAGTAACAATCAAAGGAGCCCATGATTAATGTGATCCAGGACGTCAAGGAAGAAGAAACCTGGCGACCAGGAAATTTTCAGACAGGAAAATGTTTCCCTTCGCATTTGGACTCGTATTCTGGAGCTAATCCTGCCCCTCTTTCCAAACCTGTGTCCATCATTGCCTACTTAGGTTGAAGGCGAATCAAGGCGGCTCATGGCGATTTCGTTTCAGAGGCCGAACTAACTCCTTCCTCCGAGCTCCTGCTATCTCATACGATGCAGGGGACAGCATGCCGATGGGAGATGATCGGAATCGGGAAATCCGCTTCGGCGAAGATACCAACTGGACCACCACCAATGACTAGAACATCGGTTTCAAAGTAATCAGTGATACTGTCTGCGTTGTAACTATTGTGCTGGATTCAGTGCTGAGAAGCAATGTGTATGAGGATTCAAGATGACGCAGTCTCTCTAGACAGCGCCGTCGTTTTATACTGGAGGTGTCGGGTAACTCGGGATAACTTGTATAACAACTGGGAACTTGTTTCGGGCCGATCAGTGTGCTTACTAGGCAAGTTTCCTCCCGAGTTATGATTATTTCTATTGACTATGATGATATAGGGCGGAGTTGCCTGGGTGCTTCGTATATGTAACAAGACAATGACAGGGCTGGGTCTGACAGAAACGGGTGGAAACCCGATCAATATAGAAATGATTCAAAGAATCAGCCTACTTAGGCAGCCTTGACCTTCTGCCCAAGACCGGCAACCCATCCACAAATGGCATACTCGGCCTGCCAATACCCTGGTACAAACTGGAACAACAAGCCCCGAATGACTTTCCCAAAGACAAACGGTACATACAGCAGGGGATTAGCCGCCCTTGCACTAGACACGCCAATCGCGGTCGTCTTTGCATACTCTGGAGCCGTGACCAACTGGACAAACCCCTCGGCCAGATCCTCGTATGAGACCGCCGTGTATGCAAACTCGGTACTAATCACACATCCCGTCGCTGGCTCCTTGACGAGTGCATTTGGTTGGACAAGGAGCACGTCGGCTAGCTCGGGAACACGCAACAGCATCTCCTGCGCCTGCACAAGATCGCTGTACGGCCGTGCGAACGCGTTGCGGATCATCCAGTGGAGCATGGCCGGTCGGTCCGCCGCGAACTGCGCATTCCACGTCGCCGAGGAGAGCAAGAGGAGGCGCGGCGGCGTCCACTTCCGCCCTGAGCCTGATGGCCTGCTGGCTCGGAGGGCGGATAAAGCGTCAATGATGGCTTGCGCACAGTCGCGTAGAATTGTTATGCCAGGGATGTTCTCGTTCTCGCCGACGGTGGCGATGATGGTGGTCGCGCCGGAGAGACAGTTGCGAATTAGGGCTGGATCCTGAAGACTTCCTTCGAAGATGGTTGCTCTCCCGTCCAAGGCAACAGCCGGGACCAGGCTTTCTAGCTTTGAGCGGGAGCGGACGTAGATGTTAAATTTGGTAGAGGGGTTGGACGTGTCTAAAAGCTTTTGCAGGATCAGTCGTCCCGTGTTACCAGTGGCACCGAGTAGGGCATATTGTTGTGCATCAGATGGGGCGGCCATGCGGGCAACACGAGCGGCGTCTTGTCTGGAAGGTTATGTGTGGCGGTTCCTTTGTTTGCGAAATCAAGCCTCCTTGGAGAGACTTATAGTCAGAGTGTAGTTGCAAGACAGGGGTGCCTCTTCGGGAAAACCGAATACAAACCCCCAGCTTGGGCATCTCATCGCTCCCAACGTGTCTTACAGCGAGCAGCATAGCTCCGAGACTATGGCAGCGATCTCAGCCAAAGTCCGAGGATGCCAGTCCGAGAATGCTAGTCCTACTTGCAAGTGTCTAGAGCAGATCTCGGCCTGGTCTCCACTAGCGGTGGGCCTCCCATAGATTGTCCCAAGGTCCCGCGCCGCATCCGGTCTTTGTCGGGTTTTGACAGTCATCCTACGTCAGTAGCGACCCCTAAAAGTAGCCAACGCGTGCGTGTTCCTCGAGTATTCTCAAATATCCCAACTGTTTGACTTCCCGCTTCCCACCGTCCGTTTCCCTGCTCTGTGACCCAAGATCGCCATGTCGTCAACCGTCGGGCTCCGCATAGCGCAAGCCATAGGCTGCACAGGAGCAGCATGGCTCTCCGGTAAGCACCATGTGCCTAGATACTGTTAATTACCACACGAGGAGTCTCATGCCGCTATCCATCTCCGCAGGAAACATCGCAGTCTTCAGCATAAATGTCATCCCATCCCTCCTTCGCTCCCGAACAGAGACAAACATATCCATGGCAGCTCTGGCCAAGCAATGGCGAGAGATCTACGAATCTGGCAAACGCCAGAACCCTCCTATTGCATTTCTCACTGCGGCATCCTTCATCTACCTCGCTGTGGTCTCCTCCCGCAACAAATTGTCGCCCCTCCTGGTGTTCGGCGCACCGTACAGCCGCGCAGGTTTCTATGCTTCGGCCGCACTCCTAACACTGGGCATTATGCCGTTTACCTTTGTTGCCATGACGTCAACGAATGATGCGCTCATCCGCGTGTCCGACACCCCGAGCCAAGGGGCATCAGCAGGGGCAGCGGCGACTGATCCCGAGATTGAGAAGCACCTGCGGGATTGGGTATCATCCAACCGGACGAGGAGTTTGTTCCCGCTTATTGCCAGTCTGACCGGGATTGCGGCTGCGTTGCTGTAGTAGCAGGGACAGTCTGCTTTGATGGTTGCCCTGGTTTTTATTGTTGATGTGCTGTGAGGATGTTGGAGGAGTGTATTTAAATGCTGTTAGGTCTAAAGTATCATCTCCTCTCGTAACCATATTCTGTGTTTCGCTGCAACAGGAAGCTGGATCTTTTCATGGGAAGATCGATCACTTAAGCTTCCTGGTCTATAATTTCCCCAAGTTATTTTTGCCTTTTATCTTGATATATATATTGTTCCCCAGGCGCGTTAAACGCCAAGAATGCCAGCCACAGTAATCAAGTTGCTTTGACACAAGACATTTCTCTGAAAATTGTAATTAACTTGCAGCTATACTTTCTATAAGAGATCCCTATAACAGCTATAGGTGTTTTGATCGGCACCTAACCCAAGTAACCCTCCTCACGATAGAACCGCTCTGCTGCCGGGTGAAGAGGGAGGCTCGACTGTGCCATCTTAACAGGATCAAGGGGATACGACAATGGGCTGCGCTCCGGCGGGATGTGTTTGTACTGGGCCTCCAGGGTTTCTCTTGTCATCACCAGGCACCAGGTCAAGAGGTGAGCAACATCATCTGGCATGTCGGCACGCACAAGGACAAGAAAATCAGAAAAGTCGACGCAGGCGACATCCTGGTTGATAGCGTCCCAGAAATGGGCCTGGACGACTGCCAGCCTGAAGCCAACCCGCGTGGACAGCTGTGCCATGGGACCCTCCTCGATGGGGATAGGGACCAGCGTGCGGCTCTCGATCAGATTGCGCCACCAAGGGGTCATGATCGCCTCTTGGACTACTGCGTCTGCCTGGCCTGTTTCAACGAGGGCCAGGACCTGCTCAGGTCGACATGCCTTGACCCAGCTCCCTCCCCATGATTGAACAGTTTTCTCGTCGAGCCCATGGGCTTCAAGGATGCGCGCCGAGACGTACCCAATAAAATTCGTCCCATCGTCGGCAGAGACAGCGATCCGCAAGGGGAGCTTCTTCTCTCGAATCTCAGCAAACGAACAAACTCCTAGGGACAGTTTCACAGCGAACATCATGCGGTCGCGCTGGGGCAAGACGGCGAGACAGCGCAGGTCCGGCAGGGGCCCTGTGGTTCTGAAAATCTCTCCACCATCTGTTGCAGCTTCCAGCATCCCTGCTGGAGTGCAGATTCCCACCTCGGCCTGTCCGTTGTGTACCTGGAGCGGCGAATCCATGCCACCGTCGCGCAGGGACAAGATCATCGTGCGGCTGGCTGGGCCGGCGCGGTCGCAGAATTGCTGGGTGAGCCATGAGAGGATACGGTGGAAGTTGGCCTGGCCCCAATCACCGACGCAGCGCAGTTCGATGGAGCGCTCGATTGCAGGGGCGGTTCCTGGGTCGGCCATTGTGGCGGCTGGAGAAGGATACTACAGTGCAAAGCAGACTGTATCAGAGCCTGCTTTTAACCCCATAGCAGCACCACTGCCACTGGCTCGTTGACAATGAATGTCTTGACGCAAAACCCACAAAAGCCGAGAGGGCCCCTCAGCAAGTTTACTTGTTTCCCACAGTCGCCTCCTGGCCTGGCGTCGCCGTGGAGGAGTCAAGAGGCGCGAATCGGGCTGACTCCAATGCTGGCCTAACCCCACGCGCAACAGGCATCTTTTGCGGGGAAGACTTGTCAAGACTTGTCAAGGCTTGTCGCCTTAGGGTTATTCCCAAGTTCAATCAAGCATGGATCGATGCTTGAGTGGGCCCTCTCTTTCTCCGCCCGATCGGCAGTCGGAGCTTCAGTCGCCGATGCGTCACTTCTGCTCAAAGCGCTGAACTTGCCTCTGCCATCGCCCATCCATCACCGAAATCATGAGCGAGTACTCGCTGGCTCCTCTAGCACAGTTGACGTGTGAGACGTGTAAGCGGCGCAAGGTCAAGTGCGACAAGCTGCGCCCCTGCACCAACTGCAGCAATGCCGGCATCCAGTGCGTCGCTGTTGAACGCGCGCGCCTGCCACGAGGCCGCTCGGCGAAGAAAAAGAAGCGCCCACAGGAGGAACCCGGGAACCTGTCGGGTCGGGTCTCCATGCTTGAAGGGGTGATCCAGTCGCTGCTGGATGGTCGTGCCCAGTCCTCGGAGAGCACCTTTCCTTTGCCCCTGTCGCTGGCGCCCAGTCCATTGCCGAGTGGAGACGCAGCCCAGCAGTCGGCGGCCATCGATCAATTCGTCTTGACTGGCCACCGTGCTGCGTTGAATAGTGAGGAGGATGGTACCCTCAATACCCTGAGTCCCCGTCTGCTGCAGATTTACACTGAGCAGGTCGATCCCATCCTTCCCATTCTGCAGTGCTCGGCGCTATCGGGATTGGTCACGCAGGGGGGTTGGTATCTGCAATATCCTGCAGACCACCCTGCGCCTCAGGCCCTGGCCTGCGCGATCAGCTACATGACCATTACTACTCTCAGCAGTGTCCAATACTTACGAGAGTTCAACGCCCCCCGGGGCCTCCTGCTTGACAAGTACCACAGTCTGGCCCAGTTGGCCCTGGATCGGGTGGACTATATGAACACTGACGACCTGACTGTTCTGCAGGCGTTTGTGCTGTTTCTGGTATACCCTGCGATTGCCCCTTCATGTTTTATGCAGACCACTGACACACTGCCATGTAGATTTCTATCCAGGCCCATGACCAGAGCCGACGGGCTTGGACAATGCTGAGCCTCGCGGTGCGCATTGCCCAGTCGCTCTCCCTGGACAAAGCTGATCCGCCCTTCACGGTCTCTGCACTGACAAGGCAGATGCGCCAAAGACTATGGCATGTAATTTCCCTGCTAGACGTCCAAGCCTCATTTGATCGTGGCTCTCCGCCAATGCTTCACTTGGATTGCCTGCGTTCACAGGTCTTCCTGGCCGTGGACTTCTTGGATTTCTTCAGTGGGCCCGAAGATGATAACTTATCATCTCCCGTAGCGTCCCTGTCAAATCCGACCTTTATCATATTGATGGCTGAAGCGCAGCGTGCATTCCGCACCCTCGATCTGTCTGGCGACACAAGTCCTTTTGCCGTTGGAATTGAAATGCACCTCCGCCTCCAGACTGCCGCTACTTTCAAGGAAAAGTCCCAAGAGATCTTAAAGAACTTTGAGCCGCAGCAAGTCCTGGTTCACTGGTTTTTCGAGAAGATCGTCAATGTTACCCACGCCTTTCTGCAGCTGGTAGCCGTTCAGCCCTTACAGCGGCCGCCTGGCAGCCCCTTCTCTCAAGACATTGTACACCAGAGCACGTCACTCTCTTTGGCAGTGCAATTTCTGCAGAGTCTCAACGAGATGCATCGAAATCCCCGGATTGAGCCCTTTCGCTGGTATACGCGTCTATTTGCCCCATGGCATGCTCTCTCCGTTGCCATGGATCAGGTTTGCGATTGCAGTGACCCGTCCCTTCAGGGGTACTACCGGTCTGCCATCGCGCATCTCTATTCCTCGCTACAGGACCTCTTAGGCGACGCTCATCAGGGACTCCTCCAGCGGCCGCTGCAGCGGTTTTCCTTGCTCTCGGAGACTTGCGCGACTCAGGACGTGATGGGTGATTTACTTTCGGAACCGAATCTTCAGCTGTATTGAAAAGCGTTCTCCAAAGTGAAAACGTACTAGAATGGCTAGAAACCGAGATATATATCGCCTTTAAATCTTGATATGGGTCGGCAGTCGCTGAATATCTAGGGCGTCGTCGTCCTTCTGACCGGTCGACTCCGATGTTTGAAGTACCCTGACCTCTACTCCATACACCATACTCCCGATATCAAGGACGTTACGTATGGAGTAAAGGAGCATGGTTTACAGAGCCATTTTGAACTCGCAGATCACAAATCTTCATTCTCGATACTGTCCCTTAACTTCACTAACTGGATACTCGAAGCCGAGTAAAAACAAGCCGCGGGCATGTCATTCCGGTATATACCCATCGCGACTAGGCAAGAAACCCTCGACACCGAGCCCGAACCCCTCCCACCCATCAAACTCATCCACAAACTTGGCCGATGCCTTGCGGTAAAAGTCATTATTCGCCCCGAACGTCTCTTCAAACGCCTTGGGCGCCCGGACAACCTTGAAGAAGTGCGAGTCCTTATACCACTTGTGCCACAGTGCCCGCTCAACAAGCGCATCCCAACCGTCAGCCTCATCGCCCGCGAGCTGCACACTGCCAATATCATCTATCAGGTCCCTGTGTATCGCCGGCTTCTTCTGGCAGATGTACACCATGATCACAAATAGCGCGTACTGTCGCAGAACGCACGCGCGGCGCTCGTCGTCCGGGAAGAGATCCCAAAGAACGCGCAGCGCATGCGCGACCGTCATCGTATGCACGAGGTAGAAGTCGAACTTGCGCTCACGGTCACCCGTCGCGATCGCCAGCAGTACCGACGTGTCGCAGATGTTCTCGAGCTGCTGCAGTGCGTCCGACGGGGTCACCTCCCAGGCGTTCCAGTGTTCGAGAACAGCCTGGAAGCGCTGCTGCATTAGGGCCTCGATGTTGGTAATTCCTTGGTGCTCGAAGAGATTGTCGAAGCGGGCGTCATCGTGCACGCGCTGGATCACGTCGGCGAAACTGGTGGTCTTGTACGTGGAGTTGTCTGGCGGGTACGAGTCCAGCAGGCCGTGGCCTTCCATGCTCTCGGTGCAGCCTAGCGACAGGGCCTCTGTGGCGACTGCGGGAGACTGCATCTCCCAGGCGTAGGCGAGGTGGATGAAGGGGTGGCCGACTTTTAGGCAGTTTAGTTAGCACCTTTTAGCAAAGGACAGACGGTTCTGAAAATTTCGAAGAAGAGAATACGTACGGCCACCACAAAACCCGTTAATCAGCGGCTCTGGTCCAGGGAACAAGTAATCCTGAAGCAGCTTCTTCCAGTCCCCGTTGTTGCGCTCCAGCTCCTTGTCAAAATACTGTACGTACGCTACTGTGTATCTTGCGCGGCATTAGCACGGCAATAATGACACTTTCCCCAGACCAACTCACAGTTTCTGGCCGAGAAATTCCCTCCAGTTGTCCCTGGACAGGGCGGATCCCGGGATGAACGTATCATCAATATCTCGCAACGTGGTGATTTCATGCTCGTACAGCTGCTCGAGCTGCTGCGCAGACGCGCCGAGGAAGTACGCGGAGCCTAGCAGCTATTTTTTCCTCGCCACGTTAGTAAAAGAATCGAATTGATACTAAGGCGTGAGTGAGTATTACATGTGGAAGATGGCTATGAAGAATCAGCTTTGGTTCGCGCAGAGGCGCAACGCTCGTGTGCCCTTTCTCGAGCAGGTGGCGGAGGGTGCCCGCCCGTTCATCCTTCACGTCGAGAGTGTACGCTGCATTCAGACTGCGTAGCCTGGCGGGGACAGGGAGTCGAACCAGCTGCTCGGCTGGCTTGTTGGGGTTGGGGCTGGTTTCGGAGGTCATTGCTCTGGCAGGGTCTCAGAAAACAAGAATGCTTTGAATCCGATCCCGCCTATCGACGGCGGGGTATTTGGATGCATCTTATGTTTATTAGTAGGACGGGATGAGATGGGGTGGACTGGCGACTTGGCCCACTGTGGGGGATGAAGGTCGTTGCGGTAGGCTCGGGTTCTGGACTCTGGAGTCGGATAACACCCTGGCTTTAGGTAGGACTGTTATGAAAGAGATCGGCTCTTGGCCTTTGTGGGTTTAGGACCACAGTCCTGCTCGGTCCCTCGGCTTTTGTAGCGTATATCCGGATCGTAGACACCTTTCTGCAGAAATTGTTGCTATTGTTGACGTGTGAGGACGATGAACACTATAGAGAGCCCCAGTAGCTCACGCAAAACCAACCACCTTCTTAGTGTCGGACATAGTATTTGATCCAACAAAACATAGCTTCGTTATCTACAGCAACAAAATGACAGGAGCGGAGGTAAACTCTATTACATCGGTGGTCAAACCCCTCATTACCGGGTCTCATATTCTTCACCACCATGGGTAAGTCTTCAACGAGGCTTTAGGGTCAGTATCATATCTTAGTAAGTCTCTCCAGGATCCTCGATGCCTACGGGCATCTTTCTGTCCGCCATCCAGAAAAGAAGGACACCTTTCTGATGCCACGGAACATTGCGCCGGCTCTTTTATCATCGGCAGCGGACATTGTCGAGTACCGCGTGGAGGATGCGTCCCCGGTCGATCCAAATAGCCCCGCGGGGTACGTCGAAAGGTACATCCATAGCGAGATATACAAGAGATATCCCGAGATCAGGAGCGTCATCCACAGCCACTCAGCTGCGGTACTGCCCTTTACAATCACCGGTATTTTCCTTGACCCTCACTCTCAGTCTAATGCAGATGTCCTCTCTGACAATGAATCTAGCCGTTAATCTGCGTCCATGCGTGCACATGGGAGGTTTTCTAGGTTCGTTCCGCCAAATTCCTCCCTATATGTATCGTTGAAACCCTTTGCGACGGTTACTCATGTCGTTAATTCAAACAGGGGATAAAGTCCCCAAGTTTGATATCGCGCAGGTATACGCCGAGGGGGATGTGCGTGATCTCTTGATCAGGACTCAACGGCTAGGTCAACATATGGCTGTGCTCTTCGCGCAGGAAATGGGAGAGTCGTATAACCCAGTAGTCTTGATGCGCGGCCATGGTTTCACGGCTGCGGGAGCAAGTATCAAGGAAAGTGTGTTCAGAGCGATCTATACTGCGGAGAATGCTCGGGTGCAGAGTGCCGCGCTAAGCCTTCAGCTAGCTTCTGGCACGGCACCACTCAAGCCGGGCGAGTCGCTATACTACCTGGAGGAAGGGGAGCTGGATGCGGCGACCCAGATGACACAGTGGTCAGTGATGAGGCCGTGGCAGCTGTGGGAGAGGGAGGTCGAGGCGAACGGGCTCTACGTGAACAATGTTGAATAGGGCTCGTAATACACCAAGTATATATTTCCACACCAACGTTCTCCATTTGTATAGATTGAACGTACTACACATTCAATAAGATACTAGTATCTGCGTTATACACCAAATATAAAGTTCTTGTAGTACTAGTTAACACTTAAACATAACCTCCAGATCTGTTTGAAGATACAGTGACTATCTAGTCCCATCGCCCCCACAGATTTGGCTCCGCTGGCCGGTTGGCGAGGATATCTTCAATCCTGTCAACTATGCCCGGCGTGCTCTCAATCTTCTTATACACATCGAGGGCTTTCATGTTTTCGGTCACCTGGGCAGGCCGGCTTGCACCTGTAATAACTGTCGACACAGTCTTGTTCAGCAGACACCAGGCGAGCGCAAGCTGCGCTGTCGTGCACCCAAGCTCCGTCGCAATCTCAGTCAAGCGGCGAACCTTTTCAAGCTTGGCTTTCCCTTCTGGCGAGGATAAAGCCTTCCCAAAATTAATCATATTGGCCTTGTCAGACGCTGCTGCATCGGTAGCCGCAAAACGCGAGCCCGCCGGAATCCCGTCGTTGTACTTGCCCGTAAGCACTCCATTGTCCAGGGGCGACCATATCGTCAACCCGTACCGATAATTCTCCAGCACAGGTCGCAGCTCCCCCTCCACTCGCTCTCTCCAAAGCATATTGTACTGCGGCTGGTCGCAGACGGGCGGGATGAGACTGTGCACCGCAGCCATGTGATGCGCACGCTCGATATCATGGCTATTCCACTCCGAGGTGCCCCAGTACAGGGCCTGGCCGGAGTTGACAATCTGCGTGAAGGACCGGACAATTTCTTCCATGGGCGTGCGGCGGTCGGGACGGTGTGCCATGACGATGTCGACGTAGGGCAAGCCCAGCCGCTCCAGCGAGGCACTCATCCCCTCGAAGAGATGCTTCTTCGAGAGGCCCGTGTCGTTGGGCCCTGAGCCGCCCCAGAACAACTTGGTGGAAATCACCATGTCGCTGCGTTTGAACTGTAGCTCACGGAGGATTTGGCCGAAGACCCGTTCGCATTCACCCGATGCGTAGACCTCCGCCGTGTCGAAGTAGTTGACCCCGTGGTCCCACGCTTCCTGCATGCAATCCCTCGCCGTCTCATACCCACACTGTCCGCCCACTAGTCTCAGTTTAGCACCTGGCACTCTCATTTTACACAGTCCAGGGATAAGCTAGTAGTGCACGTAGCTTACCTGTTACCCATGATCCAAAGGACAAGGCTGAAACCTTGAGCCCGGTGTTGCCCAAGAATCGATACACCATGTTCTTCGGGTCGAGTCTTTGCATGGCGGTTCGGGTGGCCATCTCGGTAGGTTGTGAATAGATACTTGAAGTGCTGCGGGAATTGAAGTGGTAGCAAGGAATGAGCTTTGCTCTACCAAATAGCTGTCTTTGCGGACTGATGCCTTCTATAATGGCTGCTCCACGGACTTACTCCGTACATCTATCAATCCGGCTTACCTCAAAGTCACCATAGTCGGAGTTACTCCCGCCGTCACCAACGGACGTGGAGCGGCTTGGACGCAAAAGCCTGCCCTTGGAGGTTAACTCGGCTTCTGCGGTCGTTGTGGCAGGTCATAACTCCGAGTGGATGACTTACGGACCGGGGGAACCAGTGACATGCTTTATTCCTGATTATTTATGACAGCCGTGAAAAGAGATCCTTCAGGAGGAAACAAGGATCTCGGTAAAATAGAGCCTTACCAGCAATGAAATGATATACGCGCAGCTCGGCTAATAGTACTGGAAGCCCATCTGCGCTTGTTTGTCCCGAGACCCAATCCCCGCAAAGAAAAAAAAGACACTACTGGTACTAAGAACAAAAGCACATTCTCTAAAGGCAGGATTATTAAAATTTATTACGTTGCAGTTACTTGAATACATCCGGGCGGTCTTAAACCTCAAGACGTGTATGCAGTACCACCTGACGCAAAGAGTGGGATGCAGAAATTTCGTACACAACAGCTTCGACGTCTATTACGAGTAGCAAGGTAAGGCCACTAGATAACAGCAGCTACAGGGCTATTCCAAGATTGCAGTTTCTAGAATCTGTGGATCTGCTCCTTTGTGAAGCCAAGCTGCTGCAAGATTCCCGACTTTGTCCCCCAAGACCCAGAGCCAGCCAATGCCTGCTCCATGGCAGGCGGCCCACAAACAAATACCTTGGCCCCCGAAAGCGAATCTCTCCCTACGACACCCCGCAGAAGTTGCTCGTCGATGTACCCAGTCCTGAGGCGACCTTCATCGCTCGACCCCGGGAACTGCTTTCCCTCCTGCCGGCTCACAGTGAAGAGATACGAGAACCGCCCGGGAAACTGCTTTGCGAGACCTTCCAGCTCGGACTGTAGCAAGATGTCCTCTTCCGTGTTTACTCCAAAGACTAGGCTGATTTTGGTTCGGTCGTCCGGGTTCTTCAAGATGCCCCGGATCAATTGGTACATGGGTGTGATGCCCGCTCCACCGGCGAGCATGTAGACGTGGGGGACCAGGTTGGGTTTCCACTCGAACCCTCGCAGCGGGGCGAGGAATGTGAGTGAGTCACCTGGGTGCAGGGAGTGGATGTGGCTGCTGGCTTTGCCATTCGGGTAGCGTTTCACCAGGAGTTCGAGCTGGCCGGGCTTGTCTTTTTGGGGCATGTAGTCAGCAACTTAAACTCTAAATAAACAACGCAATGCGACATGAGACGGAGATGTACCGAGATCATTGATCGGCGTGTACGGTCGAATGACCGGCAGCCAAGAGCCCTGCGGACGGCTGAGTGTTAACAGAGCAGCTGTACGTGGATACGTAGATTGTCAGACAGCTCGGTGCAAATGAGGGAAGAACTGGTCCAGCTCAGAAAAAAACATCCGTACAGGTGAGTTGTAGCCCACTGTGCGCGTGGGGATCCCGGAATGCAAAAACCAGGCGCTTGGTGTTGTGATTCACACTCTCGACGGTTTTTACGCGAAGGGAGACGAGGCCCAGGCGTCCGAAGACCATCTCAGGCCCATGCGGCTCACTAGCTCGGGCGCGGTAGTAGTAGATGGAAGTAAGTGACACGAGCCCTAAACACACCAGGGAGCAGACTTTCAGCGAAGCGGAGGAGAGAGCAATGCGTGGGAGCGACATCCAGCTGGAAATTGTGGCAAGCGACACAAGATAGCAAGTTTCCTCTTATAAAGACCCATACGAGCGATTTGATTTTTTTTCTTCTGGTTCGGCTTCTGGAGATAGCATGCAAAACCCGTACCTGCGTTTATGGCAGCAGATTTTTTCCGCATCCAGAAAAGAACGAATCTCTTGACGTCATCTTGTGCCTGGATTCGGCGATCGTACATGCAGACAACCGGAGGCAATCTTGTGGCTACGGGGACAGATGGCATCAAAACGAAAAATCTCCAATTACACTACCATGGGAATTCATAAATCATCTTCTTTATGATGTATCAGCTTAGCTTCATTATATATTGGCAACACAATGAATACAAAACACAGCCAATGCACAAACCCCATATTCAGAGCGCCGCGGTTAGAGTAAGACCAGCAGCTACTAGCGCAAACAAGCTTCTTGCCCCGTTGCGAACGACCCATCTTCCCAACAACTCCTGTGTATCGTCTGCAGCAGGTTTCCCATTACCTCCCTTCCGGGGCTCCTCGGCTTTCTCCGCCATGGCCTTGTTGATGGGAATAATCGTGACAATCGTGAATGGAATAATGGATAGTGTCAATGCAGCACCCGCGAGATAAGGCATCATGTCGACGTGAGGAAAAGTTAGCTGGCACCAACCACCAGGACGGTACGACCAGGCCAAGTAGCCGTTCGTGCAAGAGACGAGCGCAATCAGAGCAGGATTGATGCCGCCCTTTGCGAGGAACCGCTTGAAGTACCGGGCAACATCGACTGAGTCGACTTGTTCTTCTGATTGCCAGCGCATCAGAGCGGGCACGGAGATGAGCGATAGCGCACCCATGTTGCCTGGGAATGGGAAGTTAGTTAATGGCTTTAGACTAGTCGTTTGTTCTCCGGCAATGGATAGCTTACCTGAGATCCAAGAGGCACCCAAGGTGCCAACCACTTGGGCGACGCGGAAATGCGTGGGGAGGTCTGACATTCTGGGTGACTGATGGCCTTATCGTGGGCGTGTTCAATTTACAGGAAGGATGCCAGCAGTTTGAGGTTATGAGACTTTATCTGAGGCCCCATACGTGATTTGCAAGAGGAAAGCCAGCCAGACCCGGAGATGACGCAACTTTCGCTTTCTGCATTCCCAAAAGCCGATAACGCCGTTGCTCAGCAACTCGGGCAAATGATTGATTTTTATAGTCTGCGCACATTGCTAAATACCTGGCACGCCCGTATCTATCATAATACCGGGCATATTCTCGCTCTGGGCGTTACTAGTTGGTTCCTCCCATCAGCCAAGCTCGCTGAGGCCAAGCTGACCAGTGCAATAATAATAGGCCCCTCGGGGACCCCTTTTTGCCAAGACGCGCTCACGCGAGGCCAAACACTGATGATATAAATCCCCAGAAACTGCCCGCGACGATTCTACAGGACCCGAGGGTGAATCTCATACGCGGGGAATGTAACGACGAGACGCAGCTTCAACGGGCAGCCAGCTGTGGTGCCTCGGTGTTTGTTTCCTTTCTTGGGCCTACGACGGATTCGTGAATTTATCCTTTCCTTCCGCGCCTACTTCGCTTCACATCCAAGTAACCTTTGAACCAAGTCAGTCTGTGCGGGCTACAAATTCCTCATACCGCTACTGGTCAGGCACCGGTACAGCAGAGCGGTGATCCCATGCATGCCGGCCTTCGAGGTGCTTGAAGATCGTGATTCCACGTTCTGGGATCAGGTGAGGGCGGGATAAAACGTCACATCCCGTTATTATTCCAGGAGATCAAGATGCCTGGGAGCTATGTGTCCTCGATATCGACCGATGGCTTGAAGTGGTCCATGTTCCGGGTACCCCACCTCACGGATGACGGGGCGAAACCTGTCAACGAGGCCTGGGTGTGCGATGAAAACCGGGGGTATCGCTGTAACGGCCCAGTCTGTCTCCCTGGGTGTTGGACGAGGTTGAAAATGGGCGATGGATTGGGAAAGCTCCCATGTTAAGCAACTAGGCCACTGAGGGCAAATTTGTCCACTAGTATCATCATAGTTCAGGGCATTCTCGGCCTTATATGCCCTACCTGTATATACTGTAGTGCTCTAGCTCATCCAGAACCCACGACGGCACGAGTGGAGTGTGCGTCTTATAGCTTAGGGCATAGACTTAACCTATATACACTCTAAGAGTTAAATATTATCCTATAAAGCATGGTAAGTAAGGTGCTGTGAGACCATCTATTGGTTGACAAATATTCAGAATTGCCTTTCTCTGCAACGTGCAGAACCAATCGCTATGCATAGCCTTGGTATGGTGCACTGTTGTTGACCGCTACGTGTGTTCACGGCCGCTCTCAACAATGCACGAGGCCTGCTATATCACCGCACTGTCCAACTGCTACGACCTCATCGATTTCTTCGTTCGTTGTAAGCAACTCGTCATGCAGGACATCCAATTTTGCCCAAGCGTCCGCAAACTGTAGGCCGCGTAGGCGCTGCTTCTCTATCACATTCAAGGACCCATCAGGTTCGCCACTGTACCGGAATCTCGGTATCGAGATACCCAAATCTACATCATTATCTAACGCTGTAGCTGATGCTTCATTCTGTGTAGGATCCTCATGAGTGTCTGTTGTCGCACCACAACCATCGAAATCACCCTGATGGACCAGACCAGAGGCACGTAAAATTCGCTCCGGAGGAATCGTCATCCGCCCTTTCTTAAAGACATACTTAGACACGGAGGTCGCGTAGACGAAAGCAGGCTTCTGCTTCTGCTGCGGCTGCTGGTGCTGGTGGATGTTCTCTGGCGACTGTCCGGCAGTGTCCCGCCCCATATGCGGAGCAGATCCTGCGACAAACCGCCCCGGTTTGATACTGCCCTTCTGCACAAAGTGCGTAACGATGTACAGCCACTTCTGATCCCATGTCAGGATTCGCGACCACACCTCGTACTGTCGGAACATGGGGATCTCGCGCTTGAAGCTGGTGGTCACAGATCCAATGATCGCCGCTAGCATACCGGCTTTCCCTTCGGCTATGAGCTCGTGATCGACGGCTCGAAGCCCCGAGTAGCACAGGGTTGAGAGGAGATGCGAACGGCTTGCGTCAAGGTCTGTGAAGTATGTACTGTTGGACTTGTGCAAGTTGTAGTCGCATTCGAGTAACGGGGCATGGGTGGTGGTGATGAAAGGCAGGAAGACCGTGGGAGTTCCCTTGCTAGCATTAACGGTGACATCTGCGTGATCGTTCAACGGCTGTACTGGGTGTCGGACGCCCAACTTGTGCCGACATGCTGCTCGGATAATGGGGCTGAAGATGCGATACTAGAGAGGACGGCCATGTCAATCTTCCAGTGACTCAGATGTGAGGTGAGGAGAGCAACGTACATGCCATACAAATGGCAAGCATTTCAAATTTAGAACAAGGAGAATTATGGTTGTTGCTTTCCAGGGGTCTAGCAGTCCAATGATGCTGTGAATGAGCGGCATGATGGTTGCGAACATGTTGACTGTCGAATGAGGCCTGCAATAGATGAACAAGTATAGCAACAGAGATATTACCGCAGGAGGGGATCAAGACCGCGCATTTACTACAAATCCTGAGTGGATCTTTGCTCTGAAAGCCGACCCGAGCTCGGCGTCAGCAATTGATGGAAGCCTCGGCATCCCGAGTCCAATTCTAATCCAATTCTAATCACTGCCGAGCGGACATGTAAAGAACAGACCCACTCAAGCACTAGTAACTGAATGGGTGGCTTTTTCTTTGAATATGGGCGGACCTTGGCTCTGCCGCCCAGTAAAAGTTACCCGCCAACTATCTACATTCACCAATGTGAGGTACCCAAATAGGTTTGGTTATACCCCGCCAAAGCGCCCTGGGAACGATATTCCGCAAGTACACCAGCCGCTGTATCTATCAGAATAGCCCTATTTACCCACCACATCCCTAGAGGCAGCTTCACATGCGCCATGCCTCTGGAAAGGGGTTACCTGCTTGCGTTCGAATATCCGTCTAATAACTGCCTCTCACTCGGAACTATCAACAGGTTTTCCATCTCTCTGAGCAAGATTAAGGAAAGATACCCGCCCGGTATTCTCATCACTACAAGTAGAATTCTGAACTTATATGATAGTAGGCCCATCCAGGATAAACCTATGACGTGGGCACTTTTTAGACAAATACTATTAAGGAGGGCTTGGTATCTGTGAGCAAATGCGCTAAATAATTGCCCGACGATCAGTAATGCCGATAGGCCTGTCATACCGCCAAATCTCCGATATGAAACAACGGTCCTGGTATTCACTATACGGAGTAGAGCAGGAAACCAATGAACATGGTATAAATTCGCATTACCAATGAGCGGTCAAGCTTTCTCAAGCTCCGTGGCGCTAGGGCTCGTTATCTCATCCCCGCAACGCCCTACCTGAGATGTGCTTTTATAAATCCCCGGGGCCGTGCACCAATAGCGAGGCATTATTACCCAGTACCCATCTCCGAGCTTGTGGCAAGGTTTTGATCAGCCTATTATGAAGGTCATGCTGCAGGGTATTCTTGACATATAAACTGCTGCCTAGACCTATTGCCCATTGATATTCTTCCAATTGCTGTTCTCAAGTTTGTTCTGGTGGTGACAATCCTCCTGATCAACCATGAAAGCCTTCACCCGTAGTATAGCTGCTCTGGTTGCAGGTTCTGCCTGTATGTCTGTTGATCTGCTTCTTTTCTGAGGGCTTGCACACTAACTTACCTTGCAGTCCTGCAATCATGCCTCGCCCAATCTAGCAACCCTACGCTATTCACAGATCCAAACACTGGTATCAGGTTCAATGCGTGGACAGTGGCCCCGAGCCGCTTTTCACCGGGCCTGACCTTTGGCATGGCGCTTCCAGAGGATGCTCTCAGCACAGATGCCACTGAATTCATCGGTTACTTGGTATACTCCCCGTTCTCCAAGGTTTAACACACATACTGACCGGAATCCATGATAGTCCTGCAACTCTGCAAATAACGATGGACGCGGATGGTGTGGGATTTCCCTAGGTGGATACATGCCTGGCAACTTGCTCCTACTGGCGTACCCGCAGGAGGACGACGTGCTTACTTCTTTCCGCTTCGCGTCGAAGTACACGATGCCAGACTTATACACTGGGAATGCTACACTGACTCAGATCTCGTCGAGCATTAACTCAACCGGATTCAGCCTGCTGTTCCGTTGCGAGGGCTGCCTCTCTTGGGAGCAGGATGGCACGACTGGAAATGCCTCAACCAGTGCTAGCCAGCTGCTCCTGGGATGGGCGCAGGCCGAGGAGAATCCTACTGACGGTGCCTGTCCCGATGATTTATCACTTGTGAAGCATGAGGCGAACAGCCTCTGGATTGCAAAATTTGATAGGAATGCTACGAGCTCCTCGTACAATTCCTGGGCCAAGCTTGCTACGAATGTTGTTACTGGTGATTGTGATGGTGGTGGCAGCAATGGTACCGGAACTAAGCCTCGTTGGTATTGATTAATTGCTATACATATTTACCAAAGATCTCGTAAGGAGATGAGAATCCTTCATCTTGGCTTCCTCGGGCGATATAAGCTCAGTATTTCCTCTACTTTGAAACTGCGGGAGAATACACTCCAGATTATAGCAGACCAGCGAGGGCTAGGGGTTGAAGGAGCAATCAACAGTCAGTCCCGCATTGGACAGAGGGCTGTGAAGTCCTGAGATTGCTGATCAGAAGCCGAAGAAGACTTTCACAAGAATCAATATTTGCATTAGCTTACACTGCACAGTGCCTTGGTGGTAGTCATTGAATAATACGGATCAGGCACGCCTTTAACTCTATCTTGTATAGAGACTCTCGTCACTGGGCCATGATTATTATTACTGTAGGGAAAGTTAAGGTAATATCTTCAATACAATATAGAGTAACCGCTGGCTGGTGACGTACACCACGCAAATTCGGACTGGTTATTTCATCGATCTATAAAAATATACTGTATATTTATCCCCACTGGGCCACTGCCGCAGCCCAGTCCATTATATTGCAGTCCTAACGGACTGAAGTCTCTAGGCTGATATCTTCTAGTACTGTAAATCCTTTACTATGCTATACTATCTTTAGGTTTTCGTACCAGAATCTGTATATAATCAGCGAGGTGCATGCTGTTTCAAGTAAGAATAAGTTCATGGGTAAATAGTTGAGTTTTTAATGATCTCTTCTCCACAAGGAGATCTAATTAGCTAGCTATAACTAGAATATAAAATTATAGATCTTAACAACTCTTTTAACTTTTATAAAGACCTTAGAAATTCCCTATTTGTCCATTTTGTTACTACGGAAGGTCCTCAGGGAATAGAGGATTGTCAATACTAAGCATGCTAAACCTTATTTAGAAAATAGGGTATCCTTGATGCAGGATTTTGGGGGGTCTACCGAGTTAGACAGAGTGTCCTCGTATAAGTTCCCGGCTGACGCCAGGCATTTTGGCTGACCATCAGCAACAGTAAATTACCAACTTCTTGGCATTTTGTTACCGACAATCGCCATCCCAAGCCGAAGGACACTGAAGTGCAGGGTTCATAAACTTGACTCGGAGTCTGAAATCCATCCAACAGTTCTGAAGTTACTTTAAAGCAACGAAGAGGACAGGGAAAATATAATGCGCCACTTCTCTGAATGGCCTGCAGACTGCCTGCTCCTCATCGCAGACCAGCTGCCGCAAGACCGCGACCTGAGCCGCCTCGCACGGACGAGTCGGCGGATGCACTCACTGTTTAACCCCTATCTCTATCGTCGCGCCATCCAGTCTCGAGGCGCAACACAGGGCCTGTGGTGGGCAATCCGGATTGGCAGCTTGACCGCTGCGCGATACGCGCTCGAAGCCGGGGCGGACCTCCACGCCAAGGAAGACGACTATTCAGCGGACTGTGTCGTTGTGAGGGCTTTGAAAGACCGGCATGAAGCCAGAAATATTTGGAACAACCGAATGGATTTTGGATGGAAGGTCAGCCCGCACGTCGTGGACTGGCTGCTCGATCAGTATCGGCGCATTCTCCTCCTGCTCCTCGATAGCGGGGCGGATATCCACGAACGATCGAGACAGGGATGGACGCCGCTGCACAAGGCTGCCTGGCTACCTGATGTAGAGATGGTGCGGGTCCTTGTGGAACGGGGTGCCGATATTACGCTGACGGCGGATCACGGAGGTACTCCTCTTCATCTGGGTGCTTTCAGTGGCCACGTAGGGGTGATGAGACATCTCCTTGAGAAAGGGGCCGATATTCACGCGAGGAAAAAGTGCTCGAGTACAGCGCTTCACGAGGCGGCTCGGCAAGGATGCCTCAACGCGGCTGGGTTCCTTCTCGAGAATGGAGCTGAAGTCGACGCCAGAGATGAGAACGGCCAGACGCCTCTTCACGCTGCGGTCTGGAGTGGAATTATGAGACCGATACAAAAAGTCGTACAGCTTTTGCTTGACAACGGCGCTGATATCGAGGCTCTCGACGCGAAAGGGTGGACTCCTCTCCAAAGTGCTGTTGCATGTGGATATTCAGACAAGGTCATCGACTGTTTGATTGCGAACGGCGCGAATATCGAGGTCCAGGATCGGGAGGGGCGCAATCTATCTCAGCTGGGTCAGAAGCATTGTCGTCCCAAATTCGCGCGGCGTTTTGCCCGACGCTCGGATAGGATCAGGAATCGTGGCTCGCGGTGAACCTCCATCGCTATATGCCTTTCAATAGTGTTAGATAGTCTGCTCAGTCCTGCTTTATTTGTCTTTCTAGAATGCCAGGACAGTGTGCTGGATATATCCTTGCCTGCAAGGCAGTGCCTGTGCAAATATACAATTGCTGTCAACCATTGGCCTTGGGTCACAGATTTCTGTCGACCCGTAAATGATTGTTAGCGACAGATCAATTTATCCTCTAACTATATGAAAGCTCTTAGATAAATCAGGAAAACCATGCGTGCTTTGGCTAAAATCCGGTGTTTGTTTAAGTGGGAGATGTCTCCCGGTCCTTGAAAGTCCCCGTTATCTGATTGATTCAGGTTATTAATTTCCACCCCTGGGATTCTTCGTGTGACCCAATTATTAAGTTTCCTAGCGTATCGATCATGACCTCATTTCGAACTGTTTGGAGCTCTTCAGAAGTATGACAAGCCTCGTAAGCTAAAGACTACTATCTATTTCTTCTTCTATCTATATACTAGGAAATACTAGAAGAATAGATAGAAATACTTAAAAAATAGCCTATTAAAGATAATTAACTAGCCTCTTAATATAATTACTATAGCTAAAGAATTTAGCTATATTATATAAAACTTATTTTTCTTCAGAGATATATATCTGAACTAGGCCTACTTAAATACTTAATAATATATTAATTTATACTTTTACTTAAATAAAAGAGAAGACACCTCTTCTATCTATAAGTAACTAAATTAAATATCTTTCTCAGGAAAAACTAGCTAGAATAGTATCAGATATTTATTCTACTCTTCTCTAATATCTATTATCTAATTTTACTACTTCACGCATGTATCTAGCTAGATTTAAAGTAATTACTTAGATAGCATGTCCAGTTACCCCTCAGAAGCCCGCGGGTCACACGCCACGTAGCTGTCAAGTGACGCTAAATAATGAATAAGAGTAAGAATAAGAATAATAAAAATAGCTGCAATAGACGAGAGTTCGCCTGCCTGAGAGAACATACTGCACGCTACGCAAATGATATCCGTTCGGTAATGAGTGTGTACTTAACAGAAGAAAGAAAACATGTATACCCCCCAGCGCAGCCATCTACAATCCGCCAGCGGCAGACAAGCTCAGCAACTTCGAAACCGGGGTCTCGCCAGGAAAGAAGCTTGTAGGCATGGCCGGGATGGTGAAGGAGTGGTCGGAGGGGAGGGGACTGGCGAGATCGTGCGGCATCGTAGTTGCTGAATGGGATCTATTGGTGCTGTTAGTGTTCATTCACTAAGGGGTTGGACATGCATATTTCTGGACTTACGGAGTCTTGGTGACGGTTTTAGTAGTGGAGTACGCGGTCATCTTTTCAGAATCGCTTTCCAAGCAGGCTCCCGATCCATACGCGTTTTCGCATGTCCACTCCACGTAGTCGCCATCCTGAGTCCAGAGGTTGACATCCTCTATAGTAATGTCGTAGCAGGGGACATCCTCGTCGCATTCCAGACGGATGACAGGACGGCTGCGCTCAGCATTCTCGCCGTGCCAGTTCTAATTGAATCAGTGCACTTCCTTCAAATCGGTGTTAGCGAGTGATACACGTACCTTGAATGTCAGATTGGACAGCTGGACACCCTTGCCACCAACATCATCTCCCCATGCCTGGTTCAATGCCAGGACGTAAGGCCCACCGTGTACAATGATATTTTCCCAAAGCACATTCTTCAGAGAGCCATCGCCGTTGTGGCTTTTCACATAGGCCGGATCTGCCTGGTTCATGTACAAATTGCGGTAGTGGATGTCACTGATATCGGTGTCCTTCACCAAAGACCCAATGGCCGTGCCGCCACTTAAGTTGCAGTAGATGTCTTCGATGAGGAAGTTGTGAGCTGGTGACTTGACTGTCACGCACTCGTCGCCATTGGTGACTTCGATGTCATGCACCCATATGTTGTCGCCCCAGAAATCGAAAGCATCGGTGGCTCCAAGCTGCGCCACCCCTCGAGCAATAATATTGTAGACTTCACCGTTGGAGCAGGTATCGAAAACGAAATAGTAGGCCGGAGAGTCAATAGCTGCAAACCCGTGGACAGAGAAGTCTTTCACGTTCTGGAACCGAAATAGACGTGCCCCATACTTTCCATTCCGCAGATATTTGTAGCCATATCCCTGGATTGCTCCCTTGGAGTTTCCACTGAAGAACTCGAAGTCTTCACAATCCCGGAATAGAAAGAGCTGGTAATCACTATCGAAATCACGGTAGATGACACCGTCCAGCTGAATGGCAGATGATTTACCGTGCTTGAGCTCGAGTTCCTGACGCAGCGCATACTCTCCCGGTGGGATGTAAACTAGGCCGCCAGAAGCACAGTCGTCCCAGGCCTTGAGGATAGCAAAACCAATGTCCTTCTTGCCGTCCGCCTTGGCGCCGTAGTCAGTGACATCGCAGATCTTATGCTTCGCCTTCTTGGTGTAGTCAACGAGGGGGCCGACACTCCCGGAAAGCTGTGCCTGTACGAAAATCGGGGCGAAGGCCGCCAGGGCATAAAAGTAGCCTCTCATCGTTAAATATGAGCAAGCGAGTTGTTGTCAAAAGGTATCAGTTTTGCACACGATGCTTATATGCTGGACACAGAAAGGGCCTAATCGGCTCCTCGGGGCCGCTGGCACCACCCCCGAGCCTCCTTTTCCGAGAGCTGTTTCGGGCAAATTGCATTTGATTTGCGTTTCGGCCTTTCTTGTCTAGCTAAAGCAGCAGTTACCTAATTTACCCGATCCTCATACTCGGCTACAGGACCTCAGCCCTACTCCAACTTCCCCTTCTGGCCCTTGATATGGAGAACCCAGCTGCCCTGAAAGAGTTAGCCACATGTTCCAGGCAGCAGTGTTCCAGTCGGAATTACCAGGTCCAAGGGTCTCAAACCCCATTGGCTTCAGATGCTCCACCTCAAACATAAGACAACGCCTAAACAACGCTTAGGGACAGCAAGCTTCGGCGGAATAAAAAAGATGACGCACCCCAGGCGGCCCCAGCCGCCCAAGCCGCCCAAGCCGCTCGATAGCCTTTTAGGCGTGGTGGATTTACGTTGGATGACGCATCACAAAATAATAGCATCCCCACAGACGACACGAAGTTGACTGGTCTGTTACACATCCTCGTGCTCGGGGGTTTCAAGCAAGAGGACATGGAATGGGGTGACACTGTTGCCGCATTCCATGAATCCTTTCAATCTTACCACAGGTCATGCCTAGATCCCTGATGTATATAAAAATCAATTATTGCATATTACCTTCTTTATAAATGGGTGGTGTAGCTTTTAGCGTACCAAAGCGCCAGCATCTCCAATGTCATAAAATCTACCGCGATCAACTGAAGATTATGGACCGCGAACGGAAGGTCCAACCCACACAAGCAAACTCTGGAATCAGCTTCAAGCGATTGTGGATCCGGCAAGGAATACCAAGGTATCCCCTGATAGTTGACTAACATCTCAAACTTGCCCGATTTCCCGATCCAGGCAACACGCTACCTATCCTATTGGATGCAAGGTGCGGGGGAGGCAGGGATAACAAATTGCTTAATCTGCCAAGGCGAGTCAAGCCATGTGTCGGCTGTTGATTCAAAAGCCGTGACAAAGGCCGACCAGCGGAGAACTAAATAATGGGCTGCAATATGTGGATGGAAGAATTCCCCATGTTGTTCAACCTTACCCCGTTTATTCCCCCGCGTCTGGAGATAGCTTGTCAGTCATGTAGTCACCAACCAAGACCACTATTGTTGTCTATTTCTCGGTGTATCTGCAGCGGAGCCACACGAGGAGCCCTCCGGAGCTTTGGTGGCTCTTGCGGGTATATAAAGATTGAAAGCAGCCGCCATTCTGAGCAGTAACTACAACGTCGTCCAGAGTCCAAGCCCACCTGCGTCAACATGATTCGACCTCAAGCTTTCACGGCCCTCTTGACTCTGCCAATGGCTTTTGGCCTGGCTGTACGCAAGGAGGAACCCGTCTCTCTGTCCATTCCCTCGACAGCAGCTCCGGGCCACCAGACTCTTGATGCGAATTTCCTGTCATACTCTATTGAGTTTTCTTACATGCTTGATTATGCAGGCAATAATTCGTGGGTTCCCGTGTTCTTGGAAGATTAATTTTACATGAGGGAGACATGCTAATGGTCACACTGCAGCCACCCTAACGAGTTTTCAAAGCAACTATTGGAAAATATTCACGATATCAGCGGGGCATATCCCATAATCAGAGCCGGCGGGTCCACCTCCAATAGGGCTGTCTTCCTCTCGAACCAATCTGAGGCTTTAGTTCAAGAGTTTGGCTCGGATCCAGATCAGCCCAAATCGCTAAGCATCGGACCGGCTTGGATGGAATCATTCCAGCAATTTCCCAAGGATACACAATATATTTACGGTCTCAACTTCTACGATGGCGATTCCGGACTTGAAAAAACAGTGTCGGAAGCTGCCGCTGCATACAAGGAAATCGGAAGTCATATTTATGCATTTGAGATTGGGAACGAAGTCAACGGTATGTGCATTTTCTGGGCCAATGCTACATCCCCCACATAGTTTGAGCCATATCCTAACATTGCATCTGCAGGATTTCAGTGCAGTAGCCGCCGTGACTGTGATTACACCGTTGCCAGCTATGCTGATCAGTTCAAGGAGTACGCTGCGGCGATTGTAAAGCAGTCTCTCGGAGACGCTCCCAAGGGTGACAAGGAGCCGCTTTTCCAAGGGTGTGCATTCACGGCGCCCAACCATATAGGGTTCAATGAAACTCCGTTTTGGAATGTTGAAAATGCGCTGAAGGAGGGACTGGACTCTACAGGCATGGTGAAAACGGTCGCCGACCATGATGTGAGCAATGTTCATTTACTTCTTTTCTTGGCCTCGATGTTGGTACTAACACCGGCAACAGTACATGGGATCAGCGTGTGACGGGAAAACCGATGCAACTATCGAGGACGAGTTGCTCAACCATCACCACATGACAGACAAGATGTACAACCATGAGTATCTCGGGAACTACTCCGTGTCCAAAGGGGTTCCCTATGTTCTGGGCGAGACGAATTCAATTTCATGCCAAGGTCTCGCGAACGTGTCGGACGTCTATGCTGCGGCCTTGTGGTCTGTGGACTACACGCTCTATGCCGCTAGTCTGAATATATCTCGTGTCTACTACCATATGGGCACTCCGTATCGGTACAGCCCCTGGCAGCCACTGAGGATAAATGAAACTGCAGCACACGTGAAGCCGCTCTATTACGGCAATATGTTCGCAGCGGCAGCTTTTTCGGGAGGAAACAAGCAGGTTTCGGTTCTGCTAAACGAGAGTTCTCTTGCAGCGTACGCGATCTACGATACGGATTCCGAGTCCAAGACCTTGTTGAAGTCGGTTGCCATGCTCAATCTTGATGTCTGGAACTCCACACAGCCTGCAGATGAACGGCCATACAAAGCATTCAAGCTGCCGAGCGACACGTTTTCTGGTGCTAGTGTCAAGCGACTGACAAGTCCGGGAGTCGAGATCGCCGATAATATCACCTTTGCCGGCCAGCATGTAGATGACAAGGGATCGGTGGTTGGAAAGCAAGAAGTTGAGAAAGTAAGCGATGGAGAGGTGCGGGTTGCAGCTGGGGAAGCGGTGCTTGTGACATTGTCATCCTGAGCCGTATAGGTCGTTGGGCATCCAGTGGTTCTTGATGCTAGTAGGCCGATTCATGGTGATGGACCACCACTAATCCTAGTCTAATCTATATACCTTTAGTATAGATAGATAGGTCTTAGTCTATTAAATTATAGTATAATTTTTATTTTTTAATCTAGTTTTTTATTAGTAAGTTATTATAATTTAAAAATCTCTTTCTAGTAATATAATAATTAATAATTTAGATCTATAAAAATTTTTATATTAACTAGATAGTACTATTAGAGAGAGTTAGACTAGATAGTATAATAATTTAATATATATAAATATATATATATTAATATAAATTATTATACTACTAAGAATCCCTAGACATATATACAGGTGTCAGATAAGGTCTGCCGATCCTTCTTAAGTCCGGTTGGCCCTAAGGATATTCTTGAGACAAGAGGGAAAAGAGTCTTCGGTAGATATATTAACAGAAGAAAGTAGAAATGTATAACAGTCTGGGATACTTTAAAAGGTAGACTAGTTATACTTCCGAAAATAACAGACAAGGAGCAGACTCTAGATATAGTATAATAATAGTCTTTATATACCTTTATCTATTATATTACTTGATATATTTCTTAAAGTGTCTGCTTTATCATATCCCCTGATATGACCGTAGTCCTATCCTGGTATAGCATTATATCGCCTGATATAACCGGGTCAGTCTATTGTTGTTCTGTCGTTGTCACAGCGCTAGCTGTGCCGCAGTAGGTTCATTGGCTGACAATGTCCGCGTTCCTTGACAACAGGTCAGGTTGGTCCGGGTTGAGGTCTCATGTACTCTAACCTGCTGCGGGTTTAGATATAAAAAAGTTTAATCTAATCTATAGCAGGTTTAGGATAGATTCTATAGATTTAATCTAGAAAATCTAAAGATTAATAATACTAATCTTTTATAGTAATATACTATATTAAATATAGCTAGAGTAATTTTTAAATTAGAATATATTAAAAAATTTAATTTAATTATACTTTTATTTTAAAGAGATTAAAATATCTATTTAAATAGCTACTTTAATAGATAATAGATAAAGAGATTTAATTTAATAGCTAGTTAAGATTATAAATATCCTTAATTAAGAGATTAATTAAAGTAATAAAAGATATTTAATTAGGTAGCTACTTGAAGTAATAAAAGATATTTAATTAGATAGCTATTTAAGATAATAGAGATCTTTAATTAGAAAACTACTTAAAATAATAAAGATCTTTAATTAGAAGACTACTTAAAGTAATAGAAGATATTTAATTAAATAGCTACTTAAAGTAATAGAAGATATTTAATTAAATAGCTACTTAAAGTAATATTAGATTCTAGAGAAAATCTAATAATAATTAGATTTATCTCTTAAGTAAATATATTATATTAGTATCCTATTCTCTAGATTAAATATAGTAGTAAATTAAGTATTAACTACTTAACAGGAGAATCTTATAATTCTAATAATAATAAATATCTAATAAGTATGTGATCCTCTACGGTGGTGCTTGGAGATATCAATACCTTTGATGTATATCGGGGATATTGATACCCGGTAGCCCCACCATCAGTTAAGATAGTTGCCGATATCTAGTAGATTATATATAAATGCTTAGATAGCGGATAGATTTAAAAAAAATAATAATACCAGAAGTATGTCTTCAGACTATACTTTAGTATTTTAATAGCTTTAATATTTACTGATCTCAGGATATTATTATATCTGGTAGTATGTCTTCGGTTTTACTGGTGACCTTGAAGGAAGGGAGTTAGTAGATTAAAACTTCTAAAAACCAAGCTGAATAAGAATTAGTAGAGAATATAATATTAATAGGTCTACCTATAAAGAATCTTTCCATGCTCTTAGAACCTGGAAAATAGTTAATAAAGAGATACTTCAGGAGGCATGAGAATAATATTCTAAGAAAGATAAATTCAAGATCAAGAACTATTAATTATAATAATAGTAATAATAGTGAACCTGCAGAATAATCTCTATGGTATTCTTAGTAATACTAATAACTATAATCCCTCTACTTAGTGGGATGATAATATCAGGGTAATATAGTATCTTATTAAGTAGTAAACTAACTATACTCCAGCCTTAACCCAGGTTATGGATCAGTGGAATTAATCCTAATAAGAAAATCAAGAGAAGCTATAATAGCAGGAACAGGCTCTTGAAACCCTGAGGAGATAACAAGATAATAACATAATAACCTAACAAGGGTCACCTGCAGAGATATTAACCCTAAGTTAGGAAGTAGCTACTCTATCTAGAATAATAAAGCTCTACCTGAAATCTTTAGATATCAGGAAACTACTGAAGTATAGTAGATAAGTTACTAATAATACTGTAAGTAGATAGCTATAGTCTATAGAAGAGTATTTTAAGGCTGAATATACCTTGGCAGGAAAGAATCCTTAGAATATATAGAAGATCTATTATACTAAGGATTTTCTTGATAGAATAGCCAGGACTATATAGTAAGTACAGGAGGAAAAAGTATAAGAAAAGGAGATTAAACCTATTAATATCTAGTAAGGATTCCATAGATAGATTATAAGTAATTTCAAGAAATTTTTTAGTAAAGATAAGAAGTAAGAATACTTTATTAATTATATATAAGGAAACTCTAGCATGGTAAACTATAGTAGTTAATTCTTAAATATAGCTATTTAGATTAAACTAGCCTTGCCTGAATACCTTATAATTTAATATTTTAAGATAAGAGCTAAACCTGCTCTTTAAGCCTGTCTTATAAGAGATCTTAATATTTCTATTACCCTCAAAGGCCTGGTATAGAGATTTAGCTAGTATAAATAAGAGAATACTATTACAGGATATTATATAAATATAGTATAGGTAGGTATTAAATAAACTAATACTATAGATTTAAATATTCTTACTAAATATTCTAATTAATTAAATAAGAGAAGTCTAGAATAGAGATTATAATATACAGTATATAAAGCTTATTTCTAATATAATATAAAGAGATATTTAAAGCTTATATATCCTAACTAGATAAGTAAGGAGAAATCTAAGTTAAAGAACTCAGGAAAAAAATAAGATCTCTAGATAAGAAAAAACTAGTGGCTTAAATAATAAAGATCTCCAGAATAAATAACTAGAAGTTAAAGATTCTAGATATATTAAAACTTTTTTTTAGAAATAAATATCTAATCCTGGAGTTAGCCTGGAGACTAGTAGCTATATTATATATAATAGGATTAGATATTACTTTATATACCTATATTATCAGGTTTAGAGTACTTACTAAGATTATTAAAGTTCTTATTAACTCTAGAGCTAGCTACTTATTCTTCTTAATCTAGTTAGCTGACTAACTCCGGGAATATCAAATATCCTAAAAGATAGAGTAACTAGAAGTAAGAGTAGCTAATAGAGAGTCCTTAATTATAAAAGAGTATCTCTAGCTATCTATAGCCTTTAGGAATTAGAAGATAAGTATAGGAGTATATATATTAAACCTATTATATTATAATATAGTACTAGGATAAAATTAGTTAAAGATATCTAATCTATAGATTAATTAGAGTATATTAGAAATATATCTCTAAAGAAAGAATAGATAATATATATATATTATCAGGTCTATTAATATCAGAAACTATATCTTAAGTATTAAATTAATACTAGAACTAATAAGTATAAAGCAGGCTTCTAGAGCCTTAAGAAAAAAGGGAAAGAAAGCTATTCTAGTAGTTATTCAGCTACTCTAGGATAATAAGATAATAGTAGAAGATAAGATTAAAGTAATTATAAAGAAGTTTGTAGTAGTCTTCTAGGAGAAGCTTCTACTAATACTCTTTCTTAAATAGAGGCTTAAATACTAGATTAATACTAGTAATAAGTTACTAGTAAATCAGTCCTTCTACCTACTATTATAATAAAAGTTAGATAAGTTAAAGAGACAGCTTATAGAGCTCTTTAGAAAAGAAATTATTAAGATATTATCAAGTCTATAGAGCTTTCCTGTTATCTTTACTCTAAAATCTAGTAGGAAGTAGAGAATATATATTAACTATTAATTATTAAATTAGAAGATATTAAAGAATAGATATCTCTTTCTATAGATTTAGGATCTTATTAACTAGGTTAGAGAAGTAAAATATCTTTTTAAGATTAATCTCTTTTCAGGATATTAGTAGATCTAGATAGATAAAGTATTAGTCTAGAAGATAGTATTTAATACTATCTTTAAGAAATATAAGTTCTTAACTATATTATTTAAGCTATTAAATATACTAGTAATATTCTAGATATTTATAAACTAAGTTCTAGCTAACTATCTAGAAATATTCTACTTTATTTATTTTAATAATATACTGATCTTCTTGAATATATAAGAAGAATATAAGCACTATCTTAGGATAATTCTAGATATATTATAGCAGAATAAACTATTTATAAAGAACTTAAAGTATATATTTAGAGTAGAGAAGTTAGAATTCTATAGTTATATTATTAGAAAAGAGATAGTCAGGCCTGTACTAGCTAAGCTAGAGATTATTAATAAGTAGCTTTAATCTAAAAATATATATAAACTTTATTAGTTCTTAGAACTAGTAATATACTACTAATAATTTATTTATAATTTTACTAAAATAGTAGCTCTGTTATACAAACTCCTAAAAGAGAAGGATACAGAAGAATAGAAATAAAAATATTAATTAATACTTTAGAACACTAGTTATAAAAGAGTATTCTAATAACTGAAGAATATACTAGTTATAGTACCAGTTCTCTCTATTATTAACCTGATAGAATGATTTTAAATTAAAATAGATATATTAAAATAGGTAATAGAGATAGTCCTTAACTAACTAATAGAGAATAATAAATAGTATCTAGTAGTATTTAATAGATAAAAGTTAAATAGTATAGAGAGGAATTATCCTATCTAAAAAAAGAAATTCCTAGCTATTAAAGAAATATTATAGTACTAGGAATATTATCTTAAGA